AGAAACAGTGGAACTCATTTAAAAACTAAATTTTGACTGGGGGTTCCGAGAAACACGAAATAAATCATACAAAAAAAGTAGAAAATGTTATACAAATAGCCTGCAGTCTATATGTTTTTTTCTAGAAACAGTGGAACTCATTTAAAACTAAATTTTGACTGGGGGTTCCGAGAAACACGAAATAAATCATACAAAAAAAGTAGAAAATGTTATACAAATAGCCTGCAGTCTATATGTTTTTTTCTAGAAACAGTGGAACTCATTTAAAAACTAAATTTTGACTGGGGGTTACGAGAAACACGAAATAAATCATACAAAAAAAGTAGAAAAATGTTATACAAATAGCCTGCAGTCTATATGTTTTTTTCTAGAAACAGTGGAACTCATTTAAAACTAAATTTTGACTGGGGGGGTTCCGAGAAACACGAAATAAATCATACAAAAAAAGTAGAAAATGTTATACAAATAGCCTGCAGTCTATATGTTTTTTTCTAGAAACAGTGGAACTCATTTAAAACTAAATTTTGACTGGGGGTTCCGAGAAACACGAAATAAATCATACAAAAAAAGTAGAAAATGTTATACAAATAGCCTGCAGTCTATATGTTTTTTTCTAGAAACAGTGGAACTCATTTAAAACTAAATTTTGACTGGGGGTTCCGAGAAACACGAAATAAATCATACAAAAAAAGTAGAAAATGTTATACAAATAGCCTGCAGTCTATATGTTTTTTTCTAGAAACAGTGGAACTCATTTAAAAACTAAATTTTGACTGGGGGTTCCGAGAAACACGAAATAAATCATACAAAAAAAGTAGAAAATGTTATACAAATAGCCTGCAGTCTATATGTTTTTTTCTAGAAACAGTGGAACTCATTTAAAACTAAATTTTGACTGGGGGTTCCGAGAAACACGAAATAAATCATACAAAAAAAGTAGAAAAATGTTATACAAATAGCCTGCAGTCTATATGTTTTTTTCTAGAAACAGTGGAACTCATTTAAAAACTAAATTTTCGACTGGGGGTTCCGAGAAACACGAAATAAATCATACAAAAAGTAGAAAATGTTATACAAATAGCCTGCAGTCTATATGTTTTTTTCTAGAAACAGTGGAACTCATTTAAAACTAAATTTTGACTGGGGGTTCCGAGAAACACGAAATAAATCATACAAAAAAAGTAGAAAATGTTATACAAATAGCCTGCAGTCTATATGTTTTTTTCTAGAAACAGTGGAACTCATTTTAAAACTAAATTTTGACTGGGGGTTCCGAGAAACACGAAATAAATCATACAAAAAAGTAGAAAATGTTATACAAATAGCCTGCAGTCTATATGTTTTTTTCTAGAAACAGTGGAACTCATTTAAAACTAAATTTTGACTGGGGGTTCCGAGAAACACGAAATAAATCATACAAAAAAAGTAGAAAAATGTTATACAAATAGCCTGCAGTCTATATGTTTTTTTCTAGAAACAGTGGAACTCATTTAAAACTAAATTTTGACTGGGGGTTACGAGAAACACGAAATAAATCATACAAAAAGTAGAAAAATGTTATACAAATAGCCTGCAGTCTATATGTTTTTTTCTAGAAACAGTGGAACTCATTTAAAAACTAAATTTTGACTGGGGGTTACGAGAAACACGAAATAAATCATACAAAAAAAGTAGAAAAATGTTATACAAATAGCCTGCAGTCTATATGTTTTTTTCTAGAAACAGTGGAACTCATTTTAAAACTAAATTTTGACTGGGGGTTACGAGAAACACGAAATAAATCATACAAAAAAAGTAGAAAAATGTTATACAAATAGCCTGCAGTCTATATGTTTTTTTCTAGAAACAGTGGAACTCATTTTAAAAACTAAATTTTGACTGGGGGTTCCTGAGAAACACGAAATAAATCATACAAAAAGTAGAAAATGTTATACAAATAGCCTGCAGTCTATATGTTTTTTTCTAGAAACAGTGGAACTCATTTAAAACTAAATTTTGACTGGGGGTTCCGAGAAACACGAAATAAATCATACAAAAAAAGTAGAAAAATGTTATACAAATAGCCTGCAGTCTATATGTTTTTTTCTAGAAACAGTGGAACTCATTTAAAAACTAAATTTTTGACTGGGGGTTCCGAGAAACACGAAATAAATCATACAAAAAGTAGAAAAATGTTATACAAATAGCCTGCAGTCTATATGTTTTTTTCTAGAAACAGTGGAACTCATTTAAAAACTAAATTTTTGACTGGGGGTTCCGAGAAACACGAAATAAATCATACAAAAAAAGTAGAAAATGTTATACAAATAGCCTGCAGTCTATATGTTTTTTTCTAGAAACAGTGGAACTCATTTAAAACTAAATTTTGACTGGGGGTTCTGAGAAACACGAAATAAATCATACAAAAAAAGTAGAAAATGTTATACAAATAGCCTGCAGTCTATATGTTTTTTTCTAGAAACAGTGGAACTCATTTAAAACTAAATTTTGACTGGGGGTTCCGAGAAACACGAAATAAATCATACAAAAAAAGTAGAAAAATGTTATACAAATAGCCTGCAGTCTATATGTTTTTTTCTAGAAACAGTGGAACTCATTTAAAAACTAAATTTTGACTGGGGGTTCCGAGAAACACGAAATAAATCATACAAAAAGTAGAAAATGTTATACAAATAGCCTGCAGTCTATATGTTTTTTTCTAGAAACAGTGGAACTCATTTAAAAACTAAATTTTGACTGGGGGTTCTGAGAAACACGAAATAAATCATACAAAAAAAGTAGAAAATGTTATACAAATAGCCTGCAGTCTATATGTTTTTTTCTAGAAACAGTGGAACTCATTTAAAACTAAATTTTGACTGGGGGTTCCGAGAAACACGAAATAAATCATACAAAAAAAGTAGAAAATGTTATACAAATAGCCTGCAGTCTATATGTTTTTTTCTAGAAACAGTGGAACTCATTTAAAACTAAATTTTGACTGGGGGTTACGAGAAACACGAAATAAATCATACAAAAAGTAGAAAATGTTATACAAATAGCCTGCAGTCTATATGTTTTTTTCTAGAAACAGTGGAACTCATTTAAAAACTAAATTTTCGACTGGGGGTTACGAGAAACACGAAATAAATCATACAAAAAAAGTAGAAAAATGTTATACAAATAGCCTGCAGTCTATATGTTTTTTTCTAGAAACAGTGGAACTCATTTAAAACTAAATTTTCGACTGGGGGTTCCGAGAAACACGAAATAAATCATACAAAAAGTAGAAAATGTTATACAAATAGCCTGCAGTCTATATGTTTTTTTCTAGAAACAGTGGAACTCATTTAAAAACTAAATTTTCGACTGGGGGTTACGAGAAACACGAAATAAATCATACAAAAAAAGTAGAAAATGTTATACAAATAGCCTGCAGTCTATATGTTTTTTTCTAGAAACAGTGGAACTCATTTAAAACTAAATTTTCGACTGGGGGTTACGAGAAACACGAAATAAATCATACAAAAAAAGTAGAAAATGTTATACAAATAGCCTGCAGTCTATAATGTTTTTTTCTAGAAACAGTGGAACTCATTTAAAAACTAAATTTTGACTGGGGGTTACGAGAAACACGAAATAAATCATACAAAAAAAGTAGAAAATGTTATACAAATAGCCTGCAGTCTATATGTTTTTTTCTAGAAACAGTGGAACTCATTTAAAAACTAAATTTTGACTGGGGGTTACGAGAAACACGAAATAAATCATACAAAAAAAGTAGAAAAATGTTATACAAATAGCCTGCAGTCTATATGTTTTTTTCTAGAAACAGTGGAACTCATTTAAAACTAAATTTCGACTGGGGGTTACGAGAAACACGAAATAAATCATACAAAAAAAGTAGAAAATATTATACAAATAGCCTGCAGTCTATATGTTTTTTCAAAAACATTGGAATCGACCCTCTTAGAAAACTTATTTGTTACCAAACTTTTTTTGCTATCTCACGTTTTCTTCATTTCAGGTCAGTTTTATCTTTTTGAAAGAACGAATGTTGAAAAATATTCATGTAATATCAAGAGGATTAGATTATGTGGTTACAGTGAAATTAGGAAAGGATAGTATTGAGTTATATCAAAATAATCAATTCAAGTATCGCGCAGCCGAGTATTGAAGCATTTCAACTAACCATCCACCGTATTTTGAAGCTCTAAAACTTGAGTTATAAGCCTCGCTTTTTTTCCGGATCCTCAGCCGGTTCTTCTCTTGGTAAAGGATGTGCAGCTCTTGGTGTCTTACCGCCGATTATGGTAACCGTATCATCATCATCCGCCAGTGGAAAGTCATTTTGAGACTTTGAATTAGCTGCAGTAGAATTGGAGTTCTCCCTCTTTCAGGAGTATAGTATATAACATAAGTTTCATTGCGAAAGTTCGACAGATTTTTTGATTTTTCTCTCAGATTGCTCTTGTCAACGAAAAGCTCTTGCAATTCGCCAGATTATCGAGTTTATCAATTGGTTTTTCTTTGAAAAAACGTGAAAAAATGTTAAAGATGTCACGAAATTTTGTTTTGTGTTTCTAATCAATGAACTTTCTCGTTCCTAGTGTTGTTCTGCGTTTACTGAACAGATTTCAAACAGGAGCCTGGCAATGGGACATGGCAAGGCTTAATACTTGCGCTTTCGGCGGTGATCCTCCAAAAACTTGAAACGATTCAAACTGAACAGAGCGCAACTTGCACGCTCCAAGGCATCAGATTAGACGGTAATGACGCATCGCTGACGTCGCACAATTATTCACTGACTTTGTTGCCCATTCACTTGTTGTAAAGCTGCCACCGTCCATTATCCTATCGTAACATTACGTTTTTTCAAGTGACTCATGTACTGGAGACAGGTCTTCTAAGCCTCGACTATAAATACCTGCGCAAGCCATCGGGAACACAACAATCGTGTGGTTTACTGCATTCCCAACAGTTTTCTCTTTCTTTATTGCTTCAATTGTATACTTTCAGAGATGCCGTCTGTTTTCCAAGGCGTTTTCTGCGCTGCTCTTTTGCTCGCTGTCATCGAAGTTTCTTTGGCTTGCTTCGCCTCCGGGGTCTGTGGAGGTGGTTGCCCTCCTCCTCCGCCTCCAGTTTGCTCCGGAGGTACTGTATAAGTTTACTTCTTTCGTTTGTTAGATTTCATTTAGAGGCAATCAGCTGTTTTCTTCCAGATAAGACCTAAACTGTGTCAGTTCAAAAGACTTCGTCTCTCTCAAAATGTCCTTAAAATCCATTAAAAAAGGTTTTTATGCAATTGGCAAAAGAAAGCTTAATGTACGTATCGAGGAAAAGGAATCGTAACTCAGAATTTCAATGCTGCTTCTTCATGATTTTTCAGATACAAGTTAGACAAAATCAATAAGCTTGAAAAAAATTCCAATATTTTTGAGAGTAACAGAAGGTTTCCAACGAGGATCAGATGAAGAGGAAAAAAAGTAAAAGTTCTATTCAATTTTTTCAGGATGCGGTATGGGCTACGGTTGCGGTCAATACGGATGCTATCGAGCTCGAGCTCGAGCTGCCTCGGCTAGAACTCTATCCATTTCTGAATCGAAAGTAACGGAAACTCTATGAGATTATCCTTATAAGAAAAATTTCCAGGCTGCTTCCACTCCCGACGAGAAATTCATGCAATGTTGCGAAGACCGAAACCTTCCTGATTCCTGCTTGAGCAAGTGCAGTTTCCGCACTTACACCAAGGCTGCTCTTCAAGTGATATCTTGAATTTTTAGCTTATTTTGAAGTAGAAACTTGCAGGCTATGTACTTCAAGCAGGACGCTTGCCCAATGCAAGCTGCGGCCGATATCCATTACTGTGCTGCTCAGGGTCAAGACCACCGTGATTGCTGCGCCAGAAACGGAGTTGCTACCACTTTGGCTGGCGAAAAGGTAGCTTTAATTTGAGTTTATCGTTTTGTTAACTAGAAAATGGTGTCTTCTGAACATTAAATTGAGATTTGGGACTTTTTGAATAGGCGGGTCCAGATAAAAGTTCTGGAAACCAGAAAGATATGTCTGCTAAACATCACAGGCAGCCAAGAAAAAGCACGTCAAAAGATTTTCAGCGCGTATATTAACAGGCTCAAGTCCTCCGGTGTGCATTTTGAACACTTACGAAAAATCACAAAAACGAAACCACGAAAAAAACCAAATACCGATATGAAAATTCGAAAAATACACAGTGATTTTGCCTGTGATCAGTTTCTGTTTTGCTGAGAACAAACTTCAACGACAAGATAAACAGCAAAAGCTTCAAATCCCAAATTTTCATGACATCCAACTCAAAAATATTTCATTCCCAAAAACAATCTTTCGCACCACTACTTGTTTATTTTCCAGTGCATGACTTTCTGCGACCAAAGGCCCGGAAACGTCACGCAACTCGACCTCACTTACTTGGCGTGCTACGACCGGTTTGAGAACATGAAGGCCTGCTTCTGGCAAGACGTCACCGAAAAGTCGGCTCCCGCTTTCTCTTTCAACACAGATGGAGAGGATCGAGGCTTCGCTGCCGCTCCCCGAGTTCCTTTCGCCAAGACCTTCGGACAATAAGCAATTTTGCCAAGTAACTATGATCAAGTTGTTTGTATGTATCTCGAATATTTCAATTGTATGAACTTTCTTTTTAATTCTATCCAATAAAAAAGTGATGATAACTTCAAAATTGCTTTGGAATTGTCGATCGTTGGGTTTCAAAGTTTAGAAAGTCTTTTGGAGATTATTTAGACTTCCCAAAAAAGCGAAAAATCGTTTCGATACCGGAAGTGTACATTGATTTTGATTGAATCTTATTAACAAGACACAGAAACAATCGAAAGCGAGACCCCTCCCTTCACATAAACCTTTGTACTTCTTGTACTCAAAAAAATTACCTGGGTTCAATAAATGATTTTTTTGATTGCTGATGTAACGATTTTCTGAGCAATATTGAAAAACCGCCAAAAAAATTTTTTTGAAAGGGTATTCGGAATGATCCAAAGAATGATCTTAGGGTTGCTCGCCTCGTTTTTTTTCTGCGCTTAGTTCAATCAGTTGTGCCTTGACGAGCTTAGAATACAGCGGATTTTGGAACCCGGAGCCTTGGCTCTTGGCGGAGGCTCTTGGCAGAAGCCTCCAAAGAAGAGCGATCAAAGAATATTAAAGATTTTACAATGGATTCCATTGAGTACAGAGGAATGTTTCTAGATGTTTTTAATGAGTGAACCAGCAGATTTGTTCAAAAGCCAAATGTCTCAAAAACCACTAAAAAAAATATTTTTTTTCAAGTTCGCAAAAATAAGCAACGAAAACAAAATGGAAGCAAATTGAGAGCTTCTTCATGTAGACTCACAACCAGAAAGATGAAGAAAAAAGCAGTAAGGATCACAATGATTCAAAGGGTACAGCATTTCGTTAAGGAATGTAATGGCAAAAAAAAAGATGACAACATAGTAAGGTCCCGGATAATTGGTTACATACAAAAGCTTGTGCTCTCAGTCTTCGTCCTGCTCTATTATACAGTCTCTGATTCGCACACGTAGCGGTTTCTTTTTCTTTCGGTCCTGTAAAAAAGTTTTTTTTTCTAAGGAGTTGAATGTAATTTCGAACCACAATTTGAATATTGGAGTTTTTAACGGCTACTTTGAGCCTCAATTTGTTGTCGGACACATGGTCGTCCAGGGCGAAAGGTGAGAGATGAGCGATGATTTCGTCGTCGAGTTCAGCTTGTAAGCCTTCGACGACTGCCTGCAATCATGAAATGAGACTTGGTACCGAAATTCGTCAGGCGAACAAGCCTAACACCCAAATTACTGCTGGTTTGGAAGGACCAGACGAAAGAAATTGACATTTTTCATATCTGATTAAATAAAACCTGATTTCTTTCACTAGAAATAAGATAATTTAAACTTAGCGATCTTTCACAATTTTTCTTACAAATCAGATCTTCAGAAAAACTCATAAAAAAATGTCTTGCATTTTTTCTATTCGCTCACCTCAAGGAATGACGTCGGCATATTGGCTGGAGAGTTGAGTTCAAACTTTACCACCTAAAAACATCCAAAAACGTTCAAATTTATCGCCTCTCTGACATCTATTGCGGTTCGTGGGGGTGCGGCTGGAGTGGATACAGGTGATTTTTTCAACATTTCGTTGATTTCTTGTCTCAGGACTTTCAGTTGATACTTGACTTCAATTCTGAAAATTAAATTGTTGAAATTGAAAGGTTTAACAATGACTAACTCCTTGACGTTGCCGAAGACCTTGAGATTCGATTCATGAACATTTCCAACGATACTTGTCGAGGAAAGGTTTGCAATGAGAATATTGCCCTGAAAAATTATATAAATTATTTTCAATCAGAAGTTCATTTTGTAGAGATTTTTTTAGATAAGGTGGCTAAAATTTCTTACCACTCTTGCCATAGTACTTTTGTATATGCGATCATTCAGGATATTGGCATCAATAGTGACAGCTTCGGCAGCCGTTTCTGAAAAAAGCTTCAATGGAATACATCCTCACTCGAAAAAAAACCTGCTCCAAAAGGATCTTCATCAACGACAGTTATCTCCAGGTCAAACGCCGAGTCGTCTTCGGCAGAAGTCGCGATGGAGGCGGAATCATCGGCATATTGAACATCTGGAAAGTTTCGAATGAATAAAATGGAAATTAGAGAAAAACCAAATTGATGAACCTACCGATTTCGCTTGATGGACGAGGTGGGAACTCAGGGAAGTCCAACTGCTCAAATCTTTCTTGTTGAGTATTGTTGGTGACTTTTTCATTCGGTGTAGGTCGTGGAGTACTGCTGCGCGTGTTCACTGCCATTTCTGCGAAACCATATCAATTTATAAGTTTCTAATTTTTCGAGATTTTCTCCAGTTTTCAAATTGAATTTATAGTTTGTTGTTCGCGGAATATGTCGTTTCCGACTATTTTTTTCATGGTTCTTTTCAACGTCTAATTAAGAGGAAAAACAAGCTCTCAAAATTTGAAGGTTAACGTTATACTTTTCACAACTTTTTTTCCTTAGTTTCTGACAACGTAGGTGTCGCAAGAATGTTCATGCTTCAAGTCAAGACTCGGCAAATGCTTGCATTCGCAGTCATTTCCATCTTCGGCGCTCCATGTTTGTATTACCGGCTATCGAGTGGCCGGTAAAATGTTTGTGCGCCCATAAACGGAAAACGAGCCGACGAGCAAAAGGAATTTCGCCTTCTTCGCGGCTCCGACCATAACAGGATGCCGCCAGGCATCGGTTACTGCTTTACCTGTTTCCGTGGGTTGCGTGAGTGCTCTTGGCATCCACCCCAACTGGAGATACTCATATGCTTTTCGGACTGATTTTCTTTTTCTTCTAATGAAAGCTTCCTCGATTCTAGGAAATCTACTTCCAAAAAAGTTGCTATTTTCTACTTGGTATACTATAGTTTCGGAAATTTACCGTTCGACCCATACTTTTTCACCATGTCAAAATAAATGAAAAGTTGAAGCTTCAACATTTCTCACTTCAGAGTGACATATTGGTTTTTGACCGTTTGAAATGTCACTCTTGCTCGGTCGATTTCGTAAATTTCCGAAACTGGTCGGTCAAACGAACAGTCAAAAGAATAATGTGTTATAACCGTTCGAAAACTGAACGGAGTTGCACGATCTTATTGATCAAACGGTCAAATTTTAGAACACTACCATATACCGACAGTTTCTGTAAAAAAATTCTGGAAATCTTTCAGAGCGTCAATAAAATCTCACGAGAAGTTTTCGATCGAAATACATGAGAAAAAAATTCTGTGGTTCATATTCCTAGTTGTTCAGTAGTACCGGTTCATTCACAGTGACGGAGCTTTATCCCAGATCATCAACAAAATTTTTTCATGGCAAATTATGCTTCGAATTCTATCAATTGTCTTCAATGAGACTTTTTTTCGCGTCCGACGACCTATAATCTAGTCTGATTATATCAGTACACACAAGAAAAGCCATGTGTTTTTCCTGTTTTTCATGGACTCGGAAAGTCGTCCGTCTTTTGTGCAGCACTTGTCTCTCCCCCCACAAGCCGTGTACAAGCGCCCTCGTGGAGCACAGCTTAGCACAGCTTCCCCTCTCACCTTGGCTATTTTTCGCCTTGGATCTAATTTTGAACCTTTTTCCAATCGCTTTCACTTCGTTATTGTTATCTTATCTTTTCTGTTTATAATTCGTTTTGTGTTTTACAGTATGAAAATTTTTATTTTTCATTTTTCAAAGTTCATTTTTAAATTTTTATAAAATCAGAAAATTCATAGCAACTAGCTCAATAGCTACAGTCAGCATCAATTTTAATGCTTCTTTTTATTTTTTATTTTTTTGTGAAAAATCTTGCGCAAAAAAATAATGTACCGTCGGAGGAGCGCTTAAGTACAAATAGAAGTTAAAAGCGATTTTTAAAAAGAAGACGTGCTCCAAGTTCTCGAATTTTTCAGAATACAAATCTATCTTTCTTTCACTTCTTTCAGTGCATTTCTCATATTTTTCTGACTGTCTCCATTCACACAAACTTAATACTTCAAACTCTAGAGCAAAACTAATCAGATCAGGCGAAATCCTCTTTTCTTCAAACCTAAAAGTCCAAAGAATGTCGAAAGTCGTGTGGTACTTCACAAGAGGTTATCCGAGTTAATACACCTTGGCGATAGGCTTCGGGTTGTCAACACCAGCAAACACTGATAGAGAACCACTTGAACGAGGGTCACCTCCTCGTAGGCTGACCACCCAAGCTCTGTCCATAGCGCTCAAACAAGCCTTCGAAATCTTTCTTAGCTTTTTTTTTTTGATTTTTGTCGCATTTCCCTTTGAAACTTCGAAGTCTGTTTTCAAGGGTCTTTAGCTCATTTCAGTTTAGTTTTTTTTTACAATCGAATGTTTTTGCCAAAATAATAATTCATGCTTATTGAATTAGGGATTTGAACAGCTGGAAAAAGTATTGATTGATCAGCTGGATAGTTTTTCCAATTTTCTGAAGGTTCACATTCTGGCGGCAGCAAAAAATGCAGAAAAAATTGTGATTTTTTTGGGGAAAATTCGTTCTCGGCTGGTCAGTTATTCACACAAGATGTAGTGAAACAGCAACTCGATTTGGGAGGAATGATTTATTTAGAAATCAAAACTTATATCCATTCGAAGTATCCTATACCGCACCCATGCAACAAAAAACCTGTTTTTACTATAAACTTTTTTATCATGGATTTTTCCAGGAACTTCGAAGTTGCTACTTTTCTTGTTCCTTTTTCTTCTTAGTGCTTTTTAAAGAACTATCCTTCTTTTTTCGATGACTAAAGGAGTTTTTTCCCTAACAAAAACCAAAAAAAAATTTTTCAGATTGGACCGAGTTTGAATTGACTGATAAGCGATATGCGATGAATCTCATCAAAATATTTGTGTTGCTGGGATTTTTTGAGGGCGTGCGCAGTCAATGTCCACTTCAACTTCAGGTTGGTCAAGTCAAGTGCAATGGGGACTGACTGAGCGCCAGAGGAATGGCCCTCTCACTGCGGCCAAACGTGTCTCAAACACATGTCAATACGAACAATTTCGACACATTTTGCCTGGTTTCGGGAAAAATACTATCGGCCCAGTTTTTTTCTGTGAACCTTGGGAGGAATGTCAATCTTTCCTATAGACAGATAACATCTGAGAAATTTCCGTTCAAACAGAATTCTTCCTACAAAAAGTAACTTCTTGCTAAGGATAAAGGATTTTGGGTATATAAAATGGTTTTTTGATAGGTGGGATCGATACCGACGTGTACTGAGTGAATTTTGTCCAAGAGATAAGCATTTTCGATCACAAGCTGTCAACAAATAAATTAAAAGTAGAAAAAACTTTTTTCATTAACCTATATTAATAAGCTCTATGTTTTCTTTTGTTATTTTTTTGATTCAAAATGAAGCAATTTGTGGAAAAACTGATAAGAATCGAAATAAAATATTCAGGAACCCTGTTCATGTTCATCAACAAGATATGAAGCCGTCTCTATAGTTTGCGACAAAGGAGAGTCCCTTTCTTCGGTTCTCGTAGCCCTTTCTCATCCTCCAGCAGTCATCGACAGCCTAGTCATCAGCAACACACCAATCGACCAGGTGAGATTAAAATCATTCCGAGAAAAAATGTCAAAATTTTCAGCTGCCTGACTACGTTTTCCAAGGATTCCACATCAAAAAGCTGATCCTTCGAAACAATGGACTTCGCCAAATTCATCCTAGAACATTCTCAGGAACACTTGAAAACGTGCTAGAGGAGCTTGAAATCAAAGGGAAACTATCTTGATAACATTCCACAAGATGGTGTCTCCACGTTGCGAAACCTTCGAACTCTCTCGTTGACAGGTTTTTTCGAGATGATTTGACTTTAAAAAAATTGGATTCTCAGACAATTTGATCGAGTATGTTTCGGACAACGCATTTCTATCTTATCACAGTAGAGAAACTATCGAGAGGCTTGATCTGAGCGCCAATAACTTGACTGCCATCCACCCAACGGGCCTTCTAGGCCTCGAGAAACTTTCGCAGCTGTCTCTTGACAAGAACTTGTTCCAAAATATTCCGTCGGAAGCGCTTGCGAATGTCCCATCACTCGAAGATCTGAGCTTGGGTGTGAATCAAATTATTTCCGTACCTCAGAACTCCCTGCCTCTTCCAAACTTGAAATCATTGAGTCTTGAAGTAAACCAGGTTGGGTTTTTTGTATGAAAAGAACTTCAGCCATGGTTTTTTTTCAGATCAGACACATTCCATCGGACAGTTTTCAATCACTTCCGAGTCTGACCTACTTATATCTTGGAAATAACCTGCTCACTTCTATCGATCCTTCAATTTTCTATCACACGAACAACTTGAAAGTTCTTTCGATGGGGAACAACAAGGACATCACAACCATTCAGTCCAACTGTAAGAAGAAAAACCTAGCCCAAATGATCAAATACCTCAGCTTTCCAATTTGTACCAAATTTGATTCGACTAGAACTCAGCGATTGTTCTCTCACTACCATTGAGACTGGAGCTTTGCGAAAAGCCAACAATTTGCAAGTCGTCATTCTGTCTCGAAATCAGATTACACAGTAAAAAAAAAATCTTTTCTGTCTAAAAATGATTAAATTCCAGTATTTCTCATGATACTTTCTCAAACTTGCCGCAAGCTGCTTACATCGATTTGAGCAACAATGCGGTAAGAGGATTCAAAGTATTGAAACTGAAAAATGAACTTCAGATCACTAGGATAGAAGATTTCGCATTCAGCCAACTTCCGATGTTAACGACCTTAGATTTGGGTAGCAATAGGCTTGAGACTCTTCCGGAAAATATGATCTACGACTCCTTACTGCCGAAACCGCCATCTGTCACCCGCAAACTTCTACTCCAAAGTTAGAAATGTCTAGTCCTTTGAGAAAGTCGTTCTTGTTTTCAGACAATCCTTGGAGATGCGACAAAGATCTAATGTGGTTGCGAAAATGGCTTCGCGATAATGGAGACGTCGTTATCTCGACGATGAGCGGACTTACCGCCAGGTAAGCTTCTCAACTAGAACAAAGAAAAAGTCCGCTAGTCAATTGAATCTCCAGAATATTAATGAGAGCCTTTAATATTCTAATGATAGAGGTTTTGAAGGTGTTGGACGCCGGCACACTTGAATGGCCTCGACCTGCGCCAAACAGACCCCGCAGCCCCACAATCCGTCAAGATAGGAGAACAAATGCGGAAAATCTTGAAAGTATGATCTCAAAAGTTATGAGTTATGAAATAACTTTTTAGCCGGCTGAAACGCTTCTTATTCCAGTTCGATCGGATTTTGAGCCAGATGCTCCTAGAGCACATACAAATGTGAATGGGATCAGTCTGGTCGGACTTGTTCTAGGTTTGTTAGAATACTTATTAAAAAAAACATGAAATCTGTCTCGAGGGCCCAGAAAAGCTTATCATATTTCATTTTTTTTAACCGGTTGCATGTGAAAGAAATTAATACAAAAGAATATTGAAACGTTAAAAATTTTTTAAAAATGGAAGAGCATATTCCGCATTTATCTATAGATGATCTGCATACCGCATATATCTGTAGATGACCCCAAAAACTCTTTTGAATTTTTTTCAGGTATCGTTTTGTCCGTTTTTGTTCTTTGCTTGGTGCTTCTACTTGTGATCCGATGCGTGATGAAGGCCTACGAAGAGAAATCTTCCGGAAGCAACTTTGGATCTTCGGTTTCTTCCACCGGCTACATGGGCTCGGCGTACAGCGGAACAGGAATTCTCAGTTCAAACGAAGCCAGAGCCCGGCGCTCCACAACCAACAGCAACATCTACCTCAATCGTCCCCGTTATTGGTGGTTCTAGCCCTGTTTCATCCTCAAACTCGTATATAACTCCCTCTTTTCTCCGAAGCAGTGCTTCAAAAACATTTTTGACCAAGTTCATACTTATTCCCGTTCTCTATCCTAGCCATGACGACCTGCATCGGTGTTATGCAAAAGAGTTTAAAGCCTCGAACCGAGGTTACTCAGATCTCACAATTGATTGTCATTGTTTTCTCAAGTTTTTTTCCTTCTTTTTATTTTTTTGTGTATTTTTTTCTCATTCGTGAATCACGACTTCTTGTGCATTTGAATAAAATATAAAATTGTCGTCTCAGCGAGAAAGTTTTCTAATTTTTCTCAAAAGACTAATTGAAGGACATTGAAATAAAAAAATTAAATTATCATTACGCATTTTTCTTTTTTTGAGCTTTGAATTTTTTTCAGAATTAATACTTACAAAAAAATGACCTTGTATAGTCCATTTAAATGACGAGTCGTCAAAACTCAAGGGCCTTCCGGAGAAAAAGTCACTACGCTTTTACTATCGGGTTGGTAAGGGGTTGATTAGGTTTTTTTTAGGAAGCCGAAGACTTGTTTTACCGGTGAAAAAAGTTCCTGGTTCAAAGTCGAAGTTTCTTCGAAGATATGATTTTTCAAATCTCAAGAGAAAAATATTCATTTTCACGATTTTTGGTTTTTTGCTCTCAAATTGGGTCTGACTCGAGCAAATGAGATCTTTATTTAAGAAAGAGTTATTGCGCAGCTATTTAAAATCTGTGCGAAGTTTCAAGTCATTTGAGCCACTTTCAGAGAAGTTATGCTCGAATAGCCACTTTGAAATACCTTTATGGCCAGTACTGTATGTTTTCAGAAGCCATATAAAAGAGAATCATTAGTTCGAACAAAATCAAGCTTCAAGTTGTAAGTTCTCAACTTTCTTTTAAATTTTAAGCTTTCATCTTTTCAAAACCAAAAGAAGAAGAGAGCCGAAATTTCTAATCAAGAATGGTTCAAGTCATTCGCTTCAAAAGCCATTCCAGGAACTCAAGAGAAACCACACCAAAACCTCTTGGAATGAACTTTGACTTTTTTGCATCGTTAAACAATGTCCTGAAAGGTCGTATCAGAAATCAGTGGCGGCGACGGCGGGTCAGTTACTGTTCACAGTAGCCGGTTGGCCAGAACGGCCAAACGAGATATATACGGCTAGCGCCGACTGGGACGAGGAGTGCGATTAAAGAGGAAAAGACAAGGCGACTGCGGAGAGGCCTGTTGCGTCGGCTGCGTTGACCTGGATGAGAATGACCAGTCGTCGGCGCTGTCCTCCGCAGTCATGCGCGTGCCGTCGCCGCAAGCTCTGCTCATCGGCTTCCTTATCTGCTCCATCGAACTCGTTGCCTCTTGCCCTCAGCCGGTTGCTCAGGTCTCGTTGACTTTGTTTTCCTAATCGAATAGGTATTTTATTAATCATTCCAGTTCAAAAAGTCATAGAAGTGTATCAAAAAAATAGATAAATAAAAGTTCTGTTGCTCGCAAATCTGGTTTTTTTCATATGAATTTTTGCGAAATCTTCTGTAAGAAGTCAGGAACGAATAACCTTCTATTTCGGCTGAAGAGAAAACCGGAATTCAAATTGTAGAAAGATTTTGAGTTGACCTTAGGAAAATTATGATGTTTTTCTTAAGAAAACTAAAAAGTAAATTTTGATTAAATCAAAGCCTCAAAACTCCGTTTAAGAATTTGAAAGTACATATTTTTAAAAAAAAGGTTTTTTTAATTCTTTGAAAATCTGAATTATTTTTTTGCATTTTTTTCGAATTTCATTAAGCGGGAATAGAAACAAAACCATCAGGTCTTTCATTTTTTTCACAATCTTTTTCAGGTTTGTCAATGCGCGGACCTTCACAATGGCGTTATCCTCGACTGCTCCAATGCAGAAGCTCAACAAACGCTTCAAATTCTACGAACTAATCAGGCTCTGCTAGGCCTTATCCAATCACTGACGATGAGAAACGCCCAATTAAAAACTATCAGCCCATCACTATTTTCTGGACTCTATATTAAAAAACTCGACCTCTCATATAATAACATCCATGAAGTTGATGATCATGCCTTTGATGGTCTCAGCTCAGTCCTTCAAGAGCTCATTCTTCATCACAACAACATCACTAAAGTCAGTTAGGCTTAAAAATAAGAGAATTTTAAAATAAACGTTTTCAGCTTCCTGTAAAAGCGTTAGGAAGTCTTCCGATGCTTTTGAGTCTTGATATTTCAAACAACACGATTCCTGAGATTGGAGAGTCTGATATCCTCCCAACTATGCCAAAGGCAAGTTACTTTGTCATTCTATAAAACTTTTGAAATTAGTCATTCTGAATTGCCAATCTTTGAAAAAAATTTTTAGCGAAAATAGACTTTTTCAGCTCTATGATATCAATTTGGGAAGTAATCTGATCAACAACGTCCACACCAACACTTTCCAAAACATTCGCGGCTCGATCCAAACCATTAATCTTGGCCACAATAAGTTGAACGCCGTACCATCATCAGGTTTGTTTCCCACGAAATTTCTGCATGATTTAATATCCCATTCCGGTTGACCCAAAAATAAAAAGTGCGTGATTGTTTGCTGAACGCTTCTCAAACATCTTTGAACTTTCGCCTTCTTGAAAATCAAACACGCCAAGTCTAGTCAAGGAAAACCAGTTTGAATTTCAGCAATCCGTGGGCTCAAACAGCTTCAATCTCTTCATCTCCACAGAAATAACATCAAGCAATTGGAAGCGCTGAACTTCCTGAATCTTCCTGTGCTGAACTTACTGAATCTGGCTGCGAACCGGATAACAGAAATCAACCGTCAAGCTTTTCTGAATGTACCCAATCTTCGGTATCTGTACCTAACGGACAATCAAATCGTCAAGCTGCTTCCTCACCAATTCGCGACATTTGATCAGCTGGAGATGCTCGATCTCACCAATAACCTGATCGACGAGATTCCAAGCGAATGTTTCTCGCAGTTGTCTCAACTGAGACAACTCTACTTGGGAAATAATCGCATCAAGGGAATCGGACAGAACGCTTTCATCAACAGTACTATCGTCGTGTTGGTTTTATCAGGAAATCAATTGACAACAGTGCCAGAAGGAGTAGTGACAGGACTGAGCAATTTGCAACAACTCTCGCTCAAAGCAAACCAGGTTCAGTTTTACATTATCTTATTCTCGAACCTTTTATCGCCTTGAAAACTCATTAAGACAGCGTTAGAATTAATCACCCGTGAGTGAGACAGACACAAAAGAACAAAGAAAGACTTAGGCCCATCGGCCCTCGATATTCAAGGTGAAGGTCAAGAACAGAACTCATACTTGACTGTGTATAAGGTATTTCTATTTTCAGATCAAGGAGATTCACCAAAATGCGTTCTACAACGCCCCTTCATTGGTTATGATCGACCTGAGCAACAATCAGCTCCAAGATATTGCTCCATCGACATTTTTGGCTCAGTTGAACCTGCTTCTCATTGATCTGACTGCCAATAAAATCGTCCGAACCCCTTATGCCGCCTTCAACCGACGAGTCGGAACTGTTCTTCTCAAAGGTGAGAATCATGTCAAGAGCGTTCAAAAAATTTCTTTCAGAAAACCCACTTGTCTGCACCGAAAAGATACATATGCTACAGGATGGAACAGGAATAAACATCCAGGATAGTGAGGATATTGTCTGTGGTGGCACGCCAAAACCTAAGCTTGTTCCAACAACTCCTTCACCTGTCCAGGTGACTATTTTTCAGGAAAGTGGACTTGCAAAGTGAACTTTAGATGCGTAAAATGTCGCCGAAAAAAGCAATTATACAGCCGCTATCAGAAACGTCGGTTTCACCATCAGGTGCTTTCCAACAAGCTGGACTCGTGCCAGGTCTTGGACAACTGCCAGAAGCTCCTCTCACGTCGATCCGCAGAACTCCATCCAGGTTCCCTGTCCATGAACTGAATTGAGGGAAATCTTTCATTCAGATTCATCCAAGACTCAGCCGCTCCTCGATTATCCACCTCTGAAGTTCCTGAATCGGAGCAATTACCTTCACTTGAAAACGTCGAAATTCCTAGTCTTGATGGTCTTACACCGGAGATGAAACCGATTGAGCCAATACCTTCATATTTGCCGGTATCTGACACAGATTTTTCAACAAAATTTGGATCAAATTCAGACACGAAATGAACCAATCACGACAACCTTGGGACCGCGACTTTACACGGACATCGCTGACAACCCCAACCTTATTCATCCATTCCCCGTGCCCTTCCTGAAACGAGGACCTCAGCTAAATCAGTCATCCCGAGTGAAAAGTTCTGAAACAGAAGTGAAACCTGTCGAAGTTCACACACTCCCTCCATCCATTTTGATCGAGCCTGGAAGCACTCCAAAGTGAGTTCTAGATGAGATAGAAAGCCTATCGATAATTGGTAGATTCAATACGACTCAACAAGAGGAAACTGAACGGTTCGAAGAATTCGCATTGAAGTCACAAGCTAAAGAAGTGAGTTTGATAACTGAAAGGTCATACTATTTCATTTTATTTTCAGATTGATGAACCATTCTCTCCCAAGCAACAGACGTCGAAATTCTCTTTCCCGACGACGATCGTTATGATCTGTGTTGGAACAGCATTGGTTGTAATGGTCGCAGTCAGCGTTGGACTTTGTGTCAGCAGACATCGGTCAGTTCAAAAAAATTTGTTTCTGCTGGAATAAGCTTCTTGAAAAAAATTTTTAAAAAAACATAAATTTTTTTGTCGTTATTATTAAAGTGAAAATATTCGAAAGAGAAGCTTTTTTTGGTTCTACTGAAATATCGTGCCGTCTTCGTAAAATATAAAAAAATAGGACCCTTGAATTTCAGCAAAATTCTCACAAAAAAATGGCCATGAAACTTATCACTTATTTCAAGAGATGAAATTTAAAAACATCGGAAGAAAAAAATTCGTATAAACCCTTTCAAAAAGAAAAACATACTTGAAGAGATTTTTATTCCCCTACTGTGAATTGTTTTTTACAGACATCTCCAACGATTCGAATCAAGTTACTCGGAAAGCAGTGTTGCTCGTACAAATGACTACGTTGCAGCACAAGCAAGAATGAATTCGATCTATCACACGGCTCAAGATCCAAGGTATGACTGAAAAAAGTACTCAAAAAGTTCAAATCATTCAAGGCATTCTCGATTAAGATTCTAGAAATCACAAGGAAAAAATCTGTATTTTTCCTTGATAAAAAAAGACATGGCTTTTAAATATTTTTTCAGGTCGATTGGCCGATTTGAAGAAGCTCAGCCGTGGCTTTACAACCCCGGCGCGAACTACTGTAACTACTACAAATAGAGTACTCCACACGAGTTGAAATTTCGTTTTCCTCTTCACAGAATGTCCGATTCTACCTGTGATCTGATTCGCTCATCTCATTCCATTCCTTTCATGATTACGGTTCTCTCCTTCTTGCTACCAAATGAAAAGTTGTTTTAATAAATAAAATTATTCATGATTGCTTCATCGATGGAGAAACACTAAAATTTACGGTTGGGAAACTTTTTTAGGAAAGTTTGAGCTATCAAAGTTCCTTGTAAAAATTCCACCCGGTTATTTTTTTCCGTTTTTTTCTTATCTTTCTATTTCAACTTTTTCTCAAAGTCACAAATTTTAGAATCGAAAAAAATTTAGAAACTTGTTGAACTGTGAAAATTTTCAATTAGAAATTTTCCCGATTATTGTAATGGAAAAAAAAAATATGTGGCGGTGGTTTCTTATTTTTCACAATAAGGCCTTTCCAAATTTCATTTTCAAACTAGGCGAAATTTTATCTCAGAACTTCATGACTTAATTTCAGTAGTAATGCTTGATTCTACTCCATTTCCTTTTTTTTGACGATGCACAATTGAGTTCCAAAAAAAAGACCGTTACCGAAAGTTATTCTTCATCTGTTTTTTACTTAAAAAAGAGAAATCGTGTCAATTCAAAGGCTTTTAGGGATTCCGAAGGTGCAGCAAACTTTCTACAACGAAGAATCGCCTACAACTCTATGAATAAACTTCATCGCCAATAAAAAAACTTTCAAGTCTGCAAAAAAGCAGGAGAACCAGAAATGTCCTTCTTTTCGTTTCGAGTTGGAGTTTTTTTCTAGTTTGATTAAACTCCTTAGACGGTCTAAATACGATTTTTCATATTCCTTACCGGAGTCAATCTCTAGTTTAGAAGATATGATTTTTCAGAGTTGAGTTCTTTAGAAAATCCGTCCTACAACCAATGATAACGGTTTTTGCGTTTGAGCCCAGAGTTTTGTACTGGAAAAAATATACAAAAACTGCAAAGATTGTGAGAAGCAAGTCCTAGAGACTTTTTATCGAAACGAGTTTCTCTGTTAGTTTGGCGTTTCTGAGACGTTAAATGTAAATTCCGAAGCTGGTTCTTGATGCATTCTCCTCTAAAATTCCGAGTCCCTACAAAAAAAGAACTTTAGGAGTGTCAAGACACACAAAATGTTGAAATATCCTCCGACGACTGCAGAAATTGTGTGATGATGGTACTGTTCCTGCCGCGGTTGGACACGACGCAAGACCTGAGTAGCGAAGAATTCGAGCTACGACGCGCAATTAATTGATAAATGTGACAGTCGGCGAAATGTGGGGCAAATCGCCGCGTCGGATGCACTTGGACAAGGCTCGCGTTAGCACGGCGCCGCCGCCTTTTCCTCCGACGGCCGGCGATCATTTTACAGATTAACCGGCAACGCCACCCAAAAGGCCTTGACCCAACTCCTTCGCCATAGGTCGTCGTCCCCCATTCTCTCATTCTCGGCCAGTTTTTGTGCCATGGATCCCCGCCTGGTGCTCCTGCTGCTCTCGGCATCGTCCGTCTTTGCCTTCTGTCCCAAGGTCTTCAATAATCAGGTAGAATGATGCGTGAATAAATTCCCTCACTTCAATATTTCAGAAAGCTTGCTCGTGTGAGAGCACGTTAGAAGGTCCCAAAATAAAATGCAGCGGGTCCGAAGGACTCAACTTGGTGCAAAATATCACTACCATGCACTTGGAGATCCGAGAGCTTGAAATTGAAAACGCGAATATTGTTGAGGTTTTTTTAAATTTTCATTTTGACAAATCGATTTCCTTTCTTAATCACCGTATTTAAAATTAAGTCTAATCTATTAAAGAGAATAAGAAAAAGCTATGAAAATTAAAAAAAACTTCAAGGGCTTTTTTTCTGAATTTTTTTGAAACTCAAAAAAATGGTTCATTACTGAATCAGATTCTTTTTTTCTCCCACTTCGAAGCATAAGATTCAAATCATTAAATGCTTTCAAAAAATCCTATTCTCAAAAAATCCTAAATCCTTTCTTTCAACTTCGAAATTTAGATTGGTCCTCGCGCCTTCAAAAATTTGCGAATCAAGAAACTCGGACTTGACAACAACAGAATAAGCAAACTTGACCCAAACGCTTTCAAAGGACTGGAAAATGTGCTCCAAGAACTCTCCATTTCAAAAAACAATCTGTCCGCTGTGAGTTTTTTCTCTTCGAATGACACCACTAGGTAAGTCAGTCAAGGTCGTTTGATAAGAATCTTGGCGAACAAGTCGACAACATGAAACGAGAAGTTGGAATGTTCGAAGTTTTAGATCCCTACTGAAGCTCTCGCCGGACTTCGGTCTCTGAACGTTTTGAACTTGCGTTGCAACAAAATCGGAAACATCACTGAACAAGCTTTCAAGAATATGACCGCTTTAATTGATGTCAATCTTGCTTGCAATAAGGTTGGGAATAGACGTCGAGTTCAGAAAAAAAAAACCGAAAATTAAGATTTGCAACATGAGCAAGACAGTTTTCGACACTGTTCGCATGACGCTTCAAAACTTGATTTTGGATAACAACTGCATGACTGAATTCCCCGCGGAAGCAATCAGCAACATGGGAAATCTGGTCGCTCTGCACATTAAGTACAATCAGGTAGGACTTTTCAGAAAGGACTTAGGATTTCATTGATAAATGTTCAGATCGGTGCTCTTGAACAAGGACAGCTCGCAAATCTCACTTCTCTCACTATGCTTTCTCTGACCGGAAACAATATCTCGACTGTCCAAGGCGGAGCTCTTCAGAATTCCACCAACCTTCGCTATCTTTACTTGAATGAGAATCATATTCGAAACTTTGACAATGGCGTTATGGCTCAGTTCAAACAAGCTGAGGTGAGCTTCATCAAGGTGAACCAGGAGAAAATTGATTTTCAGGTTGTTGACCTGTCTTTCAACGACATCGAAGGAGTCACCACGGAAACTTTTGCGGGACTAGAAAGCCTCCGTCATTTGAACTTGGACAGTAACGCTGTCAAGGATATTGCCGCCGGCTCATTCTCCGGAATGCCGCTCCTTCTTCTTTGGCTTCCTAACAACTGCATCAGCAATGTCAACCAGCAAATGTTCCAAGGAACTCCTTTCCTTCGACAAGTCTCTTTGGCTAACAACAACATTAAAGAAGTTCAGGTATCGAATCTGCATTCGCTTCCCAGAATTCAAGAGTAACCAGTAAATTAAGGCTCTTTCCTTCGCTCATCTCGTCAATCTTCACACTCTCGACCTGGCTAACAACAAAATCATGACTCTCCAGTCGAACTCTTTGACTGGCTCCGACCATTTGCTTGTCAGACTTCAAGGTAAACCTCATCGAAGCTTTAGTCCAAAAAATGCATCCCTTTTCAAGAAAACCCGATGGTGTGCACTCAAGATGGGTTCCACGTAATGAATGCAAATGAAGCCATTAATTTGACCACGGAGGCTAACAAGATTTGCAAGGGACCATGGCAGACGGAAACCGCTGATCTCTGCCCTAAGGTGGGTTCTGAGAAAAGCTTTCGAATAAACAAAAAAAGTTGAAGGCTAACCCAAGACCTATTCCTGCGCCTTGCTGCGCTTCTCCTCCTTCTACAACCACGTCCACTACTACCACCACGACCACAACTCCCACCACTACTACGGAGCCAACGACGACGACCGAGGAGGAGGAAGAAGTAGAAGAGGTTGAGGAAGTCGAGGAGGAAGAAGAAACGACGCCTGCGACTACTACCACAACAACTCAAGCTTCAATGAAGAAAAAGGTGATTATTTTAGGCAAAAAAAAAGAGAAAAAAAATTTTTCAGATGAACATGGACCGTTTCTTGAAGCTTTCGCAACGTCCAGGAGCTAATTCACCTTTCCTTCGACATAACGCCAAAGCAGCCATGAAGCCTAAATTCCTCAGAACAGTGAGCAGAATTATTGGGGATTTTTTCCATGGGAGACTTTGTAGACGACAACTGCTCCTGAGAAAGAAGCCAGCGAAGAATCAGATTATGAAGAAACTGAAGAAGATGGAGACGAGGAGCAACAATACGAAGAAGATGAAGAGGTGACGACGACGACGACTGTCGCCACGCGACACATCCCGGCGAGAATCCGCGAACGACAAAAGATGCTCGCCAACATGCCTCCATGGATGGCGACTAATCAGAAGGAGAAGCAGGAGCCTCAAGAAGAATTCAGCACGGTGAATATTCAAAAAAATTGGAGTATTATCTCTTTCAAGTCGAAAATTTTTCTACTAAGGAGTATCATGGTTTTTGTAGCTTGGGCCACCTTAAAAATATTCAAAATGTCAAAAAATTGTCTTTTTCAGGACGAGGAGACTGTTGAAGTTGCCGCAAACGACGAAGCTACTCGACGCAAGCAATGATTCAAACTGACCGCACTTTCCCTTTTTCTCTTTAATTGTTTTATCTCTCCACTCCTCGATGGAGATCTCATACGTGTCACTTACAAAGCCCTTTTATCTTACGACGATGTTCGTTGATCTGTTTTTTCTTTCACGATTCCAAGTGTGCTCACCTGATAAACGTTCCATGAAGCTGCTGTTTGTTGTAGCGTCGGTTATAGCTGGACAAGAATCGTAGGGAGAAGCCATTGAGCCCATCGTCAGGAAGACATGAGCTCTTATCTGAGAATTTACTTCTAAGACGATCGAATGTCCAACATTTTTCTACAGTAGAAAAACAATTTAGAAAAAAAAAACGTTGCCAGAATGGAAAAAAACTGGTTGAAAGGTTTATATGAAAATTTAAAGTGATCGCAAAAAACCAATCCACTTATTACCACACAAACTCGAGTATTGAAAGGAGAACAATGTACCTTTTCAATATTGGCCAGGAAGAAAACGCACGGACCCGAAGACGGCTTCTCACCCGTGAAATGCTTCTGATCAGCAGACAGAATCTCAAAGAACTCTCCAATTTTTGAAGCGAACCTTGTGACCTGCAAAATATCTTCTTCAGACCCTTTGAAAATGTAAAATAAACCTGCAGAAACTGGAAATGATCAATAATGAGCGTGATTTCATCCGTCGCTTCAACGTAAACGCTCAGATTTTTCAGATCCGCAATCATAACTCCACAGAAAGACACCTTAAACTTCCTATTAAATTTTGAAATAAAGTCGTTTTTACGTCATTTATCAATGGCAAGCCTTTGGTGAAATTGCCGTGGTCCGTGTCGATCCAAACGGGAGAAGTTCGCAGGAAAAATTTCTCCGATTCTTGAAAAAAAAAAAGATTTTTTTTTATAAAAACAGTTGAATACAATTTTTGTCATACTAACCTATAGGTGTCGATCCCAATTGAATATGGGCAACATGTTCCATGAACTCCTTTTTCCCGTGCAAAAAATCCAAGGCTTCCACTGCGCCAGCGAAAGGTTGGACGTGGAAACGTTGAGAAGCTTCGAAATCACACGAACTGATGGACAACGTCGACATGGAGATGAGTAATCGAAGTGGAAGTCGAGCATCGTTAGTAGGAGTTGGTAGAGGGAAGACCAACTAAAGGCTAATTCGAAATAAGTTTTAGAAAAAGTTCAACCTTTGGCATCAATAAATCGATGCGAATATCAGGTTTCGGCGCGGTTGTGTCGATTTTTGGAGTTAGATTTCCGTCTTCCTTTAGAAAAATGAGTTATTCACCCAAAACAAAGTTTGATTAACAATGGCTTCTCCGAGATTGTGCGCGACATACAGGCACCATCTCAAAGTCCTTTCATCGAAGGTCAGAGAGAAGGGACCCATTTGAAGGTACATCGCCAATTTTGGAACTGAAGCTTTTTTCAAGTTGCGCCTTTAATGTTTATGTTTTAAAACCTGGAAGAGTGTCCGTCATCGGATGAAAATAGCTAGCCAATTCAAAATGTACCACGTATTGGTCGGTCGGTAAGGCTCGAGCATGCCTAAAACCTGCCAAATATTGAGTAGCTTTCAAATACTTTGTTCTTATCGTCAAGAACAAAAATTTTTACAAAGAGAAAACTGATCACTTCAAAATTGATATTTAAATGCGGAACAGATGCGTAATAATCACATAAATTCCGTCTTTGGTGATTAAAAATCTCTTTGAACACACCCTCTATTTTAAGTTAGATAGAAAAAGAAATCGTTTTTAGTGTTAAAAAAGCTCGACCGACCTCTCACTGACAAAAAGATCTTTCAAGGCGTCTTTCTTGGTGTTTTTGTCGGAAACACATTGAACAATGACGTCATAGATCCGGACCACGACATGGAATCCCATCAGCTGCGGCCAACATCTTTCTAATCGAGTTCGACTCGTGTCATCTGGAAAAATGTTCTATATAAAGTGATTTTTTTGACATTCGGAGTGATATATTCGAAAAATAAAGTTTTGTAGTTTTTCATGGTTCATAATATCAAGATTTTTTGAGAAATTTTTGATCAACGGGACACGTTGATCCTAGATTTTGTGACACTATACCGAGAAAATACCGAATTCATCTGATAGCTGAGATTGAAAAAACTGACCTTTTATAGCCTTTATCAGTTCCAAAAACTGGTCGTCTAGCCTTTTATGCATCCACTGAGTGAAAACGTTGGCCGGTTGGTAATGCATCCAGGTTGATCTGAAACCAAATAACAAAGACAAAGAAATTTCAAGCCAACCTGTCTGATTTCGCAAGAGTCTTGGGATAAATGTCGATGAGAACCCGATACAACGTCACTTGCATCGCTCCGCTTTCAATATCCCAACCGGGAGGGTATTCTGAAAAACAAAATGATGAAGCTGAACTTTTGTCTCTCACTATTTGTGATGTTGGCGTCGTCACAGAGATGCAAATCAATTTTATTTACATGAAGATGATAAGAAGTTTGGTCGAAATAGAACATTTTGAAGGCGTTTGATGAAGAATCCGACAATGGAGCTTCTGAGGAACGAGGACGGTGGGAAGAAGCTCCTGCCGGAGTTGGAACCTGATTTGAAGTTCATAGTTTTAGCATTAAAACCTCAACTAACCAGAACGACTTCCTTTTGAGCTTCTTTCACAAGGCTCATGATGTAGGAAGAAAAAGCTATGGCCGATCGGAGCTGAGGAAGTGTGGCAACCCACAAAATGTCTTCCATGATCGTTTGAATCCGCGCATGAATGACAGATCCATCTGAAGTTTTTGATCATTGGAATGAAAATTTCTTTTCTCCACGATAAATGAGTACCGAGTTTGAATATTTTTTTGATAAAAAGTTTCCCTTTTTCCTTTAAATTTAAAAAAATCCTAAAAAAATAAATATATTTTTTTAATCTCATTTAATTTCTGAACTAATTCGAAGCTATGAAAAAAACTTTTTCAGTTTTGCAGATATTATTGGAAATTCAAGAAAAATACGGTTTTTACAGTTGTCAGTAGTGTTTTTTTGATCAATATTTTTTTCCATAAATTTGAAGCGAAATGTTTATTCAAAACTCTTCATTTTTTTCAAAACCACGTTGATAAAAAAAGAGGCTTGAAACATTAAAAAAACTTTTTTTGGCCTTAAAAAAACCGAAATATGCATCTACTTAATTTTTTTGAAACAAATAATAACCCGTTCAAAAAAAATTGAATTTAAGCAAAAATAGGTTTGTTCCCAGGAATTCATAGTAAAGTGTCTTTTCCCAAAATCCGAAAACCAAAAATTATGGTTTTGAGCCAAAAATATGTAAAATATTCACCAATAGAACTTTTTTTGAGTGCCACTCGTATTTTTCCACCGCTCGTAATGAGCCTCAGAGGAGCGTTGATTTTGCTCCTTTGTTCATCTTTCGACGTCTTGGCTGACGCTTCAACTCGAAGCAATTGCCAGGAAATCTGAAATTTCGAATGACAGCTGCAAAATGGGAAACGAGTGAAAACCTGTTTGTACATAAGAGTCCTATTAGTGGCCGAGCAGGTGATTCGCGTCAACCGGAGATCGTTTGCCGTTTGCCATCCAGGACTCTTACTCACGACCGAAAGTCGAGATAACTGGAATTATCTGAAATTGGTCGAGAAATCGTGAAGCTGATACCGTAAAAGATCCTCCAAATTCATCGGAATCGAAATTTATTTCAACGGAATTGATAAACAAGGACATATTCTCAACGACTTTGTTAGCGAAGCCGTACGAAGAGTTATCCGCCATGTTTCTGAAACAGCCTAGTTTGAAAAAGAAGCTTTTATGTGTACCTATTTTCAAGGTCATCTTCAAAACGACAAACTTTTTATTTTCGATGCTACTGGTAAATTTTTTTTTTGAGTTTTCAGGCAAATTCTGTTCAAATTCTTTTCACTTAGGAATTCCCTAGATGGTTTAGGAGGGGAAACAACACCTATACGGCCCGAAAAAGGCATCCTTATAAGATTAAAGTTACGGTGGTTTCTATAGGGGTTTAGAGCCTGACCATTTAGCCCCGAAAGCTCAAGTGTACCCTAGGGGTCGTTCAATTTTATTCAAAAAAAAGCTTACTCAGTTTTTTCCATGGAAATGTTTCTTTGTTTAGAGTTCCCTATAGGGACCACTTTTGCAAGTTTAAGTGGTCCCTATAGGAATTGATGAAGTGGCCCTAGGGGACCCTCTAAGGGTTTTAAGACTGCCCCTTTAGAAACCATTCTAGAGTTCCAAAGTAATCTTTTGAAGGATACAAAATTGCTCGGCATCAATATTTTTTTGAGCTTTTTTTCGAACTATTTAGCAAAAAATTCGAAACATACTCCACTACAAAAACAATTTTTATATGGCTTTGATATGAGTGAAAAGAAATGGAAACTTACGCAAAAGGGTTTTCTCCTCTTTTGGCTCTCCCACTGACAAGCTCGACCGTCACAAAAATTTCGTCTACGAACTGAAAAATTCAAAATTCCTACTTCACATTTCAAAACATCTTACTTCAAATTCAATAATTTCCCTTCAAAAAAAGTGATTGTAAAAAAACATACGATTTGAATCGGAGAAGTCTTTAACCGGGTCCATGGTACATTAACTGTTACCCCACAACAACAAGCTTTTTTTATTCGAAGCCAAGATGGGAGTTCCTGAAAATCAAATACTATAAATTTTTAGATTTAAGCAAAAGATGTTCAATGCAATTTATAAAAAAACGATTTTTCGGTAGAATCCCTAATTTTTTTAAAATTATAAGTAGCTGAAAAAAACTTAATTTTTTTGATTATAAACAAAAAGGAAAAAAACAGAAATAATACTCACCAAAATGTCAGAAAGAACTTCCTCATTGATCTCAATGTTCTTCAATTTGCTGTTGCCTCTCAATACATCCACAGAAATTTGTTCAGGCTTCAAATTCCTTGTGAACCTGGAAAAATGAAGAACTGGAAAAGAAAAATGAAACTCACTTTGAAAGATGTTTGATTAGTTGATTTTTGATAATACTGGCCATTGGAACTAATCAGAAAGGCCTACCTATATTTAAAAACCCGTGGTGAAAAAATCTGAAAAAGATACATAAAAAAGCGCTTTTTGAACCGGAAGAAAAACGTTCGATAAACAAAGGCGTGAAATATGATAGAAGGCGGAATAAGGCGTTGGTTGCTAAGGGATGAACGAGTTCGATGACAGGCTTTTTTGCTACTAGAAGTGGTGTGAAATTCAATTTAAAAAATGTTAGTTTATCTATGAAGGATTGGAAAACATTGGAAAAAAATTACAATTTTTAATCTGCAAGATGAAGATGTCGTTTTTGGATCAAAACTTTTCGCCAAGCTCAAAAAACATCACAAAACAATAATATTCTTAAATATTTCTCAAAATTGGATGTAGCTTTTTAGTTGCACTAAAAATAATTATTGAGGTGATACCTTTGGAAATTTTAAAATTCATTTTGTTTACAAGTGGTAAGATTTGCGTATTCAAAATTTCCTTGAAAGCAAGCCGGCTACATATTTTTCTTCAGAGTTTTTTTCAAAAAAAGTTTTTTTCTCTAGTTGCAGAAGGAAATTGACCACAAAAAAACGTTCACAAACAAAAAAATTGATCAAGTTTTTCAAAATGTTTCTCATAAGCGTCAAAAAATTGTTTTTATTGAAAGATATTCAGCTTTGAAATATGAGTATCAAAAAAACTACTTTCAAAAATGAAAGAGGAATTTCCAGTAGGAGGGAATATTAATCCTTGTAAGTGCCTTCTTGACGCATTTGAAGCGTTAAAAGCATGAGAAATGAAGCATTATGGATTAGAAAAACTCATTTATGACCCTAAAAAGTGCATTCTATGAGCAAAGAGACAAAAGACGAGGGTTGAAAATTACTACATCCACCTCTTCTTTTTTCAACGGAATGGGTATCGAATTCTCAAAAAATGCTCTAATGGGACCCTGAGAAAAAAATTCTGAAAAATGTGTCATGAAGCGTTGAAAAACTGAAAAAATTAGAATCCTAATCAAGTTTAACCGCTACTTCAAAAAGTTGAAAAATACACTCGGAAATTCAGAAAAAAAAACTTCCATAATTTTTCCATTTTGTGAAAAATTATGGCTTCGAAAAAAAAATAACTTTTTTCTCATTGAGGATTTATTAAGAGGAACGTTAAAAATTGAAATAACGATTTAAAAAAAAACTTTAAAAAATTTTTTTAGCCATGAAATTTTTTTTAAGATGAATTATTCTCAATTAGTTTTTCAAATGAAAAGAAAAAAAAAGTCAACGACCAAAAAAACCAGAGGCATTATCAAGCAGAAATCAAATGCGAAATTTGAAAAATACCATTAGGGCTTAAAAAAAGTTTCAAATTAAAAAAATACATCCTCCTGTTTCAATTCGATCCTAAAGATCCTTAATTGAGAAGACAGGAAACGTCGGAAGCTGGAGAAAAGCGAAAGGAAACGATTCAAAAGCAAGAAGCGGAGGAACCGGTTCTTTCCTCGTCGGATAAGGTGTGAATGGCAGCAGGGCACATTTGACCCACCGACCAAGCGAGGCCACCGTTGATAAGTTGTACGTATACTGTTTGAATTTCTTGATCATTTTGATTGCATCTTATCTAAAGTTCATAATTTCTTATGATGCACTTTTCCCTTTTGCAGTACGATTGCAAATCACTAGCTGGGGGACAAGTTTGAATTAATCCGATTTTCTTAATTTTCCATTTTTTTTTTGTCGGAAAGAAGTTATTCCATCAATAAATTCAAAAGCATTATGCTTTATTAAACGCCAGCTTTTTGAAAACAACTTTTCTAATTTTTTTATTTATTTTTTTGCTTTTTTTGATTTTATTTTTTTATGGCCCTCAACTAAAATTGTGCCAAGCCAGCAATGAATGAACTTTTTTTGCAATATCGAAAAATTTTTCAGTTTTTGATGTTACGGGGGTGTAACCGATTTACGTAGTTTTTCTTCACGAAATATTTTTTTGCCATTCTCGTTTTTTTCCGTTCGCAATTTTTTTCGAACCCATTTCCTTCAAAAAAAAAATAATAATTTTTTACAGGATCCGAGAAATTTAAACTTTGGCTGTTACATTCCTTTTCTGTCACTTTCATTCCAAAAATTATTTGTTTTATTTTCTGATTTTTTCGTCGGTATGGAAGACGGCTTCGCCGATCAATATCCAGCTTGTTGCAACTCAGGTAAAATTGCTCAAATTTGGTTCATTTCAATTTGGTTTTTCAGGCATCGGCTCAGCTTATGGCGGGAGGTACTCTAAATCGAAAAAATTCAACGCCAATCACGAACTTCTCGATTCTTCTGTGCATATTGAGTAAGGCTTTTTTAAAATTTGTCTGGTCGAAAAAAATAGAATTTAAACAATTTTAAAAACAAAATTGCAAAAAGCGTGGAATTTTTTTTCCAATTCAACTACATTTTGCAGCATAAACGACATCCAATTGTACGCAATTTTCTGTGGGTTCAATGGTGGCTCAAACGCGGCAAAGTTTTCGATGAACAGAATGGTTTACGAAATATTCCAAGATCAACCAATTAAAACGATCATGATGTCGCGAGAGGTAATATTTCTTGTTGTTTAAAGATTTATGGTCATTGACTACACTAAATCTTTTGAGATAATCGCGGAACTTCACCGGAAGTTTGCAAATGTCGCGCGGCGATATATGGATATGATGACGGATTCTCTTTCAGAACGTTTTATTTTAAAGGACCAAAATGATGAGGTCAATGCAAACGCCATTTCCGAATTGGATCAGAAGGTTCATTATTCATTTTTTTTTACTTTCCATCAGAAGTGGTATTATGAGTATTCTCGAAAGATTTTTCATTCCGAAATAAATTTCACTCGATTTACAGATCAGAGAAGGATGTACAGCCATTGTAGCTCTACGCATCGAATGCGACCTCTTTGTTCTAAACTGTGGCACTTCTATGTGAGTTTTTCATAGTTCAATCAAAAAAAAAGAATTTAGCATAACATATTTAATATTCAGGGCAATTGCAATCACCGATGACCCTTCAGATCCAGTTGTACGGATAAATGATCAACTTCATGAAAACGAAAATCCTGTGGAAATTGAACGGTTGAAGAATATTGGTGTTGATCCAGAGGTGATTTTTTTCATCTGGAATTTTGGAAACTTTGAAAAAAAAGCTGATCGTGCGTAAAACCTTTTTTCTTATCAAGCAGGAAATTAATTACAAAAACTTAAAAAAAAGACATGCTACAAATTAAACAGTTATTGCTAAGAGGAAAAATATGTTTTTATCTGAATGTTTCGTAGTTCGCAACTTTGATCTTAACGTCTTTGCCAGTGAAAAAAAGGAAACTTGGAGAAAAATTAGCATATTATTTATTTTTGAACGAATTAAAAAAATATAAACATACATTTTTGCAATAGTTTGCTTTGTTGTGATAAAAACGCGTTGCTGCATTCACTAGCTTTTTTTAGTTACGTAGCAATTTTTCAGGGCACAAATTTGCCTGAAAAAAACCTTTTCTAATTTTTACAAAAAAATAACAGCAAAAAAATGATGTCAAACAAAGCGATTTTCCAGAACGTTTTAAAGCCAACAAGAGCAATTGGAGATTTGCATCGGAGTCATTTATATGAAGAGAAAGACGTTTTTTTGCGAATGCATCTTCCGCTCCAGTCATTGCCGTGCCTGATATTTATCACGTTGTGGTATGCTTTATCAAGTAAAATTCAACAAAAAAATAAACTTAAGATTCAAAACAATTGGCGTTACATTGTCCTGATTTCCGACGGCGTCGTTCAAAACCTGAAAGAGTTTCAAGTTGAAGACGTTGCGATGTGAAGACTCGTTTGAATTTCTTTTGAATCTTGTTTTTTTGGTTTCAGGGAGGTATACGAACGGTTGAAGGAAGACCATACAGCCACGAGTACAGCCCAAAGTTTAGTGGACGCCTTTGCGAGGAAACATTTGGACGCCTATACCAGGGTATTTCTAGATATTGTGCAAGATTAAAACGTACAGGTGGAGATGAAATTCTATTTTTTTCCGCTTCTGAGATTAATAAGCCCTACTGACTGTTCCAATATTTTAATTGAAACGTTTGTTTCGAATCTCCACAACCGGTAATTTCAGGTTTCTGTTGTTCATTCCTAGATGAAAAAAATCTTTTGATTAACATATAAAATTTTATAAATTGGCCTAAAAAGCTGAAGTTGTGTAAAAAAAAATTGAATTCTACATCAATATGAAAACTTTTTTCAAATCAAGAAATCTGTGCCTAATGTCCCATTAAACTTCACCATTTATAATTTTAGAACATGGTCGAAAACGGCTTCACGTTCAGCAATCAACGAGAAGAGATGACAGTAATATTCGTGAAGCTGGAGCATGATAATCTCTATGAAACTTTCAAATCCTCAACGAACTCCACGTTGGATTACACTCAGAGCACTACAGACGGCGGTCCAGTGCAGCCTTATGTTGACGTTCTACCCAAAAGCAACAAACCAGATATCCAAAAATTTCTGTTAGATACGACAAAGCTGTTTCTTGACAAATCCCTTTAGTAGTAGTTATTTATCTATGTCAAATGAAACTGTAAAGTTGTGAAAAAAACTGATTTCAGTTGGTTTTTTGTCCTTTTCATGTAGTTGGTGCTCTTGTTTCAACTTGTCGATTAAGCTCTTCTTTATGATTTTTTCATGTTTCAATATTAGGTTCAATTTACTCTAAGCTCCAATATTTTCTGAAACCTTGACCAAACATCTTGTTTCATACTAGGAGAAGATCTGGATATTTGTGATCATTAAACTCACGCCTTTTTGAAAAAGGCCTGAAAGTTTTTGCAAAATGCATCATTTTCATACTATACATCCATTTTTTCTAAGAACTTAGATGGTTGAACCTTTCAGGACTTTCTTCAGTGAATCAAATCAAATTTGAAATGTTAAATAGTAAAACCACCTTCTTGTCAGTTTTATTCTGTATAACTTTTATTTTTTATGTTTTTATTCCTCTGTTCTTATTTCATCCTTGTAAATTACATACTAACCCTTTTTATAGCCTATTTTACATACTAACCCTTTTATAGCCTATTTTTTTGTTTCCTTCACTTGATTTTAAAAAAATGCATGCTCCATAACATTGTGCGGCTTTATTTCATTTTTTGTTGATAAGATTATTCTCTTCAATCGTGACCTCATCATGCTGTAATTTAACAATTTTTCAAGTTCTGGAAACTACTAACTCTTTTCAAATTTTTCCAAGCTCGAAAGTTCACTTTCAACTATTTTTCTCATAATTTTCCCTCTAGAACTATAGAAGAATCCGAATGAAGATAAAATTCACTTCGCAAAGAATTTTGAATATTTGACGGAAAAAAAGCAGATTGTTCAACATCTTTATTCAAACGTTACGAGAATATCTAAAATAAATCAAATTTTATACTTTTCGTTCGAAAAGCACTGGGATATTACATGCTTCATAGCTTGTTATTGAACTGAAATAGGAAAAATCGATAAGAAAATCAGAAAACAGTCTCAAGTAACGTCTTCAGAAATGGAGAATGGGTTGAGAAACAGTGAAATATTGGTATAAGATTCCAATGGAGAAGAAGTCAGAGTAAATGGATGTGAGATACATATATAATAACTAAAAACGTCGAAAACAAAAATACGATACGTGGATGTCTAAATAAATTTCAGACAGTAGTTATGTGGTTGAATTAGAGGAAAATTTTGGGAACTTTGTCTTCAAAGAGTTGAACAGGATTACTGTAAAGCCCGTTTCACTACTTATTATAATTTTTGCCAACTTTAAATCATTTTGATTCCAAAAAATTGAATTTGAAAAATGTGAGTAACGGGAGTCAAAGAGTTATAGTCTGTTCAGATTGTGGATGTCAAGTTGTCGCTCAAGCTCCGCCCCTAATGGTGCGATGAACCAATCAGAGAGCAAGCCATCCACAGAGTATTTTTGAATGACGTCATTGCACTTGACATTAAAAATCTGAACAGACTGTACAGCTTTGGGCTTAATTGGATTTCATGTAGTATAACTAAATTTGAACCGGGACTCAAGTTAAGATAGTTTGAGTTAAGATAGTAAGGAGGTTCTTATAAACTGGATTCTTGAAGCATTGAAGCAAACATATTGTAAATCCATAGCCTGTGTACCACGACTTGGAACGACATTCCGCTGTGCTGCTGCGCGCCTTTGCGAACCTTGGTCGCGCTTTTAATTTTTTTTCTTTTATTAAGGTACTCTGCTTTCTTGTGCTCCCACATCAACAATAATAAATTGAATGCATGGCCTAGGTTCGAAAGACGCTTCGCGAACGCACGCAGCGGAACAGCGGAATGTCGTTCGGTGAAATTTTCGAGTCGTGGCACACAGACTATAATTCTCTTTTCATTTTAGCAAACTTTGCAGTATTTTCATTTCAAGTGCTAACAGTTCTGGATTCCTCCTTGGCTCGGTAGTACAGCAATGAGAGTTGGTGGAAGTTTCAGTCGAAAGTAGGCCTTGCTCCATCGTCGAAGATCGGCATGTTGGCCACGACGCGAGCACGGTGGATGTTCTGGCCAAGACTCTCGACGTGGGCTCGCAGAGCCAGTCCGATCAGAATGAGCGCAACCAAGACTCCTACACAGCCAACCACGCACCACATGCTGAAAAAAGCCCTTTTTTCTGGAAAATTGTATTGAAACATACACGTCGGCCAAGGTGGCTTCTCCTTCCAGAGGTTGATCTTCATATGCTTGGTGAACCACGGTTCTGTAGTTGCGATCGACAACTTGCTGCACGTTGGGATGGCAGACGGTGTTGGCTCTGATCGGCTCGTAGTCGACCTATAATTTTTTTTCTAAACTTCAGTTATATTTAAATTTTAAAAAAATTGTTCATGTACATCGTAGCATTGAAAATAAAATTTAGATGGTCGTTTTTTGCGTGAATCCTGATTTTGAAAAAAATGCTGGTTCAAAATAATACCCTTTCAAGACAGGGCCACCTATGAAAAAACTGAAAAATCTTAGGAAAGCCTTACGAAGACGTCATCCATCTCAATGGATGTTTGAACGGCAGCGTCCTCGGCAGAGTACTGTCGAGACTCCCTTTGAACAGCCCTCTTCTTACGGCGATCTTTGCGCAGAAGTCCTTCGCCCAGGAATTTCATCGGCGGCACAGGACTTTTCCCTGTCAGATGAACAGCAACGGCGCCTTCTTCCATAATTGTCTCCATTTGAATTCTGAAAACTTTTTCATAAATAAAAGTGAGGCAGATAGAAAAATAGGTTGAGCTGATAAAAGCTGCATTCTGTAGGGCGCAAGAGAGAAAAGCAAGAATTCGAAAGTGTGAAATGAGAAGAAAATGGATGAAGTACCAGCAGAGGGGTTTGCATGTACGGAAACCCATTCTTCTTATACCAATTTTCGTGCACAGAGGTGATATTTGCGGTTGCATGTCTCTGACTCCAAATGAGATAATCTAAAAGACAAGAAAAACTCGCCAGTTTTTCGCCCTTTGCGTCAAGGGGCGACTTCAATAGAGGTAATTCCATAATATGACAATTATGGAGTGACGAACCTTTCTTGAAATGGTCAAATCTTCCGTCGCCTGCAAAAAGCCTGATTTGAAAAGGTCTTTGACGCATCCAGACAATTAATAGTTTGATCTAATTTGTAGAATTATCCCGGTGGATTTTCTCATGTCAGTAATTGGAGCTCGAGTTGGCTAATAAGCTTGATTGTTTAGGATCTATTAAAAGAATTTCAAAGAGTTTTTTTTTTCTCGAAACTTCTCTTCAAAAATCAAATAATTAAGTAAAAGGTTTTTGGTACAGTACTCTTTTTAAGAAAAATAAAATTAGAATTTTTTTCTCAGAACAAGGCTGTTTTTTCGCGATCTCGTAAATTCGGAAAAAAAGTGAACGCAAAAAAACTATCAAATGGTTGAACTTTCAAATAGAAAAAAAACTGTTTATTGCATCTTCAATGTAAGAATACATGGGCCATCAACTTTCATCGAGTTAACTCTGTTTAAACGGCTGCAGGAGCTGTGGCTTAGGCAGAGAAGTTGTGAATTTCGCTCGTAGAACATGGTACAAGAGAGGTCGTAGGAAGAAGTACGGTGCCGGCTTTCCAAAGGCCGATGGGAGAGATTGAGCCTTTTCGCTGCATGCAGCTCCCAATTTTATCTACCCCGGAGGGATGAAATGCTTGGTCGAACTTTCAAATGACTGTGACAAACTTCCGAAAGAATGACCAAAATTCTAGTATTTTATTCGTTTCTTATTACAATCGGTCAACTGGATAAATTCAAAATTTGGCGTTTAAATACCTTCACTTCACTTTTCCAAAGTTTCGAAGTTTCTCCCACCACTCTGAGAAAAACCGAAACTTCAGTTCAGACCACCAGAAAGTTAAACAAGAATCCAACGGGTTGTCAACGCTCTTTGCACCACTTATCATATCAATTGCCCGCCAACCAATAATCCTTGATTTTTTTATTTTGCCCCTTTGCGGCCTCATTCCGGTTTTGAATTTCTCTGCTTTTTTTTTACTGACTTTTGGGTGGAAAGTAGAGAATTCTCATTCTCGTGATACGCAGTTTTTACTTGGAAAAAAAAACTCAGGTTAACAGGATATTTAGAAATTTTGCACTTTACGATTCGGTGGAAAAAAACGCTCGCTCATGTGTTTAACAGCGGAAAGTGCTTTACGAAAAAGTGCTGTAAACATAACTTTTTTTGTTTCAAAGTGCATAAAACGGAGAATTAATTTCGAACTAGTTATTTTGCGCTTAAAATAACTTGTTATGCATTGCAAATATTTACTATTTCATAGAATTTCAAAGCAAGGATGTCCGAACACTCTTGCTCCTTCAAAAACTCAAATTTATTTCAATAACTGAAAAAAGAGCAGTCTCCATAAATCTGCAAGAAGAGCCCTGAGACGTCTTGCAACTAAAAAAGCGGAGGCCGGCCACAATTCTTGGTTTTTTGTTGTGGACAACTGTCTTCCCACCAGCCCCAAGCACCCAAATTTTCACACTTGGTGCCACCTGGTCAGTATCGCAACGTCTGCACAGAGGGCACCTGCAAGATATTATTTTTCTTTGTGGAATTCCCCGTGTTTTCTTAGTATAATTTCTCAAATTCTTATCTTTCCTACACCTGGTGGCCGAGAGTTCTCGGCGTGTTTGGTTCTAAAAACTTTTACCAATGGGAAAAAAAACGCTTTTGCAAAGCGCCATCGCGCCGCTTGATTGATGATTGTTCAAGATAGGAGAAGAAAAAATAACGCCGCGCATCCGTTGGAGGAAATCACTTATCACGTTTCTGACAAGACTTTTATATTGTGTGATCCAGATTCCTTCACTCTTCGTCAAGGCTACCGTCATTTTTTCTCCGAAAATGTATTGCCTTGTCAAGATAGACTACAAATCCGCTTTTTTTTATTTTTCGAAAACATGAAGAGATCGATTCAAATACATTGTTTTGTTTGTTTTTTTTTTGGATATTCGAAACATTTTTTTTTATAGAAGATACTTAAGGTGAAAAGTTACAACCTCTATGAATTTTGAAGTATGTAAGTCTGTCCTTTTAAACTAAACTCTTCTCTTTAATCGAAAACTGTCTGGCACGTCTGTTTTTTCTTAGTCTCTCAGCAGCGTTTTAAAAGATAGAATTAACTATTTTCTTCATTCTGGTAATGTTTCTCGAAATACGTCCCATTTTTTTTCTATTTTTAAACCTTCTTTGAAAAGCAGAAGGTAATAAAAAGCGTCTGTTCAAGTAGAAACTAGTTTCTTAACCTTTTTTCAATGAGGTCTTCGAATTTCTGAAAAATAGACTACCTCAAAAAGTTGAAAATCAAGTCAAGATTGCGGACACTAACATCAATAACTGGTTGCACCGAACTCCTTTTTTATTATTATTATTTACAAGTGCGCTGTTAATTTTCTCACATCCTTAGTTCCATAAATGATTTTCGTTACAATGTTTACGAGATTGAATATTTGAAAAATCGGAATCCCGGCTGGGAGCATCGATGATTCAGCGACGCCGCCTACAGAAAGAATGGTGGGAAGGGTGCCAGCCGCGCCCGCGCGATCCGTTGGCGGTTTCCCAACGCACGATTCAAAACCGTTGCCTGTCCCTTTCTTTTTGTTCTTTCACGTATCCCGTCTTTGTTTCCACGTCCAACTGTTTACGAAGGATTTGAGAACATTCTAGACGATCTTACACTTGTGTCGACTTTTTTTCAGACTTGTCCTTTCAGGCACTCGTTTTTATAAGATAGTTTGCAGGGTAATCTGTTGAACCGTCTTTGGAAATGCGCTCACAGCTGCCTTTTCTCTTCCTGATACTTGTGGTCTTCATGCTCGTCATGTCCACGGTTTTTTTTCCTAATATCATTCCGGACAATTATTTTTTTGCGAGCTGCTCAGAAGGCACACGCGAAATGGCGTAGGATAGTTTGTTTAAGGGCACGCCTGACCAAAATGAGACTTTCGCGTGGGAACTTGAGAACCATTAGAGGAAAAGGCTGAATGGGAGGTTTAGTAAGATTCTCAAGCTGATCATAAAAACGGCCGGAGCTACTTTGAAGGCAAATAGAGCATTTTTTATGTACATTACAAAAGTTTTCACAAAAAAAACCGTATCGATTTTTTACCAAATTTAGACACTGCGCTACAATCAAGCGGATAGGTAGGCCAATTAGCGGAAAATGAATCTGTTTTCCTGGCAGAAGCACACTGAATCAAGCCGATGTAAAATGAGCAAAAAAGCTTCTGTAGGAGAAAAAAAAAGAATCTGTCGATCCTGCAAAAGTGACTCATCGTATATTGAGCTAAAAATAATCCATTCAAAGTCGATTTTTCAGGCCTCCACCATCGTGCTGCTGGCCTACCATGACGAGGTAGTGCTAGCCGATCTCGGCACTCTGAGCGCCGTTTATTTCCCGCTCTTTCTTGTGAACAACGTCTTCACCATGCTCTTCTCATTGCTCTACTGGATCATTTTCGAGCGTCGGAGCGGCGAAGCGTTCGCGGACATCAAAACTTCGAGGTTATTTTTAACAACAGTCCGGCACGCAGCAAGAAGAAAATCGTACAGTCGCGAATTGACTAAAAATCTCAGCTCAACAAGAGAGAGCTTCCCAAAACATAATGGCAGACCCAATTTTGATTGTCGCGAAAGATATGAGTTGTATTCCTGTCCAAGACATGTTTTTATTGAGCTTGGTTGTTGCTTGAATTTATAATATTATTGTATCATACTGATCAGATATCAGTTTCGCAAAACTCAAAAGTCAGAAAAGCTCAAGTGACTACTCAAGAGATCATACAAGTTTAAAAATTCTCAAAAAAACAATTTTTTTGGTTGATCCCGTGACTTCCTCGCAACGTTGAAATAATGAAAAAAACCATTCGATTTTTCAAAAAAAAAAAATTACTTTATGTGGAAGTTTTGCCGTTTTCATAACGATAACCCAACACGCACTGCTAATAATCCCACGACTTTTTGAATTTTCAGGTCTGACGTGTAGAAATAAATTTCTTTCAATGAACCTGAGGGATTGTAGTGAATAGGAAAAAAATCAAAAAAATCCACCGGCAAATTAATTAAATTTTCGAATATTTTAGTAGGTTCAGAAAGTTGATGAACCTTGGATCCGATAAAAAAATTTTTATTATTTCAAATCTCAGTGGCTTGATAAAACCTCTTTTTCGTTGAAAAAATACGAAACAACATTTTTGAACAAAAAAAGCAGAGAAGAAAAAATTTCCTATTGAATCTGGATTCTTTTTGAGTCCATCAGGACCCTCCATTTTCTGACTTCATTCTTAGAGATGATTATTTTCGAGAATTTCAAGCGTAAATCAGAAAATTCAGAACGACCTCCGTCGAGTGGCCTCGCACGTCTTCTGAGCCGACGGTGGCGTCCTACTACGACAACGTTATGATGTGGGACGACTCTCGCGAAGATTCGGCCCATCTCTATCCCCGCTTCAACCATTATAACCAGCTTTAAATGCACATACTTGTTTTACTTACGATCTTGGTCTCTTGACAAAACATGGTTTTTCGAATGCAATTTTGAAATTCAACCTACGTGTTGCTTCCAGTAGTATTTAGTAACTTCATTCTCTAATAAAACATTTTTCGAACTATTTTTTTTTTGTTTCAAAGAGTCAACTGTTGAAAATAGTTCTGCGGCTTTTTGACATCCTATTCGAAGCGCAAAATCAAACATTTAAAGGTCGACACGTTTTTTTTTACTATCTGTCCTTCTGAAGTATAGATCTAGCTAACAGAAAAAAAAAGTAAAATTCAAGTAACACTTTTTTGGGTATATGAAAAATGGAAAAAATTCCAGCTCAATTCAACTTTGAGGCACAGTTTTGTTGTCGCCTTCTGATTCTAAATCTGATTTCAGCAAAGGGAAAATTGGATGAATCAAGGTGATTTTGTAAGAAAAGTCTTTTGCTGAGATTTTCGAAATTTTTTCAATTCACTGAATAAATTTAAATTCCCTTTCAGGATTTTCATCGCATTGAGGATTAATCCGAAAGCCAAAATATATTCCAGCGATTCCCATGATTTGTTGAAATTTTTCCTCAGGTGTTTCATGATGTATCTACAGTACCCCCCGAGTTCTAAGAAAGTTATAAGTTTTGCCATTTGCACTTTTCATCGAGGAAAAAACTTCGCGTTCCAACCGGTGCGTGCCATTTTCACATTATTTCTCCTCGCATTTTTCAATTAGATGACCAGCTTTCACATTGAACTCTCGTTGTTGCGTGACCACGAAAAGTTGTCCCACACATGTTTCAATGGCCCCTGATCGATATATGAAGTAAACGAATGCTACTCGAGTTAATTGCTGCAATAGCGACGACGTTGAACTTGGGCGTCCTCCCGACTTCCACGCTAAAAGTTCATCAGCGGCTGTTTCTTCCCGAAAAACCAATAGAAACCGAATTGGGACCAAACGCCGGCAAGTTTTTTATCTATTTTGGCTGACCTTCTAAATGATTTTGCTAGTTTGCTGTCTTTTCTTCGGAAAACAAAGTACGTTTTCTCTAAAGTTTGAGACGTCTAGGCTCGGAAAACTGTAGCGTTTTGTATAATTTGCTTATCAGCACTCGTGTTTTTCAAAAATTATTTTTTTCTGGTTATCGAAGAGCGGAATAATCTTCTATTTCGGAGCTTCACTCTCAATCAGCTTACCATGAACCTTGTACCAGGTTTTTATATGAAACTGTCAAAATCTTTATTATATTCTTCATCCGAAACAGTAAGTTCATAACGTTACTTTTTGAGATTTCGTCCTCAATTCAGAGATAATTGGGCTGAAATATTTTTTACTGAATTTTTTTTCATAGCCATAAACGGTATGCAATGCTGAAAGAAACTTTGAAATTCCCATTTTTTCAAAATTAACTTTTGAACTTATTTATTAAACGTGACTTCTTTTTCCATGCTTTTAAAGGTTTATGTAAAGAAACTTTTCTGAAAACTCCTAAGACTGCCGTAGAAGGTATCATCTTAGAGACGCATTTTTATAGAATATTGCAACTTTCAAAAATACCCTAACTGGATCCAGTTTCCTCAAATCTCTTCAAGTTTAAACTTTCTTGATTGAATTGAAGAGCGATTGAACAATTACCAGAAAACAAAAACGTCTCAGATTTTCCAGATATTTACAGTCATCATGAAAATACAGCAATTACTCAAACTCTCTTTTTTCACTGATTCTTTGAGTTTCTCCAAGTTTCTCACTGCAGCGCTGTTCCTAATGCAGCAAAAAGCAACAGATCACGCGTGCCGAGGTAATTCTGACAGGCACCTAGTTATGCATGAGAATGACCGAGAGCCCGAAGGCAAATGGCCAAATTCGCCTAAAAAAATGAAAAGAGCCTCTGGGCTGCAATGTCATTGAATTTGCTGCTCTTGGAACAGAGAAGCCTCGCACTCGTAATCAAACGCTCGCCGCTGCATTCACACGGTTTCTCTCCAAATTTCCTGTGGCCGGCCAGCTCATCACATTCTGCTTGGCAAATCAGGCGTGCCGTGGCCGGACAGAAGTCGCCGAGATTCCACATCCGTCTCCGTACGTGTTATTTTGGCCGTCGTCAACCCTCGTTTGCTCTCATTTTCTTTCTGCTCCTTCTTTTGACGCCTCGAGGAGTGCTTGTAGACAAAACGCCGTTCAAATTACGGCGAAAGAGGGGACATCTCTCATTTTCCGTTTCGGCCCGTTTCATTTCGTCTGTTTAGGATTCTGCAAGGCATATAAGACAGCAATTGTTTTTTATGTTGCTAGGAAAGGTCAAAGAAAAGTCATCTTAACATTTTTGAGTTTTCGAAGAGATTTTACTAGAAATTGAGTTTTTTGCCGTTATCCAGGATGTATCATGACATCGAGACAGTTTCCAGTTTCCAGTTTCAAATTTCCAACGGAATAGCCCACAAAATTTTTGAAAGATGTCAAGGAATAATGAGTAAACTGTAGTCTTGATTTTAGATCTTTTGAAAATTTCGATTATCACAAAAAGCTGTTTATAAAGTCTCAACGTGCTACGTCTGACAAACGAAATTCAAAAAACCTTCTATTTTCCATGAATGCTGACTTCAAAAAACTAATTAGAACATGAGACACTCATCATTAAAATCCATTATTGAGTCCTCTTCAAATGAAAAGTTATGACTTTCCAGTTCAATTATTAGAATTAATTGATGTCTGGTCCATAAATAACCTATTTCTTGCCTCGATCTTACTTATTTCCATCAATTTAACAGTTTTATGGTTCTTGTTTGAGGTTTGTCTGGCAGACAGAATACTTTTGTTGAAGAGATGACCTTGGTTTTAAGTTTCCAATCAATCATAAATTCGCTTCCAAATCGGAGTTTTGAGAGACTGAAACTGATGTCGCGTAAAAATTTTCTGTTTCGAAAATTTAAAATTTCAAACGTCATGTAAACTCCATTGGCCGCAAAGTAAAACAACTAAATCTAATATTTAAAAAAAACAGAGGAAAATTTTTTTTTCAATCATGGAGAAGTTTTTCCATGTAAGTATTGTAACTTTCCAGGAATTTACTTTATTTTCTCAACTTTTTTTCCCATCAATTCTTTTTATTATACTCAGGAGGGCCACAGAAACACGGATCTCATCAGTTACCGGCAGATTCACAATCAATCTCAAGCTTCCAAGTGAAACAAAAAACTCCTGGCTTACATCAAACACGAGAAACTATGGTTCGATTTTCTCGAGATGTAAACCTCGGTCGCCCGAGATTGGTTGGTAAAGTGGAAATCTAATGCTTCCGCACAGATATTGGATATGCACTCCATGCCCTTTCGTGGCCACGGATGCTTCTAAGAAAACTGCTCAGAAGTCTCTCCCCAATTCTTGTTCAACTGTTTCCTTTCATTTTCCCTAAGTGTCTGATATTTTTTATCCCATTCACATTGAACTGCGGAACTTTTCAGAAGGACGGAAAGAATTCATTCTTGTCATCAAATGAAATAATCATTTCATTTCGCACGATGGACGAAGAAAACCACGGCTCAGCCGCCTACGGTAGCGATACGTCTTTGATGGAAGCTTCTCAAGTAAGTTTCGATTTGATTTTTAGAATTTTTTCAGTGATAGGGTAGACCCTCAAAATATGCTAACATCTCGCTTTTTTTGGGATTTGATCGCAAAATTGTTTGATGTCTCCATTGCATAAAAAAATATCATCGGTTTTTCCAAAAAAATGGATTCTTTTTCATTTTTCGAATTATTTTTTTAGTCATGACATGATTTTTTTCAAATTTTTTTCTCGATGAGTTGCCAAAAAAACATAAAATTATATTAGATCAGCCTTCAATTTTTTTGTCCTGTCCTGAAGACACCCGAAAAAGAAAAAAAGATATATCGACTGGGAGTCTTTAGCAAATTGGATCATGCAAGATTTAAAGTGTTCTTATTTCATTGATGAAACGATTATTAGTTTGATAAACTTTGAGAAACTCATGAAAGGTGAAAAAAATGCCTCCAATGCGTTCAACTTAGTGACTAGTTTAATAATATATTTCGATTTCCCCAATTTTCCTTCTTTTCAAAAACCACAAAGGCCATCCCCAGAAAGCGAAAATTCAAAATCAGACTGAATTTGAGAAAGGCTCCTTTTTTTCAAAAGCAAGAGAATAATCTAAACTTGTTTTGATTCCAGAAAATTGCAGGAAGTGAAAAACCATTGGCCTACTTGGGCGATTGTACTGGTGATCGTTTGCATCGTTTTGACGGCGCTCGCTTTTCTTCTCGGAAACTTTATCACAAAGAAAGCTACACCTATCAGGTAACCTATTCCAAAAACCCCGTATAAAGAATATTTTTTCCTCGTTCGGCGACATTGGTAGTATAGACTTTCACCACATTCTTGTGGTGCCCACACGCGCATCGAATGACACATGAAAAATTCATTTCGGTGCAGTTTTTTTCTTTTCTCGATAGAAAGAATTAAAATTGCGTACGTTAATTTTATTAAAAGATTTCCAGATTCAAAGGACAGTCTACGCAAGTCGGGAAAGGCCGAGAAAGAAAATGGGGAGCTGGATTTTCTGGAGGCATGTGGGGAGCGGCTACGTAAATTGAAGTAGACTTCTATCAACTTTCCCGAAAAGTTTTATTTTTTTGTAAGAAGAACGGGTATCATTTGAGAAATTCGAAACGGATTTCTTGAGAAAACTTCAAAAGGCGAAATAAAATATATCTTTAAAAAACCGTTGAAGATGATGAGAACACTTCGATTCAGCCTACCTTCTTGACAATAAAAAAGTTTCAGCTCCATTTTTTTATTCTGAACCATTTGAGTTTACTTTCTGTGATCCCTCTTTCTCTGAATAGCAACTTGAAACTTAACAATTATGAGCCCTTTGTTCAAAAATATAACTTTTATGTTTGCAACGATGAGTTATTAAGAATGTCCAAAAGATTCGAGACTAGTTTAAACATACATGTTACCAAAGAAATACGTGTAGTCAGCTTCAGAATAACTCCTCCGATTGTTGTTTTTACTCCATTTTTGCATATCGTCGTGCTTTGTTCGCTGTGATTGATAACCGTTGCTTTTTCCGATGCAATCCACAAAGTAATGAAATATGATGAATTTATTTGGAACAGTTTAGATTGAAACCCTACACATATCCATAGTAGGTTTTGAATAACGGCACTGACATATTGAATCTTACTAAAAAAAAAATAAATAATAGAAATGGCCGGATTGCAGGAACATCATTTACACACATAAATAATATAATCAGTTAAGACTAAACAGCTTCTTGGTTTTCTTCTGCTTAGATCTCGGTTCTCCAATGGCATTTTCGTCCGACAGCTTCGGCTCAACGTCTAGAGGTTCGATGGTAATGGCAGGGACTTCGATCGTCGCCACGGACTCTTTGCGGGAAGGAAAGATCTGAAATCTCGTCGGATGTTTGACAGAAATGATAGAGCAAAACCTTTCTGAGAATGTCCGATTTGTTAACAACTTCCTTTTCGTACCACTCGAAAATCGGAGGCAAAGGGGCGCCATTTGGAAGCTGCAAATTTTCAGGTTATATTTGATCAGTTGATAATTATTTCAGAAATTTTCGAATCATTCAAAAAAAAAATACATGAAATTTAAAACATCCTCTGCATTTATCAACAAAACGGAAGTAACAAAGGCGTTTAGTTTTTTTCATTTTTTTTTTTGTATAAGAGTCCTTTTTAAGTCCCAAGTTAGGATTTTTCCATATGGTATCAAGAAAAAAACTTTTTTTTCTCACATTCCAGGCTTTTTTCGTTTTGTGTTAATTGATTTGCGTATCAGAAAAAATCCGATCCGTGAATTTTTTTCTAAAGAATGTCAGAATGTCGTCCACCTTCGCTGACGGATTGCGTAAATCATCAAAGTACGGTAGAGCTAGGGCTTCCAATGGATCCATTCGCTGGGACGGGCTGTATTTCAAAAAGCCTTGGATCACTTGTAGCGCATTACCAGACGGACGTCGATTCAAAACCTGAAATTCTTAGTTTTTTTTCCGCTTTTTTTCGAACAAAAAACCTTTGCGATCCCAATTCCTGGCAGGTCAGGAAGTTGACTGAGCGATATTGTTGGCCTTTTCTGAGGGATGTCGTCGATCTGCGGCTTTCCAAGAATCTGAAAATGTTTAAAATGCAATTTTTCCAGCTTTCCTTTGTTTTTAAAATTCAACACGACTTTTTTGTTTATGTTGAACTGAGGAACTCCCGAGTGCCCCTTTTAGAAGCTGCCTTAGGGCCCCTCGAAGGTCCCCCTCTAGGGACCACTTGACTTCTTTCTGTAGAGGCCACCAAAGTTTTAGGAGCTAACAGGTCAGTGCTTTAACCTCTTCAAGTAATCACCTAAAAACTACCCCTGTAGGGGCTATTTTTCCCTAACCCTATAGGAACCCCTCTGACGTTACTGAGAATGAGACCAAAGCAGAAAAACCTAATAAATGCTCTATTTTTTGTTGAAAAGATTTAGAGTCTTGCTCACTGAAACAGGAAAACTTTCAAGAGACGTTCGCGATTTTCAGATATTCACTTGTGCTTCGAAAGCTGTTTCAATTGATAAAATTAGGATTTCAGAACTATAATTTAACGCGCCTGAACTTTAAATATAGATAGAAAAAAGAATCACCGAAGCGATGGTTATCAATACTCCCGCACTGGAAGTTCCAAGGAATAGCGGCGTATCATGGAAAAACTCGCACAGCACAGCACCAGCCGACCATACATCTGAAAATTATTTTAGTAGGCTCCTCAAATCGTTTTCCAAATGAACTGACCTATATTGACGCCATAGTTGTTACAACAAAGCAACAATTCTGGAGCGCGGTAATACCGAGAGCAAATGTAAGAAACGTTTTCACGGTCCTTCTCCAGGAACTTGGCTGATCCGAAATCACACACTTTCAAAACGCCGATTTCGTGATCCACAAGAAGATTTTGGGGCTTGATGTCGCGATGAACCAAATTGTCAGTATGAATGAAGGCGAGAGCGCGGAGGAGTTGGAAGGTGTACAACTAAAAATTTGATGTTTTGTTCGAGATAGTATACCTTAAAGTTGAAGTACCATCATTTTGAAAATTGCAGAAAAAAGACTGTAATATTGATTGAAAAGAGCATTTTTGAAATGAAAGAAGAGCGTAGCTTGATTTTCAAAATCTGCACAAATGGCCCTCTACTTTATATGCTCTGGATCCATTTAATGAGTTACCTTAGTATGAAAAGATGATAAAAACGTTTGGTTTTTCGTGTGTTCTCGTAGAACCTGATGTAACGTCTTCGGCATAAACTCCATCATCATGTAGAGCATCTCTTCGTCCTGAAATTGATCTTATTCTCATCAATAGTTGAAAACTCACCTTGACCGTCCGCTCGTAGTAGAAATACATCAACCGGACAATGTTTGGATGTTGTAATCTTTTCATAATCCCTAACTCTCGGTTCTGAAAAGAAAATCAAAAAATGATGGTGAAAGGTTTGGAATACCTTATAACGAGCATCTATGCATACTTTCTTGATGGCTACCGTTTCGTTTGTGGCACAAAGCTCAGCCATGAAGACGGTTCCAAAAGAGCCATTGCCGATAATCTCAAAATCAAAAAATTGAAACTGGTGATCGAGATCGTTCAAAAGAATTTTATATGTGATGAATAAAAAAAAATCAGGAATAATCCGACGTTACCAACATGTTTGATTTTCAGCATGAAAGTATAACCACTCGATCCGTCTCGTCGAGATACGTACGAATATCATAAAATTATTTGGCGCTAGTAAGAAGAAATAACTTTATGGTGTGCAAAAACCAGAAAAAAAATTTCAAAAAGTTCAAAAATTTCGCTGCATTTTTCGACGCTGATTCAATTCAACTATTGCTACTACGCCATGAGAAGAAACAATCTTTTAAAATAGGAAAAAATTTTAAAATTATTCGAAAAAAACAATGCAAAAAAGAAAAAAAAATGAGAAATCACAGTAAAAATAACCGACCGCGTCGAAGCCCGCGCTTACGCACAGTATGCTCCTTTAATATTTTTTTCTTTCTTTTTTTGGGAAATACATTTACAGATTTTTTTAGCTACGCGTATCAAGTTTGCAAATCGTTTAGAGCTACCTGATAGTGTTTTTAGTGTCCACGTTTTGAAACTAAATGCCTTTTATGTCAAGTATTCATTTATTTGACGAATTGTTCACTGTGGCTCAGTTTTTTCGAAGCAAGCCACAGTCGGCTTCGCGCTATGCGCGCTCCGCCTCCGTCTGAAGCCTTAAAACTAAGCCTATTTTTTTAAGTAATGCATGAAAAGAAAAAGCAAAAACTTCTATTCCTCAGAATAATTACTTGATTGAAAACTAATAAAGTTCATCTTAAAATTTTTCTAAGTGGTCAGCGCCAAATAATTTTATAATATTCGTACGTATCTCGACGAGACGGATCGAATGGTTATACTTTTATGCTGAAAATCAAACATGTTGGTAACGTCGGATTATACCAAAAATCATAAATCAACTTGGAGCTCAAGAAAAAGTGTACTGCTAAATGAATAGTGTCTGTCAATTATTTGGCGATTCTCTACGATCCCTTTTTTTTTAAATTCGTGATTCAGTGCCAGAACTGAATTACCTTAGAATTGGTGAGCTGAAGCTCAATCTCACGGTCGACGTTTCCATAGGCTGGCCGAGCTTTTACAGTAAAAATTTCTGGAGGAGGCCTGGCAACCTGAGGAACGGCGTAGATGGGCATGGCGTCTGAATATGGACATTTGAAAACAAAACAAAATGAATAGAAAAATACATTATTGAAACGGGAAATAACAAGACTTCAAAACACTGTCTTCGGAAAGAAAAGAAAACTTAGATTACAAGAAAAAAAATTCAATTTCACAGAAATAAAAAGTGTTTGTAAAATCTAAAAGGAACTAAAAACACTCTAAAGGAGCCAATCAGAAAGCACCTGCTCGATGTGAGTATCGACAAGACTATGAGAAGAGAAAAGGTTGAGACTGGTGTCGACCTGGCGAATACGCGCCAAAAAGCGAGGAGGGTCAAAAACTTTCGGTTCAAAACTTCTGATCGTAACTGGACTTGCCAAAAAAAGAATCACTGCTTTTTCTTTTTTAATTTATTTTTTGCTTGACCTGAAAGCTTCTAAACATTTATTTTTGATGTAGAGAAGAAAAATAAATTAAAACGCCTTGAAGATAGGCCAAGGACCAAAATTAAAACATCATATGAAAAATTTGAAAATCCTTCGGTTTTTCGAAAGAGATTGAATATTCAGTTTGAATAGAAACTTACAAAGAAGACTGCAATTTTAAAGGCACCTGAACACTATGATACCAAGAACCTAGAAATATTCAGTGGGAGATGAGCGAGAAACCCAAGAGAGCCATCCTTCAGCCACTCGCGCTTTGAATATCAAAACTGAGAAATTTTTTTTGTTCTTTTTTTTTTGAAAAACTTTTCTAAAGAATCAAGTTCCTTTTGCCAGATTCTTGATTTTGAAATAAACTTATTTTTCGAGTAAAATAGGCGGGGGTGGTATTAAAGTTCTTTAAAAAGCGGTTAGAAATCTGAGGTCACTATTCAATCTTGAATAATTCGTTAAAACGTTTGAAATGTTTCAAAAGATCTCCAATTATTGAAAAAAATTGCATTTTAAATAAATTTGAAATCTTTCCAATCAAAAAAAAGATCAGAAAAAAAAGAGAAACAGCAAAAAACACTCTTGAAAAATTTGAAATGGAGCATCTTGGAGCTGTGCACATTCCCATGCACTTCGAAAGCATCCAGCTGGAAACAAAATTATGTTCAGAATTGAAAAATTCATGACCCTGGGGGAAGGCGGAAAACTGGAAGAAAAAACAGGAGTGTTGAAGTAGAATTTGTTGAAATTCAATCCACTGAGGAGAAGATCACAAATTTCCCATCCTCCAGCGTTGAGCTTTTGAGAAACAGAAGCAATTTGAACTATGAAAAGCGAGTGAAAATTTTTGCCTAATAAAAAATCTCAAAAATAGTTCAGACATTAAGCTTTCGAAAAATTAAATTCCGAAGTTTCGCAGTCGAATTTTAATTTTTTTCACTCAAAAAAACTTCATTTATATGAACAATGAAAAAGATTTTTTTATAATCATCGGCATACTGTAGATTCATCCGACGCACCTGAAAAAGCAAACCAGCCCGACAAAAAAAGTCGGACGTCTTTGAAATTTCATTTCATAGCTTTTTTTCTGCTATGTTATTTCTTTGTAATTCAAAAAAATTGAGTTTCAGCAGGACTGAACCAAGCGGAAACCGCCTCACAATGCCCCGGAGACTTGCGAACGGCAGAAGCTTCTGCCAAAACACAGCATGATACGAGAAAAAAGCTTTACTTGGTTGGCTGTTGTTCAAAACTGTTTTTGGAGTAACAGTCGGGTCTCTCGAGACATATCTATATTTGAGTGCAGTAACTACACTTTATTCTATTTTTAATGGAAAAAAATATTATATTTTTAAAGCTTATTTCATTTCCAGCATTTAAAAACAAACTTTTCGAAAGTTCTACTTCCAGCTATAATTTCTAAAAGCTTCAGAATAACAAAATTATCGAAGTTTGTGATTTTGGAAGTTACTGTTCTGGGCTCTAGTTCCTTCTAGACAAAGTAAAACAGTGAGGATCGTCAACGAAGCTTGCTGAACTTCAAAAAAAGAAGTCATATTTTGTCTGTAAGCGTTCAAAATCTATGTATAACCTTTCCTCTAGAAGCAGGTAAATTATTATTCTTTTTTTTGAAGTAACTACATCAGACAGCTCGAAGTTTTTTCAACCTCCAGAGCTATAGTACCTCGCTATTGTGAGCAGAAGGAGTGGAAAATCAAAGCAAAACGGAAAAAAAAAACTATTCGCCCGTTTCAAAAATTACCTAAAATTGAAAAAGTGATATGATAGAGAATCAAAGACAAGTTAAAAGACAAAAATTACCGATAATCGACGTCTCAATGTTTTTGTTCGCTTCACTCATAATATTCACAGCAAATTCTGAGATGGATGAGGCGAACGTTGATGAACTTCTTCTGATGTTTTGTTAGAAATCGTGCTGTCTGGATGGTTAGGGCCGTGGGAACTTATTGACGAATTGAAAATAAATCAAATTCCATCCGTAAACGATTCTTGGGAAACACATCCTTTACTGGGAAAAAACTGCAAAAGTTCACAAGGCTTCGACATATTCTTTTCTAAAATAAATTGTTTTTTAATTTCGTGTATTCTTTTACAGAACTCTCACGAGAGGATTGTGTGTGGTGAGCATCGCGTGTATGGTTCAAACTTTTGGGACAGGTAGTCCCAGGTACGAAAAGGTACTCGAAAAAATATCTGCTGAGCGTCATAGGCTACTGTGAAATAGCCTGTCAAAGTTCTTTTTGGGGTTTTTTGTGCAAAATATTTTTTTCTAGTATTTCTTATGATATAGTGAAAAACAGTAGAAGTTTCAGAACTTTAAAAACCGGAGAAAATCAGTTTTTGAGCCTCTACCGTACATTTTCGACAGTCTATTTCTCAGTACCCTAGGGTGCCTGGAAGATTTTTTATTAAATTTTGAGTACTCCTAGGACTATCTAACATTGAAGTTTGGATCAGATCTACAATTTTTAACTGGTCAGAAACGCAAATATCATAGAATCACTACTTCTTCAGCAGAGGTAAAAGTCGCCAGACGGTCCATCATTCCAAATTGGAAAGGTGGAAACTCGCCAGTGAGCTGCTTAAGTCATAATAATTTTTTTCTTTCTCAGAAGTTTAAACTTTTTTGAATTTTCAGCTCACCGAAGCTTCTGGATGGAAAATTACGATTCTTTCTAGTCCTTGCGCAATCGCTTACGTATTTTTTTCGCCAAGGTCCCTACTCTGGTACAATCACATCAGCACGAGTCATTGGTTCTTAAGGATTGAAGAGATTTCTATTTTTCGAACTTTGATCTTCTCTTTTGATAAAAAAACGGAAAAAAATGCAAAAATTTTATTTTTGAAAGTTTCTATAGTTGAATTTTTCAATTATCAATCAATCAAATAAAACATCTAATTTGTTGTTTCAATCAGATGCAATCGACTAGGCGTTGAACAAGAACTTCAAAAGCTATAACGAACAACCGTCTTAAAAGTCCAAACTTGTAGTCGAAAGGATCGCAATCATGGTCTTACGGTCTTTTGCCTTGTTCTTCTGTAGGTAGTCCATCCAGTTGCGCCTTGACGAGCTCAGAACGTAGCGATTCTTGTGCTGGAACCCAGAGACCGTGCTCTAAGCGGGAGCTTCGGAATGAGAGCGACCACTTCGAGTGATGATTTTATACGGAATTGGAGGACTTTGAAGAGATTTCTATGTTTAATTTTCAGTTAACTTCAAACTTCCGTGGCAGGTAGTTCTACAAAGTAGTACTGAAAAAAAAATGTCTGCTTGCTATGCTCGATGAGATATTAAGAAATAGCCAACAGCGAAATTGGCAGAGATTATTGAAATTTACTTTTTTTTTTAGTCGCAGTTCTAGTAATCCCTGACGGTGGAAAAACATTTTTGAGCTTTTCCTGAACCTTTTCCACCGGCTTGATGTCGGTTTTGTGACGCTCAGCAGACAATTTTCTTGTTTTCCAGAGCTTCTTCTTCAGACTGAACGGGTGTCGCAGAAGTTTGGATTATTTCTGCAACGTTCACGCTGGATACTTCTCTCTTCGAAGCACCTACTGATCCTCATTTCAATTAAAACCTGAAAAAAATATTTTTTTCAGTATTTTCTTTGGGATTCTTCTCTCATCGTCATCCATAACTGTGGTGAAGGACAGCAAAGAAGTTCAAGATGTCGATAAAGTCCAACCTCGCTATACGGCCGCTGATAAATTTTTAATATCCCGCATTTTTTTCCGTTTTGAAGATTTTATTCACTTTTTTTGTTTGATTTGCATGAAAATTTGAATTCTCGCTGATGTTTCGAGATTATGATGGAAAAAAATTTATTTTTCGTGGAAGGTGAACATGGCCCAAAATTCTGAAAATTATACTTTTGTGCACCAAAAGAAAGCTAATGATGCCCTCTTCCCGTTCCTGAGACAAGAAATTGTTAGGAACTATTCTAACGAAAACTGAAAAAACTATAAAAAGCATTCGTCTTTGTTGGAAGATGAACTTGATAAAAAAAAGAAGGGAGTTCGAATCCAAGCGTAGTCGACGAGTTTGGACATTTGACTGACGAAGTACAAGATTTGTTTTTTTCGAGAAAATTTTCAAGATTCACGATTTGACTTGATAATCACAAATGTGATAGATGAAGATTTTTGATTTGCGCAACCAACAAATCATTCCGGATGAATGATCTTCGAAAACGTTCGATCTAGGCGAAATTAGAGCTGCAACTACAAATTCTATGATTTACCGGTGCCTTGAATGAAAAAACTCCACAACAATCACAGAATGAACTAACTAGGGAACGTTTTTTTACCCCCCGGTTGAACTTTTTGAGAAAAACTTTGCTGAAGTACATTTTTGGACCTCCTGAGAAGTACAAAAAAAAATGTCTTGCAATAGAATCTTATTTCGAGTTAGGCCGGTTCAAAAGCTTGAAGTAGCGCCTTTTTGGCATTTTCGTTTTGCAGACTTCAAAGCTTCATAAATCAAAAACAAGATCTATTGCTAAGAACTTTTTTTTGTTTTGCAATTAGGAGGTCCTAAAGTGCACTTCAGCAAAGTTTCATTGAAAGTTCAAGCGGCGGTTCAAAAACGTTCCTCAGTAAGCTTATTACAAAAAGAGGTCACATGTTTGAGATTTGAAATTTTGAATTTTCGAGTTTAGATCAATGAGAGAATTTCGGCTGATCTTATGACACCTGATTATGTTCCGCAAACAAAATTCATAATTTTCAAGTTTGCCAAGTTTTATATTTTCATAATTTTCTCTTTCAGTCGTAAATCAGTTAATTTGTGGAAATTAATTCATTTCCAGAAAAAATCATCCTAAAAAGTACGCAGTTTCTCTTCGCACAGACGCTCTAGCAAATCGATCGGGTGTAAAGAATGCGGTAGTACACGATTGGGAGAGAGTGCCAGAGAAAGCAGAGCGGCCACCAAGAATAAACGCACGCTGAAATAATAGTCGTACCGCGCGCTCACGTTTGAGGGGTTTGCATTTGCGCAAATTCAACCATTTTTTACTGATATCCAATATTTTGGCTTTTTCGAGGAGATTTGAGCTTTGTCTCCAACTCTGTCACCGATGGGATGGAGCAAACCAACAAGAAACACTTGCTTCCCGGCTTCAATACAGCCTTTCCGACGCAGTTCGCCGGTTTGTTGTTGTTTTTCATTGTTTATTTCAGAAATTTTTTTTTCTTTCTTAACCTATAAATCCTTATAATTGATATCGTGCGCTAAACGTTGTTACAATTTTTTTTTCATTTTTTAAAACACGCATTTTTAAAATTTTTTCAAACTGAATGAAAATGTGAAATTCTTATTCTTTTGTTGTAACAAATTCGTGGTAGAGTGATCGCTGATATTATTACCCGAGGAATCGAAAAAAATCGAAAATATTGCACCAACGTGAGAAAATTTTCCTTTTTCGAATAATCAAATTTATACGTGAGAAACTTTTTCTTTCTTGTCTATAATCAAGTTTATTTCGTTTTAATATGAGGATTTTTAAAAATAACAGAAATCATGAACCGAAATTCCATAAAAACACAAAAGATTTATCAAAACGACAAGATATCAAGATGACCTTTTTGTAATCTTTTCATGAGGATGAGTAACTTTTTAATCTCTTTGAAGACCTTTGCAACTTTTTTTCAAATAACGCATTTTTTTCTCTTAAAGCTTGTCTTAAAAAAATCTAAAACTATCCGTTTGATAATAAAAAAATTTTAATCCGATAAATTTTTAAAAAAATCTTTGGTTTTATTTTTTTGAAAAAAATTTTTTTCAAGCGTTCAAAAAAAGAAAAAAATGATTTTTTTGGAAAAAAACAAGCGAAGATTTTTTTGGTGTTAAAACATGAAGAAGTTTTTTTCAAAAAAAGTTTTTTTGAAATTTACGTTTTGCCATATTTCTTTGAAAAACAGAAAAAAATTTCTGAATGCTCTCAAAATTTTTTTGTGAAAAGTTTTTAAAACACGTAGTTCAATGAAAAAAATAAAATTTTTCAAGATGAATTTCCTGACTGGAATATTTCAGGTTTACAAAACCAGGGAACAAATGCGTTCATGTCAACTCTCCAAACTCTGCAAATGCAGAACTTGGCTTCATCTTCAAATTTCACAGCCGCAGACATGAGCCAATGGCAGCAGAGTTCATCTCAAGCTCAACAGACTTGGATAGACCCTGTATGTTATTTGTTATTTATTTGTATTTTGTTCTGAGAATTTCAGGCAAAAGTCGCTGCGATGCTTCCAATGTATGCCAACTGTTTCCCTGCTATGAAAACGTAAGATTTTTTTTAATTTTTTAATTTTTTTCTTCTATAAATATACCCACAACTTCCAAATTTTTTTCGCAGATCAATTTTGAAATGCAAAACCAACGCGGTTCTTGGGGATTTTATTATATTTTTCAAATCTAGTAAATTTTCAGATCAAACACCCAAAACGATTTGAATCAATTCATTCAACAAAACGGCACCTACGACACCAATGCCTTGCAATACGATTCCACGCAAGGCTCAATTTTTCCGACTCAAGCCAACATCAACTCCTTAACACAGCAGAACGCCGCAGGCTCATCTCAACAGACGACTCTACAAAGTTCTTCCCTGTTTCAGGTAATACGCTTAAGTTTCTTGGTTTTGTAATATTGGGAAGCTAAGTTTTATAGGTTTTCTAATCGATCTATTGATATTGTTATTAGAAAACTATATTTCAGGGTTTTTCCGGATTATATTTAGTATATTCTAAAATCATTCAATGCCCTGGTCTCTCGAGAAGCAATCATTGATTAAAAAATCCGTAGTTTTCCTTTTTTTGGGCTCTCGGGGTACATGGACGTAAATAAATAAAATTTTTCAAACAGTAATGTTGGTTACAATTCTAGTACATTTTTCCCAGGCAGACTGGAATGGATTTTTTGTTTATGAAATAGGAGCCGAATACCTCCAATAAACAAATTTTTACCTGTCATTCAAGCAATTTCAAGCTTGAGACGCCAGATTAAACTTCATCCAAAGCGCCATTTTTGTAAATCCGCAAATTCTGATTAAAAATCCGCAAATTCTGATTAAAAATCCGCAAATTCTGATTAAAAATCCGCAAATTCTGATTAAAAATCCGCAAATTCTGATTAAAAATCCGCAAATTCTGATTAAAAATCCGCAAATTCTGATTAAAAATCCGCAAATTCTGATTAAAAATCCGCAAATTCTGATTAAAAATCCGCAAATTCTGATTAAAAATCCGCAAATTCTGATTAAAAATCCGCAAATTCTGATTAAAAATCCGCAAATTCTGATTAAAAATCCGCAAATTCTGATTAAAAAACCGCTAATTCTGATCAAAAAACCGCTAATTCTGATCAAAAATCCGCTAATTCTGATCAAAAATCCGCTAATTCTGATCAAAAAACCGCTAATTCTGATCAAAAAACCGCTAATTCTGATCAAAAAACCGCTAATTCTGATCAAAAATCCGCTATTTCTGATCAAAAAACCGCTAATTCTGATCAAAAAACCGCTAATTCTGATCAAAAAAAATCCGCTAATTCTGATCAAAAAACCGCTAATTCTGATCAAAAAACCGCTAATTCTGATCAAAAAACCGCTAATTCTGATCAAAAAACCGCTAATTCTGATCAAAAAACCGCTAATTCTGATCAAAAAACCGCTAATTCTGATCAAAAATCCGCTATTTCTGATCAAAAATCCGCTATTTCTGATCAAAAAACCGCTAATTCTGATCAAAAATCCGCTAATTCTGATCAAAAAACCGCTAATTCTGATCAAAAATCCGCTAATTCTGATCAAAAATCCGCTAATTCTGATCAAAAAACCGCAAATTCTGATCAAAAATCTGCTAATTCTGATCAAAAATCTGCTAATTCTGATCAAAAATCTGCTAATTCTGATCAAAAATCTGCTAATTCTGGCTTCTTTTGAAATTCCCGAATTCATCAAGTTTTCTTGTTTTCTTATCATGAGTAAAAACTACAAAAAAAGTTGGAATTTCAAGGTCAAGAATTAAACTTTCCGAGGTTAAAAAACGCAACTGTTTCAGGAAGCTCAAATGAACTTGATCACTTCGGCACCTTCCACCTCAAACCACAATGATATTCTGGACACCGCGGTCCAACTGCACAATTTATTCAACCTCCAGCCCCAGGAGGCCGCGCAGCTGCAACAGTCCGTCCTGCAGCAGACTCTGCAACCAGATCTCCTGAATCAAACTCTCCTCCATCAGCCCGTATCTCAACACCTTTCTCAACAAGCGGCGCAATCGCAGGAAGAAATTCGATTGCAACTGCAGCAAGCCGTTCAGAACATCGTCCAACCGAATGTCTCGTTATCTGCTCCAGTAGTTCCAGCCCCAAAAGCTTCTTTTGGACCCTCCTTGCAGTTTTCCTTGCCACAGCCGTCGCTGTCAAAAGCTTCTACTTCTGTTAATGACTCCTTGGGCATGGCTCAGCTCCGACTGGGCAACGGCACTCTGGCCAGACCAACTCCCAATTGTGCCGAAATCAGCGCTGCCGTCGACGACTGGCTGAACCAAATGAACGGCGAAGTCAGCCAGAAAAGTGTCGCACCCGAAGCTGAGGAAGTGAAGAAAGAGCCCGATGAATCTAAGCACGTCGATGATCTCTTTTTGTGAGTGCTTTCAATTTAATTAAAAATGTAAAACAAGCCCAAAAAAATAGCAACGATCTCCCCGACGTAGTAGAAATCTCGGACTTATCAAAAAAATTCTCAAGGAATTTAGAAAGTTATTTAAAGCACTATATATAAACAAAGAAACGTTTTAGAGATATGAAAACTGTTCTGAAATATTTTCCCAAAGGCTTGCGCGAATAATTCTGCAGCTAATCTGTTGGCTCTCAGGGTTTATCATAAACCCGATGAATGTAGCGACAGAGAGTTTCGCCTTTTTTCCAGGTTTCCTGCTTTATTTCTTCCTCACGATATGCTTTTTTTTCCATCAATACAACTTCACTCAACAGCTAGTTTCCCATTTAATCGAAAAATTTCAGTTCGAATCAACCACAGGACGACGTCGTGGATACGTTATTCACCATGGTCGATCCCATCAGTGACGTTTCTTCCAACCTTTTCGATATGACTGCTTCTTCCAGCGCACAAGCCCCTCTCAGTCCAGTTCAGGTGAACTTATTTCTAAATGCAAGTCAGTAACATAGTTTCTATTTCAGTTTACGCCTCCTGATTCTCCAACTGGGATTCTAACCAACGCTGAACTTTTTGGTATTCCAACTCCAAAAAAACTGGTTCAAAACTGTGCTCCAAGTACTTCGGGAATCAGTGCAACTAAAACAATCGTGCATGGTGATTCATCACGAAAAAAAAAATAAATCCAAGCTTTTTTCAGAAAATCCACCACAAAGCTCTTTCAAAATACCTGAACTGCCACCTGCAATGAAACCGAAAAAAGATCCTATTTATGCAAGAACTGTTGTCAAAAGCACCAAGGTAAGGACTGAATGTTCTTCTGAAAACTCATTGAGAACTCAGGTTCCTGTCTACAAACAAAGGATGAGTGCGTTTACCGCTACAAAACCCGATGATAAGAAAGAAGGTATGAAGTCTAAAATTTTCCGAAAAGGTTCAAAGAATTTTTGTTCAAGACAAAGAAGACGAGTACTCATTCGATGACGAAGAAGCTGGTCCGTCGCTTCTGCCTCTTCTGAAACAAAAGGAGCCAGAGGTTATCAACCAGCCAGGGATTACTTGAAAATTATGTTTTCCAGGCCATACTCAGCTCCGAGTCTCGCAGTAAATATGTTCCTGGAATCGGTTTCGCCATCACTGTGGATGGATCAACGGTGAGACTTGACTGAACATGATTTTTTAAATGAATCGATTTTTCAGGAGGGGAACAAAACAGGAAAACGTCGCACTTATGGAGAGCGTCATAACACTACCGGCCAATATTTGCAACAGATTTCGGATTCTCATCACCAAGGTTGACCTTACTCCGAAAATTGTTTCTTAATCTGAAGTTCCAGCCCGAGTCGTGGATCCCGATTTTGTGACGCTTGCCGAGCAAATTCGTAGGAGAAATAATCAGCGTTTGGCCTGCACTTTCCTGACCCCAGAACTCAGTAACAGCACTGAATGCGCCAAAGAAGTCGGGAAACCAACGTATGTTTTCATTTCGGAATCCCTGAAAATAGTTTGCTTCAGAAGTCTCCACCCTCCGCTTCCAAAGTTGATCATCAAAATTCAAAGAAAAGCATCCGAAGTTGAAACGAAACCTCTGACAAAGAATGGGAAGAAGCGAGGTCGTCGGAAGAAGATTGTGGAAAGCGACGAAGATGATGACAGTGACTGGGAAGGCAGTGCTCCAAAGAAACGAGGTCGTAGAGGCCGCAAAAGCACGGAAAAGTGAGTACACTAGGGGTTTTTTTCTTAATAATACGCCATTTTCAGATTCAGCTACGAAGTGAAACTCGTGGAGAAGCCTCGGGAACCTTTGGACAGCTTGGACTCTTGGGATCGGGTACAGAATACTGGTTCGTTCATTTTTCAACTAGAAGTTTGATAAAAGAAAAAGAAAAAAAGTGCGTTTTGGAATCCAATAGTAGAGGTAAAAATAGAAACCTAGTTTACAAATGTTCTTTCTTGCTGCCTTTACATTTTTGAGGCATTCCGACTCGAACAGACAGGAGAAGCCAAATTAGATTAAGCTTCAGAAACAAACTTATCCTTGAATTTCGAGTCACTTTGGGAAATTTGGACCGCCTTTCTCAGAGATATGGGCAATATCATTTTTTTTATTTCAGGAAATAAAAGAGGTCTGAAAGACTCCCGCCTTGGGGCCAACAACCAAGTGGTTTCGACGGACTCAGTTCGCTATCGACTGAGTAAATTTGGTTCGGCGGAGGGACACTTGCCGGTAAGAAAAACTTTCCTAAGCACTAATAATAATCAAGTTTTTTGCAGAAAGGGACTTTCGTAGTGAACAAAGCAGATGTTCTCAAACCGGACTGTGCTCTCTGGAAAGTGGACAATCAGAATCTTCTCCAGAAATTCCCACCTCGACTAGATCATGCATCAAAAGGAACAGTCTACAAGAACAGCAGTACTGTAAGTTAGGATTTTTTTTAAACCTCGAAGAAAAAATTCTAAGCAAACAAAGTCAAAAAAAAATTGTTGATTTATCTAAGAGTAATGAAAAACTTGGAAAAAGTAAAATAAAATTCCCCATTTTTCAAAGTGGAATTTTTTTGATGTTTTAAAAAGGATACTTAATCGGAATGTTGCAAATCAATCGAAAAAAATACACTTATGGCAAAAATTCTGAAAATGAAATTATCAAGTTTCAAAAAAAGTCCATCCAATTCATAACTTTTTCCGAACTGCTTTCGATTGTCAATGTTTTTCGAAAAAAATTGATTATCCCTCAAACAGCAAAAATTTAAGAGACACCTGAATCAATTAAAAACCAAACTAAAAGAAAAAGAAAGCTGTAAAAAACTCAATAATGAAAAGATGAATTTCCTGTTTCAGTACTCCGGCTGGTGCGAGCAAATATCCTCGCATTACTACCGCGTTTCTGTTCGCGTTATCAAACAGTCCCGATCTGAGACCATAATCGTGCCGGAGATTCCTTTGCAAGAGCTTTTTCCAGCCATGTCTACGGAATGCTTCGACTCTAGTGATTCTTATGGTTACACAGGTGCCACAAAACTTCCTAATTTCTTAGAGGATGTTTTTATTTTCAGAGCCATCCGTGAAACATGTTGACGAGAGCATCATGTTACGAGATCCGCTGAAAGAAGCTCTTCACACCTACACTCAGGCCGTACTCACCCACGCAATCAATCTCGAATATCTCCAAGTGATGGAACAGAAAAATGGTGACATTTATAACCGAACAAATAAATAATTTCGTTTTTTTCCTCAGACTGGACGTTTTTGAGAGCGGTCACTGACATCGACAAGGTTAATGAAGAAATGGTCTCGAAAATCCGCGACCATGTCAAACTCGGGAACAAATACGATGACACGTTGAAGGAGTACATTCATCTGGTTATAAGCGAAAACGAATACTTCTCGAGTTGCTGTCAAGTTGGTTTTTCAAAATTGAACGAATAATATCACTTAAAAAAATACATTGTTGAAACTTTCTGGGCTCAGGAACTGACAAGTAAGGGTAATCTTTCATTTTTCGTACTGTGAAAAGTTAAAGCTTGCACCGTCAAGGAGTAGAAGAAATAGAAAAATAACAAAAAAAGCTCAATTTTTGATTCTCTTGATTTGAATTATTTTTCATAGTTCATTCCCCATTGGCTTGCGATGAAATCAAGAATATTATCCGCAATTACTTTTCCCTGCGCCTTCAAAAGTCGCAAATACTTATCAAATAAATTATAGATGGATTATTTTTTTGAGTGGCTAAAAAAATATCAGCAAATAAACAAAAGTTTAAATACAAGAGTTTTTTTAAACGACGAGCTACGAAAAATCAGATCTTTCCAGTCAAAACTCGATGGTCTCTTTTTGACTGAAAGTTTCTATCAAATAAAATGTGCGGAGTCTTACAAAATCAAAATCGGATAATTTAAAATGTTTTTTCAAAAAAAGAAAACCTTTAAGAATCGTTCACTAGGAGAAATAATAAAAGAATAAATTTAGGCATGCGGAAAAAGGAACGCGCAAAAAATCGCTCATTTGTTTTGTCGAATGAAGTACGATGCCAAAACTCTACAACTGGAAAATGAAAAGGACAAAAAAGACGAGAAAGACGAAAAAGACAAAAAACCCGAAAAAGAAAACTCGGGCGAGAAACCCGCCGTTGTGAGTTTTTAATGGAAAATGCTGATTTCGTGAATATTTCATCAACTTTTCAGGAAATTATGATGTGCGAGACTTGTGCAAACGCTTTCAAATATCTCCACCGAATGCATCACATCAAACTGCACCTCCTCAAACGATGTGAAGACAGGGTGAGATAATCGGATTGTATTGATTATTTTACTTAATTAGGAAGGTAATCAATAATCACCATTTTCTGGTCTTTTTTTTGATATCTATGCATGGAAATTCTTAAAAAACATTTTTGAATTTGCTTAAAGAAAAATAAACTTCTTTGACTTCCAAGAAAAAAATCGACCAAGACCATGCAAAAACTAGAAAATATTTTTCGTTTTTTAACTTTCTAAATAATTCAAAAAGTGCTATGATGTATGTTGATAGTTTTTCAATGCAGTACATGAAAATACATATTTAAGATAATTTTTTTCATTACAAGTTTGCAAAAAAATAAATACAGTACCGTCAGAAAAAAATGGGGAAATTTCGATTTTTTTAAAATCATAACTGTCTTGTAAAAAAACATCAAATTTTCTGGAAAGTTCTATGTCTGTGCTAACTGTCAATTAAAAAACCATGATAGAACTTCAACTTGCAGTAACAAAAAAACAGCTTAGAGTGTTTCAGAATGATTTAGCTCCATACAAGGAGATTATGAGTAAAAATGTTTTCTTATCTCCTATGACGATACTGTATATAGAAATCTTCGAAAAATAAAATTTCAGCTGGAAGGAAATTATTATTCTGTTTAAGAGGTTTATTGCAGCTGGAGTTCTGGGGTACACGACATCCCGAATACACGCCGGAAAAAGTCCTGGACACGGTTCGAAAGGATCGTCCATGGCTCCACGCCTTGATCTCAGAGTACGCGGATATGTGGCGACGAATCCGGCTCGAATACTAATTATTGCACTTGTTTTGTAGTTGTCCCACACGATCACCTCAGCAGGAAATTATTTCATTTCCACTAGCTTCTTGAGAGAGAATTCAAATCAAAAAAATTGTTTTTCAATCAATTTTTATGACCTCAGTTCAGCTTCTTAAAAAGATCTAATAAGTTCTCGTAGATTAAATATGAGTTCGCCAAGAAGAATGTTTTTTTCTTTGTATGTTTCTTTTTTCTGCCATCCTCATTTAAAGCCAGTATGCCGTCGTATGTCTTTTCTAAACCGGTATATAGTTTTTTTTCTCTTTTAATTTTTAAAAACATGTTTTCTGTAAATTTGCTTGTGAATGCGCTTCGTTGTCATTTTTTATGTTTGAAAATGTCGTTTCTTAGGTACATTCCCACTTTGATTTCAAACAAAAATGCCTACCAAAGAACTCACAAGAAGTTTTCCTCACTGTTTCATTCGTGAATCTGCCTTTTCTTGGATTTTTTCCTCAGCCTCCTGCCTTCAATTGGTTCTAAGTTTGTTTCGCATTTTTTGTGTTGCTCAGATCTCAATTTGTATTGAGAATAAATGAGATTGTTTCTAAATTGAACTGGATTGATTAAAAAAAATGAAATTTTCATAAATTTTCGAGATATCATTCTCTTACCTTATGTACTATGAAATGTTCAATCCAAAAACATCTAGAAAAAAACTAGTTTTTGTGATTTGCAAAATATGGGCTCTAAAAAGAAAGCTTTTGATTTTAGTAAAAACTTGAAAACGCGAAATTAACTTTGAATAACGTTTCTCAACTATTAAGCTCAATCACAAGTTTAAAAAGTTAGCATTTCAAACAAAATGTTTAATTTTTTTAAACAAAAAAACCAAGTTTTTCAAGAAAAAGAAGAATTTTTAATTTTTGAAACAAAAAAATACTTCCTAAAAAAACAGTCTCTCACCGGCGAAATTTGATGATAAGGTTTTGCAACTTTCAACTATCTTTTGAGCGTTTCGTGAATGAGCAAATGCCTCCTCTTCAGGTTCAGCTACGAAGTGAAACTTGTGGAGAAGCCTCGGGAACCTATGGACAGTTTGGACTCTTGGGATCGGGTACAGAATACTGGTTCGTTCATTTTTTTTTCAACCTCACTGCCAAAGTCGGAAGTGCGGAAAACGGGTGCAAAAAGGGAGTGACTGCAAAATGGCCGCTAAAAGGGTCCCTTTTCACGGACTTTATTGAGCCTTTCATTCTTGGTGGGCTAAAAAGGGTCCTAAAAGGGCGAAAAACGGGAGAGGCCGCAAAAAGGGTAAAGAAAGAGTGAGGGGGTAAAAGGGTTCTGAAGACCTCTGCTATTGATGATTTTCTATTTTATTACTGTAGCTTATTTCGGTTCATACACAGTCACTTGTAAAGATTACTCATAATTTAAAAAAAAAATTGTATTTCTCAAAAGGGTCCAAAAAGAGTGGATGAAGGCCGATGAAATGACGCAAAAAGGCAGTGAATAGGAAACCTCTGCCACCCGTTTAGGAACAATTAATGTAAACACACGGATCCGTAACGGACGCTCAAAGGGCCCGTGAAGGGTCCTTCCGACTTATGCTGACGTTTATAAAAAAAAGTTAAAAAAAAGGTTAACGCTGAATTGAGCTTCAGAAATTAATAGTAGAGGTAAAAATAGAGACAGGCTCAAAGAACCTAATTTTCAAATGTTCCTTCTTGCTGCTTTCCCATTTTCGATGCATTCCGTCTTGAACAGGCAGAAGAAGCCGGATTGGATTAAGCTTCAATTGAAAAACCTATCTTTAAATTTCGAGTTGCTTTGGGATTGTTCTATTTCAGGAAACAAAAAAGGTCTGAAAGACTCCCGCCGTATGGCCAACAACCAAGTGGTTTCGACGGACTCAGTTCGCTATCGACTGAGTAAATTTGGTTCGGCGGAGGGACACTTGCCGGTAAGAAAAACTTTCCTAAGCACTAATAATAATCAAGTTTTTTGCAGAAAGGGACTTTCGTAGTGAACAAAGCAGATGTTCTCAAACCGGACTGTGCTCTCTGGAAAAAGGACAATCAGAATCTTCTCCAAAAATTCCCACCTCAACTAGATCATGCATCAAAAGGAACAGTCTACAAGAACAGCAGTACTGTAAGTTAGGATTTTTTTTAAACCTCGAAGAAAAATTCTAAGCAAACAAAGTCAAAAAAAAATTGTTGATTTATCTAAGAGTAATAAAAAAACTTGGAAAAAGTAAAATAAAATTCCCCATTTTCAAAGTGGAATTTTTTTGATGTTTTTAAAAGGATACTTAATCGGAATGTTGCAAATCAATCGAAAAAATACACTTATGGCAAAATTCTGAAAATGAAAGTATCAAGTTTCAAAAAGTCCATCCAATTCATAACTTTTCCAAACTGCTTTCGATTGTCAATGTTTTTTCCGAAAAAATTGATTATCCCTCAAATAGCAAAAAAAAAATTCAAGAAACACCTGAATCAGTTGAAACATAACGGCAAAAGAGAAAACAGTTCAAAACTCAATGAGAAGATGAATTTCCTGTTTCAGTACTCCGGCTGGTGCGAGCAAATATCCTCGCATTACTACCGCGTTTCTGTTCGCGTTATCAAACAGTCCCGATCTGAGACCATAATCGTGCCGGAGATTCCTTTGCAAGAGCTTTTTCCAGCCATGTCTACGGAATGCTTCGACTCTAGTGATTCTTATGGTTACACAGGTGCCACAAAACTTCCTAATTTCTTAGAGGATGTTTTTATTTTTAGAGCCATCCGTGAAACATGTTGACGAGAGCATCATGTTACGAGATCCACTGAAAAAAGCTCTTCTCACCTACACTCAGGCCGTACTCACCCTCGCGATCAATCTCGAGTACCTCCAAATGATGGAACAGAAAAATGGTTATAATTATAGCAGAACCAGGAATTAACTTTGTTTTCCTCAGACTGGACGTTTTTGAGAGTGGTCACTGACATCGACGAGGTCAATGAAGAAATGGTCTCGAAAATCCGCGACCATGTCAAACTCGGGAACAAATACGATGACACGTTGAAGGAGTACATTCATCTGGTTATAAGCGAAAACGAATACTTCTCGAGTTGCTGTCAAGTTGGTTTTTTTTTCAAAATTGAACGATTAATATCACTTGAAAGAATACATTGTTGAAATTTTCTGGGCTCAGAAACTGACAAGTAAGGGTAATCTTTCATTTTTCGTACTGTGAAAAGTTAAAGCTTGCACCGTCAAGGAGTAGAAGAAATAGAAAATAACAAAAAGTTCAATTTTGATTCTCTTGATTTGAATTATTTTCATAGTTCATTCCCCATTGGCTTGCAATGAAATCAAGAATATTATCCGCAATTACTTTTTCCCTGCGCCTTCAAAAAGTCGCAAATACTTATCAAATAAATTATAGATGGATTATTTTTTTGAGTGGCTAAAAAAATATCAGCAAATAAACAAAAGTTTAAATACAAGAGTTTTTTTAAACGACGAGCTACGAAAAATCAGATCTTTCCAGTCAAAACTCGATGGTCTCTTTTTTTAACTGAAAGTTTCTATCAAATAAAATGTGCGGTGTCTTACAAAATCAAAATCGGATAATTTAAAATGTTTTTTTCAAAAAAAGAAAACCTTTAAGAATCGTTCACTAGGAGAAATAATAAAAGAATAAATTTAGGCATGCGGAAAAAGGAACGCGCAAAGAATCGCTCATTTGTTTTGTCGAATGAAGTACGATGCCAAAACTCTACAACTGGAAAATGAAAAGGATAAAACAGACAAGAAAGACGAAAAAGACAAAAAACCCGAAAAAGAAAACTCGGGCGAGAAACCCGCCGTTGTGAGTTTTTAATGGAAAATGCTGATTTCGTGAATATTTCATCAACTTTTCAGGAAATTATGATGTGCGAGACTTGTGCAAACGCTTTCAAATATCTCCACCGAATGCATCACATCAAACTGCACCTCCTCAAACGATGTGAAGACAGGGTGAGATAATCGGATTGTATTGAATATTTTACTTAATTAGGAAATTAATCAAAAATACGATTTTTTTTTTGTTTTTTCCCAATCCCCATTACTTCAAAATATTAACAAGCATTTGTGAATAAGAAAATAAGTTTCTTTGACTTCCAAGAAAAAAATCGACCAAGACCATGCAAAAAAACTAAAAGACATTTTTTTCGTTTTTTTAACTTTCTAAATAATTCAAAAGTGCTATGATGTATGTTGATAGTTTTCAATGCAGTACATGAAAATACATATTTAAGATAATTTTTCATTACAAGTTTGCAAAAATAAATACAGTACCGTCAGAAAAAAATGGGGAAATTTCGATTTTTTTTAATCATAACAGTCTTGTAAAAAAATCAAATTTTCTGGAAAGTTCTATGTCTGTGCTAACTGTCAATTAAAAAACCATGATAGAACTTCAACTTGCAGTAACAAAAAAACAGCTTAGAGTGTTTCAGAATGATTTAGCTCCATACAAGGAGATTATGAGTAAAAAAATGTTTTTCTTATCTCCTATGACGATACTGTATATAGAAATCTTCGAAAAATAAAATTTCAGCTGGAAGGAAATTATTATTCTGTTTAAGAGGTTTATTGCAGCTGGAGTTCTGGGGTACACGACATCCCGAATACACGCCGGAAAAAGTCCTGGACACGGTTCGAAAGGATCGTCCATGGCTCCACGCCTTGATCTCAGAGTACGCGGATATGTGGCGACGAATCCGGCTCGAATACTAATTATTGCACTTGTTTTGTAGTTGTCCCACACGATCACCTCAGCAGGAAATTATTTCATTTCCACTAGCTTCTTGGAGAGAGAATTCAAATCAAAAATTGTTTTCAATCAATTTTATGACCTCAGTTCAGCTTCTTAAAAAGATCTAATAAGTTCTCGTAGATTAAATATGGGTTCGCCAAGAAGAATTTTTTTTTCTTTGTATGTTTCTTTTTTCTGCCATCTTCATTCAAAGCCAGTATGCCGTCGTATGTCTTTTCTAAATCGGTATATAGTTTTTCTTTCTTTTTAATTTTTTTAAAAAAACATGTTTTCTGTAAATTTGCTTGTGAATGCGCTTCGTTGTCATTTTTTTATGTTTGAAAAATGTCGTTTCTTAGGTACATTCCCACTTTGATTTCAAACGAAAATGCCTACCAAAGAACTCACAAGGAGTTTTCCTCACTGTTTCATTCGTGAATCTGCCTTTTCTTTGACTTTTCCTCCTCCTTCTGCCTTCAATTGGTTCTACGTTTGTTTTGCATTTTTTGTGTTGCTCAGATCTCAATTTGTATTGAGAATAAATAAGATTGTTTTTAAAGTGAACTGGATTAATTTTAAAAAAATGAAATTTGCTTAAATTTTCGAGATATCATTCTCTTACCTTATGTACTATGAAATGTTCGATCCAAAAGCTTCTAGAAGAAAACTATTTTCTCTGATTTGCAATATATGGGCTCTAAAAAAAGCTTTTTAATTTTATTAAAAAAACTTGAAAAAAAGCAAAATTAACTCTGAAAAAAACGTTTCTCAACTAGTAAGTTTAATCACAAGTCAAAAAAAGTTAGCAATTCAAAAAATGTTCAATTTTTAAATCAAAAAAACCAAGTTTTTCAAGAAAAGAAGAATTTTAATTTTTGAAACAAAAAAATACTTCTTAAAAAAACAGTCTCTCACCGGCGAAATTTGATGATAAGGTTTTTGCAACTTTCAACTATCTTTTGAGCGTTTCGTGAATGAGCAAATGCAAAAGATAACAATGATTACTGATGTTGGGCCCCTGTTTGAATGATAGAAACTGCAGTTACTGAAAAATGTAAATCCGTTGCATTATTAAAACTGCTGACGTGCCGACGGGAGAAACAAGGGTTCAAACTGGCGCTGGAAGGGGGCACGCGAGTGAGCCGCGCCGCGCGCCGTCAGTGCGTGGAATGGACAAAACACGTTTCTTCGTAGCGGCCGCAGCAGTGTGTACGGCGGCGAGCGGCCGTTGCCTCTCCATTTGACCCTCGTATTGATTTCGCGTTGATGCCATTCCAGGGCCTACTTTGCCACGTCCGTCCTGTCGGGCACAGTTACCAGACAACCGTGCAAGTTCGCCTCGTAGGTAAAATCCCGACGGGCGGCGCGGCCGCAGCAGTTGGCGTTTCGTCCTGCCTCTTCTCTCCCATCTCCTCGCATTGGTTTTAGGCCCTTCTTCTTTGCTGTTTTTCCGACTTTCTTTTTGATTTTCAAGTTTTACTCGTTTTTCCCAAACTTTGCTCTTGTTGAACTATGTCCAATTCAACGAAAAATTTTAGGCCAGTACGGAAAAGCCGCAATCCTGCCGCCTTACACCATTCAACCGAATCAGCGTGGGACCGCTCAACAAACCCAAGTACTTTGTTTTTATTTTATTTTTTGGAAGTGAGAAAAGATGATTTCTCTTTCGATCCTTGTTTTTCCACAATTTTGCTGCAGCCCACGCTCTCTGTTCTATTTCTTCTCATTGATTGATTGTTCCCACGGTCGATTTAATGGATCGTTTTCCGTCTTTTGAGAACAAGAAAACGTATCATTGCTTCCCGAGACATTTACAATATTTTTTATTGCTGGCGTGGTTTTTTGTTGAAGTTTGCGTGCATTTCAGCAAATGGCGGCAATCGAAGAGGTCGAGGAAGGAGCGCCCGGAGGTTCGTCGGCCGGCGGCGCCGGAGACACGTCCAACGGTGTCGACGCTCGGGAATCCGAACAAGGGCCGCCGCAATACGGTTAGTCACTTTCAACATTTCAATAATTGAAAAAAAAAGTAAATTGAACGCAAATTTGGGTGTTGATAGTTCAAAGTGTATTCATTTTCTGTGGGAGAAAGTTTGAAAAATCCCCGCATTGTCGGTTCGAAAATCGAGTCAAATTAAAGTTTTATTGTGAAAAATGGATGTAAGAGTAAACGAGGATTTTCTGATCATTAAAAACGAGGGAAAAGAGTCTTGAAAAAAAAAATTTGTAAATGTTGCTCTTAAATGCACCTACACTTTGAGAAAAGGTCAGAAGTTTTGAAAATATCACTAGATAACTGCATTTGAAAAGTGAACGTGAATGTATGAATGAACACGCCATCTCCGCACACAATTGGCTTTTTTTCACAGAAATTGGAAATCAAAATAAACACTTTAATGCATGCAGTTATTCTCATTTCTCGTACGTTCTTTTCAATAAAAGTCACCGTTTTGCATTTTTTTTTTTGATACCGTCAAAGCGGTGAGTTCGTCTAACTTCGAGGCCGCTCTCTCTTTTGCTGTCACTGGTTAGTTCGTTTTTTCCGTTTCGGCATCGCCTTATCGTTCGGAGAAAAGAGAAAAAAGAATGGCCTCAAGGATCGCTCTTCGTCTTCGTTCTCGTCGTAACAATATTTCAAAACGGACGAAATTGAGGCCGATGTGCATGGTAGAGTCGCTGAACATTTCCTGGCAGGCCGAGCTTTTTGAAATTTTTTTGATGTCGCCACTCGAGTGATTACGTTTTTTTCTGATGATCGCTGCAAGAGTTAGGAAGGTTTTTGTAAGTTTCAGAAACAGTAACAGAGAAAATGATGCATATATCACAAAATGCACGCTTAATGAAGTTTTCAATAGTAAAAACCCGTAAATCGTCGCTTAAAAAGTTGCAAATCGATAATATTTGCGTGCGCCTTAAAGTTTTCAGATTTTCAAAGTTCAGCGATCATTTTAAAAACAAGAGTACTGTTTCTAAAAAAAAATCGATTTTTTTCAAGTGGTCAAGTTATTTTTTTAATGATAGCTCAGGTTAAAGATTAAAAAAACGCCATGAAAAATGTAGGTACAAAAAAATAAAAACTCTACAACATTTGTATCTAAAAAAAGAAAAAAAGCTTTTTTTACATCGTTTCCAAGATGAGAATTGAAATTTCTATTGAAACATAAAAAAATAATTTCATTTGAGCGCCGCGTTCTCTCATAATTGCATCACGTTATGTAATGTTGGTAGGGGTCTGTCTTTTTTGCGCTCCCCTTGTGTGTAACATGGACCTTCTCCTTCTTTCTTTTTTGCCCCAAAGACCGTCTCGTCGCGTCGAACGGACAAACCACCGACTTTGGTTACAGTTGGATTGGGAAAAATACAATACCTTCGGGTCGTGAGGGCAATCGATAATTGCGAACGCGCTCTCGGGCACAGACACACATGCGCACACTTTTTTTTTCTTCTCACCACTGAAATATCACCGCTCACCCTTGATGTTTGTTACACATCAATCTTTTTTAAGATAGGTAGTTACTGTGAAAGATGATAGAATGTTTTATCATGTGTCTAAATAACTAGAGGCCTCTAAAACCTATAAGAAACCTTTTTTTTTGGATATTGGCGAAAAAAATTCGAATAACGTACTTTACTATTTCAGTTTTTGGTTGTTAACAATTTCTCTAGCTAACGATGGAGTGATTCAAATTTAAAGCATACAAGTAGAAATACTTTATTTTCTGGAATAAAAATCGTTGAATACTCAGGCAACAGTTTTCCTAAGCTTCCTTTTTTGACAGGCTATACGAAATTCATAAAAAGTTACACAGCTACTTTAAGTTTGTCTTTTTCAAAGGCTTCAATTTGACATGTGTAATGTAAGGTTTCTAGAACGGATTGATTGCCACGCAATACATGGCTATTTTGAAAAAAATTGAAGATGCTGGACGTTTTTTTTATCGAATGAATTGCGTATCGAGTTTGATTGACAATGTTTATGTCTTGTTTGTTAATAATTGCTTTTTTATTTCAAAAAGAAAAAAAAAACACCTGTTGAGAAAAAAATTGAAAACATTTTGCTCAACAGATGTAACAATTTATTGCGATCGAAAAATGTTTTGTTTGGAAAAGAAATATCGTTTGAACTTTAATGGGTAATATATTTTTCAAAAAAACTTATTTTTTTATCTTTCTTTTGACGTTTCCGTTAATGACAAAAAGTAATTAGAACCAGTCGACGCATGACGCCTCTAAAACTCATATTACGTGACTAAATTCACATCTAAACGCCGTAAAAACTTTCCGCTCGTTTGCGTTTGAAAATTGTTTATCGGGAAGATGAGTTCAAATGACTAATTTTCGTAAGAACAGCAGATAATTAAAAATATTTTTGATGACTCACTGTATAGAGCCAAAGTTTAATTAAAATTCTTTTGACGTTTGCTCTCATTTTTTTTTTCATTTCGAATTTCATCTCGTAATCAAGAAATTTGCAGACTTTGGTGGACCATCTGGACGCGCGATGTCGCTCGAGTGTCATCCGAACGCATCGATGAACCGTCGCTTTGCTGGAGGGAGGATGAATCTTTGCATCTTGCACCAAGGCGCGGGACAGCCTTCTCATCGGTGAATAATCATAAAAACCAGAAATTTTGAGCAAGATCGCCTTTGACTCTGTTCAAATTCCATGCAAAAAGATTGAAAAATATATATCAGAGAGACTGCGAATGAGCATATCGATTTTTCAGCCCAATCCGCAAGATCGTGACTTCCGTGGCTTGTCAAACGGATGACGACGAGGAGTTCGGCCCGATCACGCCATTCGCCCAAAGTCAGTGAAACTTGCAAACATTTAAGAAAAATACCTCAAATTTCAGGTAACGATGGCGCCTCGTGTTCGGATGGAGTTCTGAGGCTTATGATCCAGAACTTCAGAAACATGGGCGATACTGTGCGAGGACCGAGCAAACGGATCCAAGGCGTCTGCTGGTGAGATAATAAAAGAAAACTTGAAAGATACTCCGTCAGAAGCTGTTTGCCACACTTCGTTTTTCCAGGATGATAGTTTGAAGACTCATCGTTTAATTTTTGAAAACAATTGTTTATGAACTTCTTAGAAAAATGCGAGTAGGGGTGAGATTCACAGAGAACTAGAAAGGTCAAAGTTGCTTCAGGCAACGCCCCACTCCAGTGTCTTTGAACACATTTGACCAACCAATTTTCCAGGCGCATAATGGTGATGCCTCGTCAGCACGTCGTCCAGAAGAAAGGGACGCAAAAATGCCTGGGTTTCTTTCTTCAATGCTGCCCTGAAGCGTACTCCGAGTACGTCCTAGAGTGAGTCGTCAGTTTGGGCGTTTTGACCTTAATCACACCGTGTTTATTTTCACAGAATAAAAAGCAATAGATTCTGATGCAAAAAAAAGAATCAATCTCGTTCATCAAGTTCCACTCTGGATCATAAAACGTTCTTTGCTCTTAGAGATCATAGGCACAAAAAATCGATAAGTTGAAAATATCTAGTTTGAAACCATGTCTTGCAGCGCGTGGTCGTGCCAAGCGTCGGCTGAATTGCGCCTCATCTCGCAAAAGGCTGGCGTCCCGCACTTCACCCGGAAGACCAACCACATCTACACGGCCAAGGAGAACGACTGGGGCTACTCTTGCTTCATGACTTGGGCTGACATCCTTGATGAGTCTCAGGGCTACATCAAGGACGACCGAGTTGTCCTCGAAGTAACTGTTAAGGCTGACCCTCCAAAGAACATCCTGTCAGTTTTTTTGTATGATTTTTTTCTTTACATCCAACTATACTGCATCATGAACACATATTTACAGGACCTTGGAAGACTTTCGCAAAAGCATCCAAAACTGGTATGACCTGGCGGACATGCAGTATCACCGTGGATGCATTGATCTCGCGATCGAAGCCAACGCCCAAGCCATCAAGTTCTGCAAGGAGAAAGATCCCGAATGCCAGACGCGTTTGATGGAGCAGAAGAACTTTTTCATCGACATGAAGCTTGTCGAGAGCATCCATCGCATCGAGAAAGGTATGTTGACTGGTATTGATCCTAGCAATACTCCTATTCGAACAATTTTTGCAGTTTGTGGCAAAGAGGCGAAAAAAGAGGAGGACGGTTCTTCGAACCAAAACGCTGTTCGTCTGGCTCTTACTGCTAACACCAGCAAGAGCAATAAGAAGGACAAAAACAAGAAGAACATGAAGGTTGGCTCAATCTATTTCGTTCTCATTTTTCATTTTTTCATTAACAGAACAAGAAAGGCCGAGCTGCGACCCCGAGTACTCAGGAACAGCAGAAGCAGCAGCTCCAACAGCATCTGCAGCATCAACAACAGCTCCAGCAAAAAGTTCATCAGCAGCAGTTGTTGCAGAAGCAAAAGTTGGAGAAACTGCAACAACAGCATCAGCAAGTTCAAAAGCTGAAAAATGCCCGAATCATCAGCGAAGTGAAAACGGAGAAAGCCAACTCTGTCCAAAACAGTGCCGGAATAGCTGGCAAAGCCGTCAAGATAATAGCAAAAGCGTCTCCGGCTTCTCCCCCACCGGCCAAAAAGGCTGCTCTGGAGAAGAAGGGCAAGAATGAGAAAGAGAGCGATGCCAAGGAAAAGGAAAAAGACCAGAAGAATGAGAAGAAGAAGGAGTCTGACAAGAGTGACAAGCCTGAGAAGAACGAAAAAAACGACAAGAACGACAAGAACGAGAAGGACGAGAAAAAGGGAGGCAATGACAAGAGCGGCAAAGACGACAAGAAAGACAAAGATGACAAGGGTGATAAGAAAGATCAGAAGGATAAAGACGAGAAGAGCGACAAGAATGATAAGAAAGAAAAGAAGGAGAAAAAGGATAAGAAGAACAAGAAAAATGCCGGATGCTCAACGTCCACCGAGCCCACGGCTTCTTCCTCGTCTCCCGTCGTCGGCTTTTACAACCCGGTATTTATTTTTTCGATGAATAACATCATTTTTAAGAAAATTTAAAATGAGAATTTCCATCCTTTCAGAAACTGTTCGGAGAGGAAGGCATTGTGACTTGGGCAAAGCGCAGCAAGCAGGAGGACGAGATGTACTCTCGAGTCGTCAACACCATGCAGAGCGACTTCGCACAGCCGGACCTTACGCCTGCTGAGCGCGACTCCTTCGTCATGCGCTACATGACCGAGCAGATGAAACATCTTTACATCCACGACAAGGAGAATAACAAGAAACGCAACTGGTACTCGATGCATCAGCTCCGACAGTTTGCCGAGAACGCTTTTGAAGTTGAGCTCCAGCGCCAGTTCATCATCAAGACCGTCAGTTTTGCTTTCAAAATTAGTTCAAAAAATTCTCACACGCAAAACTACAAATTCCAGTTTTTAATGTACTTGAATGCAAAAAAAAAACTACAAAATATTTTTCTCCTACAATTTTAACCGATTCCAGGCAACCCAACACGCTCGGGAATACATGAACAAAGCCATCGCGAAGGGCGAGGTAAATCTTTCAAAAAGGCTCTTCTTATACAAAATCTCATCAGAAGGTGAGCGGCACGTACGAGAAAGTTGAATGGGACGTCTCCCTGCTGTTCGACAGCAACAAGAAAGACGAGAGAATCAAGATCATTGACCGGGAAGCCGGTTTCCTCGATGCCAAAATTCGTCTTTTTTGGGTAAATACTTCATTCATTCTGAAAATGGATCATGAAAGTAGTCAAAATTCCAAAAAGCTTTTCATCTCAACGGATTTTTGATCTTGAGCAAAAATTATTCATGAACCTTATAATGCTTTTTATCTAGGATGCATTGGGCGGTATGGATGCCTTTGTAAGTTTTGCCTATACATTATTTTTGTCTTCGAGCATGGAAACTTTGTGTTGGGTGGTGTTTGTGTTACTTCTCTGAAATTTTCTGATCGGCTTCAAACTTTCGAGAAACTAACTACTGCATGATTTATCATGTTTTGATCTAATCAATAATGAAACGAATTTCGTTTTCTATTGAATTTCATTTTGCTAGTCCACTGTGAACAAAAATGCACTCAGCAAAATTTTTCCAGGAAGCGAAAAATATTCTGAAAAGAAATCCAGAAGAATGTTTGCTTAATGTTTTTGTTTCATAAAAAGAAACTTTGATTTCTGGTGTTGTGTGATTGTTTCTGTCTCGACCGCACCTCTTTCAGCAATGTCAGAGAATTTTCTCTCACCTTAGCCTACTCCCTTGTCTTCTTCGCTTTGCATGCTTCTTGGTTTCGCTTTGGCACTTTTTTTTATTAAGCATTGAGCTGATTTCAGTTGGAAAGCGATGAGTCGGACCGCGAGTCTGTGTCTTCCCGCGACTCTCATGACCGACAGAACGACGGCTGCATCAAGGCGAAACGGTCCAAGATCGAGCACACTTGCGACTCTTGCCTCAAGGTCCTTTTGCAGATCCGACGAATGATAACTTTACCGAATATCACAAAGATAAAAAAGCCAAAATCTATTCTTACAGCTTGTAATATTTTGAAAAAGCCAGTTGATTTGAAAAACAGGGATGATTTTATTGTAGAATCACTCTTTGTCACACTCGGTAAACTTTCACGGAACCTCGATTCAATTTTTTAAGGCTCAGTAAGCGGGTAATTTATTACACATTCAAAAAAGCTAGCATTTTTTCATTGTATGAGCTTACTCACGCGCATGGTTTTTTTCAAAAAAATAACTTTTTAGTTGAAAAAAATGAACAAAAAAATCTGTTGGATCGAAAAAAAGTTTGATTTCCACTAAAAGCTTTCTCACATCCCTAATAATGATTCAGCCATTTTTTTTATGAGTACTAGAAGTAAAAAAAAATGAAGATGTATTTGGCAATGTCGAACCAAAAAAAGCAAGAAGTTTACAGGAAGCTTACTGTTCGTATCCATACATGTGTGATTCCGAGTGTCAAACGGAACCCGTGCAAAAGCCTGTCGCCGACATTGTCGCGCTGAAGGACCCGTTGGTGGTTTCGATTCCGCCGACGCCTCCTCTTCCACCGGCGCCTCAGGAGCAAGCTCAACCTGTTCCCAACCGCCCGGTGAAAAAGGTCAGAGTTTAAAGTCAATCAGTGGAATGACGCGTGAAACTGCAGGCCAATAAGAAGAACAAGAAGGAAGATGCTTCAACGTTGGTCAACGGACAGGCGCAAACGGAAACGGCGGTTCAAGTCGTCCCGACTGCAGACATTCCCGTCGTTGAGGCTGGCGCCGGCTCGTCTTCCTCCTTGGAAATCGTGGTATGTGGTTAGCTTACACTAATAAGAACCGAAAAATCCTACAAAGCGATTCATTTTTTCTGAAACATTTTCTAAAAATTTTGAATGGAAATGACACAACTGAAACGGGAAAGTAAGAGTTTCTGAAAAATTGCAAGAAATCTGAACATCAACATGACATTCCTTTTTCAGACAATCGACTCGCCGACAGGATCGATGCAAGCGGGTCAGAACTGGGATCCGAATGATGAACATGTAATGAAACCGTGAAGCGACAAAAACATATATGTTTATGATTTTTCTAGTCGCAAGCGATGAATGCTCTGGCTCTTCACTGTGCCTACTATCGACAGCTCGTGGCCAAGTTCGAAGAGCTCATGCACACCATCAGCAAGAACAGCTGTGACCCGGCCGCTCGTTCAACCCTTCGCCTTGTTTCTGTTCTTGCCGGCAATGCCTATGTCGAAAATGACGGTTTTTACATCTTATATTGATTTTTTTCATACCAATCAACTTCAGAAAAATTCTACCTGGAACCTTTGTTCATTCCGGAGCCGTACACTACTGATCCTAACCCTGCCAATTTCTACTCCAGGGTTCTCCAAATCCAAAATCGGGAAATGGCCATCACCAATATGGTTCGTCGCAAGGAAAACCTAACACTGAAGAATGTCTGATTTGCAGCTCAATGAACGCATCGAAGCCTGCCGGGAATATATCCAGAAATACCTCTTTTTCGACAGAGATGATACCGAACGCATGGTTTCCGGCATTCGACGAATCGAAGAGAGCATGAAGCTTATGACGCTCCGACACGCGGATATGAAAAAAGATGCCGAGGAAGCCGATAGGCGCACAAAGAAGATGGAGAAGCAGTTGCGCGACGAGAACAAGAACCTCAAAAACCAATGGACCAACGAGAAAGAGAAAAGCTCGACGCTGAACAAAGAGCTCAAAGAGAAAACGAGATCTGCTAAGAACGCCGAAAACCGCATCAGCAACCTCACGTAAGTTTTTTTCATTCAAGAATGAAAATCAGAGCAGCCACTTTTTACAGCTCTGAGAAAGACGAGCTTGTTGAGAAGCAGAAGCAAATGCAGAAGGAATTGAGCACTGTGCAAAAGAAACTCAACGATGAAACTCAGAAAGCCAAAAGGGAAATTCATCAATTGACGGAAACTAAGAAAGTTCTGCAGGTATTGAAACGGACTTTGCTCTGAAAACTTCATTGTGTGGTTCAGGGAGAGATCAGCCTTCGGGACGCCGACTTGAAGAACCACGTTGCCCAGGCTGAAGAGCATACCGCTCTTTTGAAGAAATTCAAAGATGAGCTCAACACTGAAAAGAACAAGAACAATCAGCTCCAACAAAACCTCACAAATGCCAATGAGCGCGCAAGAAAGAGCGAAGTTTGAAACCAATAATTTCATGGAGCATACGATTTTTTCAGCTCCAAATGCTCACTGTACAAGAAAACTGCGGCTCAATCATCTTCGAACAGCATATTCAAGAGGCTATGCGCACAAGCCAAGAATTGGAGGATATGGCCAACGAAAAGTTTGTCCGGAGAGTGTTTCAAAAATATGTGAAACGTTCAGGAATGGCGATCGTGGCCGATCGGAAAGCGAGATTGCAGCCGCCAAAGCTTCGCGCGAAGAGTGGATCAAGTTCACTGAAGATCTTAATGTAAATTGTTTTTTTCCAGTTTAAAAACAAATTACGAGCTTTCAGACAATCCTCACCACCTTCAAGAGCAGTCACGAAAAGTACATAGAATCGCTCAAGGCCGGCAAGACCATCAGTTCCCTTCCACGGCTCACCATTCCCGAAGTCCCTCCGGCGCCTCAGAAACTCACAGTGAGAGCAAAACTTTGAGAAACATTTATTGAGCGAGAAGTTCCAGTTGCCTCCGATCCCTCCGCCGGAACCTGCTAAGCCATCTCCAGGCGTCATTGGTACTAGACCTGGTGGTCACACCACACGCAACATGTCTCCAAACAACGCGGTTTGTGAAAATAAACATCAAACTTTTCTATCTTAGAGTTTCAGGCTTCTCGCTCTCCAAATACCGCTCAGAATGGACCAATTCTTCAAGGCAACAACCTTCAGAAGCAAGTTCATCCATCGCCTCCGATGCCAAGCAATAACTCACCGTCTCGTCACGGACCAATCGGAAGTCGCCCAAGAAGGGGAACTCCCAACGGAAACGGCGAGACTCCCTCCAGCAGCATGAACGTCGCGCCTACTCAGTCGCTTGGATCTCTGGTTAGCACCTTTTTGAATGATTTTTTGCAAGTTTATAATGTTTCAGTGGTCCGAGAATGTGACACCCAACGCTGAACCTTTCACTTCCAACAAACGTTATGTCAACAATGACTATCGTTAGTTTCAAGAATTTTCGAGCGGTGAAAACTAAAATTCGAATTTCAGTTGGGGCCACCGACCTTGGCAGCGGCTTGTTCGGATCCACTTGGTCGGATGACTCGCCGTGGGGCCCTTCGCTCATTCCCAACGGAATCGCTTCTTCCTCGATCGGCCAGAACTCCAACATAAACAACCTCAACACGGTGCTCACTTCGTCTTCTGGTCTCAACAATTCGTACAATGGAGCTCCCAACGTCACGACCAGCAACAGCTACATGAACCCTTTGAGTACCAACTTTACCAACTCGAGCTCCACTTGGGGAATGACTAGCGATATCCAGCGTCAACTTCTCATGCGCGTGAGTTTAAAGTTAAAATAACTTTTTTCGAAGTTTCATACTTGAAATACATTAAAAGTTGATTCAAGTTCATAAAAGTTGTCATTTCAGCAACATGAGCATCAGCGTCAGCATTTCCAGCAGACGGTCACGGCTCTCTCCAAGAAGATGTCGATGGACATCGATAAGTGCGCGGAGATCGTTCAGGATTTCTGCCGCGACCACAAGATCACCAGCTACAACCTGACCGCCGACGACGCCACTGTCGATCGACTCCGCGAACACTACGCCAAGCGTATTGCTACGATGCGCATGTCGGCTCCACCTGGTGCAGCTCCAGGATATTCGGTCAATCCGCTCATGAACAGCTTCATGATGGAGCGTCAGATGACCCCGACCTTCAATTATCTCGAACATTCGATTAATGATCGCCCCAGTCTTGGCAACGAGAAATGGTCCAACGGAATCTGAACTTGTCAGATCCGTTTAATACTTTTCTCATCTTCACCATGATGACCTTCTCTTTCTTCCAAAGGCAGCTCAAAATAAATGTTCTTGCGCCAATTCCTGTTAAATTTTATTTTATACCAAAATCATATCTCCGTGTTCCAAAGCCACTTGCTCCCATTTCATGATAGCCGTGTTCTAATTTCGGTTGGTTTATGAATAATGTAAACGCCTTCTATGTGCTTTTCACCGAAATCTTATTTTTGATCCCCCCTGACAGGTAGTACTCGGCTCCTTTCGATTTTCAATACACATCCTCACATATATCTATTTTTGCCTCTCTGTGAATTTTATTACTAACTACAATCTTGGATGTTCCTCTTATAATTTTCCATCTACTTCTGGTCTTTTTTAGTAGTTCAACCCGGTCGGAGAGACATTTCGTCTCAATGTAGTTTTTAAGAGGGGTCTTCCTAATTTGTTCCGTTTTACCGTTTTATTTTGTCTTGTTTTACCCGCTTCTTATTCTTTATCGTGCTTCGCTCTGTTCATTGCAGTCTGACCCGTGAAACATCAGTTTGAGGTGAAAAATTGCTGAATTGTTGATTTCCGCCAGAGTCTCCTTTCACTTTTTCCTTCAAACTTACTTCTCTGTCGGCTTTTTTGGAATCGTCTATTGTCGTATTGTGTTCCGCATGTTGAATGTGTTTTTGCGACGAACATCATAAAGTCTTGTAGGTGTGATGGTTTTGAGAAAGACAAAAAGACATGAACGCATTTGTTTCAAGTGAAGCTGTTCAGAAGGCCGAATATGATCACCTGTACACTTTTTAAAAACTATTTTTTTAACATTGAAGTCAGCGAAATTCTTGTTTTCTCTTTGCAAAGGATTTCAGTTTTTTCTCCCAAATACAAAGAAGTTTTGAAAGCTCACTTTCAGAATCTGGAACATTCACAAGATGAGGGGACTGAATTGCGGAAGTTTGTGTGGTGCCGAATAAAATCTCCTTTCTCGCAAATTCCAACGGCGGTCAGAAGAAAAAAAAGTTTATGTAGTTCAGTCTTCCGCTTTGCGCAAAACTTGTGAATGCCGAAAGAGAAACCAGTTCTGCCGATTATATTCTCCGTTGATGGTCAAAAATACACGATTCACAAAAAGTTTGGTGTTTCTAGTACTTTCTAAACCGGTGAAAGTCCAATAGAATAAATCAGTTTTTGCAATTCCTTCGCTGCAAAATCCTTCCAAAAAAGATGAACAAATTTATTTTCATCAGCGTATAACATGTGGGAAAACAGAAAAAATCATTATGGAAAAAATCCTAAACCTGTCAAGCACACTTTATTCTGATAAAAGTTGGCGTATTAAAAAAAAACTCATACAATTTTTTTACTGTAAGATTCAAAAAAAATAGTTATAAATATTTTTTTGAATTACAAACCAAATAACTTGTCAAAATTCTTATCTTCAAATTTTGAAAACATTCTTTCAAACTTGCCAATTTTGTCTCATCGGCTTACTGTAATTTTCAATTAGTTATTTTCTTTAAATTTCAATCCAAAAGTCTAAATCATGAGATTTCAGACAATCTTCTCTAATCTAGCAAAGGTTCAACACATTTCCCACTGAATTTTGGTTACTCTGCATTATTTTCAAGCTTAATAAAATAAGGTATTGCTAATTTAAAAAAATGTCCACTGCAAGATTCATTTTCCTTCAAATTCATTGATGAGAAATTTTATAGATAAAATAATCATATTTCTCACAGATAACACAGTTTAAACCGAAAAAAAATCACGGAGAATCTTAAAATAATTCAGAATGTATGAATTCAAGGAAGTCCGAACGCGAGAGCCGACGAAATACCGAGGGCGCGGAAATGGGTCCCGCCACGATCAATATCTCTCGCGGTATTTCTGTTGTCAATATTGGCTCTTTGCCCGCCATGCATTCCTCCTCCTGCAATTACGTTGTTTGTTTATTTATGTTCAGAAAAAAATAGCAGCAAATTTTTAAATGGTTTAATTGTTTGAGTTCATTTTTTATTATATTTTTATGATTTTTCAAAGCTTCTTTTTTGCCTAAAGAAAAAAAGGTATAAATTCTCTGCTCGCGCCTTTTTTTATGATGAAGGTTTGGAGCTATTACACACTTGTTGATTGAAAGATTATTGTGAAACGTTGGAACGTTAACAAATTCTTGTTTTTTTGTTTTTTGGTGCTGCCTGAATCATGAAAAATTATAAATACACCGGAAATGTGTACTCAGGTGCCACGGACATTTGTTCGTGCAAATGTAAATACAGTTTTTTGGCTTCAAACTGAACTTTACGTTTTCTCAGATTGCACTTAAGGGTTTTAGCGGAGTCTTTTATCGATCCTTTCTTTCACTTCTCTTTCCTCTCTTCCAACAAAAATTACTTTTTCCAAAAATTTTTTCTTTTTCCTACTTCTTCAATGCTTTCAATTGAATAAGTTAGAATGAAATAATAAAAACCTTTTCAACAGAAAGTTGCACGAAACGCAGCGTTTTCCGGTCTTTTTTCACTAATCTCTTGTTGTTATGGTTCGTATCACATTGAATCGATAATGCAAAACAGTAAGGGGGAGATTAAAGTTGTTCGATGTTTCTGTTCTTGTCTCTGATATTTGTTTTTTTCATTTTTTTGTTTTTTTAAAAACATTTCAATCAGGATTTTATCAATGATTCATTTTATTGGGTTGATGTACTGATGATTCCCTTATCAAATTTTTAAATCGGTTATCACCACATGTTGAATTCATACCGAAACGGTTTCCCTTCCTTACAAATACGATTCCCGTGCTTCCCATTTTAGTTTTGAATTAATTCAGGTCTTTTTCAGCTGTCTTCATTAAAAGAAAAGTTATTTGAGGCCCAAAGGCCTACATGAACGCTCATCAAATAATCACAGGAGCGTTGAATGACGGCGAAAACGTTTATTCCATTGGCAGCGTCGAAGGGATCACATTCACGGTGAGAACTATTATTTTTCTTGTTGTGTTTTTCAAATTTTGAAAAGTTGCGAAATTTTATTTTGTTTTGGGGTTTTACTTGAGCAAAATCTTTCATTTTTTGAATTTTTTTTCTTCAATTCGAAAAGTTTTTTCCTGACCAAAAAAAATGTTTCAGGCATGTGCTGTGGGCTCAGACGTTGTGATACTTGGGCCAGATTTTAACCGTGTACAGGTAACTTTCCTCTCATTTTATTCTAGTTATCCAATTTTTCTCTGTTCAGGTAGTTCCAGAATGCTCACATAATCAACAATTAGTTAGTAGTGTTAGCTGCTGTCAAGATACGGGAAAGGTACGGAATTCCTTCCAGTTGTATCAACAAAATACGATTTTTCAGATAGCAGTAACTTATGGAAATGTTGTCCGAATACTCGAAGCCACAAATATCCATGTCATTGACAAGCCGACCGGCAGTTCAGCGGTGAGATCCCTAATCTTTTTGGTATTTCATTTGGAATAAAAATTACAGGCATGTCAGTATAACTGGGTCGAAACACATTGTTTCACAGTGAAAGGAACTGTAACCACAGTATTATGGAACATGGAAGGTGATTGATTTTTTGAATAAAAATTGCAGCTTCAAATAAAAAGCTATGACATTTTAATTTAAGACAGCCTTCAGTGCTTATTTTCTCATTTTTTATCGGACTTTTTAATGAACTTCATTCAAAGCCATTTTGAAACTTTTCAGACAACAATTTTTTTTTCTTGATTTTCAAGCCATTGACAATGAATTGTTTTACCTATAATCTAGTTTCAGATTTTTTTGATTCGAATAATGTTAATAAGTAAAATGATGAACAGCCTGAAAGACTTAAAATATTTCAAATTCCATTTTTGCGGTGTTCTTGCTCACATTTCAGTGCATTTTCTGTTCTCTGAGGAATCAACTTCCATTATTTTTTTTACCTTTTCATCCCAAGTTTTGAAGGAATGCGTATGCTTTTTGTGATCGGCAACGAGATGATGCTTTATCAACATCGCAGCGTGAGTTGCACGTCTCGTGCTGGTTCTAGTGCACCTGTTATGTTCTGCATTGCTGAGGAGGTCTGTCCTCCTACACCTTTTTACCCTTGCTGTTTTTTTTGAATATTATTATTTTTCGCTCCGAGCTCCTTTTATGGTTTTTATCTCTAGTTCTACCAACTACAGGAAACAAAAAAATATTGGAGGAAAATCTTCAAATGGATATTGAAGCTTTGAAAAATCCACCTTTGTAAAAACTATCGTTTAGTTGGTTTGCAAAAAACACCCTTTCCCCCAATTCGCGCTCAAGTTTACCGGTGATTGTCTATTTTTCGTTTTCCTTTTTAGTTTCTTACTCAGTTTGCATAGTGAATTCATTGGGGATTCAAAAAAACCTCAAATTGATAGCTCGATATTTTTTTCGCAGGAAGTGCAAGAAACACATTCATGGGACGTTGTTTGGAACATCGACCTCTCAGAACACCCAAAGTACATCAAATATTCTCCTGATGGAACATATTTGGCAGTGGCCGGAGAATTCGAACGATTTGTGAAGATCTTCTATCAATCATCAGGTATTTTTGTTTCTTTATCATAACACACATAGTGAAATTTCAGAAGAAACGCCAGATTCCAATATTCTGGACTTCTCGTTCGTCTCTCTCAACCATCCTGCGCCGGTGAGAGGCTTCGAGTGGCGTCGGACAGGACGCTACATGCCACGAAAATGCATCCAGGCGGCGTTGATCTCATGGTGTGCTGACAACACTTCCCGTATTTGGAAGGAGACGCCCCCACCAGAGCTATCCATCATCGATTTGAGTGGCGATGGAGGTTTTCTCGATTTTTTAACTACTTTTAAAAATTTTTTAACTCAAGGAGAGCCTGGCTGGGACAAAACAAGACCCAAGCGGATCTTTGGAAAGCACATTCGAGTCAAAAAGACGAAGAATCGGATAATCACCAAGCTGAAGACTATGCTGTGAGTTCCTTGGTTTAATAGTTCAAAATAGTATAATTTTATCATAGTTGAAGTTAGTAGGATTTTTCCATAATACTGAGTCTTGAAATTCTGCTCTCATAGGTCTTAGAAGATTCAGCAAGTCATCCGAAAGTTCAGAATGATTTCAAATTTTTTTATTTACATCATCTTTTTTATCATATCTCTAATTTTCATAGGCCTGAGAGAAAAAGGAAGCCAGATAATGAGGCTGGCCTTGGACTGAGAGCTCAAATTGGAAAGAGCCCTTCATTCAACGACCTCCAATCTCACAACATGTGCCACACCAACGTTGAATTCCACTTGGCTGGTACTGTCAACGCCGAAACAGGTACAAAAAACTTTACTGTAACACGTTTTAAGAATTGATAATAATTCAGACGTTTTGTTGGTGCCTTCTTTGGAAGGAAATGTACAAAAGCCGCTCTGCGTTCATTGGCTCAACAACAAGGAGCTAGTTTTCAGCGTCGGCGCCGAGAAACTTCTAGCTGAGGCAGTTCTCATGGAAAGTGATTCTCAAGGTAGCAAGTGAATTGAAAAACCTGTGCTACAAAGGAAGGTTTCAGGAACGTCTTGTGGGACTTCTCCAGAAAGAGACGAAAAGTTTGAAGTTAATGGTCACGCGGAAAGACTAGTAGGAGACATTAATGACGGCACATCTTCTGTATTTTAATATTCATCGGAAATAATTCATTAAACTTTTCAGGAAAATCCGTCTTCCAAGGACATTTTGGACGTGAAACTGGAGATATTGCTGCGGCAATGGTCAAAAACTAACGATATCTTGTTCACTTTCCACCCGATCGATGGGAGTTTGTTGACCTGGTCAGTTTCCTATTTTTTCACCGTTTCATTGCAATGATAACTCTGAATTTTCGTGCCAGGTTTTTTTAGTCTGTAATAGTCTGATCTGTAGGCTTTTCTTTGTTCTCTTTTTCATGTGTACCACTTTTTTCAATTTGATGTTGGTAATGGACAAAAGGAAAAATGATTTCTTTAAATGTTCAATGAGGAATAAAAGCTTTTGAAAGACCCATTGAATAGCGTCGCTGATCTGACCCTTACAACAATTTTCCTTGCAGGACCGTGGAATGGATGGATGATCTCCACCGACAGCCAGTCATTTCCTACAGCTCAAGGTTCCCCGGAGCTCTGCCCACAAGCGACGCCGGCTCAATCCAATCCACTCTGAACACTTTCAACCCACATGAGCCGCTTTACATCGACGTATTGCGACGAGATTTGGACAGTAAAGAAGCAGGTAAAAAATTTTAAAAAAATCAAAAAAATTATATATATAAAATAAATATTCCAGAGAACGCTCAACAGAGGTTGTCAGAAAGTAGCGTGGCAAATACAATACACGTTCTGACGTCACATGACAACGGAACGCTGAATTTGTGGCACATGGCCGTTGATGAGAACAGCTTCTTTTCGCAAATTCTCAACATCACTCACATTTCCAGAATGTGCGGTCATCGCTTCCGAATAAGACAGGTAGGGACTATTGAAATTCAACAATAAGTCTAGCTCTCAGGTTATTGCTCATCCAGTTCTACCTTTGCTGTTGACTACTTCGAAGTTCGAATCTAAAAACGACATCGAAGATCCAAAGGTTTTCCACTGTGATTTTCTAAAGCGCAACTTCAAATATTCAGTTGGATTATCTGTCCGAAGTTATTTTATGGAAAATATCTCCGGTCGGTCCGCTCTGCAAAACGGGAGGTGTCAAAGAACTCGCAAGGGTTGGAAATTCTTTACGTGAAGGTTTTTCAATTCTCAGCTGGATTCCTGCCATATTACCGAGGTTGTTTTATCAAACAAGGTCTTTTTTGAATTTCGAACTTCAGCTGTACCTTAGGAACGGTTTGTAACTCTCCGTCTTCTTGTTTTATTGCGAACGATGGCAATTGCTTGGTCATTTATCAGGTGAGATATACTTCCTTTGCCGAAAATTGAAGCTTCTTGGTTTCAACTGAAATTGCATTTTCGTTTCTCTACCATTGATAGAAAACAAGAAAAAGTGTTTCAAAAAGCGGTTGATTCATTATTTCGGTTAAAATTTTTAAAGCGAATTCCTAGGCCGTTATTGATGCTCGCGGCTTACTGGCAGAACTTTCCAATGCTGACAGTTCGACTTTTGGCGGCATTATCGAAAGTGAAACGGACGAAGAGTTGGTTTCAATATTAAACAGTTGCATTTTTCCCCTTTAGAACTGCTTCCCTGACTCCGTCGCCAAGAAAAACTTTTGCCCCATCGTTTTTACGAGAATTCAATGTAGTCTCTACACAGTCAACTGCAAAACCCGGTTGCGTTTTGGAAATCGGGAGAATTGAAGACGAAATGCTGGTGAGTTTTCTCGTTGAAGAGAATATTTATTGAAGCATTTTTCAGAGAAACATTGACATATCATTTCTTCATGTTTTCCAAGCTCGTCTTGTAATAAGTGAAACAAGCGAAGAGACAGAAGAAGTTGTTCCAATGGGAAGTGTGATCGACAGGAGCAAAAATGCAGTGTTTTCTGACCAATACTACATTGTGATGGTTCAAAAAGACGATGATGGTGAAAAGTGAGTTTGCAATAAAACTCCAATGTATTCGGTTCCAGATTATCAAAAAAGAAATAAAAAAAATTTTGAATACTAATGAAGTTTACTAAAATCCAGAGACAGCCAAAAATGAAGAAAAAAAAATTCGTTTCAGCATTTTGATGTACTCCTTGACAATCTCATCTCAAGAGCCACAACCGATCCCCACATTTGGTATGAAAAGTAGTGGAATTCATATGATTCCTGCTTTTTTTAGATACGGAAATTTTACCGGATGAAAAAGACGGCTTGCGGCCTAAGAGTCCTTTGGCCGTTTCAATGGCAAAACTGAAGTTTGAAGCAGAGCTGGTTTGTCGACAGAAGTTCCCATTACCTTCTGGGACTAGGGTGAGTGAACTACTTCATGGGAGTGTGGAAAATAAATGAACTTTTCTCAGATAAAGCAAGTTTCACCGGCGGCTGGACATTTATCGTCATCTTCGCTGTATCCAGCTTGTGAAGCTCCCTACGTTCTGATCTCCTCTGACGAAGGTTTTTTTTTACCTAAACTTGTTAAACTTGTACATTGTCATTTCAGATGACTCCGTGAGATTCTGGAGATGTGAAAGGAACAAGGACTCTTCCAGTAGTAATAAATACGAATGGCGCGAGTGGAACATGATCAGTGATAACCGTCCAAGTGAACTTGGAATCGAAGGTAGCGGTTTCCTTTTGCTGAGATGCAAATTTCCTCGTTTTCAGGCAGCATTTATGGTGTGAGCGCCGCTCACAGTGGAAGACTAGCCTGTGCCTACGACTCTGAGAGCGTCTCAGGCGACTCGAATTCCGTGGAAATCGCAGTTTTCGAATGCGAGTCTTCTGGTGGTGTGGAATGGCTTCGCGAAGACACCCTGAGCATCAGAAACATTTCAACGTTTTGCAACAAGAAGTTAGTCGGTTTCCGGAAATAGAAAAGTTGAGAATCTTTTCGGGTTTGAAAAATAGGATAAACGGAATTTATTGAGGTTTGAGAAGTAGAATCATTAGAAGGTAGTGATTTACACACACAGTTGGAGCAGGTGTTCTTATTCCACACAGATCCTTTTTTTCAGCTTCGACCTGTTTCACGGAATTCGGCCGGGATCGCCTCGATATGAACGAGCGACGTCTTTGAGCCCACGTACGGATTTTGGAGTGATAACCCGGTTGCGGTCGAGTTTTCGTGGTGTGGCTTTATGTGTTTAGACGTCTGTCTTCCGTCTTCTCACTATCTTTGGCTAACCTTTTGTTTTGTCATCGTTCTTCACACTGTTAGACCGACGCTAAAAGTTACTGTATCTAATTAAAATTTTCTCTTCTTTTCTATTATTGTTTCGAATCGCACGGTTATACATGGATGTTGTGTTGTAGGCTTGTCGTTTGCCCTGCCCAATGGGCCTTCTGAAGATTTGGTTCGCGCAATGACACTCAATGCACGACATGAGCACGAAATTCCGCCAAGTCAGTTTTTTGTGGTGGTATCCGCATGATTTCTATTGTATTTGTATTTTTCACGTTTTTGTCTTTTCTTTGGTTTTTATGTTGTCCAATTCAGTTTCAATCCAAAAGATGATCCGCTTGGACTGGGTTTCCACAGAAGACGGATCTCATATGTTGACGGCGGGCGTTGGAGCAAAAATATACGTTTACACACAGGTGAATAGTTTTGAGCTATAAATAAACCTCCTCTGACCTTTTTCTGATCATCTGAGTAAAAAACGAAGATCATATTCTAAATTTTTGAAAACTTAGTAATCGAGTCGGCTTTGTTCTTTTTTTATATTGAACGGGGGAATTTAGGAAAGTAAGAAAAAATGCATCGAAACGAGAAATAAACTGCGGACAAGTATAAATGGTTTCAAACCACGACGAGTATATCATATTCTCGATTTTAAAAAGTCAAAATTTTTGAAAAAGTCAAAATTTTGAAAAGTCCTGAAAGCTTCTCTCAATTTTTTGTTCTTCTCAAACTGTCCTTTAATCCGCTTCATACATGTCTTAACATTCAATGAAAACTGCTTCCAGATATCCCAAGACCTTGCCCAGCAGAATGTGGCTCTGATGAAAGACAGTGAAACGACAATGAGAAGACCTTCGCTGCGAAAAGCTTCTTCTCTATTGCCTAACATGCATGCGCACAGTCGCCTGGTGTGTTCCTTCGAGAACTTTTCTAAAAATATTCTTACATCTTATAAATTTCAGACTCGCTGGGTTTGCATCCGTTTGCTGGAACTGGACTCAACTGACGGACTTCCACCCATTCCGACAAGTTTGAGCTGGGCGAGAGATGGGCTACTGATCGTTGGCATGCAAAGCGAGATGCGAGTGTACAACCAATGGAATTTCGAGCCTCACGATCTCAAGAACGGATTAGACATGACGTTAGTTGAAAGTTACCATTTTCGGAACTATAGATTTACTTGAGGCGACGGGCGACCAATCCGCACATTGTGAGCTTGCCGGTTTCAACATCTCACTCAATGTTGGACCAACTTCACAAAAAGAAAGAGGCCTTAGCTACAAGTCGAAGTCGTGTGATTTTGGACCTGGTTACGACAATGAACAAGTTAGTACAAATATTTATCTCAACTTGGAAGTCACTTCTGATAATTGACCCATTTTCCGTAAAATTCGAGTCAACTGAAGTTCTAATGAGAATTTCGATAATCAGCACATTTTTTCAGAAATCATCAAATCAAAGAGCAAGAGTCTGACGCGATTCTGCATGCTCTGTCCAGCGAGGGTCTTTTCGAAGCGGCTCGTTTGAGTTCTCCTATCCTTCCACAGTATCATCCAAAGCAGCTGATTGTCTTGCTCAACGCAGGGAAAACGAAAAGAGTCAAGGCTATTCTGCTTCACGTCCTCAACGCGCTGAGGGTATTTTTAAACTAAAAAAAATCAATATACAGTCTAATTTTTGTTCCAGCAACGACAAGTCACCATTCGGAATCCTTTGTCCAGAGCGGCCTCAATCCGAAGAATGTCAACAGTAGATATGAGTGAAGAAATCGGTGCTGCCAAAATTGGCGACGTCACACGTAATATGACTTTCGACGAGGATTCTCTCGATTATGACGAGATAGACGAAATCGCGCCTCTTCCGCTTTATGCACTCTTGGCCGCAGATAATGATACTGAAGACAGCGGGGACAAGGCGGATGGCATGATTTCCAAGGTAGGTTCTTAATTTTGTTTTTTAAAACAGGAATATTTAGTCAACTACTTTCACTTCTCATCTGAAGGATTTTCAGGCGCACTCAGGGTACGACTCGCTTTTCACGGAAGAAGCTATCGACGATGCCGAACTGGACGCCGCCCTCACAGACAGCGATTCTTCTACTCCCCGGTCGAGACATACTTCATTGAGCAGCGATTCTTCGAGAATCGAGCACAAGATTGTGTCTACGCAGTTCACGGCCAAGCACAATCGGTTAGCTGTTCTCGAACAAAAATATATGATATACTGACCGGTCCAGGGTCCTCACCGAATTACTCACTCATACACATCTTCCTGGACTTTCGAGTGTTGACCAAATGCATCTGCTGGCCATGGCGGACACGCTAAGCCACTTTTCCAGCAACGTCATTGACAAGCTGACAGCAGCTAATGCAGGTATAGAAACGAAAAAATAAACCTAATTTTTACATTTTCCTAGCAATGCAACCGGTGGTCCAATCCGTGTTGGGTGATTCTTCTGCTAGTGGGTACGCGACAGCGGCGGCTGGTGTTGAAACCCTAGATGAGTGCGGTCTTCGGTATCTCATGGCAATGAAGCAACACGAATATCTTCTCGTCTGCCTGCCGTTGAATCAACGCGTTGAGCTCAAAGTAAATTGGACAATTCGTGCTTTTATACAGTTTTCCATTTTCAGATGAAAGGCCTTTCTTCATCGCATATCATTTGGGCTCAGCACTCGGAAACGGAGACCGAGCTTTTGAATGCCGTTCCAGGAATTCAGAAAGCCAACCCAACTTGGGACGAGCTCAGAAGCTTAGGAATTGCCTGGTGGCTCAAGAACACATCAAGCCTCAAAATTTGTATTGAAAAAGTTTGATTGCTTTTTTGAACACGAATTCCCATTCGAAAAATTTCAGCTGGCGAAAGCTGCGTTCCAGCAAAATCAAGATCCGATGGATGCGTCTTTGTTCTACTTGGCACTGAGAAAGAAGAACGTTTTGACTCATTTGTTCAAAGTGAGTTCTGTTGGTCCAGGATCATCGCAGTATTAGAACCATTTATTTTAATTACTCTTTGCAGACATCTCGAAATCAAATGATGTCCGAATTCTTCCAAAATGACTTCAACACGGACCACTGGAAGAAGGTTGCTGCGAAAAACGCCTTCGTACTTATGAGCAAACAACGATTTCAACATGCTGCCGCTTTCTTCTTGCTTAGTGGTAGTTTGAAAGATGCCATGCAGGTTGATCAGAATACTCTTGTTTCTTTCAATAATGAATTCGCAGACGATTCTCACAAAGTGCAATGATTTGCAACTAGCCTTGGTAGTTTTGCGACTCTACGAAAACGACATCGATACGCAGCAAGCGATTATGAAGGAAATTCTCTGCAGGTCCGAATTTCAAATTTTACGCCGATTCCAGTTAAAATATTCCAGAGAAGTCTTGGGGACCACTCCGGATGATTTCGAAACAAATCGAGGAAAAACAGATGAAGACGTCGTGTTGAGTCGTCATGCATCAAAGTGAAAAATAAGAAATCAAATCTGTTTTTACGGCTTGTTTCAGAGATCCCTTTGAACGATCGATGGCTTACTGGATTTTGAAAGACTACGCAAGAGCAGCGCACACCTTGGTGGAAGAAGCGCATGGGGAACGGAACCAGAACACCAGTCTTTCCGACATTTTCAACTTCTATGCGTACCTTCGACGGCATCCACTTGTTGTCCGTCAACGACTGACCGATTCTGGAGCACAGGTTCGTAATTCTCTTCATCATTTTAAAAGTTATCCTAAACGCTTTGAAACAAATAAAAACTTTTACTTTCAAGGTTGGATCAACGGAGAAGTTCCTGTCTGTTGGCAAGCAACTGGAAACGGTGGTGACCCCAGCTGAACGCCGACTTTATTTCCGGACGGCTGCTGAACACATGGCGAGAGGCTGTCCGATGCTTGCTTTGGACGTTCTCAGCAGACTTCCCAAACGCATCAGTTTGATTCGTGATTTCGATGAAGCTCTTCGAACTCTTCTTGGAGATGAGAAAGTGAATACTGTATTAGAAATTTCGAGAGGTTTTAATTTTCTTTTGAAGAAGACGAATACAAGCTCGAACCCTCCTCGTCAAAGCTTTGAAGTTGATTGGAGTGCTCCGACAAATGTCCTGAAAAACGACGATCTCGATCTTGGATGGAGTGACGACGAAGATGAAGAAAAACAAGAAGAAAAATCAAAAGAGCCGGAAATTGTTGCTCAAGAGGTTGGAATGAAGTTCATTCAAAAAATATATTTCGTTTTTCAGAATGAATCCTCGGAAAAAGTCGCAATGCCGGAAGCTGTCGATATTATCGCCCAGCACATGAAGTTCGTGGCTTCTATCAGAATCCTGACTGAGGAGTTGTCCACCTTAGCCAGTGGATTCGAGGTAGACGGAGGGCAGTTGAGATATCAGGTGAATTCATATCGTAAAACATCGAACTTGATCCTTTCTTAGCTTTTCCATTGGTTGGAGAAAGAAGTGGATGTCCTTCAAAACACTTGTGATTACCGTTTTCAATTTCATTCCGGATGTGATTTGGATGAAGAAGAAACTGCTCTTTCAAACTCTGCCGAGCCAAGGTTTTTTATTTTAATCTTAGCCCAATCATACCACTTTTTAGCGATGTTTCTCTGCATGAAGCTTTGAAACACGATCGAGCTGAAATGCTTTCCCGCTTAAAATATGCTGCTCGGCGAAGGAAATGGCTCACTTCTAATCAAAAATTGCTCAGGTACAGGTTAATACAGAAGTTTTGAAAATCTCTTTTTTTCAGGTCTTTCACTTCTTTCTGTGCTCTTCATTCTGCTCAAAATCATCGTCTCACCTCAGCTTTAATGGAACTTCTTCTCCTGCTTTTGGAGGTCCAAAAAGACACTGGTGTGCAACATTTGAACGGTTTGACTTTCAATAGTACACATTAATCGAACATTTTTTATAGAACCCGTCCCTGACATGAACTCCTTCCCATTATTGGAAGCTTCAGTTTCTTCAGCCAAAATGTTCGTCTCATCTCCACTGTCTTTCATCGAAAATCAATGCTACGACTTGCTCGCCGCCATTTCTCAGATGCACACAGCGCCCAGCATGGACAGAAACTTGCAAACGGTAAATTGCTGATGTTGAACATAATGATGGAAGACATTTTTCAGTGCTACATGCTGTACAATTTGAGCCAAGGGTTATCCTCGTGTTTGTATCAATCTCTGTGTGACGTTGAGCAAATATTCTCCAGCTCGCGTTTGCTTTACAACGATGGCAAATCTGGGTGAGTTGGATGCAGGAGATAAAGAAAAACATGGAAAAAATATGAATAGTATGAAGATTCAGTTTTGAGTAGTAAATCAGGGACGGCTTAAACGAACCATGAAAAGCTTCATGTACAAATACTCACAGTCGAAAGGAGGGAAGCCATTTTCAGAGCGCTTACAAAACGGACGAGAATGACGTCATCAAGCGAAGATCTCCGAGTGTCGACAGCACCTGTAAAGTGGCCTGGCGTTCAGTCTTTGATCGCTCTTCTGAATCGAGAAAAAGACGATGAAGTTCCACATCTTCGACTTCTTCTTATCGAATCCTTTGTGGCCATCACAATGTATCTTATCTTCATTTTCCATCAGCAGAAAAATCGGTCTTAGGTCACTTTTCTGTTTCGCCCTTGCTGCCTATGATGCACGATGGCTGTACCGGTTAAGTATTCACGACATTGACCCCGGAAAGTTCGGCCTCATTTTTGGTGGAGGCGGTGAAAAGCGCCTGAAGACGGCTCCTCCTGTCAGGCCCCCACGTAAGAAGAAGTTTGTTGGCATGAAGGCTGTAATTTTTATTCAAGGGCCGAGTGCACCGAGATCGAAAAACGTTTCTGAAGGAAGCAACGCCTCAGGAGAGAACACCAACGACGCCAACGTTTCTCGTTCTCGACTCAATCTACGCGTGATAGGAACAGAAAGCGTCCAGCAACAGTCCACACCGAATCCGGCTCCAGCTGAACAAGTTATCACAAAATGGGTTCCTCCGCATAAGAACATCGTGCAGCTATTTGCTGAGAAGGTGCGTTCTATCTGCGGATCTTTCGAATTAACGTGTTGAGTAGCTTAACACTCTTACCAATTTGACTGACAAAACTTAAGATCTGCCTCATCAGGCATGGATGTGTAACTTGCCTGAAAAAGCTCTTTGAAAAAACTTTTTCTATCCATTGTTTTTCATTTTTTGCTGTGATCTCACTAGTCAGCAAAATGAATATCAAGTCAATTCATCAAAGATTTTCAGCCTTCTTTGGACGCCGATGAAGCTCTTGGAGTGAGCTACGATTCTGATGAAGAAAGTGACGACTACGACGTGGATGATGACGAGAATGAAAGGTTGAAAAAACGAAAATTTTTCACATTTTTGGACTTCTTTTCAGATGCGAAAACGCCGTTCCAACTTCGTTCGCTTGGCAATTGATGAGATTGGCCCTAATTGAGCAGTATCTTCATCGTATTCGTCAATTCTTAATGTTGGCCGGTTACGATCCCCACGGTTAACTTACTTCATGAGAAATGTCAATACTTGGAGATTTAAGACATTCCGGGACTTGCACCTCGAATTGAAGTGATTCTGCGTCTTCTCACCAGCTGGTCAAACCAGCAGCATCATCTTTTGAAAAATTTCCCTGGTGGAATGCCACAAGACTTGTTGCCAAATATGGATGTCGACCTCACCGATGCCCATCTTGGCGCGACGATCAAGTATCTTGATCATTTATGAATAAGAAATAATCACTTTTTAGGAAATACGCCGTGGTTGTTCAAAGAAATAACACGCCGTTCGAAAGTGAAGACCGGAAAGTCCAGCCGATGCAGAGACTTTGGGCTTATCTTGTTCGTGAAGACCATCTCCAGCCAATTTTCATTCGATATATTTTTGCCGCCAAGTCGCAAATGGTTTGTTAAGAAATCAAAACACACTCTTTGAACTTCTAATAATTCTAGGAAAATCCTCATTCCGATAGAGGTGATCTTCTCACGGGGATCGAAAACCAAGCTCTACCCGAAGCGTATAAAATCATCCAGAAAGACCACGAGCCAATCGTCGCGTTCTCTTGCAATCAAGAGAAACCTGGCCTGGTTGTGGTTTCCAACGGACGCGAATTGCAAGAGATGGACATCAGTGACATTTTCAACGACGCTCCCGATTACACTTCGTGGGTTTGGAACCGCGCCGAGCTAGACGTGAGTCTCGCTTTCTTGGTGGTAGAAAAACTTTATTTCTAGATGAACACTTTGATGGCGCGAAAAGATCCTCTACGCGATAACGACGACTACCAGCTCTTCACTGAGAACTCCTCTACTACGGCGCCTTCTACACGAACCGCAACTTTGGTTAGTTTATTTACTATCTTTCTTTTGAAACTTCCTCAATAGATCCATAAATTAAAAAATTAGCTCACGCCTTGGATTGTCGATCGCAGTCGTCGCGGTTTACAGAAGGTTGAGTTGTTGTTGTGAGCGTCGTGATTTAGTAAATGTTGTCCATTTTGTCTGAAACCGTAGATATAAACTAACAATGACCAGAAAAAGGTTCCAAAGTAAAAAAATTTCCATTTGAAAAAGTTAAATAGATTAACATGCCAAAATAAAGAAAATCTCTTGATGTTTAAACCTGCACATCTAACAACGCTTCAGTTTGAAAAATTACAAGACTTGTTCTTCCTGAATTTTTGCAATTTTATTCTTTTCATATTCAACTGAAGAGAACTTTTGTCATTCACAATCCATATTTTCACTCTTTTGTTATATTATTTTTTTAACAAAGAATATTATTTTTTTATTAACTAGAAACGGCGCTGTAAAATCTAACTACTGTCACAATAATTTCGTAGAGCACTGTAAAGTTAGCCCTACTGCCAAGTTTTTAACAACAGCTGAATGCTTCCAACTTTCCAATAATCACTAAATTATGATGTCTTTTCAGCTGCTGAAAAGAAATGTGGCCGGAGTGCGGAGAATAGATTCACACCCGTCGGCGCCTTACTGTAAGTTTCCGTGATTGAAGCGAAGACTTACCGCAGGTGTTGAAAGAAGAATGGTCATTGTTTTAAAATAGTTCATCCAGTCTCTCTTTCGTTGAATGAAATTTGAAAGATGAAACCTGAAAAAATTCATCCTTAGATAGAAGTTATCCGAGTTGGAGAAAAAAAGGGTATAGATTCAAAACGTCTATAAAAAGAGATCTTTAGAGATCTGATATATATGTAAAAAAAAGTTTTCCTCTAAATTTCAAAAGAAATCAAGACTCTATTGGCATCCTTTTCCATTTCTGACTTAACGGTCGCGATTTAAATTTAGCACTAAACCAAAATCAGACGAGAACTGAATGAAAAATGGAACGAAAATGAGAAAAATTCTTTCAATTGGTTGATGCGTTGGAGCATGTTGTAGGGCGCAAGTCAAATTTAGTCGGGCGCAACTGCAGTATTAATTTTATTTCATTTCATGCCTTCCACAAGAAAAGCGTTTGAGGAGAAAGGGAAAAAAAGAAAATCTTTAAGAAAAAACGTTAATAAAGAAACTTGAAGACGTAACCGGCTCGTCAGACGGTTCCATCAAAGTCTGGAGATGGGGCGGGAAAGACGTGGTTTATACAGCCCGGGTGGCGGGACAGCACGCTAAGGTTCGATGGTCTTACGGTAGCTTCGATTATTACACTGTTCCAGGTGTCAAAGATATCGTTTTCTTGCAACGGGAACAAGTTTGCGGCGGTCGATGGAGACGGAATGCTGTGCTTGTGGCAAGCCTGTCAGTCCACAGAGCAGAGAAAACCGTTCTTCGTGGGTTTTTTCATCGAAATTTGAATGTTGGGACCAATAATGGGACTTGTGAAGATGTGATTATACATTTGGAGAAGAACCGTTTTTCAAATTTTAGCTTTTGTGTGAAACAGTAATCAACTCTAAAATGGATAGAAAAATGAAGTTAAGTTTTCATTTAACTTTCAAAGCGCATTTTTTGCAGAGCCAGCGCTGTCACAACAAATCTGCTTCCGACGTTCGATTTCTGGGACATTCTTCCTCAGTTCTGATAACAGCTGGAGCTTCTTCCTTGGACTACAACCTCGGCCTCTGGGACACCCTGTTGCCACAAAACCGAGCTCTTGTCCACACTTGGGTGGCTCATACAGAAGGCGCCACCTGTGCCATGTATCTTCCCAATCAACAGGTGATTAGAAGCACCTTGTAATGAATTTAGAATAAAATCCTGAGTTGCAGACTATCGTTTCTGGCGGACGACATGGCGACATCTGCTTCTGGGACATTCGCCAGCGACAACTTCGGCACACGATCAAAGCTTTCGATGCCACTCAAATCGTCAAATCTCTTGTTACCGACGTTTCTCAGGATTTGATAGTTGCTGGATCCAGTGACGGCGATGTCAAGGTGTGCTGTTGAGCCTGAAAAAAAGCCTGAAAATAAAAATAAAAATATCAGTAAACCTATAGATCTCAAAATCACTGAAGTTCAAGTAGTTCTGAGTGAAATTGAATTGCGAACCTGTTAGAAATAATTTTTCAATGAATAGATTCAGATGTCATTTTTCAGTTAAGGTCCGAGAAGGAAGTTCATTTCACGCATGAATGCTAGTGACAATTTATAGTAACATTTTTGAAATAACCTCTACTTCACCAATATTCAAAGTGCTGCTAGAGTGAAATAACTTCAAAAAACGGCTCACTTCTTACAGGCTTCTCAATTTCCGAGTCTCTGATAGATATTTTTTGATTCTTATCTCTAGACAAGATGACCTACTGGAGAGAAAATTTCGATGGGTGGTGAAGATATGAAGTTTTTGGCATCTTGCCCTTGAATCGAAAAGTTTTTTTTTCTTTTCGAAGGACATTAGTGATAACATCGATCAAAAATTTTTCGTTTTTCTAAGCAAAACGCGATTTTCAGTTGATTGAGAAGAGAACGAGTTTTGGTGAATCGTGAAACAAAAATTAGTTTTTTGGTAAAAAAGATACTTTTCTCGTCTTCGCCTGACCTTAAAAGACTTTTTTCGTGCGTTTTAAGACGTTAGTTGTTTTTACCTGGAGCGCTGAAAAAAAATGAAATTTGTATTTTGCGACAGATAGACACGAAAAGTATGAAAAAAAAAAAAAACTCAGGTTTGGTCCGCCGACGCCAATCCGCAGTTGATGTACGTTCTACCTGGAGAACACGCGACCAAAGGAGGATTTTCATTCCGCCAAGGTCTTATATCTTAATTTTAGTCTTGAAAAAATATTCAAGTTCAGTTGGTCAACAAGCAGTACAAGGTGTGCAGCAAATGTTCATTGACCACAGCATGCGACTTTTTTCCTGTGGAGCCGACGCTTCCTTGAAATTCCGTACCCTTCCTTCCGTGTATAATATGACAAACCTTGTATGATTCTCTACAGCTAATCTCAGTTAATTTCCAGTTTGTTTTTAATGGTCCGTATTTTCAATTTCCTTCAGGATAGGTCTAATCATCAACCTTGCCCTATGGCTGATGGACCAATTCCATCGAGAATCTAGTCACTCGTATCTCAAGGGTTTGTCTTTACGAAATTCGTTTCCCAGATGTTCCTCTTAACTTATTCTATTTAAATGTTTTATATACCCTGCTATTAGATTTCCAGTAACCGGTTGTTTCTAATGGATGTGACAAATTCTGCCCAGACATTCACTTGCAAAAATGGTATTGCTTATTTCGCTTAAAATATTTATTCCCCTCGTTTTTTTGTGAGAGTATTGTGTATGCATAATTTCTACTCCTTGATGCTTGCAGTATAGTCGAAATATTGTGATTTCTCATGGCCAAATAATTAGCAATATTATATTTTTTATTTTATTAGGTTACTGTAGAAGTTCCTTGAAAATAAAATCGTTCAGTTTTGAGATTTTCAAATTTTTTCGTTTCTGACGCGTGACTTCTTCTTGAAAAAAATGAATTTTTTTAATTTTTGAATAACAAAGGAAATTCGAAAAAGAGAATTGGAGAAGTATCTGGAGTAATTGACTATAAAAAAACAACCTCGTCATTTTTCGTTTTTCCAGGAGTTTCTTGGAAAAAAATATAAAGAAAAACGCACACTTCCTTGTTTGTGGTTAGGTTTTGGGGGGTCAAAATAATTAGAAATTTTTATGGAGAGCATTTGAACTACAAAAGTTTCGAGTATAGCATTGAAAAATGGGAAATTCAGCTTTTGTATAACTAAGTAACTGCTTGTGCTTTAAAAATGTAACTTTTTTTCAGTATCTACGACTTTCACACACACCATCGATAAAATAGTCTTCAATAAAAACTCATCAAAATCGAATGGAAAAGCTAAAATCATGGATCAAAGTTGTCAAATTTTCATTTATCTCAGTGTGGCCTTTTTTTGACTTTTCCAGCAAATTGGCTTGATTTTTGAGTTAAACTCTTGAAACTTCGGTGATTCGGACTTCTGTCAAACGCCCAGAGTTGACCGAAAACCACGGAAGTCTTACTAAGAAAATCGACATCATTCCAAAGTCCCACGTCTTGTAGCTGTTCTTCTTCTTTCAAGATGTGGCTGGCAACGTGATTGAAGTCAGAAAACGACACCAGGTAACGGAGTCGAGCTCTCACTTCCTCTTCCTACGCAACTTCTTCAAGATTTGTTTCGGGGCGTCGTTCTCTTAGGCACGCAACACCTACAGTAGTATTAAGGCGGCAACCTGAATAAATCATGACGTGAGAGGAGATTTCCTGGAAAAAAATGTCTCATCCCTTGTGTCACTCACAAACACACCAGAACTGTGGTAGCTCCATTCTCTGAGCGGTCTAGTCAAAAACAAAAATAGTCTTTTTCCGTGCGAAATTTCAACGTCCAAAGCGAATACGGTCGTTTGCAAAGGCTAATTTATCGCCTGGAAGAGGCGTCGCACAAATGTGCTTTTCACAAAATGACGAACATCCTGTTGTCGCCGTAACAACTCGCTATAGTATGCATTGAGACGGACTTGACAAAATCTTCTTTTCCCCGTTCGTGAATAGCTTATTCTACGGCACGGCGTTGTTATCATTCGATCATCAGGCTCTTATAATGCGAGAAGAAAGATAAAGTTCAAGGAAAATGCGTTTTTTGTATTGTGAGCTAATTTCTCATTAATATATGTGAAATTCGGAGTGATAGTTACCAAAATGGAGGTAGGGAGAAGCGACGATGAGAAAGTGGGCGGAGCGAGCACTGGGCTCTGGTATTTAAGTCGGGCTCAGGGTGAGTCCACACTTTCAGCAGGTCCACGATGCTCTTGGCAATCTTGGCGGCTCTATTCGCTACCGTCGTCGCCGACTGTGACGTCTCCTCTTTTGGAGAGGCCAACAAAGATCTCGCCGTTGCAGTCTGTCGCGTCGAGGTTCGGGATTCCATCAAAACATCTTCTCTTGTTTTTTATCCTGGTAGAGGATTAAATTTTCATGTTTTCGTATAGCGCACAAGTTTTTTGGAAGAGAGCCTCTCAAATTAAGATTTCCTAATTACTTCTTCTTAGAAAGATTTGAAAATTGTTGGAGAGTAGGAAAATGAAAAGCCGACTTTCACTGAATTTATTTATGATAAAATTTGTTCGGAGTAAATCCTTCTTGTTATTGGTTTCATTTGTAGGATGAATCTGGATAACCGATTATTATGTTTAGGAGCAGCTGCATGTGGTTCAAAACGCTCTGCAAGAGTTACTTCAAAGAACTGGTAAACCTAGTTGAAATGGACATACAGACCTATCGAGTTCAAGATATAACCATTCCCGACGAGGAAGGAGTCCGCATGGAGAAGCGCAAAAACGAGTTCATCCGTTTCGGAAAGCGGAGCGCCGAGTAAGTTTCTCATAGGCTCGACTGTTTACCGCCGCTGCTTAACAATGCATTTCAAATTTGTCTCAATTTCAGGAACATTAAACGCAAGAACGAATTTATCCGGTTCGGAAAGAGGAAGAACGAATTCATTAGGTTAGGACCAAAGACATCATTAAATGTTTCTTCCTTGCAGGTTCGGTCGAAGTGACCCGCTTCTTCTCGAAGAACTGCCAAGTACGTTATTATCCTTCTAAATCTTCTGGAATCCAATAATATCGGTTTTCAGCGGACAAGAGGAAGAACGAGTTCATCCGTTTTGGTTAAACGTGTCGCGAATTTCGGTGTCAGAAATATTTGTTTGGGGCGAAAGGGAGCAATGGACTTTCTATATTTTATACTTTCTTGTCTTGCCTCTTGGTAATAAAAGTCGTTTTGATGTGACTTCTCTTCTGTAGTATGCATTGAAATGGAAAGTTTGTGAGCTTGAGAAAGTTGCGACAGCCGTTTTTTTGAGCTCTTCTATGGAAACTGCTGTTTGAAGCATCTATGTAACGAATTTTCACGTGTTGAGTTGACTATAAACTAACGTCTTGCTGATGAAAATTTCAAAACTTCCGTAGAATCTCTCCAAAAACGGATAGCAGTAGAGTGGTACCCTTGTTCATGCAAGGAAAGGCTCTCAGCAACTGGACTAAAACCTTCGTTAGAAGACCCAAAAATTTCTCTTGAAAAACAACGAAACATGTAACAAATAAAAAAGAATCTTGGGTGGCTGGTCGCGTGGTCATTTGGGCGTGACAAGCCTACCAGTAGGATCCGACCGGTTGCTACAAGCGCGGCGGTCCGCAAAATACCTGTAGCCGTCCTCCGTTTGGACCGCTTCTGTTCTTTTTTTTTGCTTGCTTTTTGTGGTCTTTTTAAAAAGTTTCGGATTTTGAAAGAGGGCCAAAAGTTCAAAAAAAGAAAATCATCCAGTCTTCAGCGCATCATAGGTTATAGTCTTTTTTTTTGTTGACTGGTTTTTGAATAATATCACCATTTCGTCATTTTTGATGATTCCAATTTTTTGGATTGGAGTTAAATCTTCAAATTTCTTTTTTGGTGCGCTTTTCCGATTCTGGTGTGATTTTGTTTTGATGCCCCCAATCTGTGCTGCTTAATTAAAAAAAAATTTCACTTTTTCAATTTTTCAGCTTCTACTCCTAAATAAAGCTCAGATGCCATTCTGGATGATATCCATTATTTTTTGCATTACTGATTGAACTTTCATTTGAAATCGATGTTACCAGAATTAAACATTGGCATTTTTTTAATTAAAAAAAAACTTCAAAGCCTTACTGCTAGAATTTTTTTTCATTTCGAAGCACAAAATTATTGTGCCCCAAAAATTGAAATTTTTTTTGATCTAGAGCATTTTTGCATGCGTCCGAAAACAATATTGTGCATACAAAAAACCTCTCCACAATCCGGATTGTCACTGAGTTGATTTCTCAAGCCGCTGGACCGAAGCTATGATTCTTTGAATAATGCGTCATAAAGTTGCCAACAAGCTGTCGGATGACGTGAGTGGACCAGAAGCATTTATATTGGTGCATTGTGTCGGTCCGCTTTTTTTCGCGATCTCTCCTCATCCCGTGGAAGTCGAGTGCGCGTGGAGGCCGGTTTTTGCGCGATCTTGTCTGGAAGTTACGTGCCTCTTACCTTTTCGACACCGCCGTTGAATCGGCGCTTCTGTATTTTTTGCATTGTCTTCTTTTTTTGAACACTTTTGTTTGATCCGCAGATTTTTGTCCTTCTGAACTCTGGATGCTTCAAATCGGGTGCTCCTTTTTTCAACATGATCAGTTTGTTTCAAATCAAATACATTAAATGAGTAACCAGTTTGCGGCGCTGATTACACTTGCAACCTCAAAGTAATGCTTCGAAACAACTTTTTGCAGTTTTCGAAATTTTTTTTCTCAATCAAACTCTTCTTTCACTTTTTCCCACTTGGTTTGAAGTTTAAGTTTTGTTAATCAATGATTCATGCCATTTTTGGGTTTTATTTCGTCCTTTACTCAACTTTATTTAGTTGTTACTAAGTAGAAGTGTTCATCTGAGGGAAAATCACTGAGCAAAACATATTTCACCTCATCGAAAAGTTTCTTTGATTTTTCGAAGAACTGACATAAAAATATTTCTCTTTTATTCATTCATTCGATCTTCATAGATCATCAACGTCATTCTCAATTTTTTCTCCATTTTGAGCAAGTCAATAAAAAATAGACCTTTTCTCCTTTTCAATCGAGAAAACTACGGTGGGAATGAATATTCATAACTGAGAACCTAATGTAAATGAGAAAAAGTGTTTGATTCACGATTTTCCCTCTCAACACTTTGCGCTTTTCTACGCTTCGCCAAGTTGCCTTATATCGAAAGGTCGTTCGAGATTCTTGGATTAGGGAGAAAGATTCAGTCTTCATTTGTGGTTCCTGAATAGAATCTGATCAAATATGTACATTCCACCTTTCAGATAATATCTGGAGACGCATGAGAGTGTTATCATTTAGAGATTTTAAGTCTTTTACAATTATTTCCAGCGAAGTTTTGGCAGGAGATAGAATCTTTGAACAATAAACGCTAATAGAAAACTGAAAAAAAAGGTTTCAATAAAAATTCAATTTTTTTTCGTTTGAAGAAGTCAGCTTTTATTTCAACGTATTTGCAACAAACGCAAGACTTTCTAACATATACTAGAAAAAAAAAAGTTCAAATTTACTTTGTAGAGCTTACTTTTCCTTTAAAACTGTCCCAAACTCATCAAAAGACGAGATTGATAAGAATCTCAGATGATAAATCATGTTTGGAGTCAAGAGGACACCGTTCGCGAACGGCAATTTCGGGAATGTGGAAGCCGTATCACGATGCAATGAATACGCAACCGTCTCATGTGGGTCACACGGGATATCAGGACTGATTGGGTACCCGAACGGCTTCCAGAGATCTGTCTATCAATAGTGTTTCACTACGTTCCTTTTCCGTCCCGCAAACATTTTTCATGACGACTTATAACAGTTTTGGCCTATCTGAAGTTCAGCTTTTTTGGTCTTGATCTCATAGCGGCTACTGGAAATTTAATGGTTTATCTTTTTTTCGAAAAAAAAAAACTTAAGTCGAGAAAATGAATTATTTTTTCTTAAACTTTCTATGAATTGGAAACAACAATAATCGGGAATATTTTTTTCCTTATCTATAGAAAAAAAGGCCTTTAGAGATTGATTGAGAACAACGAAAAAAATCCAGGAAACTTTTTTTCAGAATTTTTTTGAATTTTTTTAAAGAAAAAAAGTGGTTTTTTTGTTTGCGATTTTGAGTTTACTGAAATTTCATAGCACTTCCCGTTGTACAAAAAAATCATTTTCATTTGTTTTTTTATTTGAAAAAAACAAGGAGTCTTTCATTTAGGCAATCTCAAAATATTCACTTTTTTTTTAAAAAGTATTTGGTTGAAGAAAAAGGAAGTTGAATGTTCGAGGAAAGCCTTTAAGCAGGAAAAATGTTTTTAGTCCATCATCAACTTAGGAAATAATTAATTGATGCGTCTCCAAGTAACTGAGATTTCTGGTTTGCATGAGTTAAAGTATCAGAATGAAATTGCAGCTATTTCGGTTTTTGGTTTCAAAATCGAAGTATCGATTCTCAAATTAAAACTTCATCTCTTTGAATGTGAAAGTTCATTTTTGAGAGTTCAAGTCTTCAACTTGGCAAGTAATCAAAAGTGAGAGAAATTTCACAATTTGAAGTAAGGATGCCTCAAAATGAACTCTTGGGACCCTTTTAATTATTTTTTTTGTAAGTAGAGATATTCAAAAAAACTTGGCAAAAACTAAAAAATTCAATACAATCGGTACTCTTTTGGACTAAACAAGAAACCGGAAACTGATTTTTCGATCCCACAAGATCTTTTGACGACTGTCCTGTTTACTTGGCCTCAAGATGAAACCGGTTGGACGGCGGCGAAAGTAAGGAATTGGTATGAGTGGCCGCATGCTCCATCGCATATTCATCGTAGTGAAATCTTGTTAAAATGGATAAGAAGTGTTTGAAGAAAAGGGAAAGTCAGTGACCTCGATGGGAGCTGAGGCGAGCGTTACGTCGCGCACCATTGCACCTTCGGTCCGACGGGATGCTTTAACTCCTTGAACCGGCTTTTGAACCTGGTTGGCAGGCGTTCCCTGTTCGGAAGTGCCTTCGTTCACCCTTGTTTTGATTTTCGCAGCTTTGCAATCGCTTTCTATTTTTAGAATTTCAGCAGCTGTATTGTTTCACCTTGATAGAAATATTTTATCTTCATGGAAAGTCAAAAAACCAGAGAATGTACAAATTCGAATCTTTCGACCTATACTAATTTTTTGTGTCATAAAGTACAATGATTAATTTCAAGAATTTTTTCGCATTCATGGCATTTTCTTTAAGTTTTATTATCTCCAGGTTTTGAAGTCCAAACAACTGAAATATAAAAAGAACGGCTTGAAATCCTTCCTTAAGTGTTCTAATTTGTGAAAAAAACTGAATATTCCTCTTTTTTTCTTTGTTTCACATTTCCTTTTTTTGTGGCATTGCTATTCAAACCAAATGTGTGTCACGATATAAGACAATAAAAAAATCACCTCATCTCGTCGAAAAATGCGCCCCAATTTGTCCTAATTTGTGTCAAACTTGTTCAAGTGATGCTTTCTAAATGTCTTGATTTAAAAAAAGTAGAATTTTGTATTTTTATATGACGTCACTGCTATCAGATTGCTGACTTTCCGATAATTTTCATTTCGACATCGTTTAAAATTTTAAAAAAAATCTCGAGGAATGAGATTAGAAATCTTCGTAAAACTTTCCAGTACAAAACTTTTTATGACGGTGCGCGTTTTCTTCAAATCTTTCTCGGAAAAGAGAGAGCTCTGTTTTGAAATCAGCTACACAACTTTAAACTGGTTAAGGATACGTAAAATTCTACTCAGGTCAAATCACACATAATCCGTTTTCGTTTGAGCCGCTTTGAATCACAAAAAACAGTTGAGATTTAGGGCAACCTGTTATCATAGAAAACCAAAAAGGAGAAAGACAAGTGCAGAGGGCGGCTAATCCCGCTCATGTCCCCATTCAGCCCCCCGGCGCCAACTGATGCCAGTGACCGGTTTCGGTCACCGTGAAAGCACCAAATGACTTCACGTTTCCAAATACGGCACGCTGCCTTTGAATGCACCTAGCCTTGGTCCGAGAAACGCCGCCGACGCCAGAAATCCTCTCCAAATGATGGCACTTGTTTCCAAACGCCGCAGAGTACCCCATTCACCGCTAGCTTGTCGAAAAACGCAGTGGTCGTAGAAGTTCATGAGTTTCCTGTTTTCGTTCCAATTTTTGTCGGCATTGTAGAGAACATTATTGAATATTGCTTCTAGCAAGCGGTTGCTTGGTTTAAAAAATCGTCGGTTACTGTGTGAATTCGTAATTTTTATCCAGCTTGTTTTGTGCCCCTGATTTGAAACCAATCCAAGTCTTTCGAGATTGTTGTTTCGGGTGCTGAATGAATCAGAATCTCTCTCAATCTTTTTCACAAAACTCTTCTGCTTGATATAAATTTGTACTCACTGAGAAATAAATCGGTTCATCATTATGGGAAATTTTCTGCTGATCCAAGTTATTATAATTCCGTGATGTCTTGAGATGACTGTCAAAAAAACAGTTCAAGCTGAAAATTTTCTTGCAAGAACAACTTCTCAATTGTACGAAAAATTCAGGGTTTTCAGGTGTTTTTTCAAAATTCGAATTCATTTTTCAAATCCAAAAGAAAACCTGAATTTTGTGAAAACTAATTTTTTTTTCAGAAAAAATGTGAAAAACCCTTGCGAACTAGAAAAAAGGAATAAATAGATCTGCACGCTTTTTGAGAAAAATTGCCGCGCAAAAATCCGATTCCCTTGACCTGTTTCATTTTTTTCCTGATTTTTTGATTATTTTTGATCTACCATTGACTTCATATCTTCATCGGCTCCATGAAAAAGTTCGATTTTCAGAATTCTATGGGTATATCCTCGGTGGAAGCAGGAGTCCGAGGGTTGTTTGAATGGTACGGTCCTGTTTCCTACAGATGGCGTTGGCCACTCTTTATTCTACCCATTTTTCTCACGATGGGCCTTTCTTTCGGCTTTTTGAGATTGAACGAGCTCCGCGTCGATGACCCGGCGTATGTGTTCACTCCTTCTGATGCCAGGTCTTTTGAGTTCATTAATTGAAAATTTTATATTTTTTCCAGGTGGCGCAGAGAATTGAAAACTTTCACAGAGAGCTGGCCTCTCAACGAGAACAAATTCCTACCTGGCAAATCTTTTGAAACGAAAAGATTTGTCAATATATTAATTCATGCCAAAGACGGCGGCTCAGTATTGAGAGAAAGCATTTTGAGAGAAATCAAGGTTTTTTTTAAGTTCGATCAAAGCTCAGAAAAATCTCCAGGTGCTGAATGAATGGATTTCCTACAACATCAGTGTTCCAACAGTTGACAGAAGGTTCAATCTATCGTACCAGGTGAGAAAATTCTTTTATTTCAAAGCTTTTAAGAGGTTTGCAAAGTGAAAACTGTACAAATTAGATGGCGGATGGTTTTTCTTTTCTTTTTTTTATTGAAAACAACGGAACCAACTAAAATTCAGATTTAATTTTCTGCGGATTTTTCAAAACTACGTGACAAAATTTTAAAATCCAGAAGTTCCAAATTTTCTGATTCAAATTGGAAAAGAATTAGAATAAATGCAAAATAACCTCAAAAGTCTTCAAGAATTTTTTACTGAATTTATCTATTACAAAGAACTTTCATTCGAAAACTTACTCGATAAAAAATGCAACATTTTTCCAGGACTTGTGCCTCAGTTACGACTGGGTATGCAGCGGTAACGAGCACATTGAGATGCTCCTTCAACGTCACAAAGTTGGCCAATTCATCGACCTTTCCTATCCAAGGGGTGGAAATAAGGTCATTATCTTAAAGACTTTCTATTCTCGCGCTGAAACTCAATCGAAGATTCATGATAGTTCAGGACACGCCGGTTTATCTCGGGACCGTCTTGGGTGATATCACTCTTTTTTCGGAGAACAACACAGTTTCCGATGCGAAGATTACTCAGTTATTTTATTTCCTCAAACAACAACAAAAGTTGGTCGAAGGCTACTCGTCGGACTTTTCCTATGCTGTCGAGCACTTCCTCCAAGACGTTTACTCATCTGAGTTGATCGCTTTTTCTTTCGCACATTATCAGTCTTTGGAGGTTGGTTCTTCATTTTTATCAAGATTCTGCAATTGAAAAATTGGGACAAAGCCCTGAGATAAAAATCAAACAGACCATTTTTGTAGAAACTACCAAAGTCTAACGCGGTTGTTTCAAGTTTTTTAAAGAAATGTATCATCCTTTCGCTTTTTTGTTCAAATCTTCTAAACTTAAGTTATCAATAACCTCACTCAACGTTCAGGATGGGCTAGACGAGAATGCAAAAACCTTCTTGCCAAACTTTGTCGTCAGCTTCGTTGTTCTAGCAGCCTATGCGCTATTCACATCATTTTGCTTGAGAAGAAGTTCTGGAAACCGCATCGATTGGATAAGAAGCAAGCCATGGCTGGCATGTGCCGGTAATTTTCGCCTTCCAACTGGTTTTTAATCTTATTTGAGGAATGTCCACGACAATTTTGTCCATTCTGAGCGCTTTTGGTCTTCTCATGCTATTGGGGGTGAACTACAATGTCATCAATACCATCATTCCTTTTTTAATTATAGGTCGGTTTGGAAGTTTGTCATCCTCAAATATCAGAACGCTTTTTTTCCTTCAAAAAGAAAGTTTGAGCTTTTCTCTCAATTTACTTTACAATGGAAAAGTGATGATATTTTCTGAAACAGGGAAATTCTTTTGAAAGGTAATCGCGTTAAAAAAAAACCTGAATTTCCAGCTATCGGAATCGACGACATGTTCATAATGAATGCCTGTTGGGAACAAACGGATGACCGGATGAGCGTTCCTGAACGTCTATCAAAAACTTTAGCTCATGCCGGAGTTGCCGTCACAATCACCAATGTCACAGATATCATGTCCTTTGCCATTGGTTCAAACTCTTACTTTTCTTTAAATTCGCCATATTTTCAGGTTGTATCACCAACTTGCCCGGCATTCAGCTTTTTTGTCTTTATGCCTGCGTTTCTGTTCTTTTCAGTTACTTGTACCAGGTTTAAATTTTCACCAGAAAGCAACTTATTAGATTTTTTCAGTTGACGTATTTTTGTGGGGCTATGGCAATATTAGGAGACGTGGAAAAAGAGAAACGTCATTGTATTTTCTTCTACAAAACTGTCGGTGTCGTGAATATCGCCGAGATGAACAAGTCACAAAAGCCGCTGGAAGTTAAATTCCCCAACAATATGCGGAAATTCCAACGGACCAGGAGGTTGAAGAGTTCTGAAAAATCGCTTATCTGACTTAAATTTCAGTAAGGATTTGCCGCAGCTTTATGAATCGACTTCTAGCGCTTCTTCTTCTGACAACAGCTTTTCCTCCCAGAAAACTTTACCTATTGACGAGTTGCATTGGAAAGAAGGTTCAATCAAACAGAAAAACCGAAAAAACAGTAAAAAGTTTAGATATACCTCCACCGACGTATGACGCAACTTCAGCGACGACAGCGCATAAAGTCGCGACTTTTCTTAAATCAAAAAATTTTGTGATTTAGGAACCTGACCGCATCGTCAAGTTTATTGGGTCCTCGTATGGACCTTTCATTCTGAGCAATCCAATGAAGTGCTTTGCGGCTTTGACGTTTTCCGCATATCTTGCAGGAGCTTTATATGGTAAATTTTTCGATTTCCACGGGTTGGATTCGATATTTTCCTCGTGAAATTATAATGTGGAAATTTTTTCAGGGTGTGCCAACTTCCGAGAGGGATTGAATCCAGGAAACCTTGTCACAAATGATCACTACATTGCCAAATACTTCGAAGATATCAAGTCTTTTTGGAAGAAAGGACCTCAACTTCATGTCGGTGTGATGAACGCCCCAAATCTGACTGATCATTTCGAGCGGTAATTTATTGTGAGAACAACTAAAAATCAGAAAATATTCAGAGAGAGGCTGTTCAAAGTGATTTCCGCATTTGAGAACACAAAATATACAATGGGAAGAGAAGGAACTGTGTTTTTCCTTTTTGAATATCTCAACTACCTCGATCAGCTGAATGTAGAAATTGAGGACACTGATCGACTTTGGAAACAGAAATTGAAGTGAGTTTAGCGTACGGATAAACAGGAAAAAAGATCTTCCAGGTCTTGGTTGAAGTATACCGGGGGATCGGCACAATGGGAAAAAGATATCATCATGAACAAAGATGGAAGCGTTGAGGCTTTTCGGTTCGAGGTAGTTTCATGAACAAAAAAAACGAATAAAATTTTAAAATGCTTTGAGATTGCAATGAAACACTTGGTGGAACCGAATGATCACAAAAATGCAGCTAGAATTCTCAGAGAAATCGCCGACCAACAACCTTTTAACGTTGTCGTTTATCACGAGGTCGGTCGTTATATTAGAAGCCTGTTTCAACTTTTTTTAAGAGTTTTCCTTTTGCTGATCAGTACCTCATCATTCTACCGGCTACAATTCAAAACATCATCATTTCCCTAGCTTGCATGGGAGCGGTGTCTATTCTCATGGTTCCCAGTTTGCCGTCAGGTGAATTTTCTTCTGATTTTTCTTCAGAACTTCTCCAAATGGAATCAAGATCTTGAAAAATTGAATAAATCAATATAAATATTACAGGAGTCATTATTTTCTTCGCCATCGTCTCTATAAACGTTGGAGTGTTCGGTTACATGACTCTGTGGGGCGTGAATCTGGACGCCGTCAGCATGATCTCCATCATCATGAGCATCGGATTCGCGGTCGACCTTTCTGCTCACATCATCTACGCTTTCGTCACTTCTCATGGAGACACTCGACAAAGAGTTATTGGCGCTTTGGAAGTTCTCGGCTGGCCCATATTCCAGGTTACTATTCAGGACTTTTGCTTAAGATTTTTCAATTCCCATGATAGTGAGATATTTGTTAGGTCGGATGTAGATGTTATTTTTTTTTATCCAAACTGATTCCACCTAAAAAAGAAGGAGAGTTTTTGGTTTTCAAGATCAAAAGATCGAAAAAAAAGGGAAATTTTCTGCATTGCCTTTGTCAGAGGATCTCGTTGGTCTTTTTCAGTTTTTTTGAGCTGAAATAAAGATTCTCCAATCTGTGAAAACATTTTGAAATTTCATTGTTTTGTAAAGCAGATACACGAAACGCTTTTAGATTTTTTTAAAGTTTAGATGATCTTATCTTCATGGGAAAACTTCAGAAAAGCTTTTAGATTTACCTTGCCAGTAGAAACGACATAAAGTGCTTTCTAAAAAAAACCATCGAACTGAATAAAAATATTTCAAAGGAGTGCTTTTTACAGGGGGCGTCCTCGACGATCGCCGGAATTTCGATCCTTTACACTGTTGATGCTTATATCATCTTAACGTTTTTCAAAACCATTTGGCTTACAATGGTCATTGGAGCAATTCACGGCCTGTTTTTCATCCCCGTCTTCCTCACTTTGTTCCCAGTCGGCTTTTTCCGCATTCCAAAAGTTGTTGAACTCCATTGAAAGTTCATCGTTTAGCCGCAATTCCGCTGTCAACGAAAAACGATTCTCTTTAATTTATTATATGGTCGAGTCGTCGGTGTTCACTTGATGATTCAAACCATCCACGGGACCCTATAACGGGCATTTTTTCTCTTTTTTCCTCTGATGCGATTGTTTTCAAGACATATCAAGTATTGAAGTTTTATTTATTTATTTATTTGTTTCGGTTTTTCAGCTTTACCTCGCAGTATTTCTTATAACCTGCTAAAGATTTTTCGCATTTCTGCATCAAATATTTTTCTTGAAAAAAACGTGGAAGGCACTGTTTTATTTTTTTCGTTTTTTTGCTCATTTTTTTCTTGCCACAACATAAAAAAATTAGAATACTTTTTGTGTTCATTCAAACTTTTTGTTTTTTTGTTTTTGCAATTGCTGACCAGACGCACTCATTGGCTACTTGTTTTCATGAAGATTCACCCATTTGTTTGTTCCCAACCGGTTTTCTCAACAATCTCCGTTCTTCAAGCAAAGGGAAAAACTTCGGCGTCATATATAAATAGTGGAAACCGCAAAAGTCTTTCAAATCGCCGGCAAGGGCAAAAAAGTATTTGGATGGCCCCACGCAAGTTGTATCATACTTTTGTCATGGTAAGAGTCATCCCTAGGAAAAAAGAAAGTTTCCACAAGACGAGAAAGGAAAGGAAGAATGAAAATACAACCGAAGTGAGTGGCTACTGTCCATGCGGAGACGGACAAACGAAGAAGTTTTGACATATGGCCAACCGTGTCGATGAGCGCAGTTGATTTATCACTTTATATGCTGTCGGCTGGCGGCCATCCCACGGCCTTTTGTAGTAGTTTCCGTGTCCGGAGCTCCTGTACGGAATTCCCGTATCCTTGTCACTGCCAATTTGTCACCTAATGCCCCGTACGCTTCACAGAATCATGTGTTAATTACGTCTTTTGTTCACTTTCGCTAAAGGTTCGCATCACCCAAAAACTGTCGACCTCTTTTTTGTCACGGTTTCACTCATCTAATTGAATTTGTAGATCTGGAACTGATTTTCAGGAAAAATAAAGAATTATGAACCACTGAAATATACTTGATTCAACCTGAACTTTTTGAAAACGTTTTTCCTATAATGAAAAATAAGTAACCTGAGATAAAAATTTCAGTTTTTTCATCTTCCACCGATCAGAGAAAAACATCATAGTTGCAAAAAATAGAAGACTGAATAAACAGGTTAAAAATTATTCAACTCAAAAAAATGTATTCAACTATTAGTTGTTGCACTGTTTTCCCGTTTTAGAACCTGGGTAATTTTGTTTGGAATCACTTCTTTTTACCCAATCTTTTCATCGAATCAATTATGTAAGTCTGAAACTCGTTCCAAATTTGAGCGCAAGAATTTAATCTTTCAAGTCGGAAGAAACTTCATCTCATTCTAGTCTTCTCAGGTTGAAAACTGAATTGGGAAAAATGGAAGTTTTCCATCTTCAGCGAATTTCAATAATCGAGCGGTAGTCACCAGAAAACCATTTCTTTTGTGTGTTTTTTTCACAAAGTCACTATTTTTTTCCTATCATTTTAACAGAATTTTTTATTTTCGCTTTTTTACCAATTTCTCTTAAAAAGTATTCGCAACCGATTTGGTTTTTTGGTTTGAGAATTGGAAAAAAAAACATCCAATGTAGCCCTGCCCCTTGTTTTGTGAATAAGAAAAACAACAAAAATATGATAAAAAGTTGATCAATGTTAAAACTTTACGATTTCTTCGTTTTTTTTTCTGAATTTTTCAACCTTCTATAAATTTCAAACAGAATCGTGGCGTCTGTCATTTTTATTTTTCCCAATACCAAATTAAAATCACATCAGAAATTCAACAATAATTCAAGGTTTCATGCAAGAGGATATTTTTAAAAAATGGGAAACGACCTTAATTGAGGTGTGATTCCACGTTTCGAAGATTTCTGACGATCTGTTATTTATTTTGCTCCTCGCCATCACTGCTTTTGTTCTTTCGGTACCCATTCGCATTAGTTTTTTCTTTTTGTTTTTTCCAGTTTCCGTCGATTGATAAAATTTATTTGCTTTTCAATCACAGCGATGGCTCAAAAAAGCGGATTGTCCGCTTTTCTGACTGCCTATCGGTCATCGGTGGTAATTTGGTCGTCTGTTGTAGCTCTTTCTCCTCTACTTATTTTTGCAAATAAGGAGCATCAGGTTGGTTTTTATGAATTTTCAACTCTGAAAAAGCTTTTTGAAGCAACAATGGAGATGCGCGTACGTGGTGGCCATCATGGGCATTTTTTGGGTCTCGGAGGTGAGTTGCAAAAGAAAAAATCCTCAAATATCAATCATTTTTCATAAGTTTTCTGACACAATTACACGAAAAATGCCAATATGCCTTCCAGACTTCACAAACCTCTAATAGTTCAATTTGCAGGCTCTTCCTCTGGCAATCACCGCATTTATTCCCTTAGTTCTTTTTCCTACATTAGGAATAATGCGAGGAGACGAAGTCGCTCGCGCTTATTTGCCGGTATTTGACCACTTAAAAAAAAAGAAAAGACTTTATTTCGCTCAGGATACTTGTTTCCTGTTCATGGGAGGCTTGATGGTCGCTCTGGCAGTTGAAAAATGCGAGTTGCACGCCAGAATCGCCCTTTTCGTGTTGAAAATCGTCGGTTCACACCCAGCCAAGTGATTTCATTATTTTCCCTGTCTATATGATTACTGAATTTGTCAATCACAAATTTAACTTCATTTTTAAGGGTAATGGCCGGGTTCATGGCTGTCACTGGTTTTCTCAGGTTTGTTTCAAGTTTTTTCAGAGGAGGATGAAAAAAAAAATGGAAACGGAGGCAAAAAGAGTTGCCAAGTTCGCTGTTATCAAAGGGGCTGCGAGTGTACAAAAAACAAAGTTTCTTGACGTCACAAAAAATGATATTTATGTGGCCGATTCAAAACTTTTTGTTGATACCGGTCAAAGATAGAAAGATTTATGATATGATAACTCAACTTCAAGTTTCAGCCCAGGAAATTCTCCTGAAGATCGAAAAGTTCAAAGAAGACAAAAAATTTTCATTTTTTCAAATGCCCGAATTTCAGTCTCAGCCTGTTTGACTTTCAACGGCTAACTTTGAATAAAAAAAGGCTGGAAAAAGAAAAAATACAAAAAAAAAGATCTACACTTCATTTTTGCTTTCTGCTTTAAGCAAACGACCGATGCTGTAAATTTTTTTTTCTCGATTATACAATCAAAAACTTTTGAAAAAAAGAAAAAAATAAAGAAAAACATCAAAAAGACTTTTTTTCAGTATGTTCATATCCAACACTGCGACGACCGCTTTAATGGTGCCGATAGTTCAAAGTGTCATCACAGAACTCGTTTCAAATCATAGGTTCAAATTCTCAGTTTTTTTTTTGACACTTCAAGTCAAAGTTAAATGACTCGTTTCAGGATTGAAGACTTGATTGCTTTAACGGAAGCGGCTGCATCTCACAAGAAAATGAGCGTAGGAATGAGACGTCTGTCTCTTCCGAATGACCATTTGGAAGTTATCCATTAGTATGTTTCTGATTTTGAAAACATATCAGGAATAGATTGCACAAATCGAATTGTAATGGCTGCGAGGGTTTTTTTTGTTTTTTTTTTTGACTTTTAATTGCCAGAAACCGCATAAAATGGAACTCTAGGAAGGTAGGATGAAACGCATTGAAATGCGCTGAAAATTTTCTAATCGGCGTTTTCAATTATAAATCCTCCATTGAAGAAGTAGTTCCGCTGAAGATTTTTCAATATATTTCATATTAAAATAATATTTTTACTATCTTTGCTGCAATAAAAGCATGCAATCTATGAAAAACCACAACTTAACCAGAACGCGTAAGCCTAGAATTCTCTTCATAGTTCATTCTTCTGATTGGAAAATCAGAACTTTTTGTAAACTTTCTTAAAAATGATCAGTCCTGATTTTTTCTCAAGTTAAAATTAAATCAATATTCCAGCGATAACCTCGACGAAAGCATGTCTCCAAGGGAGAAAAAGATGGCGAAAGGGTTGATGTTGAGCATCTGCTTTGCTGCAAACATCGGCGGCTCAGCCACAGTAACTGGAACCGCTTCAAACCTGGTCTTAATCGGTCAACTTGACGAGTTTGTAAAATTGAACCGAATTTTTCCATGAGATCTTCCTTCAGGCTGTTCCCAGGCGCCGACACGGGTGTCAATTTTTTATCGTGGCTGACTTTTGCCTTCCCCATGGTCATCTGCTGTTTGATTTACTGTTGGTGAGTAATATTTTTTAGAATATTGAAGGGATGGAAAGTTCAGGATTGTTCTCTACCTCATGTTTTTGCGCAACGCTCCAAAGGGATCTCCTCTCGTGACTCGAAAACTCCAAGACAAGTACAATGAACTGAGCCCGTTGAGTTTTGGAGAAGTAAGACTTTTTAACTGACTTTCAAAAACATTTATGAAAATCAGGCAGCCGTCGTTGCTTGCTTCACTCTGTTGCTGGTGCTCTGGGTGATGCGAGAGCCTCAAGTTGTTCCAGGATTTGGCGAATTATTCAAGGAGGAGTATGTATTTTCTATCTTTGATTCATTTTAAAACTTCGCCTTTAAGATATGTCTCTGATTCTACAAGTGCAATGTTGATAGTGATATTCCTGTTTCTAATTCCTCAAAACTTCCCGCAAAAAAGTGAGGATTCACAATATTTTTTTGGAAAAGAAGGAGTTTGAGCTGCAAATGGACGTTGGCGCAGCAGCAGTGGTCTTCTCGACTGGGAGACGGTTCAAGATCGATTTCCTTGGAGCGTCCTATTTCTTCTAGGTGGTGGATTTGCTCTAGCTGCTGGAGTAAAGGTGCATTTTTTTGTTCCAAGATTTGAGAAGTATCGATTTTTTTATTCTTCTGAAGTTTTTGCTGACATGATTCGAAGTTTGAGATTTGAAAAAGTGCTTTCAAATTCATAATTTAAGTTGAGATTGATCAATTAAAATTCAATAATAAGTTCACTGTTAAATAGGAAAAAAATTAAATATTTCTCCGGACACAAAAGAAGCAATATCATGTTCGAAAATTCCATATTTGCCATCCCCTAGAGCCAAAGAGAATTATCCGATTTATAGCATTGAACAAGTTTTGATGAAAACATTTTATGAACTCAGGAGTCTGGACTTTCGCATGACATCGGCGCCATCATGAAAAACCTCGACATCTTCAATTCCAATATCATTATGTTGATTTGTACGGTGATTACTGTGCTTTTAACCAACGTTTGCTCCAACACTGTCATTGCCTCGATTTTCATTCCGATCGTTGCTGAGCTAGCGAGGTTGATGATTTCAGCCTTTTTTTGTCACTTTTTAATCTTTCAGGTCTTTGAAGTTGAATCCGCTAAACTTCATGCTGCCGGTGACAATATCTGCATCTTTCGCTTTCCTGCTCCCTGTAGCAACTCCACCAAACGCTATTGTGTTTTCTTCCGGGGTCCTGAAAGTCAAGGATATGGTAGGATTTTTTTTTGTTAGCATCTTCTATCCTGATGGCTTACAAATTACAAAAAGTCGAATATTTGAATTTTAGATAGAACTTCAGGGTAAAGTATAAAGTAAAATGAGATTATTTTTCTGCTAGGTAGATTCATGTTGCAAGTGCTTTTTTGCACCTCGTTCTGAAGCTAAAATGTGAGGTTTCAGTTTCTCAAAGAATTTTTTTTGTAACAATATGAAAATTAATTTTTCAGATGAAGGCTGGAGCGACCGTCACGATCGGATGTGCTTGCTTGGCTATTGGCAACATGCTTCTCTGGGCCGGATTCGTCTTCAATCTTCACCTATTCCCAAAATGGGCCCGCGGAGAAGCTCCACCAGCAGACGTCCAAGACTGGCTCACTCAGAACAACATCACTCTTCCACCCACCACGACCGTCATGAGTGTTCTTCCTTGAGAATGAGAGATTTTCTCACAAATACGCTGGTCTGGTGCAATGAGCGAGGCATTTTTCTGCACACTGTGTGATGTGTTCTGTGCTTTGTGTACCAATTGATGCTCTTCCTTATCTCGACGAAAACCTTCTGATGCATTGTTATTTTATTCTTTTTCTGTTGTTTCTTGGATGAATATTTTATTGGTGAGAGAGAACTGTGCTTTACAAATGGTGAAAGAGCAGGAAGAATTTTTTGCGGTGTGAAAAAGTCATTAAGACAGGTTCTATTGGTTGAAAAATCCATTCAAAGAAAGAAGTTGAATCATATAACAGAACAATGACGTAGGTGCGGATTTCGGTTCAGAAAAAGTACGGTTCGGAAAAATGTCAACCAACAACAAAATCCGATTTTTTAGAAGCGATTCATGATAATGTATGTGAGGTTCCCGCTTCAAGGAAACATGTGTCAATTTGTAAAAAGAACCTTATAGCTTCAATAATTCCTATTCGATAAATTAATGGGTTTTTTGGTACAAACCAAGGGATTTCTTGAAACTTTGGTATAGCTTCCCTGTGCCGGTTTTCAGATCTTTCAAGTGGCTGGAATTTCTTTTTAATTGTATAAGGGCCAATTTTTGTTTCTGAGCTGCAGCAGAGATTTATCTAACTTCCATATGAAATTCTTTGTTACCGTTGCAAGGGTGTTTGAAAACTTGAACCCTTTTTACAGTGTAATGGCTATTTTTTCTTGTTGTGTTAAGTGAACATGTGCTCTTGGAGAACGAGCGCCTGCGCGCGTTCGCTCCAACTTTTGTTACAACATCATTATCACGTAGCGCACTGCTAGCATGCGCTGCGAAATAAAGTCTTCTATGCCGAGTCCGGCTTAATACTGAAACAATGGTTGAATGATGACGAGGAACATCATTTGCCATTACATGGAGGTCCCGGATCCCTCCACTATATGGTATAATTTTGTCTTCCTCATATTCCATCTGAACTACTTGAACTACTACCGATATTAAATTGATTCGCTATCATCTACGATTAATTGTATTTTTATAAATCGACCTATTTCTCATTCTGCTGCGTGTTCTTGCGAGACGTCTACGAAGCAGTACTCCAGCAGATACCCGCCTTGGGGTTCGTTGGGTTAGGCAATAATTAATTTTAATTTGCATTTCCCTGATGCTTTATTTTTCGAATTTGTTTCCTAGGTATTTAGATATTTAGTCATAACTTTTTACGTTTGTGTGAAGATTAAATAGCTGATCTACTGTTCAAGCAGGATGGCCGGTTACTGTTAAATTTTTATGTTTTACAGTTAAAGAGAGGATTGTATCACTTTAGGTTGTTATTTTTAAGACAGTCATCTTGATTTTCAATTCTAAGTTCTTCTTTCAAATGAAGTAACAAATCAATTGTTGAGCAACGGACTCAGACATCCTGTTTCCGACATTCATCCCGCCTTTTAATTGACTCAAATGTTTACCTAGACCACCATTTTCTTATTTTACTCGCTTTGTTGTTAAAATAACCGAATGTTGCAAACTGGTTTAGTATTGCACGAGATCAATAAAAACGTCCCATTGAACTTTTGTATGCTTACATATTGGAAGATAAAAGAGATAGAAGCAATCAAAGAGACTACGGCGCGGGTGATAACGTAACGAGTGCATTTCGGCCACCGGCGAGCACTACTGCCTGGCCATGCTTCCGATTTGGCTGCTTCTTGGGTTTGCGCTTCTTGGCGCAACTTCAGGTACAAAGAACAGAAACAATAAAATCGTTATATTTTCAAGCCGACTTCTCACATCCCGCTGTCGTTCCCGATTTGCAATTGAAGAACTCCCACTTGACAAAGTCGAGCTTGACCAAAAGGTTCAGTTATGAACTCTCCCAATTGATTAATGAATTCGTTATTTTCATTTTCATTATAAGTTTGGCTTTGAAGTTTAGAATAGCTCCTGTAAATTTTATGGTGACGGAGGCCAAGAACTTGTGATGAATATTCATAGAGTGTTTCTTTAAAAAAAAATTCGTTAAAAAATCAACAGTTGCGTTCGGGCGTGTTTTCTGCAGCTTATGATAATAAGAATGAATGCTGAACGTATAAAAGCTAATTTATAATTTTAAAAACAATCAGTCCTTGAAAAAAATTACAAATAAATCAACGTTTTTGAACATTTTGATATTTGTTTCTCAAACTGAAGGGTTTCAACTTTAACGCGTTTTGATAGCTTATCCAATTATTCTCGGCATCATCTAAAACGTTCAGAATCAATCTGTTAGAACGACTGCCAGCTTCACTAACCGCAATTCATTACGATATTTGGATCAAACCATACTTCCCAGCTCCTGGCGTCACTTACGACCCGAGTAAGTTTTCTTATCAGCCAACTCAAATTTTTTTCAAAGCTCTTGCATTTTTTTTTCTCAGAAAGAGCCATTTGAATGCAATACTTTCCCATGAACCATTAGATCAAAGGTTGATAATATTCTGAGAAACATAATCTCATTTAATTGTCATGCTAAAAAATTTGACATTCCACTTATCTTATCAACTGAAGATAGAGCCGTCTGACCATTCGAAACATAGATCATTTTTGAAAAGTTCATTGGTGAATTGTTACTGCATTCGAATGAAATTACAGTTCATGGAAAGAGCTAATGGAGGAAATTGAGGAGAATTTTCCAGGCCGAGACTTCACCTTTGACGCTAAAACGACAGTCCGGGTGAAGGCAACTGAAGACGCGGGGAGCATCGTTCTCAATGCTCGATATTTGAACTTTAGCAGTTATTCTGTGGTTCGGAACGATGGTCAGACTGTTCCCATTCATGGATTCTGTAAGTAGGACTTCATGACTTCAAATTAAAAGTTCTAAGACTACAACGATACGACTGAACAAATCATACTGAGCCCTCGATCTGTGACCATCCAAAAAGGATCTGTATACGACGTTTCTTTCGTTTATACGGGACTCATCAACTATTACCAAGACGGCGGACTTTTTTATACCAATTATGTGGATCCTAGCGGCCAGAAACAGTGAGTTAAACTAATTGTGTTTCCTGACTGTTTTTTTGCTTGCCCCCACTTGCTGAAAAATTATCCTAAAAACAACAAAACTGATGGAAAACTTTTTAGTTGGATGGTGGCAACTCAGTTTGAATCGACAGATGCCCGTCGAGTCTTTCCTGGTTTAGATGAACCTTCTTACAAAGCGGCAAGTTTATTTTGAAAAGTGACGTTTTCTGCGAGTTTTTTTTGAGTTTCTTTGGCTCACGAAAGCTTGGAAGATTTTGAAAAAGCTCTTCTTTCAGACATTCAGTATCACTGTTGCTTATCCAACTTCACTTGTCGTCCTGAGCAACATGTACGAAGATGATCCGACAACCCTGGAGTTAGCAGAAGCACCATATCTTTTAAAATTTATTTTTCAGCAACGGCTACTCTCAAGTCGCCTTCCCGAACACTCCAAGAATGGCAACCTACCTTGTGGCTTTCGCTATCGGGCCTTTTGTGTCTTTTGAATACATGAATGAAGACCACACTTTGGTATTTTCTCGAAGGGTATCGATCTTCATTTCGATTTTAGGTCCGCTCTTGGGGCTGGCCAGGTACTGAGCAATATTTGAGCTTTGCCGCAATGAACGCTGGTTTTTGTCTGTATCAAATGGGACAGTACACTGGAATGCAGTATCCTTTAGAAAAATCTGGTATGCTTTTATCTATTTTTCTGTCTTACGCTGTGAACTTTTTTAAAATGTCGCTTTGATTCACCCACATTTATTAGAATTGACTCTAGTTATGAATTTTTTTGAAGTGTTCAGTTTTCAAAAAAATTTTCTTCATCTCTATTCAATTTTTAGGGCTTGATGAAGTACCGGAAAATAGTAAATTCTGCTGGCAAAGCTTCTTTAATTTTTTTATATTTTGATAGTTTCTTCGAAGTTAATTGGGAATCTAGACATTTTGAGCTTTAGTATGACAGCTACAGTATGACACTTTCTGTCAGAATTCTCTCACGATTTCCCCGTTTTTTTCGCCAAATATTGCTCCTCTTGGCGACATCAAGAAATTCTCAGTTGTTGATAAAAGTTTTCTTGAGTCAAAACTGAAATTTCAATTTATCAGATCAACTCGGACTTCCGGAGTTTCCAGCAGGAGCCATGGAGAACTGGGGTCTTGTCATTTACAAGTATCAATACATCGCCTACAACCCAACAGTTTGTGAACTTAATTTTTTTTGTTCGACTAATATGAACCGTTTTAGACTATGACAACCGCTGACATGGAAAACGCAGTGAAAGTCATTTGTCACGAGTTGGCCCATCAGGTTTTGATTTTTGAAATGTACCAAAATTTTCACAAATTTCCAGAGAAAATTCTTTTTTTTTTCTGCTCTAGTTTTTTGAAAAAAATTTTTACAGTGGTTCGGAGACTTGGTGACGCTGGCGTGGTGGGACGATTTGTTCTTGAACGAAGGCTTTGCTGATTATTTCATGCGGTACATTCAAGGCAAAGTCTACCCCAATCAAGCTGTTTATTTGGTTTGTGTTGATGGATTCCTTCAAGAAACTAGTAATTCGTCTCAAACATTCATTTTACGACAGTTTCGATTTCACAAGTTTCATTTAGGATACCCTCCATGTGCGAGAAGAGCTAGAGTACGCCTTACAAGCCGATATTGCGCCATCTGCCCATCCTCTGGTCGCTCCTGATGGACCTCATTTCGATTGTTTTTTTCATATTCATCCTGAAAATTAGTTTTGTTTACAGTAATTACTTATCGCAAAGGATCATCGATGCTTCGAATGTTGTCCGACGTCTTGGGAGAAGACGTTTTCCAAGCTGGCTTGAAGTCTTACCTCTACATTTATCAGTACTCCAATGCGAATCATGAATATTTGTTTGATGCATTAACAGAGGTGAGCCGCGGTTTTTGGCTGAGCCTGAAAATGTGCGAAAAAAAAAGTCGAGCTTTGCATTTGAAAAAATATAAAAATTTAAAACCTTTTTTCATTAAATGAAAGTCACCTATGAACTTTTCCTGTTCTATAGATTTTATGTTTTCAAGCTTTTGCCTTTTTTAAAAACTTTTAAGACTTAATTTCTCGGAAAATAAGGTCTATGGAAACCAGATTAAAATATTATTATTTCCTTCACCTGTCAAAATATGTTCCAAAAAAATAATTCAGTTTTTTTCTCGTTAAAAAAATTAAAATTTTGAAGGCCGCACAAGAAGCAAGAGTCACAGACTGGTGTGGAAGACCGTTTAATGTATCTGTATTCATGGAGCCCTACGTCCACCAGACCAACTTCCCACTCATAAACTTTGTCAACAACGACTTCAACCACTACGCAACTTTTTCTCAAGATCCTTTTCAAAGTAAGTCTTTTCCGGGAACATCGAAATTCAAGAAAGTTTTTGCTCGCAGATTCGTCAAGTTTGCCACAGACCGACTGGAATTATTATTGGCCGATTCCTCTAAGAACAGTGAGATACGACAACTATTCCTATGTGCAGCAATGGATCGTTCCCAGTAAGAAAACGATTTTTTCGGATGGTCATTGGAAATTCCAGGTAACCAAGCTTGCACAGGAGTAGGAGAAAAGAAAGCGTTGCATTGGGAAGTTGCGGATATCACTACGGCTGCTTACGGAAGGTGGAGCGCATGCTTGAAAAACATTTGAATAGTGACCGAATTTGAATCTTCGACTTAAGAATGATTCTTTTTAGATTTTGCGAGAAGAATACTCAAAAATTAAATTTTAGAGTGAAATACGACGACGTCGGGTTCGATCGCCTCATTCAGAAGCTTCAGACGCAAAGCATACCTCCTCAAGTGATGGTAACGCTTCTCGGGGACGAAATCGCCTATATCGCGTAGGATTTTGAAAGATTGAAAAATACTCAGATCATTCTTTAAAAAATGAGTCTTGCCTATTTTTACGATTTCATATGGTTTTTTTTCGAATTAGAGGTTTTTATCTCGAAAGTTTGGAAAATTCGTTGGCTTTGACTTTTAGTCTTCATCTGCTTTCACAAGAAGAATGCTGGCAAATTAAAGAAATGAAACATTTTCATCCCCAAAACGCAGAGAATTTCCTTACAATGCACAAACTGAAGTAGTAGATAGAAATACAAGTTTGACTGAATTTAGGCGCCAACAAGCGACGAACGCTCCGTTTTCCTACGACCGCTTCTTAACTTTGGCCGTGTCAGTGTTCAACATCCAAAGCTTCATCCACCAGCCAAGCTTCTCAGCTGGAGACGTGGCGTATTCAACCTTGGAAGCAATCTCTACACAATTGAGAGATCATATGGATTATCCACTCATCAAGGTTTTCTGCAACTACATTTCCATAAAAATTATATTTCAGAGATTGCATGAGAAAATTTTCTCGAACTCGTATCAACATATCCCATGGATCAATACGGACGATTGGGACAAAGAGTGAGTAATTTTCTATTGACGTCAGTGGAAAAAAATGCTTCCAGTACGTTCCAAGCAAGTTTTCTACCATTGGCGGTGAGGCTCAATATTGGCGACTCTGCAAATCGTACGCTTCAAATGTTCGCCAAAATCAAGACGGCATGCGCTCAGAGTTCGAATGGCACTGCCTGGTGCAATCCGTGAGTTCGGACCAACTTTCCCAATCGAAAAATTGTTTTTCAGAATCCCAACCAACTTCAGGAGGGCCGTTTATTGTGGAGCAGTCAAAAACTCCGTGCAAATGGCTAATGATAACTTTGCTCAAGTTCTGCAGTACTACAACGCTGAAGTCGTCACTAACCCCTACTTCTATCAAGAGTATTTGGCTTTGCTTGAAGGCTTGACTTGTACAGAGGCTTCTTCTACGTTGAAAGTGTAAGATTTTTATCCAGTTTTTAGCTCTTTCTAGTGTAAAAATGAATCTTTCATAGGCTTTTAAAATCTTCGATTATCCAGAAAAAGTTTTTAGCGATCCTGAACAATCTTTTTAATAGGTTTTTTTTTCAAAAAAACGTTCCAATTCTGATTTCAGAACAATTCGATTGTTTTTGAAATCTCCCCTGAACCCGAACGTCATCTTCAGTTGGTTCAAAACCAATCCTTACGCTTCGGATGCTCTTGCTTCTTATCTCAATGACCGACCTTCAGAAGTTTTCTTTTTATTCATAATGAAATATAGTTCCAAATTTTTTGAGGTTTTGAATTTCACTGGATTGGATGCGTACCTCGACGCGATGACCTACAATTGGAGATCAGAGAAACGATTCTTACAGGTTTTTTTCTAACTGCAAAGAAAAATTGTTCTGCTTTTTCAGCTAAATCGAATTTTGAACACGCTTCAACTGAACACAGCGCAACAACGAGTTTTCAATAAATACCTTCTGAGAACACAACAACAAGTTATATTTTTGATAGTTTGAAATGATCATCTTTATATTGTAGGTGACATATAACACCCGCTATTTACCCAGACTTCTGAACTGGCTTTATGATAATTTGGTGGTACGTGGCGAAACTCCGTGGACGCAACGGTTGGTTCCCTATTTAAATATTTTTCGAGCACTATAATTCGAAAAATAGTGGGTTTTCCTTCTTTGGAACGATATATCATGGTATAGCTCATTAGTGACTTTCACAGCAACTCTGAAGTTTGAAAAGCGGTTTAATTTGAATTTAAGAGTGAATTAACCATTATTTTTGAGATAACATCCCATTTTTTTTGTCTCAGAGTTTCCGACGCCCTTGTTCCAACTTCCTATCAACTCACCTTGCAACCATTTATTCCTGGAAGCGGCTCCTACGATTTTTGGTCTAACATGACTTTTACCGCGTTTTTGACAGTTAGTTCACGGCTACAAACTCACATCGAAAAATAACTCAGATGGAATTCGACCTGATAGTTCCGGTTCAAGAAATACAACTCACAGCACATCGCTTGCTTATCGACGTCTCTACGATTTATTTGACGGATGGAACGAATAATACGATTCTCCTGGATACTGGGATCCGCAAAGACTACGACAACGCGTTTCTCTACATTCCGTCTCCAACTACGCTTCAAGAAGGACATTACACGTTGACGATGTCTTATCAAGGATTAATTTTCAATAAGCCAAGCGATGGAGTTGATTCCAACTGGAACTTCTACGAGTTTGACGGAAAACAGGGGTTCGTTTGAAAAATGCCTGGGAATGCGAAGTTTTGTGCTCCTTAAAGATGCAAATTTCATTTTGTTTTTGGCGTTTTTGGCGTTTTTCAATAGCAAGAACTTGATAAGAAGAGTAATGTGAAGAAAACTAGGATTTGCGGAACAGTAGCTGAATAACCTTTTCGATTCAGAAAATCACATTTTTGCCCTTTTTCATCCAAATCTAATTGCAAAATTTTTTATAACTTCATGAAACTTGTTCTCAATTGCATGCGATAGTCTGCAGAAGCACTAATGCGACTTTTCCATCGCTACCTCCCCATTTCTGAAATCAACCGAAACTAAAGACGGTTTCAGTTGGATCTTCACGACAGATTTCGAAGGAGGCCCCAGCGTTCGATCTTTGTTGCCATGTATAGACGAGCCTTCTTACAAAGCGGAATTCACAGTTTGTTCATTTTTTCAATATTATGTTGTTCAATGTCATCTTAGGTCAGTCTCATTCACCCCGCAGATATGACAGCTTTGTCCAACACTCTTGACACCGGAATGACTATACTAGATAAAGGATGGGCGCAAACTACTTTCCAAACGACTCCGAAAATGGTCCGAATCAAAACCTTCAGCTATAATATTAATTCTTTCAGTCCTCTTATCTCTTGGCAATTTGTTTCGGGCACTTTTCGTCTGTTTCAAAAGTGTCAAATACGGGCGTCCTTGTGAGATTATTTACATGGACGGGGATGGAGCGCTATGGTGATTTTGGATTACAGGCAAGCTTTTCATCCTCACCAGTTCATTATAAATTGATTTAGGTCATGGCTGGAACTGTTGATTTCATGGCTACTTATTTCAATTATCCGTTCCCTCTTCCAAAACTAGGTCTCTACTAAAAAAACTGATGTATAAATAGAAATATTCTAGATGCTGTGGCGCTACCTCAATACTCTACTGCTGGGGTCGGCGATGGAGAACTGGGGCCTTATTTTGGGATCGTACGTCTTCAGAAAAAAAAAATTGATTATTTATTTGTAGATATGAGGTTTTATTGGTCGACATGGATTATGCGACGACTGCACAACTGACTGACGTAGCCGAGGTCACCGCGCACGAAACAGTTCATCAGGTGCTTTTTTTCAATCACTCAGTTTAACTTTCTTTTTGCAAAGATTGCATCGGTTTCAAAATTTTCAGACCCTTTTAGATCACTAAGCCATTTCAAAATGAATATTTTCAAGACTTAATAAAACTAATACTTTGAACTTACAGTGGTTCGGAGACTTGGTGTCCCCGGATTGGTGGAGCAACCTATTCCTCAACGAGGCTTTCGCCCAATATTGGTACGCCAATGGAATCAATTACACCTTCCCAGAACAATCAGACTACGCCATCGTAGGAAAAGACGGTTGAAGAAATTATAAAAATTGATATTCATAGGATTTCAACCGTTTTCAAACGAATGCAATAGCTCTGGAAATCGACTGCAATTCGAAAAATTCGAGACCAGTCATTTCGGATGCACCGCCTCTTTTCAGCAACATCATTTATTATAAGGTAAAATCGCTTCGTCGGGTAAGAAAATCCGCAACTCAGAACTTATCATTGTTTTCCGAGAAAAAGTGAATTTTTCGTGCTTGGTTTTTGATCCAGTAAACAAGTTGAAACGTGTATTTCCAATATAATCAATTGGAAAAAATGCTGTGAGTTGCTGGAAATCTTTTTTTCGCAAACATCTCTGACAAAATTGGTCTGAAGACATGAAGCGAGTATTGTCCTGATTATTGACTCTGATATATGAAACTTTTTAGTTTTTTCCCGTTTCAGGGAAGCTCACTTCTCAATCTTCTCAGTAACACTCTGAGTCCGGCTGTCTTACAAACCGGGCTCCAAAACTATCTGCAAAGCTACAAATATTCAAACGCCAATGCTCAAGATCTCTGGGCAGCATTGACTCAGGTAATTTCACTTAGATCTTTCAAAATGCTCCAAAAATTACAGGCGGCGAGAGACGCTCAGATGAAGGATTGGAACGGAAGTCCTCTGGATGTGTCTTCTTTCATGGATCCTTACACTCTTGAGGTGAAGATCCCCTGGAATAAAATTAGAAATGTTCTAGGCCTCCTATCCAATTTTGAAACTCACGTTCATCAATGGGATGGTCTCATATGAACAAGTTTCGTGTATCGGAAATGGTCTTACTTGGAATATTCCAGTGTTTTCACAAACAACTACGGGTGAAGGTGATTTTCAAAAAAACATAATCCTTCATATCTGATGTTTATTGACCTTCCTTAGAAGAAGAAGATTTTTTTGAAACCCATAGCACACAGAAAAAAAAAGTTTTCATTTCCATAAAACAGAGGGGCTTGAGCGGAAAAGATGTAAGTTTTTTCCTGATGGCTTACAGTTTTCAACTGGTTCGTCGGAGCAAATGGAAACAGCAATTCATGGAACCACACTGTTGGTTCTCCCTATCAAATCGACAATACAAGAAGCAGCGTAAGAAAAAAAAAATCCAGAAAATAATTTAATTGATCTCGCAGTCCTACGCACGTGTGCTTTATGATGACCAAAGTTGGGCCAATTTGCTGAAGCAATTGACCACGAATCCAAATGTGTTTGATCCAAGCACTCGGGCTTCAATTTTGGATGACGGACAATTTTTCGTACAGTAAGAAATTTGAAATTTTCGACTTTATTTTTTGTTATCGAACGGCTTTAATTTGATAAGCACTTTATTTTTGTTGGTCAAGCTATACTTGTCTTATCGCCAGCTTGAAAAAAAAAATGTAGACGCTTGAACTTCTACTTTTGCTCACTGTTTTGTAAATCATTGCAAAAAGTGGAAAAACTTAACTTTTCGAAGTTTTTCAGAAACGAGTTGTGGAACGTGACGCGTTGGCTCGATCTTTCTCTTTACTTACAAAACGAATATTCTTTGGCGCCATGGAAACAAGCTCTACCTGTTCTGAAGAACTACCTTTCTCGCTTCAGATATCAACCTTATTTTAATGAAATCACGGTTAAGACAACCATCGGAACGAAAAAAAAATCTGGAACTTGCAGAACTACGTAGCCAGAGTTACTGAGAATGCTTATGTTGCTTACGGCTGGAGGATAACTACAAAATGGACAAACAAGTAAGAATATCAGTAAAAACTCTTCAAGCAACAAGTTTTGAATATCTTAATCTTGAAATCTAGAAAAATGCCAGTCAAATTGAAAATTAATTTTATCTCAAACTTAAATTCTGCTTATTTGAAGTCAATAAACACACTAAAATGGATTTTCTTTGATTGAGTGTGTGCATTTTTCACATATTATGACATCCTTGAAACATAAAATTGTCCTATTTTGGATTAAAAAACTCTCAAGACTAGTTTCCAGTGCTTTGGCCAACGACCTGACTAATATTGGTTGTGCGACTGGATTTACGGATTGTTCTGATCTAGCGACTCTTTATTTCGAAAAGTTCGTGACTACCTGCCAATACTCGAACTACGGTACTGCTCAGTGTTCAAAGTTTGTCGGGAATTAAAAATCACTGTCTGAAGATTGGGTAATTTCAGCGTCAGTCCCGATTTGAGAAAGACCATGTACTGCTACGGAAACAAATTGGTTCCAAACGATCAACTATTGTTGAACTTGTATGGCTATTATGCCAACAATGCGACTTATTTCGATAGAGATGGAGATAACTTACTTCATGCGTTGGGATGTACCGGCGACGCAGTTTCGTTGAGAAAGTGGGTTTTGAAGTTTTCTTGAAGTTTGATAAAAGGATATTTTCAATTGATTTGGTATCAAGGTGTCCTGAAACACCTCTGCGTCAAGTTCATCCCAACATTAACTTTCACACCCCTCATAATTTTCGTGAAACAGTATTCCCATGTATATCAGTTTTCAATTTTTTCGAATTTGAATCAACTTTTATGTTTGTAGACTCATCACGATGGTCATTTTCGGCCAGCTCCCAACAAGACTCCTCCGATACATTGGCGAAAACAATAACGACGGCTTGGCTCTTTATAACTTCTTGATTTCGAACACTCAACAAGTTGCTCTCAGCAATATCGACTTCAAGACATTTGTTCGGGCGATGGCTCTCAATTGGAGCACTGACGACCAAGTACAGAAGGTCCAGCTAAAAAAAAAGGTTTTCACTCAATCTTTATGTTTTTTTCAGATGGAGCACTTCATGTCGACGGAAGAATATCAGCTCTTGAATGTTCAGCAACAGAAAGATTGGCGAGATGAATCAACTGTCGTTTCCGGAAACAATTTGTGGATAGAGACTCACGGGCCGGTTATTCGAGGCTGGATCAATCAGAATATCGAAACCACGAAATAAATTTTTTTTCTTTCATTTTTTTTTCACAAATATTCTTATACAGGTTATAAATATTAAAAACTTAGCCTTGTCCACAAATAAAGCGAGAAATATTTATTAGGAATGAATAACTTAAAGCTCTAAAAATTTGTACAAAAATGTGTATAAAAAGTTCGGTTAGGAACTTGAAACAGCAAACCAAGGTCTAGGCCTGTATGATCTTCGGGAGTCTATGAGTCGGACGCTGGCAGCTCTGCAAAAAAGGGATAAGTTGAGAATAGTCTTGATTCGAACCTTCTTTGGAGATCATCATAGAAAGGCTGGACATAATCCGTGATGAACTCTTCAACGACGTCAGGGTAAAATATGATGTTCATCGAAGTTCTTGAAAACAACAAAGTTAGAGATTCAATCAAATATCGCAGCTCGAAACGTCATGAAAATTCTTTAAGTTGCGTTTTAGGAGGTTTGCAAAATGTTGAAATCTTGTTACTAAACATAATGGCTCTCAAATTTTGCGGTTTTACAAATTTCGAATCCCCTCACCTCAGATTCTGAATGATGATGTCCAGTTTTTTCAACGTTCTGACATAGGAATGCTTCACAGCATCCACGTAATACGGATTGCTGGCGCTCAAAAACATTTGAGACGGCTGCAGCCAACCATTTTCCCTCAAATCAACAGTTTTCGAATAATTGAAGAAAATTATACCTGTTATGAACCCATGTGGAATTGTCAAAGAAAGCTTTCAGTTGGACGAAGCTTCGAATCGCGTCCCGAACTTGATATCCTGAAAAAACTGAATTTTTAGAAGTTTGACTAATTTTACAAACCTGGAAACCGACATTTATCGTTTCCATTCAGAAAATCGTCCAAAGTTGTGCTGAGAGGGCAGTTCAGAATTCTACCGATTTCTTCTGCGTCTTCCTCTGAAATGAACACCTTGAAACAGTAAATTGAGTAGTGATGTACCAGAAACATGGAATCTGTGAGCCACAACAAGGTTGAGAGCGAGGCTTGTGATGGACGTTGGGAAGAGCTCAGCCAGAGACGCAAAGTGATCATATCTGAATTCGCCTTTCTTTTTTTTATTACGACTTCATAAGTCTATTACCTTTGCCAACCTGTTATGAGAACGGAGTTGAACTCTTCGAACAAGTAGGAGTGCGTTTCTTTTTGAATGAACCATTCTTTGTTGTTCACAATGTACGGCTTCATCCTGTTCCAATATCGGTTTGCCCCGTCCGCTCCTGAAACCATCCAATTTTTCGAGATTTATGAAGGAAAACTACCTTTGAAAGCACTCGCGCCCCAAACTTCACGGAATGAATAGGAAAGATTTTTCCACATTTCAGTTGGCAAATCCTATAAACTTCAATGCTTCAAGAGGATTTCGAAATAATAACAAAATCCCTTGAACTTAAAATTTTGAAGTCAATTATTGAAATTTGGAAATTGAAAATTGATAGCCCGACCCGAAACGGTTTGCGCCATAATTTTTTTATTAAAATAAAGCTCCATCAATAACATTCTAAAAAGGTTCAAACCGCAAATTTTGAGCCATTCATTATGCTCTTATGGAATTTATGAATTTTTGATTTTTGTCTACAATATTGGCTGGCCACCCTTTTTTTATTGAACACAACTAAAGTGTTTATAAAATCAAAAAAGCATACGAAAGTTGAAAAAAACTTTATCAAAAACTATTAAAAATAGAACGTCTTTTTTTTCACCACGAAACCAAACCTTCTCTAAATTAGCCGTATATTTCCAGACAACCGGCGCCACCAGTTCGTGCAAATTATACTGTTTTATGAGTTCAATTGGCGCACTTTTGAACTCATCGAACCACATCAAAACCTGAAACTTCGCAAAAAATGAAAAAAGTATCCTTTTTAACTTTTTACCTTTACACCTGGGTAGCCACGAGTGATGTTGTAAGCTACGTTTTGAAGGTGGTCAAAAACGAGGCCTAACGTGTTGTTGTCATACTTCACAGGCACTATCCGTTTGTCAGCATCACAGGTACCAATCTGGAAATACTTTCTGATAATCTGTACGGCTTGGAATAAAAAGCCGCAGAGGGAATGGCTAAGCTTGTGAATTGCTAGAAAAAAACTTCTTGGTGGGAAAAAAAAACCTTGAATCGACATCTTATCTATCTCTTTTTATAATGAATTTATATGAGTTCCTTATGCGCTCGATTCCTGGTAATCAGTCCGACTCTGATTTTTAAATCACATATAAGATTCTCACTCACTAGGGAACGTTTCCTACATAGATCTCGTTTCCCGTGTCGAGTTAGGACGCTTGAAAAGCTTAAAATAGCGCATTTTCGTCATGATTTGCGTATCTTGCGGACTTTGATACTTCATAACTCGAAAACGAGATCTATTGTGAGAATCTTTTTTTTTTGGTTTTGCGAGGCCCTAAAGTGCACTTCATCGAAAGTTCAACCAGGTGGTTGAAAACGGTCCCTAGTCAGCTGTTTTTTTTCCTGAGCTATTAAGATGTTCTGTCATCAAATTCCGACCAAAAACTCTCTAAGGACTAAAATCCCTCGCATGGGTTTAGATGAATGTTCGAGTATAAGAAACACCTGAAAAGCTTCATCTGCCCCGATATGAACGTATTTTGTTGAGAACTGAGCGTGCATGTACGTTATCTGAAAACACGCATTGATAGGGCGGCAAACAAGAAAAAAGTACACCTGATTGACAGCCTCTAGTATAAGATCGCTGGCTCTCTGATCACCGATACAGGCTACCTGAACTTTGATAGTTCGGAAGTTTCCTGACCGCTCGCATGGCTTACCATGGGAAAGTCGGCATCTTCACGGAGATCTGCATACTCTTCCGTTTTCAGAATCCATTCCAAATGGCCCAAAGTTTGGACTAGAGGAATAACGTCGAGACCTTGAGATTGGGCGCTTAAATATTCATTGAATTTTTTTAAAAGATTGTTGTCTTACTGTTGTAAGATATCGTAAACCTCGCTTTCCGAGTAAGCATTTCCATTCAGTATACGAGATAGTTCTCCTTTATATGGGAACATATCCTGAAATTGATATTTTTGAAATGTTAGTGTAAGGGGTTTTTTTTTCAATATTTCAGTGTAAAAACTCAAATTTGACAAAAAAATATGTTTTTAATATACCAAAATAATTTTTTTAAGAGCCACGTGCTCACCTTTTTCAATTTTTTTGTGAATGAGAATCTTATAATTTCAGAAAGTTTTTCTGTCCGTCCTTTGATAATTTTTATTTGAGGTTTTTTTAATGATGAGCGCATGTTAGGACTTCCGGGGACTTCATTCACTTTTCCGGAAAGATTTCTTACTTACAAAAAGTCTCCAAGCTGCAAGATGATATTGAAAAAAAAACCTTCTTTCAGGTTCTTGAGTTTTCACCAAAAAAAACTGTTGAACTAAAAAAGAAATGTCCCACTTACTGACCTCCCACTCAATCAAAACACCCGTGGCGCCAAGATTAGAAATCATTGATAACATCTGTTTGAAGTACAGCGGCCTTGGCGGAGCACCTAAATGAAAAATTAGCCAGAAAAAATTAGGAGCAGCACCTTTGAGATCAAAATGTATGTAGGCATTCCGAAAGCCTTCAATTGAATGCACCTGCAACGAAAGTTGGTTAGAAAGGTTAGAAAAAGAAGAAAGTCGACTGACCTGTGGCAAGAAAAAAACGAGAAAAAGTGCGGCGTACATTCGTAACACAGCTGACCAGGCCTCCGACTGAAACAACCGTTATCAGTATTCTCACGTCGACCAACGTACGAAAAATTTCTGAGCTTCTTGGAGAAACTTCTGTTTTCATGACCACATGGAAATAAAGTTAACGACTGGTGCTCGCTGAGCAGATGAAGTCGTTAAAGTGACGTTAAAGTAACGGAAAGCAAGTCAAAAATCAAAAAACTTAAAAAGAGGTTGGTTTTTCAGATAGAGGTTAACAGGGAACAAAAACTTCAAAAAGTTTTTGAGCAGTTTTCAGGGACTTTTGGAAGAACTTGCAGCCAGTACAAAAGAATTGAAAATTAAGTTTTTTTTAATCAGAAAACTCGAAAATTGAGCAATGAGCGGTTGACTACAGATCATTTTTTATCATTTTCATATTATTAATCGGTACCGAGTATGATTCTCCTCCCTATGGAAAAAAAGATCAAAGTGAATAGAGTTCAAATAAAACTTAATAATCTTTTTTTGTGAACTTTTGAGAAACTGCAAAAGTTTAAAAAATGAGACCAAAAATTTTTTTTTCGAAAATGAGAAGAAACCCGAAATGATTCAAAATGAAGGGAAAATGAGAACACAGGTTTCCCCAAAAACGTGGGTGATGACGCCATTAGAAACGCAAGGAAAGCAAGTTTGTGTCGAATTTCAGATTTTGACACGACACGAAATGACTTTTTTTGACAGTTTATATGTATTCTGAACCGAGGGAGCAAAAAGGCGTCACAACAGAATATTTGTCAACTTCTTTATGAAAAAAACTGAATTTTGAATAGATGGAACCCATCCCAGTAAATGGTACAATAGGGTGGCACCTTTGGAATGGCAGCTTTTCAAAATACAAACAAAGTCTGCGTTCAGCAGTTTCTTGTCACTGTTGCGTATCAGAACAAACAAGAAAATAGTGAAAATTTCGGTTGGAAAAAAGAGCACAAAGGTGCAAAAAAACTTCTTTTTTTGACGTTCAGAATGAATGCGCATATTTCCTGACTAAGAACTGTCATCCGCTAGACTTGCAAAAGTTTTTCAAGCTATGTTGGCTCAGAAAAGTTCATGAAATAAACTTTTTTTCTGAAATTATCCCGCAAGAAATCGGCAAAACTTCTCGAAAAAAATAATAATTTTCTTTGTAGAAAATAAAGTATTCAAAAAAATGTTTAAAAATGTTTGAAAAAATCGGAGAACTTGAAAACAATACTTTCACAGCAAAACGTAATTGAAATAAAAAAATCTGGACAAATAAAAAAATAAAAAAAGAAAAAAACGTTCTGGTGTATGCTATACATGTTGAGGAGTCTATTCAAAGTCACGTCACGTGTCCAACCATTCTTTAGGGATTATCTTTTTTTCAAGATTTTTTTATAGAAGTTGAATGGAGACGATACAAGTTTGCTATTTCGGACGAGACAACTGCGGCTTGTGTGGTCATTAGAGATTTGATGAACCTTTTTTTTCGAGTAGTTTTCTTGGTTGAAATAATGATTTTTTGAAAATAGAATTAATGGAAATCTAAAAATACTTGAAATGAAGGTTTTGGCTTGAAATTTTTGAAGTGCTTTTCTAGGCTAAAAATTATAAAGTTGAACTTAATTACTTTAACATCTTTAAAAGCAAGTCTATGGTGAACTTTTTTCTTCCCCTCTCAGAATCTCACATCGAGACAACTTGGACTTGAGGCGATTCTTTCATGAAAGAAAAAAAATTGGTGACTTAAACGTAAAAAGGATAAATTCGATCATCCAATCATGAGAAGAAAATTCAATGAAAGCACTTTTTTCAGCGATTTGATGCTCATTTTCTGGGATGTATCTGAAAAACCTTTTCATCTACAAAACGGGAGAAAATTAAAAAAAATTTTTTGAACTGCCTTCCCGAAAATTTACTCTAGTCTTTCGTCACATTGGTCAAACACAGACTACAAGAACGAAACAAGAACAAAAAATGTCTGACGACACGGTACATAGGTCAGATAGCCCTAATCACGGCGACAAACAAATGCCAACTTCCTCAACTGTACAAACGAGAGGCCACTTGGCAATGGAGCACCTTGTGTCACACTGAAAAGAAGCCCGTTTTGATTCGATTCGATTACTTGCGATGCTTGTTTTACACTGAATACTTTCACTCCACTATGCAGTTATTCGAGATGGTATGAGACGAGACCGAGATAGATGATGGTATAGGCCATTTCGCGCTAGCTTGTCACGTTTTTCTTTCCGTCAAAAGGCCAGGGTAAATTTGACCAAATTTCGCTTCAAGACCTTTGTTTCTTGCCGTTATAAACGCAGAAATTTGATCTGATTTGGTATACGGTCTTTTTGGCGGAAAGAAAAACGTGACAAGCTGGCGCGGAATAGGCTATATCAGTCTGCAGACAAAACAAGAGAAAGAGGAGAAAAAGGTTAGGCAATGAGAACCTGGATGGAAGGCCGGAAATTTAGAAAAAAAAAATGAGAAAATTGGAAAGTTGTTTCAGAGTAGAGATGAATAAACATTATCCTTACAAAAAAATCCATAAGAAAAATGTTGCTTCATCGGAAAACTTTGGCTCTAAAATCTTGTACCAGTATGATAAAATTTAAGGCGAATAATTGACAACTTCAAAAATATTCAATGTCATTTGAGAAGAAATAATCAACTATCTATAAATCGGACTAAATGGGATCAAACTCATTAATATTCTAATCAAAGTAATTATTCAAACATCAAAAAAGTTAGGAACCTTGCAAACAATTGAAATCAGAACACCTCAAAAAACTGAACCTTAAAAAGTTATGGGGTTAATATATCAGTTTTTCTTAATATTTCGACTTTGAAATGAGGTTCATGGCCATATTCTTGGGAGTTCATTGTCAGACGGGAGATGCACAACCTCAATATATTTCAAGGTCAATTGCCGCATTCGAGAAAAAGAGAAAGAAAATTACTTATTTTACTAGGTCGAACTCCTGAGCTCCAAGGAAAAATCAAACTAAGCTCACTATATGAACAACTGTTCCAAAAAACTATAGCCAATGGTTATGCCGATGGTACAACGCTAAGTTTTTTTTCTTAGAGAGACAAAAGCGATCCATCACGTTCTTCGCACAATTTGGAACTTGATGGATCATCTCACCTTTCTCTACCGCCTTTCGTGCTGCACTAACTCTTGGGAAACTCGCTTTTTTTTTAATCATATCATAGGTTTGACTGGATGGCGCGAAACGTGTGTGTAAAAAAAGTGTAGCGCCCTGGGGCGGATAACCGTTCAAATGTTCCTTGTTGATTGCTGACGTCAGTTTTTTTGCAGAAGTCGTTTTTAATACGCTCTCTAATTGAGATCAAAAAAACATTTCAGCTTATTGCAGAAATATCGCTTTCACGAGATGTGTTCGGGAGAAGTCTTCTAGGCTATTAAAACAAGAATCCGAATTTCTGAAAATATCCAAACGTTCAGAGAAACATCTTCGTTGTTAATTAAGATTAAATTTTCGAAAGTGGGATTTTCTGGAACACAGTTTTATCAGCTAATACTTCAAAAACAAATTTTTTAAAGGAAAGCTTGTTCCACACAGACCCCACATGCCCAAAACTTGAGCTCAGAGAAAAAGCAAAATTCGTAAAATTTTTACTTTCCTTTTTTGCCCTCCCCTTACAGTACAACTTTCTTATAAAAAATTCAATCTTCCGGAAGTTTTTTGGAGTTGTCACGACTGTTATTTTTACCACTCTGATGAAGTTCCCGTTCATAGGAAAGAAACAAGAACTTCAAAAACTTGCAAGATTGAATTCCCCGCAAGATGACCAAAATCGCGTTTTCTGACGGTAATTTCCCACAGTTATTCAAGATGGCAAACGGAACAATTTTATTAAAGTGAAAAAAATCAGAAAAATGAATAGCTGAGTTGTTCTTGAAACAGAAATTGAGTTCTTCAAACGCGCTATTATTTCTCTTAAAACTAGACCACACTAAATTTTTATTCTTTCTTTCAGACAAGCTCCGTTGACCTTTCCGATTCTTGTCGCTTTGATCACCCTGACGTCGCCTACACATCATCGACTACAGCCAAATATGATCGGCTACACCTTTCCATAGGAAAACCGACTGATTACTCGACGAGACCGGCGGGTGGCGACAATGGAGCCGCCGAGGACGGCATCGTGTCTCCGCGGAAATTCACTTAGCGCCACTTGAGAGCGCAATCATGCTCCTATGAGATGTAGGCGAATATGGAACAAGCATGGGTATCAAGGCTGTCGACGAAAGTGGATGCGTTTTCGAGAAGCCGAGAGGAATAAAGCAAACTAGGAAATGGGTTTGGCCCCTCTGCCGTACTTACAAACATCCCGACGACTTTGGCTACCGTTTTCTTCTTCGTCTAGAGTTAATTGTTTTTTTTCATTCTACCGAATTTTTTTTGCTGTGCCGATGAAACATTTTTCTGTCCTTCAAACTATGAAACTTCAATATTTTGTCTGATCAGAATTACTGATAACGCATATCTGCGAATAATTTTTAAAAAAGAAAGAAAAAACTGTAAATAAAAAGGTTAAATAATTAACTGATCCCATCGTATCCTCAATAACTTTATTGGGAGTTTTTTTTTTACCGCTGGGCCAAGTTACAATATTGAATTGGAACCTTTGCATTATCGTTGAGCAGGTATCTTAAAGGTGAAAAATAACTTTCTCTATGGATTTAGTGTCAAATCGAAAAATTAAACGTAACTTCACATAATTGTTTAATTTCTGGAGTTTTGATCGGCGTTCAATACGATTTGAAAATATTCGAAAAGAGAGGCTGATTTCAATTACAATATTTTTCTATTTGGAAGAGACAGTTTCACTCAGACCTAATAAACCGTATTCCTTATGAAGTCGGACAATTTTTTGTAGCACTGCAAGCCCTCTTTTTTTAAATCCTATTGAAGGAAAAAAATTTTTTCAGAAGTTTTTGTCTGTAATTTTGTATCCTGGTGCACTACAAAGTTCAAAAAAAGCACAATGTTCTAAGTAGATTATTCGCGGTCTTGATAACTACTGAACGGGGTTCAATCACATTACGTTCTAGGTTTTGATGATAAAGATTATCAAGATTTTTCGGCGCCATCAAAATTTAGAAAAAAATAACCTTTGATTATTTGGGCTACAAAAACGAGGCGTAAAACAGCATTTCGATTATTATTTTCCATAGTTTCTTCGAACTTCTTTTTGAACTACTCTAAAAATTCATGCGAACTCTGTTTTTAATTTAATTTTGTAACCTGGAGGCAGGTAAGATAGATTTGTTTGAAAAAACTTCTTTTTATACTGTAATTTCAATGTCTATACCTTTTTTTCGTTTCGAGAGGCCAAAAAACCGAGAAATAATAAAATGAATTCATAGGAAAGTTTTCCAACTTTTTTTCGAAATTTCTTGCGAAATTTATATTGAAGTCGCTTTTTGTCCTTGACATCTTCCTCTCGTGTTTTTGTTTCTCTCCTCGCACAATTCAACGAGAAGCTTAGCACAAGAAAAGTGCCTTCATTTCTCCAAGACATAAAATAATGATTGTTTGCAAGCAATCGAGGGTATCATCGTCAAACTGAACTTGCAAGGAAAAAAACGAGGAGTTCTCCGTTTTCTCTTTTTTTGCAAATGTTGATATAATCTGAAAAATTTTGAAGCTCTTAAGAAAAATTTTTTACTCGACCTTTACTCTGTTTGACTCCTATAGATTGAGCTCGAAGATGTGACTAAACCTCCAAAAAACTTTCAAATAAAAACAATAGATAAACGCTCTCAAAATACTAGTTTTACTGAATCATATGTCAGTAGTAAGTCTACATACGTATTTCACGCAAAACGCTCATTTTCGCTAAACGCTCGAGTCAAACATCGAGAAGCACCTGTCCTGCTTGGAAAGGTATATCGGTCATCTACTAACAGACGTTTTCGGCTGTGGGCTTGCTTGATTAATGTCCGGAACTGCTAGATGTCTTGATCGCCCAGAAAATGACCCTCCGTTTGGACCTCGTATATTTAAGGATTTCTTTTCTGTTAGTTTTGCTTTTTCAGAAAACTTAGCTAATTTTTTATGTGGATTTTCTGTTATCAAAAATTTACTTTCCTTAATTTTAAATCATTCACTAAACCCCATAAATAATCAAGAAAAGTCTGTCAAAATGTGCAAAAAGGCTTGGACTTTTTTTGCTCCAATTTAGGAGTTTTTTTCGAAGTTACGTGAAAACAACCCAGTGACAAAAAAAGTTTCACCTTGACTCTGAAAAAATCAGCGTAGTTTTTTTGATACATAGTCTGGTTTTGAAGTTTTTCGATTCTTATTTTTTTCATTTTGTAAAAAAATGTCAAACTGTTTTAGCTTAAGGTTTCATGGAGTTTGGTGCGACGTGTAAATAACTTTTTAAGTTTTGACAAAAAAATAAAAAAATAGTTTGCCAAAAAAAGTTTAAAAATAGTAACCTACAAAAAAAAATTAACACTACAAATTTTTTTGGTATATCAACGAAAAATTTTTAAAAAAATTCTCAAAGACTTCTTTCAAACTCTTCTCCTTTACAGAGGAATCCACTTCGACTTCGCACTTCCGGTCAGTTCTCTAAAGATTTTTTCCAAAAACTATTCCATTATGGAATAAACTTCCCTCTAGAATAAATTTTAACGTCTCTACGCCAGCGCTACGGGTTAAACTTAATGATCTCCCTAACTCTGCCTTTTTCGAATCCATTCCTTCCCGTTTGCTCTGACTTCCTTTCTATCCTAATTCCCGTTTTGGTTATTCTGCTGCTTTCGCATTCTGAACTATTTTATTTATTATTTTCTAACAGTATGCAGTGAATAAACCTATGATTAACCCAAAAATTGAAGTTTCGAAGCTTTGGAAAGCAGAAACTTTTAAAAGAGAGCTCACTATATACTTTATACTTTTCGTCGGTTTCGACTGGAAAATTTGTTCAATGTCATTCTCCGAGATCCCTGTGATTAGTTTATCTTTTTGGCTCTAATCATAAGTTTGATATAATCAAAGGGGTCGGAGCGGAATTCCGCGTCTTCAGAACTTTTGAAAAAAGAAGCTTTACTTTTTCGTCATTCCATTTCAATCAAAACTTGCAGCTTTTAGCAAGGAAATTTTCTTTTTAGAGTTTTGATCAAAAGCCTTTTTTGGAAAGAATGTTTTAAAAAATCCAGCAAATAACTTTTTTTCAAGTTTTTGATCAAGTTTCATTTATAGAATAAAAAAATTGTTGGGATCTTCAAGAAAATTTGATTATTCTTCAGCGTGTGAGAATCCTGATGTTCCGATTCTGTAATATTCTACTTTTTACAGAAATTGACCTTTCAAACTTTGCTTTTAGGATAATTTTCTATAAAACCACGTCTTCATAAAAATCAAATTTGTAAATGAATGAAAGGCTACTTGCAAGAGAAAAAAAGTTCTGAAATAATACTTACTGTTTTGGGACACGAAACCTCTGTGCTTCTGCCTTGTGCGCTCTACTGCACACCTTGAAAACCACTTTAGGCCTCAAATTTTTCCTCCCATAATTCACGTGTAACTTATTCTCGTTCTAGGGTACGTTCTTGAAAATCAAATCCATACGTTTCTCTAAAGATAAATTGGACCATTGAGCACAAAACTACATTCAGATCCTTCCTTCTATCGGAATCTTCTTCCTCTCCTCCACCAACAAATAATTGTGAACAGCTGAGAGGAGTGAGCTTATCTACAACAAAGAAGAAGGCAATTTACGCTTGGCGAGTTGATACTTTTGGTCGAACGCGTGCGCGCTACGCATTAATCAGTGCTTTGCAATAGCTCGCACGCGCCTTGCGAAACAGCCACGGAATGCACGGGAAGAATCAGGATGAAGGGCGATTTGGATGTCGTCCTTCGTCTTTTTGTTTTCTTCTCCCTTTTCTGTACTACTTCTTCGGCTCGAATATGAAGCTTTTTTTGTGATTTTTTCAACGGTACAGTTTTATTTCAAGTTTATTATCGATTGAGATGAAGGACTGTAGAAATGATATTCTCTCATTTTTTTTTCTTTCTGCTCTGTACGAATAATTTTTTCTTGAAAATGCAGCGACTTTTTTCAAAGTTTACCTTTTTTGACAGTAGTTATTTTTTCGTCGTTCAGTTCCAATCAAAAACGATGAAAGGCTTACCTTTTAGTTCTTTCATCGTCTTTCACTATTTTTTTAATTTGTAAGTATCTGACCACTGGCCAGGAAACTCGTATCAGTTTTCCTTCAAGCTTCGTGAAAACTCACAAGAATACTGTTTCAGTCAGAGCAGGTAATGTGTGTTTGAATTTTTGACGTTGTCGATTCCATTCATATTGAGAAATCAAATCTCAAAACTTGCACATAATTTTCAATGGCTCATTTGACTTCTTGAAAAAATTGTGAAGTATGCAAGATGATCTTTGAATTACATAAACAAAAAACTGTCCATTTTCCAAAACATACCAACGGCAAATTCGCAAATACTTCAAGGTTAATAATTGTCTCAAGTCTTCGAAATAGTCAAGGTTCTGAGAAATCTTCCTCTTGATTTCTGAAAGTTTCCATTTCGAAACTTCCCTTCGAAAATGCAGTCAATGTCCATTTTTCCAATAACCTCATTCTATGTATTCGTAAACAAAGATTCAAATTTGTAAAATTAAAAAAAATATGGAGCCGTTTAGCGTGAGGTCTGAATTTTGCTCTAGTTTTAGCTTCACTTCGGACTTCGAAATGGACGGCTTAAGTTCCGACCCTCTGTCCTAATTTTTCTTCATTCGGTAGCAATTCCTTGCATCTTGAGACTAGATCATTTGTTCCAGAGCACGTTTTGCTTTTCCGCAACATTTTTCTTCATAAAATCTTTATCGAATCATTTTTAATTGTTCTCCCAGGTTCATTAACCTCCGATAGAGGTCGAAGTATTTTTTTCAAGAAATGAGTTTTTCTCCATTTTCGAAACGCACCTTTTCTAGAACCTGTTCGTTAACTTATGAGGTTGAGGTCAACCACTTTAACAGAATAAAAAGAACAATTAAACCTCTCGAAATTCTCACTGTCAGTGAAATAACACAAGGACAAACCCTTTATTTTTTGCCTTGTAGTTCCTTTTGCATAAACTCCGAAGTTAAACAATCGTTCAAAATGAAAACTTTCAAGATTTTTTCTATTGTAAACATATAGTGCAATGTTGAAAGAGAGAAGCTCATTTCCGAAAAAGATGAACGGCCTCCACTAACTCATTCGAATTGTTTTTTTTTTCATCGTTAGAAAACAAAAACTTTTCAAGTTTCGGAAAGTTAAGCTTGCAGGTTTCAACGGAATGAAAAAATAGCTTCGATAGGAAAGTTGTTTCCTATTTTGTCAAGTCTTCCCCGGGAAAAAGGAAGTTTGAATTTTCTCAGATTAAAATTTTTGCATCTTCGAACCCTTTCTTTTCTGCAAAAAAGTAACGCAAACTTCCATATCTGAAAAATATTATAACTTTGAGACTGCCGTTTGATTATTTGATTAACGACGATAATCACTAACTTCGAAGCCAAATCTAATTTCAGAATCGGTCGGCGGTTCTATTGGGCTTGCCTGTCTCGAAGCGGCGCGCCGCCGTTCCGAACCAGTCACACCTCGAATTCCTGCTTTTGCCTACAATTGGTTGCATCAAAACTGTGTTGTTACACTCAAAATATTCGAGAGAATCGTCGAGTTCTTGCGCGAAACGACTTTGCCAAGCAAAACGAGGGCGTCCCGCTTCTACACTTGAAGCCTCTCAACGATTTTTTATAGGAAATAACCACGAGCCGCTCGCAGCAGAATGACCTTTCAATCATCCTTTTTGTGCCTTTCACACGACGTTTCCTTACCATGAGTACCTCACTTCTGAACTTTAGTCCTTTCTTGGCCACCGTCCTCTTAACCCTGATTGGCCAGCCTCGTTGGCCGCTCATTTGCTTCGCAGCTCTTCTTCCTTTTTTCTGTTGAAACCAGCATTTTTCATCACAGTAAAAGTTCTATAAATGTAATTTTTAAGTTGTTTGATATAGTCCAAAAAAAGAACCAATTTGTATAAAATAGCTGTTTCTAAAAAATGGCTTTTCAAAATTCTTGTCTGAGAATTTTTTCGTCAGTTTTTCTTTGTTATTTTGGTTTTCATTCTTTTTATTGATCTAAATAAACTTCAAATGTTTTTTTTTCGCCTCATAAATTCAGTTTAATTATTTGAACATCATGCGTCGTTTCTTATAAAGTAGTCGATATAAAAAAAGTAAGTGATACATTTTTTTAATCTGAGAACTTGACTGATTTCAAATCTTACTATCAAGCTCTTTTTGATTACTTTTAAACTGATCCAAACTCATTTTATTTAAAACCCTGTTTTCCTTCTTTTGAAGTGCAACTAAAATTCAGACAGCATCTGAAAAAGCTATGTTCAGCTGTCACATTTGGTTCCTTATCCCTGGCCTCATCAATGGCTCATTCTGAGTGTTCTAAGCATACCCATCGATGCTCTCTTTATTTTGTTTTCCTCGATGAACTTGCCCAGGCAATAAACTGTAGCCCACTTCAAGAATTAATTCCAGGAAATCGACGTTCGGGAGTTTTTCATCGGACTGAGAAGTCGTGAGGAGTTCTAAATTTCGTTTGAGACAACACAAATCGCATGAAGCGCAAGAGCAGTCCACTTTTTTGAGCGATACAAACGCTCAAGGAGCCTACGTAAATTCCACCAAAAAAGGCGAAAAAAGTACGCTTTTGGAGAATCAACGACATGAGTCTGACGTTTCAGAACGTATTGAAATGCCGCTAACCCACGAACTTTGTTTGTTGCTAAACAACAACGATACTATCGACTTTTATTCCTTGGCTGAGACGGCATGGCGTCAAGAAGCTGCCAGCAGCATAAACAAGGTGGGTACAAATTCTTTTGTTTTCGGGTTTCGATACGAGGCCGAAAAACGTTACTCAGGTCGTTGGCTTTGAATTAATTGATGGGAGTGACCTTGTCAATTTTTGCCAAAAAAAGCTGTTTTTGTCCGAGACAAAACCGTGAATCATCAAAATTTTGAGTGTTTGACTATTTTTTTAGAAATAATTTGCTAATACCATTTGTTTAGTCACATTTTTTTCAACTTAAGACATTGAGAAGGCTTTTTTCAACGTTTCTAATTTTCAGTAACGGTTGAATTAATATTGTCTAGGTCAAAAATATTGAGGAAATTATAAAGCACTTTCCTGATTCAAGTTTTAAAAAAAATGGCGGGAAAATCGATGAATTTTTCTTGAAGTTATTAATATTGGTTGACACGACGCATTGAAGAAATAAATCAGTATGGCGCTGAAAAAGTTCCTCGCTAAATTGTGACCTTTTTTCATTCAAACTTCGGATTTTGTTTGATAATGGGTGTTCACTTTGGAAAAATTTTTCAGACGGATTCCTCCGAAGCAGAAATTTTGAGCAGTTAAGAAATATCCAAAATTTTCATTTAGACCTTCCTACAGATTCAAATATGTCCAAAACCTTCATTTAGACCTTCCTACAGATTCAAATTTAAAAGAAATGAAACTTGAAATATTCTAACTAGAATGATATAACTTATCACAAGCTTCTTTTCAGATCACCTATGCCTACATCGCCCCGTTCATCATCATTTTCGGGATCGTCGGCGACGTCCTTACTGTAGTGACATTGACTCATCCTCTTCTCCGGAAGTCCTCGATCATCTACACATATCTCACACTGCTCGCCATGACTGATCTCGTGGGCGAAGTTCAGAGACAAATGAAATCAGCTTTTTCTAGCTCACGCAGTTCTCCGTCATCCCAATGATTATGTGGCTGCTTGACGTCCGGGCTTGTTCCTCTTCTTCGGCCTTCTATTACGCTCACATTGGATTTCCGCTGGTTTGTGAAGTGATCAGGCTACTTCAAATCTATTTCAGGCGAACGCACTGATGGGCTCTTCCGTTTGGGTTGTCGTCTTTCTCACCCTCTCACAGTACATGGCCGTGTGCAAACCATTCGCCTATGGATTGAGGTTTTTCTTAAGTAGTCTTTTGAAAGGATTTTTGGAAGATCATAACTTCAAAATCGGATTTTTTCGGACTTTGCTTTGTAAATTGCTGGATGAATAACCTTTTCAAGCTTCCTAAAAATTGCATCTAAGGTTTGAAGCCGATAATTTGTCCCTTACAAAAAAAACTGACTAAACGCTCAAACTAAACCCACTTTTTATTGAGAGAAAAAGAAGGTTCGGAGTAACAAGCGGTTAGAAACAATTTGAACTTCAATTACTCTGTTTTAACAAATGTTTGAATGGCTCAATCAAAAAGATATCTTAATTTGAAAAAAATGGGAATTTTCATCCAATCACTCAAATATCCAAGATACTGTTTCAAAAATAATTTTTTTAATTTAGTCAGCTTATTGGAAAAAAACACTCTTCAGTAACAATTTCCCTATCCTCTCAGGTCAAGAAAAGTGTGCTTCATTTTGTTCGGTTTGGCCTACATGTTCAATTTCTGCATTTACGCGCCTTGGGCGGTAAAAAAAGACGTTCACGATATTTCGGAAATGCTGCCACAGGTGAAAATTCCAAATTTTGTTTGCTATGAAATCTTTTTTCAGCAATTGAAAGGAGTTATTTGTCCATTTGTCGTGTGTGATGCACCAAGACCTGATTGGTTTGTGATCTACGAGACGGCTCGAGAACTCATTTCGCGTGTTTTCCCGTTTTTCCTGGTGGCTTTTTTGAATGTCCGCATTCTCATAACGTACAGGTTTTGGAAAACTTTGAACGCAATATATTCTTCTCATTTCAGGAATACGAAAAAAGACAGAATGGAACGGTTAGCCAACTCTCAAAAGCGATTTATGTACGAGAAAAGCGAAAAGGCAAACATACAATTTTTTTTCTCTGAAAAAAGAATTTCAGGAAGAGAAAAGGCTTTTCATACTTCTTTTCGCCATTGTCATAATTTTCTTCGTTTGTACCATCCCAGCCGCTCCTCTAACAATTTTAGTGGCGGACGCTAAAACTAACAACGTTCCGTTTCAAGTGGGTCAAGATTCGACAAGATTTACAAATTTTTGAAAGTTTTTTTAAGTTTTTCAAATATTTTTATGATTGATAGCCTTACGGTAGGAAAATCAGATAAAGCGTAGAAAAATCGTTTTTTCACATTTTAAGGAGGTTTTTTGATTCCTGATTACGCTTTTCAGCTGACTTTATGAACCTTTCAAAAAATTGATGAAAAACCGGTCATTAATTTTAACTTTGGTCGCTTTTTCAGTAAAACACAATTTCCGGAAAAAAATTACAGGTATTCCGAGCTATTGTGAATCTTTTGGAATTTACCAAATTCGCGCTCAATTTTTATTTCTACTGTTTGATCAACCCGGATATCCGAAGCATATGCGCTCATGTGATAACTTGCAAAAAGATGTCTCGTCCCCCACGTGTCAAAGGACAACCAACCACACCGATTTCACTGTACACTAGGTTGAACTGAATTATTTCAAAAAGAAATAGACGAATTTAAGATCAACGAAAAATTCCACGATAAGGGGGCAAGCAGGTTCGAGCAGAAGAAGCAGCGACGAGTGGAACACTAGGAGAGTAGCCGACGATTCGAGAACTAATTCTGTGAAATTAGGGTCAGTTTTGATTTTTTCCTCTCAGAGAAGAATGATCCAAAAAAAAAATTTTCAATTTTCGTTTTTGCAGCAGAGAAAGTTCTCGAAAAAGCGCTGGGACTGGAGAAGATGGCCTCTTGGAAAAGCTGACCGTGATTAAAGAGAACGAAAGCGTCAACTCCGACACGGGCGATCGAGTATAGTGAGATCTACAGCCAACCGCAATAATCATAAATTTGCCAAAGTATGGGTATATAGTTCAATTGTATACTTTTTCTGTAAGAAAACCCGCTATTTCAATTGTAAATACTTTTCACGGTGTTCAAATAACGAAAATATATTTATTCGTTCAAGATCACACATATAAGAAATTCAACACGGAGAGAATTGCTTTATAAACAATTATTATTCTGATGCACACGTTTTTCAATTAGTAATAACCGACTACTCAAAATTTTCGTTGATATCTAAAAAAATTTTTGTAACTTGGCCCATATGGATGAACTCGAAAAAATTGCGAGGCGGAACTAAGAAACCGAGAACTAAAACTTGCCCTCTAAGTGGACATAGAAAAAAGATATCGGATAGGATTTTCAGAATCCATTGAACATTGGATGAAATATGTTTTGTACTATGGTCCGTCCGCCACGACTTGACAGTTTTCGAGTGTCTGCGTCTTTCTTTTCCCTCACCGATGAGATCAGAAAAACATGAAAATAGCGCCTCAATATTGGAGAGCCGCCGAGAGATGAGGAGGGTATAGAGAAGTCACACCCTTTCAAGTCGTGAAAAATGGACTATAAATGAAGATCATTAAAAGTTCAAACTCGAAAAGCTCGTTTTTTTTCAAGAGATTCAAGGCCTGGAATCTATTTTCTCATGTTTTTGAAAGAAATCTCAAACATGATAATGATATGCAGTATGCAAGCAATATAATTGAAGAAAATTAAATATATCAAAAAGCCTTGGAGAGGAATTTTGGAAAACGTCTGGTGTCGGAATGGGAAGACTTTGCTTGTGAGCTACTGGCAGGGCAAAACACGCGATCGAAGGGCTAAACCAGATTTTGGCCACAACTTTTCCACAACGCGCCGTGTTCTTCTCAAGACCATCGCTCTGCCGTGTTCTCTGTTTTCTTGTTCACATAGACGATATTCGCTTCGCTGTGGTTCTTCACTAGTTTAGCTAAAAAATCGTTTTCACAAAACGTTTCATCTCAGAAAAATACCTGGACGTGTCAAATTGCCCGGCTGACGCTTTGTTCCACAGTTGAAAGAGATGTTTTGTCTGGTCTGGACTTTTTTGTAATCATTTTACTTATGAAAAAACTCACCCTGAAGCGTTTTTGAGGCGCCGAACTCATCCCGTTTAATTTTTTCTCGTTGTTCGGACCTCGTCCCGTGCAAGGATTTGAAGAATTGTAGGTATCTATAGAAAGTATTCTGCTGAAAGAAGTCAAAACCAACCTCTTCTTGACATTTCACTGAAAGGTCGAGGCTTCTTCCCACAAAAAGCCTTGAAAACATGAGACTTGTTGAACACGATGTAAATCCAGGGATTAACGCAAGAGTTCAAGTTACCGAGTATCATCACGGAAATAATAGTCCAAGCATCTAAAAATATATTAATTAGTCTTGATCTCTGTTTCAACCTAATAAATTCGGCCACAAAGCCTGAACAACGTTCACGATGCAAAATGGCATCCAGAGAAAGAAATTACAAGCAATTATCGTCATCGTCAGTCGAACTAAAAATAGTTGAATTTAATTATTGAAAATCGTCATATGAGGAACCTGTTTGAATTCTTTTGCGGTCGTACTCCGTGTTTTGACGTCTGAAACCGCAAGACCTTGTGCGCAGTTTTTTAACATAATCTTCAGTTATGTCGCTGAAAACGATATCCATCTCATAAATTTATCGTAATGACCCTCAAGAACCACAAACCTTGAGTTTTTTGTTGAAGCCGGCAAATTTCTCTGGTCACAAACGTTTTGAACAGGTTGTTTAACAGAAGAAGTCCAGACCGCCTTGCAGACGCAGTCTGAAAGGAATTCGAAAAGCTCTCAAACTGAACATACAGTAAAAAGAAGCAGCGCAGATTGACGGCAGGAGCCAAGCCATTGTGTTGAAAAGAATTACATAAAGCATTTTCAAAGGATGTTTCTCTCTGCCATATATTGTAGCGCATTCGAGCTTTTTTCTGAAACAGAAAAGCATTTTAAAAACTTTGATAAAACTAACGATTTCTCCCAAACAAAAAGTTGAGGTGTTGAGCAAACGAAAGACATGGCCCAAGCAACTGCGGCCAGCCAGTTGGGCCTTCGATAGCGAGAAGATCGGAAATGAGCCATTGGACGGCAAATTGCCTACAAGTTAGGTGCAACACTGACAAACTGAATGAAAAGCCTTACTTGATACCGATCAGCACTGATAGCGACTAGAAGAAATGGGCTTGCGTACATTGGCACCATTTGAATATAACGAGTCACTTTACAGAGCCAATCAGGTCCCCAGAAACGCGGATACATCCACTGAACTATAGAGTTTGATGTGAAACTTTTCTCATTCACATTAGAAGCGCAAAAAACTCTAAAAATTGCTGAAACTGAGTTGAAGTACGCTGATCCCAAATCATTGAGTTTTCTCTGGTTTTTCGATTTTCAGAAAATCAATACCGTATAAAAAAAAATAAAAACAACCATTCATCCACTCTGACGATAGGGTACAAATTTTGATGTGTTTTAACAAATTTAAAAAAAGATTTTTTTGAAACAGTGGGCAACACATGTTACCAGCAAAAATCCCAATACCGTGTTTTTGCACTGCTAATACTGATAGAACTCACCAACATTTGAGTCATTTCAATTCCTAAGGTTAAAACAGCAAAAAGAATGTCGGCGACACACGTATGTATTAGTAAAAGCTGTAAAATTCAGGCATTTGCATTTTTGAAAACCATGTACTTACTTGAACGGGAGATATTCGTCGTCGTGAAATCGTATTCCCTCGGATTATCACGAAAAGTAAAAAACTATTGCCCAAAACCGCTAGGGTCATAACTACAGTCTCATGCATGAGAATGAGAAAAACTTGGTTGTGCATAGTCATTTTTTTCTGAAACTTTGATTTTTTTATAGGCATCTTTATTTTTCAATTTCTAGAACGTAAAAAAAAATAAAGAAAATAAAATATTATATTCGTAAGTTCTGGTGTACGAAGCAAAATAGGTAAGTAATGAATTCCCTCAAAGACTCGAGAAAATTTATTCCCAAGCTTCGCAAACATCGCCGGAAAATTATTATTCAGTATTCTGCGAAGAAAAACCAAATACATGTTCACTCAAAATCTAGGAGAAGAATTGGAATTGAAATATTCGAATACGAAGCCTTCAAACAAATTGGAAAGATAGAAGAACGGCAAAAAAAACGTTTATTGAAACGAATAGTGACGTGGAAGTCTATTAGAGACAGAAAGTTTGACAGCAACACTCGAAAGTTCGAACAGGAAGCAAATGATGGGAAAAAAAGTTAAAAAATCCCCAAACTGCTGTGGAATTAGTTGCAGAACCATAGGCAGCCCAGAGAAATGAAATATGGCTTTGTACTTCTTTGGGGTTCTTCACGCATCTCAAAAAATGCATTTCAAAGCTTCAAATTGTGAAAGTGCTGATTGTATGGAATGACGTCACAGATGCTTTTTCGATGATAAAAAAGGAAAATACTTCCTTTTCTCTGGAATAACGAGAAATAAGATATGTGTTTGACAAGGTTTAGTAATGGAATGAGCCGTTTCCATTCATAATCTATTAGCGAGCTTTCTCCGGTTTTCTGATTTTGAATGCTTTAGAGCGATTTTCTTTGAAAAATGTGACCAAATTAATTAATTTGAATTGAAGTGATAGAGTCTGATTTTAGATCGAAAAGTTTCCTTTTTGCAGAAGAAAGGCGTTGTGAGAATTGTGTGGTTATAACTACGGAAAATATGGACGAAACGATCTTTCATCAAACTGAACGAGATTCTGAGCGTATTTACTTGCGAAAATTCCCTTTTTAAGTAAAAAAACTCTCTAAATCTTAAGTTTTTTTCGGACAATGTTGAGAAAATAGGTTGGATTTTTTTAAAATCTTCGAATAATGGAAAACGCTTCAGCTGACCTTCCACACGTTTTTTTAAATTACACTCAAAAATTTTTTTGAAGTTCTTTTTTTCTAGGGGAAAAAGAGACGGAACATTCATTTAAAATGATTATTTGGCTCATTGAGCGTTAGCATTACTTGTAACTTAGCGCCTATTTGAATCTGAACAAAAAAAAGAAAAAAAAGATGGAATTCCTCAAAAATCTTCATTATTCCACTCTTCAAGATACAACGTAAAATTGACAGATCTTTTTTTTAACGATTTGACGCTAAAAAGATGCCAGGAATATGCGAAAGTGCACCAAGATGAAATTAAGACCATTTCACAGGCCAGACGGCTTCACACTCACTCAAAAAACATTAGGTAATTAATGGACGTCTGGAGGCCAGAAATAATTGTCTCATCTTTCCTTTCCAGGCCGTTTGAGGATTAATGGATTATCAAGAATTGAATGCCCTGAAAGCAACATTTTCCAGTTTTCAGCTAATTACAAGATACCAAAGGTTTTTGGATCGGGACTCAAAAAGAAGAATTTCAGATATATTTTTGGTGTATGTTCAGAAAAGAGTTTTTATCAGGTCTTGAGACATTTTTTTATATTATTTTTTTCTTGATATAAATATTTACAGGCTTTCTTCATGCTTTTTTTATAATATTAATAACTTGTAGAAGCTTCAGAGAGTCAATAGTTCAAAAGATGAAGCTCCAGAATGACATGGATAAAAGGTACGGGGATTAGAAAAACTTCGGAAAGCTCAAAAAAACCTTTTTCACCTGGAACGGATTAAGCTTTTTTTCTAATTGTTCAATATAAGAGATCAGAAATATTACCAGTAACCTATTAAAAATAAAAAAAAGAGTTTTTTTTCAATGTTTCTGATGAACTTTTCAATGTTTCTGATGAGAACTTGAGCAGAAAAGTAGCAGTAGAATATTCGAGAAGGACACTGGAAATATGTTCTTTTGAGGTAAAGTGAGAGGTAGTAATGATATCTAAAAGCTGCTCGTTGGAAACTGAAACCAAGAAAATGAGAAATATTCTTTTCGCACGCTCACCAGTCAGATGCTAACATTAATTAACTATACGCAAGCGAGTTGCATTTAATTGCTCATGTCCATGGTATGGAGGATTTTTCTCCAATTTGACCCGACGTCATCGCTGACACAGCCACCTTCATTTTCTTTTTGAAACGAGTTTTTTTTTTCAAAGTCCTTTTGATAATTTCTCATCGGAGGAATTTTCGAATCAGAAAAGCCTTGGTTCAATTATTATTGGTCCTACGGGAAATGGCTCTTACGCGCCTTTGATTGAAACGGTAATCATGGAAATGCGATTTTTTTCAAACGGAAATATTCGAACTTATTTTCTAAGTAAAAGGTTCCACCTTGAACCGGCCCGCTATGAGCCATTCTGGTTGGAATCAGAATTTTCGATCAGAAAAAATGAAGAGATAAATTTGATAACCTTCTATCAGCTCAAGGAAACCTTTGGCATTCACTTCCGATTGTGAAAAGATCGCGAAAAAGTTCTAGGAACTGTTTCACTTTTTTTTCCATAGATTATTGTGAATATCGGACGACTTGAGATATGGTTATGCTCTCGGAAACCATTTGTTGCATTTCGAAACCAAATTCTTGCTCACAACAAAGAACAGAGATTTCTTAACAAAATGAAGAATATAATAACAGGATCGTGACGCAAAGCTTTTCCCTCACATCCCTTCTCAGCCTGAGGCTACCAAGAACCTTTTTTTTCTTCAAACCAGCGTAATTATGATGAGCTCTCTCAAAATTGTCGCCCTGAAATGTTTGTCGCGCATTCTTGAAGAGATTGGTTCCGAGAAGATGATCAAATTAAAAAAGCTGGAGTAAAGGATGCCAGCAAGTTCAAAGCTCGGGCAACCACTTGAAAGTTGTTTTCTTACAGCGGCTGATTTGTCCAAGAATACACACAAACCCAAATTATTTGTACTTTTGTGTCTTTTTTATAGGCTCAGTAATACTAAGGGATAGGAAACTTTGACAGCTCTGCGACATCAGTCGTCATCGAAAGCTTTTTTCGCGTTCTTTGTATTCTTTAAGATAAAGCAGATCATTTTTTTTCTTCACGTCACCATTCTTTCTCCGCTATGAAACTTCTGGATCAAATCTTTGCCTTCAGGTTTTTAAAAATCATCATGCACTGCGAAGTTCATTACGATACTTTTTCAATTACTAGCTTTTGAGGCAAGGATTGCCCACTTGAATAAAAAAGATTTTCTTTCATTAGATTATTAAAAAAATCACGTTCCACTTTTTGAAGTTTTATCAACATATCGGTTGGAATAGTTTACAATTAATGACACAAACTACGGATTCGAAATAATATATTGCAGATACATTGATGGGCCTTTTTAGGAACGTTGAGACAAGCATCGTTGTTGTGAAAGAAAATAGGAAAAGACCAAAAAACCGCAATCTCAAGTCGTCAGAGAGCTGAATATCGTAAAAAAGCTCTCTTCTCATATTGCAAAATGAACCGTTGGATTTTTTGGTCGAAGATTGAGGAGAATCGCAGATTGAAAGTGCAAAAAAGGATAATGGACTAGGTCCGGATGAAGTGAACTCGAAGTAGTAGTGGATGCTACCGGTCGAACGGATGCCGGCCGTATTTCTGTGAGACAAGTAGGTGAAGTAACCGCAAAATACCATGGTAGAGTGTGGAGTGCAAGGCAATAACTACACGACAAATTTCAATAGGCTAACCGTTTGAAACTAAACGTTGTGTCCAGAAAAATAATACAAGTGTCGAGTCGAAGAGCTTGTTGCCCCAGAAAGCTCTGAGAAAAGTTGAAATCTCGAAATTCACTGAAGTAAGTAAAGCGATCGGTAAAAAGAAGTTTAGAGAAATCACAAAATGAGGACTAAAAAAATCATAATGAAAAAGCAATTTACAGCAAAAATATTCTCTGGAGAGAGAAAATAGTTTGAAAAGTTCAATGTTCGATGAGTTCGATTTCGGCATCGGAGCTGCTCTCTTTTTCTATCACGACGACGCTCTCTTCATCTCCACTCTCTCTCGCTTCGCTGCCGATGACTTCTGGAGACGATTGTCCGTCACTGTCGTTCACCACAACCGCAGAACTCGAATCGTTGCTTCCTTCAGCTGAATTCATTTAACTTGCATATCGAAGCTTTTCCGAATTCTTACCGGTGTCAACAAAGCTTTTCAATTCGGACAGTCCTTTTTTGAAAAGGAGGTCGGGCGTTGTGAACTCGATCATCTGCAAGACAGAAAAGTTTCACGGATTTGAGGCAAATGAAGCTTACAACTATTGCCGATATCTTTTTTTTACTAGCTAAATTTTTTTGGGAACAATTATGGCTGATAAAAGCAGCCGAAAGACAGAAAAGAAACAAACACGATTAAAATATTCAAAGCGCTGAATAAGTTGAAAAAATTAGTACTGTTGCATTGAGCTCTTTCCCTAGTTTATAGTTGGGAACCCACCTTTCCATTTTCCAGGAATAAAACACGATCCATTTTTTTGACATTGTCCAATCGATGAGCAATCGTCAGAACCGTACAATTGGAGAAGACATCCGAAATGACTTTTTGAATGAGTTTGTCGGTGTTGACGTCTAAAGAGGCGGTTGCTTCATCCAAAATCACGATTTTCGCTTTCCTGAAAAACGTTTTGTGAAATATAAATTTGAAGAAAGACATACGAAAGAAGTGCTCTGGTCATGCAGAACAATTGACGTTCTCCAACGGAGAAATTTTCTCCTCCAGAATTCACTTCGGCTTCCAACTTTTTGTCCAGCGCAGTTATCTGATGCATCAGGTTACTTTCGAGTTTAATTATGTGAGCTCACCGCATCTTTGAGATAAGTTTTTTCTAAAGCGCTCCACAGATCAGAGTCTGAGAACTCATTCCGAGGGTCCAAGTTGAAACGAACAGTTCCGGCAAAAAGAGACGGATCTTGAGGAATCACGGCCAGTGCTCTGAATTATTTTTTCAGCTGGAAATATTTGTTTCTACGAACCTTCTGAGCCGGTTAAGACCAACAGTTTTCGTGTCGACCCCATCGATGAAAATGCGGCCCCAAGTCAAGGGATAGAGTCGGCAAAGCAAACTGGCAAGCGACGATTTGCCAGACCCCGTTCTTCCAATTATTCCAATCTTTTCACCAGGCGCAATTTGGAAAGAAATGTCGTTTAAAGCCAAAGGCAGCTTCGGTCTGTATCGCAGTCTGAATATTCGAATTTGCAGCTATCAAAATATTTCGTGAACATACTTGACTTCTTGGAAGTTGATTTGTCCTTGACTGGGCCAATCCATTGGAATTGAAACTCCTTTTTGCGTTTCGAAACTGTCCTCCGGGTCGATGTTCTGTAAAAAAAAATATGTTGATGATTTTTCAAAAATGTTTGACAATATTTTTTTCATTATTTTTCTGTATAAAAAAATCGGAAAATTGGATTGAAAAATTTTGAAAATAAAAAATAACCTGTGCGTAATACGAAACGCGTTCAACGCTAGTCATCTTCGCTTCCAGTTCAGTTTGGGTACGAACGGCAAATTGGAAGATTCCACTCATCTGCAAAATTTTTTTTGGAAAATTCGATGTTTTAAATGGAAAGGAAACGTCTGCTTACCGAGCTACAAAAAAAATACCGAAATCAAGATTTTTTCAACAGCACAATTTCATAGGAACATACAAATTAGAATTTTCGACATTTTTTAATCAGGTCTGCACGATTCGTCAAAATAATACCTGCACGGCAAACGCGATGGCCATTCCAGCATCAGCAGGCGAAACTTTGCCAGTTAGTAGGACGATGAGAAGTGCGACGACTGCCGTCATCGCAACAACCAGAAGATCCAACCAAACTGCCAACCAACGCATCGCTGATTGGAACATGAACACAGCCCCACTGAAAAAGTTATTTCAAAGGTATTTCCCGTGCTCTCAATGTACTCACCTGTTGGCGTCCAGGTGCTTTTTCAGGTTATCCATATATCTTTGTGATTGGTGCAAAGAATGGATGGCGGCCAGACCTTCCAAGCTCGATGAAACGTGGTCAAACAGCGGAGATCGGGAAATGTTCTCCGAGCGTTTCAAGCTATAAAAAATGAAGTAGAAAAAATGTTCGGACGAAAAACTCACTTTCTGATTCCAGCGCGGAAGCAGGAGACAAACAGCACGAAAATTCCAAGCAATGGGAAGCAAGCAACCTGAAACAGTAAAGAGTATTTTTTGATTGTTTAACAAATTTCTGCGATTTGAGTCAAAATTCATCCAAAAATATCGATCTCCTCATGACGCTTTAAATAAAATCCCTAAAATCAAGAAGACGTACCAAGAACCACGGAAACACCCAAGCAATAACCATCAGGAATCCCAAGCAAGTTATCATGTTTTGCAGAAAAACTTCAGCCGTAAAAGGAAGCTTTACATCAACTGAAAAGTGTTAAAAGAATAAGAAAAATGATTAGTTTTCGGGAAGCTCACTTTCATCCATGTCTTTGGAAAATCGGTTCAAGATACGGCCGCTTGGAGTCGAATCGAAAAAGGAAGTTGCCCCGCGAATGAGAGACGTGAACATGGAGTTGTGGAGCTTGGTGGCCGCGTTCAGAGAGACCTGAATATCAAGAATGAAAATGTTGAAGACGTTTTTTGGAAACCTTGACAAAAACAACCGCTTTGAAGAGTCCAGAAAGGAAAAGGACAACCAGGGAAACGCCATACACAGAGGCATAAAATGAAGTATCCGGGCTATCGGCAAGACTTCCACTGGACAAAAGCTGCGTCGTTCCGTTTACTTCGGTGTACTGAAAAGAGCATTTAAATTTTGTGGATAAGCTACTTGTTTCCCACCTCTTCTTGGTGACCTTTTTTGAGCCAACGTGAAAGCCAATACGTTGAGAAGATGGACGCAGAAATGTTTATCACGAATCCAGCAAAGAGGCAAAGCCAGACGCCCCAACTGCCGGCAGCGACAACGTAGGACCTGCGAAATTTGGCGAATTGAAAATTTTTAGAACAAATAACTCACTTGTAAACTTTCCATGACATCGCGGCGAGACCAAAATCTTCTTCATCGCTGACCAGTTTGTCTTAAAAATTCAATTTTAATTCCCAATCATGTAGTTTTAAATGAAATATTCTTTTCAAATCAAAAAAAAAATCATACCTCTTTCTGAGCTCTGAACAATGTTTTCAGAAGAGTCATGTGCAGCTGGGGCTCCGATCTGTGAATAAAAGATCTTGAAAAATTTTGGAAGGGCTCTCACTTTTTCGAATTCTTCATCAAGAGTTGCAGCATGTGGGAGGAAATTGGTGGTATCGAAATCGTCGGTGTCGTACGCTCCGTGTTCTGCAAAAACATTGAATGGTTGGAATTACTGAGGAATTCTTAGCAGCTATCGGAAATTCCATCAAACTTTTATACTTTTTTCTTATTTTTCGCTTAACGCGAAAGTAGCGTAAGTTGTATTTGGTCGGGTGCGTAATGCTGAAACTCAGACTTTTCACGTAGAAACTGTTTCATTGTATGGAGGGTCATACTACCTCTTTCACGAAAATGTCCATCATGAGGAATAATCTCTTGATCTTGACCGATCAAAGAAACAACGCCGTATCAAAGCGCCATCTAAAAGCACCCACGCCAAAAGGTTTTCAATACCGCGCGCCGCATCACCAGAAGCGACCGGTAAAAGCTTCGAGCGCAGGCTCCCTCTGAACCTCTGCTTCTGTACAATCTCTTACCACCTCCTACGCAGTTATTTTGAACATTCTAACTGTAAAGCTTTCAGACGTCGCCGTCCATCGCCTATAAAAGCAAGCTACGACCGAGCCGAGACAAAATCAATCCTGCGGCGGATGCGCTGCCGTCCCTCTCTCTCCCTTCCATCATTTTAACTTTGCTATTTCTGACTATTTCTAATGAATATTCTGACTCTCAAATCCGTGTTCCGCGTTCTGCATCCAAAAAAAGCTTCTGCCAAGAAAGGATTTGGCTCGCAAGAGCAAAGATCTTTCACTATATTAGGTTGGCAATAAACCGCAATTGTAATTTACAAAAAGTTCTTTAGTCTAACCCCAACCCGGTTTATTTGTTACTTGGGGGATTCATAAAGGTTATTTTTTTTCATTTTGATGTTTCCAAACAAACCTTGTTCACAGGATTCCACAAATGCGCGATAATTGTCTTCAACTGTGATCAGGTCTTCATGGGTTCCATCGGCAACGATCCTGCCGTTTTCAACGAAGAGAACGCGGTCGAAACGTGGCAGCAACTAAACGCATTATCAATTGATTTCAACTTCACAATTGTAGAACCTTGGTATTGTTTGTGACCATGAGAACAGTTTTCTTTCCCAAGAAATCGCAAATGGCGTCTTCAAAGATTTTATCCGCAACCTAAATAAATTTTGATTTTTTTTTGAAAAACAAAAAAATCTTACCGATTGATCCAAACTAGCGAGAATGTCATCGAGGAGATAAACTGCACGGTTGGCAAAAAGTGTTCTGGCCAAAGATACCCTGGCTTTCTGGCCTCCTGAAAGAGTCGCACCACGCTCTCCGATCTGAAATGAGGAAGAAATAGTTGACTGATTATATTTAGTTCGTTTCACTAATTACTTTTTTTATTTTTTTAAAAAAAGAGAAGGTGGATGATCCGATTAGTAATATCCACATTATCAAATAACAAAAACAAATGAATTTACCTCGGTACGGTCTCCAGTTGCAAGGGTGTGCAGATCTTTCGACAGCTGACTGCTTTCAATGACCTGACGCAGATAAAATGAATTTCGACCTTTCATAATTTCTTGGTACCTTGTAATATCTTTCGGAACTCATCTTCTCGCCAAAAAGAACGTTGTCTTGGACCGTGCCGTTCATTATCCATGGAGTTTGGGTAACGTATCCAACGTTGGACCAATCGATGTCTAGCTCACCACTCACCAGGAACATCTGAATTTATCTCTTCATAATGCCTGGAGGACGAAATTCTTACGTGGCCGCTGAGTGCTTTCAACAGAGCAGACTTTCCGCTACCGACTCCGCCACAAACTGCAACGTGCTCGCCTTTTTTCACTTGCAAATCGCCAAAATGAATGTTGAACACCGGATTGGCGGTGTTTATGGGGTCCGTCTCTGTAGGAGTAGGTGCTGAAGTATAGTTTACCGTGAAATTCATAGTTAACAGCATAGAACTCGTTTTTTTAGGCTCCGAACTATTTTTCGAAAGAATTAAATGAAGGCTTCTTGTTTCAAAATGCATGTGAAGCTTGAAGTTTCAATTAGAATCTAATTTATAGTTGAATAGTAAAAAAAAACAAACTTTGTTCTTGGACCGGCAAGTAGGAAAAAACGGCGTTTCGTGAGACTACTGGCACAGAAGGTTGACCTTGATAGGAAGTTATTTGCTCCCACCGCTCCAACTAAAAACGAAAACATTGACGTTTAGAATATGCATAAATTAACCTTGAGGAAGATCTCGATTCTACGGATGGCTACAACCGCTTCGGCCATGTATCGACTTCCGTAGGGGATCATTCGAATGCCGAAAAGCATCACGAAGAACACGGTGATCGCAGAAAAAGCCTATAATTCACGGTTTTTAACGTTTCAACACGCGTAAAACTGACGTCAGACGCAAGGAGATCATTTCCTGATAAAACGACGCCGAGGAAAGTGAGGATCGCAGCTACAACAGGAACAACTGGACCACAGGCGATTGCGAGAGATTGAGCATATCCCGACTTTCTGATGTTAATTTTTTCCGAATGCCTCATTTCTGAAAATAAGCTGGAATTGAGAAAGTTTGAAAAATTTGAACCATCGATCTTGCGGCTGAAAATGTCTTCCCAAGAGTTGACTTTGATCACTCGAATGAATCGAATGATTTCTCCCATCAGATTGATACGGCTCTCAGTTTTTTCCACTGCGAGACTTCTACAGCGAACCATCGTCTTTCCAAGCATGTACTGAAACGGAAGGGTTATGTAAGAAAATTTTGTCATTAAACCTGAATAGCGTCGAAGACGAAGAAAATGGCGATGCCTAACAAGGACCAGGGACCAATCACAGCCAATAAATACCCGATTCCTCCTGAAGTATTCAAAGATCGTTTAGGAATAATCAAGAATACTGCATACCAAAAAGAACCAAAGGACCGACGATGACCAATGGAGCAAAGGTGATCGCATCAAACAAGCGTTGACCGTCGTTGGCGAAAATGTTGACAATCTGAAATAGTTTTCGAAATTGAACAAGAAGATCTAGGAAAGAACCTCAGAAGAAGGCTTTCCACAAAGGTCTTTAGCTTCGAGAACTTGTTTGTACAGCAAAGCCAAGACAGCTCCTCGCACACGTATTCCAGTCCTAAAACGTCATGAGTAATTTTGGCGCGATGCCAATAATCTTTTTGCAACTTAAGAGCTTGATCCGAGAAACTAAAAAGTTTGAACTTCTCTTGCTTTAAAAAAGTGCAAATAGCATTAGAGTTACGTTTTTTTCAAAACCGACCTGTAAGAAACAGCCCAAGTTGCCCCGTACATCAGAACTCTAGCCACTTCCACCTGAAAAATCAAATTCACTTCTGGAATCCCATGAAGAATAACCAAAACAATCGAAAGAACCATTCCCATGCCGTACAAATAATTGACGTTGTCATCGCCATCCCGCAAAGGTTGTTCGGCAAACGCGATCAATCCTCAAAAATAATTTGTGATTGAAAAAGAGATTTCTTTCTACTTCGGATGAAGCAGGTTGGGCCGATGAAGCCGAAAATCAAGCAGAACAGAAAAACAGCGCACGAAGTCCATAGGCGGGTAAAAATGAACCTTAAAAACTTTTTCGAAATCAGGCCTCCAAAAATAGAAACAGGAAAAAGATCAACTTCGAAATTATTTTACCTGTATATGACTTTGAAAAGAGACGGTTTGCTGGGGTTTGCTTTCTTCTCACTTTGCCATAAAAAAATTCCAACCTATAAAATATGAATTCATAAATTTTTTTAATTTCCTTGCGAACCGAGCCATGTTGAGACCACAAGAGTCGTAAAAGCTGCAGATCCAGACTTGATCTCTGTCGACTTTTCCTTAACTTGAAATTTATTAAATTCTTTTTTTTAAGGGAAACCTCGTAGGGCAGAGAGCAGGTATTGGAAAACCCAGGAATAAGTGACGAAGCTGAAGAGTCCAGCTTCATCGATTCGTGCTCTTCCTGTTGGCGCAGTTGGGCTGAAAGATTGGAGTTGACGATGAAGAATGTGGGAGTTGACACAATTTTTCTTGAAGTTTTACTTTTTTTTTTCACGTATTTGAAAGCAACTCCTGTTCAAGACTTTTTTCAGCAAATGGACACACATTGAAAATGGAAGTTTGAAAATCCGAGAATATGAATCCCTAGCCACTTTTAGCTTATATGAATGGAATTTTATTTTCACACTATTACCTTGCAGATCTGAACGGGATCATGTTTCGAAGAGCAGGTGTATACCGGTTAACGCCTTTGTCCACATGATCGTCGGAATACCTCAGCATTCGTTCCTGATCCATACTGAACGAAATTTGACGAAAATAATGAAAAATGACAAACTTCTTTGAGTACACGACGCGTTCGTAAACGCCTGTTCCCTGGGAAGGGTCAAGGTTTACCCCTTCGGCGCCTTTCGGCATCTGCAAAAAACTTTTTCGAAAACTAAATTGAAGATTATGTCACGGAATGGAACGCTGTGGTGTGAAATTATAAAGCTGTAAATTGCTAACTTCTTATCTATTTTCACTGGCCATATATCAGTTTCTTTCATCAAAAAACTGAATATTGTTCTTGTTGTAAAAAAAAGCAAATAAATGAGCGAAAGGCTCATTTATCAATTATCAAACCAATAACTCGTCAAAAATTAATAAAATGAAAAATGCTGGTCAGAAAAAAAAAGTAGAAGCAAAAAATGTTGACTCCGGTTTGAAATAATTAAAAAGAAGAATTGGAGAAGTAAGTTAAATCATAACTAATAAATTTGAAAGGCTGAGAAGTTGTCAACAACAAAGCAATTGAGCAGATTGCAGTGCGGAAGATGAAAAAAAGGTACAATCATCGGGGAAAAAACTTTAATTGAGGACGATTGGAAAAATGTGACAAGACAAAAAGTAGCTCCTCTTTTGACGTAATTGCACCAAATACAGTTGAACGCTGCATTTTTTCATAAAAGAATTATTCCCGTCGAAGCCTTGAAACACGACCTACCATGGAATTGTTTTGACGATATAGTAAACATTCGCTCAGATATTTTGGACCGAATCATTATTAAACACTGCGAGAGAGGGTCAAGTTTCGAAAATGTGAAAATAACAAAGATAGTTCACATTCATTTGTTTTGAAATCGGACTACAAATTTCGATCATAACGCCTGAAATACATTTTTGAAGCTTGCCACTCTTAAGGAAGTAAAATTAAGTCTAACGGCTTACTACTAAATTTCGCAAGATTTCACTTTTCCTGAAATCTGACTTACTGTTTTTGAAAAAAATAGTCTATTTTGCTCAGAATCGAAATTCTGATGGAATTTTGACAATTCGTAAAAAAAGAACTTTAACTCAATGAATTCAATTTTAAAACTAATGAGGGACTTTAAGTGCAGCGTTTCCAAGATGATGAGACGGCCAAACCAAGGAGATAAGAGCGAAAAATGTCAAAGGACGATTGCGCCCTACTGCATCATAAGACCTCTTCATCGACTGGGTATGATAAAATATCAGGCGGCTGATAACCAACAGCCAGCCTTTTCACAAAGCACAAACGGAGGCTTGTAAATTAGTCCTGAAGTGATATGATGACATTTTATGGATGAAAAACGGCGTTCCAAAAATATGAGAACGCATAATTATTGCAGCTTTTCTCAAAGTGTCTATTTACCAGCAGACTCGCCAAAACAATCGGCGTCCGTGCAGAATTAGGACGCAAGAGTGCATCTTCTCTTTCTCTTGTTTTGCAAAGCGGAAATCGATACTGGGATGTCCGGAAAACGAGAAAAACACACATTAATTGGTTGATTTGCATGAAAAAAGTTAATTCCAGAAATTAAACCAGAAATTTTCGTGACACTGCAAAAGAATCTGAAGCGAAAAGCTGTCTTTCACAGAAAATGGAAATTCGAAACCAAGCGCAAACACAAAATAATGCTGACAAAGCTTTCATCAGCGTTATCAAAGAAGAAAAGCGTTCCTCAAGAACACCTGGTACTGAAAGATTGGGCAAAGTTTAGTAAGACAGGGAAATATTCTGAAATGACTTGAAATGGTTAAACTTTAAAAAAAAAAGAAGATTAGGGTCATTTTAATTACTTTTGAGAATGTTCCATGGGATCACTGTTCCAGAAGTGTAAAGAAATATTTTAGCTGCCATTTCCTATTTATAATTTAAAATTTTGAAATGGACAACATAAGAAAAACCCGAAATATACATTGGGACAGTAAGTCCAAAAAGGAATCAGCTGAGAGAACTACAAAAAAAAGATCGAGAAACCTCGAGAGCGGCAAAATTCAAAACAAGATCAATATTTTGGCGGGAAATCTCGATGGGGCGCGGTTTGCAATTGCACCCAATGCGTTCTTTCGCGTCCAGAAATGTCCGCAAAACTGGCATCTCTATCTCTTTTCCGGCGTTTTCTTCTATTTTATTAAAATAGGTTCATTCAACGCATACGATATGAAAAATGGTTTGTTGGAATGAATAAAAAAAGAAAAAAATGCCGTGAAAAAAACAGCAATGTGAAGGAATTGGTTCGTATAATGTGTTGATTGGAAGATAATGAAGTTTGATCTGTGGAGAATCAGGAGAGAAGTTAAAATTTATTCTAGAAGTTAGTTCAATCCACGATGGAGAAGGCAGTCGTAAAGATTTTTAAATCAATATAGTTTTCGAATCATAATTTTGGATCTCAAAAAGTGATTTTTGACATGTGAATGAACTTTTTCTTTTTATATTTGTGATCTTCTAATTGCAAAAGCCTTACAAGTCCTAACTTCCTTAAAGATCTAAGCTAAGGACCAGGAAAAAACGCTCCGTTTCAAAATATGACTGGTCTTCTTGTGGAACGTTTTCTCAAAAGAGCAATGAACAAAATAAAAGTTTTTGATTTGATGATAGTCATAGAAGCCAAGAAGCTTCCGAAGAAAAAAAGATTCCTACTGAAAATTTTTTTGGCGAATGGCCAATCCGCGCGATGAGAGTGACGCTCTTCCAGCAACGCTGCGTAGCGGTAATTATGGCAGGGTAAGATCGAGAGAGAGAGATAGAGAGGTCGCCATTCAAAGTAAACGGAATATCAGGAACTCATCTGTGAAACATTTTCAAAAGACATCCTGATAGACAAAAGAATAGAAATTCTTTTTTTGTGAAAACTTTCTCGGAAATAAAGCTGACAAGCTCAAAATGGTTCTCAGGGGTAAATATGGATCTCGCAGATTACCTGGAGAAACGAGCAGATGGAATGAACGAGGGGGAGGAGATGAGAGGTCGCGCGTATCCATGGGAAGGTCTCGCTCACACGGGCAAAGCCCAGGATGACCTAAAAAGAACCTTTGAAAAAAGGTCTTCAAAAAACATAAAAAGCTTTTTTTTCTTTACCTTCATTTGTAGAATAAAGAATCTTCTAGAGGAAAAAAAGGCGGAGAAAAAGTAAAAAAATAAGACTTTTTACACATATTTTACGCTTCATCTTCTTTCTCACGAGTTCTTCGGATCGATATAGCTCATTCAACGTATACCAAACTTGGAAGATCATCGCCTTGACGGTTTCGTTTTCTCCAGCCTTGCGGAGCTGTTATTACGGCAGATTTTTCAGTTGTGCTTTCAAACGTGGCCTTCTTGCACGAAACATGCTATAATTGCTTTTCATCATCATGCATTAGTGATAAAAATGTATTTAAAGTTCAGTTCTGCAACCCAAATCAATTCAAAATAAACATTTTAATAGAAGGTGTTTTGGAAACACATACATTATTTTGCGAAGCAGAGCCTTTGTAGTTCCGACAGCGTTAATCACTTTTGTGGTGAGTCAAGGGACTCATCACTTCATATGTCGATCCAACTCTTCAATGACAGAGAAGATAAAAAAATAAATTCTTTAGGCAAAAATCGAATCATACACCAGCCTAGCTAAACTATTGATGAGACTCTGCTGAAGTGTACTTTAGGACCTCCTGATTTCAGAACAAAAAAATTTCTCGGAATAGATGTCGTTTTTCAAGTTATGACACTTCAAAAACTTAAATAGTGCTTTTTAGCCATAATTTGTGTTTTTTGCGGACTTCAAAGTTTCATATCTCAGATTAAGAGCAAGAAATTTTTCATTTTTCTGCAATCAGGAGGTCCTCAAGTACACTTCATCGAAGTTTCATCAAAAATTTAACCGGGAGGTAAAAAGTTCCTTAGTAAATTGTAATACGTTGAATGGAAGAAGAAATTTTTTTCCCTCATTTTCCTCAATCATTCACGCTCGTAAACTTGTTGAACAAAGATACATTATTCAATCTGATCACACTTTTTCTTGAGCAAAAAACGATAGTAGAGTGTTTGTAATGTAGTGAGACGAAAATGGAACCTCATAAACCGACAACCATAAACTATCAAAATTCAAACGGACCTCAAACTTTGTTTTTTTGTTTTCTATTCACAGTAAAGTAGGTGTAAGTCTGCCTAAAAAGTTTTTTCGAAAAAATTCCTTGTCTGTTCGAAATGGAGTGAATTTCGAAAAAAGCGACGGGGGTCAGAATCATTTGTTTGTTCATGGTGCCGTTGTTCGTTCAGACTCCTTGCGCTTAGTTTGAAAAATGAGGCAAAAAGAAGACCAAAAACGATTTTTTTGAATCTGTGTGGCACGGATTCGATTCATCACATTAAGGTATTGAGAAACGATAAAACTTCGGAAAAAAAACTAAATCAGGTAAATCGATGTTTGACTAGCGAACAACCTTCAGGTAAAAACAGCTAAAAATGATCTTTTTCTTATTATCTCCTGACGATGTGCTCTCTTGAAGTTAACCGAAAGTTTTACCCAAAAACGAAGCTTAGAAAATGTTCAAATTCAAGGAGACAAGACAAGGAGAATTAGCTGTAGTTCGATCCAAGTACCTACCGAGCGTCAGTTCAGAACGATTTTACTTGAGCCTATTCAAAGAAAAGACTTTCCCACATGATTATCTCAACTTTAGCGGTTTTATGAACCTGAAGTATTGTTTATCAATTGTGAGGATAGAAAAAGGGGAAAAAATATTTTGTTCGAATAGAAGCGTTCATGAAGAACTCTTCACTATAAAGAGCAGCGAAAAAAAAGAATAAAACAATGGAGAGTTAATATTGCACGTGATCATAGCCAACACTGATTCTAGAAAAGTTGACAAAAATGGGGCTTTCAAAATGACCCTGGACTGCTTCCTGAAAAAATAGCTCGGTGAGAGTAGAACATTAAGGGTTGGTCAATCCGGGTTGGGTCACTAGATTTAGTTTTTCACGCTTATTCTAATAATGGTTACAGAAAGTGTCGCTGACTGTGGGAAAACGTAGGTTTAGCTTCATGATAAACTTTGAAATTCTGATAGATAAAACTTCTCGAACCAATCATCGCAACATGGTTTGATTTTCATAAAATTAAGGGCGTCATGGCTCAGCTGCTAAAGACTAATTTTTAACGTCTCCGAGGTCGTAGGCTCGAGTTTCCCCGAGGTCGACCAACCCTTTCATCCTTCCGGGGCAGGTGGGAACTGCATGCAGCAATAAGGCTTAATCTCTGCCATCGGCCTTTGGAAAGCCGACACCGTACCTCTCTTGTACCTGATGTTCTACGAGCGAAACTCACAATATCTCTGCCTAAGCCACAGCTCCTGCAGCCGTTTAAACAGAGTTAACTCGATGAAAGTTGATGGCCCATGTATTCTTACATTGAAGATGCAAGAAACAGTTTAAAACAGTTTGAAAGTAAACGTTTCGTCAAGGAAAAGTATCTTCCTTTTCCAAATAAAAAAATGATTTATCATCCACTGGGGTGAAGAGTGAAACAAGGACGAAAAATTGAATGCGCATTTCGAAATTTGCCTGTAAACAATGCCATCCGGCAAAGGGTTTCCCATCTTCCCACGTATTCGCGCACCCATAAACATTACCCGCGTTCTTCTCCGTCATTTTTTGGCATTGCCCTACTGCAACCACCTCTCGTACCAGGAGCAGTCTTGTCCCGACTGCCTTTCGATTTTCTGATGCCGAAGCGACTCTGTTTCTGAGCTCTCACAACTGCGAAAGTTTGGCATCAACTTCTTCAACTAGAGAAAATTGATAAAACCCTAATGATTATGAGACGAGATCCGTGACAACATTTTTACTAGTTCATCCTCTTTTTCGTTCGATATAGCTGTTTCACGGCTCACAGTGTTCCAAAAGAGACGGCGGCAAGCGAAAAAAAAAGGTCGTCGCAATGGGGCGAAAACGCGAGTTTTTTCTAACGCAACGCGGTGCGGCGCGTGTCGCCCCCACAAAATTTAATTCACTTTTAATACGGTTTTTTCTTTTTTTCTTGCATATTTTTACCATTCTTTCGTATTTTTTTCACATCGTATGTGTTCTTAAAACGTGTTTATCGCGTTTTTCCAGAGATTTGAAGTGATTTTTCGATTGTTCTCGTCACAGAAATTCGCATTAAAATGACATTTTTTTGATGACAACTTATTTCGCATAAGATATCTCGTTTGTTTTTGTTTTAGAATTTTCAAATGGACTTTCTTAAGAGAAAACGCTGTGAGATTTTTTTCTTGAAATCGAGGCAGTATTCGACGAATTTATTCTTGAAAATGTCATTTTGGGTGACAACTTTATTCGCACAAGCTATTATATATCTGTTATTATATATCTGTTTTTTTGTTTTAAAACGTTCAAATGGTATTTCTTAAGAGAAGTGCTTTTGAGCTTTTTTTCTCAATTTTTCCCTTTGGAAGTTCGATTTGACGAGTTTTCCTAAAAAACGATATTTTGGGAGATATTTTGTTTTGCAAAAAATTTTTAGTCTCTTTTTTCATTTTAATTGTTCGTTATAATTTAATACACGTTGAAAATCTTTAAAAACTTGCGAGAACCTAGGAAAAACATTATTTAATGGTCTTTTTCCAACCACTAAATCCACAAAACTTGACTCTCATCCCCGCGCCCCTATTGCAGTAAACCGTGCCGCTGTTGCAGTCAGCCACGCCTACTGACCACAGCTGCCGCCCGTTTGGGAACACTCTGGGCTAGCTTTAGACGCTAAGGGGGCGTGTCCTGTCTGCGCTCTCCACGAGCAAGGCGCTATCTCGTGCATTATCGTGTTAGGACCCTTTTTTCGATGGCTCAAGCCAGCCGTGAATCAGCTATAACTAAAAATAGAAAACCATAAAAAAAGCATAATTCATCACTCGACTAAAAAAAACAGTGTCTGAAACATAGGATTATCGTACGTATTGATTGATGACTCTCTGATCTTTTTTTCTTATCCTCTTCTGCAAAATCATTACGTGATATGTCACGATCACGTTGAATCACGCCTCGGGTCTCGGTAGCTTGTAGGCTCCGACACGCCTGGCGCTGTTCTCTATCTCAGATCCTCAACCTGCGCAACACTATTTCCATTTTGAGACGGTTTGGCCGAAATCTCATGACTCAGCGCGCCTTCCGCCGTTCGGACGCTCCAGCTGCCATTTCATTCTAAAACTTTCCTTGTACTTTTCAACGGCTAATGTTTCTTATTTTTCCTATTTCAAGATGCTGGGATAGGAAGGTAACCGGCAGCTTTTTAGCGGGGATCCGCGTTTAAAGACAATCCTTTTTCACGTGTTCTTCAACTTCAACTAAACATTTTTTAAGCTTTTCTGCACTTCTGGCTTACTGAAAATATTCAATTTATAGATGATGCCAACTAGAAAAAACTTGAAGCAAATTTTCATAAGTCTAAATTTCGGCCAAAGAGATCAGACTTCTACTAAGTTGAATTACACAGATTTGAAACTTTTTTTTTTTTTTAATAGAAAAAAACATTTTTCCACTTCGATTTGAAATAAGAACTCTCGGAAGTAATTCAAATTCAGGTCGCCACCCCTTTTTTTATTGAACCAAAATCAATCTGAATTTCATCTTGAGAGGGCCTGATTTTTTTGAACTTGCGCAAGGCTTTGTAAATGTTAAAAGTTCAAACTCTTTTCAAAAAGCTTTTTTTGCGTCCTCTAAGAATGAAACTTCCGACGGAAAGAAGTTATATGAATCCAAACCAACTATTATTTTTAAAAAAATTTTAGAGGCGCCCGGATTGAGTTAGGAAACCCGGGTGGGCCCCGACAAAAGACCACATTCGTCGACCTATCGACGCCCCCTAAACTTTTCTTGGTGCGCCAAGGAACTTTTATATGAAGTACCTTTCGGATTATTCCGCACTTTGTAACAGCGTCCTGCAAAATGTCTACTCGCAACGGAAGTTTTTGAGCTCGTTGCGAAAACTGCCCGCATATTTTTCAAAGAATGATCGATAACATCCTGTGTATCGGTTTGTTTTTCAAAATATTCAACTTTTTTCAGCCACCGATATGTCCTCAAATTTTCGTGAAGATGTCGATCGCCAATTTCGTCGGTGCCTTCGCCATTTGAATGCAGGCAAAAATGTATGACTCACTTATCTCATTTGGTAACAGTAATAAATCCAGGTGAAGGAGGTTTTGAGAAAGCTGTTGATAATGGACTGGCCTGCAAACTTTCGCGCATATGACATAACAGATGTTTTATTACGGTAGGCTGCGAATAAAAAATGTTTCCTGAAATACATTTTCAGTTATCGGTGCAGTGAAGAATATGGTTTTTGGGCCCGAGAAGTGCTGAAAAGGTACGGGCTACCATATTATTTCCATCTGAGAATTCGAAAAGTTCAATTTCCATGATTTTCAGAAACACTGAAGAGACTGAGATAACCTCGGAATTTTCAAAAGACGGAAATGACTCGTACAGTTTCGAAAAGGTTGATAAGTGGTTTCTGTTTTTTCTTCATACTTGGCTTCTCGAGTAATACTTTAATAAAGTCAAAATTTTAGGCCGACATGGCGTCGAAATTCAGTCGACCCACGAAGAGGGAAAGCTCGGAAAAACGATCTCGTTCTCCTCTTTCTACTCATTTCTATGAGGTAAGTTCCAACTACCTAGTGCGTACACCTTTGGCTGAAACCCGAGAGCTTTGAACCAATGTTTCGTAAATTCTTCACGACTCTAAACGCTAAGGAGGAAAGTGTGTGCAAAATGGCAGTTTTTCTTTTTTTTTTTTCTTTTCCCAAAAGCGGCGCTGCGTCAGGTCAAACAGTGATATATAGATTACAAACTAATGGGTAATTCATAAATTAAGTTTTTTAAATTTTTTTTCAGAAACGAAAGGTTTCTGAGATGATGAGTTTGTCGAAGCCGTCGCAAAATTTCACTGATATGTCCTCCAATTTTCGTGAAGATGTCGATCGCCAGTTTCGCCGATGCCTCCGCGATTTGAACGCAGGCAAAAATGTATGACTCACTTATCTCATTTGGTAACAGTAACAAATCCAGGTGAAGGAGGTTTTGAAAGAGTTGTTAATAATGGACTGGCCTGCAAACTTTCGCACATATGACATAATAGATGTTTTATTACGGTAGGCTGCGAATAAAAAATGTTTCCTGAAATACATTTTCAGTTATCGGTGCAGTGAAGAATATGGTTTTTGGGCCCGAGAAGTGCTGAAAAGGTACGGGCTACCATATTATTTCCATCTGAGAATTCGAAAAGTTCAATTTCCATGCTTTTCAGAAACACTGAAGAGATTGAGAAAATTTCGGAATTTTCAAAAGACGGAGATGACCCGTACAGCTTCAAAAAGGTTGATAAGTAGTTTATGTTTTTTTTTTCATACTTGGCTTCAGGAAAACGGACGCACGAGTTCGGTGCACAGAGATAGAACGTTCGAAAAAGTCCGTAGTTGCTCCAGTTCAAGATTGCGCGATTCTTGTTTGGAAACGGTGAGCAGGAAGTTTTGAAATAATTATAATGAACAATTTTGAAAAACCTTTCTTTCTTGTTCTCGAGTAACACTTCAATAAAGTCGAAATTTTAGGCCAACACGGCGTCAAGATTCAGTCGACCCGCGGAGAAGGAACGCTCGGAAAAAAAATCTTATTCTCCTCTTTCTACTCATTCCTATGAGGTTAGTTCCAACTACCTGGTGCGTAGACTTTCTTCTGAACGCCGATGACTTTGAACCAATGTTTCGTAAATTCTTCACAGCTTCAAACACTAAGGAGCAGTGTTTGTGCAAAATGGTAGCGACAAATTTCGAAACTTCGCAATCTAAGAGCTTATTCATAAATTAGGAGTTTTATTACAGAAACGAAAAGTTTCTGAGATGAAGAGCCTGTCGAAGCCGTCGCAAAATTTGATTCGACCGAACCTCTCTCAATCTGCATTGACTCCCAGTCAGTGAAGTTCAATGGAAAACTAAAAAAAAAACACCTCAACCTGTAATTGATTATGTAGGAGATTTAACTTTCCGTCCACGACGATTTGTTCGGATACCCGTGCCAGGTTCAACAAGTTCTGAGCGTAAAAAATTTTCAGCGTAAAGTTCGGTTCGAAAATTGATTGAAAAATGTTATTCCAAAATTGCAGAGTCAAAAAATAGTCAAAATCTTTTTTCACGTTGTCACCGCTGGTTCAACACAAAAACACTAGAGCGCATTCTGAAATTTTCAGTTGAAATCTATTCAGTTGGCTTTGAGAAAAATCAAATTTGCAATACTGCGAACTGAAAATGTGTAACGATTTTTATTGCAGAATATGACTTTTCGTCTTGGCTTAAACCCTGGAAACCGGAAACTCCTAAAGATTCAAATATCAAAAAGCTAGAGGAAAAAATTATCGAAAAAGAAAAGCCTCCACAAGTTCCCCGTAAAACGGTACCATCATTTGAAATTGTTTGGTATAGAAAAAAAAATTTTAGATTTTTTTGGCTACTTTGCCAATCTCGACATATACGGGAAAAGCGCAAAGTCTTCAGAAAAAACACCAAATCTCTAGCAGGAGAACTCATCTTGCGGCGGAACAATTTCTATGCGCCCCTATGGGTAACTTATTTCGTAATGGTACAAATGACCCATTCAATTTTATTAGTTGTGAAGCGCCCTGTGAATACGCACACAACATTGAAGCCTCCTTGTTACGACAGCTCCCAGCAAGACGACAAAAAGACTAAACAAGGTACATCATCTATCAAATTATAGAAAAGCACAAAAACTTTCACGTCAACCTTGTCATTAACGCATAAAGCAAGTGCCTTGAAAATCAGTTTTGAAGGTCTAATTATATCCAAATAGGTTTGAGAAATAAAAAAAACTCTTTCTACTTTAAGTTTTCAAGAAGTTGTTTCTCTAACGAAAGTTTACAAGTCCAAACGACTCCTTCGTGAATTTTCCGAAGATGATTGCAAACAGTCATGAAAGAATCTTTCAAAGTAATATCAAACTGGAAAAAAATTTCTTTTTCAGAACACCAGTACAACTTATATACTCTTCTGAACATGAAGAAGGAGCCTGAAGATTATCCAGAAAGTGGCTGAATCATAGACCTCTATCCAGTACATTTGTTCAAGGCCATTGGACAAATTTCCTCCCCCCATTGAAAGTTTCTGACCAACTTTAATATCTTCTCATGATCAATTTCGTTGCTCTTTTTCTTTCTACCCCGTTTGCGATAATTTTTTTAATCACTCCAGTTTTGTGTTACCTGTTCCATGACTCCCAATTCCCCATGTTATGCTACGGTTGCATTTTCTATTGCGATGATCTTTGCCTTATTCTTTTTCTCATTTGATGATAAAGTGCCATAAATCCCCGGTTTTTCTTGCAAATTGTCTTTCTTTCTAATTATTCAATTGATATAAATCATTCACTTAGTCCAAAGTTTGTGACCAAAGAAAGAGTAATTTTGAATATCACTTTTAGAATCTCGCAGGGATCGTTTCACTTTTTTCACCGATCACAAGCTTTCAATTATACATGTTTTGCAGCAGTTCCATTCCACTACCCGACGATCTTCGCCTTACTTTTTTTATTTTTATAATATTCGCCGTTGTGTCGATGATGTCAATTTTTAAATTGCTCAACAGTTGTTCTGTTAATGAATTTTGTCTGTATTTACAAATGTTTCAATAGGAATCGAATTGAAGAGATTAACACCGGGAAATTAACTTTGAAGTTATTCTCTCCCCATAAAGAAGCAGCGATCCGAGCCTTCATGCTATGATCTTGGTAGTGATAAGGAGAGGGATTAGGCAGAGTTGCCTGATTATCATAATGATTCACCGGCTTTGCGCGTCGTCCTGTCTTTTTTTAACAGGAACGCAGTGTTTGACAGAATTTAATAATAATAATTTATTTACAGATCAGTGTGAACCCCAACGAGTTCTAAAATTTGAATGGAAAAAAAGAAAAAAAAAGTAAAGCATGAAGTAAAAATATAAATCTGGTTAGTCTTGGAATAATAGAGGTAAAAATTTCGTTGCGAGGTAAATCAACCAATAATTTTCTCACAGAGTTAGGGTGAAGATATTCCCACAGTAGTGTTTGTTTTGTGAAATTTTCTTTTTTCGGAATTTTACGTATACTCCATTCGCTTGGAAAAAAAAGTATCATTTTTATAAAGGCTTTTTTCTGACTTTTAATGACGACATCTGTATGAAATCGAGAGCTAGACAAAGTTTAAAATATTTTCTCAGTTTTGTCACAATTTCTACTTTGTGCGACTTCATCTTAAAACTTGCAGTTCAACACATTTTAATAGATCTATTAATCGAATATTCATTCAAATTTTTTTGAATAAATTAAACTTCTTCCAGGTTGCCATTTTCGGAAATAATTTAATATCAAGGTATGAATAGAGTCAACCAACTAATTCCATTTAATCAATTCAAAGAGTACACTTTAATTGGAAACGGCATGTTTCCCTGGAAACAACAAAAGCTAATTGAAAAACGGCTGGCTGTCGATTGCGAACAACTGTTAGAGTTTGTCTGAGCCGATTTGTTTCCGATCATTTGATATATTGCACGTGAGCTGAAGACCAACTGTACCTCAAAAAAAAAATCTTACAACGGAACCATGAGAATTATTCACTCATAGTTCAACTCAGAACCACAATGATGTGTAGTCAACGACTTTGTCTTAAATCTTTTGTCATTATTTTGACTCAATCATTTTGCTTCTTATAAAGGATGATCACGTGTTGTTTGCCTAAAATACTCCATGATTCATCACCGCAGATCCCATTTCTAAGAGAAATGCAGTGATTTATTAATGTACAAAAATCCAGCTCATTTTAAAACTAATTGATAGGAAAAAAACGCCCGAATTTTCTATTTTCTCGACCATTGCTAACTATGAGCAATTTTTTTCTTAAACAAAATTTTCAAGCTTCTTCGTTTTCTTCTTCTTCCTTTATACCGCTTGAGCGGCTTCGGCGCCCCAAGTCGATTAGTCGAGGTCCGATCCTGATAATCAGTGGACTGGCTCCAGTGACATATCCGTCCTTGTGTGTGACGGCTGGGGATTTTGAAGTCGTGGTTTCCCATTACCAACATTTCTTAAACCCTTTGGTTGGGTCCGGGCGGGGATCGAACTTGTGACCCTGTAGACCGTAGACAGGCACACAACCTGTTGCGCTACCGCGCGCCCCTTTTTCAAAAGTTTAAATAAATTATATATGTTCCATCCGTGAAGAATTATAACAATGGATTGCTTGAAATCGATAAGGTCCCAGCCCCTGACAACAGTTTTTTTTCGCCAAAGAAATCTTTTAAGAAACGTCCCATACAGCGAAAGTTTCGTCATTTTTTCCACTTTTCTCTTGGATGTTCTTTCAGATTGTACACCGCCTCCGCATGAGGGCTGCCTTGATTTTCCGTCGTTGTCGCGTCGGTATGTTTACAACAAGAAACCAAAATTCAATCTTTTCATATTTCGTGAGAAAAAAATCGGAGAAAATCAAATTAAAATGACATGGCCCTCAGAAAACCACTCCGTACCATTTCGTCGCTGTTGCAGCTGGGGCTATATAAGGAGTATAGGAAGCCCTTGTTCGTAGTTTTCTTTTTCTTCTAAGTTACTTTCTTTAAACTTTTATCTTGACGTACTGGTCGCTTCTAATTTTTTTCTGGGCTTTTGCTGGAGCATCATGAAAAAATTTTCGCCATATATAGAAAATGAACAATTTCTGGTTTGCAAAAATCTTTTTTTACTGGAATATAGGGAAAAATTTCTTTAAAAAAACAGTCAATAAATAATCCTTCATTCCGAGGACTTTTTTTAAAATAATTTAAGACTTATAGTAACAGAGACATGAAAAAAATAAAAAAACTGAAAATGACAGTTATCTCTGCGTAATAATTTTTTTCAAGCAGAAAAAAAATGTGCTGGACTAGAAGAAACGCTGATTCACTGGAAGAAATTTAAAAGCTTATATATATATAAAAATATATATTCAAATAAAAAAACGCTTAAAGAGTTATATTGAAACAGCAAAGAAAAATAACAAAATTCACAAAAAGTTAATTTAATGCTGTTTTTGAAGGCGTTAGATAACTGTTTTAATATGCAAAATATTGCTAGGAAAAATAATTTTGATATTTCTGTATCATTTTCACCTTCAAGTTAGCGTTGAATGGACTATGAAAAAAATTTAGCTGCTTTAATAAAATCAATCAGAGTTTGAACGCAGAGTAACTGGGTGTAGAATCAATACTTGGTGGGAGAGGCTAGCGGAGCGAATTTCCCCACGCCACACGTGTTTTCTCGCACCCACTTAAGCGTTCCTTGAAGCAAGCGTTCTTTGGACATGTTTGGCGTCTTCGACTTAGCGTGGCGTTCCTATCAAAACTTTCGACTTGCCTATAATTCTAAAAAGTTCTTTTTTTTATCTGTTTTGTTTGATTGATACAACTTCTTTTCGGAAGGCTCCTGGTTGTCCATTTTATAGTATTTTTTGACTTGCCCGAAAAGGATTCTCCACGTTCGTACAATCATCACGATTCTTCCTGGTCCTTTTTATTTCAGTTTATATTACTCTCAAATAAAAACTTCTTGGCTTCTATTGTTTTTTCGTCAAACAAAAAGTTTATAAATAGGATATCTTTTTTTTTCTTTTTTTGATGACTCACTTTCTATTATGTTGATCCTTGTTTTCCGTGTTTTGATCTCAAAAATTTCCGATTTTTTCTTGAGAGATATGCTCTCTCAAGAAATCTATTTTTAACCTCTGTAATATATGTGCTGTAAACCGTCAATCTATCAATCCTTATCTTTTTAACGAAAAAAAAAACGTTTTATCAGTTTTCAGCCGCTTATTTTTTTGTGTTTCATTGATTTCGCCATCCAATCTATAGAATTAGCTTTTTTCAGCTTGAATCTTACGGGTCAAGATGAATTTGGAGCTTGAGCAGCGTCTGTACAAATGTGTCAAATGTTTGAAGAAGGGCTCAAAGGTAAGAATATATTGAATATATACAGTTTTTAACTAAAAATAACTTTTGCTAGGTTAAAAAATCTCTGAAACGGATGCTGGATATCGATCTGCAAGTCACTTTCCACGAGTACAACATCGAAGAAGCGGTTTCACCGTGAGTTTTTACGGACAGATTGACTGGAAAATGAAAAGATTTCAGTTATCTCAACGACGAGGAATACGGGCCACTCGCAAGGAGAGTGCTTGAAAAAATGACCGAGTACAAACCGCAGCCGTGAGTTTTTGATCGATTATTTTCAAGCTTTATTAACTATTCAGCATAACGAAGGAAGAAGTAAGGTACGACAGAGACATGAGCCCGGATACTTATGAGCCGATGCCGAAGTTCGACGATTCGGACTACCCATGGGAGCCAACATTCGAGGTTAATTCAAATTACAATTTTTGTCTAAAGTCTTATAAATTTTATTTCCAGGAAAAGCCAAAAATTAAGGAAGAAATGGAAGAAGTCAAGCCGTTGGCCAAAAAGCACAAAAAGAGGTCGTCTTCACCTGCTCCGGCGGCGGTGAGAATGAAATAACTTTTGACATGAGTATCTTTCGGGGCATCAATTTCCGGCAAGAGATTTCTTTTGATTGAATGGCCAAATGCGCACTAGCCGTGATTGAAAGCAATCCTGCGCTTGTTGCAAACTGGAAATTACATATGATTAATGTTTTATCCATTATTACAAAATTTAAAAAGTTCTATAGAAACGTTTCATTTCTCACGTAATATTGGGTACCTTTTTGCTTGTAAAAAAAGCTCAATTTTTTTCATTCTTTTTTTCAAAAAGGCTCTCAAAAAAATATAAAATATGAAAGCGGGTTTTTTTCAAACCGCTTTTCAAGATGAATCATGAATAGCTGACTTTTTTTTCAATTAAGATTCAATTTTCCAGAAAAAAACGATATCTTCCGGAATCCGGCCATTGACAGAAGAGGAATTCGCGAAGGCCTTCGGAGTGGACAGCAAGGACTGCCAAAGAAAACGGCCTCCTCCTAAGAAGAAGTCGACGTTCGAGGCGGAAACTCTGGCTTCGTTAAGAAGTGATTCCGAAAAATTGGCTATGAAAGTCAAAGTTGTCCCGGTCAGTTTTCAAAGTAAATTATTTATATAACTCACAATTTTCAGCCACGTGAGCCGGAAGAGCCAAAACGTCCCAGACTGCAAAGTGAGATTGAATTTCACTGTTTTCCGGATATCTAGTAGAATTGAAGAAAAATTATTTAATAAAAGCAAAAAGAAAAAAATGAAACCCTTGAAAATATAAAAAAAGTTAATAAGTTTTCGCTTTTGCAGTGGCCGACGAGGACATGTTCAAGCCGCGAAAAGAGCGTCAAAAGGTGTTTGCTGGGCGGAGGAAGGTGCAGAACACCATGCACTCCCTCATTGAGCTCAGCCAAAATGCCCTGAGCACCAAGTTGAACGGTGAGGATCATTCTTTCGAATCAAAAATAATAATGAGCATTTCAGCGATTGGACATGTGGGCTTGTGTCCCTACTTTCTTATTAAGCCCGTGCTCGAGAAAATGACGGCCGAGCAATTGGAAAACTTCCTCGAGTGCAATCCAGTGAGTTTCAACAAAAGAAAAAAGATCTACATTAACTTTTCCAGGGCCTCGAAGAAGAGAGTGACGAGCTCTTCAAAACTTTTGTGGAACGGCATCCTTTGGGCAACACGGTCTTGGAAGATGGAAAACCTGTTCGCTCATGGAAGCGCAAGTACACCAAGTATGTTTTTTGAACATTAGCTACAATTTTCTTCACGAAAGATTATTTTCTTATAAAAAGTTCTGCAGACTTTGCAAGCTGGCCGCAATGCAGAAGAACAAGGAAGGAGCGAAGTTGCAGTTCCTCACCGACAAGTTCCTGGAGAAGAAGGCCAAAAACTCAGACGTCGGGCGGAAGACTGTAAGACATACTTAGTTGAGAAAATTGGAAGAGTTTTGTTTTTAGATGATTCTAGAAGCGGCTCTTACTCCTAGAGATGTGCGCCGGCGACAGATGAAGCACGGGACGGTGACGACGGGAGTGTCGACTCCATCGGCCAAAGATCTTTCCTTCGCCAGGAAAGCCGTCGCTAACGGTAAACAATCCATATTTATTTTCACCTAAGTTTAGTTCAGAATGAAGAAAGTTTTCTACACAAAACATTCATCGAATTCATTGGAAAAAAAAACTTAACTTTTCATAGATAACAGGATTTTTCGTAGCGAAGCTGAAGAACCAAAAAATATCCCGTTTGAGGCAAATTTAAAAACCAAGTGTCAACTGAGAAGAGTGGTTCTCAATCAATTTCTTTTTCAGGCGATAAATCCAAGCTTTCGGCTCTGCCCAGCACCGTCGTCAACAGGAACTCGACTTTGGGAGGGCGCACGGGCGACAACAAGCCAAAGAAACCGACGACTGGTCCTTTGATGAAAAAGACCATGAAGATGCTCAACATGAAGCGTCGCTAAGTTAATATTTCCCGCTTGATGTCCTAGTTTAATTTTCTTTTTTTTGGTAGCAGACTTCGAGTGAAATATATGAATTTTAGTTCCCCTTTGAGATTTAATAAATAAGTTGTCTGTAAATGTTTTACGTAGCCCCGATTAAATTCCAACGTTTCTTTCTGATAATAACGACCTTGTCGTCTAGTCCGCTACTTTTGTTCAGAGCTTTGATAAATTGTACATTTACTCCGTCGCACCATTAAAACTATCCTAATAGTAGCATTTTGTACAATCTTCCATCTGATAAAACCACTTCAAGCTCTACTGACGTTTTGCCGTGGATTTTGAATATCGATGCTCTCATCATCTTGTTCCTGCAAATATGCCAACGACATTGTAATTTCAACAGCAATCCCAAATCTTGGCTAGTCTCCATTTCAAACGTGTTTGTAATTTATAGCCGGCGTCTACTTGTGATCGTCCCCGAAGTTAGCGAAAAATGCGTTTATTGCTCACAATTTATGTGACAACTATTTAATCACTTGAATGTTTATTTTTATTTAATGAATAAATCTGCATTGGCATTATTTGAAGTTTGGTGAAAATCATGGTTTGATTCCAGTGAATTTAATTCTCATTGAATCAAATAATGTAGAAAACCTCAACTTGAAAAAGAGCAAAGTAAATTTCCGCGAACTCAGGTTTCAAAATTTTTTTCATCAAAAAAATCAAACAAACAACGATAGAAATGCTGGAAATACTGTTATGAAAAACGATTTCAAAAAAATGTAGTTTTGTTTTAGAACTCGGAAAAATTGACTTCGGAAAGATAAAAAAACTTGAAAAAAAGAGGTGATTCTGCAAGCTGATCTAAATAAAAATTAAAATTTTTTTCCCGTTTTATGGAAAAAGTTTTTCTTTTTCTATTGGCCACGGTCCTGAAAAAAAATTCGTAATCGGAAATATTTATAAAAAATTTACAAGCGAACTTTCTCTGATTTTTTTTCAAGATCATTTCACATCTAATATGAGGTCTGTTTCTATTGCGAAATAGAAAACTAAAATGAAATCAGCTCCGCCCAGAAACCTTTTATCTGTAATGGAGGAGCTGGATACATTTCATTCTTTTTCTTTTTATTGCAATTGTGTGCGGTTGCTCCCTCTGTGGAGCTCGCCTTTTTTTATTTCCGTTTTTATTTCGTTTTTTTCTTCTATATGTATATAGTTGGTTTAATTACCCAAGTTTGAGGTGATAAATATTGCTCTCTACGTTTTCTGTCGTTTCTCGTGAAAGAAAGAAGAAGGACGGAGAGTACATTACAAGGTCTTTAAGCGATTGATAATGAAATAATTCAGACTTTATCCACAGCCACAGGTAGACTTCTTGAACCAAAATTAAATTTTCAGTTTTTCCACTCATATATGAATTCATTCCAACAAAAATCATCATAAAAAAACATTTTTCGTCTGCCTCCGCAAAATCGGAAAAAAAGACCCTGAAAGGGAAAGGCTGTTTTAAAATCCAACGTGAAGCGCTTTGCATGATTAGGTTATGCTTTTCATTAGCACGGGGCCAATAAACGCAGAACGAATATTCTTTCGGAGAGTCTCCGCACTTCTAATCTTTTCGAATCCTTGTATGTCCCTGGGGTAGGAATGTTTTTGAAACGCAGAGGAAGGCAAGAAAATGCTAACCTAGCATTCTTCAATTATCTTTTGTGAATAGAGAAGATACTTCTTTTTCTTCTGTAGTTTTTTTTAATAATATTATTTATTTACAGGCAGAACAAAATAACATGTACAAAAAAAAGAAGGAAAATATTGGCATTTAAGCCTGAAATAAATAAATAAAAGGCACTTGAGGCCCTCACGAGCCTCTGAGCCAGTATTGAAAGATGATGAGGTAAGAATAAAAGTGAGGATAGCACAAAGGTAGAAAAAAAAGTAATAGAGAAGAAAGCATTAGAAGTTATGACACAGTGTAGCACACGTAAAGAAAAAAAAAAGGATAATTCAATTGTTTGTAATGATATAGACAAGCTTTAAATGGATTAGAGTAGGGGTGAAGCACGGGTACCTGGTTTAACGGAGTCTGCTGGGAATAGATTCAAAAAGGAAATTGTTATCGAGGGATAGTAACAGAGACCTGAAACGATCTGGAGAAACATTGAGGTTTCCCAATGTAGCCAGTTTATTCCATAGAGGGATGAACGTCTCAAAGAAATTTTCGAAACGAATCCCTACTCTGATAAGACGCGATGGAGCACGTACTGAATTTGATCTCCTGAAAACAATGTGAGCAACTGGCGTGTAGTGTTGTAGTGTTCTTAGACAAAATTCGACTCTTCTTCTAAAAAGAGAGTTTGTGTTGATTTGAGCTAACCTATCTTCATAGCTAGAAAACCTAATGTTTGATCTCATGAATGTTTGACGAGTGAATTGACGGAAGATGTTTTCGAGAGTGTAAGATAGTTCTGAAGCTAGGGGGGACTGAACAACTCACAAAAGCAGTCCATGTAGGGAGCAACGTAAGTAAGAAAAATCCGGCTCATTAGAGTGGGAGACAAGGCGCGGAACGCTCTGATAATTTGTTTGCTTTTTAGTTTGCATAAGGCTATAACTTTACGAACGTGAGGCTCAAATGTTAGTTTGTTATCAATAAGAATGCCTTCGATCGCGAACAGCTTCCGCAGAAGAGATAGTTATACTATTTATAGTATATTGAACATGAGGGTTGCTACGGCCTAGATGGAGAAGGGTGGTTTTGTGTTCGGCCAGGGGAAGACCCCATTGACTGGACCATTCAAAAACGTCGTTGAGACCTTGCTATGGGATCGTCAGAGAAAATTTTAAGATCATCAGCAAAAAGATAGGCCTTAACATTATCAGATAATTTGCTGATAATGTCATTAATGAATATTATAAATAAAAGTGGGCCGCAGACTGTTCCTTGCAGAACTCCAGATGTGATGTTAAAGGCCGAGCTAGATATGATACCTTCGTTGATGACAAAGGACTTTCTGTTGGATATGAAGGATGCGAACCAGCTAATAAGTTTTTGGTCAAATCCGAAATCTTGGAGCTTGGCGAGCAGAAGGTTATGGGGAGCATGTCAAAGGCTTTGAGAAAATCGATATATACTACGTCTACGTTATTACCAAGAGCTAAGGATCTCTTCCAGTGCGTGATGCAATCGAGAAGAGCCAGTTTGCAAGAACGATGAATTAAAAAGCCGAATCTAGAATTTGAAAAAGTGTTTTTGAATTTAGATCTGATAGAGATAGCTATTATTTTTTCCATTAAACGAGCAATGTGAGACGTCAATCCGATAAGTCGGTAGTTATTAGGATCACTTTTGTCGCCTTTTTTGAAGATAGGAACTATATGAGAGATAGACCAAGTTTTGGGGATAGAGCCCGTGCAATAAGATTCGTTAAATAGGAGTGCGAGCGGAATAGCTAACGAATCACGACAATTCTTGAGAACAAAAAAGTTGATAAAGTCAGTTGAAAAGCCAATTTTTGATGGGCATTTGCCTAAGGCTTTGAAAATGGCGTATGGGCTGAAATCAGGTTCAACAGTCAAAGGTTTCCTACTCGGAAAGAGAGAGGGTGTATCGAAACTATGCAAATTACGATTTTTGCAGAAAGTTTCCACAAATAAATTAGCTTTTTCGCATGATAGAATGAAAGACCTGCCATTGGAGATAAGCGGTGGAATTTCATGACGAAGTTTTAATCTAGAACTAATGTACTTTGAAATACTGGCGTTAGAGCCAGTGGCAATTTTTCTTTCATGGTTAATGAACCAACTTAGAGTTTTACGACGAAGTTTAGAGGTATTGATTTTGAAATTTTCGCGACCGAAGAAGGTGCGCCGATTGAAGCGTTTTAGACGCTTGAGAATTTTGGAAGAGAAGTTGCGTAAAAAGTTGGAACCGCGATGATTGCGTGGTTTGAGAACAGGGCAGTTGTCCCGTTTGAGCTCGTTGAAAATTGTATTGAAATGATTAAATTTGGAGTCGATGTTAGAAAAATATGAAAACTGTCTATCCAAATTGTGATTGATCATACTTAGGTTGAGACGTGCAAAGTTGCATCGGCGGTAGTCAAGACGGAAAGGTTTACCGTTTTTTTTTGGGTACGGAACAGTTGATTTTGAAGGAAATGACTAAATGATCTGTGTAGATAGGAGGATTTTTGGAACAAAGATCAAAAAATAAGTCAGAGCGGTCAGTGAAGATTAAATCGAGCAGTGATGGGTTGCCGATGGAAGACAACCTGGTTGGGAAGTTGATGATTTGATTGAGCGAATTTTGCGTGCAAAAGTTGACTAAAGGATGAGTTGAGGTGGATATGTCAATATCCCAATTAATGTGAGGAGCATTGATGTCGCCTAGTACGACATTGTTAGAAAAAGCTAAGTTTCTACTCAAAGTGTCAACAAGGTTTTGGGTCTCTGCAATATTGCAGTCGGGAGGTCTGTAGGTTAATAAAAATCTAATTTTAGTAGAGGCGGAGGTATTATTGACGCTAGTAAGGAGGTCAAAAGCCAGTATTTCACAAAAGTGTCTGCAGTGACCAATCGTCAAATTCATCGTCAAAATTTCAGACTCGCGGTATGACATTGACATCAAAGAACTCTTTGTATATAAATTTCTGGAGGCGCTCAAAATGGGAGCTGAGATCCAGTTCATCAGCAATGAATTATTTTCGAGATGGATAATCTACCTAGCAAGCAGAGAAATACCAAATTTTTCAACACTCGAAGTCCTGGAACTGACTGAACCAGAAACTATTCAACGATACTCCAAATCCGTTGTGGAGATGCTGTGTGTGTATTCTATTCTTATGCTGGCTGACCATCACACAGCAAACATAGGTTTCGACACTGAGCTGAATCCGTATATTCTGGACTTTTTCATTACTGGAAGGAGATTAACTGCTGTCCGAGACATTCACGATGGCGTGAGAATGTCGAAGATAATCAAGTAAGTAATTCATTTTTTTTCCGTTTCACTCATGTATACTACTTACTACTCACTGGCTGATTTTAGTACGACTCTTGGAACTCTCGACGAACGCATCAATATATCAAGAGAATATCTGATTAAATCAAACTTTTCGGACGTGTTCGAAAGATCGGTCGCCTCCTTCCTTGAACATCACAAGCCCGTGTTCGACAAAATGCGATTCGTTTTTGACAAAGTTAACAAGACAGATGACCTTTTAGAATATGTAGACAATGTTCGAAAGAACATTAGTTTATTTATTGATGACTCAATAACTGGAAAATGAAAGAGAATACCAGGACTGTTTTTATGTGATGATTTGTCTTATTTTTGACGTTTTTTTGATTTCGTGGATAAAAAAATTGATGTCGGCTTCAGGACTGTAAAATGCATTTATTGAACATTATTTTCATTCAAAATGTTAGCGCACTTTTCTCGACCATTTCGATCATCCATTTCGACCACGTTTTCAAAGGTAGCGCATTTCGACCTTTTTATCATTTTTGAAAATTGTTTAAAATGACACATTTTCGAAGAGTTGAGACACAAAATAAATGAAAATAAGCATTAAAATGGATGAAAATGTGTAAAAATGAAAATGGTCGAAAAGGTGCCGTAGTTGTTGTTCTGGAGAAGGCGTTCGACCGCGTGCCGCACGAGCTGATATGGTATTCGCTGAGAGACCACGATGTCCCCGAATCGTAGATCGACGTCGTTAGAACTCTGTTCACCGACGCCCACAGTCAAGTAAAAACAATAGTAGGAAAGTCGAAGCCGTTTCCAATACGAGTCGGAGTTCACCAAGGCTCAGCCCTCTCCCTTTTCATCTTCATCCTCGTCATGGATACCATCACGAGAGACCTGCATACAGAACCGCCTTGGACCCTCCTGTACGCCGATGACGTCACGCTGACTACCAAAACGAAAGCCGAACTCCAGGATCTTCTGGCCATTTGCCATGAAAGGCTCGCTAGCTTTGGCCTGAGGATCAACTTGAAGATGACGGAATACATGACGACGGACGCTGTCAAGGACGGAACCATCACTTTTGCCAACACGGATCTCCGCAGAGCGAAGTCGTTCAAATACCTTGGCTACTTTTGCAAAAAGTCGAGCGCAAGCTTCAGCAGTCTCCAGGCCTTGACGAAGTAAGAATCCTCCAAAAGCGGTGCCGTAGGGATTCTCATTTTCTGGTTGTACTACCCTCGTATGTTCAACTTTTGTGCTTGACATTCGAACTTGATTTTCCTGGAATCTGATAGTTAACTAGGTTGTTCTGATTCGAGCTACCTTTATCAGAGGCTGCTCAAGAACTGTTAGTGTCGGAGGAACGCTTTGTTTTAAGTACTGTCGCTGCCTCATTTCGATCGTTTGCTCTTCGAGATCATTTGTAGGGATAAGTTGATTCACCGCGTACTTTTTGCGCGGGTTCTTAGCATCCAGCGAAATCTGAAATACCATTTAAATGAAAAAAAGTTATGTCCGAAACTCACGAAAACGAATTGTCCTTCGAGCTTGCAATCTCCGTGTTGATGGACAGAAACAGTTACTTGATTTTCCTGTTTTCTTGAGTTGAAAAAGCTGCTTCACGATCTAACAAAGCTGCCCACTTAGAGAGTTGGGAGGGCCGCTGAAAATTTAGAATTGTCAAAAAGTGTGAACTATTTATTTGTTCCAGTTTTAAAGTTCACGTACACCACACAAATAAAATTATACATCCTAACAAGAAACAGTAAATTCTAAAGATAAAATAACAACTTACCACAGTAAGTTCCTCAAATTCATTGATCGTTTCGAGGGGATGTAAAGAGTCGGGTAGCTCATCACCACGATATTTGATTTCTTGATATGCGATGGGTATCTTCGTCACGTGCTCAATCCGGTTCAAGAGGTCAACGCGAGAATTCTATAAATAAAACAGAATTTAGATTTAGAACCAAATGAAAATCAAACCTGCGGCTCCAAAATATTATTCTTGAACAAGCGATCTTCTGCATCACCTAGTCGGAAAACAACAAATACCATTCTGAAACCAAAGATTTATCGAAATAAGTAAAGCAATAATACTCACGGATAGGAATTCACGTTTCGAGTGTGACCAAACTCGTCGAGTTCTCTCTTTCTCCATCTGTTCTTTCCTTTGGTGTGACGTATAAAGGTCAGCAGCGTTCCCTTTTTCTTTGTGTGACCTTTTTTGCCCCAGCTGAGCTATATGCAAACGCGTTGAGCTAGAGTGTAAGGGAGAGACGTGTCTGTGGGCAGAGAAGCAGAGGAAGAAGAGAACCTGCCAACATCGCATTTTTGTGACTTTTGTGAATAGAAAATAGGCTTCCTTTTCTTCTGTAGTTCACGTTGATTTCGTGATTTCCCATCCGTGATTATCATTGTTATTTTCAGTTCTAAAACAATGGACTTATGTTTGGTTCTTAATCTAGAAGATCAGGACGGGGTTTCTCATCGTAAAAAGCCTTCAAAATTCAATAAGGAGGTTTGCTTAAGAATTCTATCTTAACTAAGTTAAATGTTATATTTTTAGACCTCAATCGAACAGTTAAGCAAAGCGATCTATTCTGTATGGAACATAGACGAAAAAAAATACCAAGAACTCTTTTTCAATGGACATCAGATTCTTTCCCTAAATTCTACTCTTCAGCAAATTGGTGTAAAGAATGACGATGAGATTGTTGTTGTAAGTGTTTTTTTATTATTTTTATTTATTTTGCATCACTAAGCTTGATGTTATCTTTATAGTTGATTTTTTTAAATTAAAAAAATAAGAATTTAATTTAAGTTCTTTTTGCGGATAAATTTAATAATTTTTTTGAGATTCAAAAAAAGCGTGAAGCGATTCTTATACAGCTAGTTAATTCTGTAAAATTGCTCTCGAGTTTAATAAAACCCGACTCTTTTCATCCCCTCGAAACGATCAATGAATTTGAGGAACTTACTGTGGTAAGTTGTTATTTTATCTTTAGAATTTACTGTTTCTTGTTAGGATGTATAATTTTATTTGTGTGGTGTACGTGAACTTTAAAACTGGAACAAACCAATATTTTACACCATTTTGACATTTTCATTTTTTTTAGAAACACGCTCGTCTGGGTACATGGAGTGAATACCTCGCGTATTGTAAACTTTTCAATGATACGAAGAATGCAAAGCCCGAGCGAACAAAGTTTGCTCATCAAGCAATCGCATGTTCAAAAGCGCTGGAAGATTCTGGATTTCTCATCGTTTATGCCTCTTTTGGTCCACAGTGGAGAGATACTATCAGTCCAATGATGAGGTTTGTTAGTTAATTCAAACTGTTTGAACAAAAATTGATGAAATAAGAATTTTCATATTTCAGATTCGTGGACAGAACGCAAAGTGCGTTAAAGCAAAGCGCTACAACATTTTTTTCCCAGAAGTATCCCAACGCTAAAATCGACTTTAAGTCTAAACAAGGCGGTAGTCGAGCTGGAATTGTAGTGATTGTCACTTGCAATGGAGAGGAGACAACATACTATATGAAGAATTATCATCACGCCGGTTCTTCAATGTCCCTGCAAAAATACATCAAAGCGACATCTCCCGGATCTTCGTGAAATGTTCGCATATCGACTTCTTGAACTCATTGGAGTTGGCCCTGTTGTATACTTTCCATTCTACGATGGATCAACATGTATTCATTACATTGCCACTGAAGAAGTTGAAGAATTCAAAAGAGCTGGACAAGCTTGAGGATATTGTTCTGCAAAAAAAGTCGTTGTTGAGGTAATACAATTTCAATCGTTCTTTAACTAAAGATACGTATGCAATAGAGTTCACCAAACCGATCATTCAACCATTTCAATTGATCAAACTATTGACATGTCCCTGTTCAACCAAATTTTAACATGTCATTTTTTTGAGAGATCGTTTATTAGATCAGTTTTTTTGATCTCTCATATTAATGATCAGTCATTGGATTTTTAACGTTTTTGATATATCGATATTTCGACCAATATATTCAATACAACATTTCGATCTTTCATTTTTTTCGACCAATATTTTTCAATACAACATTTCGATCGATCATTTTTCGACCAATATATTCAATACAACATTTCGATCTTTCATTTTTTTCGACCAATATTTTTCAATACAACATTTCGATCGATCATTTTTTTCGACCAATATATTCAATACAACATTTCGATCTTTCATTTTTTTCGACCAATATTTTTCAATACAACATTTCGATCGATCATTTTTTTCGACCAATATATTCAATACAACATTTCGATCTTTCATTTTTTTCGACCAATATTTTTCAATACAACATTTCGATCGATCATTTTTTTCGACCAATATATTCAATACAACATTTCGATCTTTCATTTTTTTCGACCAATATTTTTCAATACAACATTTCGATCGATCATTTTTTTCGACCAATATATTCAATACAACATTTCGATCTTTCATTTTTTTCGACCAATATTTTTCAATACAACATTTCGATCGATCATTTTTTTCGACCAATATATTCAATACAACATTTCGATCTTTCATTTTTCGACCAATATTTTCAATACAACATTTCGATCGATCATTTTTCGACCAATATATTCAATACAACATTTCGATCTTTCATTTTTCGACCAATATTTTCAATACAACATTTCGATCGATCATTTTTCGACCAATATATTCAATACAACATTTCGATCTTTCATTTTTCGACCAATATTTTCAATACAACATTTCGATCGATCATTTTTTCGACCAATATATTCAATACAACATTTCGATCAATCGAAAACTGAACGATCGATTCAAAATGATCTCTCATTTAAATGAAATGTTGGCATGTCGAAAAAACGAGAGATCATAATCATGAGACATGTTAATCGTTCGGTAGCAAGAAATGTTAATCAAACATATTTTTTTGGTAACATGTCATGAAAAATATTGGTTGAACGTTTGGTCGAACGATCTGTTTGGTGAACTCTAGTATGCAACACTGTTTGAATTTATTATTAACAAAATCCATTTCAGGCTTACCTGCTTTCACTTATCCTTGGAATACGCGACTTGAATGAAGGAAACATTGGCTCAACCAAGGGGAAATCCCTATCTATAATTGATTTTTTTACGTTCCCGATGCCGACAACTTTTTCACAACACAGAATAGTCGATGATTTGAAGAATAAGAGCAACTTTGGTGGACTAGGAATAGCCAACGAAATTCTAACAGAAATTGGACATGAAGACAAGATGAAAATAGCCATGGATGCACTGCCACATTGGAGTCGAATCAGTAGCATGACAAGCGATATCATTGGTACTGAGAAAAGCGAATTGAGAAAACATGGAATAAAATTCGGGACTGCTACAAATGACGTCGAGAATTATATCCAAGATATCAAATTGAATTATGACTCGATATGTTCAGCTTTTAAATAGTTTCATTCTTATGGGTTGAAATCTATAGCTCCTGTCCCATATCTCTCCAATCAAGCATTAACGGTATCCTTGAATGGTCTCATATTTGGTCTCTCCCACTCGCTTCTAACAAAACGTTTCTGTTCACTTTGGCCCAAATAATCCTCGCACCCCTTTACTATGCTATGTGTTCTTACTCAGATCGTCTTAGTCAATTTAACATCAAACCGTTATTCATTCGTCGTGAAATCTGTGACATTATCACCTTGCATAAAATCATGTGTGGCTCTGATCATTTTCTAGACCGTGATAAATTCTTCTCTCTATCCCTTTTACAGAGGAATCCACTTTGACTACGGACTACTGGTCAGTTTTCTAATGACTTTTTTACTAGAACTATTCCTCTTTGGAATAAACTAACTTCTTATTTAGATTTAAACGTTACCCCAGAAACTCTGCGTAAAAAGTTGAGCGCTCTTCCGTTTGAAGCCTTTCATGAAAATATCCCCTCTCGTCTCCTTTGAATGTGTCATATTTCCGGGTACCCGTCAACTCGTTGACTCTTTCCCGTGTATTGTTATTTCCCTGCCTATCCTTCACTTGATAATTTATTCTTCAATTATTATTTTTTTTTTCTGTTGAATAACGGCAGTGAATAAACTATATATATTAATATGGGATTTACTGGGAAGAGAATATTGTTTGTATTCGTAATTGAAAGTTGTTTATAATCTAATAAAAAAAGCCACAATTCTGTTGTAGTTCTTTTTGTTCTAGATTATTTTTATTGTAGTCACTGTGTTCACAAAACGCCAAATGACGTAATTTAATTAATTTATACTTTTTTCTCCATTTTCCTTCTATATCTTACTTTTTATCGTCTTTTGATAAATCCTTGTATCATTCGGTACAGATCAATACACTACTAATGACTTTACTTTTACGAAATCTTCGAGGTTAATGTTTGTCAATGGTTTCAGGTTTTTCTACAGAGTAGTCATTTTTCAGCATTTTTTATTCACCGTTCTAGCGCACATTTCTCGACCAAACGCAGAAGAATGTCCTCCCCTGTCAGTTGCCATATATTCAAAAAAGCGTCGTAGAAATAATACAAAAAAACAAATAAATTCAGACAGAACAACGCTATATTCTTCATTAGTATTATTATAAAGTGTAAGTTCTTCTTCATAGAATTTACCTTTTTATTACTTCATGTGATAAATCTTTGATGAAATACATTGTCGGTCCTTCCGAACAAGGGCGGACTTCAGAAATCTTAAATTCTTCAGTACTCCAATTTGGAAGATATCCTTTATCGAAAATAGCTTTATACTTTGTAATTCTGACAGTGTCTCCTATTTTGAATTTTGAATTTTTTTGAATTTCCTCAAAATTATGTTTCATAGGAAATAGATTATTGTAGACAATATTTTCATTTTCTATTTTTGAGGCTTCTATTGGAGCCATTTTTTTATTGAAGTGTGATAATGATTATTATACCCCCAGAGTAAATCATCGAGGATGTGAATCCATTTATGATTTCCTTGATGAGTAAACATTTTCCACATCTTTTCTTTTAAGGTTCTATTAAATGTTTCAACTATTGAAGCTTTTTTATTCTCTCAATTTGTGACGTCAATTTTTTCTCAATTTGTTCGTCAACTCAATTTGCCCTGCCAATTTCTCTTTCTCTTTGTGTGACCTTTTCCTTTCCTCACTGTGACCGAGCACAATCACACTTATTCCGCAGTTGAATTAGGCGCACGCGACGCGACACTCAAACGCGTTGGGCTAGAGTGGAAGGGAGAGACGTGTCTGTGGGCAGAGACGCAGAGGAAGGAGAGAACATGCCAACATCGCATCCTTTCACCACATTCTAACTTTTGTGAATATTCCAAACCCCCGCCTTTAGAGTCTAGAGACTCCCTCCAGATACAATTCTAAAGGTTGGCAGATTGGACCTTCCTGTTTGGGATGTCAGCTGCTTGACACAGGGAAATACAGGCAGGCAGGAGTCGAGGAGAGATAGAGGGGACACGCGGAACCAGCAACCCACCAACTGAGGAACCTTCGCCCACGCGGGGGCGTGGTCGAAGGTTCTCCTATTGCTGGGCTGGTACATCTCCACCTATTTTTTTCCTGTTGTTAATTACTCCCGTGATTTATCGAAACAAAAAAATTAAACAGACAATTTTTTTGACAAACAAAAAAAACATGATTCTTAACTAGCGAAAGCATTTTGTTAAAGCAAAAATAAGGCTAAAAGGGAGATTTTAATAGCGAGGAAAATTTAAAAATTCCTGAAAAGGGAAATTAGATTATTGCTTTCGCTTAAATCTTAGCTAAAATAGTGGCATTTGAACAAACAAAAAATACAGAAAATAATTCCACACAAAAAAAACACAAAAAAAAATACAACAAGTACAAATAAAAAAAAAATAAACAAACTTATAGGTTACTGTCTTAGAGACTATAGTCGTCCAAACCGCGATGGACGACGACGGCTCCACTTCGAGCTGCAAGGCTCGTCATCCTCCGGGGTGGCTCTTCGAAGGCGGTCTTCATCGATGGGACTGGATTCGCACTCTTCTCAATGTTTGGTTCACGATGACGTCCGGCATCACGAGTAGTCGACCTCTGCGACGTCGGCGTGCCTGCTCCTCGGCAGGTTCTCGGCTTTGTAGTTGACTGAGCTGCTGCTCGGCGTGTAGTAGAACGGGCTGGAGGGCGGCTTGCTGGCGACGATTGGCGACTGCTGGCCGGACTGCTACGGACTGCTAGTCGACTGGAGTGTCGAACTGGCGGTGCGGTCCTTTGTAGATACGGGCGACGGCGGCGAGAGAGAAGCGGAAAAATTCGGCGACTGTCGCTTGGCCGTCGAGCTGCGAGTCTTCCGAATCGGCGGCTTTTTGGCGGCTGAATTCGTGGTTGAAGACTGCGGCAACGACGAAGGTGAAGCTGTGTTCGGTTGGTTTTCGGCTTCTTCTAATATATTTTCTTCTTCAGGGTCTTCTTCTTCTTCTTCTTCTTCGACGTCCTTGTCGATAATTTCTTCTGGCGTTGGCGGCTTCGATTTCAGCTGGCGAACGTCATTTTTGTGAGCCACGAATGTTTTTCCATGGTCCAGGTACTCTACATTCGAACCATTGACTTTTACAACGGTAAAAGGGCCAAACAAAAATGGAGAAAGCTTGTTTTTCGGCAAAGCTCTCTTGACGAGAATTGTTGAGCCGGCGACGATCTTCCTTTGCACTGTTCTGTTTGCGTTGTCGAACCTCTTTGCGAGTTTCTCCGATGTTTCTTGGAGTTTTTCCTTGACGAAACTCCAGGCTTCCTTCATTTGAAGTTGTAGATACTCAACGTAATCTTCTTTGTCGATGAAAGAAAGTCCAACGTTCGTATTCCAAGTTGAGTCTTCTGGCAGACGAGGCTCACGACCAAAAAGGACGTGCAACGGCGCAAGTTTTGTGGAAGCTCCTGGTAGGGTGTTCAGAGCAAAGACAACTGCTTGCAGGTAGCTATCCCAATCTGATTGGAAATTGTTCACAAAAGAAGATAAAGCTTCCTCGAGGGTACGGTGAACTCTTTCAACTTGTCCGTTGGAAGTTTTGTGATATGGAGCTGTCGTCTGGTGTGGGGTCTTCCCCTTTTCCAGCAGATTTTTTTGAAGGCGAAGAGCTTGTAGTAGTAAGTTGAATTTTTTTATATTTTATTTTTGATTGTCAAAGTAGTTTTGGGGATAAATTTAATAATTTTTTTGAGGTCCAAACTTATGTTAAACAATTCTTATATATGTATTAGAATTTACTGTTTATTTATATAGCTAGAGAATTAACTTTCTGGCTCATTGTGATATTTGCTAACAACTCAAAGGCAGACAGATAATGAGACAACTGTAAATCAGCTAGTGAAATTTAAAGATGGAACAAACCAATATTTTTACACCATTTTGACATTTTCATTTTTTTTAGAAACACGCTCGTCTGGGTACATGGAGTGAATACCTCGCGTATTGTAAACTTTTCAATGATACGAAGAATGCAAAGCCCGAGCGAACAAAGTTTGCTCATCAAGCAATCGCATGTTCAAAAGCGCTGGAAGATTCTGGATTTCTCATCGTTTATGCCTCTTTTGGTCCACAGTGGAGAGATACTATCCGTCCAATGATGAGGTTTGTTAGTTAATTCAAACTGTTTGAAAAAAATTGATGAAATAAGAATTTTCATATTTCAGATTCGTGGACAGAACGCAAAGTGCGTTAAAGCAAAGCGCTACAACATTTTTTTCCCAGAAGTATCCCAACGCTAAAATCGACTTTAAGTCTAAACAAGGCGGTAGTCGAGCTGGAATTGTAGTGATTGTCACTTGCAATGGAGAGGAGACAACATACTATATGAAGACTTATCATCACGCCGGTTCTTCAACTCGTTGACTCTTTCCCGTGTATTGTTATTTCCCTGCCTATCCTTCACTTGATAATTTATTCTTCAATTATTATTTTTTTTTCTGTTAAATAACGGCAGTGAATAAACTATATATATTAATATGGGATTTACTGGGAAGAGAATATTGTTTGTATTCGTAATTGAAAGTTGTTTATAATCTAATAAAAAAAGCCACAATTCTGTTGTAGTTCTTTTTGTTCTAGATTATTTTTATTGTAGTCACTGTGTTCACAAAACGCCAAATGACTTAATTTAATTAATTTATACTTTTTTTCTCCATTTTCCTTCTATATCTTACTTTTTATCGTCTTTTGATAAATCCTTGTATCATTCGGTACAGATCAATACACTACTAATGACTTTACTTTTACGAAATCTTCGAGGTTAATGTTTGTCAATGGTTTCAGGTTTTTCTACAGAGTAGTCATTTTTCAGCATTTTTTTTATTCACCGTTCTAGCGCACATTCCTCGACCATCTCGACCACTGGATTTCGAAAACATTTTTAAGGTAGCGCATTTCGACCTTTTTACCATTTTTGAAAATTGTTTAAAATGACACATTTTTGAAGAGTTAAGACACAAAAGCAATGAAAATAAGCCTTGAAATGACTTAAGAATTAGAAAATTGAGGATGGGCGAAAAGGTGCACTAGAACCGCAAAATACATATTATCAAAGAAAACTCTCGAATTCCGTTAAAATAGGCTATTATGGGGCCTATATTACTCAAAAACTAGGAAGTTGTGCAGGTTGAAACATTTAGGTTCTTCATCTAGTACATCAAGACGTGTTCCGGCCAACTTTCAGGAAATTCCCAAACGCAAAAGAATGTCCTCCCTTGTCAGTTGTCATATATTCAAAAAAGCGTCGTAGAAATAATATAAAAAACAAATAAATTCAGACAGAACAACACTGAGAATCGGTTCATACATATTTGACACTATTGCGGGACTTATAGAAATCAACAGTGGTCTTTATTAAAGCAAAAAAAAAAACAGTAGGCAAATTTTTCTTAGTACTGTACAAATTTGGTTTTTTTCTTGTCGAAAGCCAACCCATAATCAAGTCAACACTCTTGGCTTAGATTCAGAGCTTGTTCTCCATCAGATGAACCAGCGTCGTTGTTGAAGAGTTCCGCCAACGTGAACATTTGGTTGGGCAACCTGGAGCAGAAGAAAAATTATAGTTTCGAAAAAAAAAATCAGTTTTCTGTTTTTTTTTCGCAATATTTCCATAAACGGGAAACGCCAAAATGAAAGGAGTGTAGTCGACGTGATAACAACGGCAAATTGGTCGAGCACACTTATTCTCGCGCACTTGATAATTTCTGAGTTTTGCACCAGGCTTGGGCGTTAGGCTCAGCGTCCCGGGCTGGGCCGACCCAAAGCTCTTTTTTGCGAATGAGCCCGCGCGGGCAAAGTCCAGGCTTCAAATGAAAGTTTTGAACTTAACCAAAAAAATTGCAAAATTTTAAATAAAAAGTTCTTTTCATTGGTTAAATCACAGTTTCTGCTGGATTTAAAATTAAAAAATAACCGAAAGCGTAGTTTTTGTTCTGAAAATTCCAATAGTTGACTCGAAAAAATTCCGTAATTTTTGAATCGGGCCGGCCGTTTTGACTGAGACCTTGCTTGGGCCACGCTAAGTCGGGCTTGGGAGTTTACCAGAAAACGATAAACTGACGGGCCAACCCTCGCACGACCTTTTTTTGCTCTGTGCGGCATAAAATTAAAGCAACTTAAAATCTTTTGTTTTCTTGCACAAACAAAAAAATCATAATTTCATCAATCATCAATCAATCATCAATATTTATTGGTTGTTTTAGTCAGATGGTATCGACTAGACGGTGAAAAAATTGCTTTTTTGAGCGGCACTAACACCACCTTTGGCTAAAAAGAAGTCAAAACGTGTAGTCGATTGATTTGAAAGCATGGTCTTACGGTCTCCTCGCTCTTCCACAAGTAGATCCCTCAGTTCCGCGGGTACGGGCACGGCGGAGATGGTGGGACTCGGGCACGGACTCCGTGTACACTCTAGGGTAGCCTCGGCCGATTGAGAGAGCTACCACTTCGAGTGAAGAAAATACACGCAATTCAAAAGCCGAAATATTGATGATTTGAAAGTAGCACTTGAATTTATTTCTGAGGCCTTTCATGGGAAATACTTTCCAAAGCAAATAGAATACCTGAAAGCATTGAGGACGTCTTCAGAAGGCTCGGCGTAGCTACTATTCGGAGGTGTCATGTAGCCGCGCAAAGACATGTCAACCGATAATTGACTCGCTAAATCAGGAAACTTTTTTTTTTTGCACCAGGCTTGAGCGTTAGGCTCAGCGTCCCGGGCTGGGCCGACCCAAAGTTCATTTTTGCGAATGAGCCCGCGCGGGCAAAGTCCAGGCTTCAAATGAAAGTTTTGAACTTAACCAAAAAAATTGCAAAATTTTAAATAAAAAGTTCTTTTCATTAGTTAAATCACAGTTTCTGCTGGATTTGAAATTAAAAAATAACCGAAAGCGTAGTTTTTGTTCTGAAAATTCTAATAGTTGACTCGAAAAAATTCCGTAATTTTTGAATCGGGCTGGCCGTTTTGACTGAGACCTTGCTTGGGACACGCTGGGTCGGGCTTGGGAGTTTACCAGAAAACGATAAACTGACGGGCCAACAATCACACAGGCTTTTTTTGCTCTGTACAGCATAAAAAATTGGAGCAACTTCAATTATTTTTTTTCTTATTTTTTCTTGCTCAAACAAAAAAAAATCATAATTGATAGGCCAAAATTTTGATTATTTGAAAGTCAGACATGAATTCATTTCTGAGGCCTTTCATGAGAAATACTTTCCAAAGCAAATAGGATACCTGAAAGCATTGAGGACGTCTTCAGAAGGCTCGGCGTAGCTACTATTCGGAGGTGTCATGTAGCCGCGCAAAGACATGTCAACCGATAACTGACTTGCTGAATCAAAAAACATTTTCAACAAGTTTAATGGATGATAAAACCGCTCTCGTCGGGCTGGCCAGAATGATGGGTTTCGCGGTGGCGCCGTCGGTCAACTTTGCGCTGGAATGTCCTTCCGACTTTATCTACAGTCACAGGTAGATTTCTGGAAATAAAATTATATTTTCGTTTTCCACTCATATATGAAATCATTCCAACAAAAATCATTATAAAAAACATTTTTCGTCTGCTTCCGCAAAATCGGAAAAAAGTCGCTGAAAGGGGAAGGCTGTTTTAAAATCCAACGTGAGGCGCTTTGCATGATTAGGTTATGCTTTTCATTAGCACGGGGCCAATAAACGCAGAACGAATATTCTTTCGGAGAGTCTCCGCACTTCTAATCTTTTCGAATCCTTGTATGTCCCTGGGGTACGAATGTTTTTGAGTGCGCGCGCTACCGTATATTTGAACGTTCAGAATTTATTCAGCAAACCGGATAACAAGAAAGAAATTTGTATCGTACCGTTGTGAATATAATATATAATGAATAGAGATTGCAAAAGAAGTCCTTTCACCTTTTTTCAGTTTCTGAGTCTTGAAAGCCTTTTTTTTTGCCGAAACATGGAGTAACATCAAGAGTCGATCAACACACCAAAAATTTAGATTTTTGTAGACTTCAGAAACTGATAGATGAAATAACTCAAAGAAAAGCCAAATAACACGGAGTGAAATGGAATATTTTTCTTTACAAATGAATGGAAAGAGAAGATATGTCACTATATACGATCGCCAAGGTTTTACAGTTGCGTTTTTCACTAAGAAAATACATAAGAATACTTTCAATCGCCAGGTATTCAAAAAAAGCGTCGTAGAAGTAATAAAAAAAAACAAATAAATTCAGACAGAACAACACTGAGAATCGGTTCATACATATTTGACACTATTGCGGGACTTATAGAAATCAACAGTGGTCTTTATTAAAGCAAAAAAAAAACAGTAGGCAAATTTTTCTTAGTACTGTACAAATTTGGTTTTTTCTTGTCGAAAGCCAACCCATAATCAAGTCAACACTCTTGGCTTAGATTCAGAGCTTGTTCTCCATCAGATGAACCAGCGTCGTTGTTGAAGAGTTCCGCCAACGTGAACATTTGGTTGGGCAACCTGGAGCAGAAGAAAAAAATCATTATTTTACCGATAATTTTTCAGCTAGGTGTTTTTTTCTCTTTATACTGATCAGTGATAAACTACAAAAAAAGCCATAAATCCAAGAAAGGACGTGATAACAACGGCAAATTGGTCGAGCACACTTATTCTCGCGCACTTGATAATTTCTGAGTTTTGCACCAGGCTTGGGCGTTAGGCTCAGCGTCCCGGGCTGGGCCGACCCAAAAGCTCTTTTTTGCGAATGAGCCCGCGCGGGCAAAGTCCAGGCTTCAAATGAAAGTTTTTGAACTTAACCAAAAAAATTGCAAAATTTTTAAATAAAAAAAGTTCTTTTTCATTGGTTAAATCACAGTTTCTGCTGGATTTAAAATTAAAAAAAATAACCGAAAGCGTAGTTTTTTTGTTCTGAAAAATTCCAATAGTTGACTCGAAAAAAAATTCCGTAATTTTTTTGAATCGGGCCGGCCGTTTTGACTGAGACCTTGCTTGGGCCACGCTAAGTCGGGCTTGGGAGTTTACCAGAAAACGATAAACTGACGGGCCAACCCTCGCACGACCTTTTTTTGCTCTGTGCGGCATAAAAATTAAAAAGCAACTTAAAATCTTTTGTTTTCTTGCACAAATAAAAAAAATCATAATTGATAGGCCAAAATTTTGATTATTTGAAAGTCAGACATGAATTCATTTCTGAGGCCTTTCATGGGAAATACTTTCCAAAGCAAATAGGATACCTGAAAGCATTGAGGACGTCTTCAGAAGGCTCGGCGTAGCTACTATTCGGAGGTGTCATGTAGCCGCGCAAAGACATGTCAACCGATAACTGACTTGCTGAATCAAAAAACATTTTCAACAAGTTTAATGGATGATAAAAACCGCTCTCGTCAGGCTGGCCAGGATGATGGGTTTCGCGGTGGCGCCGTCGGTCAACCTTGCGCTGGAATGTCCTCCCGCAGACGTCGCAAGCAAACGGCTGGAAGGTTTTTTTTTATTCAGGTGACTATTTATCGATGGAAATAAGGTGGAATAAAATTATTTTACCTTGAAGCCAGTGTGTTTCCTAGTGTGAGTGATCAGGTTGGACGATTGACTGAAAGCCTTGCCGCAGACCGTACACTTGTGCGGCTTTTCTCCTGCAAAAAGTCTAAGGTTTAGTTTTTCGAAAATCCTAAAAAAATCTAGGGGAGAGTGATCCAATGCATTTTTCATAGAATTTTTATTGGAGAAAGCTTAATTTTTACGTAGCTAACTCTTTTCGAATCTTGCACTTTCCGAAGTAAAAGCCAAACTTTACAAGAACCCTGCTGGTGTTTTTCTTTACGGAAAGGGGAGGAAAAACCGTCAGTGTAGCGACTATGTATGGGAATTCATAAAATAAAGCGACTTCAGATTCGGAAAAGGGTCAAGAAACTGAGCATTGTTCTTTAAAAGGGCATCAAACATCCTCAAAGACAACTTCAAAAGTTCTGATGAAGGTATCCGTTCTCTAACCAGGGAACGTTTTTTACCCCCCGGTTGAACTTTTGCTGAAAATTTGCTGAAGTGTACTTTAGAACCCCCTCATTGCAGATCAAGAAAAAAAATTTTTCGCAATAGATCTTGTTTCCGAGTTATTGAGCTTCAAAGTGTGCAAAATACGCAAATTAGGCCAAAAAAGCGCTATTTCGGGCTTTTGGAGTGTCCTAACTCGAAAACGAGATCTATTGCGAGAAATTTTCTTCCTGTTCTGGAATCAGGAGGTCTTAAAGAACACTTCGGCAAAGTTTCAGCAAAAGTTCAACCGGGGGGTAAAAAACGTTCCCTAGTAAATCATATTTTTTTTTCATCAGGTTCATCAAATAATTTTCAAGTTCCCTAATCGAACGCTATGTGGCATGCTTACCCGAAGGAAGATGAGATAGGTGGGGAAAAAAATCGTGGCCAGAATTTATCGGTCTTCACGATTGCTTTTTGGGGCGGATTTAATTTGTTTTCTAGTGTCAAATAATCGCGCGAAATTCCTATCAGGGTGTGTGTGTGTGGCACGGAAGACGGATAACTTGTATGTGGCGTGCATCGGCCGTTGTAGAGGAGGGAGCAAACAAAAATTAATCAGAGACGAGCGGTGGCTGGGTGCTGTCAGATTCTCGGCGGCGCCAAATTAAAAAAGTTACCAATTGGGTATCCAAGGCTTCTGGTTGTCAATTTGGAATTTTGTGCAATCGCCTAACTCATTTTAAGAAAAGAAAATGGAGGAGCGGCAAACTCGAAAGATGATATGAAATGGTTAGGACAGTCCATTTTTGGCAGAAATGAAAAATTCAAGGGTCTTGCTCTTTAAAATTAGCGGCGGATGAAGTAGGAGAATGTCGACATGTTAATTTCCTTTGCTCTAATATAACTCATTACAAACAATTTTTGCTAAACCTGGATTTTTCAAGAATAAACTTGATTTTTTTGACTTTTCTTAGAAGTACAAAAAAACAGAAGGAAAAAAATTATAAAATTTTTTTAAAATCGAAATAATTTTTTTATCAGGTTCAGCTGGAAAAATTTTTTTATTCAATTCAATACATTTTTTTCAGGTCCAGCCCGATTATCCACTGCCAGAAATTCGATATGGATTTTGTGATGAAATATGAAAAAAATGGGTCAGAAGTAAATACTCCCAAAATGTCCAAAAATCATTTTTTGTACTTTAAATTTCCTGAAAAAGAAGTAAGAATTATTGTGCATCCAGTTTATTTTTTTGCTATTCCTTTTTTTGACCATTAAAAACTCATTTAAAGCACACGAATTTGAAAAATAATATTACAAGAGCATTATTTCGCATTTCCACATCTGATTCTGAAGATTTTTTTCTAAATTTTTCAAACTTGATTATATAGATCTCGTTGAACTCCAGATGTTCTCAATTCGAAATGATGCAAGAAGAAAGGCCTTGAAAATTTTTTTTCTGGAAGAGCGGTTTTTTTTCCTTTTTCCGACAAGTGTTGTAAAACGGTTTCACATTGCGCAGTTGAGGTTGCACGTTGCGCAATCCGAACGACCATTGCCCGAAATCGCACTCAGGGCAGAAGCAAGCGCATCCATGCTTGCTTGGATATTCATTTGGATTGCTTGGTGCCTCTGCCTGACGGCTGTCATGGCTTTTCATCGCTTCTGATTCATCAATCATGAGGAATGCAGCAATATACTCACTACCAGTGCATTCAGTGACAAAGCAGAAGATCCAACTTTTGCATTTGCGATATTCTGAGTGTTAGGAAAACATGGAAATTGAAAGCGTTCTAGTTGAATTTTTTTCGAGAGAATGATAGGTTTTAGGCGCAACTTGGTGGTGATAGGAAAACCGAGAATACTCAAATTCAATCTTTTTGAGTCAGTCAACGATAAAGCGGATACTTGCCCTGTTACTGTGGAGATTACAGGAAAAATTTGGAAAATTTGAAAAATTTTTTGTTACGTTTCGTGGTTCAAAAGTACAGAAATGTTCAATTTCTGCGTTCTACTTTTGAAAAAAATCTGCAACTTTTTTTCGTTCAGTCAAACACGTTAAGCTTGAAAAAGTAAATGTCTCTCAGTTTATTTCCAACTCAATGAACTATTTTTCTCAGCATATTTTTCAAACCATCCTTTCAATTTTAACTTTAAAAAGATTTTTATGAAAAAAACTCTGGTAATGAGATTTTTTTTGAGTTTCAGATCAGCTTGTTCGGTAGGATCAAACCATCAAATTAATTGAAAATTCCTCATGAGAAAAATTTGTTCAAACTACTTTGCGGAAAAAAATTGCCGTTCATTCAATTAAGAATCATGAAAAAGAATCAAGAAAAAATAATTTTTTTAGATTCTGAACGGACCAGTGTGGATATAAGTGTGTTTCTTCATGTCAGACTTCTGATGGAACCTCTTTCCGCAGTACTCGCATGGGTAAGGCCTGGTATCGGAATGGATCAGAAGGTGAGTGGACAACGTGGAGGACCTTTAAAGTAAGATAGAGAATCGTGATTTTTGTATTTTCAACCTTTTGAAGGTTTTTCCACATTGCTTGCACTCGAACTGCTTGTCGCAGGTGTGGACTTGCTGATGTTGCTGAATGAAAAATAAATAGGGTTGCAACTCGCATTTTTAAGAACCTCTAAGGAGTTGGGTGAATTGAACTTTTTCGAACATTTTTGGCAGTTGTATGTAGTTTGACTCGAATTGGATGATGGGGAGGCGTTCGCAGTGTCCGGCTCACGTTTCACATCTAAATTTTTTGTCACACTTTTTCTCCTTTTTTTCTATCCCAACCAGAAGGGATGTCGTTGACGCCCATGAGGTTAATCGCCATGTTCCTGATTTGATTTTGCCAAATCATTGGAGAGGCCATAAATCCCATTGTGAGGTTCGGCAACAAATGCAAGGGTATGGGTGGTCGCAACGGTGAAAGCGCTAAAATCTCTAGGTTTTTTTTTGTTGGAACCTCCGCTAACGAGCTTACCCTGCATCATGAGCTTCTGCTGGAAAGCCAACGTCGCCGACATTCGCTGCCAGCAAATCAAAGTCTCTTCCGACATGCTTCCAGTCGGTTTTTCGTTGTCGCTTTCTTCACATTTAAATCATTTATACGATGATTTTCTACTACAAACCTGTCGCTAATCTCCCGTTTCTATTGGTTTGCGATAAAAGAGCATCTACAGAGTAGACATTGGTCATCGCCTGCTCTGAAGCGGCGCTCATTACTGAAAGAACTATTTTTTTGAGAGTGATATCGGAAATTCAAGGTGTGAGAGTCGCGAAACGGGAAACTTCATACTAGGGGAACGTGGCCAAAAAACACAATTATAAGATGAACACTAAAAATGCAGCATTTTCTTGAATATTGATAATGAGAAAAAATCAAGCCAACTACTGTAGAAAAAGTTGTGATTTTGTACGATTCATACAGAAAAATTTGACGAAAAGCGTAAGCAAAATTTTCTCTGTTTTTTCGTAAACTTCTCCATGAGAAAAGTGGAAAAAGCTCAGAAAATTTTGGTTTCCTGTCAAAATCCAATCCAACTTGGGAGAGCCTTCAAAATCATGACTAATTGGGAATGTTGAGGTTGATTGCGCTCGTCCCAATGGGCCGCCGCCTCCACAGAAGCTCTGTTCAAAGTCAAAAATAAATCAACTAAAAAAAGTCAGCAAATTGCACTTCAAATTCTGAAGATTTTGAAATACCAAACGAGAAAAAAAGGCTTTCATGAGGGCGGAGCTAAATCTGTTGAAATTCGATTTGGAATAGAAATCCGGCATGAATAAATGACGAAGTCCAATCGGGCGGAAACACTACATAATAAACTTTCAGAACGTCAATCGACTATGTGTATGTTATAAATAAAAAGATCATGCCTGCGCATTTTTTCTCGTCTTTCTGCTTATAATGACCTCAAGGCACGCAAAAGTCGCAAAGCAATGAAAAAGGCTGAAATTATGGATAGTGACGTCGATTTTTGCAGGGGTAATCCGATTTGAAAATGAATAGATACTAGAAAAAAAAAGAAAAAAAATCAGAAAAGTTGCTCCCGAATTTTCAACGAAGCATCTGAGAGAAGGCTGAGAGATCCAAAAACAAGAAAAAGGCAAGTCTGGCTTGAAAAAGAAGATTTGAATGAATAGTTGAGGAGAAGCGTGATTGTAGACGTTGCTCATGTATAGTGAGCCGCCGGTGGGTACTCATCGTTTTCACTGTGCGCTTCGGCTCTCCCTGCTCATTGGCTGGCTCCGCCCTCATCTCGACGACGCAGCCTCCCATTTCCCGCATTGTCAATTAACGCCTCGCCGATCGCTTGTTGCATGTTTTATTCACTTAAACGATGCTTCGGTTATTAAGCCTTATGAAAATGTTCGTTTTGCTCGCCGACAGAAGGGTTTTGAGGACAATGGCGGAAGGAAATTGATCGGTGAAATTTCTTAAAATCGAAAAAATGACACAAATCAGAAATGAATGAGATGAAAAAAAAATGAAAATGAAAAAAAGCTTGCGATCAAGTAATTTCAAGATGAATTTGGAAATAAATTCAGACTTTCAGGCATAAAAGAAGTTCAGAAACCTTTCCTGAATATCAGGTTATTTGAGACCACAGGTAACCGAAAATGTGATTTTACTGAAAAATTCGGAAATTCCTGTAAACCGGTCGAAGCACTATCCAATTGGGTTCAAGAAAATATTCAAAGCTTCATTTTGTGTGACCTCAACCGTTGAGCCAAAATTACACATTGTAGAAAAATGTCTTCGAGGCTCAGTTCTCGAAATATGAAGTTATTAGAACGTCTACACTTTTATCCGATACATTTAAACTACCCTAGCTGATTTTTTCTAACAGAATCTCGAAAAAAAGGGAGAGTTTGATCTTTTTTTCACCTGGAAAAGTTTGTTTGAAAATTTTTTAAGCTTTTAGCAATTAAAAAGTATTTTCTGAAAGAATCAGTTTAATTGAGGATTATCAGACCTGCTAGGCTTCGAAAATTCAAAAATGGTAATCCTGGCTTTACGAGGTAGTTAGTTTTTACTGTAAAATAACTTCAGAGAGTCTACAGAAAAAGATGTTTCTCAAGGGTCGATTGAACTGTAAAACAATGGAAATATAAAAATGTGTTGCAAAAAAATATCATGAATTCCCGGCTTCGTTTGAACTTGAAAAATTCGAAAGATGATCCAGCGGGTTCGAGAAAAACAGTCTTTTTTGTTTTCTTCCGAAAACTGAAAAAATTTTCGACGTAGTTATCGTTTTCATAGCTCTGATTACTAGAAAATCATTTTTCGATTGTTGCTGTCATTTCTTATTTACGTTTTTTTTCTGAAAATGATGTTTTTCAAATGCAATTTGAAACGGTAGGTTCTTCCATCCAAATGAACCACCAACACCACTTTCGTATTTTGTTCCTGGCCGAAGTTTATCTTGTCAGAGTGCATCTGAAACTTAGATTAGTGCAGTGAATCCTAATGCGGGCATGCGACAAGCATACAAATCATTTGAAGATTAAGAGCCTGTGGAACTCTCTGGCGGTGTGTATTTCTTCGCGACGATGGGAGGAAAAAACGCTGAATCCGCAATCATTATTCAGTACCGTAATCGGAAAAGCAGCAAGCATTCCGAGGGGGAAAGAAAGATATCTTTGCGAATGCATGGCAAGTCAATTTATTTCAATCTACGCGTGTGGTTAAAAATGCATAGCGGTAGGATGGGTAATTGTTGCGAATATTGCCGCCGGATAATCAAGTCGTCGTTTCCCCTCGAGAAAAGTGCGTGCAAAGCTTGCAGAGTCGTCTGAAAATTGCTTCTTCATAAGGTTGGCCGGCAAACGGCTGACTCGACAGACGGGGTCAGCCGGAAAAAAAAGAGTTTCAACACCAGACAAATAAACCGAGTTTGCTTTGTTATTTCGAGGTGCGAAAAGACACCCGATTCTCGTCAACGGTGTGTTATGGTAATTTGAAGCGCACTGATCTAATATTCCTTGCCGTGAGAATTTTTGCATTGAATTTCGAAGTTTATATGGAAAACCAATACTGGTTACGAATCCCATGAGATACTCGGCAAAAAGGAAACTGCAGATTTTTTCAGACGCTCTGGTTCCGAAATTCCAGAGCTGAACTATTCAAACTAAAAATTAAAGGATAATCCACTTCCTCTCAATTTTTTTCAAAGTCAAGTTCTGAAGGGACCTTTTTTTATCTGAATTCGAAAAATATTATCATTCTCAAAACCAGTTCATTCTAACTATAAAGCATAAGCAGGAAGGAGTACTGCGAAAATGGTTTCTTCTTAGTGCGTTCGACCTGAAAGGGTTTTTGATTAATGGCATTCGGTCTAAACGTCCTGCTGAACGTCAATTTGACTACAAGCTCGGTTTGCTCCGCGATGCTTTCATGTTATGGTGAATGAAGTAAAATCCGACTTTTACGGAATCTGATTACATTTCTAAGATTTCCTTCTGTGGGATCAGAGAAGTTTTCCAAAGCAGGAACCATGAACGCTTTCCAAATCTTTAAAAAAAAGGGCATCGCACTTTACCGTAGGAGACACTCGACTGGATCGTGGCCGTATTTGGAAGGGTGAAAAATGTTTGCTCATTACTTTGATTGTGCTAAGCACCTGCACGTTTGTGTAATATGAATCCATGGCAAAAGCCACTTGATTTTTGCGGGAGAGAATGGGTTCTCGGAATATTTCCGAATTCTTCAACCCAACGCGCAGCCATTGAGATTAAGCTCCGAAAATCGGGCGCGAGATAAGTTACCGTAAGAAAGCCGCAGCCGTAGTAGTAATCTCGCTGCTGGTCAACGTGGCTCGTAAAGCACTTTAACAGCGGCGCAAAGTGTCTTGCTATATTCCATGTTCATCCCAAGAAGACATACGGAGGTTAATATGAATCGCGGTCGTAAAGATGGCGTGTCAGTGGATGAATTTCTGACAGATGGCTCTCCGACGCTCCATGTTGCCGCCGTCGGTAAATGTTGCGACAGATTGATTAGTGTCTGATTGGCTTTAGAATCCATAACATGATCTCTGACGGCTTCCTCGAACCACAAGGATGAGCACCTGGAAATTTTTTTTCCAAATTTTGACCGGAATTCTCGAGAATTCTCATACAAAACGTTTAAGTACATACAGTTTTGTCGCCTATGTTTTTTTCGATGAAAGTTCGAAGGGAAGCTTTTTCACATCTTTCACTGAGTCTTTGCAAAATAAAAGAACTATGAAAAAAATAAAAGAAACCTCCTTTCGTTTTTTTACAATAAAAAGACTAGTTTCGTGAATATCCTACAAGAAAAAATGATTTTTTTTACTTACCATTCTTTATGCGTTCATCAGGGTCTCACGAAAATAAGAGTCCATGAAGAAAAAAACTCAAAAATGAACGTTTTCAAAAAAAAAGCTAAATTCATGGGGATCAACTTTGTGGTAGACAGCTTATCAATTTTTCTCTCTGACAAGTGTTTTTTGATTTTTCGCATCATTTTAAAACTTTCATAAGAAATAATAGATTATTTCACTTAAAATCCTAAGAAAGGAACAGTCATTCCAGTGAGAAAATTACCGCGCGAAACGGCAGCTGGCTGGTTATGTTTATGTTACCCTTCCCCCCGGAGAGCCTATTACAAACCAATCTCATCTTTAATAACTTCCCAAAGTTTCTTCAATCGTTTCATCTTTCTTTATAATTGAGCGGCAGGGCTCTAAGAATGCATAGAAAGCTGCCAATTACCTGAGCAGGTATTGTTTAGATTTGTTTAAGAGGGTTACGCCGCTGTTACGACGCTGTTGCGCCAATCAAAAGAAGAGGCCAGAGACAAGTGTCAGCGGTAAATTAGAGGGTGACAAGCCAACAAGTGGCTGACCGGGTCGAGAGGTCGTAGTGGCAATCCGACCCCGAGCCGATTCAACAATTACCTCCACTGGAGAGTTGTTTCAACCACCGCGGCGCGTCTTTGAGACGTCGTGTTCGCACGCTCTCGGATTACTGTATCTGAGAGGATGCGCATATTGCGGATCCGATGACATGTACCACAAATAATTGAGTTGACTCCTGATGGTGGCCAAAGGACAAAAGGTCTAGCGGTTCCGCGTTAATCTAATGTGTATCTTATTGTGTTGTCTTTTGTGGGGCTTAATCCACGGACTTTTGTCCATCCGAATGTAATTATTTTGAAAAATTTTGGCGAGAAGTTCATTGGAGAGGGCAACGTGGCTTCGTTTTTTTCTATTATCTTGCTGAGGCAAGGAAGCTTGGGGAGAAAGATTTCTGAAAGGGTTTTTCGAAACAGACGGAGTATAAAAAAATTTTTCACTTTATTCTTGGCTGGATATAAATCATTTATCAATTAGAAACCGAACTTTCAGAACTCTGAAAAAAAGATTTTTTCTTAGAAGTTATTAGTAAGAAATCGTTTCCACGTATTTCTGTACATGCTTTGTTTTAATGGGAAGATCTGCATTCTTTAAAAAAAATTCTCTTGAAAACGTTGATAAAAGCTCGATTGAAAAGTTCTGAACATTTTTCATTTTTTGAAATGAATCACAGCCGGCTGAGAAATAATTTGAAAGTCGCACGGATGGGCTCATAATTTTTCTGCCCAGATTTTTTTGCAAATAAAGTTATGAATCAGACATATTTCAAAATAATTATAACCTTTCCTAACAACCCGAGCAGAAAATGAGTTTTAAACCGAACTATGCGGACCGGAATAATTTCTCGTCTTAACCGCAAAAATGAAGCTGAGCGTAACTTGAAATTCAATTTTTCCATCTTTTTGAAATCAAAAAAAAAATTAGAGATTTCAGTACAATTTATGTCATGTGCGAAGGTCTAGCTGAGTTTTCCATTCTCAGGGGAGAAGTTTCTAACGCCAACAAGTCCAACAAAGACGAGTTTTCACCTAATTCGAAGATTTAGTAGCATCTGGTTACATAGATACTGAGATTAGATGCGTGAATATGCAAACGATCATCTTGGGATCCGCTGTGTTGGTTTGAAAGAAAAAAACCAAAATCGGGGGTTTGAAGATTTTGGCTCTTGTTCGTATTCTGTTCAGGTTAGTGATTGCTGAGAAGAACAATGGGAAAATGGTAATTTGGTGGTCAGTCGATTATAAGCCCGTCAAATACACATTATGCATTTTCAGAGCTTGAGACGTGAAAAATGGCGATTCCGTTGCATATGCATGATTTTGCACCTTCTCGGTTCCAATTTAAATTGGCCAAAAAGGAAAGCAAAGAGTGAATCTGTAGGAAAAAGGTAGATTTGAACTTTTTCGTTAAAAAAACATCCAATTAAATCAACTTTTACGTTTCAGTCATTTTCAGCAACAAAAAAAAACTACAAACCGGTATGATTTTTTTGTTTTTTGCTCAAAGTAAAGAAGGAATTATTTTTATTTTGGCGAGTTTTCTACAGTATAATTCCATTTTGCTCATTTGAAACCATTTTTCTTGGTAAAAAACCATAAAAAAAGATTTTAGTACCTTCAAATACTGGGTAATTCACCCCTCGACCATTTCCCGAAATGAAAAAAATATTATTATTTAAGTTGTTTTTTTGAAACTTTTTGATCAATCAGATTTCATAATCATTAAGATAATAATGAACTTTTCCATTCGTTCGCCATTTTTTTCCCCTCCTCTGGAGATTAGAAAGTATCAGCTGGTTGGAAAAAAATTGAAACAAAGGAACATTTGGAACTGTCAATATGCCTTTTTTTTGTTTGAAAAAATCAAGAAATCAAATCAAATATCTTTATAGAATCTGTAAGCTCCAATAAATTATGACACCCGGTAGGAAACTTCAAATAAAGTTTAATAATAGTTGAATTGAGACAGAAGAGCATGATGAACATCGCGGCGCATTCGCATTTGAACACGGCAAGTGATCTTGAATGGTGGGCATCTAGAAAAGAGTTTTTAAAGAGCTTTGAAGCAGTAAAGTCACCTTGGTGGTGGAATGTTGCATCCGTTACAGTCGATCTGAGGAGCGGCACATCTGCATGGCGTCGGGCGAGGCATGGCGCATTGGCAGACCGGTGGCGGAGGTGGAGGAGGACTGACCGGCTGGCAGCAAGGGTTCGCCGGCGAAGGAGAGGCCATGCAGCACGCCGGAGCAGCTGGCGGCGCCGCGACCTAAAAAATGCCTCAATTTGGAAAGATCTTCTGGAGAGTTCTTTTTGGAAAGACAGTACCAACTAATTTTGAAGTTCACCTTTTTTCTTGACTTTTTCCTGGTTTTTTTTATCAAAGCTTAAAAAGATTATCAATGAAATATCAGATGATTTTTTTCAAAACATCAAAAATTGAGCTTATTGATTCAAAACTCACAACAGCCTGGCAGCAAGGGTTCTCAGGAACTGGGGCAGCCTTGCAGCAGACGATTGGAGACGGAGGTGGTGGCGGTGGCAGACAGCATGGCTGTGGCGGTGGTGGAGGAGGCAACTGACAGCAGACTGGAGAAGGTCTTGGCGAATCGCAGCAAGACTGGAAGTTCACATTGACCGAAAATGAGTGAATTCTCAGGTTTTCGAAAATACTCGGAAAAAAGTCAGAGCAGACAGAGTAACTCACAAATTCAAGACTTACAACGGGAGATGGTGGCGGTAGAACACTGCAGCAGTTCGGACATTCGTTGCAGACAACTGGAGCGCAGCCCTGTGAGAAGAAGAATTGTGAAACAGGAAAATCATTTAAGTTTTTAAAAAGCTTTGATAAATTCATTTCAAATCACGAAACTTTGATGTTGGAAATGCTTTTTGATTTTTTTGCTACACTTGCAAGATTTTTGATTTGACTGAATGAAGTAGGCTTCTGTGAAAACTGTAAAAACATGCGAAATAGACAAAGTGTGTGAAATTTTTTTCTTCATTCGAGGTTTTAAATTTGAAGACTCTTCAATTAACAAAAATAGTTATATCATGCAAAAAGCCAGCAATCCAAAACATCTAAATTTCAAGAGAAAAACAATATTTGTCTTTTTGATGAAAATATTAGTGGTTACCTGACTTCCACAGTGGCGCTTCCATCTGCGCACGGCTACAGAAGAATCAGAAGATGTCTAAAAGTACCAGAAAAGGTTTAAAACAACATTAAAATGCAGAGATATAAGATAAAAAAATAAATAAATAAAATAGAACCTCGTTGGTGGAGGTGGCAGCAGCGACCAGGAAGAGTGAGGAGAAAATAAAAGTTTTCATTGAGCTCGAGATTTCGAAGGTCGGAGTGGGATATGTGGCCCGGAGCGGTGATCTCCCTTTTATATGGCCATCGGATCAAGCTCACTTCCGGACTCCGGCCCGTGTGTCAATTTTTGGATTCCAATATCGACGACATTGTTGGCGATTAATTTCGGCGCGAGTCGCCCCAAGGAGACAAAGAGAAGTCGCTTGTCAGCTTTTTTTCAAGTCGGCACCCGGACGATCGCTTGGCGGGTCAAAAGCGGCTCACCGCACACAATTCTCGATCGTATTTGCCAAACTCCAGTTCGACGTGGGTGGCCTCCGATGTTCTTGGAAGAAATTGAACCATTCCTTATTTCTCTTAACCCAAAGACGGTACCATTTGAAAATTCTGATATATTTAATGAAATATGAAATTATTTCTGAAGACCTGAATTTTTAGAATAGTGTTGGTTTTTTTCATTGATTCTCATAAATAAAATGAAATAAATTCATTTGTTTCATCGGCTAAAATTTGATAAAACTCGAAAAAAAGAATATTCTATTCCCGAAGTAGTAAACTCACGTTTTTCTGAAAATTCCCCACTAAGAAGGCCCTACGAATTGAAGAAGAAATATTGAGAAAGTAAAACTTTTTTTAAAGCAATTTGTTTTTTTCTTGATCTTATCACGATACTTTAGTGTGGGCAGCTTCCAGTAACCTCAAAAATGTTTCTCCAAATTTGAAAAAAACCATCTCTCCCGGTTACCCAAAAAAAAACTGTCTTCATATATTCTTCAGCAATTAGAAATTATTTATTATCTTCACATTTATACAATATTGACATTATATGAAATATGTTCAATTTTATTTCAAGGTTTCTGGATTATTAATTAGATTATGTGACCTCTAGGTACTTTCCGCCAACGACCTATGCAAGTAAACGTTGGGATAAGGCCGAGCAGTTCTTCCGGTGATCAATTTGACAGTTGCTTCGCCACGATTCGTGGTCTCCCAGTCGATCATTTGTCTCCAGAATCCGATGTTTGGCGAAATTATTGGACGGACCTGGAACATTTAAATTTCTCTCGATTTCTTTTGAAAATGGAAACCCTGTTCACTTCATAGTAAGCTTGTTCGAGTGAGAGATTTTCCGACATCACCAGATACATAATAGCCAATGTAGAGCTGCGGCTGACACCAGCAGCGCAGTAAATCACTATTTTTCCTCCCTGATGGATATTCAATTTGAAAATATAATACCAAAACAAAAAAAAACCTGAGCCTTGGCATCGTCAATGAACTTCTGAACATCGTAAAAAAACTTGGAAACTTTCGCGAGGCAGGAATCATCGACAGCAACCTACAATAACCTCAAATTTCAATGGAATTTGGAAATTTACAAACTTCCATTCGAGTGATTCCTGGAAACGACTTTGGCCTTATATTTGTCGCATCGACAGCATGGGTGATTTCGTATTTTTTCAACTGAAACAGAGATTTCAGCTTCGTAAAATATCCTAGGGAATGGCTGGAAAAATTCCTACATTTATTCAAAAATTTTTCAAATTAGAATATCATTGTGAAGGTGCAAAAAAATATATGTATTCTGCTTGAATTATCTTTTTTAACTCGCTTTTTCTTCCTTTTTCCAATTTTCGAATGCAGAAAATCCCTTTAATTTTTAAATTCTTTAACTAATCTGCTAATCGCGAATGAAAAATACCAAGCTTTACAGGCAAAATGATTTATTCTGGATTCTGAATTTTTTGACAAATGAGCAGAAAAACTGCGGAATACTGGCGGAAAGGTCTGAAAATTTTGATCCGCACATTTTTTGGAAAAAGCAAAACAAATCATAAAATGACGGCTGAGAGATCGATATGAAAAGACTAAAATATAGAAAATCTATGGAAAAGGTCTGGAACTTTCCTTTTCAAGTGCAAGTGTCTGAAATCTCGTCAAAGATCAAAATATGGAACATTGCCAAATTGAGACGCGAGCGCTCTTTTTCTGCTACTTTAATAATTGATTGACAATTTTCCTCTTTTTTCCTTGCTCAAAGTTCGAGGATTCGCAATTTTCAAGTTATCAGAAACGGCAGACAAGCCATAAGGGCTTTAAAACGGGTATGATCAAAAAAGGAAACTAACTATCGGCGCAGTGATACAACCATATCCGGCTAGATAGAGATGCGGGCGAATCTCACTGAATGAGTGCAAAACGGTTTTGGTTTGCTCCTTCATCTGAAAGAAATCGCGTTAGAAAATCAAAGTAGCCTAAGAACAGAACAAAATCGAGAAGGAAGAGCAAAGTTTTCGTTTGGAAGCACGTGAGAACGTCGAGCATCGCATTTCTTTCCGGAAAAACCAGCACAACATGTCCTCATTTTACACTTTTGCATCCCCCTTTTCCATGTAACAGCTCGAGGAAGCTCTTAGAAAGAAAAAGCAACTGGTGGCATTGATAACCGCGTGATTGACGCTTGGCAGACATCACAGCAGGCGTGTTTTCTGCCAGCATAAAGACAAGAATCAGTTAAAGAAATTGGATCCAATGAAAAGAAATATTGAAATGACAATACAAAAAATTTTTACGAATCGAAAGAGGTGAGAAGTTCATTTATAGTCAAGTTTAAAAAAGGGCGAAAAGATTTCAGAAAATTGTGGCATGTTGCGAAATTTGAAAGTTTTTACAAACTTCATTCGTTTTGAAGGATTTCTCCACACAAAATGTCACAGAAATGCAGTATTATATATTCAAGCCTTTTTTTAATTTTTTTACAGAAAAGCGCTGCGGTGAATAACCTTTTTAACCTAAAGCTGGAAAAATCGAAAAAAATCGCAGCGGATTAAAAAAACTTTTTTTCAGCGTTCAAACTAACAGCAATGAGAAAAAAAGTTAAAGACCCTTTTTGCTGAAAAAAAAGCAAGATATGCTTTACGAAACTCGGAGAAAACAAATTGAAAATTTCATGGTTCAATTTTCAACGGAAAAAATTGAACCAAGGCTAAAATTTTCTGCTTTTGGTTTTTTGGAAACAGGAAATTTTCATTCTGCAACAAAAAAATTTTGGAAGCCTTGAAGAAACACTTTTATGATACAGCGATGAGTTAAAATGAGTATTTGTCAATTTCTAAGGTATGGAGAAAAATGTTTTGATTCTACGGGTGGAGAAAAGGCCTACAGTGAAGAATTCACAAAGCTTCCTGGAGCAAACACAAAAACAAAGAAGCTTTATAGGAACTCCAACAAGAACGAGTATTTTTCTGCTCGGACGTTTGCTCATCTTTGCGGGTAGCGGAAAAGTTGGGAGACTTTTGTTAAAAATTTCTCGGAAGCACTCGAGTCGAGATCCGCAATGCCCATTCTGTTTACTTTAGAGGGGTCATGGCTGTAATTTTTATTGCTGTTTTTTTATCGTGCTTTAGTTTCATTATTCGAAAATTTCCTCAAGTTCTACAAAATTTGTCAAAAGTGATAACTTTAAATTGTTTCAAATGCTGGCTTTTGGTCTAACTTCAAACGGGTCCAAAGTTTTATAACTTGATTGTAACATCTGCAGAGTATTAAATACCGCAAAACACCGGTAAATCTAAAGCACTTCCCAATCTTTTTCTGCAGAAGACTCTGTTGCAACAGCTTCTTTGCGGAAATTCCTCCAATTTGTTTTTAAACCCGTATATAATAACTTGAATTGTTAAAAAAAAAATTAAAATTCAATTTGCATTTTATTCATTCATTTTTAATCTATGAATAAATAATGCCTTTGAGAAAACAAATTGATGAAAGTTCTTGTGAAAGTGAAGGGAGGGAAAAAAGTGCGCAAGACCAATGAGAAATGAGTAGACGATTCCCTAAAATCCTTTTAACTCGTACATAATATTAGCGATTCACTGTCCTGTTCAATAAATACGAATAAGAATAAGAATGAAAGTAATGATTGCTATTGTGAAAAAGAAAGCTTGCAAATGTAAATAAAGTCAAAGTGAAGTAAGTAATGCGAATAAAACGGGAACAAACTGACCAGTTTGATTATGAACACACAACAAGAAAGGAACGAAATGCAACTTTTACAAAACTCAATTCCATTTGAAATTTACAAAGTAAAGAGAGGACACAATAGTAGGATAGATAAAAATATATTGCAAAATGGCTTGTAATCGAGTATACAAAATACTTGCACTCACACAATTCTTACACTAACCATGACGAAGGAATCACAACGTAAGTAATAAATTAAAAGCGAAGTCAAAAGTATTGAAGTCCAGTTTTAGCGATTTTTTACATGAATATTGAGAAGTGTGAGATTAATCTTCTGATGGAACGACGACGAATTCTGTATTGCACAATCAAGGAGCTGCTGAACCCCTGTGAAACAATGATCTCATTCTTGCGCCCATATCAATTTGATTAATATTTTTTTCCCGTCAGCTTTTTCTGCATTCATAAAAGTCTTAAATTTCAATCTTGGTTTTTTATTGTGAAAAACAGTAGTTATCAAGTTTTTGGAGCTTCTATTTTATTAGATGAGTCGTAGAATCGATTTATCACCCTGGAATCGATTTATCTTGAAAAAAGTCTCGAAGCCATCTTATAGTGAAAAAAATTTTTTTTTGAGTTTTAAAAAGATCAAAATCCATTATATCTCATCAACAAGTAAATAGAAACTCAGATATTGCCCTCATTGGTTAATCAGTCAAACAGCTTCTACGAAGTTCTGAGATACCTGTAGCGAGTAGAGTCCAGAGGCACGGAAGGTGTAGGATTTCGTGGATCGAAAGCTATTATTCCTTGGAAGACCAAAACTCCGAAGGCGCATTTGAGAACTCTCCCAATATCATCAAAAGAAGGCGGAACGTTGGCGCCAGCTCGGCGGAGGGCCGCGTTCTTAAACGATGCCGATTCTTTCTTCGCGTGGACTCTGCTGGGTGAACTCAAAGCCTGAAATTTCCGTTTGAATATAACTGAAAAAAAACAATAGTTTTTTCAACTCACTTCCGATGGTAAGTGATCCATGCCAGTTCCAATGCACCAGGCCACTATTGGTTTGGTGACCTTTTTCTTCTTGAGAAGCTCGGCGACTTTTTCCTCCTCAAATCCGCCAGCTTCGCCGAGCAACAAGATAATTTTGACTCTGAAAAGCTGAGGTCAGAAACTTTCTCTGTAAAAATGGTTTGAAACCGGTCATCTTTCTGGAAGCGCAAGATATGATCAGCGAAGTTGCTACCGAGGTAGCGGTCACTCTGAAGGGCAACGCCTTCGTAGACTCCATTGGTGTTCATCGACACTAAGTTCTCCAGTTCCAAGAGGAAGTCTTCATCGCGACATACGCAGGCAACGCTAAAATTTCAACAGCAAAAATTGAGATTTTCGATTTTTATATATTTGATTTCAAGTTTTTCGAAAAAAAGTAATGGAATTTTTTCAAATTTTTCGCAGCGCATAGGAGCTTTTTTGACTTTTTTTTCTAGGTGTGTTTTACCTGCCAGGGCGACGAAGTTCCCTAACTTGAGGGCTGACCAAAAAGCCTTCATTTTTTATGCAGCCGCGCTCGAATGCTCCAGTGGCCGGACCGATGAATACCACTTTCTTGCCAGGGGCGATCTGAAAATACAAACTACCAGTTTTCAGAATATATTCGACTAGACAAACCTTCGAAATATCCTTTGTAACCTGCTCTTGGAGATTTCCGGAGACGATGGCGATTATCTCAATCTGAGTATTACTTTGAGCTTCGAGGACTGTTTCATATATAATGTCCAGCATGGGATAGATGACCAGGATGGTGGCGGAGGGATGCGAATCAAAGGCGTTTGTCATCGAGCAATAGCCCGGGATAGTAATGTTCTGAAAAGTGAACAATTTTTTGATTCCACGTATCTTTGATGAATAATTATTTCACCATTCATATTATTTCTATAGAATAAATTACCTTCGTTCCGAAACGATACGTTTCTTTGTGGTTTCCCGCGAAAGGAGAAGTCGTGGCTAAAACGGACGGCTGTCCACGGCGGCATTGATAGTCAGCGTGGAACAACTTCTGCACAGCTTCTTGCTGTTGGCCCCAGACAATGACTTTGGCATCGTTACCGACGAAGCTTTGAATAAACCTATTCATCTGAAATAATTATTTTAGAAAAAGATTCAGCACTAAACAAACACTTTGCCTTCGTTTTGCGATAAATTACAATGTTCTTTTTTTTCGAGCGCCGTATGACCTTTCTGGGCAATCATGCTCCTACCGACTTTTTTTTTGCAAAACAACAAAAAGATGAAGTTTTTCTGAAAATCTCACCTGAGATTTGAACGGAGTAGCTTGTTCAGCTTCTTCTAGTGTTGGTGGTGGACTTGGTGGTAGAGGCCGCGTTTTCAGAGCAGCTGCGACAACGGTAGTCATAGGCGTCTCGGAACCGAAGACGAAGATTGGAACCCCGTGTTTGGCAGCTAAAACAATTTACTATCATTATTGCAGTGAGCTGGGAGTGAAAACCAACCAGAGTGTTTCAGCTTTCCCAGTCCTTGTTGGTATTCAAGTCCACCGTGACGGACAAAGACTGTGACATTGTGCTCCTTCAGCTGGTCACTGAACAGGTCCAGAGCACTGGAAACGTTCTGAAACGAAATGTGTATGAAAAAAACCGTAAAGGAGATTCACGAGTAAAAGAGATTTGTAGATGTCGACTTTCGTGGTGTTCGATGCGGCGAGGATGAGAGCCTTGCCACCTGAGCGAATCGCAGATTTCGTCATGAGCGACAAGGTGTGCATGCAGTAATCGAAGGCCGCTTCATCTGTTAGATCTTCCGGGTACTTGCCGTAATTGGCAAGCTCTGCGGCATACCCCATGTCACAAATCGTGTCACTGCAGAGTTTCCATTATCTTCTACTGATTATTCTTAGAAAACCCTACTTCAGAATGGTTAAAGCTACGGCACCGGCGGCCAGAGTCCAAAGGCGTCCGTCCTTTTCTATGATTCTTATTTTCGGGGCTTCCTGAAAGATTAATAATAGGCAATGTTTTTTGTTTCAGTTACAAACGTTCATCAAACAGAGCCCGAACGGCGAACGGCTCTCCAATTGGTCAATTTTCCACTCGAATTCAATATGTCCCACTTTCTGATGATCCAACTCTGCGTTGACATCCATCAAATAAACTTTCGATTTCAAAGGGACTGGAAAAAAACATTCTCAACGAGATTGAAGATAATACCCACCAAAAAAGTTCAAAGCCAGTCTTTTGAACGGCAGTTTTTTAAACGACCAATAAGCCGCACGAACAAACTGTTTTATTTGGTTCAGTTTTTCTGGACGACGTCTCGAAATGAATTCGAACAAATCACTCCAGTCCGGAGTCATGAACTGCGGGTTAGGTTTTGTTGGACTGAACAAGTGTAGTGTCTGAATTTTGATTTTCTGCTTTATAAAATTGAAAAGCATCAAAATTACGTCGTTCCCATTTTCACAAGAAATCGGCCTGAAAGCAACCAAATCTCCGTCATATTTTCTCCGGAAAGTGATCGTGAAGCCGTCCGATTCCGTCGTGTTGAAAGATGGTTCGACAAAAAAAGAGTGGAGAACTCCTTTTCTGTCGTCGATCTTTAAAAAAAGCTTTAAAAAACTATTTCATACAACTACCTTGTGAACTACGGTGCAAGCGTCGTGGAACCATGTTCGTAGTTCAGACTGGGTACCCATTTTGATAAGGTTCGAACCTTCGCGCAGTTCGTGATCCGATTGGATCACCAGGATCTGCACATGATAACGGTATTTTTGAAACTATCCTTATGATCGATTTACTTCATTTTCATTGAGCATGGTGCTCCTTGCAACCACTTCTTCGAAATCGTCACTAGCGTTCAATTTTATCAAGCGCACAGGCTGTATGATGTTGGTGCAGCAGTTGGATGCGTCAGAAAACCAGGCGCACAAAGTCTGCATGAAGCCAATCGTTTCAGTTTTTCAATTCGCAAACCTTCTTCGCGGAATAGCTACTGACCGTCATGTTAGAATAGGCGACAAATGCACAAAAACAGGGATGGATAAAATCGATCGAAGCACAATACTACGTGAGTAGCAGAATGAGAAAGGCGAACGTCTGAGTCGAGCCACTACCGCAAGGTTTCCCGCGCGTACTCTGTGCCGCAAGAAGTTGTGACCTCATGTTCGATCAAAACGAGGCTGTCGTTGGACTTGCCGCTAACTTTGAAAACAGTCGCCAAATTTTTTTCAATACTTACTTTCAATATTACTTATTTTTTTCCATAAAAAAAATAAGAATGAGAACTATGAAAAAGAAAATAGAAAATCTCGGCGATTCCGACTTTCATAATTTTTTTCAGTAGCAGAAAGGAGAATTTGAAAAAAACTTGCAGTGCTTTAGATTTTTGAAGAAAAAAACCTGTTCACCCTTTTTCATTTCAAATCGTTGCCAAGCTATGTTCAGAATTTCGCCGAATCAAACTTCAAATCAGACTAATTTCTTCATTGAGAATTTTTTTAAAATTCTTTTTTTCTGCTTTTTTTGAAACCTTATTCGGCTTTTAAGAGAAGGCTTCTTTTGCCATTTCTTTTTTTTTGCAAATTTATTGCGTTTTTAAACCAGTCAACTTTTTCTGGATGTCTTCTGCATGAGTTTCAGAGAATTTTTTCAGGATTCCCAATTTATTGTTACATTTCTGCTTGTTTGAATCTTTAAATCAACTTTTTCCAACTGGTTGCATAGTTTCATGAGAATTCTGTAGACTTAACATCATTTTCCGTCAGTGCTCAACCTCGTTGCATAAGTCACAAAATAATCTCATAAGTTCGAAGATCCTGAACAAAATTCACTGTTTCAAGTAGTGGTATATAGGGCATTATAGGACAAGAACTAAAAAAACAATCAGCTTGGAGACTTCGAACTGTTGGTATTCCTTTGAATTTTTCATAAAAAAGTGAGCTCTAGAGCTCAAACCCTTAATAACCTACTTTTAAGCTATCACGACATGAACTGAATCAAGCGCTATATTTTTTACTGATTCATTTTTATTTTGAAAAAAAAACTCAGCGCCCTATTTTTCATCATGATAAATCAGTTAAACTCAGTTTACTGTTTCAGATGTCACGACTCCGCTCGGACACGTTCATCAATCCAGGCTCAGAAAGCAGTTTCGACGACGAGGGACTTTCCGCAAGAAGATTTTTCTCATATTTCGTTTCTTATTTTCGAATTTCCACTATTTGAGGTTTGCTGAACCGACGCTCAATGCATATTGCTGTGTGAGAAATTTATCTGCCGAGGTTCATTTTTTTATTTTGCGGAGCAAATCTCAACTCTTTTCAGCGTGCTGTTATACTCTCATCATTCTTGACATCCTTACAAGCATCTTCCAATTTTTTCTTATTGTTGAGAGGGGGAAAATCTGTCGATTTGTATCAATATATTTTCACTGCACTCTGTTCAAAAAAATACCCTCAGGAATGCTATCGTAAAAAAAATCTTTCTTTTGAAAAACAGTTTGATTATTCATTTTTATTCAAAATACACAACAAGAAAGGAACAAAATGCAACCTTCACAAAACGTAATTCAATTTGAAATCTACAAAAGTAAAGAGAGGACAAAATAGTAGGATAGATAAAAATATATTGCAAAATGGCTTGAAGTCGAGTATCCAAAATACTTGCACACACACAATTTTTACACTAACCATGACGAAGGAATCACAAAGTAAGTAATAAATTAAGATCAAACTGAAACATATTCTAGCCCAAAATAATTTTTTTGATGTTAAGGAAAGGTTTTTTTATTTTTTTTAAAATTGAAGAAGTTGAGGTTTGGTCGGAGGGGTTTCAATGATAAATTAAGGAATGGTTGATTGATTGACCTGAGGACTCCAAGCGGGATCTCCAGCCGCCATCATGTTGTTGCGATCGGCCTGAAAATGTTCATGAATTTCGATTTTTCATTTTCTTAAATTTGTTGGAAACGTTCTTTGAATCTGAATGATTATTAATTTTTGAAGTCTTTGAATGTTTCATTTTTTTCAAATTTTTTTGTCGTAGTAGAAAAAAATTTGTGTAGTTACTGTCGCATATTTTAATTTTTAGCAGAGCATTTTGGGTATTCGAAAATGAAAAGTGCTTTTTCTCAAACTTTTGGAGTCATTCGAAAAAAATTTCGCCATTCATCAAAGCTCTCGAACAATCAAAAAAGGTCATTTACCGAACCATTTTTGCTTTCCGACATTTATTTCTCTTCTAGTTAGTCATGTTTTGAAAAAGAAATTGAAAAAAAAAACCTTTTTGCCAAGAGCCATGAACCCGTAGATGACCCCACAACAGAATACGGTTCCACTGCCAAGGATGGTGTTCAATTCGATGCAGAGCAAGATCGGAACGATGCCCATGCTGGAATCGTGAGCTTTCTTAGAATCTTTTACTGTCCTCGTTGAGATGGAGATTTTTTTTACTGTTTCATTTATCACATGAAATCTGAGTAGATAACAGATAGCAACAAGCAAAATTATTTTTCTTCGAAAATCTTTAAAGCAAATATGAACGATATCTGACGGAAGCAATCCCAAATGCAGACAAAATGCTGCGCGGGAAGATTTTGAACTTTTTTCACCTTTTTCTGTTCTACTTAGCGAAAAAATAAATTTTATCTTTGCTCTCAAAATCCTCAAAACCTTGAACTTTCTTTCCAAAACAGGGAAATTCTGCGTAAAGTTATCACCTTCTTTTCTGTTGGTTTTTTTTTAAATTCTTAAAAAATCTTAGAAAATTAACTGACACGAGGTAGAGAGCAGCTTTGTGCCAAAGTTGACGGGATTCGCTAAAACGGGCGACTTTCTCGATGAAATCCACGAATTGACAGCAGAACGGCGCTTCAAGGGCAATGATGAAGAAACCAGAGACCCTGAGAAAATCAATATCATAAAAAAAAAAAACGAATATGTTTCAAAATTAACAAACATTTGGAGAAGCACAGACAAAATGCACTTGGCGTCGAGAGAGATTAATCCGAGAGCTCCGAAAAATATTGCCAAAAATCCACCGATGATTCCAACGCCTTTTGCCAAGAATCTCACCCACCTGGAAAATATACTTTCATGTGAAAATTAAGAAAAAAAAAGAATTACCATGGAAAGGCGGCGTTCGGATCATGCTCAGCTTGCATTTGCGTGCTCACACCGGAAGCCGCGGCACCCATTTTGATTTGATAGGCTCACCTGAAATTGAATAACGTTGGAAAATGAAAAAGGATATGGCAAAACAAGGCAAAGAAGAAGGCGAAAATTCTTGCGAGGTAGACTATAAATGGTGAGAAAATTCTGCGTGGAAAAAGGAAAAATCGATAACGCCTGTGAATCATCAACAAGAGGAAAAAGTGAAAAAAATTGTTATTGAAGAAAAACAAAGTCTTTCGCAAAAAAAAAGTAGAATCTAGTCAAAGATAAATTTTTTTGAATTTGGTTGATTTTTGTTGAAACGGAATAGTAACAATAGAAAAATGGCTAGTCCTTATAAAAGATCGGATTATAACTATTGTGTAGTTTCTCGGAATCCCTTGAAGGCAGCTTAACACAATAATTGGCTTCAGAAAGCTCGTTTTTTTCAATGGAGGTTTGTTTTTTCTCCAATTTGGTTTCATATGATCAACTTTTTGAAAGAAACACAGCTTTTGAAAAAAAAATTAAAGCAACCTATCAAAGGCAAGAGAAATTCACGAATGCCAGAAAAAGACGACTTTGCAATCGCGTCAATAAGATCAATCCACGTAAGACACGGAGCGCGCGAAAAAAGAGAGGCCGACGTTTGAACAGCGTTTGGGAATGGATTGTCCTCTCCGAGGGAAACAATCGATATCGAGCCAACAATTAGAGATATTGCGCACATTATGCAAACGTCGTGCGCAAGATCTCCATTTTAGTAGGAGGAAAATCAATTCAAGTGAGCTCCGGGAAAAGCACACGTCGGCATTTATTCGCAGTGGAAATATTAGAGAGTGTTGTGGGAAAAGAACCAACTCTTTCAGGTTTTAAGTGAATTCATAAGGAAGTACGGACCTTTGAAATTTTTAAACTCAGTGTAATGTCAATTTACTAGTCACTCTTGAAAATTTTGTAAAAAACGGTGGTTTTGAGACAAAATTCCGGGTTATACACACAGTCCAAGAAACAGTTTCAAAAATCGAATTCTGGAAAATCAAAAAATGCAGCTTTTTAGTGAGTCAAAGATGAACTCAACATGAAAGTTATGCGACAATGAAAAAAAAAGACTGTTTGAATCATCACGGAGAAAGAGAACAGTTACGAAACGAAGCACATTGCGGACACTTCTTTCATCGCATCGCCTTTGCTTATCAATTGTTATCGAAATCATTCGTGTTTTCAACTTCAAAAGGACAGTCATGAGTGCGGTAAGAACTCTAAAGGAATTGTTGAATAATTTGATTTTGAATGAAAAATCAGTAATGAAAAAAGCAAGTTTTGATGTTAAAAAATTAAAAAAAACATTTTTCAGTAGCGTTTTTCAAACAGATCATATAATTTTTTTCAAAAAAACAAGAATTATTGACGTAAACAAATTTTTTTGAAAGTGATACAGAGAAGTTAGGTGATTTTTTTGAAATCTCTTGCAAAACCCAGTAAGCTGTTTCTATAAAAAGCAGAAAATAAAAGAGGTTGAAAAATTTTTGATCATCGATTCAGTTATCTCATGCTACTTTAATTTTTCTAATCATCGATTGAAAAAAAGATGGCGTACTCAATTTAAAAAAAAGCAAGATTTTATAAATAAATTTAAGGAAATGCACCTAATTCAAAAGCTGCTTCAAAGGGAAAAAAAAATGAAATTAAAAACCAGGAAGTCACTATCACAGTTCTCTGTTTCTCGGAACTGCAGGGCGAAAGTTCTAAAAAAGGACAACAGTCATGTATATTCACAATATGTGCGCCTCGAGATAACATCTGGAAAAGACCATGGACAAATCGTCGCAAAATCTTCAGAAAAACGATTGTCCGTAGTTCCAGTTATTGGAGTGAATCATGCAAATCTAGACTTTTTATTCTTCAGGAATGGTGCCTCCAAATCATTCAGAAAAGTGGATAAAGCTTTCTCACTCTTTACACGTCTTAAAAATACTCTCATTTTCTTTTTTTTCACTTCGGAAAAAAACTATCCGTGCCTGAAGTTATTCTTTTTTCTGCTTTTTCTTTGCACCTGTCCTCGCTAAAAATTAAATTTTTTTTTCTTAGTAAGTTTATCAAATGTCATTTTTCTGGTCTGAAAGTTAAAAACTCGCTCAATTTCGTAAATTACTTCAGTAGGGATCATTTTGAATAACTCGGATCTGTCTGGTTTTCATAAGTGCGATTGTTGAGAACTCAGAAAGAAATTGCTACAGTTCAAAAGCACAAAACCGTACATGAAATGACGTGGAAGCCTATTACCGTCGTCCGACCTAAACGGCTTGCGCAAGGAAGCATCGAAAAGCATTAAAATTGAGCGTCTAAACATAGAGTTGGCTGTAAATCGTAACGATAAAATTAGTTTAACATACGTTTTTTTCAGAAACCCGATGAACCTTTGATACAAAAAAAACTTTTATTTTTCTGATTGCTCCAGACTGCACCGTAGACGCTTCGAAAAGTTATGAAATTTTTTTGATATAACTTTAATTTGGCTCCGCCTCTTTTTTTCGAGGTACGGTGGAAAAGTTACAGTAAGAAGAAAATTGGAAGAAAACCTCCGTGTGTCCTTTTTATTTGATTTTTCGGTAGAATCTTTTCGGTAGGATAATTGAAAGGAAAAAAATTTATCAAAAAGAGACGTTTTCGAAAAGATGAACGTTTTTACTTTAAAAAACAAGTTAAGGGAAATCCAAAAGGCGACTGGGCGCGGTCAAGTTAGGCTCGACATCCCAGGATAAACCTCGGTTTAAACCTGGAAGTTCGGATCCGGACCGCGCGCTTCCGTTATCCTTTTGGGGCCTAAGCCCCGCTGGCCTGACAAGCGTCACTCTTTTTATACCCTCCTCTTGTTGTTCACCCGACTGGCAGCGGCTTTCGCAGCTTGATAGCCGCCAAAGCGGCCAGCCATCCCCTCCTTCCGCCCTCCCCCCTCCTCGGCAGAAAGCAGACGTTTTTCGTGGTGCTTGCGATTTCACTACAAACGCAGTATTGCGAAAATATTGATATGATTAAAAGATATTTTTTGTGGGAAAAGTAGAGTTCTGGAAGTCTCTCCAAAACAATTGAGAGGAGAGAATGAGCACCAACTTTTAAAAGCGATTAGGATCATTCTACATTTCAGTAACCAGGCAATTTTTCCTCCTCAAAAGTTAGGTTTGAAAGAAAAAGAAAGAAATAATATAGACTGAATTTTTTTCTCTTAAAACTTTGAATCATCTCGTCTCGTAATAAATTTATCAAAACGGGCCGTTTTTTTCAAATCAAAAAAAGAAAGCTTAAATGGTATGGTGTTGTTCCCTCCCTGCAAAATCACCATACCATCCCGATGTTGCGAAAAATAAACAAATTGAATTGAAAATATCTACTGTTTCTTGTAAGACAATATTGGAATAAACTGGCTACATTGGGAAACCTCAATGTTTCTCCAGATCGTTTCGGGTCTTTGTTACTATTCCTCGATAACAATTTCCTTTTTGGACCTATTCCCAGCAGACTCCGTTGAACCAGGTACCCGTGCTTCATCTTTACTCCAATCCATCTAATGCGTGTTTATATCATTACAACCAATTAAATTCCCCATTCACCTGTGCTACACTGTTTCATAATTTATAATGCTTTCTTTTTCTATTTACTTTTTTTCTTTAAAAACTCTGTACAATCCTCGATTCTTATTCTGACCTTATCATCTTTCAATACTGGCTCAGAGGCTCGTGAGGGCCTCAAGTGCCTTTTATTTATTTATTTCAGGCTTTTATGCCAATTCTTCCCTTCTTTTTTTTTTACATGTTATTTCGTTCTGCCTGTAAATAAATAAATTATGTTATTATTAATATTTCTTCTCTTGGTGGATTCTTCTAGTAATTTTTTCTTGGAGACATTAATTTTCTTAACGTATCCAGGTATGAAGATAATGCAAGTATCCAAAATTTTCAGTTTTCCTCGTTGGGAACGCCTTACGTAGTCTGAAAAAAACATGATTTTTTTCTCATTTTTTTGCGTGACGTTTTCGATAACTTTTCTTCAGTCTTACGGAACGATAATAACTGAGCTATATTTTTTTCAAACATATAGTGACACCAGAGCTACTGAGCAGGAAAAAAAAAATTTCCGGAAGAAGCGGTGACAGTGCCAAAACTTTTTTCAACCAAGCTTTGCCGGTTTCGCGGTTTCCAAGCCGCGAAAATCGCTGCCTTGCCTGGTTATTGAGGTTTAGAATGATCCTAATCTCTTTCAAAAGTTGGTGTTCATTTTCTCCTCTCAATTGTTTTGAAGAGGCTTCCAGTACTCTACTTTTTTTCCACAAAAAATATCTTTTAAACATCTCAATATATATGCAATACTGCGTTTGTAGTGAAACTGCACGCGCCAATAAAAACGTCTCCTTTCTGTTGAGGAGGAGGGAAGGCGGAAGGAGGGGATGGCTGGCCGCTTTGGCGGCTATCAAGCTGCGAAAGTCGCTGCCAGTCGGGTGAACAACAAGAGGAGGGTATAAAAAGAGTGACGCTTGTCAGGCCAGCGGGGCTTAGGCCCCAAAGAAATGGCGAAAGTGCGCGGTCCGGATCCGAACTTCCAGGTTTAAACCGAGGTTTATCCTGGGATGTCGAGCCTAACTTGACCGCGCCCAGTCGTCTTTTGGATTTTCCTCAACTAGTTTTTAATAGTAAAAACGTTCACTTTTTCGGAAACGTCTCTTTTTGAGATATTTTTTTGTATCAATTATTTCATATGAACCTTTAAAATTTTTGCCATTCATAATTTCCCAAGTTGGCCCGCTTTAACGCAAAAAATGTGTGCTACTGATCGTGCTATCTGATATTTCTGTCATTTCTTTCCTGATTTATCAAGGCTGACTCTACCGAAAAATCAAACAAAAAGAATTTTTAACTTTCTTTTTACGGTAACTTTTTCAACGTACCTCGAAAAAAAGCCAACCTAAAGTTGTATCACACGTTTTATAATTTTACAAGGCTTCTATGGTGCAGTTTAGAGCGATTAGAAAAAAAAAATTGGTTTTCACTCAGAGAACGTTCGGAACAACCACTCATGAAACTAGACTTTTTTTTCATTTTCTGTGTTTTTTTTTCCGTATCAAAATAGAAATTAAACAAATAATAGTAAGGATGAAAGTCTCAAAAATACACAGGAAAAACTGTTCCATAAGAATTTATCTGCATTTCAATATAAGTTTTTACACGAGCATTGTTATACCAGCCAGATGGATAAAAGTTACAGAAGGTACATAAGAACGAAGAAAATGAATCCCTATACCCTTTCTACCATTTTTTGAAATCATCAGGTTTTGGAACGTGACAAGGAAGGCTTATACAGATTATTACACGGAATATATCTCAATAAAAAACAAAATAAGGTACATTATAGTATCAAGGCCCGAAATTTCAAGCTCGAGGGTTCTTTTGAGCTGAAACAAAAGTTTCTTAGCCTTGGAACTATATTATACCACTGTTTGACTTGTTGTTCAGAAGAGCAGTTTTTTTCTGAGATATCTGTGAACGGGAAAATTTTCAGGCTTTAAAGTCTGCTCTTCCAAACGATCCAAGAAGCTGCTATCAGTAAACTATGCAAGCTTTTGACAAAGAAAATCTGATATTTCTTATTGATTAAGAAATGATTCCAGCCTGATATTCTTAAAAAAAATCAGAAATAACAGCTCATTATTGAAAATAATAATGAGCGATGATTATTCAGTGAAAAATCGATTCAATGCTGATTTGAATTTTTTTCTGCTCAGAAATTGTGTTGTGCGTTTTTTTGGGGTTTTTTTCCAATTTTTTTCATTTTTTTGAACACATTTTTTTGGTTGAGGATATGTCGAATTGGCTAAGAATTTTTTTAATTGTTAGATAAAGATTCTAGATAGACCTGAAAAAAACTCTCAAATTTTCAAAAAGGCTTTCTCATATTCTTTTTTTGACATTAAGCTGTCCGTTGAAACTGTGATTTTTTTGAAAAGTTTAAAATTGTGACTATAAGAATTTTTAGAACATCATCTAGTTCGACAACAAGATTTTTCAAAAAAACTCTCCATAATAAGGTTTTTTTATCAGAAAATATTCCTGAGAGGAGTTTTTTTATAACCAGCAGTGAATCGACTTCATAGCCAAAATGAATATTTTCAGATTTGACAGACAAAAATACAATCAAAAAGCAGGTTGGCCAACAGCCGGGAGCAAAGTGATAGTGACTGTGGTTTTGCCGGCGATCACAGACTGAACATATTCCAGGGAGCGGCCCTTGATGAGTTCCTCGTCAACGTAAATGATCTCGTCGCCAACGGAAAGCATCGGTGAGAGACTGGGCAGCGAGACTCGCGAAATAAATATTCCTGAACGCTTCACAGTATAAACAATTCCGGGAGTTGTGAGGTACCTCGTGTTCCTGATACCATGCCAGTGGCGATGTAGAATCCGAATGGTCCTGGCATCATTTTTTCAACCATCACGCGACGAAATCCCCTCTGATCCAAGGCTATCAGTTGAGCACGGACTCCATCCGGCCTGAGTAGCGTTTTGTAAAGCAGATTGGCACATAAAATCGAGATTTTCAATAACTTTGAGACGGTTCTTTGAAACCGGTTTTTCTTCAATTTTTGCCAAAGATCTTTAAAAATCAAGCTTGAAGGTCATTGACACACTGCTGCAGCAGAAAAAGTCGGAAGCTTCACTAGTATTTTTCCCAAAGCAAGCGATGAATATTCAAATCTTCAACGGGTAAACTTTGTAGATTTGTACAAATCACTTTCATACAAAAAACGCTTTTTCTGAATAAGGTCGTGAGTAGAACAGGAACTAAGAAGTTAAAAATAGAAGTAGCAGAAATCTGAATCTTGATTTTTCCTCTTTTTTCTATGATTTTTGAGTCTTTTCTTACTGAAATCTTACCCGAAACTAGAGCTGTCATAGGAGTTGTTAGCAGAAGCTGAAGCGTATCGAATTGGAGAATCCATCCGTCGCAACATAACCGGCTGTCTTTTGAGTTCTCTGTAGTTTTTGAACTCTCGAGAATATACAGAAGAAAAAAACCTGTCGCAGTCCATCATTCTTTGATGTTGCATAGCTCGGAACGTTGAAAGTTCGTCGTTATCCGCCATGTGAAGCATACAAGACGAGCCCATAAGAGGTGCAGTCGGCAGCTTTCTTCGTTTCATTGTACCCGTCTGAACCGGTATATTTTTTCAAAGACTCCCATTTTTGTACAAAAAAAAAATAAAAAAATTTCAAAAGAGCTTGCCGCGGTCAAGTTAGGCTCGGCACTCCAGGCCAAACCTCAATTTAAACCTGGAATGTCGGATCCGGACCGCGGACTCAACTCTCAACCGTGGGTACTTTTTGCGGGGGCAGAGCCCCGCTGGCCAGACGAGCGCCATTCTTTGTATACCCCCCTGTTGTTCTTCCCCCGACCAGCCGCGACTTTCGCCATGTTGTCTTCTATGCGCCTCTAGGATGGCTTTGAGCGCCGCATTTCCGCAAAAACGTTGTTAGCAAGTTTTTTTGTACTTTTGAAAGAAAAAAACTTTTTTTAGAATCCAGGATGATAAAATTAAAACTTATTGTTTTAAATATATTTCGTAAAATAGCGTATGTGAGGAGAAATAATTGCGCGATTTTTCCTTGTGAAGTTTCTAGCCAATCAGAATGATAGGTGAACTAGGCAACTATTTTTAATTTATGAGCATTTCTTGTTTATTTTTTTTTTTGATATATTCGTGTATCCGTACTCCCGACCCCAAACAACTTCTGCGCCACGGCTTCATATATCAAAAAAAAATCAAGGCTCAAAGAATAACGGACAGAAAAGTTTTACAGCTGCTGGAACGCAAAAATTTAACTCAGTCTACAAAGTTCAATGTAAAAAGAAAAGTCTGACTCACGGTTATGTGCAGATTATCCAGACTACCGGGCAGTTGATTGTTTATTAATGCGCTCTGTAAAAATGTTTTTTTTTCTGAAAAATTTTGGGAAATTACCTGATTATTGTAAGGCTGGTAATCGTAAGCCACTGAGTCGACCCCATCAAAGTAAGTTTTGTTTCCTCGCGGCAGTGAGGATGATCTGAAAATTTTCAGGATCATTTTTCTCAATTATAGTCCAAATGAAGATTACGAAAATTCAGTTAATGATGCTTTTTTTGATTATTCACCGTTGTCGGAATTGTCGCTGCAACGTGTCTGTAACATTTCGGCGGATCACTGCGTCTCTCAATGACTCGGACGGCTGGCTGACTTTCCTGAAACAAACAGAATTTCTTCATCACTATGTGAATCCAGAATTCATAATTTCGTGACTGTAACTTCGAAAGAAATGCTATAATTGCCATCTTTCGCCAACAAATTGAAAAAAAAAGGCGAGCTGAAGAATATGTGAAAAGACAATTTTTTTTTTCCATCAATCAGATTTTTCTCAATCTGGACCCGCAAAACCTCAGGAGAATTTAGTGCTAATTCTCAGAATTGACAATTCAAACAATACCTCAATCTCTGTAATGCAATCGAATAAGACGGCGGCTCCAAGGGTTCTTTTAAGTGTCCTATTTTAAAAGACGGCGGGGGTTGCTGCATGGATGGCTGTCTTCGCTGCGCTGATCTTTCTGAAAGCAACTCAGTTTTTCTCAGCGCATATTCGACGGATAATACGTAAGCTGTCGGTTCGGCTTTGTGAAAGGTCCGACGTTGAGGATCGTAGTGCTTCGTTTGTTTCTCTGGGCGAGTTGTAACTGGTTCCGAAAGCTGCTGAAAACATGAAGAAGTTTGAAAGTAGTTTTTTCGTATTTTTGTGAGTGAAACCGGGAAGTCGGTTACCTTTCTCATTCTGATTTTCTTACTTTTTCAGTTGGGTGACATTTTTTGTTGATGTAATTTCAGATTTTAAAAAAAACACAGAAACTAAATTTTTGACAGTAGAGATCAGATTTTCGATTGTAGAAATAAAACATACGAGAGTTTATTTCGAGCAGATCGTTGCGCGGAGAATTAGTTGCCGACGAATGACCACTAGAAGTTGAAGCCCCGCTATCGACCTGGAAAGCTGGGTCTTCAGAAACAAATTGAGCAGAAGCCATACTTCATCTGCAAATCGGACACGAAATTGCTTTGATTTGTTCAATGTCGCTGCAGGAGGCTGTGCTGGAAGCCGACGTGGAGTGGAAAGAGCCGCGATTCGTCTGTACATGCTTTTTGACGAGAAAGACACAAGAATGAGTAAAACCTGGCCGAGTCCGGCGTTAAATAGTCGGAGGTGGAAGGATTACGGTAGGTTTGGTGATAATTGTTATAGTTGGGGAACACGCTATTCACGTATTTCAAGTTTTGAGCACCTCGTTGAGCACTATGTGTGTTGTTGAATTGCCTTAAAAAATCTCAATTAAAAAAAAAATGTGCAAAGTTGGAGCACCTGGGTGAGTTTTGATCGCAGTCAGCGCTAATCCCGCTGTCCGTGTCGCTGTCTTGAGGAGTTGCGACGCCGTCCACTGAAAATTGAATGAAACATTTCAAACTTGTGACGTCTCAGTCTATTAGAGTTTCAATATCGTTAGAAAAAGTTAATTTACTAAGATAAAAGGAGAAAATTGAGAAGAATGCTGCAGCTATACGAGATTTTCTAACGTTTGCCTTGTTTGTTTTTTTTTTTCTGCGGTGATTGATGGGTGCATGGATTTTTCAAGTTGGAGAACGGCTTAGGCACGAAAAGCTTTTCCGAGCCCTCATTTCTATCCAAAATGAACTTGAGTTTCTTTCGGAGTTCTGCCAGATGATTAAAAAGAAAACTTGTATAGTGTGGGCGAAATTTTTAAGTTTAAAAGCCCTATGAAAAGAAAACCTACGTTCAAGAATCATATTTTTAGCGCTATTGAGTAAAAATTCCTTGTTTTTCTGTCGATTGAAAAACTGGAAAAAGTCGAGAGACTTGAAGAAGTGTTCAATATCATTCACACAACGAAAAATTTAGAAAGGAACTTTTCAAAATTTAAAAAAATGATTCAAATAAGCAGACTTGCAATTAGGCTCACCTTGTTTCTGGGCGTAAGTAATTACATTCCGGCTGAAAGTTTTTGGCTTTGGAGGTGGTACTGGAGCTAGTCGGCCGCCCGAAGACATTCTGTAACTTGCAAAAAACAAAGATTGGAAAAGAGACGAGAAATGTAAGCCACGAGGACGCTTACAACTAAGAAAAGGTTGACAGGATGGCGATATTCGGGAGCAGACGATTCTCATTTTTCATCGTTAATTGCTCGCCGCAACGACAAGCTACCGGCACATGTTCACCAGACATATTTATTTTCATTCTCAAGACAAGAAAAAGAAAGTTACGGAAGCGCAGAAGAACGAAAAAGAAGGGGAAGAAGTGAGGAATGACATGCAGTTCTTCTTGCATATCAATAGCACGTAATCCAAGAAAAGAGAAACGAGCTTTTCCAAAAGTTATGTTTCGCTCACAAGAAGTTTGTCCTTCTCGAAACACTTTGTCCTTCCGAATTAGTTTCCTCTTCCGTGTTTTAACTACGTTTAATGCTGGCTGGAACACTTTCATTACTGTGAAGTTATGTTACGAACGTTAGAAAATTGCCTTTTCAAATTTCCAAGCATGCCAGTTGAAAAAAAAAACTGAACGGAACTTTGTTGCTTTACAAATTGGCAAACATATCATAATTTCGTGAGAAAGTGTGCTTCAACAAAAGCATTAGTGTGGAACAAAGATTAAAGTAAGCATTTCTAGAAAAAAATCCAGTCTTTGTCTTTTGGAACTTTTCTTGCTTGAACTACGGGTGAACCCTTCATTGCAGACGTCACGTTTTGCGATTTGAAGTCGGTCAAAATTTAGTTATCCAAAAAAAAACTGCCGAAACTTTTAGTGCTCGGCGTTTCGCGAGACAACAATGGCTATTTGGGGTTCCCCACTCAAAGTCTTAACTTCCCTCAGTCGCTGCTTATGCGAGCCAACAATCGTCCAGTCGTAAAGGTTGTGAAACAGAGTTTTTGAGAAAAATACATTGCCTGGCGGCAAACCCAACGATTAAATGAGAAAAAAAAAACAAGAAAAACCGACGCACTCTCCAAGAAAAAACAGATTCGTCGAGCTGACTTATTTCAAAGCCGAAAAAGCGGCTTACAAAATCTTCTGATGTGGGATGAAAATCTCACCGTTTCGAAGAAAAAGCAAGGAAAAATTGACTTACACCTCCGAATAACAAGCGGATTGATATTTAAAGTAACTACGTTTTTTAGAAAGCGTACAGCAAAACAAAATCCGCTTCTTCTTGCTGAGAAAACAGGAGCTTCAAAATGAAGTTGAAGAAAGAAAAGAGATAGTAAATAAGAGAAGTTAATCTTGCAAGTATGAAGCCGAACGCTTTCTAATCCTCACGACGCATTTTTTTTTTCTGTAATCCGCGCAAAACCGAAAATCCAGTTTTATTTTCAGTATTATGAAAATAAGTGTGAATTCAGTAGAAAAGGCAAGTGTTAGTTGATGAGAAACTTCTCGGGAAGGTTTTCAAACAGCAAAAAAAGAAAACGACGTCGGATACGCAAAGAACTAATTATCACTTTGGTGAAAACGAAATTCCTAGGGAACAAGAAAACAATTGCAAAGATCCCTTTTTTGGATATGAACAGCGAATCTCGAGATGAAAACGAAGGCAGAAGAGATTTGTGCGGTAATTACAGCGGAGGTCTCTGAGTTAATTATAGGCAAGTCGAGTCTGCACAGGAAATGCATATAGACTAGGAGGTTCTCAGAGAAAAAAGGTTCAAAAAAGCGAAGTGAAACAGAAAAGCGAGTGAATCAGAAAAATTGATTCTGAAAAGCAGACAAGAAATCTTTTTTTGTTACGTTTTTATTCAATAACTTTTTCGAACAGCTTAAAACTCAATTTTCCTGAATCAGCGTGAAATGAAGTTTAAAACAAATAAAAGCAGCAGAATGACATAATTCGTCCGGCAGATTGCGAATCCTAGAAACTTCCCGTGAAAGCTTTCTTTCATGGAAAAAAAATTGAGAGAGGAAGTGGTTAGTATATCTGAGGAGTGAAAAATTCCAAGTTTTTGCAGAAATGAGTAGGAAAGGGATTTTTAAGCGGCATATCGAGTCTGAAGCAGATTTTCTGACATCAACACTGAGATTTCTAGCATTTTTACTTGAGAATAATCTGGAACAGCTTTCCAAGAACAACGTGAAGCCCTACCCTGAATTATAATATTGGATTGAAGAGGAATTTGTGTTATATTTGGGCAATGACATACTTCCAAACCTAGCACAACCCAAAAGACCAAGGGAGAAGCCTAGTCTTCGACTTTCCCTACAGGAGATTAGCATGTGAATCTACCATAACTTGGAAACGACAGCTCAGCTCGAAGGATTAGAAATCGTGAGAAGACGGCCGGATGGTGGCTGGTACATAGAGAGGGTGTTGAAAACGGGTTCCTTTAACTTCCCATGGGAAAAATAGCTCGCTCCACCGTCACTCCATTGATGTGCAACACACGCTCGCCACAACAATCGCAGTACCTTTTGTTTGTTTTTTATAGTTTTCGACGTTGGTCAAACTGTGGGTGCACGTGGAGGAAAGCTGAAGGTCAAGCACAGAAATTTCGGTCTTTTACAAAGAAATTGAGGTTTACACATTTTTCTCAAAGAGTGTAACTTTCTTGTATTTTAAGAGGTGACGCTTTTGATTTTTGGAAATGACATTTTGAGCTGATTTTAATAATTCCTTTCCTTTTGGAACTTTAAAAATCAGGTGCTTAGCTAAATGAACCCCTCCATTCCGCATTAAAAGGCTAGGTCTTTTAACTTTGTGTTTGGGAGTTACCTGAAAGTTTGCCAGAACACTTCTTGATGTACCAGGTGAAGATTCTCAAAGTCTCAATCTGAGAAAATTCCTAGTTTTCGAGTAATGAAGACTTAAAGCTTCAAAAGAGCCTATTTTAACGGATTTTTAAGGTTTTCTTTGACTTCAAAGTGTTCTTTTTTTAAAAACTAGGATCTTGTGCAATTTGATACTTTCATAATTATTTTTCTAGTACATCAAAGAGCGTTCCGAGCAAATTTTTCAAGAAAAATCTCAACCGAAAAGTAAAATGACCTCTCTTGTAAGGAAAAAAACTCGATTTTAACAAGGTTACTATCGGCCTATTTTCCATCATTCCAAGATCCTATGCAACAGGTTTAAACTCAAAAATCTATCTGAAAAAACCAGAGTTTCATTGCGATCAAAAAAGAGTTTTGATAGAGGTGAAAAGCTTGAGAGCCGGAATAAAATGGCGCGACAAAGTGAAAATTTGCATTGCGAATCGACGGCGAAATCAAGATGAAAAAAAGGGAGAAAGAAAAAAAACTTGTTTTTTCTCCTCCATTTTTTCTTCATTTTTATGAAACACAGGAAAAAGAATCGAGACACACAAGCGAGGAACGATGAGAGCTTCTCGAGGACGCTCTCTCAAATGCCAAAAAAAGCGCCTTATTGTTTCATCGTGCACGCGCCGTCGCATTGCTTAGTATAACCAGGAAGACTTTTTTCAAATTCAATAATAATTAATCGAGGTTTATTCCATTTTTTGATCCTGGTTCTAATTTTACTTGCTTAAAAACTTCGAGCTCAAACTAAGGAACTCTTGGCTCCACTTTTGAGCTGAAATTTACGCAGGTAGCGTGCAGAACAGGCAAAAATTCTAAGATTTGAGAACGTTTTTCATGATAAGACTGATCAGCATGAAAAAAAGGTACAGACCTTTTGAAATTAAAAATCGCGAAAAAGCGCTTCTCTCTTGATTTTCAAGCCCTACCCTTCTTTTTCTGTTAGGATTTTCGTTACTTTCAAGGCCTTCAAAAACACGTCTTAGTTTCAAAAAAAACACCATCGACTCAATTTGTGGCACAATTTCAAAAAGTACCTAGTAAAATGAAAAATCTAAACCAAACTTCTTAAATTGTGAAGAGCAACGGAGACCCAAAAAATAGCGGTGGAAGTTGACTTGGAAAATGTTCTCTCCATGGGGTGAACAAGCAAAGAAAGCAATTACTTTAATTGAAGAGAAAGAGATTATTTTACATGAGCGTTTGGGTAAATAAGAGCCAAGTGTGCGGCAAAAGTTCAAGGCTAGGTGTAACCGGATGTGATGTTCCTCAGCGGCGCTTTTCAGGACGTAAGAGGTATCACGTATAACTCATTCTCAGTCTTTTTTCAGGAATAGACGAATCAAATTGAACAAAACTACTCGGGTAGATCAAATTAGTGTAAAAACAGTATTTGATTAGAACTTTGAAAGTGAGCCAAACTGCAGAAATTGAAAGAATTGAAACGAAAAGCCCCCGAGCGAATATAAACTATCCGCTCGAGAAAAATGGTATTCATATGAATAAGAAGTGAAATAGTCGAATTTTTGACATTTATATCAGGAAGTCTCTACAGATCTGCAATTCCTTTGAAAGGAACAAAATGACATTATAAGAGAAAGAAAAGGTCGAAATGAACAGAAAGAACAAAACGAATTGGAATTTGTTTATACTATTAGATGAAATGTACAGCGACGTCCTTGATGAAGGATTTGCGGCGACCGACAAGCCTACTAAGGGCAGCGAACCATGACCTGTCGGCCTTTCAACCAAAATGAGCTCTGATTGAGTCTGGCTTCTCGAAAACAAAACGTCATGGACTACTAGATCGGACAATACATCCAGCACAAAAAGAAAAAAACCCGTTGGTGTCTCTGGGACTCCAATCAAAGAGCTTTGCTTAAAGGGAGAACAGCCGAATCTTCAAGTTTCCTGAACCGTTTCCGTTTCACGCTATTAGCCGAATGCAAACTTGAGGCTGTTTCCTGTGGCGACATCAACGAGTCGTGAAATCTTTGAGTAAACTATCAAAAACTTTCTCCGCAACCTTTACAATCGGGGAAAAAAGCCAAGAAGACTTCTTGGTCGTATAGTGAGAGGCGGCGCCAAATCGCAACATGTTCTTGGTACAGACGGTTTGAAGGCAGCTTGAAAGGATTGTAAACGGTAGTCTTCACTTTTAAGTCGGTAAAAAGTGGAAATCATTTGAGCTTTATTTTTTGTTTCATTTACTTTGATCAAATAATAAGAAACTTAAATGGAACAGCAATCTGAAAAAGTTTAAAAAAATTGGTTTTTTCATCAAAATATTTTCCATCGCGGGAAGAACCATGTGAAATTTTAAGATTTAATTTGACTTTGAGAAAAAAATTTCTATGGGAAGAAGACTGTAATTGCTTAAAAAAATAATCAATACTGCTCACCTTTGTAATCAAACTGAGAATTCAGAAAGATTCTGATATTTCTTATAGAAAGATCATTTTGGAAAACTCTGGATGCTGTTAAAAAGTTGCTAAAAATTTTTCAGAGGTTCGATTGAAATCTAGTTTTTAAGTATGAATTCTCAATTTCCAATTTCGCATTCAACACAAATTTCTGTCTGCAGAAAACGCTACACATTTTTTTTAATTGACTCCCTCACTAGAGTTGATGTTTTCAACGTCTATGTGAAACTTTAATCCGAACCTTTTTTGAGCAGATTTTCTGAAAGTCCCAAATTTCACACTGAGACTAACGTTCCTGCAAAGAGATTGATGGGTATAGGATTAAAGTACAAGAAGACTGATTAACCTCACAGGTAAAGGAATATGTTTCGGGTGAGTGTTTGACATTTGTGCACAGTTATGCATGTGTGAAACAAAGAAGGTTTTTTTTCGAGTGAAGGGGCGAGCGACCACGTTGCATTGCTAACGAGTTGCTCGAAGTTTAACACATCAGGCAAGGTGTCCAGCAAAAGTTGCAAGCAAACGGGAGGAACGTCGGCTGGCCCGAGTCGAGACAAAAGATTTCCCGCTTTCTTACTGAGATCACACCCTAGGCGGCCATTCCGTGAATAGCGCGTCTAGAAAAACTTCCGCATTTTGTGGGAAAGCACTAACAAATGATCGCGCATGTTGCCATTGAAATCCTCTCGGAGTCACCAATAATGAGCCTACGGAATTCTGAATAACAAAAAAGTTTTGGAGCTTTCACAAAGCTCGAAACAATCCAACTAGAATCCGTTCGTTCAAAAATTTTAATAATTTGGAGGCTTTCCTCTTAATTAAAAAAAAACCGAAAAACACAAAAACATCGAGAAAGCATACGAGAGGTAAGGAGAGCCCAAATGAAGTAGGATACAAAATCCTGGAAAAAAAATTGTGAGGCAATTGGAGAATTATACTTCTTATTTTTGCGTCAAAACATCAGTTAATACAAAAAGCAATAACGTAGTAAAAAGATAAAATATGAGATTTTAAAAACAGCATGTAATCCTTTTCAGATATCTAATACAGAGGCTCGAGTTCGAAAAATAACTTCCCTGGAATAGAATTTTGAGAGGCAGATTCACTAGCTATAAGCAAGAACTACCAATTTCTGAAGGCGGGACTTCAGAAAATAACATCGAGAGTAACACTTTTTGGTTCAAGACTCTATTTTAACCGAAACTGGTTAAAAAAGATGAGAATAGTCTAGAAGAAAAAAATGGAACTTGATTAGTAGAATAACCAAGTTCCATTTTTTATGTTTCAGGCTGATGTGACTCACACCGTTCCTACCTGTTTATTAAAAGAAAAAAATCAGCGTTCCGTCGAATCGACCATTTATCAAGCTAAGATACTAAGGACAAAACTGCAAAAATTTTATCTCAGATTTTTCAGTTCAATGATTTGATGAACTTTTCCACTTTCTATTGGGACAAAGTAAAGTTTTTTTATTAACAAGGTTCTAATAAAATATACCACCTGTCGAGAAAAAAAGCTTTTTTTTGAACTTAGAAAAAAAAATTAATACCTTGAAGGTGAAACAGTAGAACAGCAAAGTGGTAATTTTTTCGAAAAAGTCGCTTGCTTTCTGGCCTGAAAAGGCTCTTCTATCAAAGTTGTTCTGAGAAATCTCTCACAAGAATGGTCGCAACTGTTGGATAAATAATTTTCAAGTGTCAGCCCGGATAAGGTGATCAATGCAATATTCAACAATTCATGTCTCAAATACCAAAAATTTGAGCAAGTGACGGCTATTTGCATGCATCTGAACCTTTCAGGAGTTTCTCTTCCCCAACAGGAATTTTAAAAACAGTGTTGTGAAATTAAGTCAAGGTATTCATTCAACCCTCCTAGTTTCAAAACCGCATCGCATCTTTTTGAACCGAGAGCAGAAAGTTGAACGAACAAAGAAATAGGGAAAAGTGGGCGTCAGAAGACGGATCATTGGCATGTGGATGCTCAGAATTCTAGGTGGCGAGCCGCGAGCGAAAAATTGGTCAACGGGGACTAAGCATGTAAAAACAACGACCGACGAATGGAGGAGACCAGCAAGTGCTCGTACAAGATTGGGGGGTCGCATCCGCTCCCGTGTGCATTGTGTCGTTCAACTTCTAAGACCCGACGAGCATCCAAAAAATGCGCCCTGCTAACTTTGGACAACACATCAGAAACCAAGCGAGCACCGCTTGAAAATTGCCAAGGTGAAAGCAGGAAAACCGGTCTTCGCGGTTCAAACTTACATTTTCCGAATGATTTGAACTATTCGGAAGAAAAAAAGTTTGAGAACTTTTCAACGATTTCCCGTTTCCGCGACGGAAAGTTTAATATCACTAAAATATAATCCGAAAAAAAAAACTTGTAGGGCTGCCAAAATTTTCAAAAAGTTGGAAACTAACCCGAAGAGGAAAAATAAGAAAGTGAACTTTTTGAAGTTTATCGTCAAGAAAAGAAAATGGAAGAGACAACAGAGGTGATTATTTTTGGACAGCTTTGATCCAAAAAAAGTTCAGCAACTACGGTGAAGGGAAAAATCAATCGAAGTAACAAAAAGATTTTTTTGATTTTTAATCAACATTTTTTTATATAAACATATCGAAAAAAATTTGGATAGAAAAAGAAAAAAACTCACAAAAAAACCCAGAAGCTAGAAACTTTTTTGTTCGCCCTCAAGGTCACAGGTTCAAGTCCCCAGAGGTCGAATGTTTTTCTTTTTAGCTTTTGGAAGAAAGCTAGAATATTTCAGTTATCCCTGGCTTCTTCCGCGCAAAAAAATGCTCAGAGATTTATATTTTTTTAGAAATGTCTTAAAATTTTTCATATTCTTAAGATTTAGTCTTGATTTAAACAGTGGAGCTGATTTGAGGTTACAGAATAGGTCAGAGAGTTATTACAGCATCTTGGCGAGATTTTTTTGTCAAACTTTCTTAGGAAGCTTGGTACATTTTTCAACAAAGGTTTTCAGGAGATCAGCTGAAAGTGGCCAATAAAGCAGCTCAAACGTAGTCGCAAGGTTTCCTTCTACATTAGTGCTTGATAACTAATGATACAGAGGACTTTTTAATAACTCAGAAATAAAAAAAAAGAAGCTTCCGATCAAAAACGCAGCCTCTCAAAATCATTCAACAACCCTAGTAAAAAAATAATTGGGTTGTGCTTTGATGTGCGAATTAAGACGAAAAATAAGACGCATGAATATTGCAACAGGTAGGAAGAAATGCAGCAAACTTAGCAAGATTTTTGGCGTGACGTCTCGCCCGACGTAAAATACTATCAAATATTCAGGAGCAACTGGCTGCTTCCCAGAAGAGAGGATAGAAAAACGAGAAGAAAAAACGGCGGCGGTTCTTTTCGACGACCCAGATGGGCGGCCGACAGAAAAACTCGAGGAAAAGGCAAGATTTGTTCGATCTTGACGCCCGATAATGTCCTCAAACGACGATATGTTGTGAACCTCTTTTTCCAATCTTCAACGGCGGGACACGAAAAATTCGAAGAGAACACTTGAAGAAAAACAGTCACTTATTACGTTGTAGGGATGCGGAAAACCTATATTTTCCCTTTTCATTTGACATCGTAGTCACGAGAACTGAAGGGTATAATTTTTGAGGAGAAAGAAATATGTATTTTTCTCAATTTTGAAGTCATATTTTTCAGCTCTCTTGAGCGTCATTCTGATTAAATTGAAGTGAAAAGAAAAATTCAGTTTCTCGATTTTTTTTTCTCATACTTCAGGCTTTTCAGAGTTTGGCGTTTTTTTCACAATTATTCCAAATTCTGCGAAGGACTCGATAGTAATTTTTCTTTGCCGGTATTTTCAGTTTTGAAGGATTGGCTTTTCAAAGTTAGGGTCATTTTTTAAGAGATTTTATCACGCAGAAATAAAGGTGGGCACAGGTAGGGTCTATCGAAAACCTCTATCTACGAGAGAAGGCTAGGTGAAATCACACACTTTTCGAGGAGAAATAATGATTATTATTTATCATGATCAATTATAATAATGAAATGAAATTATCTTGGAAAAAAACGGGTTGACAGGGACTACGAAGCGAGAAATTTCGAATGCGGCCAAGAGCTGTAGAATGAGCAATAATTGAGTTTTTTTGTTTTTCATCAAAAATCGATATTCCAATCGAGATTTCGTTAATTTTTGACAGAGAGGTATGAGACAAAGGTGGGAAAAATGAATCTCAAACAAGATCCAAAGATTTTTCAAATAAAAAGGAAAATTTCATCAATATATTTGAAACCAAACAAAAAAAGATTAATTTAGAAATTTCGATGCTTAAGTGATAAAAAAAGCGCTTCTGAATTAATTGAGAAGTGTTTTCGAAATATCTCGCATTTTTCAAAAGCCAGAGGATTTATCGATAAGAGGGAATCGAAATATCTTTACAAAATTAAGTTTCAAAGGATTCAGTTTGCGACTCAATTATGAATGACTCGGAGGAGGAGAAACCTTGGAATCCGACTGTGCAGCTACCACACTCAATGGCGCGCGTTTGACCCATATTTGTTAATTGCTCGAGGATTTTCAGCGTCCTGAGAAACAAAAATGAGGACGAAATCAAGGGAGGAAGCCACAAAATAACGAGGAACCTATAATTAGCGCCTTTATTAACTTCGTTGCTTCTCTCGTCTACGTGACGACGGGAAGTTTTTTTCAGAAAGTTGGTTTCTTTTTCTAGGGACTGGTGACTCCCAGGTCGATGTTTTCTTGCCGGACGGAATCTTCATTCAGAAAAGAGACGCCTGGGACTTGGGCTGTGTCCAACTCCGGTAGAGATAAAACATCTATAAATTCCTTAAATTGCGAAGTTTCCGCTCTTTTTATACCTAGTTTTCCAATGTTGAAGCTTTTATCGTTCATGAACTGCAAAACTCTGTCGATTGAAATGCTTTGTAGGATTTTTTGACGATAGTAGAGGCTGATCTGAAACATTTTGGATGAAATGAAGATGTTTCAATATAATAGCTGAGCTTTACTACTTAGCAAAAACTTTAAATTTTCCTTGCTTTTCAAAAGTAGCAAACCCCTAAAAAAAGCAAATTGAATACGCTTGACTTGATACGTCCAAAGATTAACAAAGCTATGACGAAAAATAAAAAAAAAGTTTTAGTCAAGTCGCTAAAATTTCAAGGGATTTTCGAAAATAAGTAGAATTCCAAATCTATGACGAGAATAAGTATTGTAGTCCAAAAGCCCACTAAAAATCAAAAAAAAACACTTCAGATACTGCGAAATTCATTCCGTACGTCGATCATTTGCTTTTAATAAAAAGACGATTTTTTGGCAAACTTTTTTCTCAAGTCTTTGGAAACATACAGTTATATTGCCATTGACGACAGTTGTTTGGGGCTTGAGCTCAACGAGAGCAAAGGCAATATCGGCAGGATTCAAGGCGAAAGTCGAGTTGAAATAACTGCTCGAAAGTGAAGAATTCAAGTTAGAAGTTCTGAACTTCAACTTGTCTGTAGAAATAAAATATTCCACAAACTGTTGGTAAGTCCTTCGAAAATTGGAAAAAGCTGTGAAAGGCTGATTGTACTGAATCAAGATGTTGAACTCAGCTGGATAGTCTGCTCCATCTAAGCATGGAATCAAGCTCCGTAATCCATTGGTTGCCCCTTTTTCCGAGCAGAATGTGATTGAGGTTCTGGAAATGAAAAAAGGTATTTCCTCTCTGAAAAAGTATGATCACCTTGTTTCATTTTGCGGCGTAGTATATTGGAGCTGCCTAGGACCCCCACTGAGGCCTATTGTCCCGACGAAGTTCATGCTCAGGTCGTAGGAGCTGTTTTTTGTGAGGTTCATAAGCGGGATGAAAGCTTGTATTTCGTTCTGAAAATATCAAAAATCTTGTATATGTTTTTTTGGCAAAGTGAAATAAATTTTCGGGTTATCCATATTTTTTTAATTTTTCTGAATTTCCCGCTTTAAAAGTTAAGACGAACCGTTGAATCATACGCTCCCTTTTGAACTGCGCTCCTCGCTCCAGTTGCGTCTTCTAAAAATATCTGAAAAAAATTTGAACAAGGTGAAAATCGTTGATAAAGAAACCATATTTTTGAGTTATTTAAAGCTTTGAAAACCAGTTATCAGTTAAGAAACAGAATGCACTCGAAAATTTTTCGCAAATGGGGTAAATTTTTTTCTTCATGTGATAACGACTAAATAAAAAAATTGAAATGTAATGAGTTAGATATATTTCTAACGGCTGGGTGTTTCCTTCTGGGCACTATCGTCGAACTTATGTTAACATTTTTTAGCCTACTCTGTTTTGAGTTTTTTTTTTTCAATTTTCCAGCGAAACTGCTCATCTTTTTTCTTGTACTTCTGAAACAAAAGCGGTACCTGATTCGCTTCAACGTTACGGCCACGATGGAGGAAAAGCCTCTGCGTCACATCCCGAGCTGTGAACCGCATTTTCATAGAACCAGTGTACGTCTTTCCAAAAAGAAAAAGAGCTTATAAATTTCACAAGTTGGTTATTTCACTACCCGATATGAAACTTTCAATTAACTTGACCGAAACTCTCTGAACGTTTTATAAAGTTCTTCAATAACTGCGACCCATGAAAAGCAAGTTTTTGTAATTCGATTTTCCGAGAATCATCATCAAAAATTTCAAAAAGCAGGTAAATTACCAATCTTCAAAATGATACAATTTATCTTTTCAGCTCACCTTGTTAGGCCTCGTAGAAGTAGAGAAAAATCGTAGCTGTATGTCATATTTTGAAGGAATAGTTATATATGGAATAACGGAGGGGACGTTGTTTTGAGGTAGAATAGTCTGAAATTTAAAAGCTGTTTTTTTTCGTCCTTCCTTAAACTTTCCGTAACAAAGGACAATGAAAATGCTCCGAGAAAAGTGCTTATATTATTTTTCTTACGCATTCTTTTTTCATGGAAGATAGGAAATAATTGAAAATTTTTATATACCTTATTGGTTAGTGATCCAAAAACGACGAAAGCGTAGATCACACTGAAAATAAATTATTTTATGTGAATTTTCAAAGACATTTTCAAGACATCCACCACTTACGCCTTTTATAAAAATCACTTTCATTGAGTTTCGAAGGATATAAAAAATCTGATCAGATGTTTAAAAAAAGGACAAACCAAGCCAAGAAAGAGAGTAGACACCAAGTGATGAAGGTTCGAGTGGAGCAGTACAATAACCCGGAAAAATAAGTACAATCAAACATATCCAGGTCAAATATAATAAATAAAAGTCTTCGAAGAAATCCTACGAGCTGAAGACCACTCTTGTGGCTCGGCTTGTTGACTTTGCTCTTTGGCAGGCAAATCCGGTTTGTTATCTCAAAACAACTAATTTTCAGGGTGAGAAGAATCTGTAATATGGAAAAAAGGTGAGACAAAAACAGTATAATGATGCAAAAGCCAAAATACCTTCACAAATTGTATGTTTCTATCTTCAAATCCCGAAAATGGCTCATTAATTGCGCCCGACTTTAAATGGTTCAAAACCTGTAGAGCTTTCATTAATAAATGGAATTTCTGCTTAGCATGTTTTCAGAAATGATTTTGATTGTAAAGCAAGAATCCACTGCCCGTGCGACTTTGGGCAATTTTTGGCAAATAAATACAATCTCAAAAATCCACTAAATAGTTCGAAAAAAAAAAAACGGAATGCAGAAAAAAACCCCTTTGGATCGCATTTACTTTTTCTTTTTATTTCTTGATTTTCAATAACTTCAGGGCCATAGAAAGTTCTGAGATTTTTTTTCAAAGCTCTTTGAAGTTTTTTTTTTGATAGAGCTCAAATACCGACCTACTGGAACATTTTTCAACGAGAAGAGATTATCCGAATCGCATCTTTTTCACTGTTTTTTTCTTGTGAAGATTTTGATAATCTCGTGAAGACCCTCTCCAAATGTTTTCTCAAGAAAACGATGATCAAAGAAATCGGTAAAAATTTTTCTTCCGTTTTTGCAAAGCGTTTTTCGCTATCGGGATCTTTCAAAGGCCGCCCAATCATTAATTAATTCTCAGAGAAGAAGGCAATGATCTCTCAAGAGCTGATCATTCAAAGGCGCCGCCAACACCCGAAGAATCTGATGATTGACAGAACGCCCACTTTTTTATAGTTGAAGATCGTGTTCATTTTTCAAATCGCCTGTTCTCATAGTTCCTGTTTTGTTTACTTAAAATTCTCAGACAGTAGTATATAATTTACGATTCTAACGATAAGGTTTTGCGCGAATCTTTGATTTGATTGATGACATGACACGCCTCTACTCATCAGTATCACTGTATGTTTTCTTGCAACGTGTTCTCACTTTTTTTTCAGACGATTCTGTTTTTTTTCCGCCCTATGACTAAACGCAGGGTCAATGAAAACTGCAACGAAGAATATAGCGTCAATCAAATGGAACAATGTGGAAGCTCCTCTTCTCATACTTTCTTGGCTCATTTGTATAGTTATCGCCAAAACAGGTCGCTTTCAAACTTTTTCGTTTTGAGTTGAACTTTTTCAGCTTTTCATTCTTCTAATACTTTGAAACGTTTGTTTCCTGAGTCGGCTGTTCTCATTGTTTTAGGCCTTACGGCCGGATATTTTATTTACGAAGTATTCCACATCGATCTCTATCTTCACCCAGGTAGAACTCAGTGGAAAACTTCTCCACATTTGCTTTCAGATTTGTTTTTCTTTTATCTTCTGCCGCCTATTGTTCTTGAAGCGGGTTATTTCATGCCCAGCCATGAATTTCTTGCCAACGTGTGGACGATTTTGTTGTACGCTGTCTTGGGGACTTTGATGAATATAGTGATGATAGGGAAGTGAAAATTGTGAGTCACTTCTAAAAAATACCGATTTCAGGTGGTTTCATTGTTGCATTTTCGTCATTGTACACAATAGACATGAATTTGGTCGACATTCTTGTTTTTTCGACCTTGATTTCCGCCGTTGACCCTGTCGCGGTCCTTTCAGGTGTTCTCTAGAGTTTGATGGGTATAATTAACAACTTTATTATTTTCAGTTTTCGAGGAAATTCATGTTAATAAACTGCTTTATATCTGCGTCTTCGGAGAATCACTTCTAAACGATGCCGTTACAATTGTAGGGCAAATATTTTTTTTTAACTTGATAGGGTCTTTCAATGCTTGAGGCAATTTACGAATACCAGATAACTTCGAAATTCATCGAACCTTTCATCAAATAAAGGTTTTGATAACCCTTTTTCATTGAACTCAAAACTAAAGACCCTATAAGCGGTTAATATCCAAATTTACCTGAGGATCCTCCAAATCGAAGTTCCAGGTTCTCTATCACGCTTTTCATCACATGACGAAAATCGGGCAAATGCACTTGATATACCAGGATTTTACGAACACCATGTACAATTTCCTGCTCGTTGCTGGAGGAGGAGTGCTGATCGGATTGGTGTTCGTCTGCTTAACAGCCCTAGTCACCAAGTGAGTTTTTATTCGACTTAGTGAAAAAAAAAATTTTCGAATTTATAATATTAATTATTTGAAGACGTTCTGGGATAATTTTTAGTGACCTTTAGGGGTTCGCCAAGGACTACTTGAAGAGGACACTAAAGTGGTCACTAAACTCACCTCTATAGTGGCCACAATAAGGTTTTAACGTTTTTGACCCCTAAAGCGGTTACTCAAACTTTTTAATGGTCTATTAGTAGCACTTAAACCTCTATAGAGGCCACTAATTTGACTACTATGGTCGCCACTAAAACGTCGAAACCCTATAGAGGCCACTAAAAATTTTTCCAGTAAAATGCTCAAAAGAAAACAAAAAAAAAACGCGATTTTCTTGTCCGTAGAGCAACTTCAGAACGAATTTTGATTTTTTGTAATTAAAAAATGTTTAATCCGATTTTGTCCACCATTACAGCTCTCGATCAGGTGAGAGTTGAGCATGGAAAATTTCCTTGATCAAAAAAAATCCCAGAAGGCAACCCCGCTTATACCTACCCCTTTGATGTTTTAGCACTTGAATAAAGATTGTTTTTTCAACGCCAAATGAGCTTTTCAAACTTCAAATTCCAGAATAAAAGCAAGATGAGAATAAACGTTCTAAAATTAGCGTCTCAACAACGATAAATCGAGAAACAATTTTTAGAATGAATTTTAGACACGGTTCTGTAGCACCTATTCTACAACCTCTGATTTGCCTGGTAATGCCGTACGTCGCATATTTGCTCTCCGAGTTGGTTCATGCTTCTGGAATCCTAGCGTATGTTGCTATTTTTCAATCTACTAAGGCCCAAGGTTTGAAGAATCGTCACATGCGGATTGATGATGAAACCCTACATCTGCGGAAGCTTAACAGAAGAAGCGCTCATCACTGTCAAATATTTCTTGAAGACTTTATCATCGAGGTAAAAAGAACCGTACGTTTTCACTGGACATCTTATTTTGAGTTCGGAGGCTATCATTTTCGTTTTCCTCGGGTTTTCAATTTTCTCGAAAAATCATCGATGGGACGTCGTCTTCACTGGCGTCGTTGTTTTTGCGTGTCTTATATGTCGGTTTGTAGGTTAGTCTTTTCATTACGTATTTCTATTCATGTGAAAAAGGGGGAAATTGCAAATTTTGTAAAATACGGCGAGGATTTTTTTGGAGCGTCATAACTCAGCCAAAAGATTGTACGAATTACCAAAATCATCAAATTATTTACAAGTCTCAAGTTTTCATTCATTCAAGCTTCTCTCGTCGAATTTTTTTCATCAAGTCTCAAATTGAATTTCCATCACTTGTCAATTTTACCGGCTTTAAAACTCTCACCTCGATGCCTGCTTTTTTTTAATAAACCTTATCAAAAGATCTTCAAAAGGACAGTTTCAAGTACGAAATTCCCTCTTATAGAATACGTTACCCCAAAAATTCAACAATTTCCCGTCTATATTTCGAGAATTCCAATTTTAAATTCCACATTACAGCCGTGTTTTCTCTGACAGCAATTGCCAACCTGATGAGATCGAGAAAAATTGGAATTCGTGACCAGATCATTATGGCCTTTGGCGGTTTGCGCGGAGCCATCTGTTTCGGGCTTGCACTCACCCTCGGTTGATTTATTTTTTGAATCGACTTTTGAAAGAATGACTTCAGACGGAGAAGCCATAGTATCGAAACCGATACTAATATCTACAACTTTGGTTGTGATAGCTGTGACTGTATTTATTCAGGTTTAATGGTTTTCTTTTTCATCTTAATTTAGAAGCTTTTAAAGGAAAATTTCGGAAATTTATTCAGTGTACAGGGCACAATAATCAAGAAATAAAATTGTCAAATTTTCTGAAAAGCGTCTTTTTAAAAATTCGGCAGTTTGATGAACATTTTCAGAATTGTTTTTCGTCCTTTTTCAAACTGTTTCGATTGGATTGACCTTCTTTTTTAATTGCTCAATTTTTCAGGGAACGACCATCAAGCCTCTAGTGCTTTATTTGGACGTAACGACAGATGAGGAGGAAGAAAAAACGATTATTCGAAGGGTTTTTGATGACGTAACTATTTGCTCTTTTGAAATTTTTTTTTTGAAAGTGGTTAATCAAAAGGAACGTTGTCTAGAAATTCTTTATCATTTTCTAAGTGACACATGGGAAACAGAGCAAATACATGAAACTGTCAAACCAATGAAAAAAATGATTCATTTCAGAGCGTTGAAGATTTGATGAGCGCCGTTGAAGCAATCGTAGGAAATAAAGGCCCCTATTATGTGAGTTCAATTTTCAAAGAAATGAAGTCATAAGTTTGCCCTGGTGGGTTGAAAATTTGATGGATGCTCAGTATAAAAAATATTTCAAGGTTTTCCGAACCCTCATCACAAAATTATCATTTCTTTTTTTACTATTCGAAAACCCCCACAAAAATTATTTATCGGATTGATATTGCTCAATCTTGCCTAATTTCATCAATATCATCTAAAAGTTTCCTTTTTTTAAAATCAGCATTTTTTGCAATGAAGGGTGATTATAAGCGCACAAAGCAGATGTGGTCCACTTTTGGCATCCTGATTTTCAAATATGTCAGTGTCATGCATGTTAAATCCAAGTGAGAGACAATCCGCCATAACTCAAAAGGTCTAGCCGTTCATTTGGTTCGAACAATACATTTGTCCTGAAATGCCCTGAACTTGACCTTGATTTGGGTTTTGCTCGACAGTTTTATTTAAGAACTGAAAAAAATGTGTTTCGGTCATTACTCAATGTGGAGTTGCAATAAAACTGAAAAAAAGGACCACTAGAATTTTCAAAGGTTTTTTTAAAGTTCAAACCACGGGACGACATTGAGTGATTGAAATGGACAAGATTAAGCAACGCTTCAAGAAAAATATAAAATTGGTTTTGAAACTTATCTTATGGATGTGCTCGAACTTGAGCTAACTTACCTCGGAACTAAAATCAATTTTTATTTTCAACTTGAAATAAATCTCATTGAGTGGGGCTTTTTTTTAAGCCTTTTGAAGTCATGATTGAGAGCTTTTTTCTCGAAATATGTATAAAGGAAACTCAATGCTACAGACCTGACTGAAATATCAAAAGCTTTTCTGGGACTTCTCAATAATTGAATAAATCTGGTAAGAAATGCTCTTTTTCAGTGGCGCCGTCAAGCTTCGAAGTTGAACGACAGATATGTGCAGCCAACCTTGACACGAAAAACCACCAGTCGAGGTGTACAGCTCCTAAGAAAGTACACGGTGATGTCGACGGAGGAGCAGAAGGAAGCTTTGCTGAAAACGTTCGGAGTCTGAAGTCTTCGGCTGGTGATTGCAAGCGTCGACCTTCAAGAAGAAAATTATATCTTCCGAAGTATTTATGAAATTCAGGTTGATCTCGACGAATATTTTGATAACTGCCCATTCGTTTCAAGAAAATATCTTTTTCTTATTGTATCAATAGATCAATAAAAATTTGATTTTTTTTTCTCGATGAGTTGAATTGCTTGTTTTTTTCTATAGATCAGTCTTGAAACAGAAAAAGTAGGAGCTCAAAAAACGCACTCTGAACGGCTGCATCTCTAATTTTTGAGCAAGCCTTTTTTTCCGATTTTTTTAGGCCACGCAAAAGAAAAAAATGATCTTACTGAAAAAAATTATTCATATTTTATTGAAACCCTCGACATGGTTGAAAAAATTGCTAGTGAAGATTCAGAGAAAACATTGAAAACTTTTTTCCTACATTCTTCATTTTTATTTTTTTGAAAAACAGAATGACTTGCGTTATAATATCAATTTTCAGTTAACATCGAGTTTCAATAGAATCTCCTTGAAAATAAAAGTTTTTCCAACCCTCCGGCTGGTATTTCCCATTGTTGACAACGCCTCAGTACTTCAATTTTTGAAACTCTTCCAAGTATACGGTACCTGAACTCCTTATTTCATCCACAAACCTCAGAGCAGTTGGAATTCGGAAACCGAGCAATTTTCGGAAAAAGAATAGTCAAAAAAAGAGTTACAGTAGAAGTGAGAAAAGATCAAAGCGGAAAAAAACAGGGAAAGAAATAATTATTAGAGATGATAAACGGTGGCAGTACAGCAGGTGAGATAGAATAAATGTTGTTGACGCGGTTGTCGACAACATTATAAACTACCTCAGGTGCTGGTGAGCCCTGGGTGAAATACAGTAAGGTCGCCCGCGGGAACGCCGGCGGCCAGAATCTGGAACGGAGACGGAGGAACACCAGCCTGTGGCTGTATGATGTTGCGTGTGATGGCCGAATAGTGGGCAGTCCCCTTGCACTTTCTCTGCAGCCCCTCCTTATCCTCAGCACACTCTCGTCGCTCTCTTTTCTTCGCGTCTCTCGATCTTCCACCCACCTCCCTCTCCGTTTCGCTCAACATTTTTTTACGCAGCAGTTTTTTTTCCGCTTTCCTTTGCTTCCTATTGATTGCAAAGCGAGCAGTCGATCACTTGAATAATGTCGTGTGAGATGTTTTTTGCATCACGCCTCTCTCTCTGTGTTGCTTCAAACCGCCGCCGATTGTTTGTTCGGAAAGACCGTTCGAAACTGTTGACAAATGGCGAGGAACGGCTATGTGACGTTGATTTCAAACTCAAAGTGCAAAATGAGAAGTCGTCACTTCTATTTTCATTTGTCTGTGGATCATAATACTTGGAAATGGCTTAATATCTCTCCTCATTAGGTTTTAATAGCCTTCACCTGATTACAAGAAGTTCGAAATTGAAAGCATCCAGCGAAATTTTCGTAAAGATAGGATCAGAAAAAAACTACAAAAATCGTCGGAAACGACAATTTTTGGGATTTCGGTTTTGGATTATTAAAAACTTTCGAGGTTTTAAGAGATTATAAAAAAAAAAGTCTCAGTTTTTTCTTAAACTTTGAACCATTTTCGAAGCCTTCACAAATAAAAACTCCAAGAATACCTTCTAGAAAGTGAAAGAAGCCTTAAAACCTTCAATACTTCAATCAAAGTTGATAACAGTCTGAAAGTGATAGCTGCCCTCTTGATTTTTTGCACTTCAGTTTTTGCTTTTCAGACTTTCTTTCCCAGCAAAACGAAGACATTCAAGCAATTCCGATTTTGCCTAGCCTCTTAGCTCTTCTATGGAAACCGCAGTGGGGCGCAAAGTCCAACGAAACTACCGTAACCCACAACAGACGGCGCTGGCATTGAAGACATATTGTTTATGCGGTCCATCTAAGGAGAATTAGACGCAAAAACTGCGAAAGTAGAACGCTTATTCCATTTTTTCGCTCCATTCGGACAGAGTAGAGGCTATTAAATCGTGTCTAGTATAGTTCTTAGAGTAAAAAATAAGAACTTATCGAAGAGAAAATCAAAATCATTGCTTTAAGTAACATTTCGCAAGTCTTGCTGTAAAAAAAAGCTATGATTCTTTTCCAAATTTCAACCGACGAAATCACCTTGTGACAATTTGGAGAAAAAAAAAAGAAGTAAATTGACGTTTCAAGATGGAAATGTTTATTAAAAACTTTCAGAAGCATTTTTTTGTCACTTATAGTGATTCCAAGCCGATAATCTGCCATAGATAGTGTAATTTTGTGAGGAAAAATTATCGAAAATTTAAAAGGAATTGATTGAAAAATATCAATTTTCCAATGGTGATGTAAACCACTTTCCGGAATTTTAGGATTTCCAGCTGAAATCCAAAAAAAGTCATTTTCTCAATTCTTTCTGTCATTTCTACGTTTCGCGATTACTTTCTCCTGACGGAATCAATCGAAACATGGTTCTTTTTTCCAGGAGCGGAATCGATCAAAGGCTGATCAAAGAGACCGTTCGATGTGCGGAGGACCCAGAGAGAATCGCCTAGGGGAACGGCCGAGCACGACGTTCCTCTCGGTTGTTCTTGATGTGCCCTTTAGCAATACGTGCCTGGCACTTGAGCAGAGCCGCCGGAAAGACCTGTTGTGGAAGCGAGGTTCTGAGAAACGATGCAAAAATGCGCCAAACTGAAAAAAAAACGACTCTTTGAAACGAAAAAAAAAGAAGGAAATTCAACGAACCCAGCGGGAACGAAATGAAATTGAACATGGTTCTTAAAAAAACAGTTTCATTTTTTTGGTTTTCACTCATGTTTTAACAATAAATTGGTATGATATTATTAGGAATGATATTTCTGCAGTTAGGAGGAGAATTAGATGAAAAAGGACCTCTAAACTCCCGTAAAAAAACTGAAAATTTTTAATTTATCATATTTTGAGTCTATTTTTTCTTTATCATTCAATCTCTCAGAAATGATCTTTTCTAAAACATAGGATTAAGCTTTCAGATTCAATGTTAACTAAAAAAAGAGCAGAAAAAGAAAAAGTTTTTTTATTCATCTCTCTCATCAGAAAACTTTTTCTTTCAAATCTCTGATAAAAACAATTTTTATCACTGATAATGCAAGCTTTCATAGTATTCCTAGGCGGATCAGCGTGTGCCTTGGTCGGAAAAAGGGCGGCATTCCAGCGTTCGTCGGTTGCAAAGGGCATTTGTCGGCGCGCCTGGAGTCTCGCCGCCGGTTATAGTCACTGCAGGCGGTTTTTCCGAGTGAGCAATGCTCATGTCTGGCGTCTCGCCTATTCTGTTCCGTGGATCAAGTTCGAGCGAGAACGGGAGGCCGAACCGACCAAGGGACTTTTCGGAAAAAAGTACTAGTTTTTTAGAGGAAAATTCCGTTAATGACCATGAATTCCTAACAGAAAAAGTCGAAAGATTGATAGTTTCTCCTTTGAGAACACTTGATAATTATAGCGTTCCAGCCAACAATTTTTACCGTACGAAATCTTTTTCTGAAACTTCATCAATGACCTTTTGGAATAAAAAATTATTAATTTATCTGGGAAATAATTTGAAATTTTTTTTTTTTTGAAGTGAGTAGCGCTTCCGGTTTTTTAGATGAAATTTTATGGATATACGTTAAATAAGCAACTTTAATGAACGGATTCTGCGTAACATGAGCAATATCGCTATGTAGACTTTGTTTTGAAATGTGTTCAGATTTTTCAAATCTTTGTAAAGTTTTCAAATATTTGAAGTTCAATTTTTCAACTTTTAGAACTGCTGCAACGGGAATCTTGCTCAAGTCAAATTTATATGTTTTCACATTTTTTTTTGCGATAACGTTGTAGGTTTATTCCCATAAACTTTTTGAAACCTCATAAGTGAAATCACTGTTCTCCGAACAATGCAAATTATCAAGGATATACTTTGAATATTTAAAGGATTTTCTATTTTCTTTGAAAATCCGTTGAAGAATTTATGGTTGAGCTGAATATATTGCTGATAAAACTCTGAATTTTCGTGAAATTCAAAGCATCTCCATCATAAAACGATCACTTTCTTTATCTTTATAGTCCAGTCACGCCGACCCGATTTTCTCAGAAAAGCTCGTCCGAGGATTATTTGTACTGGTTACTTATCAGGATGCTCCAAGAGGGCCACCCAACACAGAATAGTGCAGGACTCGCAGGTGCTGGCCGCGAGACGTGCTGGCCCGTAACATACAAAGTGCAGGCGTTCTCCCTCAGCAGCGCTCGCCTGCCTTTTCTTCGCTTTCTTTTCGTTCCCTGTTGGTCCTCTGCTGAAGAAATGGGTGAACGGAAAGAGAAAAAACGAACGGCCTAAGGCCCTACGCAAAAAAATGTCGTCCTTTTCCACTTTCTGTTTGCACTGGTGGACGACGATTTCTCCGTGAAAACCGTCACCAGACCGTGAGCTTCTTATTTGGAAAGCTGATGAAAGCTGGGAAGCTGCTGAAAAATTTATGAACACCTCCGCAAAGAATAGAAAAGAAGTTGGAAGCAACTAGAATCCGTCATTTCAAGTCTCAGTGGTTTTTTTGATTTGCAAGAAAATTTCAACCCAAATATAAAAATCCCTTTCACAACAAGAAAGTTTTTATGAAGACAGTTGAAAAATGGAAGTAACTGTAGAAAAAGATTAAAAAGTACTTTAAGATATTTTTGATCCAAGATTTGAAAATCTTTTTTTAGGTGTCTCCGAGTGAGTAATCCTTAAATTTTTTTAACACATGTTGATAAAGAAAAAGAGGGTTTTTCGGCGTTTTTCAAAGCGCGATAAGCATATTATCTGCTAGGAGCCATAGGTTACTGAGAAATTGCACGTCAAAAATGTACACGAAAAAGCTCCTTGGGTTTTTTCGTGGATAAGGTTACTTTTTTGTTTTTTTTTTTATGGTATAGTGAATGACATTAATGTCTTTTATACCTCGAAAAGCAAAATAAAATCTGTTTCTGTTTCTCAATACATTTCCGACAGGCTCTTAGTCCCCTACGGCGCTTGGAAAATATTTCTTTCTAATTTCAAGCAATTATACCTAGCACAATCTACCACAAAAGTTCGGACCAGATCTGCGATGTGTCACTTCCCATTTTCCTTGTCAGTAGCATGAAAATTCTAAGTGGTCGCAAAAACCGACTTCACTATACAAAAATTTTTTTAGGAGTTTTTTTAGGAGATCTCAGGAGTTCTAAACCACTGAAACGTTGTCAATCAGATTTTTTTCATTATTTTGTTGACGGTTGTATTCTTCTTTTAATTTACATTGAAAATCCAAACAGTTTTTTTATCAAACCGAGTTCTTGGAAATCATAGATGTTGCATCAGTGAAGAACTTTATCTGGTGCCTCGATGTGGGTTCAAAAATCATTTCTTTATACAATTTTTTTTCAAATCGCCCGGAAAATGGTAAAAATTCAAAAAATCCATAATGTGCATCGAAAAGTTTAAAATTCAAATTTAATGCAGCACGGTCGCAAAGTTTCTAGTCCTTCCACGTGCTGCCTTTTTCCTGAACAGATAACATATCATTTCACAAGAAACGTATTGAAATACAACTTTTTTGTCTTTTCGATGAATGGATCCAACGAGAAAGTAAACTTGGACAAAAAGAAAGTCTTTTTCCAAGTCTCATCGGTTCTTCGTTTTGTCTTTCTGAACGTTGTTCCTCCGATTTCAACTCGAAGAACTCAGAATGTAGCTGAAGTTGTAGCTGGAGCCAGATGACCGTGCTGTAGGTGGGATCCTCGGAAGGAGAGCCGCCACTACGAGAAAGACTTCACACGGATTAGAGAGGAAACAGATTCTGAAAATTCAAAAATTTTTGTTTGAAAAATGAGAGTTTTCATGAAAATCCCAAGCAGGCACATATGATTCACATGCATGTTTACACAATTTTTGAAAGTAAATTTGCCACAGGGGCACGTTTGCGGTATCATCTTATTAAAATGTTCCTTTCCGCTACTGTATATTAAAAAAATGGATGTTTGATGTTCCGAATATGGAATCATCTGATTTTCGGAATGCGTAGCCGGTTTCAAAAATGATTCCAGTGTCCCTAAAAGCGCAGGTTTTTAAATCGGCCAACCCTCATCGTCCTGACAAAAAAAAAATGGCATGAAAATGAATAGCAGACTTTAGAAGATATCAATGTATGGAACCCCTCATTAAGCTTGATGAATTCGCACAGCTTCTATGGCTGGATAACCATTTCTTTTGCCGTTACCAAGCAGGGTACACATATTTTACAATTTTGTAGAAGATAAAATCACGAACAAGGAATGATCGAGACAGTATCAGCTTTAAAAAAATGCGGTCGATTTTGAATATTTCCTCCGCTCCGGAAATACCGCTTGTTAAAAAACTGACGATGATGACTGGAATTTGCTTCAAATTTTCGAACTTCATCTTGAAGTACCACAAAAGACTGATTTTTGGAACTTTTTTTCTATCTTGTTATTTTTATTTATTTTATTTCAAGTGTTTATTCGTCATTTCGCAATCTGCACAACAAATAAAAAAATCAACACATCAAAACAATCAATTAAATTTAAAAGCTGATCTGTGGAAACGGCTGGAGGAAAAGCTGGAGTCAAGCTCCTTTTAAAGTCAAACTCTTTTCACTTTAAATAAACCGAAATTCACGATCTTTTTACTGTGTGAAGAAACTTAGTCTTTTCATGTTGAGAATAATGAAAATTTCGAGTTAGAACCACAGCAAAGAGGCATAGCTCAGCTGGTAAAGACTCATTTCTAACGTTCACGAGGTCGTAGGTTCGAGTCCCCCCGAGGTCGACAAAATTGAAAGCTGCATGCAGCAAAAGGCTCAATCTCTGCCATCGGCCTTTGGAAAGCCGGCACCGCACTTTTTCCTACGACCTCTCTTGTACCTGATGTTCTACGAACAAACTTCACAACTTCTCTGCCGAAGTCACAGCTCCTGCTGCCGTTCAAAAACAAAGTTAACTCAATTAAAGTCGATTGCACATGTAATCTTACATTGAAGATGCAATAAACAGTTTTTAAACAGATCCACTGTTTTTCAAATGAATAGGGTTGCTTCTGAAAAATTCCTTTCAATTGTAACTTGATCGCAAAAATATTTTTTACAAATAATTATTTTTATTGAGAATAACGAATCCTTGTGCTCCGTTTGTTACATATTTTGGATATGGTAACCCCCTTTTTCCAGAAAACAATTTTCACACAACTTCTCATCAATATTCTATTCGAGACTCAGGTTTTCGAGACTCAATTTGGTGAACTTCAGGACCACTAGACCACTCGAGTTTTTTCTTTCCAAGGTGTTAGCTGAATAGAATTTTATCGTTTAGCTATTTTTAGCCATCGTTCAACATTTCAGAGGCAAAACTGCCTTTGAATTCAAGAAAACTAATATTTAAGAACAATTCTTTCGAATTTCGTCAAGATAATGCTAGGCAAAAGTGTGAGATTTTTTTTCATTCATCAGAAACAATTTTCTTTACTTTGCGATTTTTTTGTCGATTTTCAGTTGATGGTTATCACACAGTTTACTCGATTAACCCATTTTAACGGTTTTGGTAGATTTTTTTTTCAACTTCAACGTCTTTACTCAAAAACTCTATGGCAACTCGATATTTTCAGTATCTTCTATTTAATTAATTTTGATATTTGTTTTTTTTTTTTGAATTTCAGAGAGCAGAATAAAATTGACTATTTTTTCAGCAAACTTACACAGAAAGTTCGAACCTTTGTATATTAGAATTTTACGAGTCTGAAATATAATCATAAGTTGCAACTTTGTGTGTACAGTTTTTTTTTATCGAGTTTTGCATTGCCTTTTCCTTTTTTGATGTAGGATAGTCTGAATTCATGGGGCTTTCGATGACCAGCTCTCATTTTTTCCAATTCTATATAATTTTTTTTCCCTTTTTATGAACTGTTGGAATACCACGCCTTTCTAATAAATACTTTTTATCTCTACGTGAGATGGGTATATAAGGCGGCCCTTTTACCTTTTTGACACTTCTTCATTCTACCAATAAACCTGCCACTTCAACTTCGACTTTGGGCTACCGCGGACAGAACATGAACTTTTTTTTGCACTGTCAGAAAATATGACTATTGTTCGTTTTATTGGTAATAAAAAGTCCATGACTTTTCGAAAGTTTAAATTCAGTTCGACTTGTTTTTTTTCAGTTGAAAGCCTTCTTTTTTTAAATATGAAGCATCAGAACAGTTGAGAAGGTTCAAAAAAAAAGCCAGAAGTATCAGGTTCACCAGCCTACCTTTAAGACAGCTATATGTTGAATAGCGGAAAAAAACCTCTTTTTCTTCATCAACACGAAATATGTTGAATAGCGGAATTCTACCAATAAGAGAGGTCATACTTGGTTTGGAAATTTCTGCGAATCCGCTCAAAAATCTTAAAACTAGAAAGTAAGGACTATTAAGGGATCTTCATCTAGATTTTTGAAGGGTTTTTGAGCGCATTTTTAGAAATTTCCCAATCGCAAAGTGAAATGACATTACTTGTCCGATGGTGAGATTTTACATGAAGAGTTACAAGTTCTTCCGATCCCGTTTTTTTTTTTGGAGCCTCAATCGATTAATTTTGCATGAGCTATAATATTCAGGAGGCTCATCAGATGTTTGCGGTACAATTCATTCCAAGGTCCTATCTTCGTCCTGGAGAGCTGGAGGTCAATGACTGGATGTCAATAGTTGCTTCAGAAAGGAAAAAAAAAGAAACTAATTTCTCCAACTTAGCAGAGCTATTGCAAGCTTTTCAATCATTCACTAATAGGTTGAGATAGAAAATATTTTCTTTCAGGGGATACAGTGTAACTCATCAGTTTTCAATTTCTGAGGAATCGAACGAAGGACGAATTAAAGAAAAAAAAAGAGGTATACCCACATTGATGTTTTACGCTCCAATTAAAACATCTAAGTAATATCGCGCGAGAAAATGCACAATCGCTTCAAATTTGGGAAGGAGAACTTGTGGAGACGACCCAATTGCGGTCAGCAGGAGTCGTCTGTTGCGTCCCACCGATCCGTGACCTACATGAATTCAAAGCGCCAGCGGCGTGAAATACACATCCGCAGAGATTTCATTATTCATCCGTTTGTTGCTTTTTCCAACATTCTCAACATCTTTCAAGTGGACCGCGATTGTCTTTTTTTTTCCTCTGTCGATTCGCAACTTTTTCAAGTTAATTTGATTGATCATTGTTGTTCCGCGATCAGTTGACTATTGATTGAATTTGGCAGAGGATGAGTTCCTCTCAATCTTCGGACCGTCGTTCGTCCGAAGAGAGGGTAAAGCTCCAGCGAGTCTTCAAAGAGAAGACTTTTATAGCCAGAGAGTCTTTGCTGACGTGAGTAAAATTAGAGTAAAAGGTTATAATTTTCGATTTAAGGACGGAATTCCGAAATGGTAACATGCAAATCATCTATAATGGGTTCGCCGCCGTGTTCATTTTATTTTTCCTACGTGCTTTGATTTCGGACATTTTCGTACATGGAGTGTAAGGAAGACTGATTTTCCATTGAAAAACAAAGAAAAAGGCCTTTGCACCACACCTGGCTGATTTGGTGGAACTTTCGGGATTTTATTCCAACTATGCTCGTTTGGTCTGCAATGTTTGCATCGACTTTTTTGGTCTACAGCGCTTTCAAACTTTGGGCCCATGTTCCTGCCAAAACCGTAAAGATCTCTGAACAGGTTGGTTCGTTTGCAAAAGAAATGAGATTTCGAATTTGATAGAGAGATGGGATGGGCTAAATGTGATCTCTTAGATTTTTTAAAGGTCTTTTTATGTAATTTATTGAGCTCTTGCTTGAGACATTATGCTTGAGACACTTGAAACTTGAAACTTGAGACAATAAGAGTCCTTAAAAAATCAGTAAAATAGTGTCTAAAAAGGTCTTTGGGTATTCCGTCCCCAGATTGACGAAGTAAGCGAGTATTAGATACCTTTCGAAAAATTTTTGATCTTTAAAAAAGTAACGATTGCCTTGTGACTGAACTAAAAACCGAAATTTGCAGATACCCCTTCTCGCCGTTTACTTATCCTACCTCACGGCTTTCTTTTACTTCCCTCTCAAATTCCTTTTCGCCATGGAGCTCAACTGCGCTTGTTCATTTATCATAACCTGTGAAACGGTTTGTTGAACTTCAAAGCTTTCTTCAAAAAAGATTTCAGACTCGTATAGCCATGAAAATGCATTCCTTCATTCGGGAGAACTGGTCTAAAGCTGTGATCAGAAAAACTTCCGCAGATCCGGTCAAGGTTTGTTTTTTGATTTCTATAGATTAATATAGAATTTTTAACTTTTTCCGCCTGGCGAGGTAACCGATTGGCCTTCAGTGGAGCAGTTTGTGTACTTTCAATTTTGTCCTTCTTTTATCTATCGGGATGAGTATCCAAGGTTTGATTTTTTTAAAATTCATTCCTCGTTAAACCTTTCAAGTTTGTATTTTTTTGTATTTGAAAAAATTTCCTGCAGGAATTCGAAGCCTTTTTGACAGAATTGGATAACTCAACTGTCTGTTGCTCGAAAAAAATTAAAATTTTTCTTTTTTTCATCGTTAAATTTTTTTGACCTGTCTGACTTTTTTTATCAAAACTTTTCTATTTTTTTCAATTCTCTAGGGCTTCTTATTCTTTACTTTGGGTTTCAGAACTCAAAAAAACGAGACCTCAAGGCCGCTGGATATTATTTCCTTGAATGCCTTCTGAACATCGAATTCGTGAATCTGGCGTTCACCCAATGGGCTTTTCCTATTTTACATGTTCAAGATGTAAGATTTTAAAGTTAAAATTCAAAGCCAAAACTTTTAAAATTCACAGTATCCATCTCTGACCGTCTCGAACATATTTCTATCTCTATTCACGGGTATCGTTCCGGGTATCATTTGCCTGGTTTGTTTGTTCTACGGACTTTTGCACTGCTGGCTCAACTGTTTTTCTGAGCTTCTACAGTTCGCCGACCGACAATTTTACCATGTAAGGACTCCGAAAGATTCTCAAAGGGCCAATTTTTGTAGAACTGGTGGAATTCCTCGAACATGGCCGAGTATTATCGAAATTGGAACCTCGTCGTCCATGATTGGTTATACGCGTATGTCTTCCGAGATCTGTCTGCGGTAGGTCAAGCATCGAGGAATAATTAGTGAAGAAAAATCAGGTTCTTCCCGGCAAGAAAGGGCTGAAAATCGCCCAGACAGCTGTTTTCTTCTTGTCGGCTGCTTTTCATGAATACTGGTAAGTATAACTTTTGCTTCTAAATAAAACGACACAAAATTCATTTTCTGAAAATTAATCTAGCTTTTTGGAGTGATAGAAACTGTAGAAAGATAGAAGAGATTGCTCAATACGGCCTTTTTCAATTATTCAACAAAGTGTGAAAGATTTTCTATTAATTTTTTATAACTTCAGGTTTGGAATCGCTTTCCGGACTTTCTACCCGGTTATGTTCATATTATACTTCATTTTTGGAGGTTTTCATAACCGAACAATTTCCTTTGAAAGCTCATTTCCAGGAATCTTCTTCTCCGTTTCTCGCTTAATAAGCAGCCGGAGTGCATGGAACACGGCCCTATGGTTTAACCTGCTTATCGGTGGAAAACTTTCTCTCAAATGGAATAACCTCATTAAATTAAAGGGACGGGAATGTTCATCGCGTTTTATGGACAAGAGTGGTACGCGAGAAGAGGTCATTGTGCGCCGTATTCATCACAAATCCTCGACGCTCTTCTCCCAAGACACTGGGCTTGCCAACGTGTTTGATTCTAATTTATTCATGTGAATAGGCTTTTTTTGTTTTCTTTTTGTCTCTTTTGGCCGTGCAATAACTAACAATCTAAGCGAAAAATGAATTCATAAATATCTAGATCAAAAGCATTTCTCATAAAAATCACATGTACATGAAAAAACTAGAAGCAACTCGTAAAAGCACTAAAGTTGCATTTTCTGTACATACAAGTATCGAAAGCCGCAAAAAGAAAAGAAATCAGATTAAAATTTACAATTTCGAGCGCTCCTTTGTCGCCTTGTTCACCACAGATCGCATATCCATCAACGCTCTCTCGAGCTCTTTGGCGAATCTGAAACGGCAGAGTTAATTAAAAAAATTCTTTTTTTGATTTTTATATATAAAGTTATATGAAAAGTTGAAGAGGCAAATTCCCATGTCTCAACCAAAAAAAAAATATTTCTCGGCTAGTGAACGTTTCTAAACAAAGAAAAGTTGGCCCTAAAGTACCCACTTCTTCGAACTTGTCGACCCGTAACTTTTGAAAGTCGAGATGCAGAAGTGCAGTTCTTTTTCTTGCGGATTGTAGCAAACGCCTGAAAAATCAAAATTTTTGTCATGAATGGAAATGAAATGAAATATCACCATAACAATCAGGGGCTGAAGGTCCAAAGCACATCTGAATGAAGTGGCGCGTCGGGACCTGAAATCAAGTAAGTAATGATAAGAGAAAAAGATATAAAAATTTTTTTGATCATCAAGTTTAAAAAAAATTTTTCCACACTATATAATTGCTTCTCAAAATTATACAAGATTTTTTTACCTGACTAGTGGAAACTTGAAAATGCATCAACTGTTGATACGCATGCGTTCCGTACAACAGAGGAGTTGGCAGGTTATTTTCCGAAGCCAACAACTTCCAGGCCAGAAGGTGTCGATCCATACCAGCAGCGTTCATGCAATCAACCTGGAAATCTTATTGAAAGATCTAAAAATCGACAAAAGCAGGAATTTATCTTTAAACCGTATATTTTTTGTGAGCATTTGCGGCATGTTGGAGTGCTTCGAAAGTGTCTTGAATCGGCGCTGGCGGCGTCGAAGTCATCTGAAAAGTTTTAATTCATTTTGAGCAATATTATTCGGAATACCTTTTTCACGAAGGAAACTGCAGCAAGATTTGGAGATCGAATGTTTTCCGTTCTTCCATCCACGAATTTCCTTAGAGTCGCTGTTTCATAAGTTGGTGGGACTAAAGTTTTTTGTTCATGGTGAATTAGGAAAGGAACAAACATGAAGAATGTATCCTGTAGAAAGCCAGTTGGAAAGCCAACTGGATGAATGAGTCGGGAGACACTTTTGCCGTTTTTGGGAGGTTTTTTCCATAAACCTTGAACGTGTAGGCGACGACATCGAGATCTTGGGCAACACTAAAAATAATAATGGCTCTAAAAAAAACAGGTAGTGCACTTACTAGTCCATTTTCTTCGAGCTCTTTTTGATTTGAGTTTTGACATTTTCATCGAGGTTGAAGTCCAGCCGTTCAACATCTAGAGAACCGGCAGATCCTGAGTCAGTGAAGGCCGCTTGATCGCTGAAAAACATCTTGAATTTGTCTTTTTTCAAAATCGACAAAAGTTGTGAAAGGCCTGAAAAAGCGCTTGAGCATTTTTCGTTTGAAGATGGATTCTACGAAAGTCTTCGAGTAGCTTGAAAAAGGTTTTCCTCTTGATGCGTGGGAATTTTTCGGAACTCAGTTGAAAACCTCAAAAATTTTTTGGGTTGAGATTCTGGAAGTCTTATAATGCATGAATGACATTTTCTAGTTTTTGCAAACTTCGCAACTTTTCTTGAGGTTTTGAAAGCTGCTTACAAACTTTTTTTCAGAGAACCATTTGAAGCATTTAAAGTGACCACCTTACTAGTTAAGAGACTTCAAATAGATTCCTCGAGAACAGATTTGATTGTGAAATCCCAAAAAGTTTTCTAGAAAGCTCACAATTTATCGCAGATAAAATCCATCATAGTAGCAACTGGAGGCCCCTCCGCAGGAGTGTGTTCATACGTCATTCCACAATATCCATTAGATCCTATCACAAACTGAAAAACCTCTATGAATTTTTTCTTTCGGATTCTGAAAAACCTGAATGGTTTTATCGAACCATCGATTGGTTGAGTTGCTCTTACTGCCGCCTCCGTGAAGCGACTAAATAATTTTCATAAACTTTCTTCGGAATTTCGAAGCAACAGACCTGTCTGCTCTGTTCGTCTCTTTCAGTATATCCTGGCAGAGGTTCTGAAGGTTTGTCCAAGCAAAGTGCAAAAAGCGCAGATTCAATCTTCTCCAAATTTTTTTTATTACTATCATTCTCTGTAAACCATGACTATTGGTAGGGAATCCCTTTAAAAAAAAACCTTTCAAAATTTCATAGGATGTCGCCCATTTATCTCGGTTATCTGAAGAAATGATACCAACCGGATCGGATTGTTCTTTCTCACTCTGAGAGACAACCTGGAATAGCGAATTGAAGTGAAAAATTTAACAATCGCGCATTTCAAACTTGTTCCAGCTGTTTGCGAATGTCGGAAACGGACAAAGGCTGTTTTTGGTCGTCAAGAACTTTCACTCGGAAAACCTTGAATTTCAATATTTTCTTTGGAGAGAACTTATTCTTACATGTCCATGTCGCATGACAACGATGTGCTGTAAGGTATGACCGTAATCACATCCGTATTTTATGATATCAGCCGATTTCCTTGGTATCCTCGTGGTGCCAAAAAGATAGTTGTACTGGCTCATATCGAATGGGACGTTGCCGGCCATGTCCGGAGGTAGATTACCACTGAAAAAGGGGTAGATTACAACTGACTTTTTTGCTATTTTATTCACCTCAACTGAAAAAGTTTGGCTTGTTTGTTTTTTTTTTATTCATAACCCCTATGAAAAGAGTTTTCGCCATATTTTTTTGTAAATTCTTCTCAAAACTATGAATACCAGAAAGGCATGAAAAATATAAGATAAGTCCTGATTTCTGTTTCAGAATCATTTTAGAGTGATATCAAATTTGGAAAGCCACCGTGAAGTTTTTAAATTATTTTTTTGACCTGAGTGAACTTGATAATGAAAAAAAGTTCAGTGATAAAAATATATTTCTTGATTTTTAGTTCAGTTTTTCTCTTCTGATATCAAAAAAATACTTTAATAGACTGAAACCTTGAAGCAAGGAGATAAAAATTAACAGCTGCCTGGGTGATTTTGGCAGCGTGTTCCAATTGTCCATCAAGCCCATCAAAGTCGAATTTAGGGAACATGACGCCCGGAGACGTGACCACGGGAAGAGGCGTCCGAGCCATCAAATAAGCCACGTTCAGCCACCATGGCGTCAGCTGCAGGATTAAATCGTACTTACACCATTAACACCTTATCAACTTTCTGTATATCATTGATAATTTAATCAGAGTACTTCGTAACTTTTGACGTCGATTTATAGAAACTTTATGGGAATTTTTGCACACGATCTTGTTTTTTTGAATATTTAATGTTGCAAAGCGTTTCCGACCACAATCGACTTTCGCCTGCAGACGTCCATAATAGCCATAAACCATATTTTGTTGATTTTTCAAGCTTTATAATGGTTCGATGGTTCAAATTTCGAAAATAAAACTCCATTCGAGACTGGGAAAACATCGCTATCTACTCATCACCACTATTTTTAATCAAAAAATGAAGCCAGCAATGAAAAAAAGTTCATATGTGAAGCTTGGAAAAAAGTCTCGGCAGGAACTACCGTCATACCCAATTCTGATGCTCCTTCGCTCGTTGCTCGAGCAACTGCTGCAACTTGGGCAATTCATTTCCGGCGAATTCAGCCACGACCTGCAACGAGTCTCGATGCCAATGCATTTCAAGGCAGAAGGGATACCTTTTTCGTCTCTTCGAACTCTTTAGGGGATTCGATTGCATTGGCAAACTCGAGAAAATGCTTCAAAGTTTTGGCCGGCTGAGGCACGGGAAGTCGAGGCAGAGTTGTTTGCGACTTGTCTAAGAAAAAAAAATGGGGAAAATTGAGAGAGAAATGAAAAAAAATAAAAAATAAATAAGTAAGCGACTGATCCAGTGCCGAGAATCTTTGAAACCAAAACAAACAGACGCGAGAAAACCTACCAGATGCGTCCCTTTGGGCCGTTCGAAGCAGAACTTGACTTCCGCTCGAAACTACGCTTTTTCTCATCACGCTCTGAAATTTTCAAATAGAGAGTTTTGAAAAATAAACTATGGATGAGATTCTGATGCCGCACTACAAAGCAAACTCGTTTTATCAATGCTTTCCTATGACGCTATAACGTAGTGCGCGTTCGTAGCCGGTCAAACGTAGTCTGTTATAGTTTGGGACGTTGGTCTTTTTCAGTACGGGAGTTTGTTATTTTGTGAGAATTTAGAATGAAAACTGTTAGTTCGCAGCGAACGAAAATCCTCAAAAATATGAATTTTTAATCAGTTCATTATATCAGAGGATCTTCTCCGAAGACTGAATAGATTTGTAAATTTTTAATCAATGATGCACTAAAGAAATTTTTATATGAAATTTTTTTTTGTCAAGAACCATAGTGAAAACACTATCAAAAAATGTATGTGTAAAGTGTCTTTAACTCGAAAAACAAGAAATCTTGCCAGTAAAAGCTCAAAAACACTCGTTTTTAGGACTTCCCGAGTGTGCTGAGAAGTATTCGAGTTCATTCGCTAACTGGATTTCCCTATAATTAAACCCAATAAGTTCATCTACCGATAAAAAATATGAACTTACAAAAAGACAAGAACTAGAACTGGAATAGAGAACAAAAGCTCTGAAAATTCCCTCTATTAAACCTCATAATTCAAGTCCAATCATCGGAAAAAAGCCCAAATTTTTTGTGGACTGATTGAATGAATAAAAAAACGAGTGAATGTCAATAAACTGACCACTGAGCGTGCGGCCGAAAGGAGCATCTTTCAACTGGTCAGGAAGTATCTGAAAAACGCTAAGAATGTGTTCAGAAGCGAAGAGCCGCCACGCGATGAACCAACGACCCAAGACGAGAGAGCAGTCGAAAGGAGAGACGGACGCAAAACAACACACCGATCAAACGAGAACCGAGGCGCAGAGAAAAAATATGGACTGCCAGTGAGTCCCAGCGGGTCGGTCTTTGGGATGGAGGGCGTTCTTTTTCGGTGAGGCTTGATGAAAGTACAAACACGGTGGTTCATTAGGAAGGCGGAGTTAATTAAAAATTAGTGCGAGGAGGAAAAGACTTGCTTCCCACATGAATATTTCAGAAGACCGCCTGTTCTTTCTTTTTTAATGGAATGTTTGAAGAAAAGCGGTTCAACCGATAAGGAAAAGTTACTTGGAATTTACTAATAAAATAATTTGAACATCTATTGAAAATGAACAATTTTACGAATGTCGTTATTTTTGTGATTTTTTTTGAAGATCGTTTTAATCATTAGCAAAATCGACATTCAAAAAAATCCCGAAACAGAAGCTTCATGGTCAAAAAAAGCCACCGGTGGAATTTTTGAATCTAAAATTTTCTAGTTTCAGCAAGTAAATATTTTTCTGGATTTCTCAATCAATTTTATCTCAAATTGATTTTTTTAAAAAAATGATGTCTTAAATACTCATAATTTTTCATTCAAAAATAAATTCAGAAAAAGTTACTTCAGGAGTTTTTTTAATAGGAAGAAATGGAAATTCGAGAAACTGTACTATACTACACAGATAACCAACATAAAACATTCAAAAACGGTTTCAGATAACAAATCGTGAGATAAAGTTTTGCTACAAATTCTCGAAAATAAAGCGCAATATTGTTTTCAGTTACAGTAAATGGATGCCGTTTAAAGAACAGCGTGCCGTTTGATGACAAGAGACGCTTTGAAGACGTTCAGAAGGAAGAACTTTGATAAAAACTATCGAACACTTTTTCGATTTCTCTCAGCAACAGGGCAAATCAAACTGAAAAAAAGCTGTCTGAATCGAAAACAGCGCAAAAAACAAAAAAAACTGCTCTCTTGTCTCTTATTTTTTCTCCTTACACAACAAACAAAAGATGAAAATTTAACTGTTTTGAAGTCATCGCTCAAATTTTAACATTTCGAGCTTTCTTTTCGGTTTCGTTTTTAATATTGATCGCTTTTTAGAGAATAAATTATGACCAGTAGAGATAACAATCAAACTTTTGTTTGTTCGTTGCGAAGAAGACATTTTATAACGAACAAATTATCAACTTAACTCTATCTTTTAATGTTACAAACGACTTCCCTGAGGACTCTTGATAGAGAAGAACTTCCAAAACAATTCTAAAAAAACACTTTGAACCTTTTAGCAGAATCTCCAATATTTTCCGATATTGTTATTAGAATTTTCGGAAAAGACAATGTGTCCCCCAATTTTTTTTCTTTCTGGAATTGGGAGCAATTTTTGTTGATTAGTTTCATTCCCTTTAGAATGATAGGGAAGCCACAGATCAAAAAAAAAATGAATACAACATGTTCCTGCAAAGAAATCTTCCTATAGAAAAATCAGAAAATCATGAGTTGAAGTAGGGATGAAATAACTGTGAAGCAGAAAGAACGAGGATTTTAAAAAAAGCGTTTAAGAAGTGTTTTGGAGTGATTTCGAAATTCGAACTTTTCTGTTGAAGTAATCGAAACAACAAAAAAACGAAGGGCAATCAAACTTTATTGATAACCAAAAATATCTGTACAGGTCAGAAAAAATGGTAGCAAAGTCCTCCTAGGCACGTGACTCAAAGGTAAAACTTTGTGTTTTCCCCAGCAATGAGGACAAACGTAGCGTTTTGAGACGGGAATCGTCATATGAAATGATAGAAGTTTACAGTTTGAAGAATATCGAACGTTTTACTGATTTATATTCAAAAAACGGAGTTCCTTACCAATTAATTGGAGAAAATTTTGCCTTTCATCCGGTTTTATATAATTCACTTCAAAATTTGCTTGAGGTGGTATTTTTTTTGACGATGAGTCTGAAAATGAAGACAGAAGAAGCTTTTCAGCCAGATTTTCTTTGAGTCAAAACCCTCAGAATACGAAAAAAGTCTTCTCTTTTAGCAAAATTGGAATGGTGGTTCCAGCCGCTTCAAGGAAGAGGCTAAAAAAGGCTGCATGAAGGCACCAAAAAGGCAACAAAGAAAGTTCCTTTATCGAGCGTTTTATTTTTTCAGAATTTTAAAAGCTCAAGAAATGGTGAAAAAAGGAGAGGCAGCAAAAATGGGGCACAAGTGCCGAAAAAAAGGCGCAAAAAGGCAGGAAAAAAGAGCCTTCGTCACCCTAAAGGAACATTTCTATGGACCCTTCCAGCAACATTTATGAACCCTCGGAGGTCCCTTCCGACCTTGCCTATAAAAGTTTCAGATCAACAGACACATTAAAAAGTGTATTTGAATGATATATGATACTCCGTGACTTTTTAAAATCTCTACTGAGGTCATTTTTGGCCCTTATAAACTAGGGACCCTTCTAGTTTGAAGAAAAGGGGAGCAAAACTTTACCAAAATAGCTTTGTTTTCATTCAGATGTTTATTGAATGTTTCTTCCGGCTGGTGGAAGTTTTGAGGGAGGTCCGATTGACTTCTGGCGATATGCAATGAGTTGTGACCGTCTGTTGCGCAGGACAAGTGTTCGCCAGGCTCCCCCGACCAAATGAGCCTTCTGTCCCCGTCCAACTTCATACACTCTCATTTTCCTTTTCTCAGTAAATCTTGATCCAAATGTAGTATCCATTATAGTGTACAGTCAGTGTTTAGCAAATATGAATGAAAAACTTTGATTTTTTGCGTATCTGAAAAAAATGTTTATTTTTTTCGACTTTTTGATGAATTTTTCACTAAACTTTTTTTGTATCTCGCATTCTAATCGAGTTATTCAAAAAAATCTTTCATTATTTTATCACACATCAAAATCGATTCTGCCAGGTTTTTTCGACGGAATCATTGATAGCATTGTAACCATAGGAGTATTTTTTTAACCTCAAAGTGTATGCTAAACTTTGAGATTAAACCTTTTTGAGTTGAAAATTGGTTTTTGAATTCCCATAGCATGTTGATAAACAAAAGTCTATATGAAAAAAATAAACCTGAGACTTTTTGAAAGTTGTATACTTGCACCTTTTTTGATTAAAAGGCTTCTTATTTGAGGAATGAACTTTAGAAGTCTGAAAACGTAGTTCTGTCTTAGTTTCGAATCTTAAGTTTCTCATTTCAATGCGCTTAATCGAAATAAATGACTTGAAAACTTATATCAACTATTTCAGCAAATGAACTTCACGATTTCTGATCCCCATTACTAGTCATTCCAAAATAAGTTATCTAAAAAAGCAAAAATAGGCTATTTCTTATCTTATCAGTATCCAGCAGATCCATTTTTTAGAAAACCATCGATTTTTTTTCTCGAATTATGAATTTTTTTTCGAGATCGTTCAGTAAAATTATCATTATTGCTCCCCAATAAACTTCCCAACAAACCCTTAAAAAATCTCCACTTTCTTCCCAAAAAAAACTTCACTTTTGCAGCGTCTCAAATTTGAGCTTTTGTTTGAGAAGTCGAAAAAAACGAAGCCTATTTGTCACATTTCCGTTACTTACTAGTGCATCTTGCGACACGAAACAACTTAATCTAGCCATTACTCAAAAGGAAAGATGGTCCGATCCTATTCCGTTACCAATTTCTAACAGCTGCATCTTTTTCTTGGCTCCGAGAACTTTTTCCTATTCTCTCGGAGTTTTTTGATTTGCCTTGAAATGGGCCACCTGTTCAAATTATATTTTTATTGTTATCCTGGTCTTTTTGGTGTCTCTTTAGCGCTAAGAGATCAGAAAGTAGGCTCCTTAACTTTCAATGAATTATTTTTCCCTTCCAAAGTTTATTTTTTTATAGTAGGAAATCAGAGTTTCTTCACCATTCAGAAGGTATTTTTTTCCATAAAATTTGGCATTTTTTTCCAGTTTTTTTGGCTTCAAGAACTTTTCACGTTGATGGCTTACAAAAAAATGAATAGCAAATAAGGTTTTGAAAAAAATTAAAAAAAGAATTCTTGCTGGAGCTACGGTGTTTAAAATGGTAAAAAAAATTATCAAAATGATTTTTGCGGTTTCAAACACCTGGGAAGTCAAACTATTTCAATATCTTTTGAACTTTATTTTTTTGAAAGCTTTAGTTTTTCCTTAAAAAACTTCCAGGAAATCTTTTTTTCATTTCTCTCTTTCTTGGTATTTTTAGACTTTCGTGGTTTCGTGAAAAGAAAGCTTTCAGACATCGAACCGAGTACCGTCATTTCTGAGCATCGTTTCACGAAAAAATTATTGCCTCGAAAAAAATATCCTTTTGAAAACACCTGTTAGATTGAATCATCACGTTCCCCATCATAAATCTCATATTTCGATTTCAGTTTCTTTCGCGCAACCAAAATTCTTTCTCTAACACGCTTCAAAAAGCCCAATTTGCCTTTTACGGACCCGAGTTCCTTTCGTCATTCTTAAGCTCTGAGATGTTTCATTGGTGGTCCTGCACGTTTGGCTCTAATAATTCTTTTTTTCACTACGTTGCGTAAAAGTAATTTGCGAAAACTGAGACCTTGTCTATTCTTTTTGGTCTCTAGGAGGGCGTCGCAACATTTTGGCGTCCCTGGAGGTTTTGTCGACATTCAAACTATTTCCTTTGCATCGTGAACTTTCAATATACTGGCAACAAGAATTCATTTTGACGCTCCCGGTGGGAGAAGCTGCGACGCTGGCGTCTCCTCTTGCCATGTCCTCGCTTACCTTTTCACGCCCATTTTTGCGGCAGCTACTTTGTCAGCCAATTTTGTTTCGGATTATTTTTCTCTTCTTTTAGCCGATGACTTTATTTTTGCTTTCATGGGATTGGAACGTGAAGTAACTTTTTTTGTAGTCTTATTAATTTTGGTATCCTACTTTCTATTGAAACGTGAAGCAATGTTAACAGTAGTCTTATTAATTTTGGTATCCTACTTTCTATGTGTGAATATATTGTCAAATCTGAACTTTCGATTTGATTTACTTTAAAACGACTTTTTTTAGTCAAATATTTGCGCCGCGTAAGTAGGTTCTGGAAAATTTGAATCTGTACCACCAAAAGCAAACTTCCGATTTTCAAAAGTAAAAATTTCGTTTTTGAAAGCTGAAGGCCTCACTTTGAACGGCTCTCCTTAGCTGTCTTGAAGCATACCAGACTCAAAGCGACTTACGTGAGACGCCATTTTAAATATCGGAGCAAGTGCCGACTGTCGGAAAAGAAAATTCCTTAAGAAAACGCAACGAAATTCCTAAATTTATTCTTCAACACTTTTCTCATTCTTTGAAGACGCTGCTCTGCGGAAATTTTGTGAAGAGTCATTCTTACAGGTGAAAATGCCGATTGTTTGAATATCGTGAATTTTTCATCAAAAAATTTGTGAGCAACTCGTCAAAAATGCGGGCCGACGTCGAACTTCTGTTTGTTCTTTTTGTTGCCGTTTTTGGCGGCTGCCAATGTTCTCTTGAAGCGGAAAAAGACCAACAAGTGAGAATTCAAAAAAATTACGCTCTAAATATGACAACTTGGAGGAGTTGATATCCATTTTCGAATCTCAAAACGAGATCGCAACTAAGGAGAAGTTGATCGAAAAGATTGGGCCTTTCATTGACCCGCCTAATTTCAAGCACCGGAATTATTCAGCCCTGACAGCGGAGCTTTATGTAAGTATCTTGGAAAGATGGCGGAAATCAATAAAACTTTTAGGAGATTCATCGACAGTTCCCTGACCAAACACACGTCTACTCTGCGGGAACATCGGTTCAGGGTAGAGAACTTTGGGTTCTTGTAGTGTCTAGGTATCCGAAGGAGCACAAAAAGAACATTCCTGAGTTCAAATATGTCGCCAACATGCATGGTAACGAGGTGAGATTTTTCGAAAATTATAAATATTCTCTAGCTCAAATGGAAATTAAACCCAAAAGCTTCAACCTGCTTTGCTTTTAGTCTAGCGTTCCTCTTAAAACTGTAGAGGTCACAGATTTTTGAGAAAGTTGCGCAACTTTTTAGGTAACCGGTAGAGTATTACTAATCTCAATGGCTTGGACATTGCTGAATAACTACAAAACGAACCTCTGGATGCACCAGCTGCTGGACAGCACGCGTATCCATTTGATGCCGACTATGAATCCTGATGGGTTCGTTTTTCAAAAACCATTAATTTTCAAAGAAAATCTTCTAGCTATGAATATGCCGAGGAAGGAGATGACAGTGGAGTTGCTGGGAGGTTGAATGCAAACGGCAAAGATTTGAATCGCAACTTTCCGAGCAGGTATATATTAAGTGAAGTCCAAAAAGTTCACCTAGGTCTCTTTATATCAACAATTTCCGAAAATACCAGGATTTGACCTTCTAATCTTCAAATAAATTTAAAGAGAGCTTCTAACCGCAAAGTGAAATAACCTTCCTTGTCAATAATTTTTTTTGAAATCGAAAAAAACCACGACTTGGAATTTCACCAAACGACATTCCGCTGTGCTGCCGCGCCTTTGCGAACTTTGATCGCGCTTTTAATTTTTTTTCTTTTTATTATGGTACTCTATTTTTTTCTGTGCTCTCACAGCAATAACGCTCCATTGATAGCGTGATCTAGATTACACAAGACGCTTCGCGAACGCGCGCAGCGGAACAGCGGAATGTCGTAACCGTCAAGTTTCAAGTCGTGGGGCACAGACTATAGTTAATGTTTAGCGCACGTCCAAATAACAAGAAAAACCTCCAAATCGCAAAACTGAGAATAAAATTCAGATTCCCAAATTATTTCCCTTCGAACGAGCTCCAACCTGAAACAGTGGCAATAATGAACTGGACGAGGCAAATCCCATTTGTTTTATCTGCAAATCTCCACGGAGGAACAACCCTAGGTATTTTCGATTTTGAGAGTACCGTTCATCAACAATTTTTTCAGTAAATTATCCATTTGATGATTTTCCTACAAGAGGAAAGCAGAGGAAGTTCGCACCAGCTCCTGACAATGCCTTGTTTGTACGCTTGGCCTACTCCTACGCTAGAGCTCATGACAGAATGTGGAAAGAGGTGAGGAATTTCGAAATTCAATCGGAGAGATGGGGACTGTTTAGGGTCCCAGATGCTTAGACAACAACCTGAACGTCGCTGTCGATCCGCAGCTTGGAATCATGAACGGAGCTGATTGGTTTGTACTTTTAATAAAGAGTTCCAACAAAAATCTTTCCAGGTACATTGTGAATGGCGGAATGCAAGATTGGAATTACCTACAAACGAACTGTTTCGAAATCACAGTTGAAATGAACTGCGTTAAGTTCCCTCTTGAAAATGAGCTTTGGCCGTTGTGGAATGAGAATAAATACGCACTACTCAACTACATCAGCCTGATTCACGGGTAACTAAACCATATAATTCGAGTCTAGTTTGAATTTATATTCAAGGATAATTCGAAAATTGGTGTTGCTCCTTTACGCACCTTTGTTTTTCGAAAAAATGTAGTCACGAAATTTTCAGAGCTATTCATGGTACGATCCAAGACTCAGTCACAGGAAAAGGTATAGTGAATGCGACTGTCAGTATCGACCAGAAATCAAAAATTGTCGTTAGTTACGGCGAGGGAGAATTCTGGAGACTCGCAAACATGGGAATCTACAATGTAAGTCGGTGATAAAAACGAAAAAAAAAAAGTTTTCAGTTGACTTTTGACCACAATGACTACGTTCCTTACACAACTACAGTTCAAGTGGATAACTTCAACCGGTCGCCATTCATCGAGGTTTCCAAATTCATTTTTTTCAACTTCAGTAAATTGCAGGTGAAACTGCAACGTCTGCACTCTTTGGAGAGTACCACGAAAAGTTCGTTCACAACGACAGAAAAATCTACAGTTCATCCATCCACAAGGAAAAGCGCAGTCCGGCAAACTTTCAAAACTACTGACCAAACCTCTTTTTCTTCTTCCCAATCTTTATTTATATCTTTTACACTCCTTGCTGGAACAAAGTTTCTATTTTAGAATGACCTTCTGACCAAAAATAAACTCAAAATCGTTCACTTGTTCTCCAACTTTCTTGCGCTTGACCCGGGGTGTTTTTGCCGGTATTAACTGCTTTTAATAACAAAAATGACATTCGATCCGTTTTCTTTTCTCGTAATAAAACTGAATTCGATGATAACAGGGCAATGAAATATCAACAGAGACTGAAAGCAATTTGGGAGGAATTGAGTTCGTGAAAAACGTCTGGGCTATTAGATAGAGCAAATGTACAATTTCACCAGTTTTTACTGTTAGTTGTGAAATAAGATGAAAGAGAGTGAGTTCGGTTGAATTCTTTCACAGGGTTGAGCATGTCAGAAAGGGCACCATGAAAGGCAATGGGATGATCACAACAAAAGATGGGAAAAGCACTGAACGAGGCACTTGGAGTGAAATACTCTTTGTAAGGTACATTAATTAATCGAAAATAGATAAATAGGAATGCAACAAAGATGAAATAAAAGTTTTTTGATTAGATTCAAATACAAGCTCATATTAAACACCGCTTAATAAATCGTCCATAAAAGCGTTCCATTCTTGCATCCGACCAAAGGAAGGGATCAGTTTGACTGTTTCGTACATGTTCCTAACGTGTTTCTGAAACTTGGGATTTGTTGTTTATCGAAAATCAAGGATTTTGGTTAGCGTCGCGCTTACTTTCGACAAAGGGATTCTTGAGAAAACTTGTTGTTTCAAAAAATTCTTGACTCATTTTCAGCGTTCAAACCAACGCAATTATGATTATAAGCGGCTATATTCCAGTCAAAAAACTTACTGAAAAAGATGGAATGAGAAGAAGAAGGTTTCCAATCCGAGTTTCAACATTGTCTATACATTCCGTCTCGAAATAGGCGTTTAGTTCTTTGACGGCTGTGTTCGAGGCCTGGAAAATTTGGTGAGAATGTTCATTTTGTGGGTAATCATCAAGAAAAACTGAATGAATTTTTGAGCACATTTGCAGATACCGAATGTTTTCTGAAATCTACTCTGAAGCGCCCCAATTACAAATTTTGAAAATTTATCAACTTCCCATTTGATATCAGTTTAATTGGTCAAAAAAATGTTTCGTACTGTTCTGAGATCTGAACTTTTTTTTAGAGTGAAGGATAAGGGTTTCGGTTCAAACTGATATAACGGATTTATCACCGAAAATATGCTTTTTTTGAATTTGGTTTTTTCCCAATGCTGTTAATATAATTTCAGACAGAAACGGTAAAAAAAAATACTGTCGAAAAGGGAGGTCTAAAATGTGTATTTTGAACTTCATCGCACTTTTAAGATTTTTTTCAGTGATCACAAAGTTCCATGCTACGACAAAAAAAGGAAAACCAACTTCTTGGGCATCTTGGGTGCCTTGAGATGAAAGGCTAACGTTTCCAGGATTCCAGAACATAATTTTTCTTAACGTCATCATTTCGCCGATTGTGAGCTGCATGTTTGTGATAGGTATGATGAGTTCCTCAAGGATTTCTCGCATTTCTTGACCATACATCCTGAAGCAGCTGTATCATTTTAGAACCTTTTTAATCAAGCCTACAATTTCCGAACTTTCTGCTCGTCGAGAACATCGACTCCGAGCATCGAGGCTTGTTGTCCGGGAATGATGAAGTTATTGTTGACGAAGACAACCTTGAAAGGAGAAAACGATGACGACAACCGATTTGAGTGATAAGACTCACTCGGTCGCTATAACCCAGTTCTATCGTGTGAAACACGTTGTCGAGTAAAATGTAGCGGAGAGCAAATGCTCGCAATAGTTTGGTCTGAAATCCCCTTCATTTGATGCTAATTGATGAACGCTACGAAAAATTGAATAGACAGAAACTGTATGAGTCAAAACCTTCAAGCTTATTAGTTTTCAAGTACAAATTCAATACTTCTTTGAAGTGCAGTTTCTATTCAATCGTTAAAAAAAGCTCGTGACGGTTAAAATTTTTCATCATGACTAAGTTGAAAAACGAATTCACAAAATTCACCTTGTCAAGTGGATCTTGTAATAACCGGAACTCTGGCAACTTCTCGACCCACTCGAACATCAAAACCATTTGGACCTGTTTGAGAATTGATCAACTTTCATGTTGAGTTCCCAAAAACTTACTTGAAAAATTCGTGCGTAATCTAAAGCGTTTGCAATTCCTCTAAGACCTGTGTCCTATAAAAACCCAGAAATGTGGTCTATAGTGAAATAGGTACTTACGCAGTCAACTGAAAGGATTTCTTCAAGCGAAAAACATAACATTGATCGTCTCCTCCGTTTTTGTTCGGCGTAGTCGTAACACTGTCGGGTGATGGGAGAACAGTCTGGAGGAGGGGAAGGAGGAATCGCAGGAAGGAATACGTCCTAGGCCACAAAAATTTGAATTTTTTAACCAGTTTTTTTTTAGAGATTTATACCCTATACTTTCTTTTTGAGTTTTACAAGCTTTATTGTTTTACAGAGTATTAAAATTGGAAGACCATCTCGTTCAGAATTTAAAAAAAAATGATGGAAACTCTTGTTAAAAATCGGATTGAACTACTTAAAGAACAACAGTAAGTAATGAAACAGCGAATTGAACCATAACAAACAGAATACGTCTGAAAGATCTTCTGAAAAAGCGCTACCCGCAAAATAAGGAACACAGACTCACTGCACTTAATTGAGCGCTAAGTGGTGTAAAAAGCAGAAGAAGCCGGCGAAGTGATGTTCTGATTTTTCGTACTCAACTTTGGGAGAAATCTGCAAATTATTTTTCTATTTCAACTTGAATACAATTTTAAACTCATTTAATAAAAGAAAAAAATATTTATTTGCAGAAACATGTAACATAAAAAAATTTTTACAAAAACCTTTTTCATATTCTTCTTCGTTTGTCGAAGCGTGTCCATTGTGTGCTTCTTTTTTGGGCTGCACGGCTTAAAAAATTGAATCTAGGAGATGATGAAAGCATTCTTTACCTTTTTTATCCATTCCCACTGAGTAGCATTTAGCCAGTCTGCAAGCTCTACAGGCACATCGGGCATCTGAAAATTTCATTTTCTCATTTTTTTTCGAAAAATTTTTTATATCAGGATTTCAATGTGAATAATTCAATGAAATGGTAAACTTAGATAAATTTTTCTAAAATGAAAAAAAAAATGCTTTGAGATGAAACGTTTTTTTTCATTTTCTCTAAGGTTACACGATTCAAGTTTGATCGGAATACTTTCATACTTTTGTCAACTGGACAGTTTCCACCGCGTCGACAGGCGAAACTCATGTTGAAGGTGACCGCGCGACGAAAAAATGCGTTGCAACCGCGACAGGAGCGGACGCCGTAATGGAACCCGTCCGCAGAGTCGCCGCACACCACGCATTGCTCTGCAATCCAATTAAAGTTAGTCAAGGCTCATTTGATGCAGAAAAAGTTTTCAGAGTTCACGTCAGTTTCTACTCTCTGAAGGTTTAATGAAAGTTTTTCTCAGTTGCTACCTAAAAAAACTCAAGTCCTGAGAACTCAAATTCTCTTAGCGCAGATAGTTGAGTATCTTGATTCGAATTTACACAGGATTCTTAGATGAGTTTCAAAAAAACTTGTAAAGTTCGCAAAAAATGTCCTCATCTGAGAGATAAAACTAACTCTCACAGTAAATTTTTCGTTTCTTGAAAAATCCATGTTTTTGAACTTTTTGATTTCAGTTAATTGAAATCATTTTTTGCGTTTAGGGAAGAGTCAGATTTCAGCTGAAGTTTTTTGCTGGCCTAAAGACGTTTTTCCCTTTTTTTTTTCACTTTCGACGGATCAAAAAAATCGTGGGGCTTGAAACGATGATCTCTGAAACGTATCCCACGCTTTGATGGCAACATGAAAAAAAGCGTCTGAACAGATCGAAACTAAGTGTTTTTTTAAAGTGAGGAGTTTTTTTAAATATACAAATCCAACATATGTTTGAAAATCAGAAAAAAAAGAAAAAAATGAGATGAATTTTCTCTTAAGGATCTACCATAAAATTTGAGATCATTAGATCGTTTCACTAAAAATTATTTTTCAGGCTTAGAAGTGGAAAAGATAGAAGAAAATTTCACAAAACGGCTTTTTAACGTATTGACCGAGTGAAAAAAGGAAGAAGACATGAAGGGCAAAGCAAATTTTGAAGTTGTCGAGCAGAAAAGGATCAGAATAAAACAAGTAATCTAAAAAACCCTTACCAGTTTGGCTCAACAGGTCTAACGGCGTTGATGAAGGCTCCATTTCTTTGAATCCAGTTGTCTGGATTGCCTGCCGAAGAACCTTCTTCTCACGAATTTCTGGTAAATATTGAGATGAAGTGAGAACGAAGAAGGGTGAATAACATAGAAGTGAAAACAATCCCGAAGAAAAAAATTTTGAAAAATACGAAAATAATCCAAAACAGAATTAAGTTACCCTTTCGTGAGAGAGAAACAGGAAAAAAAGAGGAAATTGCTATTATAAGAAATTTTTTTACTCATTTGAAAAGAGAACACATGAAGAGAGGTGAAACGGCGATTTCCAACGTTGGAAGAAGCTAATCAAAAATTTGAAAATTGAGGAATCAAGAGATCGAGACAATATTTGACATCGATTATTGGAGAGTGTAACGGCTGCCGGGTTCTTGACAAGACAGCGACGACGAGACGAAAAGACGAGAGTGGGAGGTAAAAGGGAGACGACAGACGACGAGCGGGCGACGAGCACGTGCTCCTCCCGCGTTGGGATACCTTTGAAGGCGCGTCTTCAGTACAGTGTAGTTTTGTACTTTTGATGAGAAGCTTCTTCAAATTTTTTCCACACGACAATCAGAGATTACCTTAAAAAAAATCCATTTCGAATAAAGCATTATCTGATAAAATGACCTGAACTCTCCAAGTGCAAATTACTCTTAGTATGTGTCTGCTCACATTTCGTGATCTCAAGAAGAGAAAATTCAGGCTCCGATCTGAGTTTCAAAAAAACTCAGATCGGAGCCAGAAATTTACTTGAGGACTCATTCCAGATTACTGCGAAGCCCTTGCGGAGGTTAAATGCAACTTACTAGGGAATCCCTCCGGTTGAACTTCTGATAAAACTCTGCGGAATTGTACTTTAGGAGCTCCTGATCTTTAGGAGCTCCTGAAAGAAAAAAGTTCCCGCAATAAATCTTATTTTCGAGTAAAGACGGCACAAAAGCTTGAAAAGCGCTTTTTTGTCATATTTTGCGTTTTTTTTGCGAATCTTGAAGCTTTGAAATGTTCCCTAGTCTTGAAGTAATTTTGGCCAAGATCATCAAAAGTCCAATCGTATTTTTTTTGTAAATATTCACTGCACTTTGCCTTGTACGCAGAATCTGCAGGTTGATGGCTTTAAAATCAAGAAATAAAGCAGATCAGACCTTTCAGATTGATAACCTGGACCTTCAAACATGGTATACTCAAAGAGATTTTGGACAATGATAGTCCTTATTAGAAGATTCAAACAGGCTTTTCTCCTCTTTCTCTTTTTTTAGATTCGAGATTTTTTTAAGTTTTTCTCTTCGATTTGAGAAAATAAAGCTTCGAGAAGAATTTCAACTAAACTTTAAGTTTTCAGTAATATCAGGAAAGAAAATGCACTAAAGTTGACTGAGCAGAAAAAATGTCAAAAAAATTTTTGGAGAGTTTTTAAACAAAACAAGAACACAAAAAAGGTCTCATAGAATCAAGAAACAGAAGGACATTGTTGTAGACTACTCCAATCATGAATTCTTTGGATTTCCGCAAAAAACCTGTTTCTTCATCAGTTTCAGACAGAATTTTGTTCATTACTCCTAAGTCCGGGGTAATTAAATTACTCAGATGGACAGAATGAGATGAAGCAAATAACAGTGAAATATGTACAGAAGAAGAAAAAAACCTCAAAAACGCTCCCAAGTTTGTGAAGTAAATACACAGAAAAAAATCTCTAGTGAAAACAAAATACAAAATAGCAATTATCCCATCTCTTTCATGGAAACTGAATAAGTTATTCAAAGTTGATTGACTCGTCCCGGCAGTTTCGACATCTGTGCGGTGGGACGCGTTTTCTGTAACCAAGAATAGTTTTTTTTGTTGTGCTCCCAAATCCCTTTTTCCAATAGAAAACTTTTCTACGTCTGCTTTGAAATCTTTGCGCTCAGTACTATTCGGGACTGACTACAGCTAACAGTAGGGCTTTCAAGTTATTTCAAACAAATTCCGGTTTTAAAGGGTTTCAGAGCCCCAGAGGTCCTCCAAACTTCTACGAATTTCTAAGAATTATTCTTCAAAATTAAAAAAAAAAATGAAAGTTCATGATGTGAATAATTGTTTAAAAGTGAGATCATCAGCAGAAACCGATTTTTTCCAAGCTTAGAAGATCAAAACTCATTTCAAGGAAAATTTTGGATATATTTTGAGTACATAAAAATTCAGACATTTGGTGATTTTGAGATCATTCTAAATTTCAATTGGCATCTGGAGATTTCGACCTGAATTAAAATTGTATAAGAGTTTCTCAAGGGTCTCGTGTTTTGAAAAGATTAACTTCGACATGGGAACTTGAAAAAATCCAGCCACATCCAACGTTCTCATCGAACAATTTTACTATCAAATTGGTTCTTGGGATCCTGTGGCCTATAAATAACGGTGAATTCATCTCAAAATCACTTCGGTTCGTCCAACATGCATCTGAAGATCTTCATTACTTTTCTGGTCGCACTCATCGGTGTCCTGTCTGCGTCCGCGTCCGCGTCCGACGATGAATCCATCTCGAGAAAAGTGTACTGCTACAAACACTATCACTGCAATGGCGTAAATGCAAAGTGTATCAACAACAAGTGCATTTCCATTCTTTTCACATTCCGCCCACCCATTAACCCATTGGATAAATGAAAGTTGGAATAAATGTTGTTCTCATCTTTTTTTTTTAGAAACTGTGATGAATAAGAAAAAGTGCAGCGTCTCAACATTTTATTTCAGAACACTTTTTTTCAAGCTTTTTGGATGTGGTTTTGAGGTCAAAAATTTAGAAAAGCTCAAAATTGGTGTAAATAGCTTTGAAACAACGAACAATTTTTTTATTTTTTTAGTTTTTGTAAAATAATACGTGAACCTTTTTGCTTCGCATGAAGATTCTTTTGAATATGCGATAGAGATAAATAGAGAAATATTAGTTATTTAACATCCAAATTAGTTCTAGATGGAAGCTCAGAATGAAATAAGATGAAGTGGAACTTCTCCGAAGGCCGTTATTACAGAATTAACCTTATTTAAAAGTTAAAATGAAAACTATGAGTTAATATTCTCACTGAAGATTATTTATCTTTTGGGCTCATCGAAGTCCGTGTAAATTCTATACTCAAAGTGGTTGCTTTCATTCCGAAGCTCCCACTTACAGGAGGGACTCCGGGCTTCAACCCAAGATTCATTACATTCTGAGCTCGCCAAGGCGCAACTGAATGGACTACGCGCAGAAGAACGAGGCGAAGGACCGTAAGACCATGCTTTCAACTCGAACAACTATGGACTTCTAGTTTGCCGAAGGCGGTTTTTCATTATAACTTTTAAAGTCCTTGTTCACCGCCTAGTCGATGACATCTATGACTAAAACAACAAAATTAATGATTTGATTGATTGATTGATGAACAAAAAGGCCTTACTACGTGAGTCATGTCAAGTTTTAACAAGCTCAAAAGTTTATTTAAAAAAACGTCTACTGAAAACCAGACAATCAAACTGAAACTCCCACCGGTAACCTAGGATACACGACATTTAGCAGAACTTTTTGATGCATTGTCTGATTTGTTGGACCTTTTTTCTTTTCGCATGAGTAAATCGGCTACAAAAGACTTCTCGACATTTTTCGTTCTGTTTTTGTTCACTCCTTGTGGAGTAGCGTTCAATTGTACAACTGAAGACACCCTTTGCAAGGTATTCATTTCGGTGGATGATTTTTTTATAAAATTTGTTGAAAGTAGCAATTATAAAAACTTTGTTTTTTCAAAGGGAGGTACAAACGAGGCAAGTTGAGAAAAATGGCAAAGTGTTTTGAAAGAAAGCTAAGTGATCTTACTATTTCGAGTAACCTTGTCAATAGTGCTCAACTCAATTTTTCCTGTAAAGTAATAAGAAAACTTTCAGACCTGCGACACCTTTGGCCGAAATGCACTAGTCAACACATTTTATGCAGATAACACGTGTTTTCTTTACTTGCATATATCAGATTCTGATATAACTGTGACTACCGTTTCACAGAGATGCGAATATATTTTCACCAATTTGACAAGTACGAGAAAGTCTCATATTCTGCTTGATACAACAATTTCAGACGTTTCCTGTCAGTTGGGTACCGCAAACTCGGCTTATGTTACAAGCCTGGCACAATATGGACTTCGAGCCGTCAGTTTTTTTATTCAACTTTTTTTCTTAATATCGAAAATGTATAAAAGATTCTACAGAATTCATTCACGATTTACTTAAAAGTTTTTTCAAGGTTCTTATTGAACAATTTTAAATCTGAGCCTTTTGGAAGTGTAATATATTGGCTGAAAAAAATGAGTTTTAAAAATCTCCATGATGAACCTTGTTTTTTACGGCAAAATTTTCAATTTATAAGTTCTGGAATCATTCGGGTGAGCTCCTGGAGGAACTCATCCAATGATTTTCATTGTAAATTGCAAAAACTTCAGGTAAATCACTCAATGCTGCTGTCATTGGTCCGCAAAAACTGTTCGGGCAACTGGTATTGGCAGTACTCGAATGGTAGCGAAGTGTTTGCCGGCTTGGCTGATGCCTCTGAGCCTTGCAGTGTTAACAGAGGCGCTTTTAAGGTTATTAACTTCTGTCTTCGCAAAGAAAATGGTTCAAATTGAGTTCAAATTGCGAAAAATCCAGTAGTTCTTAAAAAAGAAGAATTCTGAATTTTAGAACAGCTTTTTCATGAGGATCCATGGTTTGCTTTTAACTTCAAGGCATCTTTCTAAAAACCATTGGGCTTTGCAAAACAGAGTTTTCAGATATTTTGTTTTAACAAAAAAGTCAAAAAACTAAAATAAGTAAATAGATTTTGTTTCCATTCATTGTCGAAGTAGCCGCAAATCAAAAAAAAAACCTTTTTTCATACCATTTTTCAAGAGAGTCATTTAATATTACATCTTTCGGTAATCTACCGGAATTCAATGGTTATTTCCAGGCCTTGGATCTTGTAAGGGTGAACCCAGACAACTTCACGATGACCGGGTGGTTTTGTCAGTGTAGTGAGTAATTTGGATTCCTAATTTTCCAAGTTTAAATAAAACAGTGAAAAATATTTCAGGTCCAAGAAGCTTGATAGCAGCCTCCTGGACGTCAACCGTCATTCCTTCCACTTCCGCGCCTCCAACTACCACAGGAAGTCCTGCACCGGCAACGACTCCGAACACCATGAATTTTCGAACCGGCTTTTCATCTTTATCTCTTGCTTTATTTTTTTGTTTGCTCAAGAAGGTTCTGAAAGGTAGCTAAAAACTAGGGAAAATCCGCAAAGTCAAACGGACTAGGTTTCCCGTTGTTTATGAACTCTCCGAAGTTCAAATCAAGAGCAAAAAACGGAAGAAAAAGAACTTTTGCAGTATATTTCTGTGCCTTCAGAAGGTACATGTAGTGTAGGAATTTTTGACTGTTCTGAAACCGGAAAGTACATGTAGATTCCAGAAACACTTTTTATCAGCTTCAAAAAAAGGGATGATCTTCAAAATTTCCCTAATAAACTATTCGAAAATCTAAACAAATATACGAACAATAATTTTGTCTTTAGGAATAGCCCGTCTGCTAACACAATAAATTTAAATAAGAGCCTGTCGTCGCCATCACGTTTTCTGGCCATTTGGCCTTGCCGATCTCCTCCGTCGCCATTTATGTAGATAAAAACTTGGCGTTTCGCTTTCCTCACGATTTCAGGTCCAACTGTTCCTCGACCTTATTGGAGCAAATTTTTCTTTCTTATTGTTCCTTACGCATTGAGGCAATTGTAATTTCAAAAAAATATCGGCATTTATAATTTGGAATTATTGTTATCACAGAGTTGTTATTCTTTGAATAAATTAATTTGTTGGGTACCTGATTTTTCAAAAAGCCAAAAAAAAATCTAGACGAATTAATTGTAGCTGGTCCTGTGGACCAAAAAAACATGATTTTTTTAGATTTTTTTCAAGGTCAGTACTTTTTTTCATGCTCTAGTCATTCTATTAAGCGAAATTATTTTCGTTCGATTTTATTGTAGTTAGATAGGTTCTTTCACGATCTCCTACGGCATTTTTCGAGGGAAAATTCAAATCATGAGTAAAAAGTTGCGATCAGAAAATCTCGTCTTATTTGAAAGCCTCAAAGAGGAAAGGTCACTTTGCAACCGTGGCGCTCTGAGCCATTCTTTATGCGACCAAAATGCTCCGAATTGATTGACATTACCACTTCTAAATCTCTTCAAAAAAGTGGTCTTTAAATTATCTGAAAAAAATACCTGATTTCCGAGCTTCGCTGTCCGATTTTCCCGTTCAAAATGAGGTTTTCTCTCTAACGGTGTAGACATCATTACCACAGATTCCATTATAATCAGCTAATTTATTGCCGTCGAAACCAACGGTCCAGGTGCTATTGCCGAAATTTTCTTATGCAATCTAGCAAGTGAAACACGTTTCGAGATCCACTATCATGCGCATCCGATTGGCTTTTGTTGCCTACGTACAAACTTCTCACCTTGTCTTACTAAGTTATTGAATATGAGGTTATCAAGAAGTTTTCTTCGAGCTTTCAGAACTAAAACCAAGCAAGTGGGACACATTTTGAGATCTACTATTTTTTTCCAAAAACCTTTGTTTTTTTGAAGCTAAGGATTCAGTTTAAAATTAAGATTTTTCTTCAATTTTTTTGTTACAGATTCCCTCGTCTTTTGATGGTCTACTCAGAATTTTTTTCACAGTCTTTTTTTATTTGTGGTTAACATTAGCTGAGTCAAATCAAAAAGACGTCAAAAATTGCCTCTCAAGGTTCCGGACGAATTTACCCCAAAAATCGTGTGTCGCCCCCTCAAAATAAACCTGTCCTTACATTGCCCACATTCCAACTTTCTAACGACTTCCTCCAAAGTTTTTAAGAAGTTTATTTATTGTTTGATTGGCTGCCTTATGACTAAGAAACTTTTCAAGTTGTTTGTTTTCTTATTCATTCTGCTCAGAATTTCATTTCAAAAGAGCAGTGGCCTTGAAAGTCTCGTGAAATGCCCAATGGCTAAGAGTCCTCCACATGATGTTTGTTGTGACATGTCTTGTGTTCTTACCAGATGCTATAGCCCTTTGTCTTTCGATCAAATTCTCGAGTCTCGTGATCTTTGCCTTTGTTAAATTCACATTGTCAGAGGGCGTCCTTAGTTTTATTCAGTTGGAGGAGTACTGAATTTTTGCTTGCTAAGAAGTATTGAATGAAGAAAAAGAAAACTCGGAACCTTTACAACACAGATAAATGAAGATAAAGGTGTTTTGGATTTGCTGAAGCATTCCCTTGCTCGAAACGTATACCGAGTCCTTGGGCCTTGATGAAATAAAATTTAGGAAAAATCACAAGCTTAGTTCTTTTTTTGAGATTTTTCTATCCTCAAATTTTTTTGAAAAAGAAGTTTGTTTTTTTCTAGGTTTTTTTAGGCTTTTTTTCTAGGTTCTCCTTCTCAATTTTGGAGATCAAAAATTTGATCGCTCAAGTTTTTTTGTCGGCCTTCGCGCAATGATCTGCTGAGATCTTTTTATCGTGTTTCTAATCGTCAACGAATATTTTTGAAAAGCTTTTCAACAAAATAAATTCAATAACTTAATTTCAAAGAGCGTAAACAGGGATTTTTCTGAGCTTGAATTTCAAAAAAACAAAAATCATTTTTCATAATTTTTATAGAAAAAAACTCTCATAGTAACTGTGTTTATCCTTGCACGCTCTAAGTTTTTGTAATCCATTCACGGCAGGACATTTAAAAACTGAGTGTATTCTTGTTTCCGGCCTCAAGTTTTTCGTTCTATTCCTCACAATGTGTTCTCGGAACTGTTGGAAAGTTCAAGCAACTTTTTTCCACTCACCTGTTTTGCATACCCTTTCATGCAAACCAATACGATTGCGACATATATTTCTAAGGAAAAACAGCATTTCCTTTTTTTGGTTTGAAACTTGTTCGGAAAATTGGTAACTGCCCTCTATGACTCACTAATCATCGACAATTCCTTCAAGTTCCCGAGAGACCAGACCTGAAGACCTTTGATCATTTGTCACTTTTTCTTGGGTAATCTGATTAGTTTGAGTGCCGTTCTGAACTCTGGAACGGTCTGGGAACAATTGAAAAGTTTTAAGTAGGCATTTAACATGTAAGAAAAAGCTGAACCGACAAGCAACTCGAGTTTTTCGAGGTTCACAGTGTTTTTTTTTTCAAATTATTGATTAAACTGGTTAGAGTAGATCCTAAAACAAGTCATCTCTTTTTGATACTTCGCATTCTCAGAAATGTAGTTAAAACTCTCAGAAGTATTAAATGAAAATTGTGAGTTTCTCAATCCGTTTTATTTATTTTATAGATCCGAAATTTGAATCGTTTCTATTTTGTTCGATGCTGTTCTTGCCAACAAATTGGAGTTTCAGTGTAAGATTTATAATCTATTCATGAAACTTTCCGAAAAGTTTGTTGGACTGATTTCATTGAAAAAACTTTTCGAATAGTTTAAACTTCACTCCGGTTTGGTTCCTTTTGCAACGCACATTCTTTTTTCTTGATAAAACTTGAAAGTCGTTGAATTTCGATTCGGAAGTAGACACCGAGTTTAGTATAAAAAAACAATGTGCATTCAAACAGACGTTTGGAACAATGCATAAAATCGAAAACTTGTCGGCAAGAGGCAAGAAAAATTGCCGTTTTTGTAAACTTCTCGGAGACGCCCGTAACGTCAAGGTGAAATTCTGAGGTTTTTCCGCGTCGATGCGCCTAGAGAAAGAAAAAAACTGCTGATGGTAAATGCTACCCAAGGGTTAGCCGCTATTTCGACCATCACTGTGACAGAACAAAAAAAGGCAGAAAAAAAAACTCGATTTTGAAACTATCAGTGCGATGGCAATGTTCATTTACCGACGCATTCCTCAATTTTGTGTCTTTTGTCGCCCAGCCACGATCTTTCTCTTGAATCTAGGCGGGTGTTAGCGACGACGTCTCGTGCTTTCTATATCATTGGCCAAAACAAGACCGAATGGGCGTTGGTGAGGTCGCATTTTAACGTCGTCGCCATTGCCGAAAAAAATTCTATCTTCGAGTTAATCGTTTCCATTTGCTCTTGCGGTCTTCCTCCAACTAGCTGAAAATGAGAGACCGTCCTGAACCAGGTACTTCTTATCTTATTCATTTTTCATCCTGTTACAGTTTTTTTCTTTATTTTAACACAAATTATTCTGAAACTCTTTTTGAAAAACATGGAGAAAATAAATAGTTGAAAAAAATATGATTTAGATATGGACATTGCGGCCACTTTCGACCACGAGCCGTTCAGACATACAGATGAGAAATACAAATGCTTGTGCAACAGAATGCATTGCAAGGTTCGTTGGAACTTCGGTTTCTGTTTTTCCAGTTTAGGGGATCCAATGCAGTCTCGAAAAAAAATTAGAAGATTTTTTGAAAACTTGTAGCATTATCTTCTTGAGTTAACGAGCAATATACAAGAGCTTTTTCATTTCATGAAACCGACAAAAACCGGCTTACGCCATCAAAAATCAAATGAATGAAGTTCGGAAATTCTTTCAGCAATACCATCAAGTTGAAGCTCAGAAATTCAGTTTTTTTAATTGAAGGTTCAGTAACTAAACCTTTAAGTAAGCAGAACATACTCTTAACACTACAGAGAGGTTTTTTCAGCAAGGCTGTCGGTACATCTTCATTTTCCTGATTGTCGTCATTGTCGTTGGCCTTATTCTGCTAGCAGTTAATTATAAGTGCGTTTTTTCGAGAAAGAAAAACTTGAAAAAAATAGGTCAACTGTGTTTTTTGTCTGAAGTCACGCTGTATCAATGTGACAGTCCGATTTCCTATGGATGTTTTGGATCTTCGACCCTAATTCCAAACTTGAAACTTCAGCCACGGGACGTGGGCAACATTCATCCTTCACTCGGTGATTCTTGTGGGCATCGGACTATGTGCGGCTACTTTATTCCTTGCCATGAAGACAGAAAAAGAAAAAATGTTACTTCCAGTCGTCGGACTCGCTGTGAGTAATCTCAGGATTTTATTTCAATTTTTATTGTAATTGGCAGGTCCTGGGAGCTGTAGTAGCCTTGATTTTCTTCTTCTTCTGCATCTGGACACTGTTCGATCCAGTCGGAGAAAGCGGCAAAATTGTGAATAATTTCGTCATGACACACAACAACACGCTTCAAAAAGACTATGGCTTGGAAGAAAACCGAGACGGTATGAACAAATTATCGGACCGGCTCTAATCTTACTGTTTCAGATATCCAAACGGTCTCCGCATTCGGAGTAGTCCTTTCGCTTCTGGGACTCGCGGCTAGCATCTGGGTGGCCTTCGTGGTCTACAAGTACTACATGTATCTGAGAGACATGAAACGGGCTCGCAATCCCAAAACTCAAGTCGTTCAGGTTTTCAACTCATTTTGAAGCCCTTCAATAAACAGCAAAATTTCCTTCTAAAAATATTTATGAGAAGCTTTTTTCATCTATGTTAATCTAAAAATTGTAAAATAGCCCTACGTGTCACAATCTCCTTACCGCTACCACATGATTAAAATTTTCTGATGAAAACTTGGAAAAACAATAGTTACCGAGTGTCCTTCTGTATAGCCTTTAACTGACTGAAAAAATTTTTAAGACTGTTCAGGTAGTTATTATTTTATTAAAATTTTGGCCTTCCTTTTATGAAAAAATCAAACTGATAAGATAATTTTTTTAAAAACTGATTATGAAAAAAATTGATAAATTTTTTTCGGGTCATCGGTAATTAAAAGTGTATTTCAGGTCAATCGCGAAGTAACTGCTCTCAAAAAAAGGCTTCACGCAATAATGATCCCTCATTGAACTATTCCTTAACTTTTTAAAGCTTTGCTTCTGACGAGAAACTCCTTTTTCACATTTTAAACTTTGATCGTCCTGTAGATTCGTTCCATTTTTACTCTGTAACTAGTTGTAAATACTCTACTTTTTCCTATTTCGCGAATAATTGATGAACAATTATTTCTTTTTCCCTTTTTATTGTCCAGAAACACGAACTTTTTCGTCCATCGTAAAGGATTCTGCGAAAAGGCGCCAACAGAAATAAAATTTACCAGATTTTGAGTTTTCCCACATGGTATTCACATATTTTCTTACCGAAAGAAGTTACTCCACATCGTAGCTTTTTTCTTTTCGAGCGAAAAATTTATAGAAAAGCTACGAAAAAAAGTAAAAGCGCAAGAAATCCTCTTGACAAAAAGGGGGAAGAGCGCTCCACAGAAATCGTCTCTAATACTCTCTATTTGAATGGTGTTTCACCCATTTCTGACTGGAGCTTGAAACTCGGTTTTGAAGTTAAATGAAAAAAATTTTACAAATCCTATGGACAATGGGATGTCTGAAGAAACTGTGCAAAGAAAACCATACCCTGATTGTTAGAAAGAACCTTAATTTAATTGACATAAGTGTGTTTCTAATATTCGGGGTCCGCAACAGACGCAAACGTTACTGCGGACATTACACCTCAAAAGTGGTAACTATTCAGAAAATGTACGGTAACGGGCGAAGATTAAATTAAATACAGTAGATTTTTGTAAATTCTGTGGAAAAAGCTCGAAAAATTTGAGTTGAAGAATTTTTCAAGGAAAGATTAGAAAAAAACTTGGCCACAAAAGAACAAAAACGTTTCCATTACTTTTGGTTGTACCATCAAATAACTAAAAACCTGAAAATCTAATTTTCTGTTTCCGGCACTAGAGAAAATTTCGCAAACAGGGAGAGAATTTACTTATTATTGGGAAAGTTTCCGAATCAACCTAAGGGATTTCCATCAACGGAAAATTTTTCTTTTCAAAGCCCAAAAAAATAACTCGAGGATCATATTTCAATTTTTTTCAGTAGATATCGAAAAATATAAAGCTAAAGATAAAAATTTTTTTCTCAGAGAGTTGAATTCAAATCGAAAAACATTATTTTATTATTTTTTTGAGAAGTTGAACTTCAATAGAAAGAAAAAAATAGTTTCATATAAAAAAACTTGAGTTTCATATTAAGAACTTTTTTTGAATTCAGATTCAGAACGAAAAAAATAATTTTTCCTTTGTTTGCTGTCAATGTTAACACTCATCTTTCCGGTTTTCATTTAGCGGAAATTTGATTTTTGCGATCAGATCGCATCTTTTTCTTCCTCTCTTCTCAGAGCGTCATTTCCATGCGACTAATTTTTAAAGCGTTTGCGGGAAATAAAAATAAATTTGAAAGACATTGCTTACATTTCTTTGAAGTTGTTTCTAGAATAAAAAAACAAAAAAACAACTTAGAATATACCTTCAATTGTCTTTCTTTTTTTAAGTTTTACAGAAGAAAACACTTCTTTGTGTTCGAATTTGAATGGTTTCACGGTGAGACCGATGTAAACTTTTTTTCCTATCACACGTCTCTGAAAGAAGATATGCAAATTTTTTTCACGAGTTTTGCAGAAGTTTTCCGATTCAACTTTTCTTAAAAAAATAACCCGTTGAAGGAAAAATTGGTTGGATTTTTTCTTACTAAGCCGTTCATAAAAATGTATTTTGTCTTCGTTTCCCTGTTTTAGAGCTGCTCAAAAATTTTTCGTGTTACCGAATATGATGCTGTTTTGCAGAAAAATCAGAAAATTTGATATTTTCTCCTTACGAAGTCTTTTTTCGTGTTCTTTGGTTTTTGGTCGGAAGATTTTGAGGAGTGTAACATGAAAAATACTCAAAAATTCTTGTCGATTTTTTTCTCACTTTGAAAAATGTGTAAGTTATTATTTTTTTCAAATTTTTCAGTTTTTTTCGAGGCTAATTTATAAAAAGTTAGAAATTGACACTAAAATGTTTCTTTTTCAAATGAGAAACATGAAAAAAATTTCAATGAATCTTGCTAACTGAGTTAGTTACAATTCTTTGAAGCAATATGATTGCTTTTTTTGGAATTTAGAAATCAGAAGTTCCCTGGCTCATGTCGCAGATTAAAATTTTGGCTATTCGCTGTAAAATCTAAGCAATTTTGAAAGAGAAGGCTACATTTTCAAAAATCCACTGAAGTTTCCACTAAAACAACCGATGCATCCATAAAAACCTTTGACGAAACTGTCAGATTTTTCGTGAATTTCATCTCACTTCCCATTATTTTATCCAACTTTACATGTTTACTGTGATTTTCGGCCCACTTTCTGTGGATTATGACGAATCATCGCCATAGAAGGATATTTTGCGGTCTGTTTACCGTGCGAGCGAAAGTTCAAACGGGAAACAAGGGATGACGGCTGGTTCTGCGTATTTGCGAGTCTGTAACGAAATATGCAGTGAGCCTCGTGTGTTAAGCCCGCCCGCCGCCGCCGAGGACGAAGGCAGCGCGACGCCGACGGATTCGACGCCAAAACGACGGCGAAATAGCACGCGACAGACCGGCCGGAGTTTCAAGAAATAGTGGGCACCTGTGTTTCAGGCAAAACGAACGTTTTCGTGATTGAGAGGGGTGCGAGTGTTGTGATTTGGCATTCATTTCCAGTGATACAGAAGGCGATGGTATCCCCGAGCGGACGACGGCCTGAGCTGGCGGCGTCGCCGTCGACTTCGAGAAGCTCCAAAAGTCCGCATTTCTTCGAAGACGACATGATCTACCACGAAGTCCGTCGGTTTGACTACGACAACCGCCAGACAGAACCAGTTAGTTTCCTAAAATCTTTTGAAAAAATGGATTGAAGCTGGACCGGTTATAGTTCATCCATCATTCGCTTGGTGGATCATGGAAGACGCTTAAAATCACAATAAATGTCCGATGAGATGAAAAATGGCGGAATCAGACCTAACCCTATTACTTTACAACCCAAAAAAGGTTATACACATCAGATAGTACTAATAAATCTGATACAAACTAAGAGAGATTTTTCAAAATCTGTAAGAATTTTAAGAAAAAAATTTCTATTTAATATTTCTAGTATGGCATCACGAATGAAGCTGATTTCGCTTCCCTTGATCGTTCAAAAAAACTCAAATTTGATTGGTTACCAAATCGTCAAAAAAATTTGTCAACCATAAGGCCGTAAAAGGTCGCGTTTGATCATAAAAGTTCCATCTCTCATAAAACTCCATACTCTCACGAGATATTCCTATTTAATGATTCCGAACTGGTCCTATTAGATTTTTAATATTCCTTGCAGCTGTGGCAAACTAAATCTTTTTTTTTAGCAATCCGTGGCTCTAGAAAGCGCAGAAAAAAAAAACCCTCATCCGTTTTTTCAACATCAAAACGGCATAAATTTTTTTATTTATTTTTTTACAGCCAAGAATTTCCTTCACTTTTATTTTTCAGAAAATTTTAAGAACCTGACTCCAGTTAGACATGTGTAAAGCAACAATTTTGACCATCAGAGAGTCCTAATTTTTTTCCCAAGGATGTGTAACATTTGCTGACTTGAAGATAAATCAGCTTTTTTTTGCTGAAGCCGGAGACAATTTTCCCTTGTCTTAATCTTCACTTTTCCCACATTTTTCGTATTTTATACATAATTCCTTGCATGCTTGAAACAAAAATTACAACCAAGTAGTCCGAATTTTTTTTTTTGCAGACCTTATTGCATTTATTATCATCTTAAGTCTGCGGTGAGAGCCCGAAGTTTAAAAAAAGTACTTCGTTTTTGGTTTATCCTTCAAAAACGAACGTCACTGCCTTGCTTGACTTCTCGGTTTCGAAAAGTTGTTGAAGCTCAATTGGGGCCAAGGGACGCATTTGAGACTGGCGGTCCAGTTGTCACTGAGTTCGTCGGAACCACAAAAGTTTCGTGACATACTTTTCTCAATTTTTCAAAGCTTTTTCTCTACATTTTCCGACTTTACTCGCACTTATCGACTTTTTCAAAAAAGTTTTATAAAAAACGTGCATCTCCAAGGTAACAGAGCTTAGTTTGTTAACAATATAATTTTATTTGAAGCATTTCATTTGATGTTTCAAGACGGCAAAAATGGCCCATTTTTGAAGATTTGAAAATATATTTTCGTTAGATACTCCATTCGCCGCTGGCTTCAAAAAGTATTGCAAAAACGTCTGGACTTTTTTATTTTCGGCGCTCTAAAGAACTTCATCAAGTCTTGTTCCAGACATAATTGAGTTAGATATTTTTGTCCAGTATAATCGAAGATCTGCTCTTCTTGAAACAGTGATTCAATACATGCACTTTTAGCCACTAAATAATCCTTGCAAGCTTTTTGAGGAGGATAATCTTTGCCGAGACCTTGACAATCAAAGAGGAAAGCTTTTAGTGCGGAGGATTTTTCTCAAAATAAATCCACAGCTTCAAAACAACATGCTCTTTGAGTCTATTCCCTTCCATTCGCAAAGTGCCAGGAAATGTCAGCGATTTCTGTAGCTTCAGAGGAAAGTGATTGAAGTGTTGACCCAGCGGCCGACTGTCTTAGCCGCCTCGCTGACCATCTGCGTCGCGGTCTTTGTACGGACCTCTTCTCTAGGTCCACTCGCTCATCTCTCGTCCTTCTCTTCCCAAATTTGGTTCACTGTTCTACTTTTTGTTTTTCAAGAAGTTTGATCATCACTTGTAAAATTTGAACTCTTGGAAAGTATTAATTTCTCTCTATGTTTCAATTTGTATCTGAAGTTGAGAGCGACTTTCATAAAAAAAACATTTGTTTCAAAAATTAGTATCTATAGAGCAGCATTTCCTATGTTTGAAAAAAATTTTGGGACTTTTTGACTGCTTCTAAAATGTTTCTTTTTGAACGCAATCCTGTGAATAAGATTTTTTCATTTTGTATAGAGTTTTAAATCTTTTTTTTTTAATTTTTCGAAAGGCAAAACTTTTTCTAATCGATAATGACGGAAAAATTGTGAACATTTTTTTGAACTCTTGAAGTTGAAGTTCGTGTAGAAAAAATGACAAACAAATAGTTCAATTATCTAATTTTGAAGTTTGAAAAATATAAAAAGGATAAAATTTGAATAATTGAATATTTGAAAAAGTCTATTTTCGGAATATTCTCTACTCCATTGAAAAGAAGGTCATACTCATTGGAATTTTTGAGTAACTGCCTAGTGCGTGGGTATCATTTTCATATAAACAAAAGCAGCTGGGCAGCGCGAAGAAAATCGAAATGCGCATGGGAATCAGAGGTGGCCGGCCGCAAAAAGGTGCATTCTTTTAGGAGAGCCAAGGCGGCCCCATCCGCGTTGTCAACGCATTTTCGCCTCTCGATCAAGGCAGCCATCAAGCGATGATACACATCGGCGTCGCTGACACGCAAACCTTCAGCGAGAAAAACGACTCCAACTCCAAATATGTCGTGAGTGTTTTTTTTTGTTGTTTTTATTGTTTTTATAAATTCTGAAACCACTAAAAAAATTACGTGTGTCTTGATTTTGTTCACATTTTTGTTAAACTCTTGGAAAAATTTTTTGATATGTGTTCTTCCTATGTTAATAATAGGCTTTTTTTAGTTCTCAAAAAGTTCAATTCTGAATCATTAGTTCGACAAAAATGCATTGAAAAAAACAAAATAAATGCTTCAATATTAACTTTTTACAATTCCACGGAAATAATAATAATAAGTGAAAAGTTGAAACAAAAAATAAGAAAAAAATTTAACGTTTTTATTATTAATCTTGTTTGATCAATATTTTCTCACAAAAATTATTTTTTCAAGGCCTATAATTTGGATGTGAACGGATGGTTCCATGCAAGCATCCGCTTCCGGGAACTTCACCAGTTCGCAGAGACTATCAAGCAGAAGTAAACTTCATTTCCCAATATGCAAATTATAAACATGACAAAACTTTAGGTTTGGTCAAAAGTACAAAGGACCGGAATTCCCGCCAAAAAAATTATTCAAACTCGACGAAAGAGCGGTCGAAGAGCGCCAAAACAAAATATCCAAATACTTTGGAGCCGGTGAGTTTTCCTCCAAAATTTGTTTGTTTTAAACTATAATTTTATTGCAGTTGTACAGCACCCAGACATTGTTCGAAGCCCCTTTTTTTGAGAAAAAAAGTTTTTTTGGATTTTTCAAGTTGTGAGTTTTTTTACTAAGAAAAATGTATCCATTTATTTTTCAGGAGTCGTTCCGATCCACAAGCAACTTTGTATCTGTCGATGTTTACAATGGCGACGGCGAGAGAACCGTCCTGAAGTGCAGAGTTTCAGACAACACAAATGACATCATGAAGGTGAGATTGAAAATTCCATTTGTTTTTAGTATGGCTCAAGAAAAAAAAAAATGCTAAATTGAGAAACGGGCTTTCCCGCCAAAAAAATTTGATAAAGTTATGTTGATGGAATTATTTTTAATCAAATTCCATTTCCAGAATTGAGCGCGGCGGAGCTCCAACAAAATAGAGCTTTATGACCATAATTAAAAAAATTCATTTTTTTGAAAGCTGAACTTGAAATCGTTATTTTTTTATTTTTAGTGATCGAAATAGCAACTGAGTATAAAAAAATAACTCTCAAATATATTGAATAAAAAAGCTTGCAATCATTTATTTCAGTTGCTATCGGAAAAACTTGGTCTGCCGGACAGCGACGTGTTTCTCTGGCATTTCGGCCTTTTCATGGCTCGCTCTAGAGATCCTACGAAATCAGCTGTAGCGATTGATTCCGATAACTTTGATCCTCTAAGTAAGCTAGGATATTTTTTGTAGAAATGATCATCATCTTAGGCGTGCGTTTGCTGAGAAACTTCGAATCGCCGTACATCAGCCTTCAAACGGCCAACCAAAAATCTGCTCCTCAAGGGATTTATCACTTCTTGACTGTTCGGTACTTGAAAATTCATTTCTTGAAAATTGAAAAATTCCAGAAAAATAATCTGGAGCGCTCGAGTTGAAGAGCCGTTGCTCGATAACGAAGTCTACCTTGATCTCATCTATAGACAAGTAAGCTTCCAATATTAATGCACAATTTCCTAATTTACTTTGCTGTTTCAGGCCAAACAAGATTACAAAAACGGTCACTTTGACAAAATCCGCGGGGATATCGATGTTCGGCTGACGGCTTTGATGCAAAAGTCAGACAAACTTCAAGTTAGTTTCTTAAAATAAAATAAAATTTTTTTCTTGATCTTGCAGTTTGTGAAAACGTGTCATTTGCTGCCTACATATTCCTACGAAATTATGACTCCATGTCTGGGCAATTTTCCAAAGATAAACACCCCCTGCGATGTCAAAATCGGACGTAGACAAATCGTTCTCTCCTATAAAGATGAAAACGTAAGAAATTTATTTCACTTCATGTTCAATTGGAACTTCTAAGGGTCATCCCATGGACAGTATTTTCCGCGCGACGCGTGTTCGAATCTGGCAAATCGTGCAGAATATGCCAAACGACGACTTTACTTTCCAATTTGAATACTTGGCTGCGCGGGACACTTTCGAATGGATCATATTGCAAACAAATCAGGCTTCCTATTTCATCATCTGTTTATGTTTATTGTAAATTTCAGGCCGTTCTGATGTCTCTTCTGTTCCAATCGATTGGATCAGAAATCCTCTATGAACATAACAGCTTGTCGGTAGGTTTCCTTTATGATTCGTTTTGATTTCAAAATAAATTTTTTTAAAAAAAGCCAACAACCTTAACTTAGGAATTTCACTTTTCTGAAGTTTAATAATAATATGAAAAAAATTATTTTTCATTCAATCTTTCACGACATTAGCCTGCATTACATTCCTGTTTCAATCGAAAATTTGTCAAATATGCCATTTTGAAAATTCATAATCCAAATCTATTTTCAGATCGAACAACAAATTCTTCGCGAAAAAATGACAAAAGTCACAGTTGACCCGACACCGGTGCCAGTGACCAAGGTAATTATCATCTCATATCTCGAATTTTTCGCAATTTTTTTATTCGAAAAAAAGTTTTTTTGCATAAAATAAACATTGTGAAGCGCCTTAACAAGCTCCACATAAAATGAAAATTTCTAATAATTCCAAATGTTTTTTTGATTCAGAGCAAACCTCGAGAGAATAAGCCGATAATCGTTCTGAAAAACGCCGTTGACACAACGGAAGATCCGCTGGGAGTTATGGAAAGCTACCGGAATTTCAATCAGATGTATACGACGATTTCGGTCAGCAAACGTTGAGTTAAACGCTGAAGTTATGTTTTTCAGGACAGCATTCCTCAGAGAAATGAAGCTTTCAAAAACATCACCGACGACGACTTGTAAATCTTCTCAAAAATTTTAACCAACTTCATTCGAAATTCATAATATTTTGCACCCCGTCATTTTTTTTTCCGTTTGTGAGCTTTTGCATGTATATTTGATACCTGTTAGCATATCGGTAATCTCGAAATAATAGAATCAACACCATAATTCATGTAGCCGATGCCATTTCCAGTCATCTCGGGCCCTTCTATGTCTTCTTTCATTCTCAAATCTTGAAAAGATCAGTTTCTCATTTTCCGTGACTTTTTCTGTGTTACTTTCGCGCGGTAAAGAAAAAAACCTGGTTTGAAATTTTTACGGAATCGTTGAAAGCGATTTTAGTTGCACTGGTTAATAAACTTATACGCCGAGTTTTTTTTTTGAAATTGCAAGAACGTGTTCATATAAATCAGGACATTTATTAGCGTAGTAAATTTGAAAAAAAAGAAGAATTATAATTTATTTGATCTAATGTTTACTATCGATAACTTGCAGGTATTCTTTGCGAATGATCAACGGTAATATGAAGTGCCTGAAACAGGAGTGTCATGAATAGTAACTTCAAAATTGCATAATCTGGAACTAATTTTAGTGGTTTTAAATCGCTTTCGCTAACACTTTTTCAAAGTCCAGAGTCAAATATACTTGGCGGTTCTAGCCGATTTGAAAACCTTATCAAGCGTTTTTGAACGATCTATATATAGTTGTGATAATTTGAATTTTCAAACCTGAACGGAATGAACGACGCTATAACAAGCGGGAACGCCATTTCAACATAATGGAATGGAGCAAACCCAACAACGATCAAAACGCATAGTTCGAAGATTTCGATGGCCGTGAAAGTGTGAACGATTCTCTGTGGAACTCTCCGAATATAGTGCGTAGGTGGGTAAGCTCTCTGGAAACTTCTTGAACAAAACTTGAGATGTAAATGAAAAACCTGTTCAGTGAATATTAATAAAATTCTCTCCCAAAACTCATTGCCGGTCATTGAACTAAAAGCCATGAAAAGGAATAACCCTGTAACTTATTTCAACCATAAGTTGAAGCTTTTGAAGTTTACCGTTGAAAATTGCGGTTGGTATAAAAACAGTGATGTAGGGAATGCCCCAGAAGTAGATGGGAATCATTAATAAGTGAGCCGCTAGTACTGCCAGACGTGTTTCACGCACTCGGACGATTCTGAATTCAATAATTTAAAGTCTTTGAATACGTATCCAAGTTAATAGTTTATCTTCGTTTTCTTTTTTTTCTTGATTTAGACGTTTATAGTTTTATTTCAAAGATTTTGTTTGCTCCGCTTTGGACCACCAGGGCCGCAAAAAATGTCTCCAAGAATCGCGGTCAAGTTGAATTCATTTCGGACCTTGTGTCAACTCGGAGCTGAAGCCACTACGAGTCGGGCGCACTTCAAAGCAACCGTTTTGCGTCTGGTCATTACTAGTGCTAACTTGCAGTCAGAGAAAATTTTACACACTACATGATAAAGGAAACATAATGCTCACATAGTTTGAATATATCCGTTGTGGAGTCGATCCTCGACATCAGCCAAAGCTTTGAGATGCAAATAAGAAGATGGAAGTGCTCCATGCATCCACGGCAATCCAAAAAGAGACAGGAAAATGTTCAGAATCCCAACAACAAATAGATCCCAATGATGGGCAGATCCTTTCTTGAGCCTTTAAGTTTTTATAGTATTTTTTTGGAAGTTATCTAAACTTGTTCTGTTTATTATCAACGGTGTTAGTAACTAGAAGTTGATCCATGAAAAATAAAGTGGCCAGCGGGAAAGCGAGACCGACCGCTACTAAATGAGCTTCGAAAGGAAGATGATAAAAAGGAATCCAGAAAGCATCACCGTATCGCGGGTAAATGTTGAAGTTCTCTTCTGAAACCACAAATTTAATCAATTTAATGCCAGGTTAAGCTTACTGTCAACATTGCCGAAAAAAATGTAGGAGATCAGGGCCATAATCAGAACGGCTATCGGTAGAGCGTAGTCCGCAAAAATGTCTCTTTTACTCCTACATCACAAGCTATTGGATTCCAGTCTTTTTTTTACCTTGATAAATATGGAGAGCTACGGAAAGAGTTGATAGTCATACTGAGCCAGACGGTTCCACAAACGAGAAAAATGAACAAAAGAGCTGCAGATGGAGCACAGCCATCTCAAAAGAATTTTCCAAGACACTTTTTTAGGGCTTCACCTATAATTTTTGACGTTACGGTTTCATTTGTATATTCACACGAGGCGTAACTTGCGCTGTAGGCTGTAAAAAACATCATTAAACCAAATAAATATTTATTTTTTCTCCGAACTTTGAAAAACTGCTTTCAGAGCTTTTGTTGTAAGAGTGAATGCGATGAACAAACTGAAGATCTCCTCCGTTGATCTCAAAAGTTTTTTTGCATCCAGGATTATCATTTCTTTTCATACCTCGTTGTGTATTTCATGACGTTAGCGATTTGCAAAACAGCAAACAAGATTAGAAAGAATTGTCCATATATTCCGACTGCTGCGTACAGATCATGGAATACCCAGCTATTGCTTCTCGAAACGGCGTAAATAACTGAAAAGTTTTTGGAACCGGATGGAATTGAATGAAGCTGGCTGAATTTGATTGTTTTTAGCCGCTCTCAGGGCGCTCAAAACTGAAAAAAAAGAAAACTCAGGTTCTCAATGCGATTCTGAGCACACCGTAATGTTTTTTAAAATTAAATGGAAACCTGAGATATAGATACTGAGAGGGGCCGAAGTGGTCAAAATCAAAGTCTGTTGGCCACCAAAAAAATTGCGAAAAAAATAAACCGCCAATCCATTGTCCCAATATCACTTTCTGTACATCTACAAAAATGAAAATTCATTGAAAAAAATTGAAAGTTAAAAAAACTTATGATCCCATTCGTATTTTTATCATTCAACATTCCATAAGCAATCGTTGTGGGAAAAATTGTGAATATCAGAAAACACGTGGTAGAGACAACTTTTGAAACCGCTTTCGCATCTTTTATGCCTAAAATGAAAGTTGTTATTTTTTCGATAATCATCTTTTTACCATCGATGTAATCAGACTTGTAGTGTGGCCAGCGTCTTTTGAAGTCATTTATGATGCCTTTTCCTGGATAGTAATGACATTTCTGTAAACGATTAGAAGTCTGAACAGAAAAAACCAAACCTTGATTGCTTCACTTTCAGCAGTTTCAACCGACGCTTCGGCTTGCGAAAGCTTTTTCGCGCACTCCAATAAAACATCTCGAACCTATTTCTTTTCCATTATTTTCCTTTCATCAGAAAAATGACCTGATAGTCGTCCGCACTGTGCAGAATTTCATTCCTCAAGTCATTTCGAGAAAGCAAAGAGCCGAAAGTTCGGGCAGTTTCTGATGCCGACTTTGTACTTTTCTAGATACGATCGATATTTTTTTCAGATCATAAGATTCCTGGAATTACGTCAACACTAGGAGCAAGAATTAGTACGACGATCCGCGTTTCTTCCATTTCGAGGCCAAGATTTGTAGGTTCTTCCAGAGTTGCAATGGCTACATGACGTTTTTTCAAGCCGTCCAAAGTGCAACTGAATTTTTTCATTGATGAATCTGATTCGAAATATTCGATATCTCGTCAATTATTTTTTTGCGGTTCCATAACCGTTGCAGATATTTTCGAAGCGAATTTCGGTTTTCACTTCTTGAAAGTTTTTCAATGCAAGCGAATCCTTCAAAAGATTCCATGAACTCACAAAGTAGTGATCCACGATTGGTTAACTCCGAAAAAGTCTTTGCCAGAGTACTCTTGCAGTTTCTGATGAAGCCGGGGAGCTGAAACTGAATTAATAATTTAGTTTTTGTGAAAAGTGGCTAACCTTCATTATCCTTTTCATTGGAGGAGAAAATGTTTGCTTTGAAGAGAGTCAAGTCAAATTTCTCACTTGGGTTGTGTAGCGCAAGTTCTGCGAACAAACTGAAAAGAAAAATCAGAAGCTGAAAATCATTCCGAACCTCAATAAAATTGTGTGCATATGCGTCTGAGGGGCATGCATTCTCACGACAGCGTCTTCAATTAGATGCTTCACGTCGAGGATTCCTCGGACCTCTGTCCGGAAATCTCGGCCGCGTTGGACTTTCTCCATCCTAACAATGAGTTCTGTGTCATCCTTCTGGCCTATTACGACCATCTGACTGAAAGAAAGTATGAAAATGAGGACAACAAAAACTAGAGTTGAAACGGAAAAATGAAGAAATTTACGATGCGAGTGAACTGGAATGGCTCAACACAGAATAAAAACTAAGCCGATTTGAATAAGTTCATGCACGCAAACACGACGCAAAAGAAGATGATGGAGGCAAAAAAATTCGAATGTAAAAGTCCTTTTGAAAAGTCCCTTAGGTTTTGAAATAGTAAGCTACCTCCGCCGAAGAATTAGCGCAGAAGAAACAATGTCCCTTTGTTGATAAACACGTAGAAATTGTTTGGTGATCAGCTGTCTTTGGTTTCGAGATCATAAAGACCTTTTCAGTTTACTTTTCTTTTGGAATTCGGCGAGTTTCCAACTCGGGTTTTCAATAGATTAACTTTTTTTTTGTTATTTTTCAAGAGCTAATAGTGTTCTTTCACATTTTCTTCTCCATTATTCGAATATAGGATGAAAGCTTTATTTTCCATTTTGAATGTTCAATGAGAAAAGACACATGAGGAGGTTCATTTGATGAATGACTTCAACAGGGAAAGTACACCGTAATTAATGTAGAGACAAAGGAATGAGTATCACGAATCAGGAAAGTTTGTCAAATGCGTAGCGCCAAGGCAGTGACGACATCGAGTGAATTTTTTGAAATTGCCGCTTTTAAGATGGATTCGACCCATCTGAAACAGAAAAAATATGGTGCAAATAAAGAAAACCGACCTTTCGAAAAAATAATAGGTGTCTGCGCGGAAAAAGTACTGGTGACTTCCATAGAACAGTTTGAAACAGTTCTGATGGGTCACATTATCATTTACACTTGGTAGTCCGATTCCATAGTCTAATAGCGAAAGACTAGCCAACGGGCTGTTCTCCTGAATGTCCAAAGTCTGGGAAAAATGGCGAATTCGGTTACCTCATGATTTTTGTAGAATATGAGCGAATGACAGGACAAAACTACCCAAAGTTTCTGCCAACCGGAAGAGTTTCTGAGTTTCCGAAGCAAATATCCGCTCATTGCGTTGGAGATCATCTGCAGCTTTGAATAAATTTACCTTCACTGCGGAGAGATCTTACGTTATTAATATCCCTCAGGCCGAAAGAGCATTTCCGATGCCAGCAAATCAACAAAGGACTGAGTTTCGAGGTATGGATGTCTTCATAAAATGAACTCTTGGCTCCTGAAATTGCGAAAAACTTGATTTGAGTGGAAAAATGTTTCAAAACATCTCGTTTCAACAAGTTTAGAGATGCTGTCGTTTTCAATATGACAAACTGAATCAAGTTGACATTTATTGATAGGTTTTTTACTGGTTCAATATTTGAAAACCGTTCGATTTCATTTATCACAGAACCAACGAAAAATGCTAATCAATTTGAAACGAATAGCAAAATATTTTAGTTAAAATTATTTTCCCGTGTACGATGGAATGAAAAGAGAGGTTATTTCACTCTGCAGTCAGAAGTTTACTATACAAAAACGCTTTTTTTGATGTTTTATTTGAATATATCGAAAGTTTTCTTCCAAATTTATCTTTTAAAAATGATTTGGGCACTTCACCAAAAATCAAAAAATTGCTGTTTTTCCAACTAATACAAAAAGGGGAAAATTTCAAAGTATCACCAAATTTACCTTCAATATCGCTATCCTCTCTCCGGTCCATGACAATCGAGGGCAAGTCAATCTTTGCCCTAGCGGCTCCTTTTACAGCAGCGGTTATGTCCTGAAAACTCTTTCGAAAAAAGGTTCAACAAGACCGGCAACCTCCATCCATACCGACCGATCAGTGGTGGAGAAAACAATAGACTTGTCAGCACTGTGTAAAGTTATCACACCTTTCTCGTCAGACATCACGTTGTAAGTGTCACCTTCGTCTATCTGAACAACATTCGTGTTGAAATCAAATTTCTTTCGTTAGGGGGTTTACCATCAATCCTTTGAGTTTGACCTCAGCGTGCACGGAAAACGAATTTCCATCGGCTGAATGGATACGATGCGCAAACAGGATCCGGTCCGTACAGAGAATCATAACGCGATAGCAAGGACCACGTTGCGACCATCTGGAGACCACGCCGAACCGCAGAATTTGCTGAATAGCAAATTTTATATGGTTGTAGTATTCTCAAATTTTGCATAGCTTTTATGGAGCTCGGACGTTTTTTTAAACGTCTCTGCACCTGACTACTGTCAATTATTTTCAAACGCCACCAAGGGCTCTAATTTGAATTGACGGAATTAAATAAAACAAACTCTGTTTGGGTTGCAGAGAACGCCGATCATGCCAATGTCCCTTTCCAACTGCAAAGTCGATACATATTCTTCCAGAGCGGCTCGTGAATTTTTCGTTTTCTCGGACAACTCGATTATTTTATCCATAGCAACTCGGAGCGATGTTAATTCATTCTCACTGTTTGCATCGGCCAATAGAAGTTCAATGAGCCTCGCGAGGACCTGAAACTTTTTTGATCACCAGAAAAGATCAAAAAACTTGGAGCTCGCAATAGTTCACTCGGGAAAGGTTCTTCTTCTCAATTTTTTTTGAGAATCTCTTGAAAATCAGCATCCAAAGACTCACCGGCTGCCAATTCATGAGCCTGTTGATGATTTTCAATAGCAACCAGTTGACAGGAATGTAACATTCATCGCTGTTTTCGAATTTTCTAAAACTTCAGTCAAGTCTATTCCCTCAACCACGAAACTGACTGAAGCTCAACTCGGAAAGTTGCTTTTGATCTCGAAAGTTGGTCGATTGCTGAGATGTAAATCGGATACTGTTGAGAAAGAGATTGATAGAGTGGGATGAGGTTGTGAACGGCGCAGAGAATGGCTGAAGTCACCGTTCCCCACGACGTTTCTTCGGAACTTAAATTTGAGCCTAATTGAATTACGTATTTTTCAAATGATCTTACGTCTTTTTCAGAACTTCCAAAAGAGGCGCGTGAGTAATTTCGACTTCGTTCAAGGTTTTGAAGAATTCTTGCAATAGTTTGCACGATTTGAAGTGATCTTCCAGACGTTCATACAAACCCTGAAGTTTTTTTCGTTAAGGTGGATTAAATGTTGTTTTTTCTGAACTTCATTTGCCAAGAATGCGAAAAAAAAAGTCCCAGAGTGCATTTTTTTTTCTTTTTTCAATTACTTCCTTTGCAGGTCTGACAGAGAAAAAACAAAGACAAATCAAATTTGACCTCTTTTTTTTTACACACAGAAACCCACCTTGGAGATCAAAAGTAGGTCTCTAGCAAATGTCGTTTCTTTCCAATACAATTCTCTCACAATACTGTTGAAAGTCACTTGAGGCTTCGGTTCAGGCTGAAACCTTTTCTGTCACCGAAAAAAATTTTCAAAAAACCTTCCGGATGATGGGAACCTCTTCCAACACTGGAATCACATAGCTCTCAACATGATCGCCCTCCAAATGCACTTCAACAGCGTCTTTCCATGTTAAAATACTTGCCGTGCTTTCCATTTTACAATCTCCGTTTTTTATAAAACTCTTCGAGCCTATAGTGCAAAGATTTTTTATTTTTGTCTTTATCAGCTTACTGTATCTACTCGAAGATAAACCGCCATTCATTGAAACTCCTCCGCTGTCGCTTGACTCAGTTCTCACCAGATCCGTTGCATCGGTGGCGCTTCGGCTCATTTTCGTTTTGCTTCTCCTGTACTTTCATTCAAATGCAGTTTTTTCGAATATGAAATACCTAGAGATTTTCATTATGGGCTCTGATTTACAGACACTTTCTGCTGAAAATGTCGAATTGATTCCGTAGAACACTTCTCTTTTTCGAGTTGGTTGAGAAAGACTTTCTGAAAATTATAACTGAACAGAGTAACCAAAAAACTTTCTTGTCTAAAATTATGTGCGCAAACAAACAATTTCCATGAATAAACATTTATTTGTCATAAACCACAAAAAAAAACAATTGAAGAGATCGATCACGTTTGGGGGAACTAAATAACGCTTCTTATACATTTGAAACTAGCATAAAATGTGAACCTCGTTCAAGACATGTTTATTTCGCTTCTGGTGTAGTGTTTGTAAAATCTTGATCAAATTCTTTATTCATTGTCAATAAAATTTTTCACAGTAACGAGTAAAAAGTTCAAAGTTTGTATTGTCCACTAGACGTTCCTCATGCGTTCAGAATGAGTTTTTCGGTTTCACAAACTCTATGACTTAGCTGTTACTAGGGAGCCAAGGCATTACTACGTTCATAATGGTTGCAACGAACCAAAAAAAAAGTCGAAAAGCGACCAGAAGCGAAATGAGCCAACAAACCGACACAACAAGCTGAGGATAAGGCTAAAATTCATGCAACCATGAAAGACTTGATTTTTGTTCTGATACACTTTCAACCATAGCACCAAGGGAAAATATAAATGCAAATCCGGTTATGAGCATTTTAGGACAATTTCCGAGAATTATGACAACGGGAAACAAACTAATCAAAATCACAGTGTGTTTTGACCCAGAATAAGCTAATTTCCAAGCAACCCATGCTTTAAAAATAACTAGTATGCAAACGGATAAAATTTTCAATTATTTTGAGTTGGAAGAACTCCATCTCTTATCAAATAGATCACAAAATACTAATATAATTTTAAAAATAAACATGCAAACAAAACATCGAAACCCACAATACATTAAAAATCTGTCCATAAGTTACTCGAAGCTGATAGTGACGCTCCTTCTGCAGTTTTGGGCGAATCATCAATAAACGGAGGAGAATCGCTCGTTGAATTTCTCTGACGGAAAGGTTCAGGATTATTGTTGTTCGGTGCTGCCGCGGATTTCATCCCAGCGACTTTTGTAGCTAGAGAAAGGGGTTTTGGAGGTGGCGGCGGCGGCTGCGGTCGAGATTTCTTCGCGATTACTTGGTTGATCAAAACTTCTTCTGGTGGTGGCGGCATCGCGTCGCTTTCTTCCGATTCACAGCGCTTCTCGTTGAATGAGCAGATTGATTGCGTGTGTGGAGTGCTTTTATCGAGGCGATCCATGTCTTCATGCAAACTTCTAGATTCAGAAACACATTCATCGAAGACTTCATCCGTAAGTAGTGAAATAAAAGGGGTGGAGCCTCCGGCAGTCGGAGAGCACGGCGAAGGCGGAAGGTCGAACCGAACTGGTTGAGTCTGCCGTCGTGGGTCGGAACGTTTGGATCTGGATTTGACCAAAGCCGATCTTTCCTGACTCAGCGATCTCCGACGAAGAAGATACTCCAGAACATCGCTGTCCGGCGTCGTTGGTGAAATCGTGTGATCCTGCGCTGAGAAGTTACCAGGTGAAGGCAATCTTTTCCGAGGAACCAGATCCAAAGATTTTCTTCTTTTGAATTCAGGGCTTTTGGAAACTCGTTTCAATGAACTCGAATCGTAGTCGCGTCGAACGTCTTTGAAAGTCGAGAAAGGCAAGGATTGGGTGCTTTCCACATTTCGCATCGTAAGGGTGTAAGGAATATCGCTGTTGAAGAGATGGCACTTCTGAATCTCCGGATTGTCTTCACTTTGCACAGATATCAGCGCAGGTCTGGAAAGGCTTGATTTGCGTTCTTCATGTGCGGGGGGAGCTGCTGGAGTTTGTTGAACATCTTCATCTACCATATGAACTAGAGGATGCGTGATTTCTTTTGAAGGAGCTTCCGGGGTCAGAGATTTCAGATTTGGTTTTGGTGGCGGTATCGGCTTGGTTTTCTTTTCCTTTACGCCGTCTGGGGTTATCACCATATTTTCTTTAGTGATTACTTTTCCCGGCAACGGTCCGATCGCTCCATAAGTACCTTGATTTTCAGTCGAAGCAGGTTTTACAGCAATACGCTCGTAAATGTTGAGGTCCGTGGATAAGACTTTCGGCTTCACTAAAACAGCTCCAGATGTCGTCAAAACTTGGGTAGTGGTGGTTGTAGTCGTCGAAGTTGAAGAGGTCAAGAGCGCTCTTCTGGCAGATAAGTCGACGTTCGGTCCATCAATCTCGATGGGTACAATATTTGTGGCTCTTGAAAAAGGATATTCTTTCACAGCGCGATAGGTATGGTAGTCAGAAGCTGGTTTCAGAATACTTTCTTCATCGTCCGTAGAGTTCGGAGTGCTCTTGCTCTGGCTGATAACTCGTTTCACAACGGTATTCCCATCTCTTCGAGCAGCGAATGTGGAGTTGAAGGTGGTCACAACAGTGCGTTTGGTTCCGACACCAGCATCGGACCGAGTGCTCCTTTCATGGTCGGATAGGCGATATGAATCTTCACTGATGTTGTCGTATTCTCTGCTGGTTCGAAGCTCCTGGAAGTTGTCGCCAGAAACAGATTTTGGTGGTTCTTTAGTTTCCAATTCCAATTCCTTGCAAGCAACTCGGAGGTCGTCGCTCAAGACGTTAGGTAAAGATACAGACAGGTCAATATTGTTATGGCTTGGAGGGACTATTTCAGGCTCTTTGGAACTTTCATGATGACGTGGTCGATTGCTAGATTCAACATCGGACGTGCACCTTTCGCTACGTTTCAGTTGTCGAGGTCTTGAGCTCGTGGTAGTACCTACGCGCGCGTCTAAAGTACCTGAGGAGGTTGGATCAGCGTGTGAGTAATGCGGAATATGAGGAAGGGAGGCATGAGTGTTGTTTCCTGCGGTCCCGTTTCTTTGACGCTGTTTCTCGCCCACGGTACTGTACGTCGAGGAATAGCCAAGGCCTCGTGTCGAAATCGCTGATCGTAATGGCCTGAGGATGGAGGTGAAACGGGAAAATGACAGATGAAACCTCGTGAATGGTTCTCGCCGTTTGTGATGTTCTCGGACATAGTCGATGAGCTGTTTCTGTGTCCTTCCATGATATCTAGAAGAAAAATTCAGCTTGAAGGTCTTCGAAAAAAAATTATTCGAAAAAATGATTTTTTAAGCGAAAAAAACCTTGAAAAATATCAATCGAGATAAAATTATTTCGCGAAAATTGGAATCGCAAAAGATTGCAAGTTTCTCTCGAAATTTAGTGAGTGTTTAACCTTTGTTTAGTTTTTCTAGTTTTTTTGAAAGCAGTAAATTCGAAGGAATAAGTTTAACTGTCAAAATTTTTTTAGAATAACCTGAACGATGATCCTTTGCTGATGAAAAAAACTTGGAATCTTTTTTTCGGCTCCTCGGACAACAAACATCGGAAAAAGGCATGATGCTCAACGCACTGTAAAGAAAATTTGGCTGTATATTTTAAAGAACTCCCACTTTTTTCCAGAAGTTTTTGCATTCATCCCTCGTTTCGAACACAAACTCGACAGTTTCTTTCAGGTATTGCTGCAAGGAAATGAAATGAACATGCTTAGAAAAATGCTCTCATTACATAGCTATCTGGGTGGAGCTTGATAAGAAGCTTCTTCCTTTTGAAACTGAGCTTGCGGATTCGAGCCCAAGAAAAGGTTGTATCCAGCTGAAGTTGTCGGAAAACTTTCATTCCGAGGTGCATCACAGACAAAGCAGCTTCGTTGTTATCAACGTCCTGAAATGAAATTTTATAAAAGCTGTAAAAAAAAGTTTCAAGCGCTATGTAAGGTATAGAAAAATAACTTAGAGCTCAAATATTAAAAATTTGAACTCGTTAGAAATGATTTTAAAACTAAAATACGGCCGCCTACTGTTTTCTGTCTCATGGCAAAAATAATTAAACGTAGAGTCAAAATTTGAATCTTCCATCATTCGACAAGTTTTTAAGGCTTATGAAGTTATGGCGCGAAAGTTATTCTGGTCGGGCGCAAAATAAGAATTTTTTTTAATTGTTGAAAATAGGGGTGAGGTAAAACTTGAGACTTTCATTTTGAAACGTTCTTCTCAGACTTACTTATCTTGTTGCCTACCCATTTTTCAAGTTTTTTGCTTCATAGTTATACCTATCAGCAATGTTTTTTATTTTCCTTTTCAAACAAATCCAAGTTAAAATGACGAATTAAAAAAATAACTCACCTTTGCAGCATGAAGTTTGACGCCATAAAAGTCGCATCTTCGCGCCACTTCCAACATCGCCAAGTCACTCTCTCCCGGACTCATCCCACTTCAATGTTTTTTATAGGTTAAAGTGAAAAAAGGAAAAGCGACTAACATCAAATTTCGATGGTTTTCCATAACTTTCTTCTGAAATTCGATTGTCTGATTGGGAACGTATCTCGTGTGAGACAAATACGTTGCATCTGGATAGTCTTCGGCTGAGAAATCTCCACATTCCGACTGAAAAAGTTGCTTAATGAATTTTGAGATGATTATTTTTAGTCGAATACTTTGTAAAATTTTTAGAGGATGATTTATGAAGTTATTTATAACATAGTTTCACATTAAATGATTTAAGGAAAGTTCTTTTCCAAGTTTTGAAACCTTTCCTTTCTTCCAAAATTAGCCTTCATACATTTTGCTCCAAAATATGCTAGGTTCAGAACATTGGAAATTTCCTTTTTTCAGTTATCTAAGGGAGGCGAAAAAGTTGAAATTGTTTAGCAATGATTTTTTAAGGTTGAGGTTCTAGGGATGTTGCAATCTTGACAAAAAATTCGTTCTTGTTTCAAACCTTTTTTAGCTCAAATTTTCAAAAAAAGTCCAAGCGCGTTCTACAAGCGTTGATTAAGCTATTGAATCAGTTGTCTAAATACACTGTTTAGAATTTTTAATACAGCTCTTATAAAATATCCCAAGTAAGTAAAAAAAAACGAACTGTAAGAAATATTGGAAGAATAAATCAAATTTTTATGGAAAAAAAGATCATACTGTATCAGCTCTCACTCATAGCTCAGAAAACTCAGAAAATCTGAAATTTGCCAGTATCAAAACATTTTTTTCTACTTCAAAAGACCGTAGCAACATCAAAAAACCTTCTACACTTTTTTTTTTGAAATTTTCCCTGGAGCACTCACTTGAACGAGGTACGCGGACAGAAGAGCGGCTGTACTTTCGGCGCAATGCAACTCGCCGTAGGCCAAATCTCGTTTGATTTGCAACGTGAATAGGTACCTAAATTGGATCAAATTCTTCGAGAAGATGCTTTGTTGAGGAAGTGTCAGCTGCCATGTCCCCTGAGGTTTTTCCGTTGTTTCAGCCTTTCCTCAGCCGATTAACGACGTGACGCGTATCCAGTTACAGGATATCAAAACCGAATGGCGCTGACCTCGTGTATTCTTCCTCGAGGTCTATCGGATTCGGTGTGTAAAATTTGACAATGAAGTAGAATTTCGCATCGCTGCTGCCGGATGTAATTTGCCTCAGGATTGTTTTTTCACGATCCAACCAGCACTGAAATTTAGATCTGCTTTTTTTTGAAGACCTGCGTTGCTTAAAAAAAAGTAAACTTTTTCAAAGTGCTCGAAAACCTTCCAAAAGCTCATTATTATAGTGATATTTGTCTCAAACAGCTCATTTTTCCTAAACTACTCAGACTAATTTTTTTGAAAAGTTGGCAATTTTCATTCAGCCAATCTGCGTTGGTAACAAGTTCATACTGGATTTTCCGGAAATCGAGTGGCTCGCGGTATAATTTTCGAAATTTCTTATCACCAAATTTTGCGATCCTGTACTACGTCTCCAGAAATCTTATGCCATGGAACTTACATGATTTCCACAGGCGTCGACGTAGGAAAGTCCGAAGTAATCGCTCTCCAATAAGTTCAAATGCCGACAAACTTCATCGAAGAGAGTTTGGCCGGCTGCCTTGTGCTGAAAAACCTTCGTAAACTAAACTTAAAATGAGCGAAGTCTGATTGAAAACATAAAGAACTTACGCCCAGATGAAAAACCGCCACTGTGTCGTCCAGCATTCTGACCTGAAAGAATATGTAGATGAAAATATCACGGTTCTTGGGAAAACTGACCTTTATACAAACTAATCGTCCGCGCTTTGAAGAGTTCATACCCGGAGGTGGAGGCGCTCCCACCCCTCTCGGTATGTTCGCCATTTCGGACCTGGTAATACAGAAATGAAAAAAATTAAGTTGAAGTTAGAAACAAAAGAGAACGACTTCGAAAAAATCAACCGTATTTCAATTGAAGTTTGACGTAAATATTATTTCTTCTTCGTGACAGTAAAGATATTTTGTATACAATAACTTATTAAACTTTCAAAAGGTATGTAGAATTTTAATAGAAGTTCATCATATTCTTGCAAGATGATAGTAAAAAATCAAATCAACTTCACCAAAACGTATGAAATATCCATCAAAATAAGTTTTAAACTATTTTTCATACAAACCAGGCGCCCACAGAACTCTTTTGATTGACTTTGCGAAAACACTAATGACAGCCCTTGAAAGCGGAAAACTATAATCAGTTCAGAAAAAAAAATGAATTCAAGTTTTCAGTTTTGGTTTTTTTATAACTTTACTTGAATTTCAAAAAATATCTTTCATGAAAAAAATCGGGCAAATGGATTATTCTTACACGAAACTTATTGTAACATCTTTGGAGAGAAAGAATAAACAATTAGTTTTTTAGCCAGAAAAATATAAACTATTTTAATTGGAGAGGGATAGTTTTGGATAGAAAAAAATTAGATTTCTCCGGCGCCAACGTGGAAATCAAAAGAAAATTCAGCCACTTCTTAAGAATTGAGCTTTCTTATATCAACTGACAGAGAAAATTCCTGGTCAATTCATTTGAATCGACTTTATTTTTATCTTCGCCACATATTATCTTCCGATCTGATCAAAAAAAAAATTGAAACAAATGTTAAAAAAAAGTGAAAAAGACAAAAACAAGTGAGACTGTGAATCCATTTTAAACAGAAATTTCAACAGCAACTTGGAAAAAATCACATGACTGATGATCATCACTGAGAGCAAAAATCAAAGAAAAAAAGCCGTTGAACATGGTCCTCAAGGCGTTCGGCATGTTCAAACAAAAGAAAAAAGTAAATGAGAAAAAACGGCTCAGTACACAGAAGATCCTCGGTCGGAATCATATCAAAAGACGTAAGTGTGAGAAGCAACTAATCGGCGACGAAAGCGAAAGAATCGAGGGCGTTTGTTCCAGCAGGTGTGCAGCAGCGCCCCCGGCGAACGAAGCTCGGCAAGTCGAGAGAAAGAGCATCTGTACGCCAGAGGAGAAGATTCGAAGCAACCACTGCCGCCGAATCCCACGGCACGACATTTTTCTGACCCAACCAAGCAAAAACACCACTTCCTAGCCCGTTATTACAACCGTCGTCTACACATGAATTCGAAACAAAATGAAAAATTAGTCTCGGTTACATGAAAAAAAAAGTTGTCCGCTGACAAGGGAGGTCGTTCCGATAACTTTCTTCTCCAAGGGAAGAACTTGATGATTTTTTCAGAAGGTAACTGGAAAATTCATTTTGTATAAGTCCTTAGTTTCGGAAATTTAAAACATTATGCCGTTTGAAAGTTTACGGAAGATAAGTTGGAAGATATATCGCAGGCAGTGAAATTTCGGCATTTAAAATTTTGAAAGTAAGGATTTTAATGATATTATTTCCTTACAGGCAGAAAAATTTATGGATTGTTACTGCAAACAATCTTTCTCAAAAAATTTTCGGAAAAGTTCAGAAACAAAGCCGAAAAAAACCCTTTTAAGGCTTTTTTTCTTAACTTTGCCGCTCGAATTTTCTCATTTTTTTAAAACTCAAAATAACGGTTGCTATATTAAAAAAAATTGTGTCGAGAAAGTATAGTACTGTCTCTTTATTGCGCATCCTCTCTAGAAACTTTAAATCATCATTTGAAAAATACTTATCAAAAAAACTTCAACCGTTTTTGACTCATGTTCTATCAGAAGAGCCTTTTTTATTCTGCCTTTGAAATTTAAAAAGATCTTCCAAACTTCTAATTATTACAAGTCGAAATGAATCAAAAATAATATAGTGAATTTCGACAAATTTTTTTCCTGAATTTTTTTCCCACTAGAAAGAAAAAAACTATTTTTTTGAACTAAAAAAATGAAATATACGAACTTCCTTCAAGCAGAAGAAAATAAATGAAATAAATGAAAAGTTTGGGGAACAGCATTTTCAGCTGAGCCGTGGATTTAAATTGCACGACTAAGATGCTTGGTTGCGCGTCTTATTTCAAGCTTGCACCTGCACCCCGCAGCTGTTCGCTATGAAAACGAAAACTGTTTTTCACTACGGAAAAAAATTACGATGGTCTCGAGAGTCTATCAAACTATTCATAAACTGAACCACTACGGCAAATATATGTAAATTAATTGTAAAGTAGAGGACAGCGACAAAAACAACAGCAAGCGAAGAAGGCTTCTCGAATGGCAAAGTACACAAGAAAATACAAATTGAACACAAAACCCATTGGAATGGAGATTTTTTCCTCGAGAGAGATCCGATTGCAAAATACGTTGCAGAAGGTAACATATACATTTTGAGAGCAGACTTTCAGGAACAAAGAGTAACCGAAATGAGAAGTAAAAAAAAAGAAGTTGGGCCAGAGGGTTCACGAGCCGACAAATTCCGACACATTTTGAGTTGGCTTCGAGCCAGCTTCTGAGCCGCACATGTTCCAACTAACGTCTTTTTTCTCGTTTCCGCGGAAGAAGCTGATCACTTCTTTTTCCATTTTTAAGAGAAAACACTGCATTACTTGTGAAAACTTTCATTAAGAGAGTTTTGAAGCGAAAAAGATTAGCTGATATTTTTCCTGTTAGTTTTATTTTTCCAATCTTCATCAACTATAAATGGATATATTCATTTTTTTCAACGATATTTTGATGGATAAACGATAAAACTTATAATTATTTTCATAATTACTGATGACAATTCCTCAAAAATCTTGTTAGCTTTTTCTTCAGGTAAAAAAAGGTTCAAAATGATCCGATCCGAATTATCCAAGTTTCTGAAAAAAATTGTGTACTTCAAGAATCCCGCATTTGCAATTATTTTTTTCAAATTAAAGTGAAACATATTTATGATCGAGAAAAAAATAATAACAAACCTGACATACGCATAATCGAGCCTCGCCATTTCCGAAGCCTTTTCCTGCTACATATTGCTCGTTGCTCGATGCGATCTCTATTTGGCTTGTTATTTTCTGAAAATATCAATTGAACGATATATTTCAAAAAAGGAAAACGATAGAACGAATCAAAATGAGGATGAAACTTATTCAAGAATTGGGAAGAATTTCATAGGGTTATTTGGATTTTTTTTCCAAGCAAGAAAGTCTCGATGGGAATAAAGGGAATAGCATTTATAATAGGAGCTGAAAACCGAAATAGTGTTTTTCTAGGTTTTTTTGGGATTCCCGAGCTTACTCAGAAAGCTGTGGAAAATGAAGTATTAGCGAAGTTTTTTTCCAATCTTTGTCAAGGAATATTAAGAACTTCAAAGCGAACTTTTCTCAAAGCTCGGATTTTTTAATTTTTCGGATAAAAGTATATATTTAATGCTAGGAGATTAGCCTTACAGAAAAGGCGAAAATCCAAAAAACGGATTACATGTGAATGAGAATGGGCTTCCAAGATTCAAGCTCTCATTTTTGAGTAAAAAACCTGGAAAAAATCCAGTCTTATTTCAAATTCGCGCGGAAAACATTTGAGCTTTGTCAAGAAAAAAGGATGGTCACTGCGAAAAGCGTGAAGACTGGCGTAAAGACGTCGTTTCCGCGGGAGCCACGAGCCTATGTGCTTCGACGACGAAAGTAAAGCTATAGGGCCATGAAATCGAAGGGCGCCCACACACACACGCTTTGAAAGGACTGCAAGAGAGGAGAGTCGAGAAGAGCCGAACAAAAAAACGTGGATTCGTCGCTTATTGTTGCCGGACTAGCGAGACATCAAAAACAAGGACCTCCCGCTCTACTGACACCAATAATTTCCTTTTTTTTTCAAATTCCCGCGCACACCTTGATGTTTCAATTGAGGTGTTGATTCTCAGACACTCGAGGTTTCTGCGCCGAAGAGGAACGGAATGTGGAAGCTTTCCCTTGTGTTGAGAAAAGAAAAGAAAAGAACAATGGTTTAGTTGAACGTTGGAGAAGTGATGAATAACTACTCAAAATGGCTCGGAAGTGACTGGGTTTCTCGAAAATTGCCCTCAGAACCCGGAAAACATCAACTTTGCTCCTTAGCAAGTATGAGCTCCTTTTCATTTCTTTCCGATTTTTGGGCAGAAAGTTCGGATATCAATGAAAGGGTTTTTATTGATAGCATGAAACGAAAAAATAACTAGAGGTCAAAAGCTCAAGACATAGGCCAATTTCAAGCAAAGTTTGACAATCTTTCATTTTTTGATCAACGTCTCAGGATAACTAATACTTTGAGAAAGAAAAAATATATAGCGACATCGAACTCTTAGACTTCCATAAGAGAAGGTTCAGGTCTCACTTGGTTTTGAATTTTTCGCATAAGTGTCTTCATCCGAAAAAAAAGTACGCTTTAACTTTTCATTATCACCTGAAACTTCTTATTTTAATTTTAGAGGAGGATTTTTCACTTTTTGTTCTAGGTTCATTTTTCTTTGAAAACTTCTCCGAATGTTTCCGACGTTTCACAATGAATTTCTTAGTTATTCGAACTTCAGGACCTCTAACTTTTCAATCATGATAACCAAGGAACTTGAAGTTTATTTTTTATAAAATTCGAGTTTTGCGAATTTGTACATATATAATCTTTTTCTTCACTACAACAGAGAATTTCTCACAGCGTGTAAAAAAACATTCAATAAATCTTACTGATAAGTTCTGCTTGAACGGGAGACTCTATAGTAGTTCATTCAAAAAATAGGGAAAGCATTTTCCGAAAATGTGTATTCGGAATTTCTTCCGATAACCAAAATATGAATGAAGTTTTCGCGCGGAGGTTATTGGTGCCAACCAAGTGGTTGAAGACTATTTCGTTCATAGCTCCTCACCCGCTTGATGAACGTATATTTGGGGCCGAGCTCCTACATCGGCTACTGCAAGAGCCGTCCAAGTTCTCTCGGAAGCAGTGGACACTAGAAAATTCGAGTGGACGAGGCGGCCGATGGTTCCGCCGTCGCGAATAGGGGAGTAATCTACTTAGGAAGCCATCGATTGCAAGGTGGCCCTCTGGGAACGGACGACGTCGTCTCGAAAAAGTCTCCGGCTTTTTGATGGGTCCTCTGAGGAATATCGTCGCAGAACAAACAAAAGCGTGTAGGTCGATTTTCTTAAGACGCTTTTGGCTTCTCGAAATTCTTTCTCATCCTTCGAAACTAATGAACTCAAAGTCCTTCTTTTTTCTGCAGCCGAAAAGAAAGAAGGAAACGCATAGGAGAGCTTGCACCAGATGCAAATGAAAAAAGGGGAAAAAATGAATGTTGATGAGGGCCGCTGTTGTTTGAAAAATGGTATGTTCATTCTGAGAAAAAAAAAACGGCAGTCACAAATGGAAAAATATATTCAATAGTTTTCTAAGCGCTTCTCAAGTTGATTAGCACCATGAAGAATAATCTTAGTTCTCCTAAAAAAAAAAGTCTCATACTGAACTTTTTATTCTATGCGACGCGTAGTCGGAAAACTTTGAATCCATGCTGAAACCAGAAAATTTCAGCATAGATTCAAAAATTAGTTTTAAGGTAATGGTGACCAACAGTCCTTAGTCGTCATTTCTTTCATATTCACTTTTTTTTGAGATGAGAACGTTGTCGTCCATGAGATTAGTTTGGAGAGCACATCTTTTTCGAATAATGAAGGAGAGGAAGTTGGAAATGTCTAGCTCAAAGTTTAATGAGAAGCAACGAGCGAAAAATTGAAAGTACTTTTTCGGATGCTCCCCACCATACAGACTCATTGTGTATGCGTACGCCGAACATAGACACACAAGTGAGCCTAATTGGCCAAGAAAAGAAAATCACTGAAAGAAGATCAACTGAATCACGGGTGTGGAAATTTGACGAAAACTCAGAAAACAGGAAAACGCAATCAATCTGATATTGCCTCAAAGCTGTTTCACTGATGAATTTTTCAAAATTTCAGCTTGATTTTACTTTTGAATGTTTAAAACACATGTAAACAGTTTATAGAAAAATATAACTTTCACAAACCTCGGAAAGACATGGTGCACCATAAAAAAAATTTCTCAAGGGGGAAATTGAACAATTTGCAATAAAAAAATCTCTATGAGTTAACCTCTCTTATGAATATATTGAATATATTAAATTTATCACAGTTTAATGTCGTTTGATAATGAAGGAAAAAAAGTTGGACTAGTTAATAAATAGAATTATGCCATTATAATTATTATGACAAATTTTGGCTTGAGGAAAATAGAAGGGCTAACCGTTACGAAAAAATGCAAAAATGACAGATTTGCGTCTGTCCACTATAAACATTACTGCACATATTTAGCTATGAGGAATGCACTAAACCCGCGGAAAAATAGTCAAAACAATCTTGCAAACTGAAAAATGTCAAATAAAGGATATTAGGCGGTTTTTTTAATAAAGGGACAGGGCTTAATTACATTATATTAGTTGTTAGTAAACGCTCGAAACTTCCTCAGTCAAGTTTTGAAAAAATTTTTTTTTGACTACTTTTTTTATTAAAGAAATCAAACTTATTCCAAAACAGAACGGGAGAACAAACCCTGCCCCTTTATAACCGCTAAAAACCGTCAAGGATGAGCTGTACAGAGAAGAAAAGGGTGCTGAAGATGGAAGATGACGTAATGAAATGCAAAGTGTCCGGAGCCCAAGGCGTTTATACTAATTTCGTAGCGACAGAAAAGGCAATTGGCGTTGCGAACATATCCTCGGGGAGAAGCGGCGGCTGTTCGGCGCTCGGCGTGATGAGTGGTCGTACGCGAAAATTCCCTTCCACCCGGAAGATCACGTCGAACTCTACCTCGCACTTTTCCAGATTCTCTTGATTCTCTTCGGATTTCTGCAAGAAGATGATACGGATTCAGTAGGCGCAAGGAACATTTTTTGCTGAAAAGGCGAAGCACTTCTTAATTCAGCTTTATAACGGTTACCCTGCCTCCGACTAAAAACTACTCTCGCGTAGCGGTACATCTTAGAATGGCTTTTTTGGCCGACAGAGCATAACCGTGACGTTTTGAGCTATGTTATGCAGATTAACAAGTTTTCAAATAATAAGAAACTCAGAACAATCGTAGTTCTATTCTCAATTACACCCCCAAAATCGAAATGAATACTTTTTGCTCAAAACGCTTACCGTGACTCTGAAAGGAATCTTTTTATTGTTGAGGAACAACATGTGCTGGGCGACATTTACAGAGCCCATTTGATGGGAAATTTCTTGCTCGCAATCAAGAGACAAAAATCCGTCAAAAGGGTCTGAAATAGCAAGCTTATTTATCAAATGTTTCGTTAAGTAACCTTCGAGGGAAGAAATAATGACGGCTTTGATTTGAACGACTTGGCCGAGGGCCACCGCGACGTCGTGCTCGCTCACGTATGGAGTGTCGTTTACAACGAAATCTGAACGAGTAGAAATAGACGGAAGTTCCAAGAAATTTGTATTACAACAGCATTTGCGAAGGAAAAAATAGTCGTTCAATGGTATTTGAAATCAAACTTTCTTACAAATTTTTTTTAGGTCAAGGTTAAGGCTCTCAAGAAGTTTTTCTCACTGGGAGTTCCACTCGAAAGTTCCCAATTCATTAAAGAATATCAGAATTTCATTTTCAGATCTTTTTGCAGCTTGGTGGAACTTCTGTTCTTCGAGAGGATGTTTCAAAATTACAGGGAAACTTATTATGACATGATGGGACACGCGTACACTCATAATTTTGAAAATTGAAACTAACCCATACTTATCGCAGGCAAAACAAGCTGTTTCAGTAAAGATACTGAAGATAAGAGGCAGCCGACTGGAACATATCCTTCCACCTGTAACTCTCAGTGTGAATTCATTCTGTAAAAACTCTTTTCAACGGACCTTGAGACTGGGGACGGCCCATTTGATGTCCAAATGTCTCGACACATGCGCCTCCAAGATTTGTCTCAGCCTTTCGATCTAAAAGTCCAATAGGCGGCTGAAAACTTCAAGTTTGATCTAACCTCCATTTTCTGCATCATGTAGCTTCCTCTCATTTTAGCGAGTTGGAATGCTCCACCAGCAACTTCAGAGCAACACGGCGAGAGTAAAGGTACTCTGAAATATGAATCTTTCTTTTATTTCCGTTTTGCGATGAAATACCTGCAAGTTTCTTTAGGGAGGACGTTCATTCTTCGATTTTCCGTGTACATCAATTCGGCGTCGTGGTCCGTACTGTTTGTGACGTCAACAACAATATATCTAAACATATCCAAAGCAATAAAGGAATAAAATATTTGTAAGAGACCTTGAAAATGGAGTATCCCCTGGTAAGACATGCCAAGCAGATACAGTAACCGCCGGTACGATCGTTATAGCTATTGGAAGGGAAGACTTTCTCTCATAGAATTGCTGAATCGAAATAATCAATAAGTCACTAGATTAAGCTAAAACCTCATCGTCTTCAGTGATAACTTCCGATTGGTATCTGACAATGAAGTCGCATGTCAGAAGTCTCCCGGTGTAGGGTATCAAGTCCATATCGGCTGAGGATTCTGTTTCTGGGGTCGTAGCCGCGATTGCAGCACTGGCGAGGGGGGTGACGCTCTCCAGAACCTGAAAAAAGACTTTCTTTTATTACCCCTGTGAAAGTTTAGTTGAGGAAGTTTTTGAATTTTATCATTTATCTTACGAATTTATTTCTTTCCTGACTTCACTAAGAGGAGATTTTCTCCGATTGAATAGTTTTCTCAAATTTTAAATTTAGTTGAGGAATTTTTGAAGGAAGATCATCAGCGAAGACGAACCATCAAAGTATCAAAGTAAGTATCAAAGTTGAGGAATTTTTTGCCTAAGCCAAAAACTCATGCAAAGGAAGATTTAAAAAATTACGCATTAGTTACCTTTTCCTCTTCGCTCAAGTCATCGGCAGTCGACGTTGGATCAATCCCAAATATTTGGAACTTGATTTCTCTGGAAGATTTCGGACCCAACGTGCATCCTAACAGATCTCCAGTTGTTTCTGCGACGTCGTCGTTCTCGATTCCGCTGTCCTCATCGATGCTGATCAGAGGTGGACCGCCGGCTACCTGTAGTTATTTTTTATGTTTATACAGTTCTTCAATTGAAAAAGGGCTCTGTAGTTTGGTTATAATATTAGGCTTTGTAAGAGCGCTGGTACAAGCCGCAAGATAATTAAATCAGATCAACTGAATAAGGTTTCGGTTTACTTCATTTTTTGATACGGCTTCTAGAAATGGTATTTACTTATTTTAAGATCTGGCTACTTGTAAATGTTTTTCAATTGCTTTCTGATTAGTTATTTTTTGGAAAAACATCAGTAGTAAACCAAATTTTTGGTTGATGTTTTATGTTGAATTTTCTGGATTTTTTCATCTATTGAGCTACAGACTTCAGCAATCTTTATAATCAACTAAACTCTCAAAAAAAAATCTGTACCGTAGGCTGTCGAACTTGTAGGCCAACGTAGCGGACATAGACGTCAGAGTCATTCACTATTGTTATGGTATGTTCAAATCTTAAATTTCAAATTTAGCGTTCGAGAAAAATAGAAAAGATAGTACCTTTGACCAGAATAAACCGTAGCTTCTGAACTGGGCTCAGAATTTTTCTCCTCAATTGGAGCACGAGGCAAAGAACATTCCAAGCGGACTTGAGCAAGTGGAGGTACAACTTTCACCTGGACAAAAAACAAAAGTTTGATTCAGTTGAATGATTAAACCTTGATGCGATTAGCTTTATTAGCAGACGTTTGGAAGCGACAAACGTTGTGAAGGCCAAAAACTTGGCACGAGTATCCAGTGATGAAAAGATCTCCGGCAGCTCTGAAAGATTTTATAATCATATTTGCAAAAATGAGATGAAATTACCTGGGAACACCAATAAGTTTGATTCTAGACGTTGGTTCGTTTTGCGATTCAGAAGGAGGTAAAATCAGTCGAGCCGGAACGGATTCGAATTTCACTCCATCAGCAAGCAAGCATAAATCTCTGTAGACAGAAAAAATTGGACGATGTAATAGTTGAACATTCACCTGACGACGAGTTCGATGTCTCTACAGTTTTTGACCTCAACTTCTACTTCCCCGGGACAATCCACTACCCACAAAAGTCCTGAAAATGATAGGAGTCTATGAGCAGGATGCTTAATGTTGATACCATTTTCATTTTTTGCAGCGAATGGAGAATAAATGAATATTGACGGCATTTCTTTGCTCTTTGCTAGAGTCGGCGCCAAATGAGGTTGTAGAGGGAGAACTGACGGGCTGCTAGAACATTTAAATTTCAACATGTTTAATTTGTTACTTTTAAGAATTTTGTGGGGCGCCCGACTCAAAGCGATCTTCGCAATTAAGCATCGAAAAACTAGCAGTTCAATATGAAAACTTTTAAAAATATTATTATCCTTAGCGCATTGAGTCTTTCCACGTGCTGTTATTATTTTTAAACGGGTTGATTTATTGATTAACAAAATTGTTTTCAGAATAAGACCGTTTTTCGAAAAACCAAATCGGTCAGTATCGAGTTTAACGTAAAAATAAACTTTGAGAATCTGAAACAAAACTTACACAAAAAAAAGTAGGATAAAGAGCTCTACAGCACCTGTGCAATCAACTATCAAAGGACCAAATCAAAAATAAAATAAAAGAAAATTTGGTTGAGAAAATCGACGATTCTAAACTAAGTTTAGTTGTACACTTACCTAATCATTGGAAATCGGGTGAGCTGCATTGCCGGTAAAATGATTTTTCCTTCATCGACAGCAAGAGCTTGATTTAGTGAGTGCGTTGATGGAAGAACTTTCACCTGTAACTCATAAATTGACCTCAAAAAAAGTTTTCAGTCTTACCAAAGAATCGAGATCATCAAACAGCCGCATCGAAGCTGGAGGCTCCATGAAATCGTAGTAAACCTGTATCCAAACTTGATAACTTTGTCTGTGGCTTATTGAAAACCTGCAAAAGATGGCAAATGTGGCGAATGGCGGCGTCGGGAAGTTCGGCGCGATTTGCTGCCGTGTACAGCTCATGAAGACATTTGATCTGAAGCTCGGCTGGTCCCAGAAAGCTTTCGGAAATGGTGTGAAGTTGGTCTGTTGGTCGAATTCCGTAACCGGAAAGAGATCTGAAAAATTTTGAAAAATTTTTTTAGTTTTGAGAATTTTGTGAGTAGAAAAAAATAATGATACCCCTCTCAAAACAAGAGATTTTTTTGAATTTTTTTGTTAATTTGCTTAAAATATCTTGGAAGATTTTTTTGTGACTGCTTAAAACCTCCGTCATCAGTTCAAACATTTTTCTGGATGTATATTTTGTGATTCGTCCAAAAAGACCATTTTTCTCAGCTTTAAAAACCGTTCAACTAGCCGGTATAAAATGGTTTCATTCAATTTTCAGGTTTTTTTCATGAATTGATGGCAATTCGGGTGTTCATACATTTATTTTTTTAAAGTTTGAAGCTCAGAAAAAAATTTAATCACTGCAAATTGAAGATTTTTTTCTCCAAGTTTTTTTAACCCGTCATTTTTCTTCCATTTAGAACGTCTTTAAGAATTTTTGTTCTGTTCACGGATTAAATAAATTACTCACTTATACAACGTTGGATAAACGTATCGATAATCAGCTGGCGTTCGTTGGGATCCATCAGCGCTGTGTAGCTCGAACAGTACACTCAACCTCGCATAGAAAGCATGTTTTCTCAAAAAATTCATCTGAAAATGAATATTATTATGAGAAAATTCGAAAATAATGACCTCTTTGTACATCGCAGCGGAATTAAGGCATATTTGGGCTTTCATATGATGATCCATGAAGGTGTTCATGTCGTCCAGATACTTACCCGTGTGATCTCGATGGAATTGCTGAAATGAAATGATCAAAAGGTAGGATTATGGTTGAATTTTCGCTTCAAAATTAAAATCAATACCTTCAAAAAGCAAAAATGATAAAAAAAAAGTATTTCTTCAGATTTTCAATATTTTGAAAACTTGAAGAAAACTTTGAAATTGCTCTAACCAGGGAACGTTTACATTCCCGGTTGAACTTTTGCTAAAACTTTGCTGAAGTGTACTTTAGGACCCCTTGATTGCGTATCAAGAAAAACATTCTCGCAATAGATCTTGTTTCCAAGTTATGGAGCTTCAAAGTGTGCAAAATACGCACGTTAGGCCAAAAAAGTGCTATTTCGGGTTTTCGAAGTGTCCTAACTCGAAAACGAGATCTATTAAGAAAAATTTTCTTTAAAAAGAAAATTTCCTAGTAGGTAATTTGAAATCAAAAGACCATGAAATAAGCTAAGCAAATCCCCTTTTGAAAATTTTACCATGAAGAGAAAAACGAGAACGTATTTCAGTTTACCTCAAGCTGGATGTAATCCCGCTCCAACATCAAACAAACGATGGCCCTCATGACGCATTCGTATTCAAGCCATCTCGCAATCGTGTACTTGTTGTACTCTTCAATAGCTGTTGAGTAGGATTTCATGATGTCTTCCTTGGAAGGTCTCGAATTTGGTCTAAATCAGAATATTCAGATATAAACTTATTACTCCAAACTTGTCAGCAAGCAAATTGGCGATCGGCATCAGCACTTTATTTGATCGTTTTTTGACCTCTTCTCTGACGGATAAATATCCGTTTCCTATTATCCCACTTTCGTTCCCAAAACTTCCATTGCTTTTTGAGGAAAGTGACCGGAATCGATTCAAATTCTCGTCAGAATGATGTCGAACATGTCCCTGAGGGGACAATGAGCTGAAAAATTTTTTTTCTCGAGACTGAAAGAAAAGCTCACTTGGAAAGTATGCTTTCTTGACTCGAAAAGCTACTATCGTTTGTCGTCACATCTATTTCTATGGCAGGCATTGAGGTCATACTCGCAACACGGTGAAAATTGGTCGGAGCAGTTTCTCGAACATGTTGCGCGTGAAGACTTTCTGCGGCACAAGCCCAACCGTCCAGGGCAGCTAAAATTTATCGGGTTAAAAAGGATTCTTTTTAATTTTTTTTTAGGTTTATTTCATGCTTATGAATTTCTTAATGAACGAAAGGTTTTTTTCTGAGTGGTACTGCAGTTAACGCCTATTTCGAATAATGACATACCTAGGTTTATTCCAACTTGGAACGTTTCAGAAAAAAAACATTACCAAAAAATCGCGGAAAAACTTTTCTTCTCACTATTTTTTTTTTTTTTTTGAGCTCCCAGGATAAGCTCTAAAATACGACTTCATGAGGTTTTATCGAATTTGAAAATTGTGACGTTTTAACTTTTTCTGGTGAAAAGTTTCTCAATAATTTACGGATCGGCGTCTACTTTTTCTTTATAGAATAATAGAACAACACTCTCCAAATTTTTGGAAAGATGAATGTTTTCAAAAAAAAAAGATACCGGCTAGCCATAAATGGTCGGAAGCTGCTCGAAGGTTCTCGATGGCTGCGGCATAAGCTTCTAAGGCAAGTTGTGGAAGACCCGTCAACATGCAATAATCAGCATGCTGTTTTCGAAACCGTCCAAGACACTTTTTTTCCTGAACTTCTATTTATTTTTAGATCATCTATAAAAAAAGATCACTTGAAAGCTTTGTTGGTTATATCGACCCCAATTTGATAGCGTCGTTCATCCGGAAGAATCGGACAAGGCGGGAGTTGCTAAAAGAAAAAAGTATTTTGGAAAACAAAAGAAACTAACTTTTTCAAAGGATACGTCGATTCGTTTTGATTCTATAACTATGTAGATTGCGCGCATCAAATCTCGTATACTTGATTCCAAAGACTCCGCTTCATCAAGACTCGAATAAAATAGTCGTTCGTGAGGCTTTATTTTATTAAACTCCGACTTCTGAATTATATTCATCACATTGTTGGTATTTCCAAAAATCTCACATCATTGAATCCTAGAAAGATACAGCGACTGTCCAAAATAGTGTTAGCATAATCATCCTGAAATATAAAAAAATTAAAAAAATCATTTCGGAAAAACTTTGAATACTTTTTAATTTCTGATAAGATCTCATTAGTTGTTCGGCTTCTGTTCCTCCGCCAGCATCGCTTGAAATTCTTGGCGATAGTGATCGCTGAATTTTTTTCCGTAATTTGAGCGATTTAAAAAAATTGTATAATAATTATTTTTGCAGTTTTTTTAAAAACATTGAAAAACATGGGAAATGTTTTCGATGACATAAATAGTTAGAAGATTATTTTAATAATAAAACCTTGGGTAAAGGACTGCGAATAGATTGTTTCCGAACTAAAGAAGAACTGCAGCCAACTCCAATCACAGCGAAAACTCTTCTATGCGCCTGAAAACCACAAATAAAATAAAAAAAAGTAAAAATTAAAAAAACCTGCAACTCGCCAAATTCCGGAAAAAGAAACAGACGGCAGGAAGGCGCATTGAAATAATCTTTTTGGGTTTTCCGATACTAAAAGTTAAATATTTTGAAGAAGTTCAAAAGAAAAATACCTTGAATCAATCCTTGTCGAGAACACCTATCAACAATACGATTGAAAATTGCAGGAGCTCTGTGAGGGCCAATCTGAATAAAAGTTTAGTTGAGTTTGCTGTTTCAATTGAATGAGTTTACCGATTTGACAATAATTTTAATAGTTGTAACATCGCTCAGAAATTTTGATGTGTCCTCTGCCATTCGTATCCTACGCAAAAAAGAATAAGTAAACAAAATATTGAAACGAAAAAGTATACAAACAACGATGGGAAAAACAAAAACGTCAAAAGACGATCATTAGGAAAAAAGGGGACGAAGTGCAAATGATAACGAGCGTCCGCCACAAGTTTCAAACGATGCTCCACTGCGCTCTGTCGCACACTCGCTCGTTTCGCGAGCCCGCCAAATTGTTTTTTGTTCCACTTTTTGTTTATTTCCACCTGTTTTCACTATGCAATCATGTTTATTGTTTACCTCTTTTTTTATACAGTGGTAACTTTTTCATTTATTTTTCGATAAGTTGTTGATTTTTCATTACATAAGTTTTATTTTTTTACATTGCGAAATTATTGGAAAGTGAATCATACACTTATTTTTTTAGTTTCAGAAATTCTTAATAGTATTGATTTCAATGGTTTTTATTTTTACAATAAGGACAATAATTCCAAAAATTGAGATTTTTGAAAAAAAGCTTGTTTTTTTCGCGAATTTCATCACAAAATTCAAAGAAGCTTCAAAAATATTTTTGAAATAGGGAAATCTTAAATTTGAATTCTTCAAATTCTTCTAAAAATTTCAGGAATGTTTCTTTAATGTGTTTTTTTAACTTTCTGACAGAAAATAGATAAAAAAATGAATTGAAAAAAATGTATTACTTTTTCACGATTTCGTAATTTCCGTGTATTTTTTTGAGTTTTTCGCTCAAATTTAAATTTTAATGTTTTAAAATTACATCATATGTTATGAAAGCCAAAACAAGAGAACGTTTTCAGATCAACAGCTGAATTTTTGAAAAAGTGTACTTCGAACAATTTGAAGTTCTCGATGTCATCTTTTCGATGTGCTCTTCCAATCCTCCCACTTCAGTTTACTCTTTTCGAAAGTTTGTCTACCCATTGGGGTAGAGAATTATTATCTCGAGGGAAATTTCACCCGCTTTTTCCTCTAACTTTGCCATCTTTTTCGGTTCAACATCAGCAATTTGACTCCATTTTCATAATGTTTCAGTAGCCAGTTCGCAATTTTTTCGATTTTTTTCCAATGTTTTTTTATTTTTTTATTTTTTTAAGGCTTGAACGTTTTTCCTGTAGTGTCAGGCATTTTAAGAAAAAGGATTTTTATAGTCTCAGAGTTTTTTTAGATTTATGGTTTTTTTGTTTGCCTTCAACTTCAAAAAAACTTTAAAAAAAATCACCTCCATATTCACAATTTTACCTAAAAAGAAGACTATAAGAAAAAAAGAAAACGTCATTTATAATCTTCCTACAAGGTAACTGATTATGGGTAAAAAGTCCAACAATCGTTCTGGAAAGCTGAAAAACGGCATTTTTTCTAGAAATTTCAACCTTTTTACCGACTATTTCATCCTTTTTTATTCAAATCTTCATACCTTTAAACGGAAAACGTCTTCAAGTGGAAAATCTCCCGCTTAATTTTACAGCTGAAACACAAAACCCAACAAGATGGGCTCCTGGTTCTCTTCTAATCGCATTTTGTCGCGAGTCAGTAGAGGAAGCTACGAAGTTGGATGTGTCGACCTAATGGTGGCTGAGCATCCGGCGGGCGATCCTGGAGTATTTGTCAGAATATACTATCCCACAAATGAAAAGGTTTTGAAGTCAAAGAAGGTTTCAGAATTGAATAATTACAGGCCACGCCCACTTCTCCACGGCCGATTTGGCCTTCTCGAGTCGAATATACTTACGGTTTGGGCGAATATTTGAATCTTTCACAACAGAAGATCGGCTTTCTTTCTTCCTGGATTGTTGGTGAAAAAAAGTAAGGATTTTCTTTTGCGAAATTTCTGAGAACTGTTTTTCTGAGGCTCTGATCAGATTCGCCAGAGTCAGACCTCGAAAAATTACGCAACAGTAGTCGCGATTCAGCTTTCATGAATAATTTTTCGAAATTCGTGCTTATTTTATAGCTGCGTCGGACATTAAACAACTTTTCTTTTATGCATGATGAAATTTGCGCAAGTCATTGGCTGTCTGGCGCACTGAAAAATTGGTTTAGGCAAAAATTTTGGTCTCATAAAAATTGAAAAAATGGATAATTTCTTACAAGAAGAAATAAAATAATTCAAAAGGTTATTCCAAATGTTTGGTCTCTTCAGTGATCAAAAAAATAAGCTTTGATAGTTTTTTCAATAGCACTGAGATTAAAAAAAAACAATGTCAAAGTTTGAAAAGTCGCACGGAAATGTAGAGAATGCCTTCTTAAAAACTCTGAATAGCATCATAATTACAATTTTGTAGAGAGGATTGCTTGTCGAATGCAGCATTGGCAACAAAAGCTGCCTTGAACGATGGTGAGATTATTTTCTAAATTAAAATATTAGTTTTTCCAGAAACGAGGAAAGAAAAGTTCCCGGTTCTCGTGTTTTCTCATGGCCTCGGCGGATGTCGACACTATTACTCGGTATATTGTACCTCAATGGCGTCACATGGGTATGTGGTGGCAGCTGTCGAGCACCGGTGAGCCAAGGATTCTTTGGACTTCTGTTCATCATCCACCGCAGGGACATGTCAGCTTGTTGGACTTACGATTTGATTGAAGACAATGATGCATTGACTGAGAAACCTATCAAAATGAGGAGCATTTCTCGCGGGGAAAAAGAGTTCAAAATCAGAAACTATCAAGTGGGTTGGGGTAAAAATTCCTAATTTGCTCAAAAACTTTCCAAAACAACAAAAATCAAAAATTCAGGTAAACAAGCGAGTCTCAGAGTGTGTAAAAGTTTTCAATGTGCTTGAAGAACTGAATATGTCTGGGAATATTCCTGCTAAAATACTGGTTGGAGAAGAATTCGACTGGGGACAATTTAAAGTAAGAATTAATTTTTGATTTTTTTTTAATATTTCCCGGTTTCAGAATTGTTTGGATGTTTCGAGAACTTTTATCGGAGGTCATTCTTTTGGTGGAGCCACAGCCTTAGGTTGTACCGCGTATACAACCGACTTCCAGGTTTCATATTCATTTATCTCAGAAGCGCGATTTTTCACTTTCGATTTTTCGGAAAAAAAGTTCCTGAAAAATAAAAAAATGTTAACCTTCCAGCTTCAACAAAAAAAAGACAAAAAGAGAATTTTTTCCCTAATTGACGCAGTAGAATGCCGTTACACGCAAGTAGGGTTTTGTCGGACGCTTTGTAAAAATCACTTTCTGCCACCTTAAAGCCGGTTTACGCTACAAGGCGGTAGAATTTCAAACTGCATTTTATGACTTATCAGAACCTTGGGAGAGAGATTTCAGAGATTTTTTACTCGTCAAACAGAAGCCAGCTTCTATTGAACTATAGAGCAGTTTCTTTCAGGCAGCTATAGTTCTTGACGGATGGACGTTTTCCTTAGACGCTGCTCAACAGGAACAAAGCCGACAGCCTACTTTATTCATGAATATCGGTTCTTGGCAGTGGGAAGAAAATTTGAGTGTAATCGGCAAAATTTCAAAGCAGAATGTTGGAAATGCCCTCTTCACTCTCAAGTGAGAAAATTTGTAAATTTAAGATTATTCAACGGAAAATTATTATTGCTACAGAAGACCATTGAATTCGAGAAAAAATATCTTTTTTAACAATATTTTGAATGTATCGTGTATACTTCGGTATTTTTGTGTATCATTTCATACGATTATTCCATATGCATTTCTACAATTGTCACTGCAGTTGAAACGGGTTTGTTTTCACAAATTTTCTCGTAGCACCATCTTCTTCTATCTCATGAGAAAGTTCAAGTTAAAAACTAAAGTACGCCTTTTTACGGTGAGACTGAACGAACTGATAAAAAACTTGAAACGGCAATGAACTTTTGCTTCCAAAAAAAAAAAACTACGCCTTCAAGAAGTAAAATGCATTTCTTTCCAGAGGAGCCGCCCATCAATCTTTCTCTGACTTTCCGTTCCTTTTCAACAGCTACGTGGCTCGCAAAGCTGGCGTTCAGGTGTGTTCAAAATATTTCTCAAGAACTTTCGTTCAATATTTTTAGGGTGATACTGAGGCTAGACGATGTATGGAAGCGGCGGTTGAAATGAGCAAGGCTTTCTTGGAAAATGGAAAGGAGGGCGCCAAAACTACCAGCCAGGAATATTCAGATTTTTTAACAGAAGAATTATACGGACGTGAAACACTTAAAACTTGATTGTTCTTTCAAAATTTGCTCAAGCCGGTCATTTTTTGTAAGCTTGCTAGTTTTTGCCAAAGAGATAATGATGCCAAAACAAATATGAATAGGTACGAATGTTGAAATTTTTCCAAGAGTTTTTGATAATTCTGTCAACATTTTTCCATTTATCTTCAAGTTTGTTGCGGTATCTGCTCCTCCTAGTCTTGTCGGGTCTGTTTTTCTGGTCCCGTTCATATCAACGGTTTTGCTGTGCTGAATAAATGAATAAATTACTTTATTTCCATCGTGATTTCATATACTAAAAGTGGACAACGTTGACAGAATCGCCACTCAAAGGTTTGTGAGCAATAGTCTGAGTTAGCGAAGGTCTCTGATCGAAAAGAGTGGGAGCATTGTAGAAAAAGAGAATGTTTGCGGTTATATTGATCACGAGGTACAAAATGAGGAAAACCCTGTCGATCACAAGAGACATCAACTGCCACTCGTCGGTTATCTGCAAATTCTTCTCTCTGACATTTCCGAACTTTCCACAAACCCGGCTTTCCAGCTGTTGGTTGTGGAAATGTGCTGCTATGATTTTTAGATGGCCAAATATTTTTCGGAAAAGGTCGAGATTGTCAGCCACACAGCGTCTCTTCAGAGCTTCGTCCATCTGGATTATTGTTTTTTCTTCGATTCACTATATGAGGCTTTACTTGAACTAAGCTCAGTAAGCGAAGTCGCTGAGTTGGAAAAACAGGCGAATTCGTGACAGCCGAGTTTTTGTGAACAACAGACACGGAATCTGCTCATAAAAATAATTTTGATAGGTTTTTTTCGTTTTTCAAAGACGAGAGATACAGGCGGACTATCGCTTCGAACATCAAGGCCGAAACGTTTTTAATCGTTTTATCAGAACAAATGTTAGTTTGAAGACGTTTGATCAGCTTTGCAAATCTATGAGCGCTCTAGAGATCTGTGATTTTTCTTCAATTAGACCTCGCGTAATTTGATTCTTTGTAGACTTTCATCATGTTTCAAGGCCAATTAGGAAAAACTCTTGCCCGTCAAGAAAGAGAAAAAGAAAATGATAATAAAGCTGCTTTAAAAAAAGTAGAAATTTTTTTTTTTTGTGAAAGGACTTGATTTGAGAAAATCGTCAAGAAGTTGATTAAGAAGACACTAACCAGTTCGAGGAGTAGTAGTGCCGCTGTCCGAACTTTTGTCACAGTCGTTGTCCAGCGACTTCAGGTTCAGATATTTCGGCAGCCACTGCACAAATAACCATCTTTGCCAGTCAGACATTTCTGATGCGAAGGCTTGTCTGTGAAAAGTGTACTTCAGAAAGAAAAGAAACTATTTTTTATCACCTTCTATAAATGTTTATAGTGACTACCGAAATCACGATCGACGCAGCCACCATTAATAGCGTAAAAAGCAGGTAAACACCTGTAAGTTTTCGTAGTATCAAAAACTTGTGGCGCTATGAATCAATATTTCAGCTCCTGAGCGTTTTTTCCCCATAAACTCCAAACTGCCAGGGAATCCCCCTGATTGCTAATTTTTCAACTCACCAATGAGAGAAAGTGAAACCGAGGTTGGTGGGATAAGCTCAATCAGAACCAAATAAAACACGGTGAATGCTACAAAAACTGATATGGAGTACGTCATTTTATGCTCGTTGGGTAGAATCATGAACACGAATGGCGTCAAATTGGCTGAAAATTTTTTTCATATTTGAATCCCCACTAATGCAACACTAACCTATCAACATACAGGGAATGGTCAGCATAACCGTGAAGAAAATTGCTTTACGACGAATCACAATTTTATACCTATAAATAGGAATTTTTTTGCAGTTTTTTTCTTTCAAAAAAACTTTATATCAATGTAATATTGTTGTCCGCAACAACCAGGATAGATTTGAGCGTATCTGGACGACGTCGTTCCCAACAAATCCCACTCAGCGCTTCTGAAAAAACATTTATTTGAACTTGAACTTCATCAGGAGAAAAGGATCAAGAAAGGCTGTTTTGAGTAGAGGAAAAAACGGACTCATGGTAAAAGCTTAATCCAAGGCCTCGTTCAAGAAACAAATACTCGACGCCTGCGTCGTCAGTCTTCTGAATCGGAGTATCTTCGACGTTGACTGGAATCTGATCCAAGTCCAGCGTTTCACCATCATTTGTCCAGCCACCAAACTGAAAAAAATAGAAACTAGTAAAAAGAAGAATCAAAATTGTGTAATTTAACCGAGATAAGTTAGATAGATTTTTTAAAAAAAATAGATTTTTGATTTATTTTTCCCTGTTTTTCTGGCGTTTCTTCACAAAAAAAGCTTTAAGATTAAAACTTCTTGCTCTTCTTCCAATCTGGGAAAAAAATTTAGCGGCCACTATAGGGTTTTTGAAATTTTAGTGGTCACTGTAGTAGTCAAATTAGTAGCCACTATAGAGGTCTAATTTCTACTAAGAGACCACTAAAAAATTTAAAATCTCTTAAAAACTATCTAAATTTTATTTATTCACCTTCATCACGCATTCCTGCCAGTCATACGGAAAATATTTGATGTTGATCTGAAACATCCATCTTGAGGAAAATTCCAAACAAAAAATTCACTGGGCAGAAGCTTTTGTAGATCGATGGCGGTTGCCAAACGACTCGGCCTCGGAAATCAACCCTCGCCAAACTTGAAATAGTGATGTGAGGCTCTCCATCGGCACTGGATTTTTCCAACTTTATTCTAAAATCACTCAAAAATGCCCAACTTGTTATACAAGACGATGTCCGGGATCCAGATCTGGTCAGAGGGAATATGAACAGTCTCCACTCCTCCCCATTCCGTCGGCGTCCACATCAACTTTCGATCTACCCATTGCTGGAATATGTGGCTTATAATGGAAAGAAAATGAGCAACACCATTTCGAGCCACAGACTCGTCGTTAAGACCTGATTCACTTCGTCCTAAAACATGTTCAAAAGGTTTTAGGAGCTTTTTGGTAGGCTCACCACATCAATTAGGCGACACAGATTTGCGCCAAATTTCACTTTGAGCGCATCCGACGCGTTGTGCACAGGCCTCACTACGCGATTGTAGTCCGAAAGCAGATTTTCCAGAAGTTGCGCAACATTTTTGTCGCAGAGAACATTTTGGAGACACGCTGAAGGAATAATTTCTTGAAAAAAGCACAAGAAAGTTCGTTTTTATCTTTCTGATGTAAACTGTCCGAGTTGAAGTTTCTAAGAAAATCAGAAACGATTGTTCTTGTAATAATTTTCTCAAAGAATTTAAAAACGGAACTTTCAGATTTTCCTTGTTTTAATGAAATCTAAACAGAAAAGTTCACGTACCGCATAAGATCAACAAAACATGATGCGAGACGCGACTCATTGGCTGGTCGTTTGAACAAATGACATTGAGGTGTGTCAGCTTACTGAAATCTTGTCAAATCTGAAAAAACCACCGTTTTTTTGTTTTTTTTAAGTCGCAAATTTGAACCTAATCAAGATCGGAATGAAAAAACAAAAAAAAATCAAAATTTTAAAATCGATTTTTTGGTGATACAGTCTTTGAATAATGAATTTTCAAACTCTTTTTTTTTGCAGCATTTGTGCAAAGTTTCATACCGATCAAATAATGTTTATAATGAAAAGATAGGCTGATTCTCAAAGTATAGTAAAGCAAAAAACAACTGGAATTTCTTGGAGCTTTATATATAGTGAAAAACTGAATTTCGAAATTTTTCTGAACCTTAGAAAAGTTAATATGACATGAAAAGGGTTATTCAGGTTGGAAATAATTAATCAAAATAAACGAAGGTTATGAGGGTTATTGACAGGTGGCAAGGGCGGTCGGGAACGCGAGAAGATTTGTCCGGAGGACTGCGGCTCTGGCGTTTCTGTTACACTTGATGTATACCTTGATGGGTTTATTATGTGCCTGCTACACACTTTGCTCGTTCCGCGTGCAACGGTTTTTTTGCAACAGATTAGAAATTTTTTTGTGGTTTTTTAGAAGGGAAAATTTGGAAAAATAAAAAACAACACCAAGAAAATTGAAGACCCAAGTTGCGAGGTTTTTCGGATAACTTTTGAAAATGACACAAAAAAAAAATTTTCGTTCGAAAAATTCGCAACAATAAAATCTCTTTGATTGATGAACGAACTTAAAATTTTCTATAGTTTGCGATGAGTTTTTCGACCCAAAGCGTATGAAGAAACGGCACGAGCTTCGACATCGATTTTAATCTGATTCTCTCCGAACTTCTCATTCGATTCGAATAGAGCTGTGGCTTGGAATGCGAGATATTTTGTGTGGAATACTATTTATTTTGGATCAGGGGTTAACATGAAACACGTACTAAAAGACTAGAAAGTGAAAAAGCATAAAAAAAAATTAAGCATTCGGAATTCTAAAAAAAACAATCAAAACTCTCTTCCATTCAGACACTAAAATTTTTGAGCAAAAATAATTGTATCTAAAAGGAAGCGAGAAACAGTGAATATGGCTCAAAAGTCCTATCACAGAAAAACTGGTGAGAACGAGAAGAAATGGAAGGAAAAGTGTAGAAAGCCGTAGTTAAAACAACATAACGATCGGTTGGTGAAATTAGGAATAAAGAAAATCACGAAAAGCACACACCCTAGCAAAGGAAATTATTTAGAGATCTGCATATATCTGATGGAAAGCTGAACGGCTGGAAAGTTTGAAAATTTCGGTAACAGATGGTGAAACTGATTTATGGGATACTCGAACATTATTGAGGACCGAAAAAATTGACGCCAACGAGGATTTCAGTCTTGACAATTGCTTTGTAGCGGCGTCGCCCGACATTGTACGATTTAGCGTAAGTTGTTTTTTGTCGGACGCGCTGAGCCATGTTTTGCAACATCAGCAAGTTTCAACTAGACAAAAAAAGAAAGTAATTCGGGGAAAATTCAAAAAAATTAACTCAATAAAATTTATAATCAAAAACTATTCTGCTTTTTTATGTTCTGGTTCGACATCAAATATTGGACGTATGGAGTTGACAAATGAAGTCCCAAGAGCCGAGTAGGTTTTGGACAGGATCGGGATGAGTAGACACTGGTGGCAGACGGCAAGTATACGGTAGAGCCGCGTTTGGAATGGATCTGACACCGCTGGACACATGATGTTGTTCAGGTTCACACGAGTGTACTGAAGTTTGAACTTTTTATGGCTTCTTTCCTGTTTCAATCATGTTGTTTAAAAATTGGTTTTCTGTTCTCTTGGTTACCGGCTTATCTCTTCATCAATGTGGTCGCTAGAGTAAAAATGTTTGATAAATAATTTGATTGATGTGAAACGACCGCAGTCTATTCCAATCCCAAAAAAAAAAAAATAAAAACAACTTTGCGTTTCAAAACTTTTTTTCCGTCTTCAGTTCTCTTTCTTCCTATTTTTCCAAAAGTTTGATTTCGACTTCATTTTTCCGGAAACAACAAGATCATCATGAACTTACCATAGCGCCTGCTTGTAAAACCGCAAAATGGTAGAGTGAAAACATGGAGATGCCAAAAACTGTCCAGCCAAAATCGTAGGATTTCTCGGGTTCGAATGCTCCTCGAATATACATCAAGTAGAGGGGCACAACGAGAATTGCCACGTGTTGGGCGTAGTAGATGAAAACTTCTCCGGGAAGCTGAAATTTATGGAAGTCAAGGCGGTTTTTTTAATGTTTGTCCGATGCAGTTTGGAAGACGTAAAAACTTATTTTTTGATTATTTCGAAACTCGTCACATTTTGAAGAAAGTTGAAAAAAAAATTCGAGAATAGAATACCTATGAAGAAGTGATTATATTGATTTTTGATGGCATAAAACTCACGTTTCTTGTGTTCAGTATAGGGAAGGCTAGAGCGAAGAAAGCACCGGGCATGAAGTAGAGCATCAAACGAAACAGGAAGCACGCTTTTTCTGAATAGAAAAAAAGTCATCAGCGACTTTTTTTATTAGTCATAAAATAATTGAGAGGACTCATGAATTTTTTTGATCAATATCAGAACTTCTGAGTTCCTCGAGGAAATTTTTGTAAACTTCGTGAGAATATTTTTTTAGTTTTTTCAAATCAAAAAGCAAATGACGAAAAAAAAGGCTCACTTGTCATTGGCGTCCATGGTGAGTAAAATCAGCTGCATAGTTGTGGTTACGTGACACGGATTAAGCAGGAAAATGCCAGTTCTGGAAAGAAAAGTGATCTTTAAAGAAAAAATGTTATTATATATATCCTCGTACGTTTTGTAATAAAGATAATTCAAAACAGAAAACTTCTGATAATCGAAAAAAAATGAAAATCTATTATTTTTCGATGATAAATATTTGATACTCGGACTATGAGAAAAAGCCTCACTTTGAGATCATTTTGTAGGCAAGTTCGGCGCCAAAAATCAAGCTGTAGATAGTCAGAACTGTATATCGGGAGGTGGGTCGAGGCGGTAGAGAATATTTGCAATCCAGAGGGAAAGCGCCAAAAGCGGTCCACAGCGACAGCGGCACAAAAACGATCGTTTCGAGGAAGCGCTGCCATCCCGGAATATACTGAAGACATTTTTTAAAATTTTAATGATTTTAAGTTCAGATAAAATACTTCCATTGAGGGATTTTCAGAAGGTATCCAATTGATAATCTGACTCAACATTTCAGAAAAGGATTTTAGGAAATCTTAATTTAGATCAGCCAAAAAAACTGCTTCTTCTGTTTTGTGGAGAATGACGCCAAAATCCTTCTATTTCTCTGCTAAGCTGTTGAACTTTAAACTTGAAGACCATAAAACTCTACTGAAAGGCAAACGTCACCGACTCTTTGGAAGTGTTCAACCAATTTTAGTATAAGAAAAAAGAAAAAAAAAAGGTCAAAAATGACGGCGTTGATTAATGCGTTGAGTACACGGCAACTCTTGCGCATATTAATTCATTTGCGCTCTATCGACATTTTTTGCCGCATAAGCCTCGAATCTTCATTTGCTCGGACCTTGGTAACGCGAACGGGACGCGAATCGGACGTATTGGCGCATTTCTAGTGGCTACTTTAGTAGCCTCAGCGCTCTTAAGTTATCCCCAGATTTGCCCAGAAACGTCCGGAGCACGTCCGCTCCGCGCTACCTATGTCCGAGTGCTCATTGTTTCTTTGTAGTAGAAAAACGAGGCTGCATTAAGTTCAAAATTCCTGTCAAGAAACAAATTTGAAGGCGGTGGTCGTTTCAAAATATGCATTATAAAGAAGCGCAATCAAAAATTGGCTATTGGAAACGTCGAATCGTCACGCAATTGCACCCAATAAAACTAAATTTATTCAATTTCTTCGTTTCTGCATTTCTTTTTTCTAGGAGAACTACCGTAATATGAATATCAAATTGACCTTTTTCGAGATAACGCAGGGGGAAAAAAATTTCTCTCTAAAACATTAAAAATTACGTCAGTTATCAATTTTTTTGAAGTAAGATTCGCTCGGCCATCGTTTTGAAACTTCAGAAAAAAAGATTATCGAAAGCTAATTTTCCGAAAAAAACTATGATTTTTCGCTCTGGGCTCCTAATAAACTTGATTTCAAAAACCGAGGACTCTAAAAATCAAAAAGCAGTTTCAAAATGACATTTCAGCCCTTTTATGGGAGCGAACTTTGTCCTCTTGGTTCTATTTGATAACTCATTATCAACTCAAGTAAATCGCCTGATTGGACGTCATGAAATTTATGACGGACTTATCGTGAGGGATTCCTAATTTTTTCATACTTTTTTTCTTCAGGCTGAAGAAAAAAAAGCAAAGAATTTGATAAAAAAATTAATAATTTTTTTGAATTCAAGACAGTTAGATCGATCTATAAGCTCAGTAAGCCTATTGAATAGTAACAGACTGAAACAGGATTTTTCATAGAACCATAACTAAAAAAAAAGCTTCAAAGTTTTCAGAAATTTTCGGCTTTTTCACCTAGTTGAATAATTGAATAAAAACAAAACTGACATGCATACAAATCTCTCCGCCATTTCCTTCGATGTTTTCGTCCACGCCGCCGACGGCGAGGTCCCACCAAACGTTCCGCATCTAGCGCTTCCGCATTCTGATGCAAACTTTCCTTTATCAACTCACCCGGCAATAATTAACGAAACGGTTCAATCAAGTGGAAGGAAAGTCGGTAGTGAAAATGAAAACCAGTAGACTGAAGTTTTTTATCTTACGAGTATCGAGATTATTGTGGAAGCGACCCTCATATCAATGCTTTCTGATCAAACGCATACAAACAAGCCGCTATTCCGTTCTATGGAAAATCAAACGATCTATCATTCTTCGCTTTCTAATGAGCTGAGAAAATGCAAAACTTTTTCACTTTATTTCAAAAAATAAAAGAAAAAATGCAAAAGAGAAAAGTCGATTGACCAAAAAAACAAGAACTACGGCGAATTCATTCTCACAACGCCAGTAATTACGCTGAGAACTATAAAAAACATCGTAAATTGCCTGAGATACTGTGAAAGTCTGCTCGTCTTTTTTTATTTCACCAATTGATTGCAGTGAACTTTATCTATCGTAGTCAGTTATTTCGCTGGAATTGCCAAAATAATTGACAATTTACGCAGTTTGAAATAATTTTTTCCGACGGGGACCTTCTGTGAATGGTGTCCTGATAAGTTAAAAAGTTTACAAGAAAATTCTCACTCAAAAAAAGTTCTATCAAAATTGTTCATACGACACTTTCAAGACTTTGAAAAAAACTGAAGACGTCAAATTTTTCACGCTAACCCAAAAAGAGCATCCCGGCATCTCAGTGAGACAGATTTCATGAAAACAAACAAACAGATAGAAAGGAAAGTATTGGGTAGCAAAACGACAGATGCGTTGAAAACAAAGAAATTTTAGAGGGATTTAATAGTCTGGCGTGAACGGCACTCTACAATTTTTGATGCAGGAAGCGAAAACCTTGTATTATAAAATGATCTATTTGATCTCAGACTCTTAGAGCTCAACTGAACTTATGTGAGACCTGTTTCAAAAAAGTCGGAAAAAAGTACTTTTTCAACCGCTATTCACTAGACCGTTGAAAACAATTTGCATATGGCAAAACGGAGAACCAACAGATAGAAAGCAAAAAAAAAATCGACAACTTGAGCGATCCTTTTTTGCTCCATCTGGCCACAGCTCGGTTTTTGTTTTTGAGTCATTGAGCTTGTTTTGTGCTCTAAGAGCGGCTAAAAGTCTGGGGTCTCTGTGTTTGTGTTGCGAAAAGTGTGCGGGGATGTGCTGGGGGCAAACATTGCGTCCCCCAGGTCAACGTTTATGAAGTCTCCTATTCCACTTGATAAATCATCATTTTTTGTCAAATTTCAGTTTTTGTTTATACGATTCACTCATATAATTTACATTATGGCGTTGACCGGGTTTTTTTCAAGAGTGAACTCTGAAGATTCGGTTTTTTTAATGGCGTTATCAACTTTGAGTTTCCTGTTTTAAAAAAATTAAAAAAATTATAGTTTATATTCACGACTTTAGGAACTAGTGCAAATTAAAAAAACGCTAAACACCAAAAAAATTGTTTACAGTTTCTATTTTTTTGAGGAAACGTTTCTTCAAGTTAAAAATTTTTTTGAAAAAAACTTTAATTTTTAGATGTTTATTTAAACATCGCGATTTGAATCTCGAAAAAAATAAATCATCTAGTTTATTTGAATGGGGAAATTAGAAGATATTCTGAGAAATGAAATTCAATTTCATGAAAAAGCATTTTATGTATATTTCACGATACTGTGACAACATTGAGAGAAAGGTCAGTTTTTATAATTTTTTTTTTTTGAGGTGATAAATTTTTCGTTTTTTTGAGATTTTCAGTAACAAAAGTTTTCATGTCAATTTTTCAAACACTATAAACGATTTTTTTTTGAAATTCCTAGCAAATGCGGAAATGAAACATGAACATTTTTTTCACAAAAAATTTCGTCTTCGAAGCAAAACTTTTGAACTTTTTTTCCCAGAAGTAGATTTAAATGCACAAAGATTGTTATTAGATCTCAAAAAGGAAATAACATGCATTTGACACGTTTCCTGTTCATCAAAACAGCCATCAAAAGGAAGATAGCCGTGAAAAACGAGTAAAGACGAATAAATGGATCAGAAGCTTCATATGGATACACAGAATGCACTTTTCTTTGCATTCTGGGGAAGAAAAGAGCAGAGCAAAGTAATGGACGCGCAGGCGGAGAAGGCTGCCAAACAAGGCCATTCGAAACCGCGATAGATTAGCTCCCTTCAGAGCCATCCGCGCATGCTCTCATCTTTGAAAAAAAAAGAAATATAGTAAACCGTAGATTTTTTTTTAAATTCTCCACAATTGGTTTGCCCTACGGCTAATGAAATTTGCGAGTTCCAACTGAAGAAAATGTAACAAACGGCTTGCAGTCTTTATTGATCTGAAAGCAAGAGAGATGCGAGAAAAAGAGGGAGCTCAAGGGGAAGCTAAGTCCGCCGCCGGAGCCGCCGACCAGTTGGATTATGAAGACCGCTCGAGCTCATTATTATTGGTTTCTCGCTCATTTTGTCTATTTTTGGTTTTTTGAGTTCTGTGGGCAGAAAAACTGTAACAGTGGACTCTCCAGAAATGGTTCCTCGCAGGGTTCGATATCTTTTTATCACTTTTTGACTAAAATCAATCAATAATAAGTTTGAATGGAAAATATACAAGTTTTTACTGAAATTGCTGCTGTTAATTTTTTAGTTCCAGAAAAAAAAATGAAAATTGGAAAAAATTAAAACATAAAAAGGTCAAATTTGCCAAGTTTCGATTTGCTAACTCTGTTATATTTCCAACATCAAAGAATTCCATGATAATTTAATTGACCAGTTCTGAAGGAAATTTCGATTCAGTTTCTTATTTTTATATGTTTTATGAAAAAATGGCACAAGGTAAAATTTCTAATCAGTTGTAATGTGGTATTCTCTTGGGCAAAAAGCTACAAAAAGTAGAAAAATTGTGAAAAAGGTGTAGGTTTTCTTGAAGTTGAAGGAGTGAAATCCAACACTGCTTGGCAGGAAGCACCTTGTAAACACTCATTTAGAAACACCCATGCTCCGATTCGAATCACCATAGTAACCAGGCTTTGTGAAATCTTGAAAAAAGAAATTGTTGAGAAAATTAAGCAAAGGTGCTAGAAGAAAACGCTTCGGAATGAAGAAATCGATGTGTGGCGAGGAGGAGAACTTGTGTGGGCATTTGGTTTCCACAAAGAGGCCAGCAGAACTTGTTCAGAGTAACGTCGTGGTTAATGCGGAACTGCGATTCACGAATTGCCAAAAGGAAAGATATAAAAAGAGAGTTCGTGTTCAGAAACAAGCAGCTGGATTGCACGTGCGACAGGTGTGAAAGCTATCCGACGGCTACACGAATCAAAAATGCAATGAACTCGAAAATTCATTTTCATGGGATACTACATTTCCCAGCCGCAACCAAACAAGTATATTTAATCATAGTGAGGATTAGAATATGTTTTTTTATTTTACTCAACACAGATGGAATTTCTAGTTTTTTTTTAATCATTAGAGCAAATTTGAAAGTTTGATATTGAGAAAAACCGCAGGATGAAATCTTTCTTAATAAACGTGCGATTTTTTGGCTTAGAATCACCCGCAAATCTCAAATCGAAAGGAGAGATAACTAAATTTTATCGAGAAATAAGTTTTTTACATTTTCAAAAGCTCAAACACAAATAATAGTTTCAACTTCTCCTAGAAAAAACGATTTCTTCTTTTTTTATTCCTTCACAAAGACATAAAGTGCTTTCTGCATTTCGAAATACCCTTTCCCTGGCAATTTGACAAAATATTTCTTCAAGATCAAACAAATGAGAATTATAAGAATTTATCCTCTGAAAATATTTCTGAAAAGACAAAATAATTAATAAATAATTGGAAAGTAGATATAAATATTTCAAAATAGCTCGGGAAATTTCAATAAATCAAACTTGAGAAGAATTGAACAATGAATCGCTGAAGACATTTCGGTTCAGAGAAGTTTACTAAAAAGACACGAAGATGGTTTCTTGACCTCTCGGCGGCCAATGTCGCATAGTTTTCGGCACTGAAACTGGTGAATTTAATTTGAATTTATCATGATGTTCGCAACAAAATTGGAGTTTTTATATGTTAACCTGACAAGGGAATCCAGTATTTGTTGGATCCGCCAATCGTAGTCTTCGTCAAAGACTTTGAGAAGAGGTACCTGTACTTTGAATTTTCAGGAGTTCTGAAAATCAGAGACCTTAAAATCTAGTTGACATATAGATTTGCCAATTTTATCTAGCTCCTCCTCAGTCAGAAATTTTGGAATCATTTCGATTGCGTCTTCTTCGTCTACTATAACGTCAAGGAATAATTTAAAAAAAAACAACTTTCACTCGCCTTTTTCTATCATCAAGTAATCAATCACTGTTTCATTGACGAATTTTGATAAGAAAGTCAGAAGATCGATTTTCACATCAACATTTGTAAAACCTGCAGTTTAAATATATTTATAAAAGTTTTTCGAAACAATTCTGACCTTTCCTCAGATCGCTTGTTTTTCTCAAAGCTGTACGGGACCCGACGGAAATTGGAAGATAAACAGCTTTGTTCTTTAAGAAAGTATTTTCCTCATCGAGAGTGTCGGTTCCAAAGAAGTTGAACCTCTGCAAGAACGAAGAAAACAAAAAACGCGAGACCGAGAGCAAACTTTCATAGTGTTTTTCAGATACTTTTCCATAATGAAGTCTTCAGATGCTCCCAAACGAACTGTTGTCAATGTGAAGTTCTACAAAAAACTTTTCAAGCCTGACAAAATTTTGTGGAAACAACAAAAATGAGACTCAAATGACAAGAAATCGATAAAAAAAAACCTCAGCAGGCAAAATAAAATGGAAAAAAGCGCCTTTGACGTTGTCGACTTCTACATGCCACATATTAGTTTTGCGTCTGCACTTGGCCACTCCACTCAAGAAGTTATTCATGAAGTCTTCTCCACTGAAAAGTCTAATCGAAAAGATTTTAATGAAAGTGTAACGGACTGTTTTTTTGACGCCAAACGCTCCATGCATTCTCTCCAAATCTCGAAAGCCGATCGCGACATTTTTATTTCTTGGGACTCTTCCAAAGTTCGTTTTTCAGTTCTCACATTCTTCTGAACTACTTTTCTACTGTTTTTTTCTTCATTTTTTTTTAACCTTTCGGTAGATTTCTGGCGAGGGAGGAAATAGTAGACTGACCAAGCAGAAAATCGCAATGAAGTTCGAAAAAATCAGAAAAATTTTGACATAACGGCGACAAGCTGGAATCATGTTCGGGTTGTGCAGTGAGAATTTCCAGCTTTATAAAAGGGAAGTTTTGAACGATTTTAATAAGAGAAAGCTTCTTTTTAGCATGCGGAAAAACGACGATCTCTGGATAGACAGCCCAAAAAGGATACTTTGACATCACCGTGACGATCCGATGGAAAGATAGCAGCGATTTCACTCATCCAAAAAGTCGAAGATTAAAAGAACACAATACTAATTACCCGATTGCAGTAAAACCCGAAAGTTATTAGAGTTACAAAAAGGCGACTTGGCTATCATAATTCTGGTTTTTTTTCTCCGTTTTCGATGATTTCAATATGGCTTTTCACACCGATTTGAATGAATGTTGAAATTGCGAGAGTCCAAGAGGCCATTTCATGGCGCAGAATATTTCGGTCACTTCGTTGTGCAATCACATTATCACAGTTCTTCAAACGTCCATCATGTTATCGCGCATTAGCTGAATGACTGTTCGTGAAAAGTGTCAATCTTTGTGAGCTCATATAAAAGAGCTAGCTGGCGTGGGTTCTTCACTTCGATCATGATTCGATCGTTCGTCTTCGCAGCCCTCGTGGCTCTGGCTCTGGCCGCCAGTCCACGATTTGAGCGCACCTTCCAGCCCAAGAACGAGTACCACTACCGCTTCGAGGGACTCGTCCTTGCCGGACTTCCCACCACTTCTTCTGAAATCTCTCAAACTCGCATCGACGCCCTCGCTCGTCTCCAGACCGTTGACGACCGCACTCTCGCCCTCCAACTGATCAAGATCCGTCTCAGCGCTTCGCATGAAACCGAAGTTGAGGGAATCCCGTCGCAGAACTCCTTGGAAAAGCGTGAAATCGAGCCCAAGCACGAGGAGCTTCTCGAGCTCCCTGTTCGTGCTCACATTCGCAACGGCCTCATCTCCGACGTCCAGTTCGACCGCGAAGACCAGGAATGGTCCAAGAACGTCAAGCGCGCCGTCCTGAACATGCTGCAGCTGAACACTGAGCAGCACAAGGACGAGAAGTTCGAAACCGAACAGCTCGAGAGCAACGACAAGCACTTCAACAAGATGGAGAAGACCATCGAGGGAGAATGCGAAGTTTCTTACACCATTGTCGAAGAGTCCCAGAAGACCATCGTCACCAAGTCTGTCAACTTCGACAAGTGCACTACTCGTCCAGAAGCCGCCTACGGCCTCCGCTTCGGATCCAAGTGCGAACAGTGCGAGGAGCAGAGCAAGCACATTCAGCCCATGACCGTCTACACCTACGTCATTGAAAAGGAGCAGATCCAGAAGGTCGACGTCGTCTCCGTCTACACCATCAACATGAACGGCCAGGAACTCATGAAGACTGAGACGCGCTCGCGCCTTACTCTTGAGGAGGTCCATTCGATCAAGAAGCAGATCCAGAAGGTCGACGGCGAGAAGGAAGAAATCATCTACTCTGCTCAGTTCGAGAAGCAGGTTGAGGAGTTCTACAAGAAGGGCGACAAGGCCTCCGTCAACCCCTTCGAGCAGTACCAGACCGAGAAGAAGATCCAGCAGATCAAGACCATCACCGAGCAGATCATGGAGAACGAGGACAACAAGCAGGAGACTGCCCACCACCTCGCCCGTCTTGTCAGCCTCGTCCGCATGTGCACCGTCGAAGAACTTGACCAGATTCACTCTGAAATCTACAAGAAGGCCGACAAAAAGGTTTTTTTATAGATGGTTTCAGAAAAAAATTGAAATGTAAAAATAATTCTTCTTTTTTTGCTGACTTATTTAGGCTTTTTGCATATCGATAAAAAAAAGTATTTTGAGGGAAAAAAGAAGGAAAAACGTTAATACGACCTTGAAGACAACTTTCGTCAAAAAAATCTAGTTCAGTTGAATTAAAAAAAATTCGAAAACTCTTTTTTGCGAACTTCAGCACAACAAATGGGAAAAAAATGAAAGTTTGTGAAAAAAATACTAATTCACAAAAAAAGCTGAAAAAAAGATTATAATAGAAAAAATAGCAGCAGTTTTTCAGGTGCTTTCGATTTTGGATCACGTTCATGCTATCTCTGGAACCAAAAACACCATTGAACACTTGATCAAGCACATCGAACAAGACGACTTCTCTCCCATCAAGGCGGCTCAACTTCTGAAGTCCGTGCAGGAAACTCCCTATCCTTCGGAGCACATCGTCGAGATTCTTCTCCAGCTGGCCAAGTCCAAGATTTCCCGCGAAAACGAAGTTATCCGCCAGTCTTCGTGGCTCGCCATCGGCTCGGTCGTCCGTGGAGTCGTTTCTCAGACCCCTGAAATCCATCTCGTCAAGGAACACTCTCGCGAACTCAAGCAGAAGTATGTCCGCGTCTTCATGAGCCTCTTCAATGATGCCGAAACCACCTACGAGAAGATCCTTGCCTTGAAGGCCCTTGGAAACGCCGGAATCGACGTCTCCGTCCAGGAGCTCGAGAAGATCATCTACGACAAGCGTCAGCCTCTCCCTGTCCGCATGGAAGCCATCGATGCTCTGCGTCTCCTCAAGGACCAGATGCCCCGCAAGATCCAGAACATCCTTCTGCCCATCTACAAGAACCGTCAGCAGACCCCCGAACTCCGCATGGCCGCTGTCTGGCGAATCATGCAGACTCTCCCTGAAGAGCCTGTCCTTTCCCAGATTGTCTACCAGATGGACCGTGAGTCCAACCAGCAGGTCGCCGCCTTCACCTACCGTCTTCTCCAGTCTCTTTCGCAATCGACCAACCCGTGCTACAAGCGTGTTGCTTCCAACATCCAGTCGATCTTGAACTTCGTCCGCTACCAACCTCAAGAAGGCGTCCTCGCCTCTTTCCACCAGCTGCCTTTCTTCTCTGAGGAAGCTCTGTCTGGCGCTCAATTCGACATGGCTGCCATCTTCGGCAAGAACTCCGTTCTCCCCAAGGAACTGACTGCCTCGCTCGACTCCGTCTTCGGAGGAAACTGGAACAAGTACCTTGTCCAGATGGGCTTCTCCCAGAACAACTTGGACCAGATCGTCATGAAAGCCCTCAACAAGCTCCAGAAGATGGATTCCGAGAAGACTGTCGTCCGTGGACGCCGTGTTCAGTCTGGAATCTCTCTCCTCAAGAAACTCGCTCAGAAGATGAACATCCGCTCGCGAAGCTCCTCTGAAGAGACCCAGCAGCCTCACGCCGTCTTCTACTTGCGCTACAAGGAGATGGACTTCGCCGTCCTCCCAATCGAAGTCGAACAGATCGAGCGTCTTGTCGAGAAGTACGTCAAGAACGGAAAGATCGAGACTTCTTCTATTGAGCGTCTGTTCAACCAGCTTCCGGAATTCAACAACCACCACGCCGCCTATTTCTTCGACATGACCCGCAAGGTTCCTACCAGCATGGGTCTGCCTTTGGCTATCACTGTCAAGCTCCCTACTGTCTTCTCCGTCCAAGGAAAGCTCTCCGTCGAGCTTATGTCTCTTGAAAGCCGTTTCACTCTTGAGGTCCAGCCTTCCATTGCTGCCACTCACGTCACTCAGATGCGCTTCTGGACTCCTCTTTTCGAACAAGGAACCAAGTCGCTCAGATCCATCAGAGCCAATGTCCCCGTCAAGATGGACGCCAGAATCATCCTCAAGAAGGACGTCGAAGTCGAGCTTTCTTTGACCATTCCTCAGGACAAGAAGACCACCATCCAGGTCTCCAGCCGCCCAGTCGCTTTCTTGCGATTCCCTACTTCTGAAGAAATGAACTACGTCGAAGCTGAAGAGAAGACTTTGGTCGCTCCTCAGTGGCAGCGCAAGACCGTCGAGGTTGAGCGATCCTACAAACTTTTCGGTCTTGAGATGACTGTCCGCGGAAACATGCTCAACCAGTGGACCTGGGAGAACGCCGCTCTCTGCGAGCAGGACATCGAATACACCGTCGAAAGCCGCCGTCAAGAAGGACGCTTCACGGCTCGTTTGAACATTGGAAAGCTCCAAACTTCTCAGATGTCTGAGGTCGAGTTCAACAAAGTCTTCGAGCCTGAGTTCAAATCTGAAGACTCTCAGTTCGAAGAGCGTGATGAAAACAAGCGTCGTGAGCACTTCAACAAAATGATCCGCGACATCCAGTCTGGCTCTGGCTACAAACATCGCCTGACCTTCAAGCTGGAGACTCCCGATGAGAAATACTTCAACTCTGAGCTCACCACCGTCCTCGACAAGGAAGTTCGCGTCATCAAGGCTACCTTGGAAGCCCGCCGATCGCCGTCCGACTCTGAACGCAAGGAGTGGAACCTCGATTCTGAACTTCTTGTCGCGCTCCCGGAAATGCCCAACACCCTCCGCCAGCTCAAGGATTTGCCTCACCGTGAAGTCCAGGCCACGATTGTTTCCCGCTGGGGATCTGAGAAGCAGAATGAGCTGAAAGTCAACGTCCAGCTCGAACAGAGCCCTGAGCAGAAGAAGTGGATCCACAGCATCGAGCGTGAATCCAACGGCATGCCCGAGTACGAACGCCTTGTCAAGGCCGCCCGCCTCAACCAGATCAGCGCCGTCGCCAACTACAAACTGAACCGTGAGAGTGAATTCGTCTTCGGCCGTCTGTTCAACCTCGTCAAGGCCTACTCTTTCTGGAGCACCCAGGAACGTTCCCAGGACAACCAGGAAAACCGTGTCGTTCTCCGTCTGACCGTTGATCCCATCACTCGCCAGTACTGCAACGTCTCCGTCCAGACTCCTGAGCAGCACGTCGTCATTTCCAACGCCGAACTGCCCACTCGTGTCTACCTGCCTTCCATTGCTCAACGCTCCATGCGTCGTGCTCTTTCTGAGAAGGTCAACGCCGTCTGCGAGGTCGAGCAGGACCAGGTCACCACCTTCGACAACCTCATCTACCAAGCTCCGCTCACTACCTGCTACTCGGTCATCGCCAAGGACTGCTCTGAGGAGTCTCAGTTCGCCATTCTCGCCAAGAAGTCCAACAAGAAGGGAGATCTTCTGAAGGTCAAGATTGTCAAGGAGAACGACGAAATCGTCTTGGAACAGCGCAACGGAGAAATAAAGGTTGAGGTCAACGAGAAGAAGGTCAACAAGCCTTCTGAGCTTTCCCAGTACAAGTGAGCTTCGTTCAAGAGTTTATTTCAATGGTAAACAACTTTAGCATCGAACTCATCAACGAGAAGCTTGCTGTCATCCAGCTCGAAGACGGAGAAGTCCAGTTCGACGGCTACACTCTCAAGACCAACATGAACCAACTTTCTCAGGGTAGACTCTGCGGTCTCTGCGGAAACAACGACGACAACGTAAGGAATCGCTTCGAAACTAAATGAAAATTCATATTTTCAGTCTGACAACGAGTTCCGCACCGCTGAAGACAATGAAACCGAAGACATCGAGGAGTTCCACCGCTCTTTCCTTCTCAAGGATGACGTAAATCATATCTTTTTGTTGCTATTTCTATGGAATATTTTCAGGAGTGCGAAGTCGAAGAGAGCCGCCTCTCCGAGAAGAAGAACTACAAGGTCTCCAAGTACGAAAACGAGCAGGAAAACTCCGAACAGTACGAAACTGAAGAGTACAAGACCGAGAGCCGCAAATGGCGCCAGGAAAAATCCGGTTGGTGATCATGGACATTTCAAGATTGATGGAAAGTTTCAGAACTTGTCGAGAAGACCAAGGTCGTCGAATACTCCCACCGCGTCTGCTTCTCGCTCGAGCCCGTGAAGGAGTGCCGCCGTGGCTTCGAAGCCGAGGAGTCGCAGCCGAAGAAGGTGCGATTCACCTGCCTTCCTCGCCACAAGGCTGAAGCTCGTCGTCTCCTGAACGACGCCCGTGAGAAGACCCTCCGTCTTGAAGGATACCCCATGTCCTTCGTCAAGAGCGTCGAGGTCCCCACCGCCTGCCTTGCTTTCTAAATTCCCGAAGTATCTAGTTTATTCGTTCCTTTTGCATATCATTTAATCAAACTTATTTTTCAAATTGATGATAAAACTATCAAAAATGTGAATAGTCAAACTACATGACAATTGAAAGAAAAAAAAAACTTATTAGAAGAGAAATAATTTAACCAAAGAAAATCAAGGATTTCTAAATGGAATAATTACTGTGTTGTAACTCGCCAAATGGTTAAAATTCAAAAAAACAGTTCATATTTATAAAACACACAATAATAAGTCAATCGAACAAGAGATAACATCAAAAAATAGGAGGCAGATTGGACAGAGAGATCGGATCACCAAAATTAACTTTAACAGAATTAACTCACATAACAATTCTACAACTCGAAGAATGATAATCATTTAATAGGTGAAAATTTTTTATTGATAAAACAACAGGAGCGCGCCGTAGCGCAAGAGGTTGTATACGGTTCACAGGGTCACAAGTTCGATCCCCGCCTCGAACCAACCAAGGGGTGTAAGGAATGTTGGTAATGGGAAACCACGACAAAATCCCCAGCCGTCACACAAAACAATGGATATGACACTGGAGCCAATTGTTGATTATCATATATCAGGATAGGACCTCGGCTAATCGACTAAGCGGTAAAAAAGCGTAGGAAGAAGAAGCAGAAGAAGAAATTTATAAAACAACAGAGTTTACATATTCAGCAAAAACAAAAAATACGTTAATTACCGTTTGCTAAACAACCGAATTTAAAAGAATCTGAAAATGCTCCAAACTTTTTTGCAATGTGTTGATGTATTCGTTCAGTTCCTTGGTCCCGGAATCGCCGTTCTTTGAAGCCGATTTCTAGCCTTTTAAAGATGCCTTTAGTTGGATCATATTGTTCACGAGCCAATTCGATCTTGTTTGCAAGATCCCACTTATCCAAATACACCTTTGCGATCTTCAACCAGGAGTTGTCGTCGTGTTCTTTTTTCACAGCAAGATATTCTTTCTTCCATTCTTGATCTGGAAAAGTTGTGATGAGTTCGCTCTTGATATCTGCATAAATCCTGAAATCAAGTGTCGGGGCAAAGTCAAAAATTGCGGCGTGCTGCGTCCCTTTCCACCTTGCTGAAATCAATTATACTATGGTTTTCAGATTCTTCAACAAACCACAGTTCTGTTCAGAAATGAATAGGAGCACTTTTAGCATACTAATTTCACAGTGACATCCGCGCAAAGGCTGTTCTTATCAATAACGTTTTCAAGAAGCTCAAATCTGTCGTCCCACTGAGTAGCAATGTATCTGAAATATGCAAAGATGTATATGTATACGCAAAGCTGTAAAAACCTTACGAGATCGTTTCGGTTCCAGTCGATATGCTAGGAGGAATAATATGTGATTCGGGGCCAACACCGATCAATGCTAATAATTTGTAGCAAAAGAATTCGGAGACGTCCGGCACCTGGCCTGAGCTCGAGCCTTTTGGGCCATAATGGGGGCATCTAAAAAGAAATGGTACTTGAATGAATGAATAGAAAACATACTTAATGTTGTACTTTGAAAGAGAATCTTCTCCATGAATCTAGACAAACGCAAGTGTGTTCGTGGGCCTGCCTCCTAAGTCCGCGTCTCGTTCTTCGAAATAGCAAATGAATTTGTGATCTTTGTTCCCTCTGCTCTGATCATGGAGGTTGTGGAAGTATTGTTCGGCCGCATTACGAATCAATCCCACGTCACCAGTCCAAGCAGCGACTTTATAATGATTCTGTCTTCGAAACATGCAGAATTGGGCGTAGACGTGGAAGAATCCGCTTTTGGTCAAACGTTCATGATGTCGGACCGCTTCTTTTGCGATTTCAAATTTGTCCGAGCACTACTTCAACACTAGCTCAACACTGCGTCTGTACTCGATCCACCATGGAAGATCTGCATGATTCTAAAAAAAAATCTGACATGTGAGTAGGAACGGTAAAATGACTCCCCATAGCTGTATAAACAATAAAAAGCAATGTCTATAGATAAAATAACAACTTACCACGACGAGCTCTTCAAAATCGTTGATCGATTCGAGAGGATGAAGAGAGTCGGGTAGCTCTTCAGAACGAAACTCGATTTGTTGAAAGTTTTGTGGGATATTCGTCACACTCTCAATCTCTTTCACAAGGTCACCGACATGAATCTGAAGTTAACATTAAATCAATTATTATCAACCATTATAGTAAAAAAACCTGTGGAATCAACTCAATTCGTTTGAATAATCTATCTTTCTCTTCACCGACCAAACGTATCGTAATATTAACCATATCTGAAATCATGAAACTATTGAAATAAGTCAAGAAAGAATAATCACGGATGGAAAGTGACGAAATCAATGCGAACTACAGAAAAAAATGGAGTGTCTTTTCTATTCACAAAAGTTAACTCTAGTCTCGGGAAAATCCAGAAAGCTATCTATTGATCATGCCTATGAGCCGAAGGAAACTTTTGTCGAAAGTCTTGGTAAATCGAGTTAAATGAGAAACTACAACGTTTTGAAAAAAGTTTTGATCCATTCCCCCAATGTCGATAAATTCCTCTCAGGAAAGTTTTGGCAAAAAAGAATTACTTCAAAAAGTTTCGAACCCCGGTTATAGACACCGCAGTGCAAAGACGTTAGCCACTACACCATGTTGCCAACTGGAGTAAAGGGAGCGTGCGCGATCCAGAGTCCCACTTGCCTTGCAGCACTTTTTCAGCGTGTAAATTTTGAAGCTTCATAACTGGAAAACAATATCTATTGTGAGAAATTTCATTCTTCGAGAAATTTTAGTGTTTCGAAAAAAGGAGGTCTCACAGTACCTTTTTGCAAAGTTTCAACAAAAGTTCAACCGGTCACCAAAAACACTTCCATTGTGAAAATAATCGGCCGTTTCGCGATATACGCTCCAGAAAATTTTCCAGTTCAAAAGTTTTCACGACGAACTGTACTTGCGAGTTCTTAGATATTTCAGAAAAAAGCTATTCTGTTCTGTCAGACCGCAATAAATGTGTTGTAACGGCGAAAGTCTGAAGAAGTGTCCTCCGGATTTGCCTTGGCGTTTTACCTTGAGGACAAGGACACCTCGACATCATGCCGAAAGAGGAGAGACGTCACAGATAGAAAGTGTTTACCTGGCCCATGTGTGCATACCTTCCATGACTCACCCTCTTGGTTTTATCGCGCCTGTTCGAAATTTCAGTCCCTCTTCAGCGCTTTCTGACCTTTTCTATTTTCCTATCTGCTCTTTCATCGATTTTTGTATTTCAGTTATTTTCCTTTTGAGTTACTGATGTGAAATTCATAGTGAAGTTTTTTGTGTAAGTTTTTTTGTACTGTTTTACTTTTGAAGCTTGAATTTTTGTGTGCGAAAAAAAGCAAAAAAAAGAGTTCCCATCGATTTGAACATTCTTTTGGAGATATTCCAGCATGAGAAACATCTTCATGGTTGAAGATTTTTCCTCTGCTCTCAACTTGAACAAAAGATCAAACGAAATCACCTTTGTATCCCGAAAATGAGTCTTTTTTCCACGTTTTGATGTCTTTTCTTAGTCCAAATCAGAAATGTTGAAAAAATCGAGATCTTACAACTCATGTATTCCTACTTCCAGTCTAAAGGCCCAGAAAAAATAATTCTTTTTCTTTTTCCAAGATTGATGTGTATATTCATTTATCAAATCATCAAGTATCTTTGAAGTAGAAAAATATCGTCTGAAAAGAGCTCGATTTTCGCCGCTATTTCTGCATGATTCATGACTAATACTAATATTTGTTCTTCTCAATTTTACATATTTCAGTTTTTGCGGACTTTATTTTCTCTGCCAGTTTTTTTTAAACTGGAAGATGATTTTTGTTTTGCTCCTTATTCTCTCATTTCCTTTTTAGTCACACTGTCACATAAACAATGCTAACTAGAGTCGGTTTTTGGTTTATAAACTGTGTCTTCAGTTTCTATTTCCTACGAGTTTAAGCTTTTATCTCGCCTTCAAATTGAGATATTGAAAATCGTTGAAATCCAACTATTCAATATTTGTTTCGTTACCGATACATATTAAAATAACCTCTTTCAAACATGGAAAACTTTTTATTTCTAGACTTTCAGAGCCACGATGGAACGAATTCCGCTGCCCGGTAAGAAGTACAAAGTTTCGATAACTCACTTTGTGGTGCTTATGATTATCGTTATAGGAATCCAGGTTTTTCATCAATTTCCAACTCATGTTTTTTCTGAGTCCAGGGCACATATCTTGGATATTTTGTTGGAATGCTGACCACTTTGGAGCGGAGATTCGGTTTTACATCCGGCAAATCTGGCTTATTACTGTCGTTCTATGACATTGGCCATACCATCGCCATTCTTGTAGTCGGCTATTTTGGAGCCAGGAGTCACTTACCACGAATTACGGGAATAGGTTGACTTTTTTAAATTTGTTCATTGACTTCTTCTCTTGTCAGGTGTTCTCTTAAGTGCCTTTGCGATGGCTCTTCTGGCTTTGCCTGTTGTTATTTATGGGACGGTCGATTCAGCTTCCGAACAGCTATTACAACAAAAAGTCACAAAATGATACCAGTGTTGATTCAACTTGATGAAAAGTTATAGGAGATGTATGGCTATGAAATGAGCTGCAATCCAGATCGCGAACTTTCTTCTCAAGGCGAAGATTGTAAGAAAGAACATAGAGAGCACACGGTGATCATTTTTTCTCTTTTTTTCTCAGTTCTCAAGTTTTATCGAAACTTCTTTTCGGTTCTTTTAGCAATGGTAAAGTGATATCGCAAATTTAGGCACCGCAGAAAAATATTGTTTGAAGTTTTTACTATTCCGAAGAAACTGGTGATTCTTGAAGGGTTCGACAAAAATTTTTCTTTTAAGTTTGTGGAATTTCCGTCAACGCTCTCTATTTATAAAAATGAGTTTTCAAACTTCGAAATGAATTTTGAGTTCATGAATACAGAAAAAAAAGGAAAATTAATCAAAAGTTGATGATTTCAGGTTGTTTTCATAATATTGGCTATTGGGCAATTTTTGGCCGGAGTTTTTGCCGCTCCTTTCAACACCTTGGCTTACGTTTACATCGACACGAACGTCAAAGACAAACGAGAATCTCCTTTCCTTTTGGGTTTTTTTTTTCAGATAGAATTTTTTAGATTATTAAAATACTTCTCTTCAGGCTTGCTAACATCGATGTATGCCTTTGGTCCAGCTCTCGGCTTTGCTCTTTCTTCAGGGCTCACACAAGTTTACACGACTCTTGGAACCCGTGAGTTATATGAATAACAAAAAAGTCAAAAAACGAACTGAAAGAAGTCGATTTCAGCTCCATTGCACATCGGAGTTCATGATGAGCACTGGATCGGCGCCTGGTGGATGGGCTTCCTCATCTGTTCTCTTCTGTACTTTCTCGTCAGCATACCTTTCTACTTCTTTCCGAAGACCTATTTGTCAGTAAACCATGTGCGTTTGAAAATGAATCCAATTTCTAGCCATCCTGGTACCAGTGACCCTTTGATGGACAAACATCGTTCACGGGCTTTAATGAGAGAAAATGAGGATATGTCGACGAAAGAACGGTTTCTACAGGCGTTGAGAGGTTTTTCCAAGGAAGTTTTTATTTTTAAATGAAGTTAAATGTTCAAAAAAATGGTCGAATTATGCAGAGCTCGAAATATGACTTTTAAAGTTGACCTTGAAGATCCCTGAACACAACTTGAACATTTCTGCGCATCCTGCCTTTGAGTAGTATAACAATTCTGCCCGCAGGGAAGATAAGATTATTTTTCAAACGGGTTGAAATTAAATTATTTATCATTCAAGTCTGCATTCTTCTCTTCTTTTAGCAGATGCAGAAAAAGCCGGAAGCTTCAGAAATCCCGGATATTCGATTAAAAATATCTATTTTGATGGATATCTCCAAACACCCCACGTCAGTATTTTGATTAACGATCAGAGGAATTCCAGACTTTCCTTACATCGTTTACGATTTGGTACGGAACCGTGTTTTTGTCACAATGGTGATTGCTTGGATGTTTGGATCTTACCTGATCGGTGGATATCAAACTTACTTACCAAAGTACATCGAAACTCAATACGGGAGAAGCGCTAGCATGGCAGATGTTTATGCAGGTTGATTTATTCATTATGATTTAAGGATTACTGAGGGATTCCAGGAACGATATCGATTGGAGCGATAGCGGTTTCAACGGCGCTGGGAGGTTGGCTTTTGACAAAGTACAACATCGCCCCGAGGTCATCCATTTTGTGCCTTTTTGGCTGTTGGACTGTTATTTTGGTAAGTTACCGATTTATATTGAAGTAGCGTTCGATAAAAAAAACGCTCTTTTTTATCTTAAATCAATCGAAATTGAAAAACAACCCTGATTTTTCTTCTTGTGCCTTTCAAGCCATTCCAACTGCAGTTCTGCTTTTCAAATGGGTTAGAAAATATTAAAAGTTTCAATTTTTTTCAGATGAGTTATATAATTGGAATGTTTTTGGGCTGCGATCAACCTAATATGGACGGACTACACTATTTTGAGCCATATGACAGGTTTTACCATTTTCCATTCTCTTCTAACTTGGCACAAGAACAATTCAAAATTCTATTTTTTTTTTCTTGATTCTTTCATGGCAATTTGTGACCATGATCTGTAGACAGTAATTAGAGAAATGTGATTTTCAATTAAAAGCTTTCAAGATGGAATTTCTACTCTTCGGAAGAGATGCTTAAAGATTGCATCAGCGATTGCAACTGTAACGGAGTTTTCCGATTCGATGCTGTCAATTATGATGGTCAGAACTTTTTCTCGCCGTGTCATGCTGGCTGCCGCAACTACAATCCTTTCACGGATGTGGTGAGATTTCATTGGTTCTTTCAATAAAAAAAGTTTGAAAAAAATCTGGTGGGTCATTTATTGTGTCATTTTACCCAAACTTTATTTCTGCTTCGTTGAACTTTTTATAAAGAGAGTATTTTCATTTCGAAGTGGGAAATTTCTGGAAATTTGGCCAGAATAAATTCTTTAGTTTAGAGAATAGAAGATCTAAGTTAGAAAATAACTCGTTTTGAAATGCTTCGATGACTTTCTTCGACTTTCCAGTTTTGTTTTGCAAAAATTAAGAAGCTGTGCAGATCGAGACTGCCAGGATTCTTTTCAGGTTCATCTGGAGGATTTTTTGAAAGCTTTTAAAGAATTTCAAGCCGCCAAGTAGAATAAATGTTCTTTCCATTGAGCATATACGTATAAACGAGAGAAAGACATGAAGGTTTTGCAGTGGTCGGACTGTCAATGCGCACTTGGGGGCTCAGTTAGCAAGGGTCTGATCCACCCCACCTGCGATATTTTCTTCGCTTACTTCGCCGTCATGTTTATCGGTCTCTTTTTCGGGAATCTGTTTTTCATGGTCACGATGATGATTGTACTGAGGTAACACAAGATTTATTTGATTCCTTTTTCTCACTTGCTATGTATTGAAACGATCTGGTTCGTCTAAGTTTTTCGCATTAAGTTCAAACCAGAGAAATAATCACGGATTTGAAACCTGCTCAAAAATGGCTGAAATTTAATCAGAAGCCTTCAGCTTCATTGCGTTACCAATTTAAGAAGCTTTTTTTGCTCTACGGTGGCAAAAGGGCTTTTTTTCTTTTCTCTAACCGAAAAGATAGAGGAAAAAGCAACCCAAAACCAGAAAGTTTCGAACAACCATGCCAAATGCATTGAAAGACTTTTTCCAGGTCCGTTTACGATGATCAAAAAGTCATCGCACTGAGTTTTGCGTCTTGCGCAACTAATCTACTAGGTTTGTTCCATTTTATGGAGCGGAAGTAATTAAGATTAATTAGCTGCTAGACAGCAGGAAATGACGTTTTCTCCAGACTCAGAAATGGTTAATTTTCTAGGATTCATACCAGCACCGATCATTTATGGAAGTGTGATTGACCTATCGTGTATATTGTGGAACAGTCGCTGTCCAGGAGGTTGGTCCTTCTGATGGATAAACTTTGGAAAATTCGACCTTTTAGACAAAGGAAACTGTGTCCTGTATGACAACAACAAACTGCGTTTCGATTTTCACATCACAAACGCTTCGTTCCAACTTTTCGCCATAATTTCTGTTCTCGTGTGCTATTTTGTTTCAAAAAGAGTCACGCTTCCGGAGGAAGAGCAGGAGCACGAGATCGAAATGCAAGAGATCGAGGACCAATAATAATAATTTCTCGCGTCATTAATATGTTTTCCGAGTTTTTTTCTCAAGATATGAGCTTTTCAAACTAAACTTTCATAGCGTTTTCTGAAAAAAAGTTTATTAACATCACAATTATTGCGTTAAGTGAATGTTCAAACGCACGAGAACAAAGAGCATAAAGCTGAAAATTATGGAACCTCACTTACTGATAAGTTATTCTTATCTTTCGAGCTGTTTTTGATGTTTTTTTTGTTTCGTTTGACGATCTCATAATGTCGGTTTGTGTTCTGTATAACCGTCAATAAATATTTGAAGAGAATTCCCGGCTTGAAAGTACTCGTGGGAGAAGAAAAATAGAAAATTCCGTCGCTAGAAAGTTTACACGTTAACGAAAGGCAGAAAACTAGTAACTTGGCCTAGGTTGTATCTTGCAAGGGAGGTCACCCAGCGTGAAGTTTGGGGTTTTCCTTACTGCTCAAAGACTCCTAATCCTAGTTTTGAGGAGCACGCAAGTAGCTACTAAGAGCAAAACTTTTAAGAAAGATTTTATGGTGATTTATAGAAAATTCCGACCGTCACCCTGAAGAGACCTCCCTCATGAGAATTTGTACAGAAATGGCTACATGAGATCGGGGGAAAAAAGATCAGAGCAAGATATTTGATATGGCGTTGAAGACAACTAAAGCACACACAAATTGGAAGGCGGCAAAGCCTTCGAAAACGGTTACAGCGCTGACGACGCCGAGGACGCAGTACGGCGCCCAGAACAATAGGTTCATGGACAGCATGACGAAGGCCTGTTATTTCGACTTTATTATAACAGTTTTTTTATTGGAGTGATTTTTATGAGGAAAAAAACTAGATCGAAAAAATCTTTACTTGTAAAATTTTTAAAAACCGGCCAAAACACGTCTTAGTTTTTTAGCCTTGAAAAATCGAAGCTGATTTGCGAACTTGTCAGCACATTTTCTCTCAAAAAACAATTCCAGAATTCTTTCAGAATCTTCATTCGAATTTTTACCTTCCAACGAGCTTTCCGACGAGCTGCTTCCACCGTGTTAGCCCAGAGAGATGGTTGCGCCCCATTTGCAAGTTCACTTTTCCGTCGAACTGAATCCCCCCGTTTTTTCTCTCCATTTTGACTATATCTTGAAGTATGAAAACTTACGTGAGTTTGGTGAAGCTCGAAGTGTAGCTTTATTATTCTCCATGCTCATGCGCGCAACTCTATTCAATAGAGCTCCTGGAAGTAGGTTTGAAAACCTTGAAGAGTTATTGGTTCGTTGGGAGTCTATGCCATTCGAAAGTTCAGTTTCATCTTCTATGGTTGTTTCTGCAAATTAACAGAGTTGGAGGGATGAGAACTGAGAAATGTTTTTTTCCGATCGGAAAATTTATTGAGCTTTAACAGGAAAGTTTTTTTTGTGATTCTGATTCCAAAACTTTGAGGTCTTTAAGAAATGCTTTTTTTTTGAAGTTTGAAAAACTTCTTCAACAAGCCCGACGCTAATTTACCCGGGTTAAAGAGTTTGCGGTGTTCCTAAAGAAAGAAACATGATTTGGAGCTATGAACTATTGAAAAAAATGCAAGACATTTTCCTCTTTTTTTCTGTTATTTCTATGAAAGTTCTGAAAAAGTTCTCAGTCAGAGCACCTGCTTGATGATAATTGACAGTGTCGTCCGTTTGTACGCTCGAAATAGCCATCGGCTCGCCCAACGAAGTCGCACGCCGTCGGTTGCTTTCGTCTTAATTCAATTGTGCTGATTCGTCCCACCGAAATCTTTGTCTTACAACTTCTGCTTTCGTTCTCCGTTTGCGTCCGTGAGCGCATCGCAATCGTGACCAGAGACTGCGTTTCCTGAAACATCAAATTGCTCTTTTTTTTCTTTTTCTTTTGATTATTTGCGTGGGATTTGATTTTCGAGCAAGACTATCATTATGACTACCTGCGTGTTAGCCGAGTCGCAATTGGAGGAATTCGATGATCTCAGGCAGAAACACATCCTGCAATTATGTGCATTTTAAAACGAAGCAACACCAGACGTACCAATCTTGGAAAACATCTCTCAAGCTTTTGAAATCGCCTCGGCTAGCGTTTTTCAGTATGTAGAGGATTAGAGTGTAACACAGAAGCTCCAGAAAGTAAGGCAACACGCAAATCGTAGCCAAATGCATGACGTTGTACATCTGAATACATGGTTCAAGTTTTAAAAACCTTGGATCAAATAATTATTCACAGAATTCCTGTGGCATTACAAATAAAAATGGTGTAACTGAGCAGTTAGGAAATATTTGTACTTTCATAGAGTTCTTTCTGAGGGATTTTTGTCAGGTGGAGCCTTAAGAGTCCTTACACAGAAAGTCACACAATTTTAGGTCAAGATCCGAAAAGTTCACAAATAAAAAAGTAGAACAAATTTTCTGGCTGAGAAGAAGATGTCTTCCGACTTTTCAACTGACCAATGGTTAATCGGACATAATTTGAGACATTTAGCTAGGAATTTTGAGCGAAATCTCTACCTGTTCCAAGAACATCCATCTGCTCTTGCTGATGCTCAGTTCTTCGGGATTGAACTCTGGAACTGGAGGAGGGTGCACCTAACAAATCTCGTTTCCTCAGCGCAAGTGCATGGTTAGTCATACCTTCAGTGTCATGTTTGGATGGAACAAACGCGAAGAGTTCTGCTTGTACAACGACATGAAGACTTGATAATGGTCCATTTCGAGAAGTTTCCCCATGTAGTATATTCTGTTTTCGGTCCTATAAATGATCCATTTTTTGTGTTCACCAAACTAAAAATGGGTTTGGAGCGAGTCAAATCTTACGCAGACCTAGATTTTTTCCAGTTCAAATTCTCATGGAACACAAACTCGCATTCCAAAGATTGTCCTAAAACTTTTGATTGTGCTCACCAGATAGATATGCATTGCGGATAGCCCTCCTCAGAAACTCCTTGACGGAAGATGAAAATCTGTGGGAGGGCACAAATTAGCGCCATCAGCCACGCAGCCGCCAGAGACACCCGCGTGTTGTAGTTCCGTTTCTTCACCTAAGCTCATTATGAATATCGAGAGAAAAATTGGACACACGTTCACATTCATCCTGTTCATTTTGGCGGTGATAAAGAGTCGGTCGGCAGCGACAAGCAGCTGAAAAAGAACTCGTAATGAGAACGCGAATAGGGAGATCAAGAAAACGGATAGTAATTTCATTGCTCATAATCTGCTTTGACGAGAGTTTAAGAATGACTAATAAAGATGGCTCGGGAGGTTATTAAAAATGAACTTGGTCAAATTTCAAGCTTAGGGACGCGTTCTATTTACTTTTGAATGCGCCGGGCTATTTACGAACTTTTTAAATTTTACGTTATTATTTGAACGGTAAAAGCTAAAAACTTTGAGAGTTTAAAGGCTTGATTTTTTCACACTGTTAAAGCCCTGAGGGAATCTTTTGGAAAGAGCTAAATTTTTTAAAAAAACTCATAAAAGGGTATTCAGAGAATAAAACTACGAAAAAAAATGTTATACACCCCGTTCCATAAAAAAAAATTAACCTGCATGTTGGCAGTCAGATGAAACCCAAAAGTGGCGACGAACTTGAAAAGTCGGCACCCGATATCGCCACCGTACCACTAAGAATACTGAATTGCAGTTTGAAAAATTTTGGCGGCTCACCCAAAAATTGGTAATCCACAAGAATTGCGTCGGAGCGTAAATGAAGAGAACTATACTGTCGGCCACAGTTAAACTGATTTTGTAGGAAAATAGTCGAGCAGCAAGGACGAGGTCTCTTCGAGAAGTTCTGCATTTTTTTTTAATGAAATTCATCAAGTTTAGAAGCTTTACCGTATGAGCCGGTAAGTCGTGAAGGTGAAAGCAACGAGGCCAACAAGGAACGCGATGCCATACATCCAGCGTTCCAGCTACAGGGGAGAAAAATTTGAATGAGAAAATTTATGTATTGTTTGAAATTCTCACCTCATAGCTAAAGTCAAGCTCGTAGGTCGGCTGCAAACCCTCTGGATCCACCAAAACTTCCTCAGGAACTTCCATTTTTCCTTTATCGCATAACAATTCCAATCTGAAGGTCTTGACTGTTATGCGGTACAATAAAGTTTAAAGCGAAACGCAGTTTCAACACGTCAATAATGAGCAAAGTTATTTGGTATTCAGCAGCGAAAGGCTCGAAATAGAGCAGCACTTTAAATATTTAGCTTTCTTGGAATTTCTCTACTTCTCAAACGAGCCGGAGAAGCAGAGAAATCAAGCCTCAAAATTGCTATCTGCAAAAGTTTCAACGTTTTTCGTCATGAATAATTTGCGGCACTCTAAGAAACGAGTCTGGAAGAAGGACAATGACCTCAGGTTGGAATATGTTCTCATTTTGCAGAAAGAGAAACGTTTGCAGTGTTGAGAGGTTGGTCGAAAAAAAAGCGTTTTCCACGGATTTAATTAATTGGTGTGAGGATATCCGAAGATGCCGTAATGTGGTGGGTACAACGCTCCGAGCTCCGACAATCAGTCTTTCCTGGGGGCGGAGATAGATAAATGTTTGTGTCGAATGACAAGAAAAATCGCTCGTGATCCTCTCCTTGCCAGCACAAACGCGCAAATGACTGCTTCCAAGTTATTCAATCTGCGTGGATGACTTTACCATAAAAAGGAGCATTGGGAATAGCCAGACTCGAAACTACTTGTGATTGTGACGCTCAGGGTGACTTTCTAATTGTTGCCGAAACTTCCGCTGAAACGGAGGCGTTCAATTAGTAAAACTATGACTCCACGACGTGACAATTAGAACTTTAAGTGTAGGAAACTCTCATAGGGATATGCAAAACATTAAAACAGTTTTATAACACGAAAAACAAAAAGTTCCATTGAGGGACCCTCTCCCTCAAAAAATAAGATTATCAAAAACTCTTTTTATTATCGAATAGCAAGCAAGCTTTTTCCAAAATGAAAACCGTACAGACTGAAAAAAAAATTCATAGATATACCATCGAAAAATGAAATGACTGTTTTTTGATCAAACTTTTCCCTCTCAGCGATTGAGAGAGAAGATCAGAAAACGTTGCAATATAAAGTTGAAATATGTGAAAAAAAGCTTTGTTTTGGGAAACTCAACAAAGTATAACCGGAAGGTGAGCAAAAAAAGCAAAAGAGGAACCTGAACTCATGAATTTTTAACAAAGGGGTCATGGGTCGGCTATGAAAACAACAAAAAAGAAAGTCTCATTAAGTTCAAACGAAGTACTGCTTTTCTCCAGGCAGCTGAACATATAATGTCGACAATTTTGTCTGCGAAAAGTAAACTTTTGAAACGCCGGTAGATATCAATAGTGAGATCCAAAAGTTCAAGTATGAAAAAAATGAATAATAATTTTGTTTCCGAACTTGGGCTTTTCAGAAATTTTTCAGTTATAGTTTGACGTAGTGAAACAGAAAAATTTGAACTTTATTAAAAACTTTATTCGTGTATATTACAGTAGGATTTTTAATCTGCAGTTTGAACTTTGTTTTCCAAGTGATATGAAATAAACGAAATGACCTGTTTGGTGATTTGGAGGTCTTGAAAAGTCTAAGCAGGTAGGAGGACTACAAAAAAGTGTGAAGTGAATTTTCTTCAAGTTCAAAAGAGACCAACTGCCTGACGTTGCTCAGTCGGATGAAAGATGCAAGCTAAGACGAACAGTAGCCGGTTAGTGTCGGAAGACCGAATGAGGAACGAGGGCGGCGTCGACTGGACCGCACGCAACCAATATAACCGCGAGCCAGCCGGAGGCGGGTTTTTCCTTCTTTTTTTCCCAATTTTACTGAGAGAAGGAGCGCTTCGGCGGCACCTCCGCTGTGCGAGAGTTGTTGGGGCTCATATTTTTTTTGCCGTGTCTGTGTCTGTCCATGTCGTTTTCCGCCGAGACCAACAATTCTTCAAAAATGAGGAAGCGCAAGGAACTCTTTTGCACCTTCGGCTCACCGCCGCCACCGACGCCGCCATTTGGATTCCCCTGGAGAAATGCTGCCATTATCCGCTTTATTCCGCGTCTGCATATACACATTCTGTACTGTGTTTGCCTGGGCTGATAGGAAAGGTCGATCAACTCGAAAGAAAATTTTGATATAGCTGATAAAGCTTTCGAAGTCTCAGCATGCAAAATCAAAAAGAAAGGTCATATCACTTTCTGATAAGGAATTTCCGGAAAACAAGCCACATAACCTACTAAGATGAATTTTCTGAAAACGTACAAGTTTTGCAAAAGGAAATTTTATAATAAAATATAGTATGTGTGCCACGACTTCGAATTTCCCGGAACGACATTCCGCTGTGTGCGCCTTTGCCTTGGTTGCGCTTTTAATTTTTTTTTTTCTTTTAGCTACTCTACTTTCATGTGCCCCCACGGCAATAGCAATCAATTGAAAGCGTGACCTAGATTCGAAAGACGCTTCGCGAACGCATGCAGCGGAATAGCGGAATGTCGTTCCGTGAAATTTCAACTCGTGGCCCACAGACTGTAATACCCTCAAAATACGTTAAACAAGCAACTTCGGAAATTTGAGTCTTTATTTCTCAAAAACCTGGACGGTGTGCAGATTTAAATATTGAGAACTTGTTCTAGTATATAAAAAAGCGTCTTGGTCGAATTTCAAAAAAACTCCAAACGTCAAGTAATGAGAAAGAAAATTGTAAGAAAGAAAGTGCTGAAACTTTCCTGAAAAGTTATTTGAAGTTTTTCAACTCTAGAAAAGGGTAGATTACGCCTTCCACCTTTCAGTCGACCTCAAAAGTTTGAACACTACCCTTTGAATAGAGAAAAAGATGATATTTAATATTTTCAAGGGGTTTTAGCTAAAAAAAAGAAGAGATAAGATGAAATAATGTTTAGGAGGATGTGGAGTACATCTCAGCAAAGTTTCATCAAATTTCGACTTTTTCCTTTACTTCCTTAGCTGGCAGATCGGTAAGGATTCAAGATATCTTCAACTATGAAAGCTTTACGGTTTGAAAATCACAAAGTAAAATGTCAATGCAGTAAAAAAAAATTTTGGAGAAAAATCACAGTTCGTTTAATGCGCAGCAAAAAAAACAGCACAACGAACAAAACCGATAGGCTATTCAGATTTTCCTTCAGCAAAGTTTTCATCTTCTTCAATTTGAACCATTTTTGATTAGTGTGTTCTGCTTTGGAATAACTTTTAAAAGGGGTTAATCAAAAAAATGACAACGGAAAACAAGGATTCATTCTGCTAGAACCTTCGCATTTCGGTTGATTTGAGTTAACCAAAATGAAGAAGGAAACTTGAATTTAAAGCACAATTCTTGAAAAAAACAGGGAAGCAGTTTTAAAGTTTGAAAAAAATTCAGACTATTTTTCATGCGAATGTCAGTATGTTTTTTACGACAAAAGAAAAAGCATAAAAACACATTTGCACAGAGGAAGCGGATTCGTATTTCAGAAATTGCAACCTCCGAAATTTTTTATTTACTTTTGATTCGTCTTTTCATAGTTTTTTCTTCCCAAATTTGAACTAATCTTCTCTCCAAAAGCGGGAAAAATTTGGCTTTTTTCGAAGGAAATGCGTAAAAGACAAAACAAGTTTTTCCTTTTTTTCGCAGCTCAAAAAGCAAAGTGATTTGAAAGAAGAAATATGCTTGAAAAGTCAAGACCGGATTTGCATAGTCAAGGAGCCGCAATCCGCCCAAACTCTGGCCAAAAATTGACTAGAGAGAGGAGCTCGTCAGTCTGTTCGCACGTCCGAGTCAATTATTTCCGGCGAAGAAGCTCCCACGATCGCCGGTGGGTAATGGATGACGCGGATAAGGGAGATCTCAAGCCGGAAAATGGTCTATGCCTCTTGCTTAATGGCGGCTATCAAAGGTTCGATGGAAGCTAGCGGGCAAAACTAAGAAGAAGAAAAGCCGAAATAAGCACGAGAATATTTGCATTGTCCTCTTGAAAAAAATATATTAGAGTGCACAAGAAAACGTAAAAAGAAAATCAAGGTTAAAATTTGATAGATAGGAAAAATATCATACTGACTTCGTATTCATTTCAAGTCAAATTGAATAAAAACTAGCCTCGAAAGTTAAGATTTATTTTTTTAATATTTTTTTCAGTTTAATTTGCATGTCAAGTTTTTTTGATAAAAAGATCAAATTTGATCAAATTTGATCAAAAACAAAGAGCAATGCGAGAGGGAGAAGTTAAAAAAACACGATTTTTTTCCTCTTTATAAGGTAAATTGAACTATGAATATAGCAAAAAAATACAACGATATTTAGTAAACAGAATTCCCTATTTCTTATTCTTCAAGAATCTATCGTTCAAGATGTATAGAAGCCGCACGCAAGAATACAATTTTCTCGAATACAATCCCTCGAGAGACAATAACCGGCAAAAGGACATGACGAATTTATCGAAAACAAGAGATTTGATAAACTGAAGCCCAACGGTTTGCACTGAAAAGGAAAAGAAGACTTATTTTGCACAATCTAGAAAATTTCTTTGAAATGGAACAAAGGATCTCCAAAACCACGGAAAACAGCAGGTGAAAGCAAAAAAAAGCAATGGGAATCGAGCGGTCGGCGGATAAAAGCAACTGAGATGAGATGTTGGAGATGGGAAGAAAAAAATAAATTGAACAGATGCATTTTCATGTTGTTTTTCCTCCCATTATTTGCAGATCCTAGGTTTTTTTGTCACGTTTTCTTCTCGCATTGTTTGTAAGATTTGAGACAAGCTTGAATCGATTGTTTCATTAAATTCAAGAAATGAGAAGCGCTTAGAAAATGATTACATAATCTTAGGCGTCGCGAAAACATTATAAAGAGCTTCCAAATTTAAAATATTGAGAGTGTGAAAAAATAAAACAAAAATCAAACGGAAAGGGTTAATTGAAATAAGAAATAAAAATTGATTCAATCAATTTTTGTATGTTGTGTTCCTTTCATATTCTAAAGACGATAAATTTTTCTTCATGTTTTCCACAGCTTTGTTGGAGGAGAGTTTTCGAAAAGCGCTAAAACCGCGAGCTCCTGAGCTTCACTCCATCATCTTAGTCGGTGCTTGCAAAACAGAATACTTGTCTCTTTGGCGTCAAAAAAAAGCCGTTGGAAGATGATTCAAAGTACAATTCAAAGTCGAACTGTCTAGCTCGGCAAAAAATGAACATAACCAATGAAACGGAGCTATGGTAGGTCATGCAGAAAGACGCTTTCCATCGAATTGCTTCCCGATGCGCCGCGCTTCTCCTCCGAACGAGACGGAAAGAGCCAGTAATGCGATTTCGACTACCAGTTTCTTTTTGACCAAAGGCGTAAGGGCAAAGTTTTTTGAGACTCTAACACATCCTGATGGAACTTTTAGCCTCAATTCGTGATCTCAGTCTTTCTCTCTCTCTTGTTTTGCAAGAAAAAGATAAACTATTCAAAGAGCATCTTATTGGGAAAACTTGGCACGGGGAAGATGGATGATACAACGGAAAAGCTCATAGGTAATCTAATTTTTCGGCACTTTTTGGCTCTCTAACGCCTGCCGCATTTCTTCATTCGTTTGCCAGCTTCATTTCTACCGCTCACACTCTGAAGAAAAAACAGGGGTCTTCTGAAACGCGGCATTACTAAGAGCTCAAACTAGCTTCATTACTTTTTTTTGTACGCTCATATAAATCTTGACTTTAACTCCTAGACGAAAAAATTTATGGCTCAATGTGGAAAATAGATAGGCCTAATCAAGGCTTATCTAAAACTGAATCGCATCTCAAAATTGCCTCGAGGTTTGATTGGATTCCTAAAATATCGTCAATCTCTTTATGCAGTGGGATAATAGATGGAATCCTAGTTTTAGGCTTGATTAATCACTAAACATAAATCTACCGTACTAAAAGAGATGGAATTTTTATGGAGAGTCGTTAGAAAACACGTCAAGAGAATGAACGGAATGAATTCATTAGGGAGGAGAAGGAATTCTAATAATATGGAAATCAGAAAAATGCCTTCAATGAACGAGAAAAACATATTGTAGGAAATGAAGTTCCAAACCTTCACAACGAGATCCGTAGCTCTATAGATTTTTCAAAGCTCATGGAAACATGCTTTAAATTTTGTTTATGGAGCTCTGAATGTCACGCACACCTTCTAGACTCTAAATCCCAATTTCTGACCCAAAATCCATATTTTTGTATGTTTCAAGCCTTCCTTCCTTTAAATAGAAATTTCATTCATCTTCTTCGAATAATCTTGATAAAAATGACATATATAGTTTGATCAATAAGTTCGTCACAAATTTTAAGACTAGATTTGCAAATCTTCAACACGCTAAACAGATATAACTTACATAATACAGCTTTGAAGTACAGTGGAGAAAAATTGGACAAAGAAAGGGAGAGCAGGTGAACTGAAACAGAATAATGGAACTTTCTTCAGAATACTTGAAAAGTTCATCGCAGCTGATATTAAAGGTTACTGGACTGCGCTAGTCTTTGACACTGAAATTAAATTCCAACAATTTTCCGATAAATTACAAATTTACACCTAAAACCAGCTAGAATGAAAATATGCATCAATTACAATTTTGCAAAACATCGAGTTGCAGAAATATGAGAGCTCAGCTCAAACATACTTAAGGCCTAAAGCTATTTACCTTGAGAATCATTCGGGTAAACAATTCTAAGCTTTTAAGAGAAAAAATCGATACAAAATAGCGTTAAACGAAGGATCACACAAAAATTCATGGAACATGAGAAGCAAAAAATACAAAAGAAAGGGATATGTCTATCCTTTTTCTCATATTACTAGGTTTGAAGAGACCGGACGAAGGTCTCCAGGAATCGGAACCGAGACGCGACTACTTGACGCCGGCTTCCTTCTGAACTCGGTGATCGTTGCCCAAACTCCATTCGCTTCGACGGTGATTTTCTTGGGAGAAGTTCTGAAAATTGCTGAGTTTTTTTTTTACAAGCGGCTCAAATCACATTGAAAACACGGAAAATGGCGCAATACGCAGCGGTCACCGAGAAAATTTTACCGATTTCAAAACGAGTTTTGTGAGTCCTTCATAGGAAGATTTTTTGAATTTTCAAACGTGCGACCAGAAGATTTGGCAAGTTAATTGAAAAAGTTTTTTTGTATGACTAAAATAGAAATATCGAAATTAGACCGACTTATAAAAAAAGTAAACTCAATAATGGCTTTTAAAAGTTGCATCTGATAAAATATTGGATAACTTTAAAAAAAGGACAAACAAAAAAGATTTTTGAAACGTCACTCATTTTAGGTAATCAGGACTTCTGCAGCTTCAAAGGTTACTTACTCAACCCATACTTAATGCTTCTGCGTCTCCACGAAAAATGCATGTTTGAGGGTCGTAACAGCGACGGCCTCGTATTCATAGGCCGTAAAGTTCCATATATGAGACTCAGAAGTCAAATTCTTTTTTTGAATGATTTGTTGGTCACAATTTTGAAATATTGGTTACTTGAAGCTCGAGAGAAGGTTGGAATATTTTATATAGCGAAGGATGACCAAGAAAGAAAAACTATAGGGACGGGTGGTACGAGTTTTCCCCAATAAACTACTGAAAAAATAAGTCTGAAGGCCACTTTTTTAGTTTTCAAGAGATTTATCAAGTTTTATTTTACTTTTTGGATAGTTTGATTAACAGCTTGATGAAGGGAAAACCCTTAAAATTGCCAAATTTACAAAAAATGAGATAGAACTGTTTGTTGTTTGCACAAAAAAATATTTTTTTAAAAAAATTTATTCAGTTAAATTTAGTCAAACTTAATTCAAAGTTCAATCAGCCACCGAAAATCCTAACTTGTTAAGGACCTTGACTTTTTTTATTTTTTTGGAAAGCCAAAGAAAAAGTAGACCTTCTGACTGCATAGTGTGCGCTGAACAGTTGAGAAAACTAAAACTAACCGAAAAATGAGTTCATCGGGTATGGGAATCCACCGGGCGGATCGTTTGCTGCTGTTCGTACTGCGAGTCACGGATCCACCGGAAATGGACTCGGCATCAGGCGATTGACGAGACGTCGATGGAGAATCGACGTTATTGGGCGGCTGCTTGACTGACGGCGCCTGATTGGTTCCCGGGGTCGCCGACGCAGCCAACATCATCGACCGGTCACGTTTTCGGCTGTATCTGGAGTGAAATTAAATGAAAGGTGCGGAGTATCGAGTTGAGGATCGTTTGTAATGGAATGGAAACAGATTTTGCAAGACACAAGAAAAAAACCACACAACTATTATGAGTCACCGTAATGTAATCTGAATGAAGCTTTTTTCAGTGCAAATACAAGCGTAAGTATTCTAAACTTCTTTTTCTCGCTTTGGTTATTCAAAAGTTGAAAGAAAGTGTGTTAACACGAAGACTAAAAACATGAGAAATGGGGTACCTCGGAGCGAAAGAGAGTACTAATTAGGAAGAAGATGATAATTCTCAGGTGCTAATTGTTCAAGTTTGACGTCAAACGTCAAAAACATGTTTTTCTTTTGAAAATTTTTCCATTTGCTCACGTTCAATATTCAAATGAAATAAACAAATGAACGATGTGAAAACTTTTGGCTTTGGAATTATTTATAAAATTGTGCCCATCTGTAATTTCTTGAAAAAGTCTGACTTTTCTGCGCCTCTTTTCTCTCAGAGAAAAGCCGAATGAAACAGGAAAAAAGCGCGCAAGTGAAAAAAAAATGGAAATTTAGAGGGAACCGTATTCAGGCTGCTTCAAGTTAGTAATGGGGTAAAAGGAACTCATCAAAAAAAAACCTTTGGAAACCGAAAGAAACTTTTTGTAAGGACGCCAATCGAACATTACAATGACTTCTTCTCAGAGGAGGGCATTTTTTGTTATCACTTCGTTCATCTGGCCTTTCAAACGAAATGTGTCACAATGTCTGGCTACCGCGCAGAACAGGTAAAAATATTTGTTTCACGGCGATCGAAGGGCGAAAAGACTGTTTGAGGGAAAATCGTATGTAAGCAGACCTTGTAGACGAAAAGAACTATACACATTTGGATATCAAGGGAAACTATTAATATTCAAACTCTTCTGGTCATGGGAAAGTGTCCAAAAAAATTCACAAGATAGCTGCCTTTTTGGACAGAAGTGAAAAAAATGAAATGAAATAAGCGTGAGACACTTCGAAATTTTTGCTGAGAAAAGTTTCATAAATTTATTTTTTTCTCATATTCTGATGATTTTTTTAACATCAAAATGGACATTTGTCGGAATTTTACAATCCGCCACTTTCAAGTTTCACAATTCACCTAGTTATTCATCGTTTCCTCAATGATTTTGAACTTTTTTGGTTATTTTTAGAAAACGCCAGCTTGTCGATTATCATAAACTACAAAGAGGCTTGAAAACTTCAATACCCATTTCTGAATTTTGAAAAAGGATCACTTATAAGGAAACCAACTGCGCATCTCTCAAAATTAATATTTTTCCTGCTTTAGTGAAGTTTTAGAGTTTTAGAGTAAAAGTGTCCGTGTACAATCCATTATTCTTGGAAGTTCATTAACTGGCCGGATCTCTAATTAATCATTCTTCGGTTGAAAAGATACAAGATTAGTTAATTGTCACGAGATGCAATTTGCAGTATTTTTAATAAGAAGCACTTTTCTGGTACACTTGGAGTTTTCAACTAATACACATGAATTGATTGAAAGGTTTGTTGAACTTTGATGCTTTTTGCAGATAAAAATATTTATATCAAGCTTTTTTTGTTTTACTCGCGTTTCTTTTCAATTCACTTGTACCGCTTTTTTTTCTGCCATAAAAAAAGCTTTTTTTCTTGCCTACCAATAATCTGATCGTGCCAATACTTCTCAAATAATATCTCAAATTACTTTCAAGTTATCTTAAAAAAATATTTATTGCATAAATATTTTATTAACTCACAAGTGTTTTTTTCCACCAACTCGAGCATCAATAAAGATAATGGAGAAAAACTTTTTTTCTCGCTCGTTTCTAATCAAAAAAATATTTTCATTTCAATTTTTTTATTTTTCAGTCTAGCTAGAAAACTCATCAACTTATTTGCGCACTGATCTTTTTGCTCAAGAGTCAAAGATTTTTAATATTTTCATAGCTCCACAGCGTTACTAGAAGGTGAAACAAATAAAAACTTACTTTTTATACGGAATAAATGTTTTTGTAAATCAATAAAGATCTTAGCTGCTCACTCAAAATAATAACAGGAATATCATCCATGAATAATAGAAAATAGGATTAAATATGGCAAAAAAAGAATGTTTTTTAAAAAGGAAAATCAAGACTCTTTGCACATTTACTGTACAAATAATTAGCCAAAAAACATGATAGAATTAATAACGAAATGGTATTCAATTATTTTCCTCAGTTCATGACGCTCTCATCTTTCAAAAAACCAGCAAAAAACTTTTTACCAGACTTTGATTTCAAGGTAGCAAGTGAAGGAACACTCACCGTGAAACAAAATTGGTTATAGCGAAGTGCGTTATCACGAGCATAATCCGGGACTACAAAAAAGAAATGCACTCACATCGTAGTTTTGTCTTTCTCCATTTGCCGCACAACGAGATCGTGCACCGTCTTCTGCATTTCCACTACGTCGTCTTGTCTTGGCTTTCTCGTTGATGTCCCTTTTCTAAATTGATACGCTCGAAGAAAAAAATGTTTATATATGAAAGAACAAAAAAAAGCTTTTAACATTTTTTGATTTTACCTCGTTCCGCACATGTCGCACTTAAAAGCTTCGAATCGGTTGCGAAAAGTACAAGCCGTGCATTCCCAGGTCAGCTCATTGTTACCCGTACTGTTGTGTTCTTCCTTCTCTTTTTCCTTCGACTGACGCATCCGTTTTTTACCCACCATCTGAATCCTTATAACGTCTAGTTGGTAGCATGGAAACACGGTACGGATCGAACAGGAATCTATGAAGGGACAATATAGTAAAAGCTTTAGTATTTTCTGTTTTGCAAGGCAAAAAAAGGATATTGACGTTGCATGACAAGCTTTCCAGTCGCAAAAAGGATCAGGGGAGTGCGATAGAGCGTACTTGTGTTTTTGGCCTTGCGTCCTCGTAGCGAGTATAAAGTTTCAAACTCAATTATATCGTATTTACTCAATTGATTCAATTTTTGTTTTTTTAATACAAGAATAGCGTGAAAAATTTTTTTTAAAAAAAGATCAGTGATAGCTCGTTTCAGTTTCCAATCGGCCATCAAAAGCTTTTTTCGAGTTTTACAAGTGACCATACAAACTTAATTTTTTTAAGGAACAGGGTAATTCAAACGAGCCGAATAGTATTTTTTTATATGTAACCAAGACTTGGCTGATTATGAATCATTATGAATCAGAGCGTTAGAAGTTTTTTTTGAAATGAAAAAACTAATGAATGTGCCGGTGCGAAGAGCCTTTTGGCATTTGAAAAGGTTGTTTTGCAAGTTTTTTTTCCTCTTTTTCACATTTCTATGCGCTAACTTTAAAGTAAAGTTATCAAATGAGAAAAAACTAGTTTCTTCACCCAAAAAAAATAAAAACTTTTCAAAGTTACGCTAAAACTTGAACTACATTTCTTAAAATAACGCTCCAAGATTTTTAAACTGGATAGTACAATTTGAAAGGATTTTAAACAGTTTATCTCTGAGAAATGAACTAAGAAGAGATTTTTAGTAAAATGGGAAACGTTGAAAAAAATAAAAAGAGACGAAAAATATAAGAAAAATCTCCTGCAGTATAAATTTTTCAATGCAATTGAGTTTTTTTACATATATTATAAATTCATGGTTGAAAATTGTAGATCTAAGAGTTTATCGTTGAAAAAAACTTTGATATCTTTGAGAAAAAAACTTAATTTGAGCTCTGGCCATTATTCGCGCGCTTTTTTTGAAAAGAGAAATTAGGGATATAACTTTTGACAAGAGATGAAAAAAATTCTTGATACCCATAGCTGACCCGAAGAGCTGTTTTTTTGGATTGTTCAAAAATTATTTATTCACTTTGAAAGACTTCCCAGGCCTAATCTCAAAAATTCAGAAAAAAATGAAAAAAATGCAGCCAAAACGAGAAAAAGTTCTCAGTGAATCTACTGAATCTTTAAAGGTGTAAAATCTGGAGGCTGAAACATAACTTTATTAAAATTTGTCTGTCTCAGAAAATAGTCTACCCGGTTCGAATTTATATAATCTTGTTGGTGTAGCAAGACGTCACGAGTGGAAGTCGAGATTTTCAAAACTTTGATTCGGCGTGATCGAAGTGATCTTCGTTTTAAAATTTTCAGCTGTTTGAATACCTAGAGCATATCTTCTGTGAGGATACCCAAGAATATACAAGATTCAATTTGAAGATCTTCACGAAAAATTCAATCTCAACCTCCCAGAAAAAAAAAGAAGAGGGTTGAAAAAACGGCCCAAGATTTATGATGAAAAATCTTCTATCAAAAAATTCCGCTCCTGAGAAGGATGTTAAACCTAAAAAAGTCATAAAAAGACTTGCTGAGAAACTGCTGAAAAACCATCCTTTTGATTGACCGCCAACTTTTTGAACAATTGCCCTGTCCGACGGAGATCATGAACACTCTATTTTCGTCCAATTCCAAAATGCGGCGATCAAAATAAAGTGGCTCGTTCCCCTTCCGAAAACACTATTCAGAAACCGCCCTCTGGATATGGCGCCTCGGATTGCAACACGTTTTTAACAAAAGAAACGCATCAGTGGGGATCGGAATCAAGTCGCCCCGTATGAACAGCTATAAATGTAGGTCAGCAGCAAGAGGGCCGACAAGCTGCGCCTGCCTCCCGGTCACCTTTGTCCTCTGCGCCAACGCCGCGGACGCCAGCCGAAAACTGTTCGCCGTCGCTAACCGTCAGTCCCGTCGGACGCTGGTCATGCGAGTTCTTCTCGTGCTCGCGTGCACGGCCCTCGTCGCCGTCGCCTTCAAATCCGGTGGACCTCTCAAGACCAAGAAGTACAAGTGCATTGAGGTTGCCGAGGACGAGGAGATTCAGATTGTCAAGAAAAAGGTGTGCTACCTTTTCACGTTGGAAATTCAGGAATTTGGGTGAAAAGTGCTGCAAAAGTTTTAGTGCCTGAGGTGCACATTAAAAAATCCATTCCAGTAAATTTATTCGCTAAAAGCAAAAGGGTAGGAAAAACCAAAAAAATCTTTTGGAATATGAGAAGAGAGTTTGGAGAAAGTATTCTTTAGAGCTCAATGTATTTTACTTTCGTTTACTCATAGTCAAATTTTATGTAGGAATATCATTGTGGTGCGTCAGATAGTGCTTTGGCTGATTTCTCTTCCCAAAGTTCCTGATTAACCTTAAAAAAACCTTAAAAGTACCAAAGAAATGAAGGACGTTTGTATACCATCAATTAACTTCATTTAATAAAATTAGTTTAGGGAAATACAAAAAAAAATTCAAAAAGCGATTTCGTGCTAATTTTTCGTATGTGACCTTTTTTTCGATTGAGCAGCTTTTTCATCTCGTTACCACAGAAATAAAGGAAACGTCGAAAATTGAGAGAAAAATAGATTGACGTTGTAAGGAAATTTTTAAAAAAACTTGCAATGGAGTGAATTTAAACTTCTTTGAGTGGAACAATAATGAACGTTCATAACTTACCAAACCATTAAATTTTTTCACACGATTTTCCTATCCTATTCTGTTCACTGAATCTCTTTTCATTGTTTTATCAAACTTTTCTAAACTATAAAGATCAGTTTCTCAGGAAGCGCCAATGTCCAAATATCCCTGGAAGGCGGAAGAAGAGAAAATGCGGCGGATCGCGTCTGCCCGAGTGGCAACGGAAAGCGAAACTGAAGACATTGAGATGCCTCAGGCCAAACGAGTCAGTTTTGATTTTTTTTAAACGATAAAGTAACATTGAATGAATTAAGGTTAACGATAAGAAAGTGATCGCGACGACGCCACCCACCATTTCTGACGTCCAACGAGACTCCAAAGGACGGCCGCTGATTTTATCTCCTGAGCACTGCAAGCAGGTAAACTCACCAAAAGATGTTCCAGTGATAAAACATCCACGATTCCAGGTGAAACATTACGCTAACATGTATGGCGTAACGGACGTTCTCGGCTGGGTCAAGTCCAACTGTACCTTTGCCAAAATGTACGTCCCTGGGGCAACTTGCGAGGAAATCAACATCCTCGTGGCGTCTTGTTACACCAACAAAAACTTGTAAATACTCGTAATAACAGCCTAATAATTCCCGATCTTCGCTTGTATGTACTTTCAAACTCTTTTCAAGAAGCTTCTTTCGGTTCGCAAACGTGTATTTTCAGTGCATTTGATTATAAATCATTTTTTTGAGACTGCGAAACGGTTTATTTTGATTTAATGAAGTGGAATGGGAGCGAGAAGGTCAATTTCGTCTCGAAGCAAAACCAGCCAGCATCAGACTCCCGGACTTCCATTGTTTCGCGTCGGACTTGCGATGACCTCGTAACCGCCGCATTTTTTTAATCTCTTCAGTTGATGAAGGCCGTCGGGCATGTCTTAAAAAATACCCTCAATTTCGAGAATTTCGGATGCAGTGTGAAGTAAGCGATTGAGAAGGCAGCTAACAAATTAGTTTTTTTTGATGACAATTCCAAAAACTCATGAGATTATGGCTAGATGCTCATTTCACCAATTTTTGTCTTGGAAACTATCTAAATATGTGGTTTCTCATTTTACGAAAATCATCCTCCAAAGTTTTCAGTAAAATATCCTTATTTACAAAAATAGAATGAAGTAAACGTAGCGCAGGATTTTCAAAGACTATTTTTCGCAAAGCAGATTGAACGCCTAGAGCGTATCTTCTGTGAGGATACCCAAGAATATGCAGGATCCAATTTGAAGATCTTCACGAAAATTTCAGTCTCAATCTCACAGAAAAAAAATAAAAGGGTTGAAAAAACAGCCCAAGATTTATGATAAAAAATCTTCTCTCATTAATCTGAGGCGTCTTGGCATTCGTCTCAAAAACACTTCGCAGACGTGTGATTTTACACCTGCTCTACGCCTGTCTTGATTTCTCAAGCTGCATAAAGGAAGAAATCAAAGAAATTGCAATAGTAATAAGTTGTTAGAAAGTTTTTTTGTTTTTCAGAAAACGTCCCCTTATAAATTGGAAGTCGCAAGAATTTTTGGATCATAATATCTTACGGAAGTCGATATAATGACACAATCTGTTGCGAAAAATTCATGAAAGCTCACATTTTCTCACTTTTTATTACTTCGCTTTTTATTTCTCATTAAATGAAGCGGCAAAAATGAAGATTTCTATCAAAAAGAAACTCAAAAAAAGATATTAAGTCACGGAGGTCTTCAGATCTCGTCAATCTTATCATACTATTTTTTTATGAAAAACGTTGAAAATTTTTGATTTCTTTCAACAGCTCACGAAAAACGTTACCAATCTTGAGAATTTCTCTGAAAATTTAAAAAGAACCAAGAGAAGTGAAATATCATGCCATGATAAACCTTCGCTCCCTGTCAATCACCGCAACGCTGAGAAAACTTAGCAGGGGAACGGGAAGAACTGACTTTGGTTTGACATGAAGATGCTCTCGACCATGAAGAGAAATGATGGAAGGTCGCGGCAATGAAGATGTCGTACTGCTCGGATGGACAAATATTTGAGGCGATTGAGCAGTTGAAGAACTCATCAAGTCGCCGCTGGTCACGGATTGCGCCGCGTGAGATGACGCCATTGATAACCTCAAATTAAGAATTTTTTTGAAAAATTCATGGTTTCAGCTGTTCGAATTACAGTACTGGCCATAAAGATATTTCAAAGTGGTTATTCGAGCATAACTTCTCTGAAAATGGCTCGAATGACTTGAAACTTTGCACAAATTTTGAATAGCTACGAAGTAACTTTTTCCCGAAAAAAAAACGCATTTGCTCAAGTCAGACCGGATTTAAGAGCAAAAAACCAAAAATCGTTTCTCTTGAGATTCGAAAAATTATATCTTCAAATAAACTTCGATTTTGAATCAGAAACTTTTTAGCCCTTTTTTTGGCCCTTTAAGCTTTTGTTTTTACATAATTTTTGTGATTCGCAAACTTTGAACCTACATCACCGTCAGAAAAAATACGAGGAAACGGGGTTTCGGTCACAACTTTCTTGTAAGAAAATAAATAATTCTGAAACCTTCTGGAGTAGTGACGACTGTTATATTTAACACTCTGATGAAGTTTCAGTTCATGTAAAAAAAACGTACCTTCAGAAACTTTCAGGAAAGATTGTATTCCTTACAAGAAATTTGAGGACAAAGTCGCGTTTTTAGTATTTTTTTCTGACGGTACTGTATATCAAATGACCATATATCGAAATTTGTAGATTTCTTCTCTTTTTTTACCAGAAAAAGTCTTCCAGCCTAGTTTCATTGAAAGTTCAGGGGCTAAAAAGGTTTTTTTTTGAGAAGAATAGGCTCATCATGGACTGTTTCTCTAAAAAAATATAAAATGACCAGCTAGTCGGAATAAACTCTCACCTCGCGACGTTTAATAGCAACTCTCCTGTGGCAGTTATTCCGGCGTTACCACCGGTCACCACTACATTTTTTGTCAAATCCAGCCTTTTCTGTTTCTCATACTCATCATTTTGCTCGGCGATGATTTCCATTGTTCTCCTAAGAAAAATTGCATCAAAGCCATAATCTTCTTTGAAAAACCTCAAAGCAGCGTTTTTTCCTCCTGCTGAGCCTGTGACTAGCCACATCTCTGAGCCAGAGTTTGGCCTAAATTTCTGAAAAGGTCAGGTTCAACTTCGAAAAGTCAACCTCAGAGTAGAAGTCCAGTAGGCCAAGAAAATCATGAGCGGCAGTGAAAACAAAACTATTGGAATGATGGCTATATTCATAAACTCTGTCATTGTGTCGTATCTAGGGTACCTGAGAAAAAGGACCAAAATTGATATTAGAAGAGATGAAACCTTTCATAAGTGATGATATGCCAGCCAAGTCGATTGGCAATCTCTTGATGGTGCTTTTTGAGAACATCTGAGATTGAAATGGGAAAGAGAGCTTTTTCAACATTCTCACCTGATAGGACTTGTCTTGGAAGCAAGGGGCGTTGCTGCCTCAGAGTCGGTAGAGAAGAGTGTGGAAGTACAACAAAAAATTTGATTTGAATGGTTAACGACTCTCGTCGAGGAAAACCCTCAAGGATAACGACCTGCTCGGCGCCGAAAACTTGCCTACGGATTTAAACTTTTTTTTCGAGATTTATGTAACGACCTACGGAGTTCTTAAATTGCAGGCGGAGGCGTTATGGCAGTATTTTGTAATGACTTTTGCCATCGTTCGGCGAAATGGCCCGATCAAATCAGGCAAAGGCGAATCTACACAGTAAGCTACCCGTAGCCCAGATGTCCAGTCAAACATATCAAGCTCTGAAAAATTGGCTCGTTCTGTTTCTAAAAAATTGAAAAAAAAATATTTCTGAGATTTAGAAGGCACAAAAATCAGCGTCTATTTTGCAAATTCGGAAGTTAATAAATCGTTTTTTTCAATTTTTAACACGGTACTCAAGTATAGCAATCAAAAAAATATTCCTATTGTTTTTTTCACTCGGAAAGTTTTTCAATGAAAGATTTCATTATAATTAAACTAAAAAGCTCGAAATTCAGTAAAAATTCATTTTTTTTTGTCTAGAAAAAATGTATGACCTATCCTGCTAGGATCTTCGATATGTGCCGAATAAGTGAAGATTGGAAGAATGACAAATAAAATAAGTAGACTGCTAAGGCACGCGGAGAAGCATCTCATGACGGTTACAATGTGCTCCCTGCAAATTCAAAAAAAAAAATTGTAAAAAATCGATCAGGTCAATATGCGTTCGCGAAACGAGCAGACAGGCAAGTTTTTCACAATTTCCGTATGCACTGCGGCAGTTGTTCATCATAATGACACGTCTAGCTCTATCACTTGGACGCTTTTGAAAAAGTTTTTTCTCCCGGTCATTGAATCAACTATACGGTTTAGACTTTTTTCGCAACTTTTCAGAGCATCAAAAATATCAGAAAAAACTTTGATATGACATCTTTGATGGATACGTCACTGAAAAATCAGAGGTTATAAAGTCTGTTAAAAATCAATACGACTCAGATTCATCAAAAACACACTTTTAATTCTGAGTACTCACCTGAAAAATATTGAAAAATGATTAAAATAAGTTGGATTTCCGAATTTTCCGAATCTTATCCACGATAAACGTCAAAAAATGTTTGAAAAAAAGTTTCTGTAAAACGGAGGAAATTCTACTTTTCAGCTTCCTTCGAAAAAAAAAATCTGGTGGCTGATAATTAATCTGGGAAAAAACTCCAAATTAAAAAAAAACGAATTTTGTTTCATGTAATAAAAAATTGAGATTGTTCCGAAAAAGTATCATGGAAAAGAAATCAAAAAAGTGCTCAAGATTGCTCTAAAGCGAGGACGGCTTGAAAACGCGGACAGCACTCAGTCACAGTTACACTTGAGCTTACGCAAAAGAGTCGGATCGTTGTAACGAAAGAAATATGATACTACTTGCTGGAAATAACGATTATTTGGTTTTTTCCACCTTGAAAGACTTTTCAACTATCGAGGCTCACCGGAAGATTCAGGAATATCATTCTTTACTAAACTTAGTGCTCTTACAAATATGACTTCATTATTGAGATTTGAAACAGGCAAGTAAAATTCTGCAAAATACTTGGTTCCATTGACGATTATTGAGTTCAAATAAGAAAGGATTTGATAATTACGAGAGAAAGACCAGTGGCAGCCAGGAAATTGCCGAGAACTTTTGCACAGCTGTTTCTTAGCACCACACATGCTGCTGTGCTTAATTTTTGCCGCATCCTGGAGCTTATGTGAACTTGTCGGTCTTGACGAGTGCAAAGTATGTGATTATAGAATCTTTGAGATTTCTCCTTTCAAAATTTTTTCTCGGATGCAAACTTCTTACGAACAATCTACCCTTGCAGTAAGGCGAGAAAAAGAAAGCAAATTTCAAGGACTACTATAACCCATCCTCTTTTTGCTGGGAAACGTTGAAAAAATTTCTCCTCTTGCAGTTTAAAAAACAAAAAATTCAATTTACTCTGGTAGCTAGGGTAAATTCTCCTGAGATGAATCAATTGTCTTCTTTATCTTCTTGACCTCTGGTTTTTTCCCCCAGCGGAGAACTTCTCAAAAAAAAAACCATCCGCAGAATAAAGATGGATTGGGGTCTCCCGTTACCCGAATCACGAATTTTCTGCTAATGACCCCAGCAAAAGATGATTCACCAAGTCTTCAGAACCTGTTCTTTGGCCGCCAACAAGCCTCTGCCGGTCGCCGCTTCTTTCTATATAAGGCAGCTGGCGTCATCGCAAGCTTAACTTCTTTTCCTTTCATTTTTTAGCTGCTTCTAAATCTTTAGAAAGTTAATTTTTCTCTTTCAGATATGAAACTACAAACTGGAATCTCGAGCAAAGACCTCGCCGTCGTGAAAGAGATCGCAGAGCTGCAAAAACTGGAGAACGAGAATAATCAAAAGATAGAGGAGGAAACCCGACAGAAGGAAGAATGTTCCGAACAAGCTGACCATGAAAATACTTCTGAAGAAGCATGCGTCGAAAGGTCTGACGATTCCATTTCGAGGTGAGGGATTTTATTTGAAACAAGATTCTTTAAGCTTTTCTAGCTGATTTTTTCGAATTCGAAACATGTTAGTTTTTGTTAAGAAAGCAAAAGAAGAAAAAATTCTTCTAAAATCGAGAGGCTAAACGCTTCGAGCCAAGCTATGGTATACCAGTTTCAAGATATGATGAACAAAATATGGAATGAAATGGCTTTAACTGAATTCTGGTGAACTCTTTTTTTATATTAGTGGAGTTTTTCTAAAAAGTTCTTTTAAAAAATCATCTAAAACTATCAGGTTCTAAATAAATTGTATTCTTGATGAAAAGGAAAACCTTTCGATTTGTTCCGTAGAAAGCTTCAACCGTCAAGTTTCAGTGTAATGTCGCTGAAGAAAATCTCGCAAGAGAGTATTCTGAACTGGAAAAACTGCTGTCTGAACTGGAAGAACTGCTGTTTGAAGCCGTCCAACTGCTGTGTGGTTAAATTCGTTTCGGAACGCATTTCTGCAAACGATGAAAAAGAAGAGTAGCTCCCAGCAATATGATTTTAATAACTTGTAAAAAAATGTGAATATAAATTTTTTTCGTTCAATAAATTTTTTTAAAAAGTTTGTTATGTGATAGAATATTTACACCCAGTCGAAGCAACAAAAATGGAAAAATTGCTTTTTGATTCAAGAACAAAGCCATAATTTCCGCCTTTGTTATCAAAAAAATTTTTTTGATTTTTTTATTGTCTCCAAGATGACGGTTTTTTTGTATTGAAAAAAACTTATATGACAAATTGACCGCATTGTTTGTTTTTCACAAACTTTAAAAGTTTTTGTGCATGTTAAGAAATAAAGAATCGAACAGTGTCCAAGTTTTCTTTACAAAAAACGCAGATTCACCAGTTCTTCTTTCAATATGAAAACAATAAAGTGCTATTTTCATATTTAACCCCAAAGTTATGGTTTTTTGCGGCCAGTTTTCGTCTCCAGTGTATTCCAGATTTTCATAAAAGTCTATTCTTTGCTCCAACTCACACAGAAAAAATATCTGCAGAAGAAAAAAGGACAGAGAAAGGGCAAAATCTCACGTTTTTTTTTGTCCTGTACATCGCTGAACCGACAAACAAAAACCTTTCGACGGAGGAATTTGCATTTTTACTGACGAAAGTACATCAAAATTCTAAACTGCAACTTTTTTCCCCGAAAAGACAGAGGAGAAATCAATAGAGACGATGAAACATGATCGGAATGTAACGGTCCATCACTTTTGGCGAAAGGAAAACCACACGGAGAGCAGCGACTGTTCCAGCGTTCCTGAAGCTTTTCCTCTAATCGCCCGAGGTCGGTTCCAACTCCAGACTTGCTAGTTATGGGAATTCGGGTTAGGCAATCGACCACGATTGACGACGGTCCGTTTCACCGTTCTTCAAATGCCTGGCCTTCTACCTTTCCAAGTTTTTTACATTTTTAATTTTAACGCACTTGCATAGTTCAGACTGATTTCACCGATTATTCCGGCAAATCCAAAAAGGTCACTTTTTCGCTGGACGAGGAGAAAAGGCCAAACAGATCTTTTTCAACGAGATGGCGAGGAGCTTTATTCTGCATAAAACTAATAGGTTTTTCGGAACTTTATTTTCATAAAAATATTTTTATCACTTTTTTTTTCTTTGGTTTTTAAGAGTGAATTTTTTTTATAAAAACGTGTAATTTTCAAAAACCTATAGATCAAATTCGAAGTCATTCCGTAATCAAAAAAAAACTTATCACTTCAGATTTTGAGCTCAATACTTGAATTTTCGAATCAGGAAAAGGAAATTCATGATCTCAGCTTAAATCAGAAATTCAATTTTTCTAGGAACTTTAGGCGTTTGTAGTGATATCTAGAGCCAGAAGTGAATTTCTCTCCCAACTACAAGTTCTATAAAATAGCCTCACCATTAAGGTAAACGAATACTCTCACTGCGAAATGTTCTCACCGACTGGATGTTTCTGGCCGTTCTTGGAATCAACGTGGCTTGCTTGTCCATTTTTGTCGACCTCATGGTGCACTACTTGCAAGAATGTTGATTTCACTCGATTGAAAATGCTAAGTTGACACTTCAGTGCAAGAGAAAACCGGTCAACTGTACTCATCGCCATCTCAACCTTTTTGGATGTGGATGGTCGGGCTCGTTACCTGGTGTTGCTACACAGTTGGACTCGTTGCAGCTTCTGCTTCTTTTGTTCATTTTGTTTCTCCGCAAGCTATAGGTACGGCTTCATCAAAAAGGATCGCAATTGGAGTGGCTCAACAAGTCGCGGTTGAGATGAGAACATCTGCAAATGAAGTTCGATAAAAATTAACTATTGTCAGAAAAATATATTGAAACATCTTCATTAGAAATGGATCAAAAACTGTGTTTTTCTTTGCTTTGAAAATCCGAAACGCAAATTGTTTTCTAATGCTGTGATGAAACGTCAAACTTCTCGGCCTAACAATACTGAAAAGAGGAAATATATTCAAGGTTCCGGCATTCCTGAGATGAAGACAATCATTCGAGGAGTTATCCTGAAAGATTACCTAACTCTTAGAACACTTGTTTCCAAAGTGTTCGGTATCACGATGTCAATTGGCAGTGGGATTCCGATTGGAAAGATGGTTTATCGAAAATTCGAGTTGAACTCTCAATTCAGTTTTTAGGGTCCTTTCGTTCACATTTCCTCCGTTGTAGCGAATCAATTATGCTCATTGGCTGCGAAACTCGACCCAACATTCCGAGAAGAAGGCCGCAGGTTGGAATGTCTTGCAGCCGCGTGCGCGGTCGGCGTTGCAAGCGTTTTCAGTGCTCCAGTTGGGGGTGCCAAATTCAATTTGAATCCGATAATTGTTTTTTTTCAGGAGTTCTATTTTCGATTGAAGTAACGACAATGTATTTCTCAGTTCGTAGTTATTGGCGAGGGTTTTTCGCTTCCTGTTGTGGAGCCACTACCATTCGTCTCCTTAGAGCTTTTCTAGTCAGAACGGAAGGTAGATCCCTAACTTGTTCTGAAAATAGTTCATTGGCTCTAAATTCAAAATCTATGATCGAAATGAATGGATCTCAAAAAAAGAATTTTTTTTGGGTTGATGAGAATTTGAAGCAAGTTAAAATCGCGTACTTTGAGACACCCTGAGCCTGAGAAAAATGTCCTCTTTCGTGGACCTTACCGTAAACCAGATAGAGACGGGTTCAAAGAAACCACTGTTTTATCCGTTTCTCAAAACTAAAAAATTTCGTCAATTCCTATTTTCAGTGACGGTAAGCGCTTTCTTTCAAACGAGCTTTCCGCCGGACGCCTTTTCCGTCAAAGAACTGCCTCTTTTTGCATCCTTAGGCCTGATTTGCGGACTTCTTGGAGCCCTTTACATAAATCTCTACCGCTCCACTGTGTTGTTCATGCGTAACAACCGCTACGCAAAACCGATCTTCCAAAGACAGTATGTGAAATCATTTCCTCTCCTTTAAAATAATTTAATTTTCAGTTGGATAGTGTATCCAATAGTCGTTTCTTCATTCTTCTGTTTGATATCTTATCCAAGTGGCCTCGGGAATTTCACAACTGGGAGGGTGCTGTACAGAGGAAGACTTTTTTGAAACGTCTTTTATTCAGATGCGATTTGGGTTGAATTTGCGAGATTTTTTCTCGAATTGCACTTACACGGCTGAACCTGGAGATATTTTGAGTTGCGGTCAATGGATTCATAGTCACTGGCTCAACCGTTCCAACGTCTCACTGATTCTACTACAGTTCATTTTGATCTACGTTAGTTTATTGATGTTTATGTTGAATAGACTTTGTGTTACTTCTTTGTAATACAATTTGACCTTCGCGTATCAAATTTTTTTTCGTGTATAAAAACACATGTATATTTTCAGTTTGTATTTTCTATCATAATGTTAACCCTGCCAGTCCCTTCTGGTGTTTTCTTGCCGGTTTTCGTTTTGGGCGCTGCAATTGGAAGGCTTGCAGGCGAAGTTTTTTTCTTCGATTATTGCCATAGATTTTCTCGTTCAGATTGCGTCTCTTTATACTCCAGAAGATTTGATGGTTCATCCGGGTATTTACGCTGTAGTAGGTGAATACAGTGTAAAAAAGAAGTTCGAATGAAAACATTTTTAGGAGCCGCTTCTTTTTCTGCTTCAGTAACTCACACGGTTTCTGTTTCTGTCATAATTTTCGAGCTGACGGGCCAACTTCACTTTCTTCTTCCTGTTATGGTCTTAGTTCCTATTCTAGAAAAAAATTTAGCGAGCTTTCAGATATCCGTTGTTCTTTCCAATGCCGTCTGTGCCTATCTCCAGCCTTCGTTATTCGACACAATCATCAAAATAAAGCATCTCCCTTTCCTACCGGATATTCCTCCTTCAAGCCATATGTGAAACAGAAAAGACACTTTCCGATCATAATTTGTTTTCAGGGTTCACACAACTTTTGCGGAGAACATCATGGTTTCCCCTGTGATGTTCCTAACCAAACTCACTACATACAAAGAGATTCAAGATGTTGTCAATTCAGGATATCATTCATTCCCAGTGACTGACTCTCAAAGTACGCTGGTACATCTTTTGACTTGAAAAAGAAATGATATTCCAGCAAACCAATTGCTGATTGGAACAGTTTCAAGAAGGGTTCTTTTCGAAAAATTGAACGGACAGGTGCTAGTTCAAGCTTGAAACAATATGTTGTGTTTTAGCTTGGGAGGATTTTCATACCTTACAAAATATATATTGTCAGATTGGCGATGAAGCTCGGAAAAAAGAAGCGGGCAGAAGAGTCAAAAGCGCTATAGAGACTTTGGATTGGCATATAAAAACATCCCAAAAAGAGGCAAGTGAAATCGAAACTCCAAAAAGTTTGAACCTGATTTATTTCAGAGCTCACGACGGAGTCACTCTGACATGAACCTGGAGTCCTTGCAAGCTAAAAAAGAAGAGAATGAACAACATATGATTCTGCCAGAACCAACGACTGAGGTCAAAAATTCAAGGTCGGTAAAAATCTCGACGTTCGCTTTATTTAATTTCTTAGCAGGTTTCTGGTGGTTCCCGCGCCTGAAGTCACAACGCCTCCTGCTACAATTCGCAGGAACTCCCTCTCGCGAAGAAATGCTTTCTGTAGCTTGCAGCAAACGGAAGATATACAAAACAAGGGTATCTTCTAAGAATCTGGATTAAATCTAGATAATTCAGAAAACGACGGAGGTCTCAATTCAATGAAACCAGAAGATTCTATCACCTACCGAACTTTTCACGCCGTATCGAGTGAATATCAAGCCTTGATGAAAAGTGAGGTGGTTTTGACGTTTCTAGGTTGTTCAATAGAACTTTGTTATATCCAGTTTAGCAAAAGTTTTTTTCAAAACTAGTAAATACAAAATTCAAAGTGCGCCTTCTATTCGAATGAAATTAGTCTCAATAAGAAGCTCGTGGCCCCGCAAAAATCAAAAAGAATCATTTTTTCACGTTCAGGTTATATGAAACTGGCAAAAAAATACTTATATCACATGCAATTCGGACACGGCAAGAAAATGCACGAAGAAGATAGTCAATATGACTTATTTGCAGAAGAAGTTCCTTCAACAATTTTTCAGATTCTCAAAGTTGATTTTCAGAAAGAAAAATGGCAAGATGAAAGATTATTGCAAAGTTTTGAGTTCACAGACTTGGAAATTGATCCAGCGCCGTTTCAACTCGTCAAAAAAACGTCCCTTTACAAGGTTGACCCAATTTGGAGTCCCTATCGACTTTTTGATTTTAAGATCCACTCTATATTCTCGATGCTCCAATTGAACAAAGCATACGTCACTGATTGCGGTCGTTTGATAGGCGTTGTGTCTCTGTCTGACGTAAGTCTTGGTGAATCAACTAAGGGCTGAAGAAAGATTTTTAGCTTCGAAAAGCTCTAGAGAAATCAGAAGAAGAACCGCCGAAAGAGATTCATCATGAACCTCCTGAGATTCACCGACCGAGCTTTATTCAAATTCCAACAAGAAGACCTTCAAAGTTTCCAGCTCCATCTGCTGTTGTCGATATTCTGACACCAACTCTGGAGGTTGAAAAAAATTAAGTGTATTGCCCGCTAGTTTGAGGCAAATAACTTATCAAAGAAATATCTTTTCCTGCTTTCTAATTCTGAAAATCCTTTCATTTTTCTTTTTTAAACGATAGACCCATCGACAAAAATTAATCGTCCTTTCACTTGAGACTCCTAGTTCAAAAATGATTTTAAATCTTCCCAGTTTGTGTTAGTTTCAAAATAACACTGATAAGACTTCAAAACAGGCGTTTAATGTTCTTGCAGGTTATCAGTGGACACCTATCCGAAAAACAGCCATTTTTCAACAGCACAACAGTTTCAATCCCAAAATCTGCTCTAGCTCCTGTAGTTGAAGAAGGGAGAGTTCCGTCACTGAGAGCTCGTCTACAGAGAGAAAACCAAGAAACTTCTGAAGCCGGAGCAGTTCGAAAAACGAGGTTTTCTTTTTCAAAAGTGTATGGTATTATCAAGTAGTTTTTCGTAAGAAACGCATAATTTTCGAAAGTTATTATGAATCTAAAATGATCAGCTGTCAGTTCTGAACAAAGAATGCATAAAGATTCGTTCTGCGACGATCATAAATATCGCAAAAAGAAAGGGTTTGGAGAAGTTTTTGCTCTAATCTCTAGTAATCCTCAACTTAGCTTGGGTCGCAAAAAACGGATAACTTACGGGTGCCGAAGATGAAGTGAGAGGCTTTACGTGTTTCTTCTTTTTTTCCAGTTGATCTCTTTATTTTTTCAGTTCTTACGAAGAGCGACACGAAGATTTGGTAGAAGCCGTCTCATACTTGCGCCGAAAATCGATTGCGACTCTGAATCCCGATGTTAAACAATGATTTTAATGAAATTTTTTTATTGAATGTGTACGTTGTGAGTTTGAAAAAGAAAGAAAGTTCCTTGAACGATTGCCGATGTTCTTGAACTTGAGCTGCTGCCAAGCATTGTGTCTCCTGGTGTTGTTTGACATTGCACTCCTTTTGTTAGTCGTCAAGACTCATTTTTAATTTGCCATTCAAGATTTTTCTTCATGAATTCTTCAAGAACTCACTAAAGTCAGATTTTTTTCCATAGAGTTTTGCCTTCCTAGTTTTTTTTTGCGAGTTATTAAAAAGATAAACGAAGATAATTTTTAAAGATCTTTTTCAAGTCAGTGATGACAAAAGGAATTATTTTCAAACATTTTTACTTGAAATGGTTTTTTCTCAAGCTGAGTAGAATTTAGAAAGCTCTGCAATTATCTTGAACAAGAAAACTCGGATTCAGCAGAGTTTTTTTCAAACATGTAATATTAATTTTTTTCGAGACTTTCAACTTTTTGCAAAACTGAAACGTGAAAAAAAATTAGATACTTTCATTTTCTTTGTCTTAAAAATGATGATCAAAACGAGCAATTATATCATATTACGGAAGAACTTCCAAGTGGGGTTCTGCAAAAGTGTGGGCATCAATTTTCCATTTGAACATGGTAAACTTTTTTTGATTTTTCACAGGCTTCTTTTCTGGTAGATTACGGCTTGGTCCGGATTCTACGATCTTTCTCCGTAAAATTTTAAAAGTTTTTCCCAGGGGTAAGCTTGAAAATTTATTTCGAGTTTTAAAATTACGGTTTGGCAAGTCGGAAAAAATGATAAAGTAAGTGAAAAATGGTCCACTTCTATGTATACAGAAATAATCGCGAACAGGAAATATCCCATTTTTTTCATTCTGAGCTAGAGATAATTTTTTTGTTTTCTGTACTCAATATCTTTCAAAAAAAACGCTACCCATCATTTGTGTATCAAATTATTTTTCAAGAAGGAGTTTTGAAAGCTCAAATATTTGATTTTTTTGCTATGGATAATCTGGTTTTTAATATCAATCAAACAATATTGTCAGCACCACAACACAATTTGATATTGCTTTTTTTCAATTTTTACTTGGCCCATCAAATATAAAAAGTTTTTTTTTGAAGACTCTGAATGATCCCAGCTTTTGTTTTCTCTCGACTTGGCAGAAGTGAAATACAAACAAATTTGATTTCAACCAAAGTTTTTTTCTATTCCGAAGAAGTTTGAGCTTATTTTGGTGGCGTTTATTAGCATGGAAGGCTGGCGTTTGCAGACGCAATCACAACCCTGAAGAAGTGAAGTCGTTTTTTTTTTGGGCTGGCTTAACCGTTTTGAAGTCGGAGCCTCGTTGTTTCAGTTCAAAGCCTTCTGGGCGACGAGGGCTTACGGCGGAGCGATCACCTTCGCACCGCCAAAAACGCTCCCAGCTTTGCTTTTCTCCCTTGGCGTATCCTTTCTTTCAGTCAACCTAGCTTTTTTGAACCTTTTCTTCAGATTTCCTCCCTTTTCACCCCACTTAATATTCTCCACTCTTCTGAAATTGTTCACAGCGGGCAGCTGTATTCGAGTATATGTATGATGATGACAATAAGTTTGATACTAAGCGGAAAGGAGTCATTTGAATAAATCATCTGAATGTTCGAACTATATCAAAAAAAATATTTCGACTCTTGCTCTCAAGTAATTCAATGAGATTGCTGTTTCACTCTTTTTAGGATTTTTCATTCATTAGCTTTTTTTGCAATACTGACTTTTATGAGTGTTTCCGGATTGCCACAATGAAAAAAGAAAAATTTGACAAATTTTTTTGAGAATGGCTCGTTGTTAATTAGACGTTCCGGCCGTTCCCATCCAAAAAACACGTCGAAGACTGACATTCACACTCACACGGAATTTTGGCCCGTTCAAGGGACCACCACCACACACACATATCCTAGACGGCTTGGAATTGAGAAAGAGGAAAAGCTGGCGCTAAGATTACGCATCGATGGTCAATCGTAATGAAATGTCGGTGCTCTTGTTTGGCGCAATTGTAGTTATCCTCGTTTGAAACGACACAGCTTCGAACCTTTCAGTAGCATTTTTCGTGATAACAAGGCGGAAAAATCGCTGTTTATTGGTGTATTTTATATGTCTTTCATACTTGGACGTAATTCAGAAGAAATATATGTTTTCTGCAATGTTTTATTGTTTCTGACTCAGAAAAACGTACAGTTTCGAATTTTCATGTTACGGGAATTTAAAAAATTTTTTCTGAAGATGAACTGAAGGCTTTTATCTTTTCAAATTTTGGAGCTTATTTCTTGATTTTGACATTTCTACCCACCATCAATCATTGGAGTACTTGGAATCCGAACCGATTCGAAAAATTTCGAAAACATCAAGGATGAGAATTTTTGGGGGTTTCAAATTCAGATAAAGGCGGACAATATGAATGTATTCAAATTTTATTTACGGTGACATTTTGTGCTGCAGTATATTAGAAATCATCATATGTGACCTTGAACGATGTTTTCACATGTAAACCTGGTACCAAGGTAGTTACAGACTATTTCCTCACCAATAATGAGAAAAAAAGAAGAAGAAATGCAAGTGATTTTGTTCCATTCATTTGGTTTACATACAGAATGCTCTTTCAAGGAAACGATCACTAAATGGATAAGTCATCTTGATCATCAACATGAAAAGCTTTGTCTATACGGTTTAAAAAAGCTTGATATCCATGAAAAAAGACTAGTTTTTTTTAAGCGGCCAGGTAGGTCAAGAGAGTTTAAAGCTTCCATACAACATTTTCTTCGAAAGAGATCGCCTATAAAAAAAGAAAGTCGCTTTGATGTTTCAATAGATGTTCGAAAAAGTTTGCAACATTCTCGGAACGCGATTTTATATGCTTGCGGAACCAATGGAAGAGGTTGCTCGCAATATATAGGTAAATATATTCACACATAATGCAGCGTCGCCTTTCATTGAGAGGAATATTTTGGTGAGTTGCGCATGAATTAAATGCTTCGATGAGGAGCGAAGAGATACCAGCTTTGAATGAGAAGGACATTTCCTTCATTGCGACCGAAAAGCTCAGTTTTTGCTCTTCTCAACTTCTGAGATGTCCTAATATTGTTGAAAAGTTTCAAATCTCCTTCATTGAAAATTTTTTTTAAAACTATTTTTTTGATTTTTTTCAAATATTTTTCAAAACCATTTTCATACGCAATCCTCTTTTTTTATTCTTTATGCTTTCAAATTTTTCAAACTTTTCGGTTCAAAATCAGTAGGTTTCTCTGCGACTCCCCTATTTTTCCAGTAGATATTTTGGGTCTTTCTTCTCTTTTTAAAATTTTTTTGTTCTCAATAAAAGTTCAGTTTGCTCTTTTCTGTCTATTCTTTGCCGACAAAATCATTTTTCTGAGATTCTCGAAACAGCTTTCTGAACTCTAGTTTCATCGTAACTTTTCTAACTGTATATTCCCAGTTTTTTTTAGCTTTTCACCTTTCAAAAGAAGCTGCAGAGAGAAAACACTGGTTTCTATAGTGCTTTCGCTGCGTCATTTTTCACTCCGTTATGAGTTACACTTGATTTGGAGCCACCATTTTGACATAAGTTTTTTTCGGTTATTGCTTTTGAAATTCAGGACTGGCTTTCTGATTATTTATATATATTATACTACCTGATTGAGGAAAGAGATTTTTTTCTGAGTTGACCTACATCTTTCTTTTTTTCATAAATTTTTATTGAACAATTTCTTCTAAGCAAATATTTCCTTCATTGTTTGAAAAATCGTTAATATCAGCTTATCTTTCGAATTTTGAGAAGATTTTGTTTTTTTGAGCTTGGCTGACGGATAATAAAGAAAAAAATTTTTTTGGTTATTCAGGTTGAAAAAAATTAATTTTTCAAGTTTTTTTCGGTCAGCTTTACATACAAAATGATTCATTTTTTTGTTTTCGAATGTTTTTTTCTAAAAATTCAGTTACGCTTTGTTTTTTTGATTATTTTTGTGATTAATTAATAG